CGTTCCCCCGGCCGGCCCCCGCCCCCCCCCCCCACCACACCCCCAAACTTCCAGCGTTTGCCTTGGGGCCCCACTCCCCCCCCCCCCCCCCCCCCGGGTGGTTTCGGAGGATGGACGGCCGAGCTAAGCCCGGCCTCCGGTTTCCCCACCGTACACAGAGACAGTTGCTGACCCTGGCTAACCATACGATCGTGATTTTGGCCGTATCTATGAACACACCCGAACACGTCCCCGGGGAGGGTTACATTGGGTTGGGCCTCCGGATTGGGCCTCCGGGTTTGTCCTCCGTTGGCCGCGGTCGTGTTGCGAGTTAATCCCTGACCCTTGGTGACCCCGAAGTCTTGCATACGGCGGCAGCCTTATGCGAAGGGATTTCTCGACGGGTGACATTGCATATTATCTCCCAACTAGGTGCTCTTCCCCCTCCGTTGCCCCCTCCCCCTCTCCGTCTCTCTCTTTTCTTCTTCTTTTTTCTTGTTCTTGGCAACAGCGCCACAATATGTGCTGGTTGGCCTGTTGTTCAACCGCCCTCTATATGTCCAATGAGGTGGAGGCCGACGGCGCGCAACGTTGACAGTAGTGCGGGCGCTGTGCACACAACCTTACCCGTCCCACACGTCTCTAGCTCGTCAGCACAAGTTGAAAACAAGCGATGGTGTCCGCCCCAGGGCCAACCTCTCCTTACAATCTCCTCGCACCAGACAACCTGACCCACAATCTGGCTGGGTGGGTAGCAACGTGAAGTTGACAGTTTGCCTGAAAATCACTCGCTGGGTGGTATGGCTCGATGGGTGGTAACCCACGTTAGCCTCATTATAGATCTCGTTCACCGATGAGCCACGTTGGGTAGTTTGACCCATCAGCTGTTGCTTTTAAGTGAATCTGGACCAATGAGCTGCCGAGCTTCAAGAACCAACCACAGCGAGCGCGCGGAAGTTCCGTTCACAGACTATTCTAGACGAATAGCATAGACTGAAACGCCCACGGATAGAAAGCGCTAATGCTGTCATACATATTTGATGTTCCACATGGTGGCTAGCCGAAGCTCAGGCATCCCTGTTGGCGGGCGGAAATGAAGAAGAGAAGATGTCCAATGATACATTAGGCCTTTCACTGTGACAGCATGCAGGTGCCGAGTCTATCTATCTTTTTCCGCCACAATGTCTTCCTGAGGCAAAGTGGGTTCTCTGACCTCAAGGTCGTCCAATGACTGTGCCTTCTGTTGAACGACCCCTCTTTCAGCCGGATGCTGTAACACCCATGGTGGGAATCTGGCGACACAAGAATCCCAGGGGCAGCTCCGTGAGTGATTTCCCTCGCAAGGCTCAGAATGGTCAGGTGTTGCGAGTCAAAGATGGCCCAGGGGCCCGCGTGAAATGGCTGCTGCAGAGGAAGAGGTGAAGCTCTGGGTCCTGATGCTGAAAGGGAACACCCCTTTTTCTGTAGCCTGCATACTTAAGTATCCGAGTGGACGCATTTTGAAAGTCTCACACAAAGCTTTTTGGTCTCGATCCTAGGACCATTCGACAGGCCTGCTTTTCTGTTTTTTACACTACATCCAGGTCTTTCTGGAGCAATCTTGCAAACCGAGGGTGATCTTAGAATACTCGGAGCCACGATGGAAGTGGGAAACCAGAAATCCCGTGAAACGGCCGAGGACAACTGCGACATAAGTGATGAAGACCTCGTTTGCGATATGTGCGAGAAAAAGGATGGCTTGGTGTTCTGTGAAGGCTGCGCTTCTTACTACTGCGACGATTGCTGGCAAAGGCTGAGAAGCCATCGGGTAGGAGGTCAAGGAGCCAGTGGTGTCCCACACGGCAAATCGAAACCCGAGGTCGTTCGTATGATCAAAGTCTCCATGTCAGAACCACAAGACGAAGGCGACGAAAGGCATCAGCATATCAAGGACGAAAACTCGATCTGGTTTGGACTAAGCCAAGATGATGGTGGCGACCCGGCTTTGGCTGATTACAGACGATACGCCTCGATCATGATGGAGAACGCTGGCGAAACGTCCTCGCCTCGGTTTCCGGGACTTGTTTCTTTCATTGGACCTACTAGTAAGTTTTCATGAAGTCGTGAGGTGCAGAGAGCTGATCCAGGAACTAAGGTTCCGGAAAGAGCACGCTTATCCGACTACTCATCGACTCATCCAAACGAGCCAACGCAGAGAGTGCTGTCTCTGTGCCTGTCATCGGACGCACGGATTGCGATACCCCTACATCAGCTGACGTCCATCTTTATATGGACCCTGAAACAGGTTCGGGGACGCGGCCGATTCTGTTCGCAGATTGCGAGGGATTCGAGGGTGGTGAGCGAAGCCCTATCGCACAGGCAGCTACGTCCGCAGTCCAAGCATCGTCGGCTGGACGTAGGATTCACGATCTGCCCAAACCAAGTGGTCAGCCTTTACAAGACTTCAAGAGGGCCACCCAGGCGGTGACAAAACGAGTCATTAGATGGGCGTCTCGAAACTCTCAACATCATGAGAAAACTAGTAAAAGAGGATATGCTGTCTCTGAGATGTACCCACGCATCTTCCATGCCTTTTCGGATGTCATTGTGTTCGTTCTCAACAATCCCAAGTAAGCTCCCATGTTTTCGATATTCCCTGACGTCCTTTGCCTTGCTCCTACTACGTGGATCATTGTTGTTAAATTCAGCTCTAGGACGATGGAGGACGTAGTCGAGAAACTACTACAGTGGGCAAGAGCCAACTACTCCGCATCCATTAACATGCCGTGCAAGCCTCATGCCATAATCGCCATCAACAAATCCCCAAGCTCTTCCCAGAACGAGCATTGGCTTCCGGCTCAGACGACCAAAGAATTCTTCAAGGCTATGGACCCTCAACTGACAAAAAACCCAACGTTCAAGAGGTACGCCGAGGAATGGAGATCGGCTCAGAAGCCCATCCACAGAATGCAGGAACTCTTCGAGCAGTACTATTGGACAGTGACTGTCGTCAAGTTGCCAGAGAAGAGTAGATACGCCCTTATGCATCAACAAAGAAACGCACTGCGTGAAGTGGTCAACGAATGTTGCGAGAAGTCATTTGACAAACGGCAGGACCTCGGTATGCTGCCAGATGTCGATGAGTTTGGAATGTACTTGTCTCTGGCGTTTGACCACTTCTCACAAACTCTTGATGATCCATTTGACTATGTTAAAGCATCCATTCAGAACCGGCCTCCGCCCAGCTCCCTCAAAGATAACATTTTCGAGTTTGTCCTTCTTGTTGCTGATTTCTTCAGTCTGAAAGGCGACGTCTTCACGCTTTTCAACACCATCACGAAAATTCTGGCTTCATACTTCATGCTCGACTCAGCACGCCAGCAACGTCTAGGTGATTCCCCTATCCTTCTCTAAATTTGGCTGCTTTGGGCATAAGGCTCACTCAACGTGCTATTATAGGACAACCTCAGGATTGGTTTGAAGCACAATCCTCTGACCCCTCTGGAAACAAGGAGCAGCCAGTCTCGTATCACACGATTTGCCAAGCTGTTCTGAAGAAATACTTCGACTTTCATGTGCCTTGCGAGTACACACAGCCCAGTCGTGCCATATCACGTGGCTTTAAATGTGAGCTGGTGCCAGCCACGCACACCCAAGACATGTACCACAGGCAGTCACGGAAGGGGATGGCTGCTACGACTGAAGTATATGCCTCCAAAGGATATGAACACAAATATTATCCTCCTGATAAGGAATTCAAATGGCACGGGACGATTCTTGAAGACCTCCAGAACCTCTATTCGGAGTACGTGGACCATGGTGCCAACACGTCCGTGAGACCGCGCGAGAAGGTCGCATGGGGCCATCAGCTTCAGCTGAAGCAGTTCTACTCAAAGGGCCATTTTTACTCCAATCGAATCTGCCTCGGCTGCATCTTCAACCCGCCAACCTACCGACTGCGCTGTGGACACACCCTCTGCCTCCAGTGCGTTCTGGATTTTGGCAAACCCATACTCGGAGACGACACGCAGATCTCAGTGGCTCAGTGCCCAGTCTGTCCCACAGATGCACATAATCAAGTCATGCGATTGGATCCGGATATAGTCAACATCGACTTGGTCTATTCGGGACTTCGAGTCCTTGTCCTAGATGGGTGAGTCTTCAACAGAGGCAACCGTGGCAGCATATTTGACAGACTAACAATTAATGTACGCGGGCACAGAGGTGGCGTGCGTGGCATTGATGAGTTATGTGTCTTGAAGGCGATTGAAGACGAGTTGCATGGAATACCGTTACAGAGATTCTTCGACCTTATAGTCGGAACCAGGTGAGCCCATTAATGATGCAAAGGAAACTCGAAATGACAATTTTGCAGCACAGGAGGCATTTTGGCACTTGGGTTTGGGCATAAACTCTGGTCCATCGACGAGTGTATCGGCAGGTTTACAAGCCTGGTGCGCGTGGCCTTCACTGCGAGACCGGGTCAGAAGTACGAGGGTCTCAAGTATATCGAGCAGCTATTCCGCCAAAGCAAATACAGGTCGGGCCCACTTCGGGACGCTCTCAAGTGCTCCTTTGGTCTCTCGCCACTATTTGCTCCCACTACTACTCCAGTCGAGCCAGTATCGGACTTCAGCAGCCTCCAGTCAACGGATTCTGACAGCCTCCGGGTGCCAAGGGATCCTGTCAAGGTTGCTGTAACTACAGTCTCCGAAGCTGGAAAAAGGGCTTACCTGCTGTCCAACTACAATGTGGGATCACACTGTACCTCGGATGGCTCCAAAACGCTGCAGTACTCGCGCCACAGACCTGCCACGGACCAAGAGGAATTCCTCGTCTGGGAGGCGTAAGTGAATCTTATTGTTCACTGTCAAACACTGATAGGCTAACTTGTGTCCCAGTGCTCGAGCGACGTCAGCGGCCCCTGGATTCTTCAAACCCTTCGAACCTGATCATTTCAGTCCCTCAACTCAATTCATGGATGGAGCGCTCCTCCACAATAACCCGATTCAAATCGCCATTGAGGAGGCTCGGCGGCTGGCTATCGAACGAAATCTGCACGCCAGGCCAGACATAGTGCTCTCCCTCGGCACTGGCCAGTCGAAGGACCAGCCCGCACCCGAAGACTGGGCCAGGGACTTTGGAAGCTCCGAACACATCAACATCACTGCAAAGGTATTGCACCAGCGTCAGAAGCTCTCCTTGTTGCCAATGTTGTTCACTATAGTCAAGCACCAGTTGAAGATGAACCTGGATTGCGAGAAGCGATTTGAGCAAGTGCGTCAGGAGTCACCAAGGATTCAGAATTGAGTCGAAGGCTCCATCGTCTTAATCCCTACCTTGGACAGGAGCCACCACTTCTGGACGCTGTCGACAAGGTCGATCTGATGCTGAACAACACGCGTGGTTGGACTCAGCGCGAAGAGGCAAAAGCCCAGATCCATGACATCGCCTGCAAGTTGGTGGCGAGTAGTTTCTACTTTCAACGGATTGGTGGGCCAGGCAAAGCCCAGGGTCGAGGATCGCCGATCCAACTCCGAGGGACCATCAAGTGCCGTCTTACCAATACCTCCGAGGTGATGGCTCTGGGCAGGTTTTTCGCAAAGTGCTCTCCGGCTCCGACATTCGTATTGATCAACTACGCGAGCACGGACCAGGAAGTCATCATCCCAGTCGACGTTATGGAATCTCAGGGTCATTTTGGCGGAGTGGAAGTGAGACTTACGATACCCGGCGAGGATGCAGTTGCAAGTATCGAGTTGAAGCTTGAACGGCCAGATGTTAAGAATCGGCGTCTGTTCCGCTTGAGTGGATTTCCTAGGAAACTGGTTAAGGAAGATTACAGCTCGTCTATCTAGGTAGAATTTCCCAAAAGCCGATACAAACTTCCCTTGCCAGCATCCACCTCTTTTCACTGCCTTACCCTATTGGCCATGGAGACAAATTGATACATCCTGAGGTTTCGTGCGGCTTTGTTGTGCTGACCAAAAGGGTTGCTTTGGAGCCCAGCGGATATCTCTAATGTGGGGGGATAGACACACCTTTATGGCAGATTGAGAAGTCGGGGCCTAATATCAAAGCAGACGCTTTGCAACATCTTTATCATCTAGCACATCGACGTCCGACTTGGGTATCACAACCGCCCAGTATGTTTGAGCAGGTGGGTCTTGGTGATGTGCAGAGTGATATATATTCGTGATTCCCCTGGTCATATGGCCTGACTGATGCATCAGTGCATGCTATTGATGCACGAAATAGTGGCCCAGACCACTAGTAATGCAGCTACCGCCCAGGCCTTGAAAGGCCCCCTGCCTAAGGCCATTGAAGAGGTTGAAACAGGTGCCGTTTGGGCTCGTAGCCGATGGGTAGTAGTAGATAGAAATCCGGCCAAAGCATAAAAGAACAGGCTCGGGGCATACTTCCCGAATTTCATAGCCTAGGTAATTTTGCCAAAGGGGTTCTCGATTTTTTTCCCAAGGTTTCGTGGTTTTGACTTTACATTGCGGCTTCATGTATTGAGAAACCACCTGTCATGTCCACAAGTGGTGTATGAATTTACACATCTGCAAATTTGTGCAAAGAATGAGTTTTACCCATCATCTCAGTCTCCCTGATACCTATCCAGGAAAGGTGGGGCGAAGATGCTTTAAAGGGCCACTAGTGGTAAATTATGAGGAGGCTTTGTTATGAAAGTGCAGAACGCCCCTGAACACGTCACCAGGGTACTATAATCAGCTCAAAACCGTAAATTGGGGACTACAATTAGTTCTATAAGGTGTTCTCGTTCTCGTCATATACACTTTCGGGATTGAGTTAATGATTTGAACTATGGATACCATTCAATTGACATCTGGGCCTTGCCGTACAGATCAACAACAATTTGCGCTCCGTTGGATCCAAATACAACAAGTGAAAAAAACAGCCCATGGAGCATCGAGAACTTTGAAACTTCCCAATTTATATGCCTATTCCTCAAGCAGACACAACTTTGTTGATGGCATCCACAACACCTTGCGTCGCAGTGAAGTTGGGGCAGTGACCAGACTCTACCGTGAAAGTCTGAACCTTACGGCCCGTGGCCTTCTCCACACCCTCGACCATGCTCTGCTGCTCAGGAGTTGGGACCGATAGATCAGTGGTAGTGTGAATGTAAGCCACTGGAATCTCCCTCCAGGCAGTCTTCTCGATAGGCTGCATCATGCCCTTTCCGTGCCAACGGCACAGAGTCTTCACATATGCTTCAATCTCAGGCTCTTCAATGCCAGGAGCCCTAAGGCCCATGGTCAAGGGGGCATCGCGCAGCACAATAGTATGATCCTCGGCCATGTCAAATACCAGGGGGACATTTTCCATCTTGCCAAACTCCTTGAACTTATCAAAAGTTGACATTCCCTCTGGAAGGGCATACCCAACCATGTAAATTAAGTTGGAGACGCCCCCTTTCAAACCTTGAGAGGACCGAGCTTCAGTTCCAAGACCACATAGGGCATTGGACATCACCTGAGCGCCGTAAGAGTGACCGATAGCCACAACAGTGCGTCCAGCTCGAACAAGGCTCTCGACGTAGCTGCGAACCAAGGCTGTGTCATCCGTCAAGTCGGCATTGGGGGGACGAGCTTCATTGCAAGTGGGAAGACGTGGCACATGGACCTCGAAGCCGGATGCCTCAAGAGTAGAGGCGAGCTTTCCGTAGCTGGCCGGCGTGTGAAAGGCGCCACCGATGATGAGAAGGGTAGGCTTGCTGTTGGCAGTCATTGTGGAAGGTATTTTCGGGTTTCCGATTATGATGTGGGAAGGTATTGATGTTAATAGGGAGAAGGATGCTGTGACTTCTGTGGGATGCCCGATTAAAGCAAGCAGTTGCCTCAGAAGTGGTGCAATTGTGTCAAAGTGAAGAAGTATGTGTTTGAAGTCTGGTTTCCGTCCAGCACACCTGAGCAGCTAGCCCCTTACAAGCCAAGAGAAAGGCCTGCTATTTATCAGTCTAGAGTAGCAAAACGCGAAGAAATCACATTCGGCACGGCGGGTTTTAATACTCCATCCCTCCACCTGTCTTGTTTGCAAAAGTGACGAATGCATCGGGGTCACAGCTGTAGAGCCGCGGAGAACAGGGCTGCAACGAAGAACCAACACTCATTCCAACGTTGCAGTGCGTCCAATGGTCTACTGCAGGTGTTGGTGAATGTGCGAATGTCCGTCTAGTTTGTCAGTCTAATAGCGCCCCCACCTTGCATATCCACATGTCCGAATCAAGTGCGTTTTCAGGCCACAACCTATCCAAATAGCGCCTCTCGGTTGATCTTCCTCAGTGCTGTGCCGCAGCTGTGCCACCGGCGGCATGCCGAAGAAAAACTCTGTCCGCGCGAGCATCCAACTCCTGCATGGTCGCCTAACAGTGGGGAGAAGCTAATGGCGGGCGCTTAAAAGCATATTACAAGTATCCGGTATATTAGTAGTTGGGTCGGTGACGACTAGCGAAAACACTGTGTTGTATGTTTTGTCTTTTTTTCTTACCGTTTCGTTCTCGATTACAGTCTCCTCAGACCTCCTAGCCGCCGTAAGCAGTGTCGTACGAGTCATAATATTGTGATAGGTTGGTCTTCACTTTAGGACTTGGATGCATGTGGTGAGGGTCTTCCAGTGATGGAGTGGATGAATCATCTAATCCCTTTGAACAAGTATAACGAAAACTGACTGTCAGTTGATTGCAAACAGCACTCTCATCTTGACGGACTTCTCTTTGGACATTTGCGCCAGGGCTCCAAATTCTTTTTAGTAGAGCCAACTTCACTGATCCTAATGTATAGGCCCAGAATACTCGGACGGCCCCGAGTCTCTTGACATGTCTAGGGAACTGTTTAGGGTACCGACTCAATGGTTTGAGCGCCGCCTTCGTGCTTTGAATAAGCTTGCTCCTCATCCGGCTCCTCAGTGGGAGAAATACCAGCACTGAGGCACTCCTGCATCTTCCTTGCGCGGCTAACGGGGTTGCCGCCTTCAGCGAAGATGTGGTCAATGTCTTCCAGTCGCAAGTTACTGGTCTCAGCTGAGAAACTGTTAGTGTACGCATCGAGGATGCAGGACAGAGTTATACTAACGATAGAAGAAGTAGATGCAGGTGACGGAGATGAAGTTGCGGCCATGAAGATGAGATAAGCCTTCCACTGCAACCTGTTGAGTATGACAGGGCTGATCATAGCGATGGTGAAGTTCCACAGCTAGTTGCTGCTGACACCGATGGCAGTACCGCGAGTACGAGCCTGCAGAGGAAGAATTTCAGGTACGAATACCCATGGAACACAGTTGACGCTTGTAATAAAGTAAGCTAGCCGTTTCCAAGTGTGCATAGGAAGGGCTACTTACGACGCGCCGAATGCGAGCAAGTACAGGAAGAAGAAGGCCACGGAAGCCGCCGCAAAGTTAGTTCCGCGAGTGGTCGCGCCGCCATCAGACTGGGACAGGAGAGCAGCGATGAAAAGCATGCAAACGCCAAGCGAGCCACAGCCCCACTCCGTGATGTTCACCAGTTGTATATTACATAATGAGAGACAACATACCACCATAGTCTTGCGGCGACCCATATGATCAAGTGTCAATGATGGCCAGATACCGCCAATGACGAACATGCAAACAGCGAAACCGGGAATGATCAAAGCGGTGCGGTGTGATAATCCGACGCTGTTCTGGAGAATCGATGGCAAGTAGTAGACCACGAGAACGATAAGTCTACGAAGTTTAGATTTCTGTACGATTGTATTGAAGGTGCTAATTGTTCGGATCTGGGAATCGTTCAGAGGCTTCTCAGGCATGTCTTTCTTGTTCTAGATTTGGTTGGCTAAGCCTCAACAGCTCCTACTAGAACTCAGCGAAGAATAATAGGTGCCAAGTTGCACCGGGCTCTTATGACAAGACCGTCGAGCTTTGGGACACGGCCACAGGCAAGTGTCATCACAACCTGGAGAGCCACAACGACTGCATTTCCTCGCTAACCTTTCCTGCTGACGAGAACCACTTTCAAGCCTCAAACGACGAGACTATCAAGTTCTGGGAAACAGCCTCAGGCCGGGGTTAGCGGACAGTGGAGGGTCAAGTCGCTTTGGGCCACAGCACCTCAGAGAATTTGTTTGAGGTGAGAGCCCGGAAATCAAGTCAGGTGCGCATTTTCTAGGTCTATGTAAATCCACGGGATGGAGAGTGGCTTCAGATTGACTCTCAAAACCTATTGTGGCTACCTTCGGACTATCGGGCGGCATGTAGTCCGGTGGAGGGAGGAAGAATTGCAATCGGTTGTGAGTCAGGCCGTGTCTTGCTCTTACAGGGGCCGCCCTAGCTGAAGCATTCCAAGAAATGCGATTGCTCGTGTCTGTGTACGCCTTGATGAAACAATCTTGAAAAGCTTGTGTTCCCGGGTGCGCATCGTCCCTTCGCAAATCATTGACAGACTTTGAGTTCGTGCTTGGCTCTCTCTTTCTCTCACGCGATCGACTCACTTACAAACACTGAACCTAGGCTTGCCGTGTTCAAAAACATTATTTGTATGTGTGATGTCTGTCTCATTACTTCGGTACTGTACATCTCCGAGTCCAGCTAGGTGGGCATATCCCTCCCACGACCGTAGATACGGTTTCAACCCTGCATTACTTTTCTTGAACCGCTCATATGAAGCTCAAACAGAAGTAGCATTCATCAGCCGCGCAACTAAGCCATCGACTAGGTCACTGGTGATTTTGGTGGGCGACGTCTGAAACCCCTCCCCGAATGGGAAACGCTCCTGCTCGAAGATAGTTTCCATGAACACAGTGCTCGTCTGCGGGTTTTGAAAATCATTTCCGAGCGTTCCAAGGATGAAGGCAGATTCTGCAAATGAAGTCTTGACTTGGGCCGGAGTCAGAGAGAAGTCAGGATTGGCTGCCGTCGCAGCCGTAAGTCTGTCCTTGTGGGCAGCAGCCATGGTCTTGACATCGATCGTCGGGCCGGTGAAGTGGGCCTTGACTGTATTCCAGATGCTGGGATTGAAACTGTTGGCATTGCCAGTCACAGCGTCGGCGCGGGACAGGCTGCCGTCGTGCTCGATTACATTGTGTGCCTTCATGTCTTCGAGATTAACCGTGCCGGCGACACCTGTGGTCGAGATGTTGAAGGTCGGTTTGGCGAGCGAGATTGTCACGGCCTCATCGATGTTGAGTGCCTGGGTGAAGGCGAAGTTGAGTTGGTCCTGGCTGATATTCCTGCCATCGCGGGGTAGGAAACCATGGTTTGAGAGGGAGTTGAGCACCGGACAAGGCGAACGGCTGGCGTTGGCGGCGGCCGGTTTGAATGGAAAATTGGCGTTCTGGTTCCCAATACATAAAAGAGGGGCGGCGCAGACCAGGCTGCTCACGAAGGATAAAACGAAAAGATTGGACATGTCCACCATTTTACTGCATCAAGTGCTACGTGCTGCTATTTGGCGGAGCGGAAAATATTGCAAAGAGGGAAAGGACAAGAAGAAAGAGCAGAGTATCACAAGGAGAAATAAATAAAGAAAGAGAGCTTGATGATTAGGCCTCTTGTAACTAATGCGTTGACCCAGCAGGAATTATATCAAGGAGAGGTAAGCTGACGTGAGAGTCGCAAGACTGCAAGGGGTCTTCTATTCCCATACAAGTCTGTGCGATGTTACATTCTAGACTGTTAGTTCCTGTCTTTCCCCTTTATTTGACACAGGTGGGATTGTCTATGTCAGCAGTTGTATAGATCTGCTGTCATTCGTAGAAAGTGGGTGTATGAGAATTGAGATTAGCTTCATTATGGCATCCGGACGGTTCGGGAACAGAGAGTCTATTTCAAATGCTTTTCTTTCACCGATCTCGATAGCCTTGCCAAGTGTTTTGGGGACTCGTTTGAAGCTGGGAGAGCATAGCATGAGGTATGAAGGAGGGTGTACAAGTTTTCACCAAGCCGTTTTCTCAAACACATCCAGTTTTATCACGCGCACCCGTGGAGATCTATAGCGGCTAATGAGAGGAACGAACACCGTACCTCGCTTTCTACTGTTATACTCAGTATGAAGTCAATGCTCGGACCTCCTGGGAGAACCAGGCTAGAGATGACAATAACCGGACAACAGCAGCTTGTGTCTTGAATGCGAGGACATCCCCTCCCTGTCTGGAAAGATATCTGCGAGTGGGGGCTGTAGGTTCGATTCCTGGTACGGCCAATCTGGTACGACTGCTTCCCTTTTTTCCCGCGCAGGGGAGAGGGGAGGTAATGAAAGAGTAGGTGCGCGTGGGTGTAGCGCAGCCGGCAGGCGATTACTTGCATAAGCGCGTACAGCCCTCCAGGCCTTTGTCCACTTCGGCCCCGTGGCCCTTCGAAGGGCTCCCCTCTTGATAGAAGGTAGCACCAACTTAAGTTTAATTGACTCATTGTAAGCAGGTGCTCCTGACCGAGTCGACTACGAGTCGGTATTCGAGGAGGTCCCAGCTACGTTCACGGAGGCGGAACGCGCTACGTGGCTCAGCCAGCTCAAGGACGTTGCCGTCAGCAGTGATGCCTTTGTAAGTGATAGACGCCAGCGCAACAATATGCCTCTCGAGATGCAGACTCTAACTTGATCAATAGTTCCCCTTCGTCAACAACATCTACCGTGCAGCCCGCTCTGGCGCCAAGTACATTGCTGCGCCTGGAGGCAGCCAGAACGACTCGGCCGTCTACGAGACCTCCAAAAAGCTGGGCATCGTTTTCGTGGAGCAGAACATCCGCCTCTTCCACCACTAAGGGAGCCATGCTCCAGGTAGTAGACAATAAATACCGGGATTTTCCACGGGTCGAAGGAGAAAGATGATATGATAGAAAATATACAGCGCATCGCCGTGACCAAGAGCTGGACGGTGGATACTTTGAACAGCGTTACTGTCATGTGCCAGATGTCCAGATAATCGACAACTGGAATGTAGGTCCAAGAAAGACTAGATAGGAAAGGAGGCAAATAGAACACGCATTTTTCGAAAGCTTATCCGCGGAATATGCACAGGTAGAAGCTCGTGACAATGCATCATAACGTAGCATGTTTTGTGAAAGATCGGGCATGGATTGCCACTGAAAGGTCATCACGAAGCATGCATTCATTGCTCTATCTATGTTTGGAGTAAGATCTCTCACGATTTGCGTTTGTCTTTCCTGGACAAACTCAAAACTTCCCATCATGATCATCAAGTAGGTTTCATGCCCCAAAGAATCATATATCATGCAACGAACAGATACCGGTTCTACTTGGGAAGCCCTGCTCGTATGAGCAGCTTACAGCTTTTGCATAGCAGCCTGGGGTTGGCACAATCAGCATCAAGTTCATCCACATGCTTCTCGGTTGGCTACTCACGATATCGGTAGACTGGACGTAGTCCTCGAAGCCGGCAATCTCATCCTCGAGGTCCTGAAGAGAGATCTTCTCGTCCTCAACGACCAGGCTGATCTCCAGCTTTCTGACACCGTAACCGACGGGCACCAGCTTAGAGGCACCCCAAACCAGACCGTCCTTCTCAATGCCACGGACGGACGCCTCCAGGGCCTTCATGTCGGTCTCGTCATCTGCAGGGAGAAGAAGTCAGTATCAAACATACAAGCGGGTACAGAGCAGAGGAGATAGTTTGTGGTACGCACCCCAGGGCTTCACATCCATGACAACGACGGACTTGGCAGCAGCCCTGGGCTTGGCAGCCTTCTTCTCCTTGTAGGCAGCCACGCGCTCCTCGCGGATACGGGCGGTCTCGGCATCCTCCTCCTCGTCGTCACTGCCGAAAAGGTCGACGTCGTCATCCTCCTCCTCGGCGGCGGGCGCCTTGGCGGGGTTCAGAGTGGCTGCAACGACGTCGGGGCCGTAGACGGTGTAAGGCTTGGAGGCATCACCGGGCAGGGTCGCGAAGTCGGCCTCGTACGAGGCGATGTGCTTCCACCAGCGAGCGGCGTGGGGGTATTTGGCGGCGTCGGGACTCTCCTCCAGGGCCTTGAAGCAGGCAACATCGGCTTGGGAGGCGGCGTAACTGGAGCACGCAAGGTCAGTCTCCTGATCAGGGACCAGCTGCAAAGGGAATGACAGGGGGGCTGGTGGTAAAGAAATTTAGAGATGCACAGAATGCTTTGTTATGTCCTCATTCCCAGGTCCTTGAGTCTGCTCAGAAACACGGACCAATTGTTCTCATCATCAAAGGGCAGGAAGGGAATCGCGTCGAGTCTTTTCCTTTTCTTTCTCCCGCGATGCGAGATGAGGAGCAGCCGAGGCGGCAGAGCATGCCATCTACGTGGAAACTACAATCTGCCACCTCGCTAGAGAATATCCGGAGAGAGCACCTACCCGACGATGTAGGATCGAGTGGTCAACCAGCTGTTGAGGACTAAGTCAATGGTTAGCTGTCGATTACAGAGGTGCAGAGTGGTCGTTCGCAACACGATTGCTCGCGATGAAGTTGATAAATTTGCGCAACTATTTAGAGGAACTCACCAGTCAGACCAGCATCCTGGAGGAAGTCGGCGAAACCCATTTTGGCGAGGTAGAGAGAGACTCTGTTAAGGGTTTATCTGAACAAGAAGACTTTAGAGCCGAAGAAGCGTCGTTTCGCACGTTTACGCTGGATCCCAGAGCTCTTACATGTACCCTCTTTTTGAAAGGCTTCTGAGGTGAGGGGCAACTGGTGCACCCCACTTAGTCGGTTCGATAAAGAGAGTTTAGGCTTTCAAGGATCGACTCCGTTGATAGCAGTCTTGTGATGTAGGTTGTTATACTCGTAAAATTCCTTTAAAGAATTCACGGCTGCGCTAGGATTATGATCGTTCACCTGAAGCTGCTGTGTAAGGCTCGCAAAGACAATTACGTATCAAACGATATATAGTAGACATCACCTTATGAGTCATGCTACAACCGTGTCACGCCGTGTATGAGGACCCTGGCCGTCAATATGTCAGACTCTAATCACTACTGCACTGTAGATTGAAGGATTATGCAGCCTGATCCTGAATGATCCTGACCGTCCAACAGCAGTCTCCACTCCGCCCAGCGGACGGATTTAGTAAACCAACACTGCTCATCGCTTTGGGGGCCACAAGGGCACCACTTCGGACCTAGATCGGGGCTGTGGCCAATCAATGTCAGTATCTTGATTATAAATATTTGCTACTTATGTCTCTACCCTATTTTGCCCACGGTCCTTGTACCACCAGATGTCAAGCTACAAAGATCTACATCGCAAGCATTGCAGCCCCACCTCGTTGTTTTCCTCTTGATAGTTGTATTGCTAGAAACATCACTAAGAGGGCACCGTTTGTGTGAGTGCATTCTCATCATAGTCTTCCCCTTGCACGCAACGCAATTGGACTTCTTTTCCTGTACATTCGGTGGTGCTGTTGCAAATCAACGTCGACGGCACCTAAGTCGCTGTAGCCCTGTTTCCGTGAGCCAGCCAGAAGACCGTACTTTTCAACCAGGCTGTGAATAAGGAGAGGCCTCTAGTCAGGTCGCGTGCGGCAGTGTTTCCATTGGAGAGGGCCACGGAAATGAAGTTGTAGCCAGGAGGCGTTAACAAGAACAATGTCCAACAGAAACTCTAAGAAAAGAGCGTAGTGCCTGCTTCTGGTAACACGGTGATTCCATATTACGGTTTCTTTGGACTGATCCTCCTTTTTAAGCTTTACGAACTCCTTCTCTATACCATTGCGAAGGTGTGCGGTACCTGTAGTAGCAATATTGATAATTCGGAGGACGAGGAACAGTTGTGGGCATGAGAATATGCTGTCGAGAAAGACGTGGTATTCGCTAGACGGAAAAGACCGTAGTAGAATAACCACAACTTTTTGAGTGTTTTTGAGCTTTTTGAGTCCCTTCTCATAGTCCATGGTATCGTAAGGGAGGCGTTCACAGCAGCGATCGCGTTGATCTCGTAAGTAGGGAATGCCAACGGGCTCACGGTTGTTAATATGCCATCGCCACAAGAGAAAGAAGCCCGTGATGGCAACAACCCGAACGCGAAACCCTCAAGGAATAGGCTTGCCCTTGATAACCGTTGTTGTTGTTGTAGATCTGCCTGTGAAACGGACCATAGCTTTGTCTACTGTAACCTTGGTCCCTGGCATTATGAGGGATATCACTCGTTGCAAACGAGACATGATTTTCAAAGTTTGAAGGATGCAACATCCGCAACGATTTTCTTTTCACTATGGCGGGTTTGATTTCCACTTCGGAAGAGCGATTGGCGTTGAGGTCATGAGCATTCGAAGCATAGACGATGCAGAGTAGAGACAATGAGGTATACGAGCAGCATGGATATTTCAAGAAAGATACCTAGGTATGGCCAGTCTTTGTGGTTCAGTACAAATACTGGGTCCTTTTCCTGGACAATCACATGTCCACAAACTCATGAGCACCTGTGTGAGTACTACTAATGCGACACAGCCTCCCATTCTGCGACGGCAGCTCCTCATACCCCTCCGGCTTCCTCATCTCCCACTCGTCCCAGCCGGGACTCACCGCCGCCAGAAACAAGCTCCATGGATCCCTCGCCCTCTTGATCCCCAGCAATCTCTCATACTTATCCCCATAAAACGCCTGTTGCCAGTCAGGCTCCCCGGCATCCGCCTCATTGATATAGCTGCCAGCCCCAGGTGACACGTCAATAAAACCCTGAAAAAACCGACGGAAGCGCGCGTGGTTAGCCACCATATTCTCGAGAGGCGGCGTCGTCGACTCCGGGCCCTCCCACCCTTCGCCGTGCATCACCGTCCTGCGGAACGCCGGGTTGACGCCGCTGTCGCCTCCGGGCCATCCGGCGCGCTCGCTTGTCGGCGAGTAGTTGATCCCGTGAAAGACGTAGCCCCCGTCCTCGACGTAGATACGGATGGCCTCGTTGGTTCTGTCCAGCAGCGCCTGGTCTGCGAGGTTTTCCCGCGGAAACAGCCGCGATGCCATGCGCTGTTGCTCGACGAGGTCACCAGGTGGAGGGGCGGGGAGAGCGGGGGGAGGAGGTGTGGTGCTGTTAGGACGGGGCCCGCCGGCCACGGAGACGAGCGGCATGTTGATGTTGACGCCTACAGCACGCAGGTCGGCGACTAGGGCAGCCACGCGCGTCGTCGCGTCCGCAGCGCTCATGGCCGGGTAGCTGATGCTGGTTGTGAAGGTGAAATTGCGGGATACGTTCACGGTGGCTGCGGTGCCGTTGAAGACGGGGACGGGCCGGATGAAGTTGTAACCCTGACCGCCGTCATCGCACATCCCCGAGACGAAGGCGAAGTAGGTGCGGATGCCGCGCCAGAAGGAGGCGGGGGACGTGGCGGGCAGGGCGCCGCGTGCGGTCGTGGAGAAGGAGATGCTGGCCGAGGCGATGGGGATCGGGCTGTAGACTTTGATGATGGCAGAGGTGAGGACGCCATAGGTGCCTTTTGAGATGTTCTGTTAGTATATACAGATATTCATAATCGTCTGGCGGAGAACATGTGGACATTATCAGGGGTACTCACCCGCGCCACCTCCTCGCATAGCGTAGAATAAATCAGTATTCTGGTACGGATCTGCTGTCACGAACCGCCCGTCCGCCGTGACGACTTGAATCGACAGCACCTGGTCCGCGCCGAGCCCAAGGTACGACGTGTAAGCCGAGTGGCCGCCAGACGCGATGAAGCCACCTAGGGCTCCGACCGTCTGGCCTCCCGGCGCGATGATGGAGATTTCGTGCTGCGACGCGTAAGCTTTCAAGTCATAGCCCTGTAGGCCTGCGCTCATGCGCGCGGCCTTGCCGGTGTAGTTCCCGATTGTATAAGTGGGGAGCAGGGCGAATTCTTTGAGAGCGTGTGTCCAGATGGAGAGGGCGCCGCCGCCGGTGGAGCGGCCGAGGAAGTCGTGGCCTGTGTTTCTAAAGCCATGTAAGTCTGAGCTTTACCGGGTCTACTGTTGATATGGCATCGTACTGAGGACTCGCTTACTTGATCACAAGCCGTATGTTGGCGTTGCGGGCGAAGTTCACGGCGAGTTGGATGTGCTTCACCGTTGTTGCTTTGACGACGTAGGCAGGAAACCCGTCAAGTGTGCATGTGTCGTTAGGGTTGGACGTTGGTAGACAGGTGTTGCCTTCGACCCATTGAGGACCGATGGACACGGGATCGTTCATGCTTGATATATGTCAGTCTTTTTGAAGTGGAAGATCTGGTCTGAACCCCGGACTTCTCACTGGATGCTGGAATTGATCCATTGCTGCTGGATTTTAGTACATATCAGTGCATCATACTGCAGCCCGGCGTAGCATGGTGCAGGAATAGGAGTTGGCTTAATCAGAGCACCTCCTGAGGTTGCGTTGAAGTCTTGCCATTGTGCTTCTGAAGGCCAATCTGCGTCTCCGGGGTATGTCTTGCATTGTGCATGCGAGGGTTCCGGATTCAAAGTGTCACCGAAAGCAATGCTGGACTTGTTGAGGACATCTTCGCTCATCAATTGAACAGCTTCGAAAGGAAAGTTGTATGAAGAGGCGAAGCTCAGGAGTGCAATCAAGAAAACAAAGGACTGCTCCATTGCGACGGAAGTCTCTAGTCCTATCTACACAGTTCCACTTACTCAGACTGAGGATCGGGGACTGCTCGAATATATCTCTATCTACCTGTGACTGGTCGTTTTCAGTGCACTCAAGCGGATAACAGGATAGCGGGCTATAGGCCTGTACAGTCCGTCTACAATTGAAATACTCACAGGCTGGACGAGAATGCCAATAACACCACACCCTAAATAATTTCCGTAAATCAGTAAGCATACGATAACTGCCGCTGCAACACAACATCTACAGAGGCAAACACGATAAGTCATGCGACATCTCTCCTGAAGGCTCAGCCAGTTACTTTCCACATGCCAAGACCTGGAGGTTTACTATTCAGACAAAATGAGACTCAACAATGCAGTGTAACGGAAGCTATTGCTATTTACAAGGGTTCGCTCTGATGAAAGCTGACTTTGCATTGCATTTATCCGTGGCGAATGAGTCCTCGGTCAATTTATCATTGTTCTCCTCATGCAAGGTGATCTTCGAAGCCTGCGAACCAAACCTGGTAGCATTGCAACCTGCTGGGCCATCACGAGACGGTACGGTGCGCTGATAGGGAACCATTTCAAAGCATTTGATAATGATTGGAAAGAGTTTATACCTATTTTGACATGAACTGTTCTCATCTACTGATCTTCGCTACCGATTTACACTCAGCACCATCCTTCTGTTAGGAATTGGCAATTGGTGTATTTAGCAGACGGATAAATCGTCCGATTTCACAACCGCTCACTGGAAATAGGTTGTGTGTCCAAAACATCGAAACATGCTGTTTAGTGTGCAAAGTCTGTCCCAGGCTGTTGGTATGCTGCTACGTGGAGGGATAGCCCCTGTCGTGGAGGCCGACCCCAACTGAGGACCGTTGCCGGGTCCACGAGCGGTCACAGATAAGTGGGGGTCCGTCTTTTGATTAGAGCTAATATTAGTACATGACTACTGAGCACTGGCAATTGTGTCTGGCTAGAGATTGAGCATGGATTAAGACAACGCTGCTCTAGCTAAGTTACCTGCTGAGTGCGAGCCTTTATTGCACAGTTTATAGTATCTTGCTAGGCCCGCACTCTCCACCGTGGCATATAGGCACGTCCAAATTGCGACAACAGGCTCTTGCCCATCTACATCATTCCAAACCCAGCATCCATAAATGCATCTCCAGTCGGCAAAATCGGCCACCCCGGCAATGGGAAGGGCCAGAACAGGGAGTTCTCTACCGAGCCACCCGAACTCGCCACTCCGGAGCTTGCTGGCGACGGCGCGACCGGCAAGGGTACCGAGTCAGCCCAAAATGCGACAAGGTCATTTGTGTTCATCCTGGAGGCGAAGTCTTGAGAGTTGTTTGTGGCTGGCTGTGAGTTGCTTCTATTAGAGTGCGCCTGGCTGGCCTCTGAGTATTGGCTCCACTGGCTGTTGGTATCCAGATCATATCTGGAGCTGCAGCTTAGAAGAGAGTCCGAGGACATCGTGCTCACAGTGCTGGCTGATAATAGCTCGTCGGATATTCCAAAGGTATGTGACGTGTCGCTTACACCAGAAATTAACGTTGGGCTGTCGAGGTCTGTATCTGCGCCGGAGAGATGGCTCAACGACGGAATATCGCCAGCTCCTGAGGAGAGCTGGTTGCCCCGGCGCAGCCAGTTTGCTATGGCCTCAACAGACCGACCGCTTCGCAAGTGACACAATACCTCCTTCCATTTCCTGCTGTGCGCGACGGTGTTGATGACCAGTTCGTTGGAGGCTTGCTGGCGACGTAGCTGCTCGATTGTTGCGCGGAGGTTCAGCTTCGACTGTCGCATATTGACCTTATAGTAGCATTCAGCGCCTTGTGTACTGCATCTGCGACATGGCTGCTGGCCATCGCACTATAGAGCAGAATAGTAAATGGTCAGTTTAGGAGGCCTAGATAGTCTACGCCACGATATTTGATTGAGGTGAGGTCGGCTTGAATAGAATGACAACAGTGGGACAGTACCTTTGCGCGCTTCTTCCGACATCTTGTACAGGCATGGGGAGTGCACACGCGCCGGACCCTTTGCCTCTTCTTACTGGCGGTCGCGCCAGAGAAGGACCTTGCAGGCGATGCCTTAGAAGTGTCGGTGGAGAGGCTCGAAATTGAGGCTCTCGAGGGCCTTGCGGTCTGTGCGGTGGACACAGAAGTTAAGCTGGAATCGTGTTGGTTGAAAGAGGGTGTATAATCGTCCATGCTGATTGTGCAGGCTTGTGCTTCTTGGACGCTATAGGGATGCATGCGGGCCTGAGTGGGTATTGGATAGCGTATCGAGCAGCCGCAAAAAAGAGGGGTTTGGGGTGTCATTCAATGGTTCGGAGAATCAAGTACAGATGCGATGGCGCGGGCTTCCAGAAGTTGTCCGGTTCCTCTTTTATGGCCGTCTTTACTGTGCGAGGGATGAGGGGTGCCAGCTGCCCAGCTGTAGGAATGGAGAAGCATGGGCGTATTATTTACTTCGATTGCGATAAGCTCGGGGCCGGTTCTGGTACGGGATTTGCTACCATGGGATTATGGGATTTCATTCGGGGAGTCGGGCTTTCTTGGTGCGATATTAGGATTTGGACGGTATGTCAACGTGGCCTGACAGTCTCGGCAGAATCCTATATGGCCTCCTACTTGCAAGCTGCTGGGAAGAGACCCTCCTTGTGATCATCATCAATTCTCCGCCAGCGTCGCTGTTTCTGTTGCAACCTTTCCTACTCATGTCGCAAGGCTTTGCTGTCTAGAACTCGACCAGTAATAATGGATCGGAAGAGGCCCTCCAGGGGTGGAGGCTCTACGCAGAAACCATGTAGTACTGTGTTGCTATGTCGCAAGCTGAAGCTGTGGATGGGACTTTGGTTCCTTCCAGTAGGGCGATGATTATTCACTTATAGCTAAGCGAAGCTAATCCAAAGTTAAAAGATAGTTCCTGCAGGTCTGGACTATCCAGTCAGCATGCAAAATAAACAGACCAGAACCCCAAATCCCCACCTAAACCTCAAAAACCCTTCAGATTAGAATCCAAGTTACACAACAACCAAATAATATGTTCTTGGTTCTAATGATATTGCAATATTCAGAATCAGAGTTCAATTTCAATAGTGTTAGAATTTCAGATAGATTCCATGGTTGCGGTCGGTGAATTGGTGGAAGTATTGTGAGACACTGATTCTGGTACTGAGGTGTGGTCGGTTCTCTTTTTGCATGCTGACTGCCATCCTACCCACAGCGCACGGCAACACGGGTCTCGGCAAGTTGAGGCTGAAGAAAGTTGCGGAGGACTAAAGTGGGAGGGTGGTGAACAATTCGCTAGCTCTCCGCAGTCCGGTAGTGGTCTGATGTCAAAGGAGCAATCGTGTCGACTGAGCGTTGTCACCTCCGTCACCAAAGTTGACGTGGACTGATGCAACAACTCGGTCTGTCGCTCCGGCGACGGTCTCCGAGGAGAAACACTCAAACGCAGGTTCGTCAGGGGAACCTCGTCATGCTGAATTCCATGCTTGCAACCCCAAGACGACGACAGAGTCTCATCAAACAACTGGTGGCACCGTCTATCGACCATGTCACATGAAAGTTAATAACAAGGGAACATTCCGCCAAAGAGCAAGGGGGTTGTGGAGGGCCATCCTCACATTGTCGAGGCTGTTCAAAGGAGAGCCATCCAAACCCGCGATTTTGCTGCTATTGCGTTGGTACGCATCCTGTACAAGATCAACTATGACTTTACAAGAGAGTTTTCCTGCTCGCTAAACTTCTTTCGAACATCAACCTGCTCAGCATGAAGACCTATGGTGGATCTGAAGTTTATGACGCCCTTGTGGAATTAATTATACAGGGTATGCTGGTTTGCAAGGCTGGATAGATGTAGTCAAACTGGTGATTATTCCAGAGAGCCACACCCCCCCCCCCCTTCACCACGGTGTGCCAGCTTATATCCGTGTTATACCCATGAATAGCAACAGTGGTGCGATACCCGAGTGAGGACGCACACAGGACAACCTTCCTCTTGGCCCAAAAGTGGTTGGCCAGTGTCGTACAACGTGTCGGCCCCAGATCCCGCCCTGACCCTGGTATTCCCGCCCCAATCCCCGCCCCAATCCCCGCCCCAATTCCCGCCCCAGATCCCGCCCACCCTCCTTTAGCAGCAACTCCTATACACCATTTCCGACCGCGTCACAACCACAATAGTGAGCCTTGCTTCTAAGATGCATATAGAGTTGGGTGGGCCGGATCAGGGGATTGGGCCAGATCTGCAGCAGGCACGTTGGTCAAAGGTTTTCCCTACACCCGCAGGTCCCTATAGAACGAAGCATCCCGATGTTGTTACATTCGTAATTGCGCTTACGATCACGTCAAATCATTCATTGATGCCGGATGGTTGGTTAAGCTTAGTGTATCGCACATGCCTAGTGTCTCAGCCTGAGCACCACCAACTCTATCCAATCCACCCAGGTGCCATATTTGCAGCTGCAAGCATCCGGCATTCCGGGCTGCCTGTGTTTTGGGCACCTCCGAGGGAGCAGGTCACATCGTTCCCAGCTACCTAGCCAGATATTGAATTGATGGAGACTGAGTCATTGCATCAGGCTCAAACTTTACACCGGATGCCACCCCGGGTGCGGCACCCGTGCCGAATCACCCACGCTCCATCCACGTCATAAAGGACTCATCGCCGCACTCCATCCACGTCGTAAAGAAATCATCGCAGCTCCCTCTCTCATTTTTCCCCCGGCACTCACTAACTGTGTTCAGCCAGATCAGCTCCGTGCGTTTTCGGCCCCGGGCTCGACCTGATCTTGAGACCATGGTAGGAGCTGATTGATCTTGCATAGTTCATGGTCAAAGGCCGGGTCATCGAGACCCGCGGGCATATCTCCGCGTGCCTCTATACCGGGAGCTTCGTTTCGCGGCATTCTCTCGCCAAGATAACGGTGTGCAACCGGGCCAACCTTCTAATGTCTCCCGCCAGCTGAGTAGGCTCGCTTCTCCGAAGCCATACTACCACGACTGTCTCGACAATTCTTCATGGGACCAGATACTTCTTCATGAGTACTCGCAGAAAACAGATCCTTGCGGATACTCACCTTGCTGGTTATATAAATTTCAGAAGATGACCTAATATTTTGAGGAGAGGGAGTAATTGTCCTCGACGCTGCCCGAATTCATTCTAACTTGACCGTCATCTCGTTGATCCCTCTCAAATTTAACTGATTCGATCAGAATTCTAGGTTTTTACTTACTGAAAGGAAGATTTGCACGGTCGCTTCAGATTCTCTTTCGTCGTGTCTAATGTATCTCAAGCCGGACTTTCTATCGATGGGCAATCGAATGATTTTTCTAGTGAACAACATATTAAGGAAGTGCGCTCACGCAGTCCGGATGAAACCTAAAATTATGGCCAAGAAGGAATTGTCCATATTTGGAGGTTCCTCAGAAGAACACGGCTCGCTCAGGGTCGTGGCCGATTCTCTTTGCCAAGACCTGTCCGCCAACAACCTCACAAGTACAGTCCCATCCACAACATCAGCAGCAATCGATGAAGATAAGGCAAGCTGCCAAGACGATAGAGCTATTGATACTGACAGCACTGATTGGGAGGATTCAATTGAGGGGGAGAATAGTAAGAGCGGTGTGGGTGAGACGATGTTATTCCAGCGCATCCCATTAAGACTCGACCCAGCCCCCCAACGTCAATCTCTCATCACTTTAGCCCTTCAGTCAATGCAGCATCATGGTCTCACGCCTCGATCTGGAAACATCGTCCCCAAATCGATCTCCACTGATGTACATCGTGAAAGGGCCCTCTTGTCTTCCATGACGGTCTCACCAAGCGAGTCAGATCAGGCACCTATAAGGCAAAAGCCTGGTGGAACTCCCACGCAGTCTCTGAAAGATGCTGTCCGCTCATCGGCGCAGCCTATCCCACTCACCAGTCACGATGTCAGCGAGCCTGTTATCTTTTCTCCAAGAACGACCCGCCGCAATATGGTAACCACTGAGCTCACCGAGTCGCTACTCCGCCAACTCCTCTGGGAGAAAATAGAAAAAACCTTAACCGCCAATGCCGTTCTCAAGCGTCGCTATACATATGGAGATGCAACTACTTTAGGCCAATATCCGCAACGATCCTATGCCACTAAAGACAGTAGCGATATTGATGCTTGCAGCTGGGATCAGGACTTTATTCGGGAGGCCTTCGCTGGATATCATAGTAGGGGCTGGTAGCCTTCACATACACCGTTTTCACGCATTCAATGTTCTATGACTTCGATGCCATTCAGAAGTGATATCCCCAAAGGTCAGGGTGCAGGTGACTTCACCTACTTACGACCAGTTACTCACAATGTATATTGGTCTTGGAGACTCCAAGCCGATCCTCTAAGTATCTAGCAGCAAGACCCGGTCTCACCAGGGGTCACCGTAGAATCATGTTCCACTAACGCATGAAACATATTTGGGGGCAGAATACACCTTAGCATTCACTTTGAGTACATCTCACTTCAATTTTGAATCACTTACAGCGTGACCGCAGGTCCACCACATACGGCCTGGGTGACCGGTGGGCACTACTAGGGATGGACCACTGGTAGATGGAGGTGTACCGTTGTGCGGCTGGAGCTTTCGTGAACTTACTTGCCTGAGGGTTAGGAATGAGCTGAAAATGTGCAGGGGTTTCTGGGGCTGGTTTCTTGAACTTATTCTTACAAACGGGGATACAACGTGGTCAGATCTCAACCTTGAGAGGAATGTCGAATGGTATCGCGACCCTGATATAATGTGTCAAGGCACTACAACAAATCTCCCGCGAAATCACAAATAGGAGAGGTCATGTTTATGGCTCACCTTGCTTAAAGGACCCCCCCAGTGCTTACTTAGTACTCTTCGCAGTGCATGGACAGCTGCCATCCGGTTTCGGTGAGAAAGTCAGTATTTGTGAGCGTCCAGGTTTTTGGTTGTCCGAATATTGCTGATTTTGACACCCTCAGTTTGCGTGTATACCCCTTTTCTCTTTCCAAAAGAAGAGTATTGAAAAGATATAAAATTGGGCAAAGCTTCCCTCAGCGAGTCTACAGGTCTTTGAAATAATACATCTGCGACCTCAAACCATGTTCGTTAATCGACTTTTCGTTATAGTCTTTCGTATTATTTTACCATCTAGTCCATCATAGCCTGGACAGGCCCGTCAGGCATGCGCATAGTCTAGGCAGCTGAATGTGGCTGCAGCCGCAGACATGTCAGCTGAGGAGGAAGTAACCCGACACCCGCATGTGGGCACCTAGCCTCGACACAACCAGCAGCGCAGATTATAAAGGCGATTATCTTGACGGCCCCTGCAATGACGATGCATCCTTATGAGCCCCTGGCGAAAGACGTATTTCGCCTCCTTACTATCATCAACAGGCAGGACCCCGTCATCCAGTGCACGCTATCCGCCTTCTCCCTCGACAGACCACCCGCGTACAGCGCACTGTCCTATACGTGGGGTAGCGCAGTCCCGGCCGATGGCCTGACGCCGGATCTAAATCGAACACTAGTGTGCAACGGAGGCGAGGCGCCCATCACCGCAAGCCTGGAACATGCCCTGCGCTCCGTGCCGCTCGCGTACGAGTGCATCTGGGCCGACGCCGTGTGCATCAACCAGCAGGACGTGGATGAACGGAGCGCCCAGGTCGCCCTCATGGGGAGGATCTACTCTCAGGCCAGCCAGGTGGTGGTCTGGCTCGGTCCCGCGGACGACTTCACACAGACGGCTTTTGACTTCATACGTGATTTTGCGGGCCGCATGCCCGATGAGGTGTATCATTTCAACGCGGTCCAGTCGAAGCCGTTCTTCTCAGACAGCGGCTTCTGGGGCAAGATAGGCCGCCCCGAGTGGAGTGCCGCCGAGAAGCATGCGCTTGTTTGGTTATTCATACGGAACTGGTTCAGCAGGGCATGGGTGATACAGGAGGTGGTCTTTGCAAGTGACGCCGTGGTGTTTTGTGGCTCGCACTCGGCGCCCTGGCAGGCCTTCTCTGTGGTCTCGGCTTTCTTTACACAGCGAGACCTTACGCGCATCGCCATGGAAGAAGTAGACGGTGCTAGGGAGTACTTGGCCATGCGCGGTGGATATTTCAGGGCCATCGGATCCGTCCCAAACAACATCGAGCTCTTGAAAGAGCAATGCGTAAACGCCACTAGTGGAATAAGCGAGGATAATAGGGACTACGAGTCGGCAATGGTTTTGGAGCGCATCATCTGGTCAACACGGAACGTGCAAGCCACCGAGCCCAAGGACAAGGTCTTCGCGCCCATCGCACTCCTCCTTCATTTGTTGCCCAGTGAAGAACTTACGGCCAGGCTTAAGCCGGACTACTCGAAGTCCGTGGCTGAAGTCTTCATCGAGGTGAGCTCGTATCTAATGCAACATTGCGACAAGCCCGGAAGAGCCTTCATGCTGTCCTTGGTCGGGGATACGACCCAGTCTCAAGTGGCAGGATTGCCTTCTTGGGTACCGGACTACAGTGCTCATACTCCTTCAAACATTGCCGCTCAGTTCGATCGCAAGTTCAACTGCATTGCTGGCCTTGATCTGGACAAGTACCTCGAATTTACTCCACGGAAGTCAAAATTGCGCATATGGGCGTCTCAATTTGACACCGTATTGGTACTGCTACCACCGCTCTTCCAGAAAGGCCGGGGCTCAGTTGCTGAGCTTCTACCGTGGCTTCATTTTGCGGCGGCCCTCCCGGACTTTGACGCCAGCGGAGAGCCAGCAATCTTGTCCATGATTCACTCCTTCACTGCGAATGGCACTCGAGAATACGATTGCAGAGCCGTGTATGACAAGTTTCGAGACATGCTTACCAAAGTCTTCTGCCTCTTGGTCAGTCGAAGCCAGATATCGGTCGATCAGTTACTCGCCCCAGTTTTGAGTGGGCTGCTTGATGACCTCGAGAGGCGTCGCATAACGGCTTTTCCAACCTGTGCCCAACTACGTGATGCAGTAAAAGACCCAGGAGCTGCCATGGAACCCGAAGATGAAGTTTTCAGGTTCATGAAAAACACAGATCGGCGACTTTTCCAGTCGACTCAAGGGTACCTTGGGATCATGCCAACAGCAGCTCAGACCGGCGATGAGATCTTCTTTGTGCCAGGGTCTACTGTGCCGTTCGTATTCAGGAAGACCAAGCAATCTGGTGAATATGAGTTGGTGGGTGAAGCTTACGTTCATGGTATCATGTACGGAGAGCTGTGGAGAGAAGGCCTACAACCTCAATGGCTATCTGTGACGCTTCTTTAGTGATCTCCAAGGGTAGTCGATAAATATTTTAACAGGATTGTTGAGCTCAAGATCTCCTCATTGAAGATGAGAGGAGAAGGAAGGGCTCATGCATCTTGGAAGGACACGAGATCTCCAACCGCTCCAACCAAGGACTTGATGTTGGCTTTATTGACACAAACGTAAACTTTGCATCCTCAAGATCTTTGGTGCCAATTTGAGAAGACTCCTGCAGCTATTATCTCACTCGTACTAAGGCCTCTAGTATGCGGACGACGGACGCCCGTCCCAATCCTAAAGTCACTTAACTAACAACGCTAAGAGCTTAATCGTTTTTCTGCCATCAAAGTAGCCAGTCCTCGGCAATATGTATCAAGCGTCTCCCGGGCAATCATGCAGTTTAACCACTTTGCTTTGGAGACCTAGATTCGCTGGCCTGTCTTCAAACTGTAATGCGTGTTTAGGAGCACTGTCTCGTACATTTGCGCCTACTTTGCCGACTGGAAGTACAAGAACGACATCAAGAGCAACTCCTGTTGATACAACGTCTTGCATACATTGCGTCTGCAGTATTCCAAAACCAATACACTGCTTGCAGAGAATCAAATCTGCCAGTTTTGCAAAGATTATAGGGCATTGCGCCACAGGTGCTAGCATGACCGCCTACATGGGATTAAGGTTGCCTGATTGGTTTACAGCTTGAGGGAGGGAAGAAGAGACGTTGCTAAGTATATCTCTACTTTAAGCACCTCTAACCATATGCTGTCCCAAATGACGAATATTGAAATAGAGAGCTTAACGAATGCATTGACAGACGAATGTGACAAATGCTAGGATGCACCCCCCGACCTGCCAAGCGACTGCCCAGTCATGGTAAATCAGCCATGTCATAGCGACTGAAAAGAATACAGCTGTGCTTGTAAACAGTGACAATGTCATCCTAGGATGGGATAATAGCCAGCCTTCTTTGATGAGAAGCCCTGGGAATGACAGGTCTCCAAGGTTAGGGCGATAGTGTTGGTCTAACTTTTGCAACAACATCCTTTGTCATGTCAGTCGCCTTACAAGGCCAACGTTGTATATTCGGCTCTCTTACAAGTGACTGATCAGCAGATATTGCTGATGCATTGACTCGTGCTCTTCCGCAAGAGCTGGATTACAGAACAATATGGAGAGGAATGGACGGTTTTGAAGGCGCGATAGACTTCTTCGAGCTCTGAGATTATCTTCGTATGGGCAAGTCCAACCAAGTTCGAGCTCACCCGCAGTCGATGGGCAGGCTAAGTCATGGCTCCACGTATAATCTGATTTGTCGAGCAGACACTCGAACTCGTCGGTGAAAAAGTCGGGATTAATATCTCCTAGTCGAGAGATTTCAGCTTTCGTGTCCTCAGGTCTGTACACCCCGATGAAAATCTCTGGTTGCTTAGGCACTTGCTTGACTCGCGGCATTTTACCGGCTATTTTGACCTAAATCACGTTTAGTAAGGGGTCATTATCAGCAATTAGGGGACATAGACGCACTTTGACGACAGACACACTCTTCACTCCATACCACGGAAGCCACGACCTCCAATTCATATTGTGCTGATTCCAAACACGTTGGGCCTCAGTCCACTGAGCTGTTGAGTCTGCCGAGTCACGGATATGAGCAGGTATGATGCGACAGCAGTCTTCTTCACCCCCGCACAGAAGGAGTGTTGAAGAATCTTGACTCATCAGGGAATCTAAAACCCTCTGCAACTGCTCTTTGCGCAGAGAATGTGACAATTTGGAAGAGGAGACCTCTTCATTCTGTCGCAGGACTCCATGTCCTTCGTTGTCTACACAATCAGTTCCGGTTGAAATAGCGGTCATTTCGACTGATCTGAACACGCGTCCTTGTGGGTTGGGCCGAACATTTAGGGTCGTTTCCTTGGATGCCCTTTCCTCCAGCTGCGCATCTGAGGAGAGATCATCTAGAGCGCGCTCTGGAAGCTGCGTCTGCGATGACTTGGGGAGTAAATTTCCTCTTGACAGCGCTAGCAAGGTGCAGGCACCCGATGGCATCGAAGACAGCTGTTTCTCGGGGTCATATTCGACATGTGGCCGCCTGGTAGCAACTGGACGCAGCGGGCGGATAAATGTCATATTCGTATAGGCTCTCAGGGAGTTCGGGTAGAACTGGTAGGAAGACACTGATAAGTGGACTAGGTCACTTTATTATATTTGACAGTGCGGGGTTGGTCTGCAAGTCAGGCTCCAAGGCAGGCCAAAGCAACATGCAGCCGAGTGATAGGTGAATTGATCATTGGCGACGTCACAGCGTAGTTGTCCTCTGTAGCCCTTATAAGCAGTCCTTAAGACCTTGTTAACCAAAAACTAGGCCTCCTGGTTTCACAGAAGTTGATCGCAAAATGTGGCTTGTATTTCCTGCCAGTTGAAGAGACATATTGCGGTTTGATTTGAAAGCCCTGCTTAACAAGTACGGTTAGAACGTGTTTTGCTGATTGTATCAAAATAAATACAGTATCTTTTATTAACGTCAACAGTGGACAATGAATTAACAGTTTATTGTTCCGTTCCAAAGTAACATATTTCCCATTTGTGGACTGAAGCATACAACACAGCTGCAAGTTCTCATGACACATGAGCTGGTATCGGCGATTCCGTTCCTATGATCCATGGTCAGTCATAAACGTCAATCTCAAAGTGACAGCTATTCAGGGTCTATTATACCGGTGATTCTAGATTGGCAGATTGTTGAAGGTTCTGAGGCCGCCTTACAATAAAACATCATTTTGATTCAGCCACTTGTGGCTGGCAGCTTCTTCCTTGCAATCCTTGACTGGCCAATTTCTGCTAGCCAGGGTTGGTTGGCTCTGGAATTATTCCGTTCCGGGCCGCCTTGTTAGGTACGATAAGCAGCCAAACCAAAGTCGGCAAGTAGTTCGTCCATGCTGACGCCCTCTCGCCACAAAATACTTGCACCGCCATTAACATCCCGCCCACCGGAGGCTTGCTTCTCTGCTTCACAACTGATCTCCGGTGTCTGTGTAGCCAGACCAGACAGAGTCGGGCGCGCAGTCAGTCCGTTATTCATCATGACTGAGACCAACAAATTCCACATCCGAGAAGTATGCCAGAACCCGACGGATGGCGACTTTATAGTCGCCGCGTTCGATTCAGCGCTGCCTCACTTGGCCTCAAGTGGGAGTGGTGACCAGTGGGGCTCAACACCATTTTCCGAGAGGGCCGACTATCGCCAGCGCATTCACGACAGCGTTCCACTGTCAGAAGCCTCCCGCCTTAATCAGGAGGCTAGCGAACATGGGAGGCTATTTATCGCCGAGGTAGAGACGGACAATGGATCGGACCTGCAAGGATTATCATCTCGGGTGGACGACCATGGAAATCGCTTCCTCTCGGTTGGAGCTGCCTTCGTGAGAGAAAATTGGTGGGCCGGCTATCTCAAAGCTCACAACAGCACCAAGCCAATCTACGAGAATGCCAAAACCGAGGGAACTTTCTGTTATGTCGAAATGTTGATATCGGATTTTCGAACAGGCACAGCACGGAAAGGGGCTGGTGCAGCGCTGCTCCAAAGAGCGAGGGCTTACTCGATTTCAAGAGGAGCCAAGGCGTTATACCTGGACTGTTGGGCTGGGAATGGCGGGACCCTTGTCAAGTATGTTCATCAAGCTGCAGTTGTGCTTCAATCCTGGCTAGGTAATTGTACTGACGCAGATCTAGATTCTATACTGGGCAAGGGTTCAACAAAGTTGCCGACTTTTCCATCGAGAGGCCTGACTCCGATGGATGGCCAGGAAGTCTTCTCAAGCTGGAACTTGGAACTTGAAATGCACTGACACAATAGTTTTGTTACATTGTAAGGCTCTACTTAAAGGCATAGATTCTGTACAATGACGACCTGCCGGGCCCAGAACCGCAGCTCAGTAGAGGCAACATCATTCAATAAGTACTTTATACTACGGCTTCTCACTAGACTTAAATAGCGAGGCCTTGCTCATTCCAACTACCACATCCTCGGCCGCTTTTTGACTGATGACGTGAGGTAATCAATTCGGGGCCAGCCAGGCTCGGCGATCTGTCACGCGCCGCAAGAGGGTGGTGGGGGCGCGAGACTGATCTTACATCCATCCGCCACAAAGTAATGTATTCAACAATCCGGGCGCATTTTGCTGACTACATACTGGCGCGTGATTGGCCACCGAATCCTTCTATAGACATCCTCCCTGAGCAACTAACTAAATAGGCAGTTGGGCTTGGTAGCGTAATGTGGCCTTTGCAAACTGTCTCCCCACACATTCTGTGATTCATCGGCATTGTCGCCAAGCGAGCAAACTAGTGTCTTGACTTATTGAAAAGCTTGCGGCAAGCATTTGGTACGTATAGCACCAGCTTAGAATATTATTGGGTCTTGCACCGCCGGTGAGCTGGCGTACTGCCGTGCCACTCTGCAAGGCACTGCCGGTCAGGAGGAAGGACATCTCATCTCATCGCCGATGAGCCGGCCTACTTCCGCGCCACATTGCAAGGCGCTGTCAGTAAGAAGGCAGAAAGTCTCATCTCATCACTGGTTGGTGTCACGAGCCCAGTCGTTGCCGTGTCGATATGTGTCCGGCTCAAGACTGGACGCTGTCTCCCTGGAACATCCTACGATGGGTCCAAGTATATATACCCGTGCATGGTGCCAGCTTGAGATTTCATTTGGCATTCATCATCCCATTCTACACACTTCATTGCATTTCCTTTCCAAGAAGAAACATCCCAATAATCATCAAACATGGCTGACGCCCCTCAAGAAACTCGGGTCCCCACCCCCATCTGCCACGAGGAGAAGGATAAGGCTGTTCACGAAGGGGCTGCTGCCGCCTCTGTCGAGGCCTTCAGCGTCAGTGCCGCTGCTGCACTGAGCGGTGACCAGTCGAAGGCGCTTAAGATCCACAACGATGGCCGAAAGACCAAGGGCTGCCCTGCATTGACCTGGGACGCCAGCTTGGCCCAACACGCACAGCAGTGGGCCAACCACCTGGCTCAGATTGACAAGATGCAACACTCTACTGGTGACCAGCGACCTGGTGAGGGCGAAAACCTGGCTTGGTGAGTTTAGCCTTCATATATGAGGCAATTACATACTGACATAGCCCCGAGGTATTCAAACTCTCCTCAGAACCCCCTATCGGGTGGCGCCCAAATGTGGATGGACGAGGCCAAGAACTACCATGGCGAGCCTATTGGACAAGGAGACTTCGGCAGCTACGGTCACTACAGTAAGATCTTTACATTTCCACCCCATTCTTCTCTCGCAGCATATAATAGGCTAACAGAGTCTACACAGCTCAATGCATGTGGAAGTCCACCACCAAGTTGGGAATGGCCAGTGCTAAGTCGGCTAAGGGCGGTACCTACATTGTCGGCCGTTACTCTCCCCCTGGTAACTGGAGTGGTCAGAAGCCCTACTAGAGGGTGTCTTATGGCGGTCTCTCATCCTCTCGAAGACAGCTTTTCTTCGTCATCCCTGTTCTTTCCTGAGTCTGCATTCATCGATTTGTTATTTACTCCACAATCCGTAGATCTATCCGAGATGTCGTGGTTAAATCAACTATTGCGTACTTAAATCTCACTAAAGCCTTCTGTGCTCACAGCATAGGTCGCCCCGGTCATAGACTAGGTTGGCCTAGTTCACGGTTTAAAAAACATGAATTCGTGAAATAAGACGGAGTTGGCGGCACTACGACGTAAAAGAGCAACAATGGATACATCAATAGACACGTGAAATTTTCAACAACCCTTTCCGATTCCGTTCGAGACAATGATCGCTTTAGTATCAGATGTTGGATATGGTATCTTTTTTCTTAAAAGCCAAGTGATTTATGAACAACATACACAACATCATGGCTCATAGGAACATGTTGATACGGAATCTTCTTATTCCACTGCAAATAGAGCGTAATGCATCTCGATATAAATTTCAACTTTGCGCAAGTTCGTTTTACGGTGTTATTTTGGCCTTTGCACCATGCCCCTGCTCGTATGAAGATCACAAGGCTCAACAATTAATGACGATCCTTCCCTTCCCTCGACTAACACAACTCAGCAACGTGGTTTCCTTCTGATCGTTATCCAGAGCGAGCCCTTGGTGTAAGACGTCGCCTTTGAAATATTCGACCATGCAAGTACCACAGTTACCCACCATACAAGATGACTCGATGTCAAACCCTGCTTCGTTGAGCACATCCAATAAAGACCTCTCTCCGAGGACTTGCAGAACTTGCCCTGTGGTTTTGATCTCGGCTTCAAAAGGGTCACCGGTACCAGTAGTTGACGCGCCAAAGTCTTCAAAGCACAGCTGGGACGTCGGGTACCGGAGTTTGTTAGTCAACTCACGGCATTCGTTCATCAAAGACGCCGGGCCGCAAGTGTAGATGAAAGTCTCCAGTCTGTCGTTGTTCTGCAGGCTTGATACGATGCTTCGAACACTGAGCCTGTTCCCTTCGGTCTTAACGTAAATAAAGGTTCGTTCACCCTCAGGAGGGAGACGGCTTGAGTACGCCATATCTTTCCGGCTGCGGACGGCGTAGTGAACCTCGATGTTTTCGCCCGCTAGCCAAAGTCTTCGGATCTCAGGCAAAAACGCTGTGATACCGATCCCGCCGATAATAAATATATGTCGTCTATGCTTACCCTGATCTTTCTTGCGGTCTGTATGTGACGCTTCATGGCCTTTGCTGGCCTGGATAACATCCCCGACCTTTAGCAGATCATGCAAATACGCCGAGCCGCCCCTAGAATTATCGTCCTTGGAAACCCCTAATTCGAATGACCTCATATCTCCCGCCACGATAGAATATGCCCTAGAGAATTGCCCATTCGGACCGAACTTGACTCGAACATGCGGGAATTTTCCAAGATGGAGCTCCTCATAACCCACGTCGGTTTCTGCTTCCTCAATCTTGAAACTTAGTCTTACGACTCTCGATGTAAGCATTTCCTTCTCGGTTACTCTGTAGCGCCGCCAAGCCAGATCAAGTCGATTCTTTCCGGGAATGCCATTCAGACGATTGCTCATACCTTCGACACCCATCTCCACCCGGTTTCTGAATAGCTTTGAGATCTCACCACCCAGCTCAGGCATGTGGCCCAATTCTGCATTAACCTCCATGTTGTCGACCTCGCGGTACAAAAAGTCCTGGACGCGGTGCAGTGACCACTGTGGGTACATGCGCTCGATGAAGACAAGCTCATCGCCCTCCTGGATGAATCCGGGCTTCAGGACACGGAAGTACCAGCCCGCCATCCCCGTGTCTTGCACTATCCTAGACATCTTCTTGTATTCGAATCGATGGTTCAGCTTGTAACATGGCTGGCGTGGCTCGCTGACTTGCACGATCACCTCGGCGCCGAGCCGGAACTTGTCGCCAATGCACACGTTTCCCTCGTTCAAGCCGCTGAACGACAAGTTCTCGCCGAAGCCACCGACGATGAATAGTTGATTTCTGTTCGGAACCAGATCGTTCCACTTCGCGTAATTGCTCTCGCAAAACACATGGAGCGCCTTGTCCACTCCGCCATGCAAGACATACTGCTGCTCGTCACCAACAAGTCCAAGTTCCGTCAACTCCACTCTGCCTTGTCGCCTGTGCTTATTGATGGCGGACCGAAGCTTGACACCGCCAAATGGCCGCACCTTGCCGGTACGCAAATTGAGAAGAACGTCTTTTTTTGGAGGGAGCGGAGCTACGAACTCGGGCTCCAGCATATGCGGGCTCATTGTATATGTAGAGTCCAATCACTGACAGTTACTCCTTTGGTGAGAAGAAAGACGGATGGCAGCTTAGGCCTTGAAAAGGAGAGTGCTCACAACTCTTGAGAGAAAGAGAGGAGGGATCTGTGGTAGTGATACATGCACTGCTAAGATAGCTTGACGGTAAGATCGAGCATTGAATGAATGTCAGGCACGAAGGAATATCGCTTCTGACCCAAAGTATTGGTTCATGTTCAGTAATGGCTGACAATAGGTCGGATGCCAAAGACGGCAACGTTACAGGCTGCAATGGGCTGGGAACCGGCGATTGAAGTAACGTACATCCGAAACGACTTCGGCCCGGGCCGGATATTAGGAGGCTGCTTCGGACGACCAGGAAGATGTCCACTTGTGTACTTTGCACCTCGGGATTTCTACAACCTTGCAAGCTGGTTCAAGAAGCTCACCCGCATCAGCAGGATAGCGGGAGTCACGCTTGGCCTTAGAGAATATATTTTACTTCACGTGCAGCACACTGGCAAGCTTTTCCCCACTTAACTTATCGGTGATCATGTTGTCCAAGATTTCCCCAAGCGCAATCACCACCATCCCGGACGTCGTCGCACCGATGGAGATGCTGGCCAGTCGTCCCGCGCGGCGCGGCCTGCACGTTGTGGACTACAACCCCTCCTGGGTAAACGACTTCTCGGACCTGGCATCCCGGATCCGCACCGCCCTCGGCTCCGCCGCCATCGACATCCACCACGTCGGATCCACCAGCGTTCCGGAGCTCTCGGCACGGTCTGTCATCGACATCGACCTCGTAGTCGCCGACCCCGCCGATGAAGACTCGTACGTGCCGGCGCTCGAGGCAGCCGGTTTCACGCTGTACTTTCGGCAGCCGTTGCATTATGGTCACCGCTTCCTCGGGTGCCAGACGCCTGATACGAATATCCACGTCTACGGCCCGGAATGTCCTGATGTTGCGCGCCATCTGATCTTCAGGGACTGGTTGAGAGAGCATCCCGAGGACAGGGACAAGTATGCTGCGGTGAAGAGGGAGGTGGCGGTTGTGGCGGAAGAGAAAGGCGAGACGGGCAATCAGTATGGAAAGAGGAAGGAGTGGGTCATCCAGGAGATCATGAATAGGGCCTTTGAAGCGAATGGGTTGTTGCCCACTGGTGGTGCTGTGAAGTCTACGTAGTGCGCCTAATAGAGTGTGGTTGGTGGAGCTAGATGTTCAACGCAACAAGTCGCAGCAAATTGACAAGTCACTAGGTGATGCGATTCGGAGACTGTCTTTGGAACGAGTCGACAAATAGACCACACACTTGAATGTGAATGATCTGGAACTCATCGTAGACCTACTTAAACACATTTGCCGAATAAGGCATGGTGCAAGCGAAGTCGACCAGCTCGTGCCCTTGGCAAAGGTTCTTCGATCAACACAAGGCTCTCATCAAATGTCCTGTAATCGACAATAGAACCAACTGTGGCAACAGAGAAAGGTAACATATCAAATTCCCCAACAGGTGGCGCGGTCGAGATGCTTCATTGTCCGTTTCATCCAACCTTTCCATATGTAGTGCGGAGATTATCCCGCTGCACGATAGCCCAATCCTTAGATTGCATGTACGCGGAGGTGTTTGTATGATGAACCTTAGACACAGTATCTGCAGCAGCAACATTGTCCAGTCAGCTCACAGTAAGCCCGGGAGGCTGAACAGTGAGTTCCTCAGAGTTGCTGGAATTTATTCCGACTGGCACTTCCTACAATAGTTTAATTCCCGTGTCACAAGTCTTCGGAAGACGCTGGTCACAGGTATTCGAGCGATGTGACATGATCACTAACGCCGCTGCACAACAAGCGGCGAACACGGTTTAAGAAGATCTCGTAAGCTCAGCTTCCTCGTGAACTTGGAGAGTAGCTAATACAAGATTCAATATTATACCCTAGAAAGAAACAATCATGCAAGATTGAATCGTTCTTGCCTAATGCCCTACACTGCGAATTGGCCATACTTTCTTATGAACCAAGGTGTATTTTGCCTGTTGATAAATATGATCGTTCCAGCTTAGTAGAAGAACCTGGAGATTAGAAATAGCCTATACAAAGCAAGACTTGAAAGTGCAATTGCGAAGCCCCTGCTGTCCTAACTATGGGGTAGCCCCCGGTGGATACCAAATTCGATGCACTCGATCTGAATGCCGGTGATGCTGTGTTACCTCGGGACGCATGTGTGATTGGTTCGTTGTCCTCATCGAATGTATGATAGCGGAGTCTTTCAAGCCTGGACCTGACGTTGGGCAAGAGCGTAATTAAAATCCCTCTTTCGATGCACACAGAGTCAAGGACTCGTGTCCCCATGATTCATCTTTTGTCACCAAACTTAACAAACTGTCTCCTCGTCGATCATGTCGTCCTCGCAGGATATCTCCCAGAGTCCAGTCGCCATGAGAGCTCCAGCGCTGTCGCCTCCTCAGATTTCTGAGGATCCTTTGGGGCTTTGCAGGACGTGCCTGGAGGCTCATGGGGCTGCGTTACGCGACGATGGTCCGGATTGGCAAGAGGTTGATGATGGAGACACGCCCCATATAGAGACCACGCGGGGTCCACTACTTAAGCACAAATTGCCTGCGGACACATGGCCTGACTTACCCGGTCTCCTCGATTCTGCCCAGGCGGGCTGCGGGTTTTGCGATTTTTTACGAGAGGCCATCCTGTCTCAGGACTTCAGAGACGTTTGGCACGACTTGACTGGAGAAAGAATCACAGAGGCTGGACGGGAATCGCTCGGTCTCGAGCTCCAATACGCGAGTCCATTGGATCTTGGCTACTGCAATCCTTCCGCCGGTCTAAAGTATTTGACTGTCAGCGTTGCGATCGGAAATAGCGATTTTAAGATCTACCTCGTCTTTCGGATAGAGGCTATTACTGGTAAGCAGCCTTACCTTAAAGCTCGGTCCATTTACACGACTGCTTACTTGTGACTTATCGTTATAGACTGTTCAGCGGTGACGAAATGGCTTGTCCTTCAGCCTAGACCTGTACGAAATCACGAAGACGACGCGATCATCTCCTTCCTGAAAACGGAATTGCACAAGCTCCCTGACGACGGCAATGGAGATTTTCTTCCCGAAAGGCTCATCGATGTGGGGACCAGCAGCTTGCGCCTTGTTGAAGGAAGCAACATTAACGCCAGCTCGGCAAAACAACAACAATATTCCGCTTTAAGCTATTGCTGGGGTCGCCGCGAACACGCAGAATTGCAGTCGAAAACCACGAGTAAGAACCTCAACCACCATCTTGAGAGGCTTGATTTCGACGCTCTGTCACCGGTCTTAAAGGACGCTATAATAATAACACGACGCCTTTCCATACCCTATCTCTGGGTGGACTCTCTCTGCATCCTTCAAGACAATATCCAGGAATGGCAAAGACAATGCAGCCATATGAATGATATATATGGCAAAGCACGCGTGACTCTTATTGCAGCGTCTTCAAGCACGTGCAAAGAAGGATTCCTCAATCCCACGAGACATGGGCTACGAATTCCTTATCAATCAGCACGCCGCCCTGGCATTAATGGCTCATTCATGACATGTTTCAGTCATGTGAGCAAAGACATACGAGGTCCTTTGCGTTACACAGACTTCTATCGAGATTTCGTCTACAGCCAATGGGCCCGCAGGGGCTGGACGTTCCAAGAAAACGCTATGGCCGGCGCACGTATCGTGTTTGGAAATACTGAGGTATACTTTGCTCGAGATCGTTCTTTCGCAACGAAGAATGGTTATATAGGCTCTGAGCCAGTTCCATCCTTGCAAAGCGATGACGAGTTGCATGAAGCGTGGGAAAAGGTCATAAGTCGCTACTCAATGTTCACCAAATCAGCCTTCACTGACCCGAAGGATGTTCTTCCGGCCTTGTCCGGCTTGGCAAGGCTTTTCGGGGACGTGTTAAAGGTGGACTACATCGCTGGGCACTGGGTGGACAGGCTTCACCATAGCTTGATGTGGGAGGACCAGTTTCTGTCCTCGATACACGATGCATCTCTAAACGCACTCTTGAAGCGTCATGGCCAAAAGCCGTACCTGATCCCCTCGTGGAGTAGTCTCGCACGCGGCATTGTGGGACTTGAATTCTGTATACCCTACGAAGACTGTAGGTCAGAAATCACTATCCTCGGCGTTGACCAGGAACTGGTCGGCGAGAATCCCTATGGTGAGATTGACAATGCTTACTTGACCTTGGAAGGGTATGTTCTGAATCTGGCCTCTCTATCTTGGTCTGAATCGTCAGTGAGTTTGGCGGGATCTGTGAGCGGTCGGATCGTTGAAGCAGATTGGACCATAGAAGATGAGTATTGGATCGATGAGGACAAAGTTTTGTTCGAGAAGGATGCCTTCGACCCTGAAGGATCACGAGACCTCTATTTTACGCTTTACGATGGCGCTTGCCCTAATGCATTCAGTGCATATCGGGAGTATGTAATGAGGCTGGATTTTCTGGTCGAATCGGGAGACCGCTCCCTGCTTGGAGTCATTAGAGCAGGCCTTGATCAGTTGATCTCGCGGGCAACGCTACTGCTTCTGGGATCTGAGGATATATATTCTGAAGATGAAAGTTCAGGGGTGTTGAAAGCGGGATACGGTCTGGTCTTGGTCCCCTTGGAAGGGGCATCGGAGCGCTCCTTCCTCCGCGTAGGCATCTTTCTGCCTTGGCGGAATGTCGTCGGACACTCAGACGATTTGCCGTGCCTGAAACGGCTGATGAAGAAGGAGAAAATCAAGATATACTGAGGACATAGAGAGAGCTCATTCTCGGAAGCAACAGACATGAGGGAACGCATGGTCCTGGAGGGAGCTGGCATGGGTCAGAAGCCACAGTGCGATCACAACACGGACATCAGGAGGGACCAATGGACAGCAGGGCCAGTGCGAGTTATACTTCGAGCCCCATGAGCTTCCTACAAATTCTTAATATTCCTGGTAGACTAGGATGTTATACGAGAATCTAAAAGAAACACCACCCATCTCCCTATTTCCATACATCGAGCATGTCTGGATATACAACCTCGAAGGATGCCTGGCCAATTTAGAAAATCATCCGGTGGGAGACTCGGATGTGCAAGAAGGACAGGTAGTGAACAAGGGACAACCGAAATGTGAGTAAGGAGTCGAAGATGACTATGTTCCGGTATTATATCAAATAAAACCAGTCATGATATGCTAACAAACAGACAGTCTTGTCGTAACTATGAGGCACTGCACGAAACAGGCATCTGAGAAAACGTTCTTACGACCAATCTCGCTTTAACCTTCATATCTAGCGCACCAAACACTTTTGATGGTTCGGTTATCCGAGCAGTCTGGAAATTGAGGCATGTTTGTTCAGAATTAGTTTGTAAGGGTGGACCCATCTCAAGACTTCTGCGTAACTCCATCGGCCTCCATGTACTCAGGCGCTACTGACGGCCACGATAAAATTGGTCTCCAGCTTTGATTAGAGGTCTGCCATTACCACCCGAATGTGCACGAGTGTTATTGTAAGCGAAAGGCCCCGGACGATGGGAAGATAACGAACAAGTCCAGTGCTTTTTCATGCCATTGTGATAACCGACGCATCATTGCAGTCATCTTGTCGGGGGTTTCCACTGTGCTAATGGGCGTGGGTGAGAACGACGAGACTAACGGGCACCGACCAGAAGACTCCGACTCGCAAGAGCCAGGACTTTCACTGACTTTCAAAGAGGGGGATATTATTGTGCATCCAGTGGGAACTGGGCACTCCAATATATCTGAAGAAGGCCAGTATCGATTTATATCTTTCTTCTCAGATGTAGGTATTGTGGACCACTTATATATCCCACTGTCTTCAAAGCCCTTTAGTCTTAAGAAATTACAGGGAGCCCCTCGTTGGGTGTCAGAGAACGGTGATAAAGGTTCTGGATATCGAAGCTGCGAGGATGCAGACCATCGCAGTCCCAATACCACAGGACCCTGTTGCTGGTGGGGATGCGTATCTGAAAAAGCTCTGGAGTATACCCCGAGATGCCTTTTTTTCTTCGTAGCGCGTAAAATAGACGTACGAAGAAGTGGTCATGTTATACGTGGCCGAGGCCGCAACACCGATTTGCAGTGCAGCATTTCCGCGCAGTCAGTGGCCGCCCGTGGCACAAGCGTGTCAAAGAAACAATGCAGAGATGTCAGCGTACATCAAAACTTGCATTCATGCATCTCCCTAGAAATCGGCCCTGATGACGAATAGAGGATGAAAGCCAGAAACAAACAAAAAAATGAAGAGAGAGGCACATACATGGCTACCAAGCATTGTTCGCAGTTCCAAAATCATCCGATTCTTCGAACGTGAATTTGTATTTCATCTCGTTTACCTACAGTATCCCTTGCTGGGGCCTCTAATGGCTCTCAAAGATCAGGCCGGCAGTCCAGAAACAACTGCCTTAATATCAAACATGGCTTCTGAGACTCCAGGCACTGCAGCAGGCTCGATGTACAATTCTTTATCAGGCCGAACCCCGGCATTGATGATAGGCGGCACATCTATCTCGTCCAAGAAGGCAGATAATTGACCCTTTCCCTGTTGCGCGACCGTCAATCCATTGCCGAGCCACGACATGCAATTGCCGTCAGCTTCCCGTCGTAATCCATACTGATAGTCCTCCCACCGCGGATTCTTCATCGCTTTCATGTAGTGCGCGGCCGATCCAGGCCAAACGACGGAGACACGTCCTTCGTCTTGGTCACCTTTGAAGAAGGAATTGCACTGCGGATATGGTGAGCTACGTTGAGTTCATATCGTAAAAGGGGTCTGAAGCTTACCTTGTACGTGAATACAGTTTTCTGGAAATACTTGTCGGCCTGGTCATTGAAATGCTGTAGTGCTTCCGAGCTATGAGGGGGTGAGCCAAAGTGACTTGAGCTCTCTTCTTAGTGGACACTCACGTGGGCTCCATCCAGCCGTAAGACTCCATTTGCAGCTTCAATATGCACTGTATGATATAATCCATAACCAATTCCAACGTGGGGATGAAGCTTCCAGAAGCAGGCGCGCTTGCAGGTCCGAGGAACATGAAATGGTTTGGCATATTAGGCACTGCGACTCCCATGTAGGCCTGTGGAAATGGTGTGTACATATCATCGAGGCTTACGCCATTTCTCCCGATGATGGGAGCCGTTGCGTTCTTGAAGGTACTGATCCTCAATAGCTCAGAGTATTTGGAGTAGCCTTCAATCTCTGAACGACGGGCTTCGTATGGGACTCTTACTAGTCAAAACCCGTGGCACAAATGATAGCGTCGACTTCATGATAGTTGCCTTGCTGGTCAAGAATGCTCTTTTCATCTACCTCTGCAACACTGCTTCCGATGAAAGTGACATTCTTCTGGAGAAGGGCCTCAAGATAGCCGGGGCCCGGAGTCAAGCGACGACAGCCCGGTGGAAATGGAGGACGTAAGGATTCGTAAATTTCAGGTTTCTCTGCAAGCTTGGCCTTCATAAACCTGTCGGTTGCCTCCCAGAATCGCTTTTGCGTCGCTGTTCCTCGGAATGTGACGATTTGACTTTGGTTCATCGCCGCCTCCAGTTTGTGGCGGTACTCAAGGTAGATACATGGGTTGTTTTCAAAGTTACGACGCTCCATTATCGAGTACTCTGTGGTATCAGGGTCAGTCACTTATACGATGACGACTTTGAGAGACTACTCGACAAGGAATGCTGCTCAAGCTTACCGAAGTTGCTGCCACCTCCAATATCCGCTCCGTAACCAACCGGGCTGATCCACGTCTTGCCCCTCATACAGTGAACTACATGTTTAGCCTTTGGTTGAATGTGCGGCAGGACCTGAATGCCTGTGGATCCAGCTCCGATCAGAGCAACCGTTTTGTCAGTCCAATCGAATTTCGGGTCAAAGTTTGCTGTATGCATGAGGCTGCCCTTGAAACTATGAAGGCCCTTGATATCCGGCCATTTCCATTTGTTCAGAAGACCAGTTCCCCTGATGAGGACATCTGCGGTATCGTCAAAGGCCTGCACCGCACAAGAAACTAATGTTAGCGATTTTATGGTATAGTATTGTGCATTGGTCTCATCTCACCATTCCCGACTGTGCGTCGAGGATCTTCATGTTCCACTGATGGGTGGCGTCGTTCCATGTCGCTCCCTGAAATACATGCTGGAACTTGACATATTTCGCGACGTCATAACGCCATGCGACATCCTTCAGGTACTCGTGGATCTCCGCGCCACCAGAGTAGAACATGGACCAATTTGGATTTGGGGCGAAGGTGTATTGGTAGCTATGAGATGGTACATCTATGCCCAGAGTTAAAGACTTAGTTGGGCCCGTCCCAGGTGGCGTGACGTACCACATCCGACTCCAGGATATCTAATGATCTATGTTGAGCATCATTCATTTCGCTTTCAAGTGTCGTGGGTGCGAGATGCCCACCTATTCTCAAGCCATGTACCTCCAAAATCAGCATTTTTCTCGTATATAGTCAGGTCGAGTTTCGACAGCCGTTGGGGAAGTCGAATGCCACACAAGATGCCCGAGAAGCCTGCACCGATGCATACCACCTTGATAGGCCGCACCTCATCGATTGCATTATCAAGAGAGGTATCGGCTACCGAGGCCATGACGAAATGGGTCAAAAGTTCAGGCAACGGAGCGCTTGACTACCTTCTCCTCATGTCTCCTTCCTTCTACCAAGACAAAATGTGGTCTATATAGAGATCAGTGAAATCCGGACAGTCAGGGATGAATTGCATCCCCGCGCCACATCATGGAAGGTAAACGCGCGATGGGTTCAAGCCAGACTTGCCTATTTAGAATCAAGGGAGTTTCGCCTAGCCTATCAGCCAATTGGGTCCCGTTCGGCGAGCTATCACAAACCCCTCCGGTATATTGGAACGTCCAGCACTTGTGATAAGCAACTTGGCATGATTCAGGTCCACTGCGGAGGCCGGGTCGGAACAGGTCCAGCGTAAGGTATTCGTAGGTACATGGGCGACGTGCCTCGTGCGCCATCTTCGTCGAAGGCCATTCGCTAGAAAATGATTAGCCACTGGAAGCTATCAAGAGTCGTGCATCCTCCAAGGCGCTACTTGCCTAATTCAGAGCTGAAGCGAGCTAGGCATGATGGGATGAGAAGCATCACGTATATAGTCTTCCAACGGTATTCAATTTGAAGAGACTAAATTACACGACATGGCCCTCAAATCAGAGTTCGATTTTTCACATCATAGGCACAGTTTACCTGACCATCTTCCAGCCCTCCTCCTTCGCCTCACCTTCTCTCCAAGACCAGTCTCGGCACTATGCAGTCCTCATCTTGTACAATTTTCTCTATGAAGATGGAACCAGCTGAATTTTGCTTCTCAGACGATTGGCTTTAATATCTCCATTGTCTACCCGATTGCGATACCAGACAAGCGCGAGCTTCAGGAGATGGAGCACGCCAACGGCGTTATCGTGTGTACAAATGCCCTGGACCTTGTCGGATATTGATCCAGTTGGGTAAGTCCCCGTCCGTGGTCGCGCAGCTAGGGCCGGGAATAACCCACAGTCTGGGTGCTGGGTAGACGGGTACCCGGGACCCGGTGGGACGCAACAGGGAGGTGGGGGTCCACGAGTGGCCCACGCGCTGGAGAGTGGGACGGAGCCCCGCCGCACTTGACGCTACTAGGAAATAGCACCTATATAAGCCAGGAGGCCCATTTGATTGATTGCGCGACGAAAGCTTGAAACGTTGAGAAGTAAAACGGCTTGGTCGTAGCTGCTAGACCATTATCCTCACATAGCCACAAGAGCAGACAGACAATGGCAATCCCAAAGCAGATCCCGAAGCGCATCGCCGTGATAGGCGGCACTGGTGAGATATTGAAAAGGCTTATGACGAGTTTGTCAGGCTCTTCCAGCTTATACGCCAAAGACATCCATCGTGGGCGACCCCTTTGATCAGAAGTCGTGGCACGGACCACAAGTCTCATCAGCGCAGTACGAGAAGATCTTGGCATTCGCTCGGTCTGCCCGCGATGAGGGAGCTACTATTCTTGCTGGTGGGAAGACTGCCGACAACAGACCTCTGGGTAAGGGCTACTACATCGAGCCCACACTTGTTGATGACAACAAACCATCTATGAAGGTGGACCGAGAAGAGACTTTCGGGCCATTTGGTGTTATATCAACGTTTTCCTCGGAGGATGCGGTCGTGGTATTAGCTAATGGTACTGAGTACGGACTTGCCGCTGCTCTGTTCACGGCCGATATTACGAGAGCGACCCGAGTGTCGCTTGCCCTACAAGCCGGAAATGTCTGGATTGACTCTAGCAACAACTCAGATTTTCGGGTCACATTTGACGGTCTAAAGCAGTCAGGTGTCGGCCGTGAGCTAGGTGAGGCTGCTTTGGAGGCATATTCCACCATCAAGGCCGTTCATGTTGCCTTAGTACTGGCCAAACCTGATATCTAGATGAAAGGCTACTTATAATAGCTTTCTCGTCTTATATATACTTAGTTGATCATTCCAATTCATGTTTGATATAATATTTCAGCGACTGAAATTCATCACAACATGCAGCTCTTGGCTATGAGGATAACCGCGCATTGACTATCTTGAGTTATCGTGTCCAATCTGCCGGCGATGGGCAATTCGAAGGAGAAGTGAGGACAATCCCAAGCTGTGCACATGCACATCTAGCAATACGAAGCTTGCCTGATGTGTTGTTCGTCAGAGAGAGCCACACGATCAGGAGTCTGAAGGAACTGCCTGGCTCAGATACAGTGAAGAGGGGCTCCAGGGATGCCACCTCATATCTGCGAGTCTGAGGGATGGACGCACATCTTTTCCTACGAAGAAATATGCCTCGACAGATGTCGGGCAACTTGCACGGTGATTAGGCCTGTATGCAGCACGCGACACGGGACTGTTTGGGTGGTCGTGGCGAGGGCCACCAGATAGCAATGCTGATAAGATACTCGTTATTGATAAGGGACTCGCTTATTCATCAGTGACGAGTGGCGCTCTTCGATAGAAGAAAACAATCTGGTCATATTATTTGGATGTCACATGCACACCAGTAAAACAATTTGATCCTTTTTGCAGGTACGTTGTCCGTAATAGAACATTCTCCAGAATTAATATATGACTCACAATCTCTTCACCCGATCATATTCATAATTCTCTACCTTCACCTTCTCGGCTTCTCTTACATGTGTTTGACTCGTCTCTTGATCCTCCTGGTCTACCTAAGTAGCTCTCGCCGCAAGCTTGAGTCCGCAGTGAGATAGCAAAAATCTTGAAGGGAATTGAATCCCCGGTTCAGTTTGGCTTCGTGACCAAAATTAAGGAAACCAGCTACGTGTTCATGGTCACACACGGGAGCTACATATGCAGACAGAGATCTTCGCGTCTGCCGATAATCTCCGTCAATCAAGTCACCCCCATATACATATATTTTGGCCATAAACCTCTTTCGTCTTCACTACATACTCACCGAGTAACTATACGTCTCTATGGAACATATGCTGTGGCGACGGCTGAGCTTCCTGACGGTGAACTTCTTCCTCCTCAGGTTCGCCACCTGGCCCTCCTCCACCCCGGATTTCGTCTGGGTCTTTTCCACTTGGGGCTTCTCCTGACGGTCCTCCGGCTTAGAAGGAGTCTGATTCTCCGAGACCAGGATTGTCTGGACTTCAGAAGAGCGGCGCCGCCACCAAGCATCCGCGGCTCTGAAAATTACGTCTGGGTATTTGAACAGATCGGGGTCGCCCTCGTCCCTGGCGAACCGGATTTGCTCAAACATCTGCTCATGGTGGTACTTCCATGCGTACTCATCAAACAGTGGCTCTAGCGTCTCCAGTTCGCTCACCGTGTCTTCGACAAGCCGGCGTGCCTCGTCCCTTAGCTTGCGCGCCTCCATCGCTTTCTCCTCGTCGTAGAAATGGATGGCGAGCTTCTGGACGTTCTTTAGATGGTAGTCCACCACTCTAGGAGCAGGTCGGGACCAGCCAAGGTCTCCCTGGTTCCAATGGCACGTGAGGTGCCTGAGAGGGATAACGTTGAACACTGCATCGTATGCCAGGTCTGCGCGGTTTTCGCGGTAGCTCAGGCACCTGAACTCCAGTATTTCGCGCATCACAGTAACCTCAAGCCTCACTTGATGCCAACCTCCAGGAAATGCTCGGTCGCGTATGTGCGGTCGGTTCTTGTCCATGTATGTCCAGAGACACTTCTGTGCGAGTTCACGGCCTCTTGTGAGAAGTCGGAAAAGAAGAAAATCGTCGACACGTACATTCTCCAGGGACGAGTTCAGCCAGTCGTCTTCCTCGAGCCGTGTCACCAGCGGGATCGCGTGTAGGTCAATCAAGTCCTTGTACCTGGCGTCTGACATGGTGTGAGGTGATCCCCAGAATGACAGGGGATGGAGCCAAGATTTGCTTTCCGGTCGCAGCTTTAAACTCCTCCACTTTGGAGGCTCGCCGGGTTGGAAAACCTCATCGTTCGCTCCCGGGCTATTAGAACCCTCGACGACCCAGCTTGGCGCAGTATTATTTGCCCATGCGTATGTACCGGAATCGTCAGGGTATCCTTCATCCCACGTAATGGGCCCTGGAGACTCATTTTCCCGGACTGTAGATGTTGAAGACTGATTGTCCCAGACTGTAGACGATGGGGCGGCGGGTTGGTAGGCCCAAGAATCGCCAGACACCTCATCTTCATGCTGAGATTCACCGCACTCGTCTGATGAAGCTTCGGTATGATTATGTATGGCGAGAGTGTTGAGATCGCCGCCCATATGCTGTGACGTGGTCGTTCCATCGTCTGAGGATGTGACTGACGGCTCCCTGGACCTTGCGTATTCGGCTGTGATGGACGTCGGCGTTCCTGGTGTGGATACGAAGCTGTATGGCATGAGACGTCAGCACGTATACATTTGATAGAAGTTATGAACAAGCCTGTCAAGTCTGATCCTTACCCTTTGTCACCCCAAGCAGACTCCACCACAGCTGAGTCAGTGGAATAAGGTGTAGCTACATCTGCCGATGGACTCTTTCGGTGCAGTCGGGCCAATTCTTCTTTCAAAAAGGAAATATCTTTGTCTCTCTGCGCAAGCTGCTTTATGACCTGCTCCAACATGATTCTCGTGACTGCGAGTTCGTTGCCTTCAGGCTGTTGGTGAGCCATGGTAAATTAGGGAGCGAAGTGGTGGAGTTGTGAGGCTGATGAGGATAATGAAGGTGATGATGTTGATGTCTGGATGCTGGTCATCAGCGGCTCCTTGCTGCTCATGATGGCTTCCAGGCTGAAGAATTCTGGGTAAAGAGAGCAGAAGTTTGAACAATGGTGGGTGGCATGTACATATATTTTGACACTTTAGGAGTGAAGTGGAAGCGCTATTTACTAGAATGTGAAATTCAATACAATAAACATTCACGTCCTCCATATGCAGAAGAAAAGTATGAGTTTCCGCAAGTGTAGAACCTCAAGTGACTCATTTGTGTACTAAGATAGTAAGTTCTTAACCATTGCATATTGTCTGAAATGAATGGTGTCCATAAGATGGCAACTCCTGTGATGCTGTCGTCACAAAATTGTGCGGAGCACAGCCTCTGGACTATCTTCACTAAGGAAATCTAAGTCCACTTCACTCACACAATTCTTGCACTTCACTGTGTTCCGGGCACTAATGTGGTAAGAGACTGTGGGGTTTGAGCAGTATATTATTGAAGAAGGGCCATCTGAGTGACTGATGGGCGATGTTAGCGTCTGAACTAGGTTCAGACAAGCGCAGAGCCTTGGTGTCTACCGCTAGTGCCGCTAGGGGGCTGCCATACCTAGCTTATATGAAGTACCAAGAAGTTATCGATTTTGTGTGATGGTAATTCATGGCAGAGAGTGCTGTTGTTGATGCTACTTATAAAATACGTGTGTAAAATCTGGCCAACTGCGACAAGTTTTCCTCGTGCCCGCGAGTCTTGACTCAATTGGATCACAGACCTCAATGCCCACACAGATCCATTTCCAACTTTTGTTTCCGCCGCGCCTATAGAGAACATCTAGCTTGAATAGCTCAGTCGGCGTCGTGATCTTGTCGCTGCCTCCAGTGCGCCCTGCCCGTTCGTCTCGATGAGCCACTCCGGCACATCATATGGGGTTTCGCATCCGTGGAGTTGCTGCCGCGCCCAGTCGACCTTGACTCTGGTGACCAGATCCGCGACGGCCTCAGAGCCTGGGCGACTGGAGGTGCTGTGGCGTCGCGTTGGAGGTGTTCTGGGGCAGCCGGCCAGGCTAACGGGCGGCGCGTACTTTTGCTTCCCGTAGCGGTGCTGCCATAACCAATCCTCCGCGATGCGATTTTGCCGATAACCTCTGGGACGTGCTCTAGCCCACGACGGCCTTCTTCTTCTCTCGCGTAAAACACAAGGTACCCAAATACGCTCTCGTGGTATTCTTTCCTGAGTACCCCGCGGAGGGCTCAAGGGAGGATGATGAGTGTCTCCAGACCCATGGTTTCGTCGAAAGTATTTTGTGCTGCCTATCGAAGCTCTAATTGTGAAAATGATAGTCGCAGATGCGATCCTGGGATGTTGAGTTGGTATTTTCGGGATTTCTGAGCGATTTTCGGATGCTTGTGTCGCTCTGGCGTATCGTGGGATAGTGGTCTCATTCTTCTTAAATCTAGAGCGGAGTCTAGTTTGGGAGGAAATCTGTGGTTTCGTCTTGAACTCCCGGGGCACATGCTGGCGGAGCCTTGCCACTTCGTCTTTCAGGACTGCGACGTCAGGCGTTGCCGCCGCAAGCTGCCGAATTGCCTCATCAAGCTTGCTTTTAGTGATACCTAGCTTGTGGGCCACAGGGTGGGCGATCTTAGCTATGTCAAGGGTTGGTAAGGAACCAATCCTTGATTATTATGGAGAGATCGTCTTAGTTGAGCACTCGATGTGGAAGCCCAGAAAAGTTTGGTTTGAGTGAGCTGGGCAAAAGCAATGTAGAGGGTGATACATTGCGATGAGGTTTAACTAAGTCCACCGTAAACATGGCAGAAGTGAAGTTGAATCGTTTATTCACGATCAAAGAGTTTCCCATGTGATCACTATTCACGTCCTGCATGTGCGCGGAGGACCACTTCCAGTGAATGTTTTCAAGTGAGATCTTTGATTGGCTTGATGATATAGTGTTTAGGTCATTTTGAGTCCCAATTCCTGTACTTTCAACTTAACTGTATCCACTACTGATGACTGATAAAGACCTGAGTAACACCGCAGTAGGTCCTCTAGAGTGAATGTTTGTGGGAGGAATGGGAATCGTGACTGACTTGCGGGAGTATCAATGATGTCTCTCGAATGCTCATTCTGATCCTGGCGTACTCGATAACGCCTGCAATTTCTTTTGAGATTGTCGACAGTATATGCTTAAAGATTTAAACCGTGAAAGGAACATTCCGCCCCTTTCAATATGGTCCAGCGTCATGTATAGGTTCTACTTAGCTACAGGCTCCCAAGACATGTTGACCCTGGGCTTAGCCTCCGTGGGACGCTGAGCTCAGACGCACATTCAGAGTAAGATGATAATGCAGTAATCTCTGCGCGAATAGTAACACAAGATCCGTCCCGCAAGCTAAATGAGTTCATGCACTGACCTATTCAATGATGTACAATAGTCCCTCGCGGCTGTCGTCTCTGAACAGTACCATGAGGGTGATGGACGCTCTGCTACGAAAGACATTTTATGCAGCTTAAGAACTGGGAGAGGGTTTTTAGTGAGCTACAGTGTATGATTGTAACAGCCTTCGTGACCTGTGGCTCACCAAATGTGCAGGCTTAGGCGAACAACGGGCCCAACTAGACAGTAAGATCTAAAAGCAGCAGCAGTCTAGCAGAAGCATTCTCATGAAGTCATTTGTCATCATATAGAATCAAAATGGATGCGGCAGCCATGGTTACAATCATCTTGGATGATGTGACAGACAGACAGACAGGGAAGCGAATGAAGTCGGAAAGCAGTTACAGTTGTAAATGGTGAGCATTTTATAGTGCATCAAAACCATTATACCGTAATCTTTCCCACTGGCTTGCCTGATGGCTATTTGAATACTGTTTGTGCACAGGTAGTCATGAGCCCGTAGGGCAGATTGGTAGCAAGCATGAGCTGGCAGCGGCTGAGGGAGAAACTAGGCTACGTTGAGTCCTTTACTCACAGTCAAGAGACATGCTCCTAGTGGCATGTGTTGAAACCGTTTATTGAATTCCTCCAGCTGATCATAAGGTGTTCACAATCTGGATCACAGTCATACCATTGTGAATTTAACAACCACATGGGCAGGCACAATTGATCTGAAGACTCGACGTCACCAGCAGTGAGTCAATAGAATGTTTTTTTCACTTTGATTTGATTCACTTCATTTTGGTCATGAAAACAAACAATTGTGATTAAGGTGAGGTACCAGGGATGCTAGCAGTGATATCATATCCTGGCTGACGTCATTGTCTCTACAACTGCTATGCTCCACATTGTTGTATTGTTGGTATGTGTTCATGGTGAATCCTAGTGGGCCAGTCATTGCCGAGAGCAATTTGGCAGTGGGAAGATGAGGTTTGAGGCTGAAGAGTTTTCAGGAATATCGCCTCCAGATGCACAAACACGTACGGATGTAGTCTAGCTAACGGTAGTAGAGTGAAATGCTAGCTGCAAGAGAGAACCGTGACATAAAGTGACGTTTCATTGCGTTTGCTTGTTGGCGCTCCTGGGCCGTGCACTGCCGAGACACCGAGCCGACCAACGGAGATGCAGGTCCGGAGAGACCGGAATAGCTCGGAGCTTAAAAATGGCTCTTGGCTGGGCTGGGCTGGCTGGCTTGGGGCTGGCTTGGGTATGGTGGGCGCTCACTCAGCGCAGCGCCCTGGAGTAACCTGGAGATGGTGTCTTGCCCCTCAGTTGTATGGAGAGCTGTCATAATTGAACACATTGTGGGGCATATCATCGAGTACTGTACAGTCTTGAGGGATATATCCTCGAATAGCCTGACAGGCTGGCAGGCTTGCAGGCTGGGCTCGACCAGCATTGACAGGCAAAAAGACCCTCAATGCTATAATACTCGCCGGAAATGGGAATCGGTGTTGCTGTCTCAGATCGGCAGAGGCTCTTGTCTGGCCCGTCTGTGCCGCCCAGACGCCTGCTTGACACTTGCCAGGGGAGCTCCGCCAGCCCCACGATAGACACCCCCACCCCCACCTCTTGCCCAGCTCTGGCTGCAGTGCTGCTTGTTCCTCCTGGCTGCCCCGATGTGATCACATGCAGCAATATGTGTTCCCAGCTTGCTGGTCCCAGTTCGGGCTGGGTGCTGACGGAGGTTGTATGCAGGGTGCGGCGGAAGCAGCGGGATTTCCGTTGCATATCGACACTATCCAGCCTCTCGACTTCATCCAAAACACTGTTTGTATGGTTGCACGTGTGTATGTTATTTATTATTGTTGAATATTCTCTTCTAGTTGTTAGTTCATGTGCCACCACATAGGAGCAGAGCTCGGCAGCAGACACGGATATGTCACAGCTGGACCTTTTTAGCTCCATTATGAAGTCAACTCTCCATTCCTAGTGGAGCACAGGGCCGACGCTTGAGGCTGCAGTGGACCGTCGGGTGGGCTTCAGTCAGGGCCATACATCAATGATGTCACTAGCTCCTAAACTCCCAGAGGAAGAATGGATGGTCCTCAGGAACCGACTAGGCTGAGTGGATGGGCCAGACTTGACCGGCAAAGGAAGAGGAGAGGCCAGGAATTAGGTGGGTTGTCAGGGGGAGGACAAGGAGCTGCCACGCTGCTAAGCAACAGTGTAGACCATTGACGAAAGAGGGAGCTGGGAAAGCTTCGAATCCTGGTTTCCCATCAAGGTCCTCTCTTGCTTGGTAACTTGGTAGACCTGGTCTGCCATGTATATTAGAGCCGGAAACCCCTCCTTTCAGTTTCCCATGTCTCACAGACTCCTACTCTTCTCACAACATCTCAACAATCCCATACAAAAGATACCCATACCACTTTTCCACCCCTCAAGACCATCACCAACAACACCACCAAGGCAGAATCCCGTAACCCACTTCCACACCACCACAACCGCCAGAATGCCTCAGCAACCCGCCGCCGCCTCCAGCCTGAAGGACCTCTTCTCCCTCAAGGGGAAGGTGGTCGTCGTCACCGGAGCCTCGGGCCCCAAGGGCATGGGCATTGAGGCTGCACGAGGATGCGCCGAGATGGGAGCCGACGTGGCCATCACATACGCCTCCCGCAAGGAGGGCGCCGAGAAGAACGTCGAGGAGCTGACCAAGGAGTACGGCACCAAGGTCAAGGCTTACAAGTGCAACGTGGGCGAGTACCAGCAGTGCGAGGATCTGGTGCAGTCGGTGCTCAAGGACTTTGGCCAGATTGACGCCTTCATCGCCAAGTATGTCATTCATTCCCCTCCTCGGAAAATTCACCTGTTTGCCATGAGTGAATGATATACTGACATTTTTTGTGTCATCAGCGCCGGCGCCACAGCCAACAGCGGCATCATCGACGGATCCAAGGAGGAGTGGGACCGTGTGATCAACACGGACCTGAACGGCACGGCGTACTGCGCCAAGGCGATCGGGCCGGTGTTCAAGAAGCAGGGTCACGGGTCGCTGGTGATCACGGCGTCCATGTCGGGCCACATCGCCAACTTCCCACAGGAGCAGACGTCGTACAACGTGGCCAAGGCCGGCTGCATCCACATGGCGCGGTCGCTGGCCAACGAGTGGCGCGACTTTGCCCGCGTCAACGCCATCTCGCCCGGCTACATCGACACCGGCCTCAGCGACTTTGTCGATAAGAAGGTCCAGAAGCTTTGGCACGACATGATCCCCATGGGCCGCGACGGCCTGGCCAAGGAGCTCAAGGGCGCCTATGTCTACCTTGTGTCTGATGCCAGTACCTACACCACTGGTGCCGACCTTGTCATTGACGGTGGCTACACCTGCCGGTAAATGTGCTGTCCGTCAGCATGGAGAGATGAGATTACATGAGAGGGGGATGCTTTGTTTTCCTGTATAAATAGCTAGGATACCAGGAATGATTGGAGAAGACGGCAGAAAGCGTGGATGAGATGATACGACATGACATAACCAAAATAAAAGCTATCAAATGAATCGCCTTGTCTTGTAAGCTCATGGTGATGAAGCAAGTGATGAAGCTCACGATCGGTTCAAATGTAGGCAGAGTCTGTTCTCAGTATAATGTGGCCATCTCAATTGATGCTATCTCAAGGGAGCCTCATGTCAGATGACACCGACAAGTGCAACGTCTGATAGCCTGTCCAATCCATCAACTTACCGAGCTGCTGGAAAGTTCAAGGACACGAGGGCAATGTCAAGATATGGTCACAGCAGGGCTGAATGAAGCTCAAGCTCGGTTCAGCTTGGGAGAGAGAAAATGGAGGGGTCATGGCCTTCACGATGGTGGGGTTGGCGGGGTAGCTCGAGTCAAAAAGTCGGCAGCGTTAACGTCACCGTTGCCGTCACTGTCAGTGTCTCCGTCATAGTCACCGTTACAAAACACAAACGGGAGCATCGCATCATCAACCCTTGCCACTTCAAGCTCAATTTCCTCCCAACAAGTGAAGCTTCCACCACCCATCAACCATTCCAATTGAGCCACGACAGCCCCTCCCAAAATTCACAGAGGCGGAGCAGACAACAAGTCACTCGCAGACCCTTGATGCCCCTTCGCCTTCGCCCCTCCTCGCTCGCGACCACCGTTTCTAGACGGCTCAACAACCTCAGCAACCACCTCCCCTCCCCGCCCTCGCGCCCCTTCACAATGACGACCAAGACGCAAGAACCCGTCATAACCTCCATCGACGACCTGCCCATCACCGAGTCGAAATGGGTCACCCTGAAAAAGATCTCCTACACCGACCAGACGGGCAAGGCGCGCACCTGGGAGGTCGCAACACGCAAGACCCGCTCCGAGAAAGCCGGCGTCGACGCCGTAGCAATGGGCAACATCCTACTCCCACCGCCCTCACAAAAAGCCACCCGGCCCGCCTCGACCCTGCTGGTGATCCAGTACCGCCCGCCGCTGGACGCATACACGGTGGAGTGGCCAGCGGGGCTGATCGACGCGAACGAGGAAGCCGAGACGGCGGCGGTGCGCGAGTTCCGCGAGGAGACGGGCTACGAGGTGTCGAAAGTGCTGAGCGTGAGCCCGCCGCAGGCGGCCGACCCGGGCATGACGAACGCCAACATGCAGCTCGTCATGGTCGAGGTGCAGCTGCCCGAGGGCGAGGAGATGCCCGAGCAGCGGCTCGAGGACGGCGAGCACATCACGCGTGTTGTGGTGCCGCTCTCCGAGCTGTACACGCGGCTGGTCGAGTACTCGCGTAAGGAGAGGCATGTTGTTGCTGCGAAGCTGTTGCATTTTGCGCAGGGCATGGAGTTTATGAAGGAGCAGAAGTACTTCTAGAGAGAGTAGAGGGGCATTCTCACCGAGTAGATTTGGTCGAGCATTGGAGTTGAGGATATGAAATGAATCATTTTGTTGATATTGGAGCCGGCTCGAATTCAGGCTCAGGTGCGGGTACAGGTACAAGCGACTTTGGTCTATCAACTTCCAAACTGAGATTTAAACAGAAGACGGTTTCTCCATTAGGATTCACTGCTACGACATACATATTGACAGCTGGTATATTCTGCAAACTACCGGCTTCTCTGCGGAAGGCTTTGCAACTTTTGGTCATGTTGAGCTTCTTGGTCTCGTGAGCACATATACGGAAGTCCAGCAGAAAGGGTTGACTCAGAGCATGGAGTCTCTATGTCTCTTCAGAAAGTGTTTAACCGTAGGTACATAGGCCATTCTAAAGTCTTTCTATCATGATATTAAGAGGTGAACACCTTTTGCCGCAAGAGTTTCATATGCACATGAACATTTAGGTACCTGACAAAGGCTCGATGTCCTCGGAAACAATACCCATAGCTTCGTCCGATCCCGTGAAAGTGACCAGCCACTTTTTTCCTGAATCTCTGGGCCGAAGCTCAACGTCGATATCCTCATCTGGAATAGGAAAGCCAGCCTGAATTGGCGAGTTCTTCCACGTGGGCTCAATCCATTCGCCCCCGACTGGCACAACATCGAACTGAAGCACCAACAGTGCAGCAAGAGCCATGATCTCGGTGCTTGCAAAATGACGGCCAGGACAGAGGACATGACCACCTCCAAAAGCCCGAAATGCCGTCCGATTGGGTTTCTTCTGGCCTGGCTTGTGAACAAAACGCGTATGATCGAATTGGTTGGCATCGCTACCCCAGGCTTCGGTATCCATGTGCTGTACAGGGGCTGGAATCATAAGCATGCTCCCCTTTTTGAGAAGAATGCGATCGTTGAGGAGGACTTCCTCGAGGACCACACGCGGCCCAGAGTTGACTGCACGGAAGCGCAGGGTTTCCTGGAAGGTGCTCAAGAGAATGGGACAGGATGTCCGGATGGTGGCCAAGTCAATACAATTGACACCATCTTGCTCTTTTACCATAGCCGATACCTCGCTCCGGATATCAGTCAGTACTCGGTCATCGGAGAAGATGTGGAAAAGCACCCATAGTGCACACGGCGTCGAGTTGCCGAGCACGGCGAATGTATTCCCCAGCTCCCCGCGGGCAAAGTCGTCCAGCCCGAGTCCAAACTGCTCTACATGATGCTCATAACGCTTGCGTACAAGCCCGGACGCTGTCTTGTATCCGCCCTTCCGCACGTAACCGATCATGGCTGCAGCTGCCAACTCGCGTGCGCGATAGAGCTTGGGAAAAAAGAGAGAAGCCAGGGGAAAGACAGACAGAGTCAAGAAGCCTGCTTCAAACGTCCTGTATATGCTGTCAGCAGAGCGTAGTTACAGACATCCTCGCAATCATCGTACTCACTTCCATGCTTCAGCGACCGCCGTGTCACGATAAGGATTCTCTGGTCCCCAAACGGCCTCTGTCGTAGACTTAACCATGATCTCTCGTGCCCACTCCCACAGACCAGTTTTGGTAGTCCCATTTGCCCTCAGTTTATCCATATCTTCGGCAAATACCTCTACCGACGCCCTGTTGATTGAATCAAGATCCTTGCCAGGGCCCATTGCGGACATGATATACTTGGGCCAGCTAGGGCTAAAGCCATGCTCGCTGGTCAAATCCCTGTGCAGAATTTCGTTTCCCTCCTTGCTTAGACCAACGACATGTCCGGCATCTGCAGCAAGAGCCGCGAAGCTGACGGTGCGCCATTGTTTCTGTAGGGCCGGGATGAGCTCTGTGGCGTTCACAACGTACATCCGCGAGAATGGCAAGCGGAGAGTATAAATTGGGAGCCTGTATGTATCCCTATGAAGAATTACCATTAGCGTTCAGCAGTAGCTTCGGCATCATCTCAATTGAATTGAACACACCTAAGTCGAAGGTGAAAATGTGATTTCTCCCTGAACATGCCAACAATTGGCTCGAAGAAGGGCACGCTCGTCAGAATGGCGGGTGGTTCTCTAGCATCCTGGGTCAAGTAGAGCATGAAGCGGAGGAAGAGATAGATTGCGGTGACGCCTGCCAGGGCCATGGCCTCAGCTGACGGCATGGCTGGTTGAGTGCTTGAGCGATCAGATGATTGATTTCTCTGAGACTCAATAGAGAAAAACAAAATTGAAAAAGAAACAAGCGAGAGAGAGGATGACCTGTTGAGGATTACACGACGCTAGGGGCGAGTCAGGGGTCCAGCGAGAGCCTCCAGCGTGTTGTGGGGTTTGAAGTGTTGAAGTGGCACAGCACAGCCCTAGTAGCAGACGGTCAAATCAAATGTAAGAAATTAGTGTTGTTGGTTCTCCAAAGTAGAACGAGTGCCAACCGGCGTGTCACCCTAGGCCTGCTGCTGCGGCTAATGGGTAGGAGGCTCTGTTGATCTCACAAACGGTCTCATCCGAAGCTCCAGACCAGCAGAGGGCAGTTCAGTAATAGTCAAAACACGAGTTGTTTATAAAGTCTTACCCGCCGAACAACTTTTTAAAATAGGACATTGATCATATCTGAATTTCCTAGTCAACCAGACCCTTTCAAAGACACTTCTGAGCCGCAGAAGGCTTCGCTATGTGGCAGATGTTTCTAGTCTAGGAGTTTGCCAGAGACATTTGTCGATCTTTGCTGACTGAGCAGGCCGTGAGGCCTCAAATTGAAGTGAATTATGCTCGAATAGAAATGACTAGCTTTCAATAATGAGCTGCTGTGACCTAACCTTAATAGTCATGGTAATATGAGACTCAAGTACATGTGCGCAAATGCCATGGCGATTGTTACAGAAATCATGTTGAGTCACGACCCCAGAATATAAAAAACCTGGGGCATGCGCAGGTAAGAGATAAATTGTAGGCAGGCCTAGTCTCGATATATCACTTCATCACGGGGAAAGCGGTTGTCTAGAGCTTGCACTAGACGTAGTCCGTATTTGCGCTAACGAGTGAGCATTTTGGCGGCAATAGGTAACATCGATCAGGTAAATTCTTCAAGCGTCAGCAACGAGGAGACCACACCTCGCTACAAGACTCTTGCACGCCTCTGCACCGTGCGACTAAGCTCTGGTCATTCGGAATTCGGCACGCGTCTTGGGGGTCAAGAAGTGGAGCGTTTCAGTTGCGCGTCTCTCGGCTGATGCCTATCAGCTCATGCAAGGCTTGAGAATGCCTTGGGCTTTTCCACAGTTTTCTCGTAATTCCAACCTTATTGCAGCCCTTCCACGATCTTGCAGTCACCTAAGTCCATGCTGATACACTGGTGTACATAGGGAAATATTGCACGGTGGATGTTCTTCTCATGCTGGATAAGAATTCGAGACTACTGGACTAAGACAGCTGGCACCCTTGAACGACACCGCCCGTCGCATTCCGACCTATCAGAGCCTGTCGGACCATCTCCAACTCAATATTCGTCTCCCGTGAGGCTATGTTTCAGTAGATCGTTTCTCTGGCCCCCTTGCATGACAAGTACATTAGCCACTGCAGTCAATGTATATTAATCCTTTGCCACATGTCAAGAAGCAGATGGACTTCGGAAACGGTACGACGCTCGTCGTCCAAAAGACTCTCTTCATCTTTCCTTAGCATTACATCAATGACGCAGTTGAGATGCAGTGCGACTACCGAAACTTCTCTCAGCACGGTGAGGCCAGTCCTACTTGAAGTCTCTTCAGCCACCAGCTCATCATCGCAGATAGGACGCCGGAAGTTCGAGACCACTTCATGGGCCAGCAACCCCGCTTTCACCGGGCTGCAATATTTTCTTGTTTCAAAGCTCTTTGGATAGTTTACCCTCAGGGATGGGATTGTGCTATGATTTGCTACGAATCAAACATATAACCTCACTGGCGACCTGAAAACCTCGGACGGCTTGTTCTTTGACAGCCCAGCACGATACCCTCTGCCCTCTGCCCTCTGCCTGCACATGTGTCAGGATTGCCAAGAAAAGATGGAAGCTAGCTTGCCACCCGTGATGGTCCGAACGATTGCGTCCTTGGTGATCCTCGGCGTCCTCCCTACGGTGTTTGTTGTTCTCAGGATATATACTCGGACTGCCCCATCTCAGACAAACCGACTATGGGTGGATGATTACTGCCTTATTCTTGCATGGGTAAGAACCTGGCACAAGAGCCTCGTAGACCTGACGCTTATTCTACCGCTGTTAATACGAGATAAAGATTGTCTTCGTCGCTCAACTAGGACTCCGAGTCACCATTTTCAATGCAGCTACGATTCCCGCATTGTTGGCGGAAAGGAGATACAGCAGATTGGGTCACATAGCTGGGGTTCTTTCTAATGTGGCCTGGGCGTTAAGCAAAACGTCCTTCTCGCTCACGCTAATACGTCTTGTGACTGGGACGCTCCGCTTTATCTTGGGGTTTATTATCGTGTCAATGAACCTCTTCATCATCATTTGGCTTCCTCTATTTTTCAATCCCTGTGCAGAGGCTGATGTGAATTCGATATGCTTGTCAACAGAAGACACAGTTAAACTTGGAATTTTTGTTGGTGGTATGGACCGATTCCCCAGATTCGTCCCTCAATAAATCTCTTGTTGCAAGCTATTTTGTTGACTTCATAAAATAGCATATTCAGCTTTTATAGACTTTCTTTTGTCGGTGGTGCCATGGAAGATCATATGGCCAATGCATCTTAGCAGACGAGACAAAGTGGGTATATGCGTCGCCATGAGCATGGGTGTCTTGTAAGTTCTCTGGTCACATCCAGGCCAACAATTGAATTCCTAGCTTGTTCATCTCAGCTGACATTAACTCTATTAGTGCAGGAGCTACAGGAATAGTCAAGTGTTTCTATCTCTTCAAGTTCGATCCTTCGAGCATAGGTAAGTCCTTGCAAGTGACGAAAGCTGTTCCTGCAATCAGCCTCGAGTGCGTCAAACTCTTGGATAAATGCTTTTCTTCTTTCGAGATCTGAATTCTATTCTCTAGCGACGGCAGCCGGCCTCTATATTTGGGAAAGCGCCGAGATATCGGCAACAATCATGGCTGCATCGATTCCGATGCTACGGAAGCTGGCGCTCAACGCAGGGACACGAGACTCGCCGCCCGAGAGTGGCGAGAATGTGTTATTGTCAAACTTTCGACGTCAATTGCGCATTTTTGGTCTCAAAAGCGAACAGACGAATAACACGACAAGCTCGTCTCGTCCGTAAACATAGTTAGGCCCCGAAGCTGCGTATTTGCAGACGTAGGATGTCAAGGCGAGTCGAAGAATGCGAATTATAGCCCGTGCACGTGGTCTGCATGGCTAGTAATATGTTCCACGGGGGAAAACGGATCGAAGTGTGTTCCCACGGAAAAGAAAATGATGGTTGAAGTGTTTTGAGGGGATTTAATGAGCATGGCCGGCGAGGGTATCGACATATAAATCAGTTCAACGAACACAAAGACTGCACTGCTACTGTATAAGATAGGACTGGGTGACATGAGACCAGAAATTTGAAACGGAACAACGTATAGTACGCAGAAAAGTCTGTTTCTATGACCTTATTCGTGCACGACATTTCATACACGAGACGCTTAGACTTGACCTTGTGGCTACTGATCGAGCCCAGAGCCGTGATAACCCTACTTTTGTCCCGAGCAACAACAGCGATATCATAGCGACGGCTTAATATGTAAATGGCGATGGCCGAAATTAAGGATGTTGCTGTTTAAACGCTGAATGTTGTTAGACTAAACAGAGACTATCAAATTCGGAAAGGAAAGAGACAAGAGTATGAATTCTTGACGAACGTTAGATGATAACATTAGGGTCTGGTCGTCCGAAAAGTGCGTTGTGGGGATAAAATGCTTGAGCGGCACAGCACACAGAATTGAAAGCAAGTGGTCAAGTCAAATATAGGAAATCAGACTCGTTGCGACTGTTGCTTTTTGCATGCAACATCAGGTCCGACCGCCGTCTGTTCCAAGCAAAGTGCTACCCCCCCCCCCCCCAACTTGTCTGATTTCAGCTCTAACTCACATACAATGAAGTCTTGGCTTGCAAGCAAAATGCTCCACCCTCCCCTGTGAACTAGATTCGATCATGTACGAACATTTTATTGAACAATATCTGAATTACCAAGGTCTGAGATTTAATGAGAACTTTAATTTGAAATCTCCTTTGTTCAAGCTTTAAAACAATGCATTTTTAAACATTTTTTGATTCGGATTTGAACAGGTCGAAATTTCTTGATGGGCATAATTCAACGCGTGTGTGCAGGATTGAATCCGACTGACAGGGGAGGGGGGAGGGGTAGCATTTTGCTTGCCACAGACAGCAGAAGCATGATCTGGGGTTGTGCAGATCCCGGGCGAGCTGAGGGGAAATCAGTAGCTCATCTATCATCAACTACGACTGCAATATGGACACTCACATCAGCCGAGAATTTGCGGTATCGTTGCTTGCCGCCTGTGAAGGCGACGAGGAGACAACTATTGCACCCCAGTGCCTGACAGAACCCAAAGTATGTATTTTGGCGGCTGCCTCATCTTCACAGTTCTGACACCACCAGTTTCTCGCCACATTCTCGGACTTTCTCGGAAACATTCTCAAGGACTGGACCACCCTGCCCCCTCAACTAAGAACAACTTTTCAGAATACTTTTAGCGCTAACGGCTGGCACCTCTCCTTTGAAAGAGACGTTGCAAGCTGGATAAAGTCCGAAATTGACAGCTCTCTCGCACCGCAAGAAGACACGGCCACTCGGCTCTTCGGCCACCTCCGCAGACTGTCTAAACCTACAACACCTCTTCAGACTGTGATGAGGCAGATTTATCTAGTGGAATTTCATCACTTGCGACAAACTTTCAACACACGTTTCACAAGCCTTACCAGGGAACCTCTTGCGACGTACATTGGTAAGCGTCTTGACTTGGAGGCGACAGAAGTCAGGTCTGTCTACAAGTATCTTGCACAAGCAGGTGAGAGGCTCAATGATATAGCCGGTAGGCTTGATGGCTTTGGAGCATTGCTCCTGCCCCATGACATTGCTCGCACAACGTAAAGTCTTCTCTAACCCCCACTATTTACATTTTCACTCACACTCTTCAAGGTTAGAAAAGCGTGTACAAAAGGGTCCAGAGTTCGATGATGTAATCCAGTTGCTCAAAGATCGAGGGCTTGTTCGAAATGAAGGCACAGAGTTATATTACAACCTGGCGGACGAGTTCATCTCACGCCGTCGTGACGAGGGGACGTGCCTTGTTGATAAAATATGTGGGAATAGTCGGTCGCGGAGAAGACCCACAACACGGATCAAGATCGAGAGCTTGGGGATCGAGCCGACAACTCCTACAGCTGTTGGCAGTTGGTCATCACCTAGTGCCGGTCAACATCTTGACAGGGCTGGTGTGTCCATGCCACAGGGTGTGTTGCAGAACATTGCATGTGGTAAGTATTGAGACGTCATAGCCCATACACTGGGTCATTGTCCTAACAATATAGAAATTCAAGAGAACAGGGGTCTCCCTCGTATCCAAGACATTCAGGAGCCGGGGCAGTTCAGTCAGACCTCCACTCAAGAAACCGCTGGTCAACATCACGATACTCCCATGGATGATTTTCATCGGACCATGAAGCCAGAGGTGATTGGGTTCCGCAGCGTGGTAGAAGAGTCCTCCCTGGAGGTACTTGGAGTTGTTGGCTTCTAATCACATATTACTGCCCTTGTGATTGTTTGTGCCATGCAGAGCCGTGAGCATGCAAATGTCACGTCCTTCTCTAACCCCCTTGTCGAGATCTCGTACCAAAATTACTTCACCCTCTTCGAGGATAATGATATTTCCAACCTGGCACTCAAATAGTGATGTAACACATTGTGACTCAGCAATGGGCGAGTTGATGGATCCCTTCACGGGCATTTCCTCTCGAAGCGAGCAACCATCACTGGCCGTGTTGCCACTGGCTGTGACAGCGTCGTTGAAGGCGATATTTCTGCGCTTTGGTCTTGGTATAATTATGCATATCGAGACAGTGTGGTCCTCAACGGACATGCCTCCATCCTGAAGAGAGAGGATTTGAGGACCCTGGACGATAGGGCCTTGGATGCTGATATGGCGCCGCTCGGCCCATTCGAACATAAAGACTTTCTTTTGCTACCGGTAAGCAGACTTCACCTGGTAGTCGGAGATTAACACGCACCATTTTCTCGTGGAACAGATTATTGAGGTCAATTGCTGGCTGGGGAAGCAGTGGAATTGGTAACCTCAGTAAGTGCGTTCTTCCTTCTGCGTAATTCATGTCCTCGAAATAGCAGACAATCTGCTGCGCCAGTTGCTGGATATCGAGGAGCGTACCGCGGACCTCGATATCCAGCCTCGAATCTAGATGTCTCAATATGAGCATTCGATTACTTGACTCAGGAATAGTGAACTGCGTTTTGGAGGGGAACCTGATTGCGGGGCAAGCCATCGCAGTCGGACTTTCAATGGGGATCATGCTTACTCATCAGGTCCAAACGCCATTGTCAAGGACAAGCGAACTCATGCCCCCCCCCCACCCCCTCTTGTCGAAAATGCTCAACGCACGTGCCATTAGATTGCGCAGGCAAGTTCAGTTGGTGCTCTCAGTGTAAAAGCGCCTTCAGCTGTCCTTGCTCTGCGCAGAAACAGAGAAAAAGAATTATTGTCTGTCGAATTGTACTCAAAAGATGTCTCCTGGAGAACTCGCGTGTAGAATTTCAGTTCCCAAGACTGTAGCCGCGTCCTGCCTTAGGCGGATCATTGTAGATTTTACAGGCAGAGCCGAGCTATTGCAATGGTCTCTATCGCTAAATATGTCTCATCCACGACCCCATTCAAGTTGAGAAACGTGCAATGAACCATATTAACGGACTGATATCGCCTTTTTGCTATTCAGGGCGATCTAATAGCTTCCAAGGTTCAATCCCTCTCCGTCTGGGTACTCCCCAGAGTTGTCAGTGCAATGGTCCAGCTGACGTTTTCTTCTTCCCTTATCAAACCTCAATTGTTGATTAGAGGCCCTCAAATTAGCCCGCTGACTTCAACACCAACGATGCAGTAGAGTAGTCTGACAGTCTAATCTCCTCTGGGGAAAATTTAAAAAAGATTTTTGAAGCACATATATGGTCAAGCCTTTCTCCGAGAACTGATACAAATCCGGTTTCTGGGTGCTTGCGAGCGGGCTCTTCATGGGCTTCCCACTTTGCGTTGATAGATGCGGGAACGTTCTTGACATTCTGCTTAAGCTGGGCGCAGTTGGTACCTCCATCTATCAATAGGTATTAGCCCACAATACCTTCCCCCAAAGGCACTATGTCATTGTGGTAACTTTTCGCAAGACTAAGATGCTCTTGGCGGGTCCGACGAGAAGGAAAATAGCGATTTGGGTGGGGCTCCAGACGACCCCCCTGTGGTAGAAACGTTGGACGTACTTGATGGAGTCGGCGCAAGGTGAGCGAAGGGATTTCCTGAAGAGGCATTGGTTTTATTGTTCACCGACGATGAAGCCCCAGCGTTACCGCCAAGTGTTTTCCCAAAAACTGTTTGAGACGCACTGCTCGATGAAATGAATGATGCAAAGGGGTTGGGGTTGCCATTTGGTTGTGTTGCCGTACTTCCAAAGGCCGGAGATGGTGTGGCATCGAAACCAAATATTCCACCTGACCGTGGCTTGTTATCGCCCGGAGTTGGGGATGGAGTCGCCGCGTTGGTAGCAAATATCATACTCGTTTTCCCAGAGGATGAGGCTGAGCCAGTTGTCTTTCCAGTACCAGTGCCTGTAGCTGGGTTATTGAACAAGGAACCATTGCTTGTAGCGGACGGTGTCGTCGACGTAATCGCCAATTTAGAGAAGCTCTTTCCAAGCGATGAACTGCCAAACAATCCGATACCCGGCGGCGCCGCATTTGAAGTGCTTTCCGGAGCTTGGGACACTAAGACCGGCATCAACGTTGTCAGTCCGCCGCCATCAGCATCGCCATTTGCGCGATGCTTAGTAGCTCTCGACGCCATGAAAGAAGGGTGGGGGGCTAAATAATGGCTTACCGGCACTGTTCGAACTTCCCTGTGCACGGACGTTTTGTCGCGGCGATTGTGGTGCTGCTTGCGCGGAAGAAGAAACTGGTGCCGTCTTAGTATTGGTCGAATATTCTTTTTCTATGAATTAAGCAGGGTTTGGCTGTGAAACTCACCCCTTGCTGTTGCTCTAGGCCTGTATCGACGGCATTGCTCAAGCCCTTGCTGGAGAACTTTGATGTCCTTCTGGAGCTGAGACCTGTAGCTACGAATCTCTTGAGACTCAGCAGCAAACTTTGCTAGCTTTTCATTGTCCATATCGTTCACAAGTCTTGGCGTGAAGAGGTTGGGAAGATCCTGAATCAGACAACTCTCGATAGACAGGTTGATCAAGTTGTCCGTGAACGTTCGGAGCGCCATCTGAAAGGACTAAGTCAGCGGGGTTGCCTGTTTGCCCGTTTGGAAGAGCCAAGCTTACATCGTAAAATGTTTGCATCGTGTGAATAATACGCTCGGTCCCAAAGTCATCGCTGGGTTGTGACAAAATCGCAACACCCCTCTGCTCTTCCAAATTAGTTCCGGATTCTGATGGGGCGGCGGTGCGCTCAGCTGCTGCCTTTCCAATGGCCTCTTGAAAATCAGCATCAAGAGGTCGTGCGTATCCCTCCTTGAATGGCCGCAGGAGTTCTTCCAGCTTAACTGAGAGCAGCCGTTCCTTTTCATTGAAGAAACTATTCACGAAAGTGGACAAAATGGCATCTGTCGTGTTGTTTGAGCTGGGCGGTCCGACGATGTGCTCAAATGCTTCGTCGACAAAGACCCTAACAACTTTGGTGACTTCCTCATGATGAACCTGAGCAATGCGCTCCCACGGTTTTGACTGTCTCTGGAAGAGTTGCATCACGATGTCCATGTTAACATATCCTGGGAACTCTGTGCCCTGATTCGCCGCCGCCTGACCTTCCAACTCGGCAGATAGCTCTGTCCAGGTAACAAGTTCAGGGCGAGGGAGATCGTCGATGTATAGGTCGAGATACTCTTCAAGATATTCAGGTGTCGAAAGCTGTTGTGAAGTATCATAGCGACTGCCAGAAACCTTCTGGGCGGATCCAATGTCAAGCAAGACGTGTCGGATAGCCCGGCTGAAATTCCGGAGCTTGGATCTTAATTTCCGCTCCGTACCATTGAAGCCGCCGAAGAACGGGTCATTGTAATGCCCCCGAATGCCATCGCCTACCAATCTCTGGAAGTTACTGGCGATGTCAAGAAGGTAGGCTCTCATATCTTCCGGACTATTTCTGGGCTGTCCCAATCGGCCTAGCTCAGCCTCTCGGTCAGAAAGCTTGTCTTGTATGTCTTGAACAACGAATGGAAGGCTTCTCTTGATATGTTCAAGCAATACACGACTCAATTTCGCTCGTAAAGCCGCAACCCCACGATTTGCCGTAGGAATTGAGCCCCAAACACCTGCCCCGAAGAATTTGTCTTCAACCGTATCGCGGGGACCGAGATCCGTTTCGTAGTCTCCTCGATTGCGCAACACATGCCAACCAAGTCCCAAGTTGTGGACGGCCTCGCGACCTCGGATAAGTTGCAAGTACTCTTGTTCGCTGGGGGATCCCGGCGGTAGAAGATCTGGCTTAGTCACGACACCAAGAGTCCTTGTCTTAGCAGGGTCGTGTTTCGCAGCCTTTTTCATGACGACTTGGTTGGCTAGCTGGTTGTTGGCGGCGATGACTGTAAGAATGATGCTGTTTGGCTTCTTCATGTAGCTTTCGACCAGCTCCATGACCGTCGCCATACCTTCAGTTGACTGTGTCGATGTTTCGTTGTGGAAAATTCCTGGAAGGTCGACCAGCGTAAGAGGGTACATGTCGGGACCTTGGATCTCTAGACGCAGGACATCCTTAGAGAACTCGCGGCCGGTCCCAGAGATTCCCATTTCATCTTTTGCATCACTGATGATCTTGTCGATATCTGCTTGGTTGAAATCCGCAACTTGCAACGAATGGGCCGGCTTGGTGCTATCCGCGAATTGGATAGTTGCAGTCACACATCTTCGACTGCCTGGGCGGAGAACTAGCTCAGTTGCAAATCGGGTGCAGAGACCCCCTTGAACTGGAAAATGAACGTGTGATATGGCTTCTAGCACAGACGACTTTCCGGACGACTGGTCTCCAACGACAATGATTTGTGGTAGGTTAACTATTTTCCCGACGCCCAGGGAAGACAACTTGTCGGCGGTATCAAAGAGCGTCCTGGTCTCAATACTGTTCAACTCATCAAGAGCTGTGGAGTCAAGAGTGATCTGTTCCATGGTGATTCGATGTTGTGAGAATGTGGCGTTGTTTGAGAAATGAATGGGAGCGCATGGGCGGTATCGTAGTTTTGAGTGTCTCTGTTGCTCTTCAAAAGTTGCCAGCAAAAATGTGGGCTCATCAGGGAACAACATCCCTTTTAGTCGACAGACATCGGACTGTTGGTTGTTGAAAAGAGTGGCGCAGCCGAATGTCACTTTGATCTGACACAGCTGAAATGCAGGAGGCCACACCAACCCCTGTCACTGATAACTACGGCGGCAAGACAACAAGACATTTAGAATGGAGACAAAAGGTCGAAATGATGCTGATTGCTGAATCCCTCGTTGCTTTGCCAGACTTGACTTTTGAAGGCTTGAGGCATCCATCTAATTGATTGAATCCTGGGAGGATTGAGCTTGGACCATCGTTGCTAGTACCATCTAAATAAAAACTACTTCGTTATCAAATAGGTGCGGCCAGTGGGTAACATTGAACAAAATAAAGTGCTTCACCGGTGTTACGATTCAAGTGTTGGCTGCAGGTCAAAGTATGGGCCAGCAACGGCAAGACACCAGTGTGGATCTAGTCGAGGTCCCTCCAGTGTGAATCCTCAAAGGGTTGCTGTGCGCAGGTTAGTGCAATGGACCAGATGAAGTCGGCAGCATCATTTGAATTTACTTCGCAGTTTCTCCAGTATTTCAAATGCTTCCTGGAGTCAGAGATCTAGTAGGCACCATTTACACAAGACTTGGTACAGATATGATTGAAGTTGGTTCACGTGGTCACGGTGTCTTGTTCTGACTCCTTGATTTTGGTCAGAAGCCATAGAACGCGCAGGTCACGAAATGGACCAACAGCCGACTGGGCTCCCGGGAGCCTGATGTCCAATACATCAATCGGGAAAGATAGAGGGACCCTTCATGACTCAGGAGGTCACATAATATGTATCGCTAAGATGACTAAGGAAAATGGATCAGCCTTGTCCTGCTTAGATCGCTAAATCGTTGCGACAAAGTGAACAATTCGAACGATTCGGGAATGAGGATCTTGACATATAAGGGCCCAATCATTGCAAGTAGATAGCATTTCATAGGCAATTTTCACTCGTCAATTTTGAGTATTCAGTCCAACATCGAAACAGCCTCACAGCTGGTGAACAATACCGTTGTGAAGTTTGTTGAATATCAAGACCCTTTGACACTATCACTGCTACCATAAGCCCGACAGGTTACGTAGTAGACCCTAAAACTTTTCAGTGAGATCATTGACTATTGACTAAGAGACTTCAAGGCCAAACCATCCCACATGCCCTCAGCTTGATACAACCAACATATCCATCATGTGATTGGCTTGATTGCCCTCTACCCCCACCCCTCGGCTAGAGAGCCTTAAGCCCCGCTAGAAATATTGATTATCAAGTTTCCGGATGCTCCATTGGTTAATGGCCTGTCTTCTGGGTTATACACTGGAATGAGCTGTGGCTCCTTTATCCTATATCTTCGGCGTGGAGCTTGGCACATTGATTAATAACGACCAGGTATAGGTTTCAATTCCGTGCCGACTGCCCGGAGGTAAGTTTACGTTTTGTGGAACATTCCAACCAAGCCGCAGGCGCGCGACGTGGTCTGGTTGACATATGCACCTCGGGCTTTTAACCACCGGCTTAACCAAGCGGCGTGCTCGGCCTGGGACAAGTTCAGGCCGAGCTCCCAAGTGATGATTGATCAACTCATACTCGCCCCTCGCTCACTTAAGAGCTCAGCCCAAACTTGTTCCGGGCTGGGGGAGGGGGTCACTAGAATTTGGGGGGGGGGGTGGCATATAAAGGTAAATATTAGGACTGCGAGGTGTCTCTTTGAGACTAGAGCAAGATGGGACCCTGGGCAGAGGGATTGTAATCAACACAACGCTTTGGTGTGACTACTAAGTAATTTGGTTTTTGAATATATGTTGCCTAAGCTCTTTCATATCTCTTGCTATAGAACCTCGTGAAAAGAGGAAAGGGTTGTAACCTTTCTGTCCCCGCGCAGTCTGTACTTCGCTATAAAAAAAGAAGAAGAAGAAGAAGGCAAAGGCGGGGTTAGCACGCCCTGGGCAGTAGGCAATCTGCGCTGTTAGGGAAGATTATAGGCGTTATAGGCTAAGTAAGCCTTTTCATCGATGTCGGCCTGATCATATGCATGGATTCAGCTGCAGTAGGTAGTCTAATTAGATTCGATGAGGAAATATGTCATGCCAGTGACTTGAAGTACACTGCACCGGAGAATTTCGAAAGCTTGTTTCCGTAGTTCCCGCATAAATGATCCCGAATACATTAAAAATTGCGGGGCTTTAACGCTCCAGCAATGTCGCTTGAGGTGGTATCCCGCCTGTCACCTTCCTAATTAATCATGGAACAACTTGGGGTCCTGGCCCTAAAGAGTCAGAAGGCTACAACCGTATGTTGCATAATACTCTGAAACACGGGCTCCATTGTTACATTAGAGCAATAGAATGACTATATTCGCAAAATTAGAGCCGAAGCAATTTAGCAGTAGACCGTCGTGAGTGTGATAAAGACGTACGAGTGGACAAGTTGTGGACGGATCAATTTTTGCGAATCCCGGACAAATTCAGCGCAGGCCGTTATGGCTTGATGAGACCTCAAGCACACAAAATGGATTATAAAGAAGTCCATTCTCTTGGCGCACGCATCGGCTGCAGAAATGGTCTTGTTTGGTTTCTGTTCTATTCTATTCAACGATGCTTCACTCCATCATCGCCGCTCTTGCGCTCCTGAGCTGCCTTGCTCAGGGGCAGCTTTCTGGCAAGGTAGGGCCTACCACAACCTTCGCAGCCAAAGCAGCAAACAAAGTCTGTAACGTCCTGGATTATGGCGCCAAAGCTGACGGAACGACCGATCTCGGCCCAGCTCTCACAAGCGCTTGGGCTGATTGCAAGAAAGGCGGCCTAGTCTACATCCCCCCGGGTACCTTTGCTATGAGTACATGGGCGTCCCTCAAAAGTGGTCAGGGATCAGCGCTACAGCTTGATGGCATCATCCAAAGGACGGGCACTGCTGGTGGCAACATGATTTCCTTCCAGGGCTGCGATGACCTCGAGATATTCAGCGGCAACTCCAAAGGTGCAATGCAGGGCTTCGGATACCAATTTATTTCGCAAGGAAACTATGGCCCTCGCTTTATACGTTTAACGGATGTGACAAACTTCTCCATGCACGGATTTGCACTCATCGACTCGGCTTCATACTACTTAGTTTTCGACAGTTCCAGCAACGGGGAAATATATAACATGATCCTACGGGGCATCAGCATAGGCGAGACCGACGGTATTGACATCTGGGGCAATAATATCTGGGTCCACGACGTGGAAATCACCAATGGAGATGAATGTGTCACAATCAAGTCGCCAGCCAAGAACATCCTCGTCGAAGACGTCCACTGCAACATCAGTGGCGGCTGTGCAATCGGTTCCCTCGGCCTTGGTACACAGATCTCTACTGTGCAATATAGGAATATCTACCTTAACCAAGCCGATGGGGCGTATGTCAAGACAAACGGCGGCAACGGCACGGTAGACTCGATCATCTGGGAAAACATCATCAATAATGGCGGTGCATACGTCTTGGCTGTCAACGAAGCCTGGGGAAAGGACAACGGCGGGGTGGGCGTCCAACTCAGCAATCTTACATTCAGGAACTGGCATGGCTACAACAGTGATTCCAAGCGCCCAACGATCAGACTGCAGTGCGACGACTCGGTCCCCTGCCACGACATCACCGTGGATAACGTCAATCTTTGGACTAGCGACGGCAGTAAGCAGGTAACCTGGGTATGCCAAAGCGCCTACGGTACTGGAGCTTGTCTGCGCAAGTCAGGTACTGCCTCGTACGCCGCCAGCTACACGACGATCAGTACGGCGCCAGCCTATGCCGCAGCGACCATGGCGAACGATCTCAAGAGCCCTTTTCCCAGCACGACATCCTTCACGATTCCCCCTGTTCCAACCACATTCTATCCTGGAAAAGCACCAGCCTCTACCCTCCTTAGCCTGTCAGGACCTGGCCGCCGCTGATTTGTCATGTGGTATTACCGAGACCTAGGTGGAACTTGTCGATGGTTACTAGTCGTAAGAGATGATTCTAATTGGATGTTGAGATAGACGCCTTGGGTTGTAACCTGCTTGGGGTTGAAAAGTTTGAACAAAATAACATATTCGATTCAGCAGGAAAATCATTCAGTTGTACATATTCAGCCGACATACTCTTGAATACTTCAAAACACCGGAAGCATACCCTAATCAGCTTTTGACACCCTTTGCCCATGTCGCTGTTCCTTTTGGTCCGTTTCAGGAAGATTCTATCATTTCAAAACCGTGGTGAACCTGATTCAGACGTGTGATGTCAGCGATATAATATCATTCAGACCCCTCAGTTGATACCACAACTACACAGAAATGACTATCCATCACTCAGAGGGCAGCTCAGCCGCCTGTCTCCCATGGTCGGGCAGCTCGGCTATTAAGTCCTCCCCAAATCGCCTGGGTTGTTTGTCAAGACCACCAACACCACTGAAAGATGTGCTGCCAGTTGAGCTTCGCGAGGCTAGAGTGTACGTTGTCATCGGGCTGACACTGTCCGCAGACAGTGGACTAGGAGATGTTGACATTGTTGAGACCCTGTCGGTCGACGCATTCCCTCCTGCGCCCCGTTGCTCACCCACCAAGACAGATGACTGTCCTATACTTTCACCGGGCACTGTTGTCACTTCTTTGACCGCTGTACCCACATTTTCCTCGTTGATCAGCCTCCTTGGAAAGCCGGAGATGGGCAGAGCTGTTGACGTCGTTGCTCCGGACGAGTATGAGGCCATTTGCAGCGATAGCGAGATCCTTGTCGCTGAGTGCTTTTTGTCGACAGCTGTGGTGATGGTCAGCGGTTCGATTTCGAAGTATCCCGCCTGCTCCATATCCATGATGAAGGCGCCCGATAGAACGATTTGCCTTTTTTGCCTCGTATCACCATCGATATCATCTTCGACCAGGAAGTATGGTCGGAAGTCGCCTATACAGCGTGATCTCAGGAATGAGCCGAGTGCCATGAGTTCTGGTGAAGACTGGCGGAAACGGCAGAATAGCGAGCCTGTGAAAGAATTAGCCATGGGAGCTCCTCACCAATCTTTCGATCCAAGCACGGCTCCATCCAAGGTCGGCCTTTACCTGTGCAAGCATATCCTGTCGTACTTTGCCTCACCGATCCAGCTTCCGTCTCGAAAAAGAACGTACTCGCCACCAACCGGTGCGCAGCCAATGTGACGATATCCGCCATACCCTCCTGCTGAAGCGCCCTCTCAACATCCCGCTCGAGCTCTTCAATCTTCTGGGCGTCCTCGAACCTGGGTATTTGCGAGGCCAGCACCTCAGGACATATACGGCTGTACCGGCCAGTATGACTCTCTTTTCTCCCAGCAACGAACTCCTCCCACGCCTGCTCACTCTTCCTGTGGTTGTACATCCCGTCGCTTTTACTCGGCGCCTGATCCTGCACTTGCTCGTGCGCCTTACCCTTTGTTGTCTCTCTAGGCGCAAATGAGAGAAGGAGCGGCGTCTTAGGGTCGCGCACAAAAATACCCGTCTGCACTTGACTGGCCTGGTCAGATAAACTAGCCGACGCGCTGTCGACACGCTTGTAGTTGCCAACGCCGCCGCGACCTGAGCGGACGATCTGCCCACTCACGATCGGCATCGAAGCGCTCTTGTTCACATGTGGCCTGCGGGACCCCGTGGTTGAGGAGACGTCAGTGCCCGCGATGGAGCGGGAAGAGCGTGACACGGGCCTTGACAGGAGGTCGGAAGCTGTCTTCTCCCCCTCAACTCTGCCCGTACCGATCGAGAGCATGATGTCCGGCGGCAGGTCTGCCACGTCTGACCAGATGGACCGCATCTCGCTGTGGGCTACCCGGGCTGGGCAGCTGTGAGACTTGGACCCATCGATGTACTCGGTGTTTGTGTCTGGGGCGACAAATGGTTTGAAAAATGGGGACGCCGCTGATGTTGCGCGAGTTCTATGGGCGGGAAGTCAGATTATAGTTGTCCTTTGTCTCACTCAACTCAATGGACTCCAACTCACACTTCCCAGACTTTCAATTTCTTCGACGGCACATCTGACCGGATGAACTGATATGGTGCGGCCTTCCCTGTGGAGTCTGGCCGGTTGTAGTTGGCAAACACAACGGACTGATGATTCAACGCACTCATTGCCGTCACGGCCACCTTTACTGATGTGTTCAGGTTGTGGCGAGACCGTGAGCCGCCAAAGAAGGGTGTCTCAGAGAAGTATCTCTTGAGCACCCTCTCCAGCGGTTGGGTTTTGAACACACTGCCGTGATACATCTTAGATAGCGTTCCGATCAACGGCACACTCTGCAACTCGCGCGGCGTGAAGGCCTCTCTGCAGATATCCTTGAACTTCTCCATAGTTGCTTCGACGGTCCATCTTTTCACCCCCAGCGCGATCGCGATAATTCCGCCGGTGCTAGATTAGGTAGCAGTATGAGCGCCTTCTTTTCACAACAGGAATTCAAGACATCAGGTCGAAACTATATGGGGAAGACTCACTTTGTCCCAACCATCAGGTCAAAAAACAACTGAATCGGCAGCCCCGGCCCAAGTAGCCTCTCAATCTCCCTCAGCACATGCAACTGCACAATTCCTCTGATGCCCCCACCATCAAGAGACAGCACCCTTACGCCCGCCCGCGCCGGCTTGACAGCCACCGTCCACGGCGGCTCAGCAATGATGTCGCCTACATGCAGCGGGCAGCGGCTAATCTCAATACACGTTCGCGACGCGCGCGTGCCGTACAGCTCCATACATGGCAGACACAAGACATGGCCGCAGGGGAGGGCGCACTCAGGCAACTCACGCAGGCAAGACAGGCAGGCCGAGTGGCTGACGAAGGCGGTGGCGCCGTCGGCATCTAGGACACGGTAGAAGTCATTGAGGCGCTCACGGTGCAGCAGCGCGGCTGTGGTGAGCTCCGTCTTGGCCGGGAAGGCCTGGCTCAGCTTCGACATGGCGCCCTCGATAGCCTCGAGGCTGCGCCGGATCAGAGCCGTCCATTCAGGCTGGAAGGTCTCCAGGTTGAGAGTTGATTGGTAGCTTCCATTTGCTATGATTTTGCCTTGTACATTTTGGTGGCCTTTGGGGTTGTGGCCTGATCTGTATTTGCATATTGGGTAAGCTATGCTCCTTCACTCTCGTATCATATCACATCACATTACATGCATTGCATCTGGGAGTGAGCACTCACCTCACGTTGCAGCATCGGCCAGCGTCGCCAAAGCTTGGATTTGAAAAGCTGCATGGCCAATACATGTCTGAGAACGTCTGCAGGGCCGCAGTGCAAGGCTTGGCATACTTGTCGTCCAGCAGCCTCGTCGCCGTTCCCAGAAGGTTTTGTCGTACGGCGTCTAGCATGATACACGAAGCTATCATAGGCCCCATAGCGAGGAAGATTTGCCTCGCGTCTTCCTTGAGCACTGTCTTGGTGGAGTTGTCCCTTATGGAGAGCGCCAGACTCAGCACATTGCCCTGAAAGTTCCGAGGGATGGGAAACTTCCTCAGTGCCTCCCGCACAAAGTCGAATGGAGCGTCTAGGGTCTTGGTGAAGTGGTCATACGCCGCCTGCAGGTAGCCCTGCAGCTTCTCCGCGGTCGCAAGCATGCGCAGCTGCCTCTTCGTCGCATGGGAGGCAGCGCACCGGCCACGGACAAGCTCCATAAGCTTGCCGGCCTGCTCGTCCATAAGCATGTACGAGCCGCCCTTATGTGGCACACGTACGACGCTAACAGAAGCATAGTAGCAAGCCAGCAGCTCAGACGTATTTGTGATCTTCCTCCCACGCCGCGCCCACGCCCGCACATGCTCTTGCAGCGCCGGCTCGCGATGGACCGCGTCATGAATGTCGGAGAGGAGCATCTCGGTAGCACTGGTGACGTCCCACTCGCGGGCATCCACGTCCTCGGTTGCATTGAGCACTATGACAGCATGCGGAAGCGCCGGCTGGTTCAGCGACGCATCGATGCTGCGTTGTCCCCACCGAATCAGCTTGTCCAGAACCGTCGACTCGAAGGCGCGCGGGTTTCGCAGCACGAAGACGACCACGTCGGAGAATGTGTAGAGAATACGCGGGTACAGCTGCGAGACTGCGAACTCGCGCTTACGTGTCTGGGGCGTCCTGGCCCACGCGATAGTCCGCTTTGAGCTGTGCCGGGACCGGACATATCTGCTGTAATCGTCCTCGGCCCTGGCTGCTCGATCATAGGGCGGCGGAGCTGCCGAGGTTTGCTGGCGGGCGGCTGGCCTTGGATCCTGGGACTGATGGTGCCTCAACTGTTTCGGCATGGCCTCCCCGCCGTTCAGACCCTCGCAGTCGACGAAGAGGAGTGGGTTTGTGCTGAATGCGCTGGATGGGTCCGCGTAGATGTGCACATCGCCAGTGGTCGCGGTACGGTCGTAGTTGGACGACGTCACTGGCGAATAGTACCTAGACCCATCTGCGGAGCCTGATGCTTGACGGTCTATAAGCATTTTGATCAATGTGCTCTTGCCCGCACCTGTAAGTAAGTCAGATATGGCATACGTAGTTGGAAACAGTATGGAATCTTGATATCAGCAAATACACTAACCTGTCTCACCGATCACGGATACAAGTTGCGGATAAATGTCTGACGAACCATTGGCAACGAGTTCGCTCATGATGGCAGCAAAACGGCCGTAGTCGTAGAACATGGACTGCCCTGACGAGTCCCGACCGAAGCCGAACCAAGTGGTATCTTCATCCTCCAGCAGCTCAAATGCATGCTCGGCCTCTGTCCGCGTGGGCTCGAGGATCTGACGGAGAGTGTGGACCACAGCTGGGTCTGCCTTCTCATGAGGTTTCCCATTCCTAGTAAAATGGCGGGATTCTCAGCCCACCGTGAACTTATGGGTTTGGTGACGGATGTGTATGTTGCAACTTACCATCCAACAGCTCCAGGGGCATGAAGAACCCACTCCGACCAACATTTCTGGCAGAAAGCGAGATTATTGCACTATAAAGGGTCAGGTTTTTGCCTCTTGTTTACTTGCACCGCACATCCACGTCAGAACGCAGGGTCCTTACCTGGATGCATGTGAATCGCCTCTCGTCCGTGACGCCGCAAGTCTGGCAAGGCTGCACCTCGGGAACGGACCCGGACATGCTGGCTGGCTGGCTGGCTGGCTTACAGACAGAACCACGTCAAGTACAAAGCACGGGTCTCAAGCTAGTTTGGCTCATGTTATGTAACAGAAACAGCGGCAGGACTCGAGAAGTTCGGCCGTCCATGGGGAGATTGAGTTTTCTTTCAGCCGCTTAGTAGGCGACAGCCCCTCGGGTTTGCTGCGTTTCCACGTGTTCTGTTACACAATATAAGACATGCAGGCTTGGCGCAGGTTGGGTGGTCAGAAGGCGGTGCTGAAAAAGTACTTTTACGGCGGTCTCAGCTGCGCATGCTGCAGTCTGGCGAGAGGGCTTGACTGCACTAGGGCGGAAACAGATGAGCTGTGGCGTACAAATATGCACGCCGGGGCGCTTACAATCTTCCGGATAAGCATGGGGATCGTAAGAGGTCAGGATGTGCATATCTGGTGAGGATTCTTGTTGGCGTATGCTGCTGACCTTATTTCGATGTGGTCGTCGACGTCTGCTGTTCATCTCACCGCCCCGGCAAACGGTTTTGTGGTTTCCGAGTTTCCCTTCAGCACATCTGAGCGCTGTCTTGTAGTGATAGCTCACAACGCTTCAAAAGTGATATTTGCAAACAAAGCTCTGTTCATTGAGTAGAAACGATTTAACTAATTTTTGAAGATTTAACAAGGATGTCTTTTCCAAAAGTTTACGCATATATATGCTTTAGTGCTAAGATCGCACATTACGGTCAATTGGTGCCTCTCAGTATTTGACCAGATTGAATTGGTGCCGGCAAACGACACCTGTCGCTTGCTAAAGACAAAATTTGGCGCTACAAAGGTTCAACATGTCATATGGGCTCTCAAGAGCCCTGATGAATTCGCAAAATATATAGCGGAGGGTTAGTTGGCGGCTATGGTTATGTAACTCCTCGACCGTTTCAAGAGGGAGTGGATACATCCATTTTCCTTTGCAACCAACGGGGCTCGACAACTTTTTCTACTTCCAGAGAACACGTCATCTGCACAAATTTGACCAATTTGAGAAAACATGCAATGTGCCGGCCTTATGTTATCGCCGGACAGCTAGCGCTGTTTGCTCGCCACTTTATATGCCCTGCCACATTCTTTAACATGCGATTGAATCCGATTTCATTTCTGGGGCGCAGTCAACTCTAGGAGACGGAAATGGGCACGAAGTTGGATGCCATATTCATCATCGAATGGCCAGCCTTGGAATTATGCCTGGGTCCGTCACCCCTGGGTCAGTTACTGATCCAGTTTCACCGGTTTCTCCCCTTCCGACACAAGCGCCTGGTCCCGTCCCTACAGATACTACGATGATGATCAACGAGGTCCGCAGCAGAAAGGGACGGCAGGAAGGGATCAAACATGATGGGAACGGCGGAAAATAGTCCGATGGTTTCTAAGTCTGTGCTTCAGCATCTACACGAACGGCTCACCTACGGTTCCCGCCTTTGTATATGTACGTCGAGGCTTTAGTTTATTGTTTTCTTTCGGTGAGTTGTGCAAGACCAAATCCTTCAATGTTGCACAGTAAAACAGTCCACAGCTATAAATTTATTAGAGACTATTACTTATATATTCTTCATGATTATTTGATATGTCGTCGTATTCACGTACCTTGAAAATGAACCTTAGAGAACACTGGAATCGCTTATCATCGTATATTATTGCAATCGGGCCCTTTCTGGAAAGTAGGATCGACAAAGTGTTTAGGTATCAAAAAAGTAAGCTCTGGCTCATGGGCCTGAATTAGCCGGGAACACTCTTTCTCGCATAGTGACGTGGCCGACAACTGACCTAAGACACAGGTAAATCAAGGAAAGAATACGGGATAAGAGGACAGCTCTCCCATCTTTGGGTTGAAATCAATATCACTATTCCCTACAACATGATATGTATATTCCTAAACAACCGTTGAAGGGTCACAACCGCCCAATCGTGCACTGACAGCCTTGCCATCATACACAATCTCGCTAACCAGCTTCCCCGTCCCAGGGGCATTCTGGATGCCCCAGCACGTGTGCCCAGCCGCCACAATGACGCCCTTGTGCCCCGGCACCGGCCCAATGAATGGCCCTCCCTGCGGCAAATAGCAAGCCTGGCGCGCAAGAATCTCGCCGTCCATGCCAAGCTCGTCGCTGATAGCGCCAACCTGGGAGGCGATGTCGTCGCACCGCGCCGGATCGACTTCGACTTCGGCGGTGGTCAGGGGCAGCTTGACGGTGGTGTCGGTCGGCCCGCACGCGTAAGCGGTGCCGTCTGGGCGGGCGTAGATCTCTGGCTCGACCATCTGGGTCCTCTTGATCGGCTGTTTTTGGGTTGGTAAGGAGAAGCCGGGTGGCAGGGCGATGGAGGTGAAAAGTGCGTATGATGAGACGGGCTTCGGCGTCTTGATGACTATCGAGTGGGCGCGAGACGATGTCACGGGGATGTTTGGGAGGAGTCGCGCTGTCCACGGCCCGGCGGCGACGATGCAGTCGGTCGTGGGTAGCTGCTCTTCCTTCCCGTTCTTGGTGTAGGTCACACTCTCCACGTGGCCATTACTCCCCTTGGTGATGGCCGTGACCCTTGCACCGGTGACGATCTTGACACCCTTCTCCTCGGCAAGCTGCGCCATGCTCCGCGTGAACAGCTCGGGGTGCACCTGCGCCGTGTCATCGGGTGTACCCATGCCATCGTAAGCAGCCAGCGCGTGCTCCGTGTCAAGCCAATCCAGGTCCTCAGGCGCGCCGAGCGTCTTCAGTTTGTCGATCGTCTTCCTGTGGTCCTTGTGCAGGCCTCTCGTCACACCCTCAGTCTTCGCAGTATCATGCTCTGCGTCGATCGAGGCCTTCCCCCCTATCCCCGCTGGCATACGGGCCCTGCACTCGACCTGGCTGGCGTAGCACCTCCGGTAGCCCCACCGAGCGGCGCCGTCGTGCTCCTTGGCCAGCTCGTCGTGCAGCCTGAAGCTGAGCGGCACAATGTTAGACGGAAACGCCCACTTGGCAAGCAGCCCGCCGGCCTTGCCGCTGGACCCACCCGCGATGCCGTTGTGTGCGGGGTTGAGCTTCTGCGCCCGCGATGGGTCGGCGAGGGTGCCAGGATCCGTGATGCTGTCCTCGGTACGGCCGCCGCTGTTGGTAGCCGCGGCCTCGAGCAGAGTGATGCGGTGATTTGACGGTGAGTATGATGGGTGGCGAGTGAGGAAGTATGCGGTGGAGCAGCCGATGATGCCGCCGCCCACGATGGTGATGTCTCGCTGCGGTTTTTGTTCAGCGGAAGACATGGTGGCGACTCGTGACAGGGTGTTGAGAGAATGACCAAGGCGGACGACGGTCCTGCGCTGCATCAAAGTCTTCGCGATTCTGGCGGTCGAAATTGGCGAGTCCCAATGAGGAGGTCTGACAGAGCTTCTCAAGTGGCGGTGATAATTAGCTGTTGATGGAACGAGTGGCGTTGATAAGATGTGTCAACCCTAAAAAACTGATGCGTGACGTTTGGACTGGCTCTACGTCATTGGCACCATGAGATGCTCCACCAAAGAGCTTGCCGTACAACAAATGAAACAAATAGTCTCCATCACCCACGAGCATGATGAGCCTCACTCTTGACAGCGATCATAATTCATAGCACAACATGGATAATTCCTTCTATGTAATACATTCAAACATTCAACCACACCATATCGGGTTATAAGCTGTAGCCTCCATGACATCTTCTGGCTGTGTAGAGCGACAAACTAAACATGGTTTCAGTGACGATTTTCTACAGGATCTGACGCCACACACAACACCAGCCAGGAAGCCTCTTGCAGGGCAACAAATAGGTACGATGCAGATTGAAAACGAATAGCAGCACACCAAGTATAAGCACCGAGTTCGCCTGCTTGATGTTATGAGTGTTTCCAATGAGGGCCGGATGATGAGGATAGCGTACTGGTCATGTTGATGAGTAGATATATGTATTTCTTTCCGTCACCTGGAGGCTGGAGTACGGCTTGGATACGTTCGTAGGGCTTCTGTGTCATTCATGAAGGTCACTGATACAGGCAGGAAGAGCGAGCCTGAGCTGCTTGACGAAGCTGAGCAGCGAGATAGGGCAAGCCAATTGGAATACATTTTTGGGGGTGACGTCCGCTTTCGAATTCAACGGCTTCGAGCATTCTCCCTTGGCCGATCGATGCTATGGCTAATCACATTTCGTGCAATGACCACAGTCGAACGTGGGTCACAGACAAGTGACTGGTAGGCTTCGTGAGTTGCCGAAATGAAGATTCACTGCAGACCGGACGCGGTATAAAATGCCTGCTTTTCGACGATGTTCTAGAGCAACTATATTCAGAAGATCAACACTCAGAATCTTCAAGTCGGGTCCTGAATAGCTGCTAACTAAAAGGTAGGCATTTATTACGCGGGGAAAACCGTCGGAAACATAGTCTGGGACGGGTACCAATACATTTATGTCGTGCAAGTCACTCACAAGAGAGTAGTGAAATCTGATGTTAGTTCAAGGCATGCAGAGGTACTTTCGAGGATCGTAACTAACAGCTACCATACAGGGCACCTTTACTTGGCAAAAGGTAATAGATCCTAAAACGGCGACATTCAACGCAGAGGACGTGAGCCCGACTCAGAGAGGCAGACAGGCAGGCTGGGCCACGTGATCTTAGAGGTGTCGATCTTTTTCGTGGAGCTATGTTGGCATACTGGGTAACAGAGAAGGTAGGGGGGATGTCTTGCCGAGAAAGGGTAGGCATAAGGAGATTAGACAGTAAAATGAACGAGCTTTGCCAGTAGTAAATGTTCCGAACACGTAAGATCTGTGATAAAAGTTCTATTATAGGCTGTGCTTTCGAAATTCTTGATGACTTATTTTCCAATTGTTGAAAGCTCGTCGATTGCATGTATTGCATATAACCTAGGAATTGATTGATGCAAGTTACATTATATGTATTATAACTCTTAATAAATATGGTATTCTTTTCAGAACAACTATAAATAATTGAATTCAATTCTAAGAAAAGTTATTTTCATACCAAACTAACAAGAAGTTAACGCGGGCAGATTTATTCGACGGCGCGGCGGACGGGTTGTTTGGCTGGTGGTGGTTGCATACGGACCACCTGCAGCCCAGGGGCCTCTGCTTGTAAAGCCTGACAGCGATCGGAGCCAAACCTTCCCTCCTTCGCCTGCTTCTTAGCAAGAGAGGGTTATTTTCAGATTTCCACAACATTGAACAAAGCTCGAGAGCGTCGCCTCTTCCATGACCCTCTGGTGGCAACTCAGAGATAACATAGAAACTTACTAAGTAAGCTCAACATTCCGCAAGGATCCCAAACAATTCGTATTCGAGAAGGCGTAATTGGCTTATTCGTTTATTGAGTCCCCCTCACAGAGAACTATCACTAGAAGAAATACGTGGGGAATAATGGGGCTCTTCCATAATTATGGGAGACCTGTTGCCTCCCACGTGCCTTCGTATTCAAATACGATAGGAGGCTTTCCTCTTCCCAAGAAGGTAAGGACAAAATGTATCTACAGGGGGATGCTCGGGATCCCTGCGAGCTAAATTCACTTCTTGAATCCGAAGAACCTGGTCTCGTGACCAAATATAGAGTCAGGGGCCTAATTGCCGAACGCGCCAAGTTGCCGAATAGGCTATGCCAGTATTTTTCCTACTCAACTGACTTGGAGAATATGTGTAAGGCCAAGCAGTTCAGACTCCACAGCAGGAGAACTGATCTCATGGAAAATTTTTATCAGATCCAGAGATAATCTGTCAGGGTTTCGGGATGTGCCGATGCTCTTCCGTATTTTCTCTCCTCTTTCCGTTCGCATTTACTATGATGTGTACACGGTTTCTTTTCTGGTCCTATATGAACCATCCTCACACAAGCAGACGGTTGCAAAAATGTCTGCTGAAAGGAGTTCCCTTGGAGAGAAAATTCGAGGTAATACACAATAAAGTGGTATGGTTTGGAATGACACTAAACGTGGCGCAATAGTCTTCTTTCTGGGTGATGAGGCAAAGACCAAGGAGGAGAGGAAGCTCGTGCAGAAGATCGGTAGGTGACACCAACTAACTTATCTGAGATCTTGAGCTGACGGTGGTAATAGACTTCTTTATTCTGGTAACTGCATCCGCTCGGCCGCCTCAAGGGTTCCCAATTAACTTTTTAAATCCAGACTTACTGCTGTCTCAGTTACTTCTTTAACTTTCTTGGTAGGAGCCGCTCGAGTCCATCACCCAGCGACCGATGCCGAAATTGCAGCTAAACTTCACGCGACTCTGTAGATCGGGCTGCTTTTGCCAATGCATATGTAAACTTGTGCCCTAATATCTTTTGCAAATTGATGCTCATCATTGATGCACAGGTCGCTGGGCTTCGCGAAGCCCTGGACATGAAGGGTCATGATTACAACACCGTCCTTTCGGTCACTACTGCTGGGTCAGTCAACCCAACGTTTTGAGAGAAAAGCAGTCAGGATATAAAGTAGATCTGACCAGAACAACCAGAATGGCCGTCGGCAAGATTCCCCACGGACTGATCATACAAAAGATCAAGCCGCGCATCTGGCTTCCGTCCATGGTCGTTGTCTGGACGGCTTTGACAGTAGGTTTCATTTGACTGAAGACTGAGTCGTCAATCCAGAGACTTATTTGATTCATAGATGGTTAGTGCAGCATGCAAGACAGTTACCCAGCTTTGCGTCGTCCGTTTCTTTCTCGGTGTTGTAGAGGCCAGCAGGTATGCCGGAACAATTTACATCATTGGCTCGTGGTACAAGCCCAAAGAGATCTCCAAGCGTACGGCCATCTTTACGGCCTCTGGCCAGGTCGGAACCATGTTTGCTGGGGTCATGATGACTGCAATCTACAAGGGTATGGGAGGATTGGGTGGTCTTCAGGGCTGGCAATGGGTGTTTTTGATTGATGAGACGTGAAGGTTCGAACGTGACTTAACAAAAGGCGGACACTGACACACCACCAGACGGAATCATCACGTTTCCCATCGCCTTGTTCGGGTTTTTCTATTTCCCGGACATCCCGAAAAACACCACGGCAAACTACCTAAATGAATCCGAGAGGCAGTTAGCTGTTGCTCGCCTTCCTCCAATCAAGGAAGGAGGACACAGCATCAGCCCCTTTTCACTTATGAAGCGCTTGTTTCTTCAACCTTCGTTGTAAGTTCAATTTGTCTTTTCTCATCGTACAACTCACTCACCTGTACAACAGCTGGATCCTGGTATTCTGGTCTCCTGTTTGCGCTACCCTCGAAGCCTATTCTGTTCAAAACAACTTCCTCATATGGCTCAAGTACCAGTCTTCACACTTCACTCAGAGTCAGATCAACACCTATCCTCTCGGTGTACAGGCTGTCGGTATCGTGTCCAACATGTTGGCAGCCTGGCACATGGATGCCACCGGAACCCGCGTGCCCATGGCCGTTCTGACTGTGATGTTACAATTGATCTGCGCCATCATGCTTCTGGTCCCAACACTGCCGTTTGCCGGGACTTTCTTCGCATTCTACCTGTCCGGCACTGCGTACATGGTCAATCCGCTAATCTTTGGCTGGGCGAGCATCATTCTCCAGCGCACTGGAGACGACGCGGTCCGCAGTGTCACTGTCTATTGCATGAATGTCCTATCTTTGACTCTATATACCTTCTGGGGTATTGTGTTCTACGCTGCTGATGAGGCCCCGTATTGGAAGAAGGGTGGCATTGTCATGATTGTCTGCTGCTGCGTCATGCTGGGCTATGTGTGGGTTGTGTGGAAGGCGAGTCATGATCAAATCCTGTACTGGTCATGAGAATAATACAACTGACATATCGAATCACAGCTTGATAAGTATACTTTCAAGAAGTATGGAAAACTTACCGTCGATGAGTCGGAGGTGTCGCCCGCAAGCCTGCGAGAAAGCGTTGGCAGTCAGACGGCGAATCGATCAGAAATCAAGAATAATATCGGTTCCGAGAAGACAGTCACCATCTAAACTTGCCCGGACTATCATTTCTTCGACCTGGATGCATCCTCGGCATCTCGGGAGAACAAAGGGCGAGCCAAATACCAGTCTCAATCGACTTCGTGCAAGACCGGTCGTGTTTTGACTGAGATGGAACATAGATCATATGATAAAATGCGGATAGAATCCAACATCGTGATACATATACTTCGTACTGTCACAAGTCTCTCGGAGATAGAATATTCGCGAAACGAGTGCCACTTGGATCTACCGTACACTTATCGCCGGTCGCTGAAATTACCAACCCTCCCAATACCTCTGGCTACCTTGGCTATCCTGAAGGAAGACCAGACCTGTTACGAAAGATATTGAAGCATTTTTTCGCGACCTCTTCAGCAATGACTGAGTCATCTACTGCAATCTCGTCCCTGCTTTTCCCCAAGGTCGCAAGTCTCATGTGCTTCAAAACCATGGCCGGTATCATGTAAGCCTTGCCAACAAAATCTTGCGTCAAGAGTCTTTGTTCAGCAATGACGAGGTAACGTTCAAAAGTTTTGCCATATCTGTCTTTTAGTTCAGTTACAAGGGTCCACGGTTGTGGGTCTACCATATGGCTCTCTAGTTGAACGCAAATCAAAAGGACTGCTTGAAGAGCAATAGTTTGGAAGATGGAGCTCGATGAGCGCATCATGACCGTTAGTGGATCAGTATCTGGCCACTTGTTTTGGTCTGAAGAAGGATTGAGCCTGTCCAATAGAGAAAGGGCGGTTATCGTGCATATATTGTGAGCATATGCGGACGATGGCACTTTGAGTGACGCGAAGGGGATATGAAGGGCCAATAGTGATCTTTTACACAGAATAGTTGCTAGTCCATGCATGAACGTTGTGTGGCTGGGATGATGACAAAAATCCGGTGATAGCAAAGATTGCGCTGCAGAGCCTAGCTGCTGATGAAGGATGAGAGCTTCCTCGTAGCTGGTTGAGGATTTGGCGTTATTGAGAAAGTGTGCGATCTCAACTCTCACCGGTAGAGTGGATATCAGAGAAGAGACGGGCAAGGGAATGTTTTGAGAACCTTCGAGAGTCTCTGTATCGGCGGAAGGTGTTTTTGGTAATGGCATATCCCAATCGCCAGGAACCAATGTTGGTTGCATTCCCTCATCCATAGAACTTTGCAGATCAAGCTCTAGAATGACGTACCACAGGTGCTGATATATTTTAACTCATCCAGGCTGAATTGTTGGCCTGTGGAAGAAGGGTCTCGATGTAGACCTGCCAACATGGCGTTGCGTACTAGTGCTCCAGATGAGGGCCAGTTCGCAGATGCTTCCAGACTGTAGGACTGGCGCATGAGACTGATCAGACAGGAAGTCTGCAATATTTTGATGTCGCAAGGGTTTGATCGAAGCGTGATGTTCTGCCAAGCTTGGATAAGATGCCACCAGGTTGTAATCTTCGCGAGGGGAAGGCGGCCCAACGTCGAATGAATGGTCGAATTGCCGACCGCGATAACCAGTAAAAGGTGAATACAGAAGGCCAAGGACACGTTTTCTGGTGACGCCCAACTTTGTTGTACCTCGGCTTCGAAGCTAGCCTGATCCAAAAAGAGAAAGACGGAGCCATATGTGTCAAAATAGCTACGGATGAGTTTGTTGGCCGTATCTTTGTCTGGAACCTCTTCGAAAACGGAACGTTGTGTTTCCTCCAAGTCTTCAGAAATGATGAGTCGTCGTCGGAACAGCTGCTCTTTGACGTCACTATAAAAAGTGAAGTTGCCGTCGCGTTCGATAAAGCCAGCTTGGCTCAGAGGTATCGTAATGTGTTCCAACTGGTGACAATGTCAGAGGTATTGTACACACACATTGGGTCACGCATCACACCTTTTCAAAGAGCCAGTATACGCTGCTTCGCCCGTACCAATTCCTCTTCGGAGCATTTCGGGCGACTTTTGTTACAACCACCGGGTGCTCTTCACCGTCCCTGACCACTGTCGTTTTTGGAGTTGATACATGGATCTCTGGACCATTTTGGTCGTGTTCTTTCCGCCTCACGACTGTTTCCGGGAAGGCCGAACTTTCGTAGGCGCCCGGTGATATCTGTGGGGATCCCAGGCGGATCACTTCCTCTGTTCCGCTTGGTGACGGCTCAAAATTATATTCGTTTTGATTCGGGCTATGGAATTGTATTGTTCGAGGCTGTCGTAATTCACGTGACTCGTTCGTCTCAGCTGCCGCATCGTCGAAGACGCAATTGCGAGGGGGCTTTGCCTTGGAGCATCGATCACAGGGCAGCCGCTTGTTGCACTTTAGCTTTCGGCGATGACATTCATGGCATACCAGCAGTGGCCGTTCCCTCCGCCGTCGGAAGGGCCGGTCCCCTCTCATTGCTCGGACGTCGAGCATAACGTGAGATGCTAATCGAACCACGGGATGGGTGGGCAACAGACGGACTGAGTTCGACGAATGGAGATGGCGAAACGTGCGAGGAGCAGAATGCGAAGATCGAAGTTGACGGACTTAAACATGCTAAGTGTTTGGTGACATTGATCTCGGTGGACCCCACTTGTAACGCCGAGAAAGTCTAATTACCACCCTTGTCGCGGACTTAAGTGTGGAACAGGATCGTGTGAAAGCGGACAGCCAGTATAAACCAAGCATTGTACGGATTTACAAATTATTCAGCTCAGATTAATATCTTTTGCAAGCAAAACTAGGTAGTATTTGCAGCTCTCTTTTTTCCATCACGCATCCATCTCCGCCGAATACTAACGTATCTACGACATCTGGCATCACCAAGATGAGCAAACGAGCGCAGCAGACGGGTTTGGCCGAATGGCCCAATGAGAACGACCCAGAAAATCCTCGAAACTTCTCTCCTTCGACGAAATGGGGACTCACGATTCACTATGGACTCATGACCCTGGTCATCACCTTTGCCAGTTCTGTCTTCAGCTCCGCTACGACCGTCACCAGCGAGCTTTTCCAAGTGTCTTCCAAAGTTATGTACCTGGGCACAGCACTGAATGTTCTTGTACGTGACTTCAAATACCCTAGCCAAACATATCATTAAAGTTACTGACGTGCTTTACCCTCGCTAACGGTGCGTATCGCAGGGATTCGCGTTTGGTCCTCTCATTTTTGGGCCTCTTTCAGAAGTGTACGGCCGTAAATCACCACTCATTATCGGTTTCTTCATCTTCTGTATCTTCAATATCCCTGTTGCTGTTGCAAAGAATTTGGAGACTATCCTAATTTGCAGATTCATCATTGGTATCGGCGGAGCTGCTCCTTTGACAATCTCTGGTGGTGCATTCGTTGACATATTTTTGCCTGTTGAAAGAGGTGTCGCGGTATGCGTCTTCGGCAGTGCTACCTTCATGGGCTCAATAATTGGGCCCATTGTAGGGGGTTTTGTCACCGAGTCTTATTTGGGCTGGCGATGGACGGCTTGGTTGACCTTCATACCCGGTTCGGTCCTCTGGATGGTCCTCTTCGCTCTCATTCCGGAGACTTACGCCCCAGTCATTATTGCTCGCAGAGCCCGACGAGACAAACCAGATATCGAGGGATCAATGAACCGTGTGTCACCAGAGGGTATTCAACTGGAGACCAAGGACATTGTTCGGAGGTATTTGCTCAGGCCAGTAGCCATGCTCATCCGTGAACCTATCCTTGCCCTTATGACTATCTATATGTCACTGATTTATGGCATATTCTACCTATTCTTCGAGGCTTACCCGATTTCCTTTTCCGAAGAAAGAGGCTGGAGCTTGGGCGTTGGAGCGTTACCCTTTCTGAGCATTGGTCTGGGTATTATTCTTGGAACACTCGTCGTTCTAGCTCACCTACGACTTCGATTCAAACCAGCTTACACGAGAGGGGAAACTGTTCCACCGGAAGAACGCCTTGTACCAATGATTATCGGTGCCCCTTTGTTTCCAATCGGAATGTTGTGGTTCGCCTGGACAAGTAACCAGAACATCCACTGGATTGCTCAAGTGTTGGCTGGAATTCCTATGGGGATGGGCATCATGCCGATTTTTATACAAGGCTTGGTTTACATTATCGACACATACGCTCAACTATCCAGCAGTGCCGTCGCTGCGAATGTGTTTCTCAGGAGCTGGATCGCAGCAGCCTTCACGATGTTCGCCACGGCTATGTACCATAACTTAGGTTTGTGATTCCATCTCGTACCTTCAACGTTGTCAAGGCTGAAATCTGACTTCAATGTTTGCAAGGCGTTGCATGGGCTTCCTCCTTGTTGGCGTTCATCTCGATTGCTCTAATTCCTCTGCCGATTCTTTTTTTCCGTTATGGAAAATTGATCAGACGAAAGAGCAAATATGTTCCGTGTGTGGAATGAAACCCGTAGCAAGGTGGGTTATGTTATTTAGATTAGGGGCTAAGGTCATGGAGGATCCTCGAGCATTGCAGGCGGCTTATGTGACAGCTCGATTTCTGCAACCAGGCTTGCAACTACAACATGACAGGAAAAGTCTGAGTTGTCCGGCTTTTCTTCGCCAGTAAAGGCATTGGTGACTTCGATGGCCATCTTGGAATTGACAACAGTAGTAGGAAAATTTCTATGTGGGAAGGTTTCACCTCGCTTGAATTACTCCAGAAATGCATTGCCAAGATGCGGTGATTCTAGATGGTGCGTAATCCTTCTTGCATCAATCAGGATTCTGCCAATATGAGCAGAGACCCACTACCCTATCTCTGGGCAGTGACATGAGTAGATATCTGTGTCTGTGTATGGATGCGGGTGTGTACGTGTGTGGGTACCAATTGACGTGTGCGTGCATCTTGCCAAGTCACGGGTTGTGGTAGGAAGCTGAGATTTGAGTGACGTTGGTACTGGAAGATGGCCCATCTAAGTTACAGCGAGCGTTGAAAGCGTCGGGTATTGACAGCCGCACACACGTTCTGGGGTTAAACCCCGGAACACTGTGGGGCTGTAACGGCGCTCCACGATGATATCTTGCAAGAAGTGGTGACTGAATAACGCTTTCTGTCGACACTTTGCAAAACACCCCTAGGAAGGAATCCCACACAGCATCACATCGCCATGGACCTCTGCCAATCTTGCCACGATTGTATTGTCATGCGTTGCAAGAACTTACATGACCGGGCATTTTATATCGACCCTAAACCCGGGATTGAGTTCCTTTTTGAGGACCTTCCTGAAAGATCCAGACACTGCCGCTTCTGTCGTCTGGTATATCATCATGCAGCAAAAGCTCTTGACAGTCCTATGAGGTCTTTCAGCAGGAATTCTGAGAAAGGACCTTTTCTGTCACGGGCTTGTCCTAAGTTAATGGAGAGCCCTATGACCGAGATGGATATTCACATCCGGCCGCGAGGCGACCTGTTCGACCGTGGTGTCACATTTCGTGCCGCTTTGTGGGCTGATCCAGGTAACTATTCACACCGACCATTCAACAGCTTCCCTCCTCTTCCTAAACTCTGATAGACAGTCCTGCCGCTACATCTGGCTCCGTTAGTTGTGATCCACCGCTGCTCAGTGATCATTGCCCAGAGGCTCTTGCACTCTTCCGAGTCTGGTTCGAAACCTGCCGTGAGAACCATGAGAACTGCAGACTAGCCCTAGATGGAACGCTCGTTGACGAGGATCTGGGACCGGAACTACCCACTCGTGTGCTAGATCTTGGCCAACCGGGCGCTACTGACATTGTCCTCAAAGAGACAAAAGGACTACGCGGTAACTACTGCGCTCTATCGTACTGTTGGGGCCCTGCAGACACACAGACTTGTATCACAACCAGGACTAATCTTGAGCAACGTCTTTCAGGGATAGTTCTCGAATCTATGCCCAAGACCTTTCGAGACGCAGTTCAAATCGCACGTCAGATCTCGATGCGATACCTTTGGATCGATGGACTGTGCATCATTCAAGGCGATAAAGAGGATTGGGAACGGGAATCCAGGCAAATGGGCACTGTCTACCAGATGGCTTGCTTGGTTATTGCCGCAACAGGGGCGATGAACCCGGGAGAGGGGTGCTTTATAAGCACACCTAGAGAGCTCTCGTCGGTGGACCTCCCCTTTTACTCAAGCAACGGCCAAAAGGCCGGCTCTTTCCAAGTGTGTGTATTCTCCTGCGACGAACGATCACCGTCTCGCGGCCACCTTCGTACCAGAGGATGGGCCTTTCAAGAATCTTATCTTGCGCGAAGGATACTGCATTTCATGCCAGGAGGCCCATCATGGTTCTGCTATGACTCTGGTATCCTTGATGGAGACGGACTCAGCGAGAGAAACAATAGAGTCAGTGACCAGAGTCGCCCTGATTGGAGCACATTACTATGTTACTTCTCCCGCATGAGGCTCACTCACAGTTCGGACCGGTTGATGGCTCTGGAGGGGATTGCAACTGAGTTGCAGAAAAAGACAGGAGACACCTACAACCGGGGCGTGTTCTTGTCTGAACTCACTAATTATCTCCTGTGGATCAGTGAAGATACGGCGTCGGAGTCAGAGGACCTGAGTGACATACCGTCTTGGTCATGGGCCTCAAAGGGCGGCCCGAAAGACTTCTCGTTCCCTAGCCTGGGGTATAATATGGTGCCCGACGACCGTGCCAAGATCTACATCAACGCTCAAGGACATCTCAGAATCCAGGGAATTGTTGTAAAGTGCAAGGTGTACAACACCCTCCTTGACGATGAGAGTTTCCATGATCCAAGGAGCCGTGTCCTATACGGTACAATTTCACATTACACCGGACAGGCACCCTTGTATATAGAAGGGCTAGCTCCGAAGTGCCATGGCTTCGCAGTGTTCGACCGTCAACATTTCGATTCCGTCTACTTCCTACCCCTAGGGAGGACCATCTTGAAAGCAGTTTTCTTGGGCCTTCAAGATGTCTTCTTCGGTCTTGAGTAAGCGTAAACCAATCCGGTTTTGGCTTCCGTGTAACGCTGACATTATTTGAGTGACTCGCCTATTGTTCCGAAGGAACGAGAAATTCAACCTTCATGGTATGAGGTGAGAGCACCACAGTCCCATCCAAGTGAAATCACCAATATTAATAAGTCGTTTTTAAATAGTTTGTTACTTCTGGATTGCTATTAATCTCCATGCCAGATCAAGTTGAGTGCTATCAACGCGTTGGCATAGGATTGACGATGCAACCACAACACGACGGATCTCTTTTCAAAACTATCCACATTCTTTAAATCCCCGTTGTGCATATTTATAAAACATCCTCTTCGATGTCTTTTGAGGTAATTCAAGAAGGTCTATTATCTATGACCTGATTCTGTTATAGTATATCAGTCACTGAGACTGGCACCATAGTACAGGCAGGACAATTTTCACACCGACCTTGGGAATCAACCCCTCCTTCTATCCTGGGGGGAAAAGAGGACTTAGCAAATCCGTACTACTACAATCAGCCTTTAGTATTTTATGAAAACTCTTTCAAAGAACAGTCTGACAATCAGAGATCAATACAATCAGATTTGAACATCACCACTTGGTGCATACTTTCCGCGACTTCCTAATGTAGGCACTGCACCATTGTCAAGGACAAATGCCGTTCATATGAGGCAAATTGGTGTCAAGAGAAACAAAATGGCCCTAAGCTTGCGTCTCAAATTTCATGATTACAGGACATACAATCAATCATACCCCCTCACCTGTCAATCTGTGTTCCGGCGCACACTGCGCCGATCATCTTGGAGACTACAATCTGTGACAGAGAGACCTCTGTACACGCACAGGGGGTTGTTGCGCCCTCTAACCGAGAACCTTGGAGACAACATCCAAATTTGACATCGAATCTTGTGCTGGCTTTGCCAATATTTGCTTTAACCAAACCCCAAGGCCGGTTTCTCCCCCTGTTGTCGCTGAGCCTTTCCCAGTAACGTTTGTTATAGAGGCAGAGAAATTTTAAGGAAACTCACAGACAGAAAACGATGATTTTGAAACGACGAAGACCCTTGTCTATGTATGTAATAGTGCAGTAACTAGGATTAATCGCTATATCCGGCGGATACATAATGGTATATCATGGCAATAGTAAGACCAGTAGGAGTAAAAGCCAAGCGGACATCAAAGACAAAAAAAAAAAAGAAAATCAAAATCAAAAATAGCAGCGCTTATCCCGAGTACCAAATTCTTAAATCAGTGCAACTAGGAGTCTTCTCGATCAGCCTTCCACCAACACCGGCTCCTCCCCTGCCACAATCTCGACGCCAAGCTTGGCCATCATCCGCTCCGAAGCCACCCGCGCGAGCCCCTCTAGCGACTCGGCCTGCACGATCTCCAGGACGCTGACGTCAAGCGCCATACTCCGGCGGAACCAATTGCGCAGCTCGATAGCCACGAGCGAGTCGACACCCAGCGCCGACATAGCCCCGCGGATGTCCAGCTCCTCGGCCGGCCGGATCATGAAGCCGCCCAGCGTGGACTGGATGTGGCCCGCCAGTTCCAGGACGCGGTCCTCTTGTCCCAGGAGGTGAGGGTCCGACTCGACCGCCGCCAGGAACGACTTGAGCCCACCGTCGTCGGCGGCCTGGGCTTGGCCGCCACCAGCGGAGGTGCCCGGGATGTCGCCCGCCAGCGCCAGGTTCCTGTACTGGCTCATGCGTGGGTCCTGCTTCCATGCCACATTGTTGTGCGTCGCCGACAGTGACTGCGTGGTCCGCAGACCCAGGCCCACCTGGCCGCCGCTCACGTACGCGGCGAGTGGGCCCCCTGACTCCGACGACGACTCCTCTTCCCACCGGCTGAGGGCTGGGGAGGATTTTTTCATGGCCAGCTCGAGGGCGTCGATGACGTCCTGCTCGCGCAGGATGTGGTTGGAGAAGGCGCGCAGCTGGTTCATGACCTTTGCGTTCTGGCTGACGTAGCCGACATCGACGACGGGCCCTAGGTCCAGGACCGAGGCTGCGAGGCCCTGAGCGTGGCGGAACTGCACGAACGAGTCGAGGAAGGTGTTTGCGCTGGCGTAGTTGGCTTGGCCGCGCTGGCCGATGAGGCCTGCCAGGGAGCTGAAGAGGACGAAGAAGTCGAGGTCGTTATCCGCGAGCGCCGTGTGCAGGTTCCAGGTTCCGTCGATCTTGGGCGCTGTTGCTGTTGTCCAGTCCTCGTATGTCATATTTTCAAACATGCCATCCTGTTTCGATTTGTTTTGTCAGTATTTCAATCTTGTCATCACTTTTCCAAATGCCCCAATATGATGGATATACGTACCCTCAGGACCATCGACATCTGTATAACACCGGCGATGGGCAGCCGGGCATTCTTCACAGCCCGCCGGACGTCTTCCTCGCTCGTCACGCTGCCCTGGACGAGTTGCGCCGTGCAACCCATCGCCGCCAGCTCCTCGACGAGGTTCGCGTCGTCGGCACCCTTGCCAGCGCTGCGGGACAGGTAGATGAGATTCCTCGCCCCGCGCTCGGCCATCCACGTCGATATGGCCCGGCCCAGCCCGCCGAGCCCACCGATCAGGAGGTAGGAGGCGTCGGGCCGTAGCGAGAGCCCAACGTGAGCCGGAGCAGTGTGCAGCAGTGAAGTATTCTCGGGCATGCGTACCACTAGCTTACCCATGTGCTTCCCCTTCTGCATGAACCGGAACGCCTCCTGGATGTTGGCGCCGTCAAAGACCTGCATGGGCTGAATCGGCCTGATTGAGCCGAAGCGGTACAGGTCCATCATCCTCTCCAGAACTCTGCGCATCAGACGCGGGCGTCGCTTGCAGAGCGGTATCATGTGCACCCCGAAGAAGGACCGATTCTCCTCGAAGACCTCCATGGCCAGGCGCCCCTGCCCCATGAAGTCACGCTTACCCAGCTCGATCATGCATCCAAACTCGGCTACACATTTCCACTGGAGAGAGAAAGGTTTTGGGTTAGTAATTGCTCTGATCCACGTCTGGTATAGCTGTGTGGGGGCAGTTGGGTCACTTGGGGAGATGGAGGAGGTTCATGGGGCCAGGATAGCTGAAGGCAAACATACCGAAGCATGGAGAAGCTCCCCGGATAGGGAGTTGAGCACGACATCAACGCCTTTCCCGGCCGTCTCACGCAGAATTCCCGGCAGGAACTCCGAGTTCCTCGAGTTGAATATGCGGTCCCGCGGGATTTCAAATGTCTCCATGAGATACTCAACCTTCTCGTCGGTCCCTACAGTAACAAAGACTTCGGCACCGACCACTCGACAGATCTGTATTGCCGCGATGCCGATGCCGCCGCACGCCGAGTGTATCAAGACGGTCTGTCGGTCCTGGGTTAGCACCACTCTTGTTGAGATACAATCGAAGGGTGGAAGCACTGGTAAAACCTCCTCTTCCTTGGATATTGCTTACCTGTCCTGCTTCCAAATTTGCCAGATGAAGCAGCCCATAGATGACGGTTCCGAAGACGCTTGGCATCGTGGCCGCCTCCTCGAAGCTGAGGCCGTCTGGGATCTTGACACACATGTCCGCTGGGGTCTTGAGAACAGTCGAATAGGAGCTGGTGGCGATGACGGCAACCCGGTCTCCCACCTGGAGGTCGACGACGTCTGGACCTAACCTTGTGACGACCCCGGAGCATTCGACGCCGAGGCCGCTGGCGCCTTCTTCGTTCCCGTCGACGATGCCCATGGCGATCAGCACATCCTGATATGAGGCATTAGCATTAAATTTTAGGAGATTAACAAACACCAGAACCAAGAAAAGCCTCTAGGGTTTTTTTTTCGACAGAACAGACGTACCTTGAAGTTCATGCCCACGGCACGAGTTTCCACCAGCACCTCTCCAGAGTCAGGCTGCGCCAACGGTGGCGCATCCCTCCACTCCAGGGTCTGAAGGGAGCCCCTCTTGCCTATCTCGAGCTTCTTGATCCCCACTGAGCAGTTGGAATCTCTCTCGGCCAGCTCCTTGGATATTGAGAACCAGTGGAAACGCGGGATGTATAGTGAGCCCCCGCTCCACGAGCACTCGCTGTCGGGATTGACGTCGTCATCGCTTGTGGCAGGCTGGTTGCGGCTGCGCTGGAAGACGCCAAAGACGGCGTCCATTGAGCCCTCGCTGGTGAACTCATCCATTTCCAACGTGGCGATGTTGATCTTTTGCTCGTTGCGCAGCACGCGCGCCAGCCCTATGATGGAGCCGTACCGTGGGTCGGAGCACCCGAGCTGGCAGGGCCGTGTCAGCCAGAGGATGCCGTCCTTGGTGCCCGTCTTGATCATGAAGTCCCTCAGTTGCTCGTAGTCCTTGCCTGCGATGCCGTTCAGGAACGAGCTACCCTCCAGGTCGAGGATAGATATGACCGCCTGCTTCGGTTCGTCGCGCACAGAGACAATGTCCACCGTCATGCCTCGCTTCTGTAGGGCTGCGGAGATTGTTGTGGCGACACTTCCGTCTGGCTGTCCGGAGAGCAGCGAGACGGTGTTGGTCGTGCTCCTCTCGACAGCTGGAGACGCGATGATGACGACCTCGTCCTGGAAGGGCAGCTCGTCGTCGGGGACCACCGCTTCTGGCTTGGAGAAACCCGCCTTGGAGAGCTCGAGGGCCCATCGCTCGGGATCTACATAAGGCTCTTGCGCCCTTCCGTCTTCAGTACCGAGCCACCAGCCCGGCAGGGTACCCTGTTTGAAGAATGGTGTCAGCTATTGCGTACATAGTATAGAGTAAAATGTCCACTTTCTCTCTCCGTACTCACCATGACAAAGTTCATAGCCTTGCTCTCGGTCCACATTTCCTGCAACAGCAGCTTTCCATCCGGCCGGAGCAGTCTGCGCGCGTTCTTCAGCGTTTCAGAGAGGCTGGGCGTGGCGTGCAAGACGTTGGCCGCGACGACGAGGTCGAACGACCCGAGCGCAAAGCCCTGCTCGCCCGGGTCGCGCGAGATGTCCAGCGTGAGGTACTCCATGCCCGGCACGTGGCCAAAGCGCTCCCTCGCGGCCCCAAAGAAGCCCGAGGAGACGTCGGTGAACACGTACGACTGGAACATGCGGTCGCCAGCGTCGGGGAAGAGCCCCTTGAGCACCAGCTCCGTGGTCCCACCAGTCCCGGCGCCGATCTCGAGGACGCGCAGGTGCGGCCTGCGGTGGCCCAGCAGGCGCAGGAAGCGCGAGAAGTCCCACCTGTGGCCCAGGTTGTACACCTGCGTCAGGATGTCGTCCTGCCGGAGCACGTCGAGCGCGTTGACCTCGCCGCTGAAGATGCCCTCGATGGCGCCCAGCACGCGCCGCAGCGCTGTCGCCACCACGGCAACCGGGGACCCCTCGAGCTGCGCCGTCACCTCGTCCAGTAGTTGTGCCCGCTCGTCCGCCGGCAGTCGCACGAGTTCCGCCGCATCGTCGACGAACGGATACTGCCCCTGCTGCGCGAGCCGCACGCGGTCACCGAGCCACCCCCGGAGCTTGACGAGGTGCTCTGGGACGTCCACGCCAGCCCCTGCGCCGGCGCGTTCCAGGGCGTCGATGCAGCAGAGAAGAGTGAGCCTTTGCAACGTCTCGGTGGGCCTCCGGGTAGTGTTCTCGGTTGAGACAAGCCCGGCAATGCTCTGGAAGTCAAGGTCAGGCCGCCACACAACGCGGGCGGCAGCGTGCGGGTCTTGCACACCAGCCTTCTCACCGTTGTCGTCGAGCGAGGTCATGCGGCAGCCACGAAGCCTCATAACCACCTCACCGTTGCCCGCGACGCCGACGCAGTCGCCGAGCACGCCGCCTGCGCCGTCCAGCCGCGAGGTGACCTCGGCGGCGAGCTGTGCGTCCGGCGTTGGCCGCCTGATGTACATTTCATCCAGGTAAGTCGGCACCGTCATGGCGCGGCAGTTGCGAGCCAGCCCGTGCATCGAGGCGAGCTGGAACAGCTGGAAGCAGAAGTCGAGCGTGACGGGGTGGTAGTGCGAAGGCTGCTCCGGCTGCGATACGTCGGGCACCTCGTTGGTCAGCCGCCGCACGATGCGCCCGCTCTCCGGGTACGCTGACACTCCACCGAGCCGCTGGAACGTTGGCCCGTACTTGAGCCCTGTCTCCCGTACCGCCTGGTAGCAGCTCGCCATGTTGACCTTCCTGGGGAGGTCGAAGATCTCGCGGTGTGGCTCTGGCCTCATGCCCTCGTCGGCGCCCGCCCTGACCTGGCCTGCGCAGTGCTTGGTCCACGTTGATTTGTTGGAAGCGGAGGAAGACGACGACGACGAAATGGTGAATTCGTACCACGAGGGGGAGGTGAGTGAGTTCGTGACCCTGACGGGCTTCATTGCCAGCACAAGCTCGGTCGGCTGGGACTCGTGCAGTATACACGCGGCGCTGATGGTGACCTGCCGCAGCGAGTATTCCTCAGAACCGGTCAGCTGCCTGACTGCTTCACAGATCATCACCAGGTACGCCGTGGCCGGGAGCACAATATCTCTGGCAATAACTGTAAATCGAGTGTTAGACAACTTTTTACCATACGTACACATATATGAATGTACACATTAAGATCACACCGGATGGGAAGGGCTCAGGTGAGTGAGGAGGAATAGGACATGGTGATCTGTTAGTAAAGGGTCTGTTGACCTACCATGATCACGACACCAGGGAACATCACCCAGCTTCAACACGTTCCTCCACACCGGCTCCAGGTCACCACAGTCATGAACGCGAGACCCCAGAAACTCATGGTGAGGGAATCGCCGCTTCCGCCACTCGCTTGACAACCGGCTCTCGTGCCAGTACCTTGCGTCTCTGTGCCATGGGTACCTAGGCAGGTCGGTCCGCACCCGTCCAGATGGGTTCATAACATCAAAGCGAATGTCGGCGCCGTTGACAAAAAGCTGTCCCGCCGCCGAGAGCATGGCACGGGTCTCGTCCGAGTCCCGCGTCAAGGTGGACACGTAGGTAGCCGCTGGTGTCTGTGCCGCCTTCAGTATCTGGCGAATGGGTCCTGCCAGAGCTGAGTGGGGGCCTATCTCGAGAAGGATCCAGTTCCCAGATGACTTGCGCTCCTGGAGTAGCTTCTGCATTGTTGTGTTGAAGAGTACCGGGCGCTCCATGTTTGAGCGCCAGTAGCTAGGACTCAAGCAGCCTTCGCTGTGGATCACCTGATTCGTTACCGTCGAGTAGAAGGGGACTGAAGCCGCCTTGCTGGTGATATGAGGTGCCAGGAGTCGCTCGTATAGGACACCCGGCTCCTTCATGTGGTCTAAAAATTCGTTAGTCAAGAGGGCTCTCAGCCTCATTTTTTTCCCTCCCCTGTTCGTTTACATTCCCCAAAAAGGGGCGCTGATTGTTGACTTACGCGAATGGTAGGCCTTGTCAACGTGCAAGCGCCTAGCAAAGATCTCACGCTCGGAAGCATCGTTCTTCAGCATCTCAATCACACGATCTATCCCCTCTGAGTCTCCCGACAAGGTTGTGCTGCTTGGGCTGTTTTCGCAAGCAACGACGACTCCCTCGGGCAAAAGTGGCCTGACCTCATCCGCGCCGAGGCCAATAGCAGCCATCGCGCCGGCTTTGTCCTGGTGTTTGGTGGCCAGTCCTCTAGTGTAGGCGCAGATGATGGTCTCTTGAATGGTGAGTGCCCCACACGCATAGGCAGCTGCGATCTCTCCGCTGGAATGGCCGATGACGGCGGCCGGGTCGACGCCCCAGGTTCGAAGGATGTTGACGATGATGATCTGGATGGCGGTGCATAGAGGCTGGGAGAACTCGGCCTTGCCGACCTGGCTTGTCTGTTTTGACTTGCCTAGCTCCTCTGATATCGTAATTCTTTATGTCAGCCAGCACGCATCTCAGGTAAGAGGTCTGGGTAGAGAATGAAGGGGTTTCTTACCTGCGATAGTCCAGCTTGGTGCCACCCCGGGCTCAAGCTTCGAGAGTGCTTTGTCCATCAGGGCAACGTCGTCCTTGGCCGTGGGATATGCAGACAACAATTTACTGCCCATCGTTGCCCACTGGGCCCCCTGGCCCGTGAACACGAAAGTGACATCTGGAGCCGCCTTTGAATTTGCCAGCTTGCTTGGAGGCAGGAACTGTGGGACCTGGGAGCCGTCGGTGACAGCGAAGGTCCTCCACGTCAAATGCTCTCGGCGGACGGCGAGAGTGTAGGCCGCGTCAGCGAGCGCATCAGGGGTGTCTGCAAGAAATTGAGCATGCCGTTCTGCGCCAGTCTTGGCAGACTCGGCGTTGTTTGCGGTGTATACAAGAAGCCTGGGCTGAGATTCAATAGCTTGTTGATCCTCAGTTGTCTCGTCCGCTGCAGGTGTGCCTACACCAAATGACCGGGCCGAGTCAAGAATAACATGGGCATTGCTGCCGCCCAATCCAAATGCGTTGATACTGATGCGTTCGGCACGGTCCTCGGGCAAGGGGGTCGCATCCACAGGCACATGCAGACCGCGCTCCCATGGGACTGGAATGAGACCTGTCGTCAGCGGGTTGAAACTTGGGAAAGGCTGTTCTCAAGCAACTCTCGAGATGATGAAAATATGAGGGAACTCACTGCTGGGGTTCGGATTCTCAAAGTGAATATTTGGCAGCAAGGTTTGCCTTTCGAGGGCCAATACGCTCTTGATGACTGAGGTGATACCGGAGGCACCTTCGGAATGACCAAGATTTGGCTAGAATCAGGTCTTGTCAGCGCCGCTGTCCACTCGCGAAGGCAAAGTGTTTGTCTCTTTCTCTTCAATTCTTTTTGTCTTGTTGGGGAGTTTCGTACCTTGCTTGAACCAATACTGATGCCCCCATGCTCCCCAAAAACGTTGGCAACAGCCGTCGTCTCGGTCGGGTCTCCAGCCTTGGTCCCCGTACCATGGCATTCGAAATGCGCCGTCCTCCCTAGGTCTTCGATACCCGCGCTCTCGTAGCACGACCGTATCAGCGCCTCGTGGCCGATGGCGCTCGGGGCAAAGAGACCCTCGCCCTTTCCATCGGCGTTAGTCGCTGTGCCGCGGATGATAGCTCGGACGGGGTTCCCGTCCCTCAGCGCATCGTCCAGCCTCTTGATGTAGATCATGTTGACGCCCTCTGCGCGGCAGTAGCCGTCGGCCGAGGCGTCGAAGGACCTGCACTGGTCCCGTGGGCTGAGCACGCCGGCCTTGTACATGCCTGCCGTCTGCGTCGGGCTCAGGAGCATGTTAACTCCGCCGACGAGGGCGCCTCTGATATCGCCAGCGTGTATCGCCCTGAAAGCCTCATGAAGGGCAATGAGAGATGATGAGCAGGCCGACTTGACCACAAAGCTGGGTTAAGTTCAGCATGAAGTCAAACCCACACAGTAGGTAAGTGTCGCGAAGGATAGCGAATACATACCTGGGTCCCTGGAGGTCGTATTCGTGGGAGATCTTATTTGAAAACTGAAAGTCCATGATTCCGGTCACACTGTAGCCGTCTTCGGCACTCTGGGTATCTTTTGTGTGAAGTTCCTTCCAGTCCTCCCCCCATGTGCCAATGTAGCACCCGATGTCCTTTCTTCCACGCCACCTCACCTCACCGGCATTCTCAAAGCACTCTCTGTATTTTGATGTTAGCACTAAGCAATTTCACTAGACAAAGAGTTGATGAACGGTCCAGGTTCTATATCGCGCACCTTGTCAACTCAAGTAATATCCGTACTTGGGGATCCAGCCACTCCAGCTCAGCCCGTGTCATGGTGAATAGGGAGGCATCGAACTTCTCAATATCAACATCCTTCAGAAAATAACCATGGCGACTTCGCCCCTCGGGCCCGCCATGAAACGCTGCAGAGTTGTATCGCTCGGTAGGGACTACGTCGCGAGCATTACGTTTGTTGATAAGGAAATCCCAGAGCTGTTCGCCAGACGAGATATTCCCCGGTAGCCTCATGGCCATGCCGCAGATGGCCACAGGGACCGGACCCTGCGAGTCGGCCTGACCGGGCAGCTCGGACGGCTCATTGTTGATGTTGCTCACGTGGTCCCACGAGCCGGCGGATGTGCTTCCATCAGGCTGGTCTTCCGACCTAGCATCGACATCCAGGAACGTCATGGCCGATGTTGTGTATCTATTGTATTAATACAAGAAAAAAGAAACGTGATTGGGTGTTTCCGGCAGAGACTCGAAGAGCAGTCTTGACTTGGTGTACATATAGAATGTCCCGGTCACAGAAAAGGTCTCGCTCACCCCTGGCAACTACTAGTAGTTATTTGAGTGTACTTGATTATAGCCTTCCCCCTTCTGCATGGGTCCCCATTGCCCATAGCAGGGGGGCCAATCCATCCCGTGAGCCAGGTCCAGCTTGATAATGATATCTGAGCCGCTCTAGCACGACCAACATCCATATCTGCCTCTGCTGTTCACAACGATACGGCAGACCGAGGCTTGCCTCGTCAGCCAAGTTCAGCATTTGGCGGGTCCAGATCCTTCAGCAGGGCTATGTGCGTGTGTGCGCGTGTGTGATAGGCTCCCATACAGACTGGTGCCATAAGCCGCGCCAAGCTTCTCGGCCGGCTTGGAACTCACTGCGCTAGAGGTATTTGTACTGTCATGGACCCGCATGAGCTTTCGCACTGTGCACCCACCCAGACGTGTCTAGGGCAGACTGTAGATAGTCTAGAGCGGCGGCACAAACCGTTGGACTACCCCGGAGGAGAGATTCGTCCGAGCCCTGATACCGGCCCGATACGGCAACGTTCGTCGTCTGAGGAACCAATGAAGGCCCCGACCAGCCATCCGATGTTACTGTCTATACCAACAGGGCAGACTAGCGGTTCCCAAAAAAAGAAACCACGCAGATCTAATGCCACCGATTCAAGGGCAGGACGCTTGCGACTCCAAATCGTAACTAAATACCAGCTGAGCCTGGTTACCGGGATTGCTGCGTGGAAACCGTTACAGCATGTGTTGGTTCTAAGTTTTTCCAATATGACTGCCTAGCCTTGGTGGAGTCTTGGGATAACGCTGAGTGTGATAGGATCAATGTCTGCAGGCCCGAAGGATCCGATGCAACCATACACGCAATATCCCTCTAATAACAACCACACACAGCCTCTACCTCGGTTGTATGGGTGGGTGGAACCGATCAGACGATACTCCGAGCTGTTCTCCGCGTATGACGGTCCAGTCAGGAAAGGGGGACAATAAATCTTACATTCCAAGACCTGTTCAATCTTTGAGCGTAATATCCATCAATCAGCAAATTTTATCTGCCAGAATCAGGGACCCGAAGTTGCGAATAGCAAGCTGTATCTCGCCAATGGAATTTGTGACAGGAAGTGAAAATGACAGAATAGCGACCCTCGTGACAGCCCTATGGTTCGCATATTCTCTTTGACACATCCTACGTCCCATCCCCCAAATGCACACACACACACATACACACACAGAACCCACACACCCTCCTGAATTAGAATACCTCCACCACGTACCGCTCCCGCAAGGCCTCGACCCACCACGCCTCCACGTCCGCATCCGTCCCGGCCCCGCACCTCTTCTCCGCCTGCTCCCGATAGATCCTCCTGACGACCTCCCTGACCCCGTGACTGACACCCCGGCCCCCACACACGTAGACGCGAGCCCCGTCCTCCCAAAGGCGGCAGAGCTCCTCGCGGTCCGCCCAGACCCTGTCCTGCACGTGACCCGCCAACGCCTCGTCCTCGTCGGGCTCGGCCACGCCCCCGGCCCGCGAGTAGGCGTACCGCATATCGACGGCGCCCGTCGCCTGCCACGCCTCCAGCTCGTCCGCGTACAGTGCGTGCTCGGGGCTGCGATGGCCCACGTACAGGAGCGCAGGCGGTGGCGGGGGATCGGGCCGGCGCTGCTCCAGCGCTAGGGCGCGGTGCTCGATGAAGGCGCGGAACGGGGCGATGCCCGACCCTGCGCAGATCATGATCATGGGCGCCGAGGACGGCGCGGCCGGATCCTCCGGCTTAAAGCGTGGGTTGCCGCGGCGCACCAGGCACTCGAGGGTGTCCCCGGCCTTCAAACCGGCTAGGTAGTGAGAGGCCAGGCCAAGGGTCGGACGCTCATCTTGTAGAGATGCCGGGGGTGCGTGGGTGATTAGGGACCAGGTGAGTTTAAGAGACGAGGGATTGGCGAGCGGTGATGATGAGATGGAGTATTGCCGCGGTCGCAGGGGGGGAAGCATGAGAGCGAGCTTCTCTAGGGGCAGCTTGATGCTTGGGAAGTGTCGGAGTAGCTGCAGGATGGACGGTCGTCTGTCTGTGGGGGATAGTGCCTGCGCTGAGGCCCGCTGCAGAGCTGCTCTGTCTTCAGGGTCGGTGCACTTCTCTATCAGGGTTTGAATTTGCTGTGTCGGGTTGTTAGCATCTTGAGGATCACTCTACTGTAGAACACCAGTATGAGAAGAAGCATGAGGTCCCGTGAAGGACCGGCTGGTGTTATTACCTTGGAGCTCGCCGGCTGGTGCAGCTCGAGGCGCGAATGCATTATTGATATCAACGGTTCAGGAAGATGGTGGCCTTGGATTCGTAACACCTGCAATAGGCTGTCCATATCTTCCTTCGTGTTGTGGGGATAGACTTCCAGGTAGTCGCCCACCTCATAACTCGCCCCGGCGGGAAGCTTGATCTCCATGTGGTATTTTGGCCGATCCTCCAGCTCGGTCAGGGCTCTGACTTCCACCACCTGGGCCTTGATCGCGTCGGGATGCTTGTCAGAAGCACTGGAGGGAATATGGAGTAGACTAGTGAGGCTCTCCGTGGTTGCGTCGACCGTGGCTGTTGAGAATGCCTTGGACACACCGGGCCAAAGACTGTCCTGCATCCATGTGTCAAAGTCACCGGTGATATTTCCTTCTGTCACATCTGCCACGCCTCGTTGTGTTAGCGCCGTGGCACCTCTTTCCTCCATCTGCTCGTCGATCTGGACAGCAATCTTCTGGTATGTGTCTTTCCAGTCACCTAGGGGGAACAAGTTAGATCGAGACCAGTCTGGTATCTGAAGGTTGCCTACTGCTTCCACAGCCGAAAACGGCATACTGGACGCCACTTAAGGAAATATCCTTTTCATCCAGCCACTGAACAAATTTTTCACTGTTGTCTGAATTATGTGTTAGAGTCAGAAGAAGTTTCCCTCCGTATCTCCCTCCGTAAGAGAATACTTGCCTGGAGCCTGGCCCTCGTACATCGTGGACGTGATGATCACAACCGGGCGGTCTTTCGGAACATTGTTCTTGGCTTCATCGAGCGGCTGAACGCTGCACCTAAACCCCCGCTGCAGGGCAGTCATTGCCAGCCTCGATGCCAGACCTTCGCAGGTCCCTGTATTGGATCCATAAAAGATCGACATAGGGGCCAGATCGCTCTCCACTCCTGGGTGACTGGTCATCTTTTCGGTGCCAGGAGGAAAAGACGACTCGCCTGACCTCTTATTGCCGTCAGGGCTGTGGAAAAGATCCCTCTGCAAGGTAAGGGGGTCTATTCCCGGACGGAGTTTGGCGTACATGAACAGGTCGCGTGGCTTCAGAGTCAGGGTCTGCTTCCAGGTGAGCTTGTAATCTGGGTCCTTGAGCCTAAAGTCGAATTTCTGAAACAGGACAGCCACGGCCAAAATGGCCTCCTGCATTGCAAATTCGCTTCCTGGATTATTTATGGTTAGTGGATTCCTGTTCAGGATGCGTTTGACTGCGCAAGCCGGAGTAGGAGGTAGTCGTACCAATACATCCACGAAGTCCGTTCCCAAAGGGCTATATGCGGTCAGTCAGATCGCACTGAAACAGTGGAGGCCGTCACCTGTGTATTCTCTCACCTTGTAAGAGCCAGGAGGAAGCTTCTTGAAATTCTCCTCTAACATTCTCTCAGGCTTGAATTCATCTGCATCGTCACCAAAGGCGGTGCGGTCACGGTGGAGGCCAGGTAGAAGGAGGAATACTGGTTGGTTGCGCTGGATGAGCCACTTGCCGCCCAGAAGTATGGGCTCTGACGAATCCTCGCCCGGAACGGAGAGGGAGAAGCCTGCAGAAGGGGGGTTCAAGCGCAACGCCTCCCTCAGACAGGCTTTGACATATGGCAGCTGGTTGATGTGTTCGGCGGTTACCGGCTCATCGCCCACGACGGAATCGACTTCTTGCTGCAATTTACGATAGGCCTCGGGATGTTGCAACAGAAGAGCAAAAAGGAACGCCAGCAAGCAAGCAGTAGTCTCGTGCCCTACAGAAAATGAGTAAGTGTCTGTACAATGGAATAATGAGACGGTTCGTCTGGTCCTGTCAATGTCCCTTACCGGCAATCAAGAAAGTGATCATGTTGTCTATGATGGTTTCGTCAGAAAGCATCTTGCCAGTGGCAGGGTCCTTCCCCTTGAGCATCGCGTTCAGCAGATCTTTCTTATCCGTTGGATTCGCCCGTCGCTTCTCCAGAAGAGATAATGCGACCTCGTGGAGGTAGGTGTTGTCCTCGTCGAATTTCTTGTTAGCGCTCCATTGCATCCACGTCAGCCACGCTGGCCGACCTGATCTGTTCGCCGCCTCGATGAGCACCCGGACCATAGAATCTACAAAAGGGTGCAGGTTGTCCTTGTAAAACGAGTTAAAGCGCAAATCCATAGAACACCTAGAGGTATTAAGCTCGAGTCAGCGTTTTGGATTTGCGGTCAAGATGTAGGCCTTTGTCACAGCCAACTGCACCTACAGGGCGATGGTATCCAGAGTCAAGCGAGTAAAATCTGCAGTGGCATCGATGGGCTCATCTTCACCAAACCTTGCCCACCTCAAGGCCATCTGTGACACAATGTCATGCATTTCTGCAAAGAAAGTCAGTCACGGGCCGATACCTCCTCCCACGACCCTTCAAAAAGGAGGGAGAAAACCCGGGTGAGGGGGGGGGGGGGACGGTTAGGCGAGAAGCAGGTTGGCGCACCAGGAAACATTGTCCTCACAGACATGGGCCCAAACGCCGGGACGAGGACACGATGGGCCATTTCCCAGAATTCCTCGCCATGGTCGGCCGTAAAGAGACCTTCGGGCATCACCGCCTTCAGGTTCCGCACGGCGCCGGCAGGGAACTTGACAAAGTCCTTGCGCGAACATAGCTCGTTGGCCAGATCATGGCCCGTGACGAAGACAGGCTCGGTGCGGCCAAGCCGGAGCTTGACGATCGGCCCTGCCAAAGAGGTACAGTCAGCCGGGACGGGTCACTCAGGTGGTCCTCAGGAGGGGGTGTGGCATAATCACCATATTCGGCAGCGATGTCACAGAAGCTGCGGATGCTGTTTGCCAGGTCGATGTCCCTCAGGTTGCCAATGAGCGGCAGCGGTGGTGGGCCGGGGATCGAGGCCATAGTGAAGACCAGAAAGCAGGATTGGTGCTAGAGGTACCAAGCGCTGCGATTGCATGCGCGGGACCGAAAAAGGGGCAGAGTCAGGAGTCGGAGCTTGCAAAGAGGTCTCAGTGCTGTTCAACGAGCAGCTTGAGCAAGCTTGAATGAGGCGGCTGGCTCTGGCTGACTATCCAGACATCCAAGTGCGGCAGCGTTCACTCGGGCATGCGAACTTGTGGTATTGAATTTGCCCGCGAAGCAAAGCAAACTTCAACCAACGAGCCTCAGCACTGTTCCAACGGCCAGCCAACGGAAGCTCGGCCGACACTGATTACCCAATGGACTAATAGCATCGACAGCTGCCACGCTGCTGTCATCTCACCTGCAGCTGCTGTGCCACCGACTAACCGCATTCAGGTTCCACACCGATGTAACCCTGGAACTGCGGGTTCCATTGTGTAAGCTGCAGATCTCCAGGATCTCATCCTCCCACATCCAGACAAGAAGAAATGGGAGGATGAAAACAGGGGCAATGCGTATGATGATGGATTCAGCCCCCAATGACAGCCAGGCCGGCCGTTTGTTGACCAACCAACTGTGTGGCCTGATTCTTCAAAGACATATGCCTTGCGCTTCAGTGCCACACCTGCGGAGGGACTTACACAACTCAATAATGTTGGGCTCCCTACGTTGGTGAATCCTTTTTCTACTTCTGAAGACTGACAAATACGAGAAAAGGAGAAAGGAAAGGGTGAGGTAAAGAAAGAGGAAGAGAAAGAGGTTCGAAAGCAAGATGACTAGTGATCGAACACAATCGTTGGACCAGCCGGTCCATACCTTTGCCGGCCCAATGTCCCAAGAGCAGCGAATCCCGGCACCAGGAAACGAGAAGCAGGATGTTCACAGCAGCATCAACTCGCAACTCGTTTCGGATGGTGAAGATGAAGAAAACTGGAAGCCGGGAAAGCAGGAACTCATTATCATGGGTACCATGGCGGTTCTGTCCATCGTCGTCTCGGTACGCCCTCTCTATCATACTCATGTGGTTTTTCACTTACGTGTACTGACTGATCGTTCATATTCTAGTTGGATGCCACGATCCTGGTTCCTGCTCTACCAGTGAGACTTCCCCTTACCTATCTGACCTATCTCAATGCTCCAGCATCTTGAAGACCCTGCTTTGCTGACAATAACGTCCATTCAAAAGACACTAGCACGAGATCTCAATGGAACGGCCATCGAAACGTTTTGGACTGGGACATCATATCTCCTGTCCAACGCCGTCTTTCTTCCATTCATCGGGGCGACTTCCGAGATCTCCGGCCGGAGGGCGGCTGTGATCTTTTCCCTCGTCATGTTCACCGTGGGCACGATCGTCTGCTGCACAGCTAACGATATGCGCCAACTACTCTCCGGCCGGACTATTCAGGGTATAGGAGGAGGTGGTATTTTTGTTATGGCCTCAATTGTTATCACGGATATCATACCCCTTCGACAACGACCGCAGTTCCAGGGCATCATCGCCGCCGCATGGGGCCTGGGAGCTGTCCTAGGGCCTCTCTGTGGTGGGCTTTTTGCTGAGCATACAACCTGGAGGGTGAGTCTTTTCCATAGCCGGCGTTGCTGTTTCCCTAATCGCTGACATAACATCCAGTGGCTGTTCTATATCAACTTCCCATTCTGTGCCATCGGGTTTGCCTGCGTGCCGTTCTTCCAACTTAAGTTGGTTAAGGAACGGTCATGGGGTAAAGACCTCGGGCGTGTAGATTGGGTCGGCGGTATCCTCTTCATCGCCGGGATGACCACGTTTCTACTGGGAATCACATGGGGAGGTGTGCAATACAGCTGGTCATCCTTTCAGACATGGCTTCCCATTCTGTTGGGAGGCCTAGTAGTGATTCTGTCACTTGTCTATGAAGCCTTTGTCCCTTCTGAACCATTCATCCGCCTCTCTGTCTTCCACAACATTTCTGCGGCTATCACATTCTTCCTCACGCTGGTGCAAGGCCTGATCGTAAGTATATGACCATATCGAAATTGTTTGAATTTCTCTGATCCTGTCGACGCAACACGTACTGACGCTCTCGACAACAGATGTATGCCGAGCTGTACTACCTTCCGTTCTACCTGACATCCGTTAAGCAGCAGAGCCCATCGATTGCCGGCATCTTCATCATGGCCGTCAACATCATCCTCTTCCCTGCCAGTATTGCAGCAGGCGTGGCCATGACGCGGTACGGCTCCTTTGTCTGGGTGATCCGCGCAGGGTTCATGGTGATGGCACTCGGAAGTGGCCTGCTTATCTACCTTGACGAGCACAAGTCCATAGTGAGCCACCTATTCGTATTTCTAGTCTCGGGGATTGGGCTAGGCTTCCTCCTTCCGTCACTGGAGACAGCCTCGCAGGCCATCGCCCAGTCCCGCAACATCACCCACGCCACGGCCATGTACATCTTCATGCGTTCCTTTGGCCTGTGTGTCGGCGTCGCTACAGGTGGCACTGTCTTCAGCAACGTCTTCCTGAACACGTTGCAAGACCACGGGGTCCAACAGGCCAAGATGATAGCGGCCAACTCGGAGGCCTTCGCTGAGACCCTCAAGGACATGCCAGCCTCACCTGAAAAGTCTATGCTTCTTAGTTCCTACGTCTCTGGGTTCCACGGGGTTTTCTACTTGCTCTTGGCTTTGGCTGCCTTCTCTGCCATCATTGCTTTCTTCGTGAAACATCATGACTTGAACCAGAAACTTCAATCGGGTCACCGAGTGCAGAGAGACGAGAAGGGTGCAGAAACGAGAGTATGATTACAGATACTTGTAGAGTCAAATTGTGGTCCAGTATAAGCTGGCAGTGGGTTTTGCTACAGTCACAATATTGACTATCAGTCCATGAGTCGACCAAGTTATGGGGGAGTTAGGTTTCCGTGAAAGCAATGAACTTGAAGGCAGCTATTTTCAAAACTTCTAATATCCAGAATGGGTGTTGTGCTACAATTATTCAATCTCGTCTGCGTCGTTCAAAGCGGCCCCGTGAATTCATGGCAGAAATGTACAGCCATCGCTGAAAAGCAGCCTGTACGTGGTGCAGTGTTAGACCGATCAGTCCAGAGCGCATTGGGAAACAAAAAGGGAGGTTTTTTTTGGTTAATTGACAACAGGTATTGCTGACTGTTTAGCATCTTCAAATTTCAGGGATGCCGGAGCATCTAATTCAGCGTGGTATTTCGCCCAGAACTCCCTCAATAAACACACCGACAGCAGGCCTTAGAGGTCTGATAATATTCACCTTTCTTGACTGCTGCTCCTTCCATGTGAACATTGTCTGATGATAGGGCCAAGCTTGAGGTTCGCCACTGGGGTTCGGCACTCGTTGCCCTCAGGATTTCCGACCCGTCGCGGCTCCACAGATTAGCCGCTGAGGGCTTTCAGGACCATTCCTTCCCGGCCGCCACACGGGTGAGGCTGCGATGGCGCCGAAGACCCCACACCGCTCGCACAGGTTGCCAGGATGGCTGCCAGGTTGACACGATCCCTCAGCTGATCCAGGCCTGGCAGGCAGGCAGGTTGGTGCCGTTGGCGAAGTCTCCAGCGGCGCCATTTCGGGCTACCTGCTCGTTCGGTCGAAGGATCTAGTCCAATGCAAGATACACATGAGATGACAGGGCCCTAAGCGCAAGTCCGTAATTCCTGCAGTCAGCAGATAGACCTCGGTCTTTCGGAAGCGCAAACTGACATCGAAGGATCGTGGTGCATGTCACTTTACAGCCCCCAAAGGCAGGAGGTTGTGGCTAGTCCTGTCAGGCAGCCGAGCACTGAGGGCACTGTGTACAAATCTCGCCGCGCCTAGTGAACCCTAACCTACATAGGATATCAAAAGCGCGGTCTAGCGGGTGCTGATTCGTTGACGAGCCGTAGCCTGGCGTGCCTGGTTGGTGGAGCAAGGTACCATTGGGATCCTTCGCAGGATCCATGCAGGCTAGGCCCTAGGCTGACGCTGCGAGCAAGGCAGTGGGCTGGCTGTCGACCACCTTCTGCTTGAGAAGAGGTTGGAAAGCAACTGGGAAGCAGAGCACACACGCTAGACTACATGCTCGTCTGGACTTCGTAGGGCACGATCTGCACATGCAAGTATTATTAGAATCCTTCTCGCTTCAAGATCCAGTAGACCAGAAAGATGCCAAGATTATTCGGTCATGGGCACCTTAGCCTTCGTAAGCGTGCGTAGTATAAGTCACTTGGTACAACTCCTCTCTTATCGAGGCCAGTCTTTGGAAAGAGTCTTGATCCTTTTCTGGCTCTTCTAAACATATCCTCTGCAGCCATATTCTTTCAGGTGATCATGCTGAACGGCCCTGTCCACTGCTAAAGTATTCAGAACCTAGTCGGAGCGGTTCTTGCCATCAATATGGCCTCACTGGCGGATTTACCGTCATGCGCTGTAGGTCTGATTTTCATTGGCGGGCGCCACTGCGGCCCTCTCTCTCCTCTCTCTCTGGGTGTCCGTGTGCTAAAACATCTTGAACACAGCTTACGTGTCTGTCGACCGCAATCGCCAACTCAACATGCGCCCCGACTGATCTGGCATGCACGTGTACCAATGCGGCCATTACCGGCCAGGCGACCGTGTGCATGTTGGGGAGCTGTACGATGGCGGAGATATTGTGTATGTTTAACTATGACCCGCTGCCAGCGTGCGCTTCTTCATCGTACTGACCCGCATTTCTCTGGTGGGGACAGCTGCCACGAATGTGACCAACACTCTGTGTGGTGTAAAGTCCGCACTCGACGAGTCATGGATCGTGCCGACAATAGTCCTACTATGTCTGATGGTCATAGTCGTGGGACTGCGCTTCCTTGCTCGTGTCATAGTGGACATGCCCTTCTGGTGGGATGACTGGATGAACTTTGTCTCCATGGTAAGCGCGCTGCTCCACCACCTTGACGCGATTTGGTCAATATCATAGCTTTTCTGACAACTGGACAGGCATTCTGCATCGCTCTCAGTATTGCCGCCTTCCAAGGCTGTAAGTGGGCCCACGCTCATTGATACGTGCCGTCGGCTTCGTTGGCCTTGCTAACCGAACTTTGTCACAGTGAAAGCCAATGGCTACGGCAAGGACATCTGGGCCGTTCCGACAGAAGACATCTCCGAATTCTTAAAGGTTAGCGCGCATCCTGCACGGCATCGAGCATGTGCTCGAGTCAAATCCACCCCAATCTTCCACCCCAATCTCTGCTCACGGAACTAATGGCATCGACACAGAGCTACTATGTCGCAACGGCCATGTATGTGGGCGCAAGGTGTTTCACTCGAGTGTCCATCATCCTCTTCTATCTGCGCATCTTCACAGTCACAGAGACTCGCCGCAAGATCATCTGGACCCTCGTAGGCGAGATCATTATCTCCCTCGCGTTCGTACTCACGATCATGTTCCAGTGCACCCCAATCAGTTACTACTGGACCAAGTGGGACCTACAGCACACTGGCCACTGTATCGACACTTACCGCTTCATGCTGATCGGCTGGTCTATTCTTATTGCTACCGATTTCTGGGTCATGTGGCTTCCCTTGCCCATGGTGGCCCGGTTGCAGCTCTCACTGAGGAAGAAACTGTTGATCTCGGTCATGTTTGCCACAGGACTCGCGTAAGTGCTGCAGATCTGCCTTCGTCGTTGTATTTGCCACATACTTACATACACTAGAGTTACCGCCATCGGAATTGCCAAGCTTCCTATGGTATACCGTGCAACGCATACCACGAATCCTACCTGTAAGTTGAGACTAGCCCCTGACTTCTGACCCCATATTGGAAAGGAAAGAAAAGAAAAGAAAAGAAAAGAAAAGAAAAGAAAAAAGGATTCACGACCCGAAGCCATTGTCTGTTGTACACAAAATGCTGATTTGGACTAAACCCAATAGATGATCTGGTCAACATGGGCAAATTCTGCATAATCGAGGTCGACCTGGGCGTGATATGCTCCTGCATGCCCAGCCTGCCCGTGCTGTTCCGGCCACTCGTCCACCGGCTGACGGGCAAGAACAAGAGCTCCACGGCCAAGGGCACGGGCTACATCGGTGCCACGTCGCGCCGCGCCGTCATGGGCGACATCAAGTCCTCCGCCACCACGAGCGCGGCGAGCTACCCCGTGTCCTCGCCCAACGCCCACCACTCGGCGTACTACGAGCACATCGACCCCCGCACCGAGCAGATACAGGCCACCACCACCATCGATCAGACGTACTGGCGCAACGACTCGGACGAGCTGCCGCTGCATGGGACGGACATAGAGCTCGGGACCGCCAACAACGGGTACGTGAGCTCGCAGGCCTGGGCTGCTGGGCCCGGAGCCGGGTCGTATGGAGTTGCTAAGCAAGCTCATCAATGAGAAGAGTATGTATAATGGATCGTTTGGCTTTGGGACCTGCTCGGGATCACTGAAGTCTTCTTCCTCATCGGAGGATTCTGGTGGTGATGGCGTTTATGATTGCTATTATTCGGTACCTACATCTTGATACCTGTCTGAAAAAATACATTCCTGGCTTGGCCACGGAACAGGAAAAATTGAAATTTTATCAAAGTAAAACCATGCTCTTCTATTCCTCTGTACCGTACGCACATGCAGCCATCGCCTACTCTAGTCAGAAACGTCGATGCCGGTAATGGCTGCAAAACCCTTTCCGCATCGCCCTTGGCGCTTTCTCTCGCTCGATTTATCGCAAAGCCTCTCCCTGCAATGTTCGCTGCAAAATCACAGAAATTTTGAAAACAGTTATTAAACAGATATAGAGGGCTGGAAACATTCAGCTCATATTATGACTGTTTGAGGGAAATCTGCGAAGCCTCCCACAGGGACCCCACATGCAGCAGCACTGTCGCCGGTATAATTACATTTCTTCATTGGCGCCGACATGCAGAGTGCTGCAGAATGGCAGCTTCTACTGCTTTCGACTTACCGCGTATGGCCCAATCAGGGGTATGTGCAACACATCCTGATGCAGCGCGTCAGTCACGAAGAGGGGCTGAGGCCTGACCGATCTGACACCGCCTCAAAAATATTTGACAACAGCATTATTTTCAGACATCCCTCTTTCCTCGCAACCTCTGTTTCGAGTGTCGACTTCAACATTCGGCACCAGCGCATCATGGCAGACGCCTTCAGTCTTGCTGTCAACATCCTTACGGTCCTGGAGTTCGGCAGGAAGTTTGCAACGTTGGCCTGGGACATTTACAAAAATGGCAAAGATGGGATACCCAAGATCGCCAGCCTTGGATTGACAAGCAAAGACCTCGAGGAAAATGGGCGCCGGCTTGAACAGCTAGGCTCTTCGCGTCCAGCCAATTCCCAGAACCAAACTGACGAGCGGATCCGCCAACTAGCTCAGAGATGTACAAAGGTTGCTGTACAGATGCAGGAGACAATCAGAGGACTATCAGTGCACGTGAGCAATCGTAAGGCACGCAATGCCGTGGTGAATGCATTCAGGTACAAGTGGCGGCAAAACGACATCACGGTGTTCGAAATGGAAATCCAAGAGCTGAGAAATGAGCTCATGTTGAATTTGAATATCTGGCTCAGGTTCGTTCTACGATACTTCTAACGGCTCTCAGGCAAGTCGACCTTCGGTGCTGACCATCACAATAGGAACGGTATGATGAAATCCCTTGAGAACCAAGACACGATGATCCAAGAGCTTGTAGAATCTCGAGGTAATGACAGAGGCCTCAAGAAGAGGTTAGATCGGCAAGAAGGCTTTGTTCAACAGATAGTTGAGATCCTCTCGTCCATCACGACTTCGGCTGTCCCGGTCAATGGTTACAACCGGCTGCAGACGTCGTTAGAAATGGACCTCATGGATGCTATGAACAATCATCTGCAGGAGTTAGGAGACGAGGATTCGAAAAGGTTGAAAATATCACCACGTCGACAAGCTCGCATCCGAAAAGGATTCATGTCGACTCTCTGGTACGACGGTATGTTTGACAGGGAGACTGGTGTGGTCGAAGCTCACCAAACCACGCTGAAGTGGATATTTGAACAGCCGAGCGGTGAGGCTCATACATCGCATAGTTTCAGTCAATGGCTTGAATCGGACAACCAACTATACTGGATCACCGGCAAGATGGGGTCAGGCAAGTCGACACTTATGAAATACATCTCTCAGAAGCTCCACACAACGACTTCGAAAGCAGACAATGAAAGACGATGTACGCCATTTCTCCTTCGGTGGGCTAAAGGCAAGCCGCTGTTCATAGCGACTTTCTACTTCTGGGCAGGCTCGAGTGAGGAGACAAAAATGCAGACCTCAACGGAAGGTCTGTATCGGACACTACTTAGCCAGATATTGGAAGCATATCCTGAAGCTGCACCGCACGTGTCGCCTCGACGATGGGAGAACCTGTGTCTGTTCAACAAGGTTTTGAAGCGCCCCGGAATCACAGAGCTCAAGGGCATGCTGAACAAGGCTGTCGAGTATGTGAGCTCCATCGCCAGCGTCTGTTTTTTTATCGACGGCCTCGACGAGCTCCAGGGCGGGAAAGAAGATATAAAGGGTCTGATTTACTGGGTAAAGACTCTGACAGAGACCTTTCCAGTCAAAATGTGTGTTGCCAGCCGGCCTTGGCGGGTCTTCGAGGATGCGCTGCAGAATCGACCGCATTTGCTGATGGAGGATTTTAACTCCAAAGACATTCACGAATATGTTTCAATGAGGTTCCATGAGGATCCCAATTTTGTGACCCGGAAAAAGATCAACAGAGCTTTATGCGACGAAATACTTGATGAGATCGTCGTTAAAGCAGAGGGCGTTTTCCTCTGGGTGAATATCGTTTGCACGTCTTTGCTCGAAGCAATGTCGAAAGGCGACCTCATGGGTCGCTTGAAACGAGTATTAAAGGAGCTTCCAATCGAGATGGAGAAGCTGTACGACCATATACTCGATAATCTTGAGCCTTCTTATAAGGATCACGCAGCACAATATTTCTTCCTTATGGAAGCATACCGGAGAACGCCAGATGCGCTCATCTTTTCTTTCGCGGACGACATTGAGGAAGATAGCGAGTTCCCTATAAACATGCCCAGGAATTCTCTCACTGATGCGGAACTGCAGTATCGGGGAATCGAGTTGGGGAAACGGATCAACTCCAGGTGCAGGGGTCTGCTCTGTCTTGCGGTGGAAGAACTCGAATCAGGGAAGGCAACGACACATTTGGACATAGGAACTGTTCAATACTGTCACCGAAGCGTCAAAGACTACCTAACAAGGGACAATGTCCACAGAAAGCTCACTGGTATGTTAAAGTTGCCCTTCGATCCGCACCTCAGACTCTGCTCAGCATATTTGGCGCGCTGGAAGTGTTCGGCAATCCCTTCTTTGAAAGGTGAATCGCAAAGGATTATCTACCACTGTGTACTACATGCAGCAGAGGTAGCCAGCGGGAGCTTCGCCATGATGATCCGGCTGCTCGACGAGTTGGATACGGATTTGAGGGGCCAGTTGGATTTTGTAGATGAGGATTTCCCAATGGAGGGTCGCTTCTTGTCTGGAATCAATGGCGACCATTCGCATTTTGGACCGGACCCCTGGTTTGGAGGCACCTTGTTGTCTTTAACCGTTGTTGTCGGCGTCATTGAGTTTGTGAGACATAAGGTAGGACGAGATCAAGGTTGTGTGGTCAAGTCCTCCTGTGTCTCTGTGACCCCGACCGACGATCAATTCAGGCTTCATCTGGATCCAACTGGCAGGCTTGGACGGTCATTAATGGAACAGGAACAGGAGATCGTGGGTATGTTAAATCACGTGCATCATGATGCGAATTGTGCGGAGCAGGTAGACTGGCCCCTTCTCCTGGACGCTTTGCTTGCTGCAGACCGCCCAGACCCAGCAATTATCTCTTTGCTTCTGGATAATAACGCAGACCCCAACCTCATTATTCGACGAGCCGCCTGGTCAAGGAGCGCATGGGGCGTGGTGTCATATCGTCTAAGGGAAGACACTCTTTTTGAACCAATTACCTCAAAGAGCGGTGCCTCCCCGGGCAAAAGCGGGAGTCCAGGCAAGAGGAAAGCGTGGATGGAGATAGTGTGTCTCCTGTTGCGGCATGGCTTCAAGCCGGACAGATCAGATGTGGAGTTCCTCAGGAGCTTCCTTGGGGAAGACGTGATCAAAGGGCAAAGACTGCCTTACCTGGGCCGCCATCGCGAAATGATCTCAAAGCTTTTGGCGAGAATTACCCAGATCCAGGCTAGACGTTGGAAAATTAGAGCGCTCAGAAAGACCACACATGGTGCGGGACAAACCATCCGCATTATCAATTAATTCAATGTGTAGCAATATGTGCTCAGTATCACGTTGATGTTAATATAGACGAGGACATAATGGTTAAAACAAAGCAAAAATGTTACTTGCAAGTGATCTCGATTTTAATGAGTGAAGAATTGGATTGCGAAGCAACCCTTGAGCCTGTTCCCAGTGCTGAGCTACGAGGCTATTCGCTACAGTATACACGAACATACCGTCCTCACAAGCAATTTCTATTCCTGCTGTATAAAATTTCACTCTCAACCACTGGCATCATCTCGCTGCATCGTACAGCGTGATGTTGTCCGCACACGTGACCATTCTTGAGGACAGCCTCGTCTTCGAATTTAGTAACCCTTCTCACGTTCTTTGTATGAGTGAATGTACGTAAGCGACACAGCGCTAAGGCACCGAGATTGCCTATCTGGAACACTGGGGCACTTCACCTTTTCGCAGTCCTCTCAGAACCCGCGGCGATTCCTTCCTCAATTACGGACTTCTACCAGTCCCACTCGAATGGAGTATTGGGACTCGCTTCAGGTATTCCATCGTCTGTATGCATAGACTCTTAGAAGTCTCCTACCTCATAAAAAAGTATCAGGGCCTAGTAATTGTGCGTTCAGAATATTTAACCCTGCCAAGGATCAGAAGACAAGTTGTATTATTTAGCATCCAGCTCTACCGCATATTATGACACACCATTTTGCACAGTAGGAACTAAGATGCTCTGACGAATTGTGATTAGGTGAAGCTAAGGGGGAGCGACTGCTGCTCTTGTCAAGGTACCACGCATGTCTCATCTTCCCTTTCGCAACCTAGGCTCCAAGAAGGGTGCTCTGCATCAAGCCAGTAGCCGCACACAAGTCGTAGCGGCACGTCAAGTAGATTCATTCAACTTCTAGGTGGTTTTGGACGCAACATAGTCATCCGGTCCGATCTTCTGTCCTAGGCCCTGATATCTCCATCTGCTTAAGTATGCAGGTAGATTGCCTGTGCCGCCATTGCTTGTTGCATATGCGCCGATCAAAGTGCCTGTGATTGAATCAGTCCTTCGTCAGTCAATCGCCCATTGCTATTGCTTGTCTACAAAGTGGCATACCTGTGAATGGGCCAGTGCCTCCACTTAGCAAGGTGGCAGGCGCGTACCCCATGATGACTGCGTTGTCACTATCAATCGTCGAAGACGCCGAGAAGGCGTAATGTGTATCATTGATGGCTTGGACACCAAGCCGGAAAGGCTGAAACCAAGTTCGCGGAACGGTCTGAATGACTGTGTCGATGGCTGGACCCTTATAGTTGCCGGTGCCAGTGACACGGAACCGGAGGTAATAGTCCAAGCCTGTTGTTGTGTTGTCCGACGGAAGTAAAACGAGACCCAGATCTATGTGCTGGTCCTGGGTGAGGAAAGCTGTTACACCTACTTCCTGCTCGGCTGTAGTGGCGCCGAAGTCCACGTCAACAGAATAGTTGAACAAGGTGTCTGTCTGTCGTCGACCAACAAATGTGATGCCGTCGGTGGATACAAAGTCCTCGCCACCGGTCAGGTTAGCAACACTGGGAAGTAACTTGAGGGCGTTTGGTTTCTCCTCCGGCGAGACCACATAATTCTCACTCTTTGGCCACCGCCAGTACACAAACTGCTTTGGCATGGATGAGTACTCCTCAAAGTCCACCACGTCCGGGTCGTCTACGAACGGTCCATCGCCGGGTAGATCTTCTGACCGAGGTGGTAAGTCCCACCCAGTCATCTGCCCCTGCACGGGGTTCTGGCAGATTGGCCAACCTCCCGCCTCCCAGGTCACATTGAAAAGCACCGACTCCCTTCCCATTGGATAATTGAGCCATTCCGGGCCAGACCTCGTTGAAAGCGCAACACCCCACCAATTCCCATCAGCGTCCTGCCACAGATCTGCGTGGCCGACGGTTTGGAAATACTCGCTTGTGTTGCGGTTGGTCAGGATCGGGTTCCCTTCAAAAGCTTCGTAAGGTCCATCGATGCTGGTCGAACGCGCGATTGTTTCCGAATGTCCCAGTTCAGTGCCGCCTTCAGCTATCATCAGGTAGTAGTAGCCATCATTCCAAGGCTTGTAGATGTGGGGACCCTCTGGGCTTGCTCCACCAGTACCGTTCCAGATGCTGTATGGTGTGGTGGTCTCCCCTGTGCTGAGGTCAATCTTGACCTGCTGGATTCCCGCAAAGGTGATGTAGGCCTGTCCGTCCACGTCGTCGTCCCAGAAGAGGTCCGGGTCGATGCTTGCTGCTGAGAAGCGGAGCGGATCAGACCATGCCTCATCTGAGTACGGATCGGATGTTGTAAAGATGGTTCCCAAGATGCCATCGTCGAGCACGGAGACGACCACAAGATGGAAAGTCCCGTTCCGGTAGCGGAATGAGGGCGCAAAGATGCCAGACTGCTGCCCGGCTGTGGAATTGCCAATCTCTGGCAATTGTGTCTCTCGGGTGAGTGCGCTGCTGACAAGCTTCCAGTTCACCAAGTCCTGGCTTGCGTAGATTGGGAGACCGGGCGTTGCTAAGAATGTTGATGCCGTACAGAATGCTGTATTGTTTAGCTCGGCAATGACGCCGGTGCAGGAAGGGTCCGAATGCCAACCCGGCAGCATGGGATTAGTGAATGAGTTGTCCATGGCCTGGACCACCCAATTGACTCCTAGCAGAGTCATAAAGAGTACGATGGAAAACATGGCGCAAAAGAACACTCAGTACTGCAGCGAGGAGAAGACTAGTCTGAACGGATTCCATCAACAGATGTGGCAAGTCTGGATAGAAGCTGATGGATTAAATACTACTAGTTTAATGCAACGAAACGACAGAGATCTCTTTGAACCACGTCATTCTCCGGTGCAAGTTCCCCAAGTGGATGGGGGAGATTGGCTTCAAGCGAAAGCCGGGACGGGGTATAATCTACGCGTTTCCCCCGTGGATTGCAGTAGCCGACCCGTCGTCGTATTCTGTTCTTCCCTGTCGTCTACCCCGGATTTGTCTGGGGCGGATGTCTGGGGCTTGCCCGGAATATCCGAACCTCGGAGAGGCCAAGCTTCGGTAGGAGATGAGGCGACAAACACTTGTTTTCATTGGAGAACGCCCAAAGGGCACCACAGCTGCGAATTTTATGAGCAAGATCGTGCCCTTGGCTCCCCTCTTCAACATTTGAGGTAACAACCTGCAACAGCGCGTATCCCAGGTGCCTGCACTCTATTTACCCGGTCGGGATTTTCCTAGTGGTCCGCTTTGTTCAAACATCCCTGTCGACCCACCATCGTCGCTGGGTGGGGAATGATTGATGTTGCCAGGAATATTATCATCCGGGTGGAGGAAAGACTTTTGTCAGACATACAGAACGTGCAAGTGCTGCACTGGTGCTAAATCGAGTCTTGTTTCGACGGCCCTGCAGGACGCATTGCTGCGGACGACCTCGGAGACTGAAATTTGAGACATCGTGGTCCCACGGTCGGATTGTGCGTGTTCATAGAAAATGCCAACGACAGGTGGAAATGGGGTCGAGTTGATGATGGAAAATCGCGTATCATGTTTGCGGTGGATAGTTCCCGTTTCGATGAGAGAGCACAAATAGATTTATCAATGAATTTATTTGATTTTAATAAAAAAAATTGTGTACCATGTCTTGATAGTTCCATCCAAAAGCCAATGTAGAAAAGATGCAAGAAAAATGCGGTGATGCGGGATTGAACCGCAGACCTCCAGATATAGGACTGAATTGAACTTCAGTCTGGCGCTCTCCCAACTGAGCTATCCCCGCTAATTGCATAATCCAATTGAGTTGTGGTCAGCAGTTCTGGGGTGGCGTCATATAGCGCATCTAATGAAGCAATCCTCGACTTACCACAGCTGTGTCTCGCTGAAAACGACATGGTGATTTTTGATGGCATCGACGAGTGTAGCGATAGCGAAGGATTTGTGGAGTCACTCCTTCAGATATGCAACAAGACTCCAGAGGTTCGTCTCCTGCTCTTTAGCCGGATCAATGTCCCTGGCTTGAAGCTCTCTGTCTCGAAGAGCATGGCATTCACTATGCCCAAGAGTCGAGTCACAGAGGACATCAGCAGTTTCCGTCTCGGTCAGCTTGACGACATGTTTGAACGGGAAGTCCTGTAGCCGAGATACAGGTCGCGTACCAGCATAATACCTCTTCGTACCTTATTAAGACAACCCACGCCGCTCAGAACGTAACTGTGGTTTACAGCTCCCGCGGTGGCGGCACCGAGGTCAATCTCGCTAGGCGGGCTAGCGCTGGGGCGGTGCAGTCGACCAAAGTCCTAGTCCTCCCGGCTGCGCCCATGTGTCTTCCTCCTGCTGCGCAAATGGAGATGACGGCTCTGCGGGACGTAGAAGAGCCGAGGTCATGGAGCTTGGCTGAGGCAGAGACGACCTGGAGCGAATGCCGGGGAAGATATAACCAATTCACGAAAGAAAGGGACTATATTCTGAGGATGCTATGCATCGTTATGTCCCGGATGAAGAATTTGCGCGGCTCGCACGACTATCTAGCTTCTTCAATGCGGCTGGTAATACAATAGCTTGGTTGGCAGGCTCGAGGAATTAGCGCTAATGGCACGCAGAGGACGACTTCCAAACTCCTCTGAAATACCGGATTTTTCTTTTCCAAACCCGCCTTGTGGAAATCAACGTGGACCTATACAAGTCTAACCGTGGCGATGGCAGTGGCCCAGAATACATTTGGTGTGATCCTCGAGCTTCACCCCAAATATCTATCCCAATGAACGCCCCAATCTTGCTCTATCTCAATCCCAACGTTCCTTCCGAAATGAAAACATCATCCATGGTTGTGAGTTCTCCCTCGTCCCCCGATTCACAGGCTAAATTCATAAAAACGCGTCCATTAGATCAAATACCAAGGCAGCTGATCAAGCTCCGTGAATATCACTGTGGGTAGGCTGCAAATCATTCGTCGTTGTGGATCATACGACTTCTTTCGATTCAGTTCGTATGCGTTTCGAGACGACGGCAGTCCAAAAAGCTAGCGCACTTGACGAGGTGAGCTTATGTTTCCCTATTTTGAGATCTCGAGTGTGGAGGGGGAACGGATGAGTGCATGGCAGAAGGCTGCAGTACATACGTTAAAATGACGGCGATCAGAACGATCAACCAGCTCAAACCGCAATATGCATTCTGACAATAGCGCGAGATTCCCATGAAAGTGATTATGACAACCACAAACCAGAAGAGAATCTCCATTGTATTCAGAATCTGGTACGCCTTGAGACTTCGCCAACGTCGAAACTTGGTAAAGTGGGTTGTCGCGAGTTGGTACGAGAGTATTACCAAAGTTTTGATTCCCTATCATCATTATGTCAGGTATTCGCTGCTGCTACGAGTATCTGAGCACAGAAGTCTAGCCTACCATCACGATTCCGAGCGTATCGGATCTTGTCACAGGCATCCCACTTGGCTTAATTCCGACACGTGCGCCAGTTAGGATGATCATGGTGATTACCAGCGTCACTTGAATCAAGTGCATCTTGTTCTTGAAATCGGGGTTGAACAACGGACTGTGAAAAAATGCCGAAACATCGTCAAAAAAGTTGCGTATGCGATCCATGCTGGCGTCGTGTAGTGAATTGCTTTGTCGGGCTTGCCCGGGCGTTGCTGGCTCTGACGCTTTTCAGGAAGTGTTGGAATAATGGATGGAAACCGTTCATCTTTGTAAGATCGCAAAGACAATTGCATCAATTCTCACAGCCACCGTGCTTGAACGACACTAGTGACCTGCGTACAAGCCCTTCTATAAGATAATTCTGAACTTGGCGAACTGGATTAGCCGCGAGCCAATTGCAAACGAATTAGTACGAAATACCGGAGTCTTCAAGCCGTTGTACGATGGCATTGTATGAGTGGAGTAACCGAAAGCCAATTACAAACCATTGAATACGACCAGGCAGTTGTGAGGCCTATCCCGATTTCGTCAAAGTGGAGTTACTGCGAGCCACTCACGAACTAGTAAATACGATTGACCGGGGTCATCGAGCCAAGCCGTAATTCGCGTCACGGCATACGCTTATAAGCCACCGTGCTCTCGCCAGCCGATAATCAAGCGTCGAGACGCGTATCTCGTCCTCCATGAGGCGGCGTCAAAGCAATGGATCTTTCTCTACTTCTAGAGATTCGGTGTGGCAGTGTGAAAGAGGTGCACAGCCCTCTGGCATCTATTATTTAAGTGGCTTTCGGGCAACCTCTGCTTCAATTTTCTCTGCGAACAGCCACGAAGAATGCAAATAAACACAACCTTTCACTGTCTCCCATATTCGCATTGTTGATGCCAGCCACGACCATGGACACCTATGGATCAGCGGACGAGTCGAATATCGATCCACCGCCGTCTTACCTCTATGCTCTTGAGCAAGGACAGCGGGATGGTGAGACCTCCACAGGTACGGTCTGCCCATGCAAACCAGTTGTACTTCGCTCTAACAGCATCAGATGGCAGGATCAATGTTGATCCAAATTCACGTCTGGTCAAATCACTTTCGTTGTTTATACCGGACTGGAAATTGACCGACGTACCTGACTCATCCCAGCCAACCGCTTCGGGTTTGGAAGCGCCACCAGCATACAGTTCGCTGGCTCTCACACCAAAGACGGACAACGCAAATGAAGGATGGTCTCTGCCTTTGAACATTGTGATACAGGTTGTCGGTAGTCGTGGCGATGTACAGCCTTTCATTGCACTTGGCAACGAGCTACAAAGATACGGTCACCGTGTTCGACTTGCGACACATGATGTCTTCGAAAGCTTTGTGACTAGCTCTAATCTGGAGTTCTTTCCTATTGGAGGCGATCCGGCAGAATTGATGGCATATATGGTCAGTCACCACTATTCCCGAGGCTGCAAAGCACGAAAGGCTTGCTGGTGAATCCAGCTGGACCGAACTCTTTGCTCAATTTGCCATCACAGGTCAAGAACCCAGGTCTTCTCCCAGGCATGAGAACTCTGCTCTCCGGGGACATTCAGACAAAGCGGGCAACCATTGCCAAAATTCTCGAAGGCTGCTGGAAATCATGTATAGAACCTGACGGGAAAACTGGACGGCCTTTCGTTGCAGACGCGATTATTGCTAATCCACCGAGCTTCGCTCATGTCCACTGCGCCCAGGCGCTGGGTATTCCTGTCCATCTCATGTTCACGATGCCGTGGTCCAGTACGAGATTCTTCCGTCATCCTCTGGCCAACATCAGAGATTCACAACGGGTCAGTGAGGATACGAGACGGACTCTGAACTGGGTGTCATTTGCGTTTGTCGAGTGGATGACCTGGCAAGGGTCAGCTTACCCCCCCTCCAACTTTCCACATTTCCCCCTCTGCTAACATTGCTGTGCCTAGTATCGGGGATCTCGTTAATGATTGGCGACGCACCCTTGATCTCGAACCAGTACCATTCACCGAAGGCCCTTTACTTGCTGAGAAACTCCACATTCCGACAACTTATTGCTGGTCACCAGCTTTGATACCAAAACCCGTCGACTGGCCAGACTTCATAGGTTCGTCCATAAGTTCATGTCTACCCTCTATTTATTCAAACTTTTGAAACTTAAGCTCGATCAGATGTCTGCGGGTTCTTTTTCCGAGAAGAACCACAATACACCCCTCACCCTGAGCTGGCAAAATTCCTCAGCGAGGGGCCGCCTCCCATCTACGTCGGATTTGGCAGCATTGTCATCGATGATCCGGAAAAGCTAACAGGAATGATTCTTGAGGCCGCGGAGACGATTGGCGCACGACTAATAGTCTCCCGGGGCTGGAGCAAACTCGGGGATTCTCGAGACAGTAATGACCGGGTGATATTCATCGACGACTGCCCTCACGAATGGCTTTTCAAACAAGTGGCTGCTGTGGTTCACCATGGTGGTGCTGGCACAGCGGCATGCGGCCTCCGCTTCGCCAAACCGACCTTCATCGTGCCATTCTTTGGGGAGTACGTATAGCACAAAGGCTTTCTTAGCATTCAAAGTGCTGACGTCCCACTGCTGTATAGCCAATTCTTCTGGGGCGAAATGGTCGCCCACGCCGGTGCCGGACCGAGCGCTATCCCGCATAAAGACCTGAACTTGAAGAAATTGACCGAGGCTTTGAAATTTTGCATGTCTGCGGAGGCATCGAAAGCAGCTCTCGCTATATCAGACAAGATGAAAGGAGATTCTGGCGTGAAGGCCGCTGCACGCAGCTTTCATAAACACCTCCCAGCAGAGAGGATGCGATGCCAGCTTGCCGAAGATAGGGTAGCCACATGGGCATACTCCAGGCACGGCAAGCGAATCATCTTGTCAAATTTCGCTGTAGAGATACTGGCACGTCGTTTGAAAATCGACAAGGGGAAGCTGAAACAGTAAGTATCTCTTGCTTCGTACCATGTCTACTCACATCCAAGACGCCAGCATTAACAAAGCTAAAGGCACATGTCGAACACAATTATAATCCAAAATTCTCGCTGGGATCCAATCACCGGAACAGCTTCTGCCATCGTTGGAGTCTATACGGGCATGGCAGGCGCGGCAGCAGGCATCGTCACTAAGCCCGTAGCAGCATTGAGAGCCCCGAAATCGAAGAGCATGGACTCAGATGCTGAGGTCGCGGAAGCGGGCCACGGAAATGGCCCAGGTCTAGCACTTCCGACATCTCCCGCTCCGGCACGGGCTGCTCAGGTCGGGCTCCCTCGTCGCAATGGTAACCGAACTTCCGGTCGCGATTGCATGTCTACCGGCGGTGCCATGGCCATTGGGGTAGCTTCGGGCGTAGGGTCTCTTCTCCATAACTTCGCCAAGGGCTATCTGATTGACATGCCCCTCGCTTTTACCGAAGGGATGCGTAATGCACCGCGTCTATATGGTGGAAAAGTGGCCAATTACGGGCCCGTTACCGACTGGAAATCCGGAATCATGGTCTCGGGCAAGAACCTGGAAAACGGCATAGGACAGGGAGTTGCCGGTGTGGTACAGGAGCCAGTACGGGGTGCACAACAAGATGGTGCGCTGGGCGCCATCAAAGGGATGGGGAGAGGGCTCCTTGGGTTGTGCACTGGTGTCTCCTCCGCAGCTATGGGCGTCGTTGCGTATCCCGGATGGGGCATTTATCAGAGCATAAACCGCTCTCTACATACTAGGACGCGCGACCGGATTGTGGCTGCCCGCCTGGTGGAGGCCAAGCATGAATTCGGCAGCACAAAGGACCCAGATGTGGAACGACGTGTCTTGGAGCGCTTCAATGCTTTTTAAGGAGAGAAAGTCAGGCTACATTGATACCAGCACAAGAGTGTTAATGTCTAGGGGTTCGTATATAATGACCTTGGAAAGAATGGGAGAACCTGCATTTGATATGAGGCAAGAATTTCAGATTTCCGATATAAGAGACGGAGCCTGTCACCCGAGCGAGTGCAAGGATGCAAATGCCAGAAACGGCTGTCTGTTTGGAAGAGACAACTCAGCGAAGGAGAAAAGAAGAGGCAGCTTTTACGCGTCAAATGTGTTGCCGGGTATGTGCTTACGGTAGATGACTCAGACAAACTCGTGATACTATCAATTCCACGCAACATAAACCTCCGTGTTCTTCCAGCATCTGCTTTTGTGAGGGCCAATTCCTTAGACTCCTAGACCGCCGTTCCCGGACGATGGTATGAAGGCAGTGGCTCTGCATGCAGCAGTAAATCATGCTCCAAAGCCAAGGCCGGCGGCTCTCTCATACATTCCGACCGGGTAGAATCGGTGTGCTCATTGACAGAAAGATCGCGACCGCTCTGAGAGGATTGTGAGGCTTTGAGCTCCATAAGAGGCTGATGGACATTGCCGAAGCGAGAAAAGTCAATTGTCAATCTCCCCGACGTCACAGTGAAATGAATGTGCTTGGGCGCATTTCTTTGGAAACTAGTGCCCTCCAGATCAGCTAGAGTTTCAAGCAGGTTGTTCCATCTATTGCGCATTGCGCTGGACTTCATCAAATCAGTCAAGAGTCCAATGCGACCGGTTCTCTGTTGAGCCCGAATCATGGCTCGATGTCTTTCAAGCGTAACCCTATGTTCTTTCCTGTCCTGTCTTTTGTTGGTCCAGAGGGAGCGAAAGGAGACGAGGCATGCGACGATGAAGGCCAAACGGATCAGCACGACCATAAGTAAACATGTTTCGGGACGCGTTTCGGGAGGACTGAGAAGGACTCGAGAATGCACAGTCTACTTACAAACTGTAAGTTCGACGAAGAGCCAGAACGCCAACCATGACGGGTCGAAACCTTTGCGGCTGGCTTCCTCCACGGACTTGTAGACACCACCGAATATACTGCCGCGGACAATAGTGACAGCTATAGTGAAAGCGACCAGCGAGAATATACTCGTCAGAACAAGCTTCTGATACAGGGAGATCTTGGTGTTCCACAAGATAATAATGGGGAACACAAACTTTTTATAGTTCGATGACCCACAGGGATAGTCAATTTCTATGTATGAGCCGTAGGGGTGTGTTGATCCTGCTCTTCGTGGCTCATGGTCTCAGTCACTGTGCCTATGAGACTCTGGATTCGTAAGCGTGAGCGGAGGGGGCTACAAATAAGGCATCAATTGATTTCACTTGTCAGTCAGAGCTGTCTACAACCCCCGCTTCCACTGTGTACTTCCTATGTGCTTCTCATAAACTAGGTGCAGAACACCAATGAAGTCAGACCAGGTGACATGAAACTCAACTCGCAGAGGTCCCAAAGTCAGTTACAAATGGCCGAATGTCTTTACATAAGCTGTTTAGTGCCTTTGATAACGGCTTAAAATCCTCCTCATCCTTTGAGATGTCTATAACCTTCACCGATATTCGCTCAAGAACTGCTAGATCCGATTCCAGTATGCAACATACGGGGTTCGTGACGATGTTGTAAGCAAGACAGCTGAACTGAGTTGCTGCTTGATAGAAGCCCAGCATCATGGAGATGGACTCTGACCGTGGGTAAGCGTCAATAACAATATCGAAATGATGGAGAAAACGTCTTGCTGCATTGACTGCTAGCGCAGATTTAGGTTGATCTTTATCTGAAATGATGGAGTTTGGCAAGTATGGGCTCACGGTTGAGACCTTTCGAAGCATTAAAACAATGCAGGTATATCCCGTGAAAGCCACTTCATAGAGCATCCACATAGACATCTTGTTCGTAGTGCCTTTTTGGATCCAACTCTCCTATTGCATGATTAGAGCTGTAATTTGCGGGTCATAAATGCATGAGAACTCACAATTTCCCACTCCTCGAACAAGGACTCAATCTCCCGACACAGTACTTCAATTTCCATCTCTATCTCGGGATGGTTGGCACGGTCTTCTATCAGTGAGAAATATCGGATGAGGATAAAGGTGATTCGAGACCTCATGATAAAAGTCATGGTCGGTATTGCATGGAAGTCTGGCGCTGAGGCAGACGACAGCCAGGGGAGATTGACCTTCCAAGCTTTCACGTTGACTGCAAAGGCTGGGGGTTTGTTGTATATGAGGCGAAAGAATAAGTCGATGTAGATTAGATCCCAAAAGCCTTTTCTATCTGCCTCAACTCTTGCCTGATCCGGTTCGATTGGTGTTTCGGTGTTGTCGAGATGATGAATCTGGAGTTCTTCGGCGTGTTCGCAAGCAGTCTTATACATCTGCCATCCAAGCTCGTAGTCGAAGTGATCCGCTGCCACTTGTGCCTAAACAATTCAGCACTGCACGATCTTCAGTAGATTATGAGACGTAGGCGGCTCACTATAAATATACCTGCAAGGAAATCCATTCTTGTGCCAGTTGCTTCTCGTTGCCAGCCGGGAAGCGAGCGCAGACAGCAGACGTACAACTGCTGAGTGTATGATAGACCCGTTTCAGGCCGTCGGGGTGTGTCAGCCATGTAGAGGCCAATGTACAAAATGCAGTAATAGACAACAAGCATTGCTGCGTCGATACGTATTTGCGGATAATCAATAATATCCGGGATTAATCGAAATATTTTGGGATCAATGAACTCCAAGAATATCTCGGTTCTGTTGAGCTCGAAGTAACCTTTGCATATAGGGGTCAGTTCGTTCTCAATGCCACTCATTTAAAAGTTGATTGATTCTTACAATCAATCCAGCTTTTTGCAAGGTCAGGCGGGATGCGTATTTCCGCCGCTAGGGTTGCTTGGGAGATACCTCGGAGCCTCAACTCCTGGACTCGCGATGCAGCATCAGTGACAACAGCTGTGATGTCAATGTCCCCAATTGCTGTCGGGATGGAGGGGATGGAGCTGTGGGTCGGTGATGTAGTGTTTGAACACGAAGGAATTTCTACAGTTCGTATCGTACCAGCCTCGTGGGCTTCGGGTTGTAATACGACATGCTGTTCGACTTTCTCCAAGCGCTCAAGAATGAGCGCAAGGGAGTGATTTTTCTTCCTGCGTTGTCAAGTCAGTGAAAAACACGTGGCAAGCCCGCACTGCTAATGGAGGCTTTATGCGCACGTACCCGGTACTTTGTTTTCTAGAGTTACGTTTGGCACGCTCAGGATAAACGCATTCAATGTTTTGAACAGCACATCGCTGACAGGTTGGTTTTGCACGGCTGCATCGGACCTTGTCACTGTTACTGACTATGACTGTACGGGAGGGCGACACGATCGGAGTGGGAACGATCGACCGACTTACCTTCTTGAGATTGCAGCGTCGACACTGTGATGCGACATATGAGCGTCAGCACTGACAGATTGGAGTCACAAACCAGGGATGATTGAAACAACCCCCAACGGACGGTGATTCTGGAGCAACAGCATACCGATAGGGCGTTCAGCTGTGGAGCCTCATCGGGAGTACTCATCTTCTCGGAGTCTTGTGGCTAAGGCCGCGATACCGAGCGTACGATGGTGACAATTTGCCGGGTGGGAGAGCTTTTGCTGAGCCTATGCTATGATGAGCCATGTAAGAATTGATCGCACGGACTACCGTGACTGTGTTCGTAAATCAAGGAGGAAAAGGGCGGGGGGGGGGGGGGGGAGAAGCTGTCAACTGGTGGCAGTCGGAGCTCGGATCGCAAGGGACGCGAGAGCGCGACGAATCAAGAGAAGCCTAGTTACGCCACCGACTACTCGAGCCCGAAATACCATTTTGTCGAGGAACGTGGATCACTACTTCGGGGCTTGGCAGACACCGAAGTACCTAACTTACGAACCTTTGCGCCAGAACTTGATCGTGGCTCACAGCTTGGCAAACCCTCCAAGTTTCGAAATTACGGAAGATATTTGATTTGATGCCGGACAGCATTCAGCGTTCTTACCAACTCCGGCCCTTGACTAGCGGTTTCGTGCATTTGTTTGAAAAAATAATTTCTGGATCGGGACAAATTGTGGGCTTGGGTTCCTGAACGCTTAGTTGTCTTGGCAAAGGCCGAGATATGTCCACCCGGACGCTCCAAAGCTTCAGCAGGAGTCTTTTCAGCCACAGAAGATGGCCCAAACCAGTCACTGCAGTGCAATGTTATCACTAGAATGTGTCAACATGGCAAGGTTCCATGTTGATATTTTCCTCGTATAGACAGTCACATATAAAGGACGCCAATATCCCCAAATATTTCTTTGGTATCATAGAACTCTCATTTTGGTGCTCTACTATTGCATATCAGAACTTTGGGCGAAATCATGGCAGCTTCCCATCAGAACAACACTGAAGAGGGGAACAGGCGGTCGCATCTGGCTGCTCCGCAGCCTTCCTTTGACTCTGAGTCGACCTCCACTGTGGCAGACCAGGATCAAACTGGAAATCCCAACTACATCGCGGTCAGCGAAACGCGAATGAGCGCCGAAATTCATGAATTGGCTAGAAAATTGACGACTCGGTCGGAGAGCAGTCCTGGCTACCTATCTCCCTCGGCTGCTGGAGGAGCTCTCGATCCTAAAAGCGACAAATTCAACGCCAGGAAATGGGCCATGGCGTTCTACAACTCCCGAAAAGCGGCGTCCGGCACAACTCCTCGAACAGCGGGCATAGCATTCAAAGGCCTCAATGTATACGGCTATGGAACTGACACCGACTTCCAAAAGACAATCGGCAATATTTTCATTGAAGGTCCGGCGACGCTACAAAGATTTCTTGGCCGCGACAGGAAGCGCATCAACATCCTGCAAGACTTGGAGGGCGTCGTAAATAACGGGGAGATGCTCTGCGTACTTGGGCCTCCAGGCTCGGGATGCTCTACCCTTTTGAAGACTATTGCGGGCGACACATATGGCTTCCATGTCGACAAGAAGTCGACCATTAATTACCAAGGCATTCGACCCGAGCAAATCAGGAATGAGTACCGTGGTGAGGCTATCTACACGGCAGAGGTTGACAACCATTTTGCTCATCTTACCGCCGGCGACACTCTCTATTTCGCAGCTCGATCGCGTAGCCCCAAGCACATCCCTGAGGGAGTGTCGAAGGCAGAATATGCCGAGCATCTGCGAGATGTCATCATGGCCATGTTTGGCATTTCCCATACGATGAATACGCGCGTGGGAGATGATTTCGTCCGCGGCGTCAGCGGTGGCGAAAGGAAACGCATCACCATTGCAGAGGCAGCTCTCGGCTTTTCACCTCTGCAGTGCTGGGATAACAGCACCAGAGGCCTTGATAGTGCCAACGCCGTCGAGTTCTGTCGCACGCTGCGGACACAGGCGGATATTACGAGATGCTCGTCATGCGTCGCTATCTACCAGGCCCCACAGGCAGCCTATGATGTGAGTACCGAGCTAGGAAGCCAATTCAGTTAGGTGACGGCATCTAACTTCTATCAGCTTTTTGACAAGGTCATCGTGTTATATGAGGGCCGTCAGATCTTCTTTGGTAGAGCTGGCGAGGCCAAAGCGTACTTTGAGAATCTGGGCTTTGTCTGTCCCGAGCAACAAACAACCGCTGATTTTCTCACGTCCATGACGAACCATAACGAGCGAATCGTCAGGCCGGGTTGGGAAGGCAGGACACCTCGTGCAGCCGACGAATTCGCCAAAGCATGGAAGGCTAGCTCTGCACGCGCCTCTCTCTTGAACGAAATCGACATTTACATCGAGCAACATCCGTTTGACGGTGTACATCATTCCCAATTTTCTGAGTCGCGTCGACTAGACCAGTCCAAGCACCAACGAGAGCACTCTCCATTTAATCTCTCTTTTATGGAACAGGTGAATCTCAATCTCTGGCGCAGTTGGGTCATGCTCAAAAGCGATCCGTCCATCACCCTTACCATGTTCGTTGCCAGTATTTTCGAGGGCCTCATCGTTAGCAGCATCTTCTACAACCTGCCGAGTAGCACGAGCAGCTTCTTCCGTCGGTCCATTCTTCTCTTCTTCATAATCCTTATCAACGCCTTCAGCAGCATCCTCGAAATCATGACCCTCTATGCCAAGCGAAAGGTTGTTGAGAAACAGGCTCGTTACGCCTTTTACCATCCCAGCGCAGAAGCTCTGGCTGCCATGGTTGTCGACCTTCCTTACAAAATTGTCAACGGAATCTTGCTCAACACTCTCCTCTATTTTATGTGCAACTTACGTCGAGAGCCGGGTGCCTTCTTCTTCTTCCTCTTATTTTCGCTTACCATCACCCTATGCATGTCAATGATGTTCAGGCTGATTGGCTCCGTCACCAAGACCATCGCTCAGGCACTAGCCCCGGCTTCCATTGTCCTGCTGGGTCTTGTGTTATACACCGGTTTCACAATCCCCGTTGCATACTTGCAAGTCTGGCTTGGGTGGTTGCGGTGGATCAACCCTATTCATTTTGGCTTGGAAAGTGTTTTCCTCAACGAGTTTTTTGGTCGCAAATTTCCTTGCTCGGGTTTTGTCCCTGCTGGCTCCGGATATGAAAATGTCGGAAAATTGGAAAGAGTATGTTCTACTGTCGGGTCCGTTCCAGGCGAGAACTTTGTCTACGGAGAAGCCTATCTGGAAGCTTCATACGGCTTTGTTAACTCGCACCGATGGAGAAACTTTGGAGTTCTCATCGCCTATCTGCTTCTGTTCTTGGGCCTTCACTTATTCGCAACCGAGTACGTGGCTTCAGAGCGCTCCAAAGGTGAGGTGCTGGTCTTTACGAGACCGTCTTTGAAAAAGAATGGTGCCAAAAAGGCCGCGGACATTGAGGCTGGTGTCGCAGAAACGAACCGCCAGACGGGAGCAAATGATACCGCGAATGTCGCCGATATGGAGAAACAAACTTCGATATTTCACTGGAAGGATGTGTGCTACGATGTCAAAATCAAGACGGAGACGAGAAGAATACTTGACCATGTGGATGGTTGGGTCAAGCCAGGCACCTTGACCGCTCTAATGGTAAGCAACCATTCGGAGCCATCTCCTTCCACTTACCGCTAAGTTGTATGGAATGCTGACTTTCCTCAGGGTGTCTCTGGAGCCGGAAAGACGACTCTCTTGGACGTTCTTGCGAGCCGCATAACCATGGGTGTCATCAGCGGTGAGATGCTTATCGATGGGCGTCATTGCGACTCGTCATTCCAACGAAAAACTGGTTATGTTCAGCAGCAAGATCTCCACCTCCATACCGCCACAGTCCGAGAGGCACTAACCTTTAGCGCCTTACTGCGTCAGCCAGCCAAGTATAGCAAAGAGGAGAAGCTCGCGTATGTTAATACGGTCATTGGTTTATTGAACATGGAAGAATACTCGGAAGCAGTTATCGGAATCCCTGGCGAGGGCCTGAACGTGGAGCAACGCAAGAGACTGACGATTGGAGTTGAGCTTGTGGCCCGGCCACAGCTGCTGCTATTTTTGGATGAGCCGACGTCTGGACTTGATAGCCAGACATCGTGGTCCATTTGTGACTTGATGGAAAAGTTGACCAGAAATGGACAAGCGATTCTTTGCACTATCCACCAGCCATCGGCGATGCTCTTCCAGAGATTTGATCGACTCCTGCTACTTGCAAGAGGCGGCAAAACCGTCTATTTCGGCGAGGTCGGGCAACACTCGAGTGTCTTGATGGATTACTTCGTTCGCAACGGTGGTCCCGCCCTGCCGCCAGGTGCAAACCCGGCCGAGCATATGCTCGAAGTTATTGGAGCAGCACCTGGTGCCCACACTGACATCGACTGGCCTGCCGTTTGGCGACGATCTCCCGAATACCGTGAAGTGCACGCAGAACTTGAGAGACTGTGTGGAACTGGCTCAAAGGAAGCACCCTGCGAAGGGACAGATTCTTCTCAATACGAGGAATTCGCAGCCCCGATGCCGGTTCAGGTCAAGCAAGTCACGAAACGAGTTTTTCAACAATACTGGAGAAGTCCTAGTTATTTGATTTCCAAATTTATTTTGTCCGCAGGTGCTGTAAGTGAAGACACTCATCCCCTATTCGGTAGATGCTAACGTTGAGCAACAGGCCTTGTTTATCGGGCTCTCTGTCATCAATAGCGATAATACCGCCCGTGGTCTCCAGAACCAGATGTTTGGTGTTTTCTTGTTCTTAACCATTTTCGGCCAGGTGGTCGAACAAATCATGCCTATTTTTTGTCAACAGCGAACGCTTTACGAAGCTCGCGAGCGTCCTTCAAAGTCATACTCATGGCAATCTTTCATGTTCGCCAACCTTGTGGTTGAACTCGCCTGGAATTCTGTGAGTATTGATTACTCTCATGGAACTCGTGTCACTAATATGTATTAATAGTTAATGTCTGTATTCTGCTTCATCTGTTGGTATTTCCCCATTGGCCTGTACCGGAATGCGGAATGGACAGGTCAAGTCCACGAGCGGGGCATCACCACCTTCCTACACGTCTGGGTGTTTTTCCTCTTTACGAGCACCTTTGCGCATATGATGATTGCTGGCCTGCCAAACCCTGATATTGCAAGCGCTGTGACCAACTTATTGTTCATCATGATGTTCATCTTTTGTGGGTAAGTAGAGAGCCATCCATGCTTTGCCACTATCTGCCCATTACTGATCATCTGCAGAGTTCTCGCCGGTCCGAAGGAGCTACCAGGCTTCTGGATCTTTATGTACCGTATCAACCCATTCACGTACGTTGTTGAAGGCTTCATGGGCACGACGCTTGCCAACGCCCCCATGAGCTGCGACAAGACCGAGATTGTCGAGTTCAACGCACCCAACGGAACGACGTGCGATGACTATCTAGCTGCTTACATCAAGATAAACGGCGGGTATTTGGTCGACGGCGATGAGGGAAGCTCGAGTTGCCATTATTGTTCAATGGACGACACAAATATGTTTTTGAAGGGCATCAATGTCGACTTTGGAAATCGGTGGCGCGACTTCGGGTTTCTCTGGGCCTATGTTGTCTTCAACTGTGCCGCCGCGGTTTTCTTCTACTGGTTGGCTCGTGTACCTAAGAACAACAAGGTGAAGAAGGAGTAGAAGATACGATCGTGACGATCGATTGGGTGTCCATCTTTCAGAACGACTTGTTTGACATCGAGTTTGCCTTTTTCTTGTCGAGGTAACCATTAATGCATAATAGATTAGACCGAAAGATCCGTAGACTGCCTTTTAACAAAGCCCCATTTTCTAGATTCGGGAAAGCGTCTAGGATGTATAGATGGAAAGTTGCGCGTATAATTTCGTTATAGACTCCCTGGCGCGTCTAGCCATAACTTCTGGCCCGTTCGGCTGTTCTTCTGTCTCATTCAGAAAACCTTCTAAAGACACCCATCCCTCCCAACCGTAATCGAGCAGCCACGTCCTCGCGACGTCTACCACGGGGAAATACCCTGGCTCTTCAAGGGGAAACGGTCTGAATCCCCTTGACCATGCAAGTCTGGGGTCGCGAACTTCAAATTTGGCGAGCAGAGGAGAGTCGTTCGTCAGAGACGGGTCGAGTCTTGAAGCGTCGGACAACTGGATATAAAGAATCTTCTCCCTCGGGCACTTTTGCAAAAACTCTTCCATCGAGTTTGCTAGGTCTTCCGCGGCATTAGGAAATCTGATTTATAGATCCCAGACTCAACACCTGATCAATTAAAAGCTTACACAGCCCCCATCAACTTTCAAGAAACCACCTGTCATAAACTTGGAGTCATTGCTCGCCAGGAATGCTACGACTCCAGTTATATCGTCCACCTCCGCAAACCGGCCTAGGGGCATATTCCGGCGGAGTTCCTCCAACTTCTCCTCACTCCACGTCGCTCGGAACATTGGCGTGTTTACTCCACTAGGGTGTATCGTGTTGACGCGGATGCCATACGGGCCCAGCTCGGAGGCGGCTGTAAGGGCTAGCCCACGTAAAGCGAACTTAGACCCAGAATACAGAATGAGGCCAGGTGTCCCTCTCAGCCCGGCGATAGAGGAAGTCAAGACAATACTTCCTCCATTTCCAAGATCTCGCATAACCATGCCGGTGTGTTTGATGCCAAGGAAGGCTGTGGGAAGTCAGCATTGGACAGGAAGACTTTCTGGCGGGCAGGATGCCGAACCTGACTTAACGTTCACATTCATGATCTTGTCGTACTTCTCCTCGGTCGTATCGAAAATGCTTGTGGATGAGTAACTTATCCCTGCGTTTAGAAATGCACAGTCGAGGCGACCGAACTTGTCGACCGTCGCCTTAGTGAATCTTTCGACGTCCTCTTCGCATGTGACATCGGCAGGATCGCCAAGACCCTCGAGTCCAGTGAATTTGGTGAGACGAAGGGCTGCATTTTGGACTTGGCCATGTCCAGGGCTTCAGGGCTGATGTCCACCAAACTAAGGCTTGCACCCTCTTGCAGCAATCGAGACGCTGTGGCCAGGCCTATTGAGCCTCCTGCCCCGGTGATCAGCACAACTTTCCCAGCTAGCCTCTGGCTCGGCGGCGTCGCCAACTGCGCTTCATTGCAGGCCATATTTGCTTTTTAGAGCTCGTTGTGGCGTTGCGTTACGTTCTTTGGACGACAACTGCTATCGGTTGCAACGAGCCTCTTCCACACGGGTCTTATACACCGCTGCGTAATGCTGCACAGCGGAATATATAATCCGACGAGCACGACTGGAAGTGAAATCTCTTATCCAGGCATCAGATCCTACATACTGTACGGCTGGAGCCTTCCCCTCTATAACCCCGCAACCCCAACATTTACGGGGGCATTGGAACCCCGTGGGGTAAACAGATGGTCAAGCCGGAAATATCTATATCCTGATTCTCTCCGTCTCCAATCCAGGCGATCACTTGACTTGCGAATCATCTTTTAAAGCGTGGAACATTTGACACACCTCCCTCCCTGATGTTTTGGCACACCAAAACCCTTATGACTAAATACTTCTTCGGAAGCGTAATTGTGCTGAATACGTCAAGATGGAGGAATCGTTTACCAGATCCCACCTAGGAGCTGATAACCAGGAGATCCCTTCGCAGGTCTACGGATATCGCCCTTACCTACTCGCCGTCTCGGCTGCATGGGTGAGTGAGCTACACAGCGCTGTTTTTCTATGAGCCATGATCTATCACCACTTCAGCTTACAAAAATGTACAGGCCTCAGCTATGTATGGTTATGATTCGGCTTTTATCGGCGGAACACTGAGTCTTCCGTCCTTCAAGCACGCATTCGGCCTCGACACTGTCACATCTGCTGAATTAACGGCCCTGTCGTCGAACATAGTGTCCACGTTCCAGAGTGGTGCTTTCTTCGGCTGCATGGTGGGTTTCTTCACCGCTGAACGCTTCGGACGGAAACCCATCATCATAGCCTCAGGTGCAGTCTTCATTATCGGAGTCATTTTGCAAATTATTGGCATGCTTGGGCTTCTATACGCCGGTCGTGCTCTCACAGGCTTAGCAATCGGCGCTAGCAGTACTCTTCTACCAATTTATATTGCCGAGTGCTCACCAGCGCTGATCCGCGGCCGCCTGGTGGGAATTTTCGAGATCATGCTGCAGATTGCTTTGGTCTTTGGCTTCTGGGTGAACTATGGTGTGAACCAGAATATCTCATCAGAAGGCAACTTGCAGTGGCATATCCCAGTCGCCGTCCAGTTCATTCCTGCTGGACTTCTACTCATTTCCATGCCATTCATCATCGAATCGCCGCGATGGCTGGTTTCCGTGAACCGGATGGAAAAAGCACGGAAGGCTTTGTCATGGGTTCGAAATCTGCCCCAGGACCATGCATACATCGACCGCGAGCTAGGAGAGATCCAAGCTTCTGTCAATCACGAGCTTGAGCTATCTGGTGGCCGCCGGTCTACGACTCAGATTTTCCGCGAGCTTATTGCACCCGGCATTCGAGGGAGGGTGGCCGTAAGCGTCCTTCTCATGCTGCTCCAAAACCTGACTGGTATCAATGCCATCAACTACGTGAGTCCCGTTCGGTGTCAATGAGACTACCAACAAGAAAACTCAACTCCACTTCATCCTGAAGGAATAGTCAAGAGTGTTGACCTATTCTCAACACAGTATTCTCCTACGATACTTAAGTCCATCGGGTTTTCGGGAACAAGTGTTAATCTACTCGCTACCGGCGTGTATGGTCTGATCAAGATGTTGACGACGGTCGTTTTTATGGTCTTCATTGTAGATCGCTTCGGTCGTCGACTACCCTTACTTTTTGGTGCAGCAGGAGCCATGATTGCCATGTTTTATCTTGCAGCTTACTCCTCACTCTCGGGCTCATTCAAGGGGACCCCACCGCCTGACTCCGGAAGTCGAACTGCTCTCGCAATGATTTACATTTACGCCATTTTTTACGGGTTTTCCTGGAATGGCATCCCCTGGATCTTCGCTTCCGAGGTCCTTCCGAACCGTGTCCGTACTTTGGGCATGATGTGTGCCGTGTGCATGCAGTGGCTGGCTCAGTTCATTGTGGTGTACAGCTTACCTTACATGGTAGCGCGGATAACTTATGGAACCTTCATTTTCTTTGGCTCTTGCACGATCATGGCCTTTTTGTTCGCCTTTTTATTTGTCCCTGAAACGAAAGGTGTACCACTAGAGGACATGGACATCATCTTTGGAGTGGGTGCACCTGTGTTTGCTATTCCTGCTCGAAAGAGGTATGAGGAGTCCAGGGCAGCTGGGCTCGGAGTTTTGCAAATGAGAGAATTTGAGAAAGCTGGAACGGAGCATGTCGAGATTGGGACCCCGTAGTGTATGGCAAAGAGTAGGACCTGTTTATGTGCCATAGCAGGTATTGCATTTGAGAGTTAGGAAAGGTTTACGGATAGGTTCTTTTAATACTAGTTGGCCCTGTTGAGGGGTTAATTCATAGGAATTCCCTCCTACACTCCCACACCTTTCGCTTGGCCATAGAATAGTAAGCTTCCTTTGGTAGCTAATACATGGGAGCTTGTGTCCCAGTTTCAGTCTCAGGATCAACTAGTCTTCTCGCTTTGAGACAACATGATGTCGAATCTATTCATTTGGTGACGGATGGCCTTCACAATTGGAACGAAGATCGCAAGCAAGATTTGGCCTTAGACACATTCGCACACCTCAAGGGCCTGTCTAGGATTGGAACGTCATCGAGGAATGATTTTGAATCCCTAGTCAATGTGCTTGAACGGAGGTCACACCAGCTCAAGTACCTCGAGATTTACCTCATTCTGTATAAGGAATCGCGTGACTACTGGAACTACGGCTTTGATGAACATGACCAAAAGTGTCACTTCATGGCCGAGATCCGGGGGCGATGAACGTGTAGTTCGGGGGAAGGTCCAGTTCTGAAAAGACTGACCCTCGCCGCCCTCCGACAAAAGAGAACAGTTGACAAGTGCATCTGGTAAGATGCAGTAACAAAACATTATCTACCGCGCAGATTCTTTTTGATCATCCACAGTGCAAGGTCCACTCGTCACAACCCGAAAATGTATGGCCATGAGGTGATAGTGTTTGAATCTATTTTTGGGTCCAGAAGAGATAAGTATTCCATAAATTTAGACACGGTGGTCAAGCCACTCATAGTATCTGCCATTATGCGGTTGCCCGGAGCATCAGTGACTATGGATCTGACTTCACCACCGTTGAGACATTCATGTCTAGAAGCATGGACAGTTGCGTGGGGTATCGTGCTCGGAGGATTATGTTATGATCAGATATATTCCGCCTATCTTCACGAGATATATAGGTCGCTAGTTCTGTTGTACACCCGCGTCACTCAAACGCATGAAAGTCTGCAGTCTAGCTCCCACACAGTAAGGTGAACTGAAGCCCTGCCACTGCTGGTGTCGAGCACCTCTGTTTCTTGTGACCCAACTCCGAGCCTCCAATCCACTTGTAGGAACTGACGACTAGTTTGCTAATCTAGCTCAAGGACATCATAAGAGAGAATGATGTCGGGTCGGGGAACATCTCAGCTTCAATGTCGTACAGGGATCCGCAGGCCATTTGGCGGTAGTTGATGATAACCGGCAACTGGCCGGTCTGGATGCGGCCGTACACATCTGGGTTGTAGTAGCTCCAGTGGTAAGCTTGAACTACCCAGCCAAGCATGCCGGAGTTCAGCAGTTTCATGTTCGACTCAGATGCTTTGTGTGTGACAGGGCCGTCCTTCCGCAGCTTGACTGGAGATTTGAACTCGGCGTTGATAGCCACGAAGGCGGCGGTCGCCTTGGCTGCGCCGTTGGGAAAGTACAAGAAGGCACGCGCGTCCCTTTCCATGTCGAATGGGGGCTCGTGCCCTGATCCTTCGGGGAACGCTGGCAGGAGGCCCATATCCTCGAGCCTGAACTGCTGGGCATCAGGGTTGAGTCTGGCGATCTCGTGCGGTACCTGGAAGCTGGCCTCCCTCAAGGCCTGGTCTCGGCGCCGCATCGGTGTCCTCCGTGCCATTTCGAATCCTGCAGTGACGATGTCTGTGACGTCGTTACGTTTCCTTTGGTCGGAGGCGCGAAGCCAAGAGTGTGGCGGGATGGCTTTGGCTGACGGATCGTATGAAGGGATCGCAGCTGAGGACTTAAACAGCCTGCGGGAGGGAGTATGATGGAAGAGGCCTGGCAAATAAGGTCAGCTTCGATATGAGGGAGAACAAAGGGCAAAGCTTCTCAACTGACGTTTCGGTGCGGTAGTAGCTTCGCCCTTGGTCACCAAGGAGGGACTCGAGGTCGAGGTCACGCTTAAGCTCAAGCTGAAGCTCGTTCGTCCCAGAGATGCCAAGGCAGGGAAAGACGAGCCGCGACTGATGGTTCTCAGTCCCGACTGGTATAACGTCCTAGAAGACATGCCGGCAACATCGGAAACAAGTCGTGTTTTGATCGTTGCGCCGAAGATCTACCGCGAAATGGCTAGAGGAGGCGATATCGTGCGCCGCATGCTTCAGCATCTGTCGTTTCAATGTCGTTGTTGGTTGGCTCGGCTCCTGATCCTGCGGCTAAACCTCGGGCACATGCATCCTCGTGCAACTCTCTAATCAACTAATCAACCCTCCCGAAGTCTGCCCTATCCCTAACGATCTCACAAGAGAAAAGGGAGCCCCCCCCCCAATTGGTCCTCTCATCCACGAGGCGGGAAAAAGACAAACACCAAGACCGTGCAAGATACCAAATTTCCAGGCAAGACATGGTGATGAATATGCAGCCAGGTGTCCATCGAGCCAGAACAAGCAAAAAGGAGATATCTCGGCAAGTTGACGAGAAATGACATGTACTGTGATGCAAATTCCAACGCCATCATGTTTGCCAATTTCTTCACCGATAGACTGAAATATCAGTGAAAAAAACGTGTGAGGTAGTAATGAAGGGATACGAGAAAAGGCCCGAATCGTTACCACGCAGAATTACACACCTCTCACCATCTTGATGGATTAATAATGACTTTGATCTTGGCATGACGAGGACTCCACAACAGAGTGGCTTGGAAACGTGCAAACTCCGCATAGCATCACATTGCGACACGGCTAGAAGATAGTACATGCATGTTTCCATTGCTCAGTCCTACCCTCAGATGCTCCTCAGTGCCCAGTAACATGCTTTTAATCGGTGATAAGGAACGGCATTAGGATATCTCCATTCTCTGGCGATGGCTTCAGCTCAACGATCATGGCGGTGCAAAATCATGATGTGCCGTACTCCCGTCACCGGCGTCATGATGGTATATGATGTGATGACTCGTTGGGAGCCTCATCAACTACAAAAAAGGACCGAAAAAATGTTGATTGACAATTGTGTCGAACGAAATACCACCAAGCTTCCATTGCTCAGTCTGTCTTGACTTTACAGATTCACACTTATTCACAAATAGACAGTGACACCATGAAGACCGGTGGAGGAAGCATCGCCGTGATCGCCATGACGGCAATCATCAACACAATGACGGCAACCGCACAGAACTTGTCGTACGGCGCAGATAACTGGTACCGCAGCGACATCGTGACAGTCCAGCCAATCACCTTCCAGACCCAGAACAACCTGACCGTGGCGGGCAACCTCTTCACCCTGACCAACCTCAGCCGCAGCGCCAACAACACGCCAGCCATCGTGGTCGGCCACCCCATGGGCGCGACAAAGGAGCAGAGCGCGAACCTCTACGCGACCAAGCTGGCCGAGCAGGGCTTCGTCACTGTGTCGCTGGACCTGCCGCACTGGGGCGGCAGTCAAGGCGAGCCGCGCAACGGCGTAGCGCCCGACGAGTACGCAGAGGCCTTCAGCGCGGCGGTTGACCACCTAGGCACTCAGGTAGGGTCAGTCGACCGCGAGCGCATCGGCGCCCTGGGCATCTGCGGCAGCGGCAGCTTCGTAATCAGCGCGGCCAAGATCGACGCGCGCATCAAGGCCATCGCCACGTCGAGCATGTACGACATGGGCGCCGCGAACCGCAACGGGCTACGCCACTCACAGACCGTTGAGCAGCGCAAGGAGGTCGTCGCCCAGGCGTCCCGCTCCCGCTGGTCTGAGACAGAGGGTGGCGAGATCGAGGTGTCTGGGGGGACGCCGATCGTTCTTACTAGTAATTCGACCGCGGTCGATGCCGAGTTCTTCGATTTCTACCGCACCAGCCGCGGCGAGTTCACGCCCGAGGGCACGACGCCGAACCGTACGACGAAACCGACGGTGACTAGCCATGTAAAGTTCCTCAATTTCTACCCCTTTAACGACATCGACACCATCTCGCCGCGCCCGCTGCTTTTCGTCTCGGGCGACCAGGCACACTCGCGAGAGTTTAGCGAGGACGCATACGCGAATGCGGCCGAGCCCAAGGAGCTGTTCTGGGTTCCTGGTGCTGGTCACGTCGACCTCTATGACCGTGTGGAGCTCATTCCTTTCGACAAGTTCACCGACTTTTTCAGGGAGAATCTTTAAAGGGGCACAGTCTTGGCTTGAGATAAGATGCCAGTTGTCGACTTATCCTTTTCATATTAGCTTACCGATGATGATCTCTTTGCTTTGAAATCCTCCTGTTTGCTGGTGTCCTCTTTTTGGTGGCATACCAGCAGAGTATTCATCCCAGTGTATATGTACGCAGGTCACCGCAGGCTCAAATATGATCTCGGCTGGCATATAACAAGAGAAGGTATGCAGAAGGGGTCCGACATAGATACGCGCGGAAGAAAGCATCGGTCTTTTATATACTATTCAAGGAAATTTTCCCGAGCGAGCTAAGTGGAAGGAGTCTGTCCTGATAGGAAAACAGTCATAATATTTAGACAAGTTGTTCACAAGTATGCTCTCTCGCAAAATGTTGTAGCGTCTCGGGATCATCTTTGTTAGGGAGCTAATGCGTTTTTGAGCGCCCATGCCGGCACTGTAGGCCCCCGCTGCAGGTAACACAATCAGCTCGAGCGCTTGGAGCTTGTCTGCGGCACAGCTGAGGACGTGACTCTAAATTTATGTTTCCCTCCTCCACATTTGTTACAGTCGCCCCCACGCCGGTATGCAGGACACCTATGGGCAGAGAACTGAATGTCCCATTGGAGCACAGCACGGCGTACAGGATCTCTGAACCCCATTGCGGGAGCCAACAGGTGCACCCGCGTATACGATTTCCACGGCATAAGCTCTTCCAGCGATCGACCAGACCGCAATTATGGACCCGCTATCGATATCCGTGAGCGTGCTCGCCGTCATGGGCGCGGCTGGGTTCGTTGTGAAGACAGTCAAAGCCATCGATCACGCGCCACACGAGCTCACCGACATCGCTGATGCAGCGAAAGCCTTGGAGACAACCCTCGACGACGTCCAACACTGGCAGTTGGCCGGCCATAAACTGAACGAGGGCCTCGTCTTCCACCTCCGGCGCAGCGAGCAGAAGCTGCTGGAGCTGGCGCGCTATCTCAAGGACCACGGACTAACCAGCCCAAGCAAGCTACGGTCCCCGATATACTACGTTTTATATCAGGAGAAACTTCGGAATTATAAGAGGCAGCTCTCTGAAATTCGCAATGACCTTTCCTTAGCCCTATCGGCCGTGACCCACGGCCAGACAGGACGGATTGAAATGGACCTGCAACAGCTTATCATTACCAGGCAGGCGACACGGGAGGCTCTGAGCGAGCAAACATCGCAGCTTGACTATCTGGCTCAGAGGTCAGAAGAAATGGGGCTTGCGTAAGTCCAAATGACGAAGCTCCTTGAGTCGTTCAGACACCAGGACAGCGATGCCCAGCCTGAGCTCAGAAAAGAAAACTCCGCGTCCGTAGCACGTCTCCGCCACAGCATACAGATGGAGAGTGAAATCCAAGAACACCAGAAACACGAATCCGTTCAATCCATACCTACCACCAAAGAGTACCAGAACCGGCCAAAGCCATCATGCTCGGCGATATGCCGCTGTGCGTGTCACAGGAGACGCAGGCTTTGTACACCACACTCAACACGAGACTGGCTGGGCGGCCTCTCGGTGACATTCTCCGAGATAGGCCCCCTGAGCTCAGGCTGCACCGTCCCCAGCTGCGCTCGCCGCCTGAGTCCCTCGGCGTCGGTCGATGTTACGCTGCCCCCCTGGCTCGCGTCCAACATCGTCTCGATCTGGCTCAAAGGCGCGCCAGTCCAGGGGCCGGAGCTGCTGCTGCGCTCAAGGCGGATCATCGAGACGCCGGCGTACTACACGGCTGAGCAGGGCAATCTCGTGGCGCTGAGGCAGCTTTATGCGGAGGGCAGGGCGGGGATCCATGATTCAAACCCAGTCTCGGGGCGGAACACCTTGTTCGATGGCATCTTCCGCGGGCACCTGGACATCATGCGCTTCCTCCTCGACAGCGGCGCCGACATGGAGGCGGCCGACTTCTGCGGCTTCACACCCCGGGACCTCGCCTTCCAGCGCGTCAACACGGCCTGCCCTCCTGAGTTGGCAGAGCACCTCCGTACTCTCTTCACGCTAGACGAGGTACCAGACGACCTAGAGCTCACAACAGTCCACCGGATAGTCCTAGGCATGACCACCCTCGACCTAGGCGAATACCTCTCCGAGCACCCACCCGAAGTCAACAAGCCTGACCTACTCGGCCGCACCCCGCTCTGGTGGGCGGTCAGGCGAGACGATGCGCCCAAGTCCCATGCCCTCCTCGCGCGCGGCGCAGACCCAAATATCGCCAACGCCGCTGGCCGGTCACCGCTGCACAACGCTGCTGCGCAAAGGAACCTGGGCTTAGTGGACGCGCTGCTGACACACTCCGCAGATGTGCACCAGCGGTCATTTGAGGGCAAGACGCCGTTGCATGTCGTGGGCGTGTATGGCATCCGGGAGGATGTGCTGATTGTGCAGCGGCTACTTGATTCTGGGGCCGAATTGGCGCGCAGGACTCGTACGGCCGTACGGCGATCTCTTTGTGCTGCTTCGATAGCCATGCTGAAATTGCGCAGTTGCTTCTGGAGAGGGGAGCTGATCTTACGGTCCCTGACGCCCGTGGCTGGTTTCCCTGGCACTGGGCTATTTATGACGGAGCTGCACGAATCGTGGCACGTTATTTGACACATGGAGACTGCGATCTGGGTGCCGTTGTTGATGGAGGGGGGACCGTGCTACATTTCATGGTAGAACGGTGTACAGCTGAGCAAGTTGTCGACGCTATGCTTGCGATAGCCGATATGTCCATGATTGACCCAGACGCCAAGGACAGCCGGGGCAAGACTGCGTCGGAGAGTTTTGAGGAACGTTGGTCCTCGGATGTCCCTGTTTATCCACTCGATGAGCCAACATATGAGAAGTTGGGACGGATGATCGACAAGGCTGCGAGGCCTCGTGATACGCCCCGCTCACCACCTTGGTCAGCTGCCAGCACAGCGGACTCGTGGCATACTGCAAGATCGCCTTGCTACTCGAATCAATTCAAAGACTAGCAAATCGCTTTTTTGGTAACTGAAAGTAGTTGATGAGTTCTAGAAAATGATTGACAATAGTAGAATCGCCTCCACAGCACCTAGGTATGTAAGGCTTGGTGGTATACACTGTGTAGAATTAGTGTAAAAAGTTTATCCTACTGCTGTACTCTGATTTATTGAAACAGAAGTATTAGCAGTTATAGATTCTACCACTGTGTTTGTATATTTTGCTGCCCTCTTCTCTTCGAGATGTAAATATGTTTCTTGCTTCTGAGCTTCTGTTTGATAGACCCTTGTAATTCATTGAAATTTAGTACCACTGCTTCATACCACCGTCGTCACTCTCAGCAGGCTTCTCGAAATAAGTATGCTAAGATTCGGAAACTGTCGAGAATTTTCGAGAAGCATCCATCTTCCAGCATACATTGTTGCCAGTGGCGTGCTTATATCCTCAAGCCCTCTACAACCGTCTGAGGGTCCACTTCCTGAAAGGTCAGTGACTGATTGATTGACTGACTGAGATTGACTGGCTGTGACTTGAAGGAGGGCCGGGGGTGAAGGGGGGGGGGGCGCTTGTCAAATTCCCGCGTCCTATGCCCATTCCACGTCCCATTTACTATCGTGCTCCGCCCTGCATTCTATTCCATTCCCTCGTCTCTCCGCTCGTCTCTCTTCTTCGACAGACAGAACAATGCACGTCAGCCGTTGATGCTGCCTCCCCTACAGTTTCATGGTCGAGGGCTTTGACAACGATGACCGGTGGCGAATCTGCCTCGTCTGATCCCTTTGGAGCAGCCAACGCAGGCAAACGCCGCCAGCGTGAACATACCCAGTCAGCAATCCTTCCATATGCCTAAATTTAATGACTTTATACACTCCTGTAGAGAGGTTTTCAGCCTCGTGTCGAGGCAGCCGATCACATCTCAATGATGTCTGTCATAAGGCTACCTCCAAGACTCATGGGCCCAGCTGAAGGATGTTGATTCCTACCAATAGGACTTCGGCGCTTCTGGTGCTGCGCCTCGAGACTGACAACCAACTGCATGAACAAAAAGCAAAACCAAGCTCATTGGCTGGCCAGGTGCCCAGGGTTGCCTACGTAGTTATGGCGATGGCGGCCTCATCTTCCTGGACGAAAATGTATTTAAGCCCTCCAGCCATAGTGACGTCGCTCCAAGTACATTCATTCAGCCAAGACTGTATATATCTGACCTCAGTTGAGTTGAGAACGAATCACAGGATCAAGTTATCCATTTCTGTATTCATTTGTCACCATGAGTCCTGAGGATACTTCCATCCCAATTCGCGAGCTGACCCGCTCAGCCGCTCCGTCCCCTCCCAACGCCCAAGTCGCTTTTGCGGAAAGCGAGCCATCGTCTTCGACCGGTGGTGGTGACTCACGCTTTACCGCGGCCGAACTGGCTCTCCTCAAATCCGCCGCAGGACGCCTCCGCGAGCACGGCAGCGCACTCCGCGCAGAGATCGAGAGCGACCCCCAGATGTTCGTCGCTCTGGAGAGGTCAGCCTCCCACCGCGCCCGCTGCCGTGCCGAGAACGACTGCTTGCACGACCTTGCTGGAAACCCGTGCGGCAGCAGAATCGCCTCTGAATACCGCATCTGTGTCGAGGGCGCGAAGAGCTGGAACCACTGGGCGCCGACGAAGCACTACTACCACACGGGCTGTTTCGCGCGTATGATGGACCTGCCCCCGATGATTCGCGATGGAAATTTCCGTCTCCGGGAAGAACCATGGGGTTTGATGATTCGGAAGTGGTACGAGAACCGGGGACGCGTGGATCTAGACAAGATCCAGGAATATATCGAGGCACATAAGGCCTATAAGGAAGTCCACACGGAGTACAGTACCGAGTGGATTGAATGGCAGATTAAGCATGGCGATTCTTGCAACGAGAATGAGAGATGCGAGTGCCCGCCAAAGCCAAATCCTCCTGAAGAGCCGGTGTTGAGGGATTACAAGACTGCGGAGGGTCAAGTCTGTGGGCTATCGGATCTCCTTCGTCACGAGAATCTCGAGGACATGCGCGAAGAGCAGTGGGTTACCTTGGGGCCCGATGGGCGTCGTGTCAGACTCGTCAGGCCTGAGAAGGAGGATGATATCGAGTAGTTTATACTCTTAACTGATGCGAGGGTAAGACTGTTACAATTCAGGGAACGGGCGATTAACAGAAACAGATTCCAAAGCCAGACGAGGAACACGTTACAAGTCGTGCAAATTATGCGCTACCAATACAAGGGAAGGGGATGACTCGAATGAGCCCATGTTTTAGGCTGTGGAGATGGTCGCGGATGAGGCAATCAGGGAGAACATCTAGACTCAAGAGCTGGATATATAACACCACGGTCATTTCCGGTAGGTAGCAGCTCTTTCGTTTGCTCTGCACTTGTCAATTTGACTTTTCGTCTCAACAACTGATTATCCTCACCGCTCATGATTATCCATTAGTCGAATGCATATTGCGCAGCCAGATCTGATACCGTTCTGCTAGTACAGATCCTTCAGATCACCTATTCAACCCCTATAGATTTTGTCTAATAGATCAGCAGGATTCCTTATAATTGCCCACTGTGCTTTGTGAAGACGTTCGAATGGATTTTGTGTAGCCAATCGCACAGCAAGCCAGAGCATCCCGAGCGGTCTGTAAAGACCCTCAACTAGGCGAGAGTGGCCATGGCCCAGCCTCGTCAGCCTCACCTGCCCTCCGACTATCCCAGTCCTCTGACCAATCTTCCCATCGGCCGCCTACCATCCCAGACCCACTGATAAGTTGGAAGGTCAGCAGCCATGGAGAGGAGTTATCAACACCTGGCTAGATGAACTTTTTCAAGACCTGCTTGCAAAAACTTTGCTACTATTGACTGATATACAGCTGCAAGACGCGAGGTGTAACAAAGCAACCTCAAATCTCCAGCAGCATCGACAACCCACAGAACATGCCGCATGTGCAACACTGCAAGGAGACGTGCCGACGGGCCGCAGCCATGCAGCCACCCTATTATTCATCCGCCTGCAGGAAGGCTTGTGTGCCACCACCGACCAACTCGAGAGGTGTTGAGCGGCCTGCCTGGCTACATGTTGGGCGATTAGGTGAGCCTCCTTGTTGAAGCTGACACATTACCAATTGCATCCGACCAAGCCGGGCCGGTCTCGTCAGCAGCGCACAAAAACAGTGTGCGACAGGTTTGTTGGTTTGCGCGAGCAGTGTTAGCCCGTCCAGAAATCGAATCACACCAGATATCCTAGCATGGCACAAAGAGACAACAAGCTACGAATGGCCACTTGTAGTTTTTAAATCTTGTCTGATTTTCCCCATTTCCTAATCCAACGGCCCCGTCATAAGAAATTTGTATATACATCAGCACGTGCTTAGATCGTCGGCGACAGATGAGCTAGCTGGCTTCAGAACCTTCCAGGGCAGGCCAGCAGATAATTACAAAAAGATTTCAGTAAGAGCACCCCAGTACCCCAGCACCCCAATCCAATTGCCGGCCATCGCTGCGCCGGCAAGAATGACCGTGACCATGACCAAAACCCAGAATGTTGCCCCGGTCTATATGTAAGGTGGCAAGTGTCTTTTGTGGTGTCGAGGGAAATTTGCGAAGAAATATGTGTGAGAGGTTATCCCATCGACAAGGTTGGAGTGTGGGCTTGTTGGGTGCCGTGGCCCCGCGAGGGTGTTTGTTGTGGAAGAACCCAGTAGATGAAGGCCAGGACATCGAGCCGAAGAGTCGAGCTCAATCAAGCCCAGTCCAGCCTCTTGACGTGGTTTAGGGCGATCGGCAGAGTTGATCGCGACTTTCTGTCAGCAAACTCCACATGGCCGGCATCCGTCGCCCGTAACCGAGATTGATAAGATGGACCCTCGTCATGTTGCGAGCGGCAGAATCGGCCCAGCGGCGACCCAAAATACTGCCCACAGTGACAGTTGATCGCGTCATGCGAGCAAGTATCAGTGCACTCTCTTATCTCGCTCCGTCGAAGCTGGCCCTCTGTGTCCTCCAGTCGGCAGGCGGTGGGGCGATGATACTGTCCCTCTTGGACATGGAGCCAAACCCAGGCATGGAGCTGAAGCGGTTCAGCTTCTTGCGCTCCGCCTTGCTGGGCGCTGTGGCCTCTGCTGTTGCTGCTGGGCTGAAGGTCTGGGCGTGTGTGGGTGATGGGGTTGCGCTGTCATAGGCCGAGGATGTGTTGGAGTTGTTGGAGGAGCCAGTCGCGTTGGGAGTCTGGTAGATGTACTCGCCGTCGACGTAGATAGCGTTGGAGACGAAGGTTGAGCGCCTGTGGCGGCGGCGGGTGTAGCGCTGCTCGAGTCGCCAGATGTCAATCTTGGACTGGATGCGTTCGAAGAGTCCTGGAGCCATTTTGAAGGTGGGTTCTAGGACAGGAGAGGACTGTCGCGTGAGGTGTGATGTGGTGGATGTGACGGAATGTTTGGGAACTGTCGGCCTGCTTGACAGGTTAAATCGTTTCGTCGTGGAATTATTATTTGTTGTTTTGTCGTGAGACCTCGTGTTTGATTCTTGGATTGACTGACTGACTGGTCGGTCGAGCTATATTCGTCGTGGGTGGGGCTTCGGTTCGGAGTGGAATCAATCCAGGATTAAGCTCCGCGTAATTTGGCGAAAGGAGAGGAAAAGACAAGACAAGATACCGGTGGGTGGGGGCCTTCTATAGATGTAGTCTAGGTATAGAAAGGTATGGGAGGGGGAGCGAGAGGGAGAAAAAGAGCGGCTGGGGGTGGGCGAAGGTGAGGGAGGGATGGGAGGGAGAGAAATATGTAAGATAGGAAGAGGTCAAGTGGACGGGATGGGATGGGGAGAGGAAGAAAGATAGAGATGGGACGGATGGAGGTTGGTTGATGAAGGAGGGAATTCTCGAGCCTCGCGGGGACGGAGACTAGGCCAAAAGAAGGATGGTAGGTTTGGCATTTGGTTAGTCGGGTGGATCGTATGGGGATGCCTGCAGAAGTATACATGTACTTTTGACTGTGGACTGAATGATTGATTGATTGCGTGTGTGTGTGTGTACTGTATTGGGCTGGACTGATGTGGATTGGATGTGGATCTCTTACTCCGATCTTGATGCTATTTGGGCAAGTTGATGCTACGGTACTGGATCATGATTGTATCGTGCATAAACATGAATGCCCTCCAACAACGGTCGACTCCACCGTGGTGACCTTGCGATACGAAGATCAAAACAGAGGCCAAACCGGCAACAAGTGGGAAGAGACATGGACAGACAAGGACAGACGTGGACAGACATGGAAGAGATGGAGAGAGAGCAAGACAGTAAAACAGGTCGATCACAGCCGTCACAGCAACCACAGCAATCTCATCGACCTCATCCCTGGCAATCACAGTCGGCCCTCATCCCTGCCTCGTCCCTGCTTGGGCCCCTCTTTCCACAATAACTTCTCCCACTTCTCCCACTTCTCCGACTTTGGTCGTCAATCACTGACAGTAAATCGTCGCTTCCGAGTGCCCCTTCCATGTCAGCCCCCCTGCCTCCTGCCATCCCTGTCCCGGTGCTTTCCTAGTTTGGGTTGGAGCTACTGTAGTACGCCAGGGAGAAGCGCAAAGAGGGCAGCTGCAGCCCTTAGCGGCCGCCCCACCTACCCACCTGCACCACCTGCACCTTCCCTGTTCATCTGCACTCTTGCTCTGTGCTCTGTGCTCTGGACTTTTCAACGAGGAAGGGACGGGGCAGACTGGGGAAACAGAAAGGAAGGAGTAAAGGGAGGAAAGCAGAGAGAAGAGAGAAGGAGCGAACATGAAGCCATCATCAAACAAAAGCATCATTCAGTTCATCAGTCAATCAGGTCAAAGCACTCGGTAGATGGATGAGTGGAAGAGCAGTGGAGAGGGAAGAGAGAGAGAGCGCGAGCGAGCGGTAGACAAAGACAATCAATCACCTTTCATCAATTCAAACAGTCAAGCCCCCTCGAGTCGAAACGTGGCAGTGCAGTGCAGTCAATCAATTGTATGGAGAAAGGCAAAGACCAGACCCCACGAAGGAACATACTGACCTGATTTTCTCATCGATAATAAAGAAAAACAAGCTCGAGCTTTAACCTCGACTTCGACCTCGACACACCGTCGACTTCGTATCATCGAGCCCCCAAATCACCGAACCCTCCCCCGAGCAGAGTCGTAGGCCAGGCCCAGGCCCAGACCAGCGCCACAAGATCCACCCTCTCGCCATCTCTCGCCATACGCTACAGTACCATTTCACCACCATCACAGACCCTACCGCGGCCAAGACACGGCTTGGCCATGGCCTAACTTGTCCTAAGCTGCCCTAAGCTGCACTAGCCTGGGCGTGCCGTGGGCTCGGATGTCGCATCCATCATTCTAACGTGTGCTTGTGTCTGTCCGTTCCGACGCGTTGGGACGAGACACGCCCTCACCACGTTTCTTTCGACAATGAGCGTGACAGTAAATGTCAGTCAGCACTGCATTGAATTGTCGAAACATCCAAGGCTTCACTGAACAAGCCTGACAAGCTCAACATTCTCTCTTTCATCCACACATTCATCCATATCTGCGCAATGATCTCCGTGGCAAACTTGATTGTCCGTCCCCGCCGCCACAGCGAGTCATCCCAATTCGTCCCATCTCACAACCATGCCAACGCCATCCTATCCTGTCCTATCCCATGCTGCCAGCCACCACACGGGCCACGTCGAGTCGCGAAGCCGAGGCCCTCTCATCTGCCCCAGCCCCTCACTTCAAACTTGCCGTACGTGTACGTTGTCGCAGCGACGGGCACATTAGATCTGAATCATATCGCTCGACTGGCTGGATGGCAAGCTGGCAATTGGCAAGCTGGCTGAAAGGCTCAATGACTCCAAAGTCAAAAGCAAAGGCAAGGACAAATCAACACTCTGGCGAAACCCTGCCCAGCGTCCACCTACAGGGACCATGGCAGTCGTCATGCTACTCACCCCGTCGGATCGTTCCTAGCTCCCCAGTCGGTTGTTTCGCCATCATGGAGGGATGGTGGTGGCAGATGGCACATGGCCATTCTGGCACCCTCAGTGGAGGGAAGCCAAAATAAGGGTCCCCGTTCTAGATCGATCTGGTGCTTGTGTACTTGTAGCTCTTCTTGTCTCTGCCGTGCTTCGTATCAGTCGGCCCCGGATCCGGACAACAGCACAGGGAGAGAGGGACAAGACAGAGAGGGCAAGATCCGCACCCCTCCTGAGACTGACGAGCCCACCACCTACCCACCCACTCACCCACCTGTCCCAGGGCTGTGCCTTACACTCGGTGTAGGACAACTTGTCTCGCACCTGAATATCTATCATGCACGCCTCTACAATGTAGGGTATATGTGGACAACCCCCAGAATTTCAGCCTCGCAGCTCTGCACACTCGAAACTTGGCAGCTGGGAGCTGCCGGGTGAGTTGTTTTCCTGGTTGGCCTGGCTGGGGACTGGGGCACTGGGACCCAAAACTTGCTCCGAGGTTGCACTGTACTTGTAATGTCCAGGGCTCAGGGGACAGTAGGCCGAGCCCGAGCCCCAGCCAGAACCAGAAACCAGCGCCCAACGGCCCAGTGCGGGACCACGGCCCAGCTCCGCGCGAGGAGGACCTCGAGCTCACACCACACACACGCCCTCGGCCGCAGAGGTCGGGCCAGCGGAGGCCTGGGGAACCCCTGCAGGCCACGTGTGGGTGGCTTTTCTCTCTCTTCGTTTTCTTTAACAACGGCCGAATACTCATCAACAACTCCTTTCCAGATTCGAGATATCCCCTCGACGACCTGGCAGCTTTGTTGTTTTACGAGCTGACGGCCCTAGGCTATGAATGGCCACTCACGATCACCGTCGATCGTCCCATTTCATCTCATCTTAAGCTTTACGAACCGCAGGCCATAGGTGCCACTAGAGCCGAGCTTAACGCCCGCCGAATCCCGAGCTGGAAGCATGCAACCTCAACAAACAAGCCTTTTTTTCTAATATTCGAGGCAATGCTACAGTCATTTTGATTTGGTTTTTCTTTTGCATTTCCCGTCTTGGTGGCAGTTTATGTGCTGGCACTAATTGACACTATGTAGCGACTTGTCCATTCACTCGCCTCTCACATGCAAAGCTTGCTATCCCGCGGTCAATTGAGTGCTGCACGTAGAACTGGGAGCTTGTGACCTCAGTTTCTGGGTTGGTCCGATTCACAGTATTTGCCGCTGTGTGTTCGAGATCCTGTCCATCTTCGGCCTCTCAGCAAGCGTTGAGGGCTACATCTCTCAGCCCCGGTACCAGGGTGGGAAAGAGGACGGTCTGCTGATATAGTCTATGCACATATGAAGTGGCACCCAACAGACATCACTATGTGATAGAATTCTAATGCATTTCTTTTTGAGATTCCTTTTAGCTAGAGTATAGGAACATTTGTACAGAATGTTTAGTCCGCATACAGCGTTCCTTTCTGCGAAGTGACTGGCCTTCTGGTCAGCATCAAATTCTGATTGACGAGCATTTGTTTGTGGTTCTTCCCCAGGAGCCCCCTCGAACTTTTCAACTTGATTTTCAACTTGGTTGTTCGGCTGTCGAGAGTTTCATTTTCTTCATTAGTCCGATCAAACATGCACTGGACTTGAAATGTTCGATGTTATGAATCCGGCCATTCAAAACACTTCATCTCCTTCGGTCAGATGATGCTCTTTTTGGCGACAACTTCAGTTTAGGGCCATTGTATGATGAGTTGCTCCATCGTGACAATCTATAAGCTGCCAAAAGCCAGGTAATAATCGAATTTGGTGTTGACCGAGTTGATTTCGAGTCTGTCTTGATGTAGCAGAAGTTACAATAGTAGTAGAAATAGGCATTAAACTGCATGGCTGCATATCTGCGCCTTTGTGTCCACGGTCACCTTTATGGCGCCTCAGAAGCCTGGCTACAAGGCTTCGAGGGCCATTGCACTCAACTGCACTGTTAGAACCACAGCCAATGGTATCCTGTCAATCGTACTTCATTCAGGGGAAAGAACCCTAGCACTATGGGCTGCGCAGTCAACCACAAAGCCTGTTCTACAAACTCTCCTCATTGTGGCTTGTTGAGTCTGCATATAAGGAAGCAAGTAGAATAAACTATTGGCATTAGCTCAGCTACCGAAACTGAGTGTATTCGAAGCGTAGTTGTTCAGTTCTATTCTGGACGCGCCTCAGAATGCATATCGGAGTGAGCAGTTTTGCCATTGGTCGATTGCTAGCGATTTGTCTTCTTTTTACACTTGCATGGCGCCATTTTAACTCTGCTTCTGTTGTATTACCACAAATCGGCCATTGATTGGTGGGCGTCCTCTTCACTTGGGAGCGACCTCGGGTCTCCCTTTTTAGGGCTGACCGTTTGGACTCAGCCGGTTCTCAACTACATTGACAGATTTCGAACATCAAGCCTGCTCTCACACGTTACTATCATTCAATCCCAGCAGCTGCTCATGATACTATAGTTTTATAATCAATTACTGAACTCGGCTCACTGCCATTGACTTCGGGTCATCCTGGACAGTATCAACTCATTCCTCGACATCGATCTGTCTGTTGTGTGAGCAAATACTGATGGAAAGCTCCCCTACCACAGCTTCTGGCGCCCCGAGCAAAGTCATCGGCTGGCCTTGGGTGGATCGTATTGAGGAATGGCGGTGGTGGAGGTCACAAGTCGTTTGGAAACAGGAAGAACATCGCCAGATCTTGAAATGGTTGAAGAATAGCTGTTGCAAAACTACGAGCACGATGTACCACCAGCTTCCGAGTTCGCACACAGAAGCGGAGCACGCGGCGCTCTTGCCAACTCGACTCCTCGACCTGGGACGAAACGTACGGACTTTGAGGCACACAGGGCTGCGACTGGTTACAACGAGACCCGGAGATCGGGGCCATTACATGACACTGAGCCATCGCTGGGGCACTGAGCACCAGCTGAAGCTGACCAAGGCCACCCTAAATGCTCAAGAACAGATCATTCGCTTCCAAAGTCTACCCAGAACATATCGAGACGCGGTAAAAGTGACATTGAGCTTAGGATATCGATATCTATGGATCGATGCTCTCTGTATAATCCAGGATGACCACGAAGACTGGCTCCAGGAGGCGGCCAAAATGGCGCTGGTTTACCGCAATTCAAGCTGCACCATCAGTGCCCACGCCGCCCACAGTGACGACGACGGATTTTTGTGCGCGAACAATCATATCATGCCCGGTCACTTCGGGGATAGACCGAATGTATCTGTTCTAATTACAGCGAGCCATCTGAGTCACAGGGGCTGGGTGTTCCAAGAACGCATTCTGTCACGGCGATTGCTCCATTTTACACCCGGAGGTCTGTTCCTAGAGGATGCCTCCGGGATTGTAACTTCCTGCGGCAGCCCCCCAGAGATTTACGACCCCTCGAAAGACAACAAACTCAACCTGGAGGACGCAAACCAGAACTTGTGTGAATGGTACAGACTTGTCGAGAAATTCACACATTGTCAGCTCACGGTCGACACCGACAGACTCCCCGCTCTCCTGGGACTGGCTCGCTATTATGAGGAACAAAACGACGATGGCCAGTATCTTTGGGGCTTGTGGAGTCGGTCTATCCACCAAGGTCTCCTGTGGATAAATGTGGATGAAAGTCCTAAAAAGCTGCTCCAGGGCTACGACGCAGCGTCCGGGCCGGCTCCGACCTGGACGTGGGCTCATTTGCTCGGCCGAATCAGGTATCCTGATCATGTGTCCAGTTGCGAGCCTTGTTGCGAGGTTATTGATCTCGATGCTGCAACATTGTCTGCACGCTTAAGCAGGGGAGAACCACCATCTCTTGTTGTCCAGTTGAAAACCGTCGACCTGGAAGATGCTAAAGTCATACACAAGCCAAAGTCATTCATGGGAGTCGAGTTCTGCCACTTGCTGTACTATAAGCGTAGAGCTTGGGTCTCGCTTGACGATGAGAGAAATCACGACGTGGTATTTCCCCAGCTCACGTTAGCATTCGTGTCACACAATCACTTTCAGAGCACCTTCAGCTATGATGATTTGCAGCTTACGGAGCACACTTGGGTCTACTATTTTTTGCTGTTACGCCTCTCGAAACTTGACGCCCCGGCCAGATACCAAAGGATCGGTCTCGGTGCGTTTGAGTGTACCCCTTATCATGAGCACAATAATCGGGAGCTAAGGCTTGGTGATAGTAATTGCATTGTGTGGGATGAGGCCGACTGGAGGATCATTTCCCTGTGTTAAGTTGATCTCTGCAAATGTTGAAGATTATGATCGATGTAAACGAGAATTGTCCCATGGTTTTGTAGTTGGAGTAACTATCAATACCTGAGAATGAATCATCTTAAATGCGACCTGTTTCAATCTCCTGATTCCAATTTCTTGCGCCCCAGCCCCCCCCCCCCGGGGCCAATCCGTATTGACGGCAGTGGAGCCTTGATCTTACGTTGTTGCTCAGAAAATATCAGAGAATGAACACGTCATTTCCTCTTAGTCCCTGCCCTTTGTGAGATGCCTTACACGCTTTAGGTATGAGACACTGCCAGCAGACCTCCGTATCAGTCTTTTCAGGGCATAGAGTTATTGATTGGGTTGTTCTGCCATAAGCAGGCTCTTTTTCCCTAGCCAGCGCATGCAGTATACCAACCACAGCGAGCCTAGCCATCCAATTCCCGCGGGTTCTAATGACGAGCAGGCCATCCTGCGGACTGTCGAGGATCTCGTCCCATGTATCCAATGAGGTCATGCGATCGTCCGGCACGGCCTCGGTGACATGGCACTGAAGGCATTTCCAGTCACTGTACTTGAGCTTCATGTGCGAGAGTGCGTTGAATATATCAACATCTCCAACCCATCTCCCTCGGTCATGAACCCGGATGACCGCCTCGGCTATACATGCCTCGACAGTGTACTGCCCGTAGGAATCGTCGGACGTCAACGGCAAGCACCAGTCGAGAACGTTCAAATGCATCGACATATGACTAAAGCAGTCGTCCAGCTGACCGTCAAAACGGGCGTGAGTTGCCATTCTCCACGAGCCCGGGTCCACTTCCCGAACCATGAGATTCTCTGGACAGGTGAGAAGGGTGAGACCTGGCTTGCCTACGTTGCCAAGAAGCTTCGTGAAAGATATCCCTCTCTCAAAGCGGCTTGCGTGTTGGAATGGATCGAGTATGAGCTGTTGAGAGGGAAGCGATTAGTATTAAGTACAGAATAGCCTGGCAAGATAATAATGGCAGTGACAAAGTGCAGTACCTCGGATCTGACAAATAGCGAATCACGGGAACTGAAACCGATTATGCGTGACGTATCATGTTGTTTGATATCGATGGATCCTGACTCAAAATAGCAAATAGTGCGCAGAGTGGCCTCTGATACTTCATCGTGGTGCATGGTTGCGAGTGGCGGGCGCCCTGGCCATGGTCTCTCCAAGGGGGCGTGAAGGATGCGGCATGATATCGTAGCCCCTTTCATGGAGTCGAGGAGATAAGTCTTTGAGAGGGTATAGAGAAAGTCAATGTGCTTCCGCCATCCTTCGTCTGTTGCGAAATGCTCGGCAAATCGTCTTTGCGCTATCAGTCTGGCCTGCATGACCCAAGAGAGGTCCCGTGGCGAGGGCTGGAGTTGATCGCAGATGATTGCATTAGCTCGATTATTTCCGTCTTGGGTTGGAAAAGAGGATCTTTCAGGGCTCCTGGATTGAGACTCGGACTGGATGCTTTTGCTTTCAGAGTGCGCATAGTACCGGAATCTAGGAACTTCATGCCCGATTCGAGACGCTCTGTTGCAACGTAATTGTCCCGCGCATTTTGGACCCACGACAACAGTCCCCGAAACGTCGATGCCTCGGGACTCGAAGAAGTTTTGAAGAAATTTCACATTGTCCTCAAAGTTTACGAGAAGCCCTTGCATTGTTTCGATGCTCTCACAGACGCCGAAAAGAAAAGGCCAGTCCTCGACTTCTGCGGCATTGCTTTTTTCTCTCGAACAGTATGGCTTCCAAGGCAGACCATCTAGGTACAGGGCATGCAAATGGTGAATACTATCATCAATAAACAATAGAAATCTTTAACGTGAAAAAAGATATAGACTATCTAGGGTTAAGCCCAGACACCTTATAGTAGCTGCCACATGCACAATATTGTAGCTGCCGTGCGAGCCTGAAGGTGGACGCCCGATGAGATTACAAAAAGACCCGTTCCTGGTTGCGTGGTATAATTTCGAAACTCTTCACTATTGTCTGCCTAGGAAACAGCTTGTGTGTCACTAATCCTAGATAAAAGGTAACACCCTACACCACCGTAATCTCCTGCACGAAGTTCGTTAATCTCGGGTCGTCAAATCGTACCTTCGGCGGCTCGACCCCTGACGTCTTGTTATCTTGCGGAAGCCCTGACCTCGTCAAGAGGAGCTCCTGAATATGCTGCGAGTCCTGGTGTACCCCCGATTCGAACATGCCGAGGCGCTGTGTCGAGCCGTCGATATTAGCTTTGAGGATGAGACCTCGTAAGGAATAATGAGTTCTACCAAGCTTCGCCGAGATAATTGCGAAGAGTAATAACTCTTCCTTTCGACCCTGAATACGCTTCGCGACATCGTCGTTGAACCGCGTGGCATCACGCGGGATATATTCGTCCCAGTCTATGATAGTATTTACTGGAGTACCGCTGTCGCCGAGAAGTGGATTTGGAACCAACGGCTTTAAAGTCATTTTTGTTTCATGTATACTGTTTTCACTATGTTGCGAAAACAACCTTCCTTGGATGCAGACAGCTCGTAAATGCAGGCGACATGAGGTAAAGTTGTACAACCCTGAGGGATGATCTGTAGCTACGTGGACGTCGAGAACTTCTGCGAAGTCCACCACCACATAGCCAGGCCGTGGCCCGTAGCCTAGATCAGGAACTATAGGGCCGTCGAGGCTGGCCCAAGACCACGTGGGGATCCAGCAGCCTCTGATCCTGGACACAGCCCTATCGTGCTGGGAATATGTGTTCCAGCAAACCTGAGATAGGATCTCGTTTCCCCACATACCGGCGAGGTACGTATCTTTGAGAGTTTCGCGGAGATTGCCAGCCAACCCAGCAAGCGCAACGAGCTTGTCTGAAGTCTTGGTGAGGTAACAGGAAGAATAAGCTTTCACCATTGCCCACCAAGCCTCATTCACACTGGCTATATCTCCAAGGTCGACACTGGGTTTGCCCACTGGCGGCGCAAAAGTGCGATAATTCGAGAGAAAGCCCGCCATTAACTTGGGGTCCCAAGCCTCCGCCGGCATGCCCTCAGGAAATTGCTCACAGGCCATAAGCTCCTGACACTCCCAGTACACTTGGTTCCTGGTAAAGCTCAACTGGCCCGGAGCCAGATAGCGCTCCTGCAGAACCCAGGCGCGGGTGTTCAAGGGGGCTTCTTCGATGTCGTCAGTATACATTCGCAGTCGAGCCAACGTTGTGTTAGCCTCGCCGATATCCGGTGCTGATAGCGTGGCTGGGTCTCTGCCGTGGTATAGCCCCAGACTACCGTCCGCAGCCCAGGTCGCGGCAATGTTGACGACTGCGCCTTCATAGATCTGTCCCATCAGGGCTGACTCTTTTTCCCAGTCAGACACGTCATCTTGGATGATGCACAGCGAGTCAATCCAGATGTGGGAGAATCCCAGGGATGTAGCTATCTCGCAAGCTTCGCGATAGGTCTTTGGAAGCTTCATCATGTCCTGCTCTGCAAGAAGATTGCTGTAGTTGTACCGGCCTAGACAGAAGTGCAGAGATTTGCCCCAGCAATGGCTCAAGGTGCAATAAGGCCGGGGATCATCTGCTGCTTGCTCGACGATCCGCCACCCAGTTGCTTTGCCATCCGAAATGACAATCTCGACGAGTCGACTTGGTGAGAAATATTGGCGTTCTCTTATAGAACGACATTTGTTGTGTGACGTAGAGCATCGTCGTAGCGACTGTGCCCACAAATGAGGATTCTGTGATGTTGACCACGAGTTCGCAAGAGGCTTGCACTCTGAGGAATGCAGAGGCTCAGTGTCGTTCTTCTGATTTTGCACCCTTCTGAAGGACATCTGTGCAAGACCCTGGCGCAAGGTGACCGCGAAGTCGAGGGCTCGGGCATTATGTCTCCGCGTTTCAGTTCGTACAACGGAGAACAACGGCTGGCTGTTCAGCTCAGGCGGATTGACCGTGGAGGCATAATTCCAAAAGACGTCTTCGCTGGGCAAGTGCGGCTGGAGCTGTGTCAGAAACTGCTCGTACGTTCGTGGCACCCAGTCCCCAGATTCGTAGAGCGCGCTGTCCGAGACCTCGACGATCTTCTGCCAGATATTCCGACAAATGAAACAATTTGTCTCGATGGCGTTGTAAAAACTTTGAGTCGAGTTGTGATGGTTGTATCGCGTGCTCACGTTGCCGAGATTGTCTCGACACATTCGACACAGCATGTTTGACGTTGCACGGTGGATTGAGGGGTGATGAGTCACGGGTAGAGCCCAGAAAGGGAGTTTCTTCTGAGCAGGTCGGAACGAGGCTGAGAAACCCTGTCAATCTCGCTGCCGCTCAGTAGGGGCTTCTGCGATAACAGAGTCACTACTGGTACTGCGAAGGTAGACGTACGCGTGCTGCGGCTCTACAATACCGCAGTTTACAGGGCTGGACCCCAGGGCCCTTGTAGCCAAATGTATTAGTAAATCTACCAGATTATTCCAGCGAATCAGATATTTGGCCCTAACGCCACACGAACAGGGATACACACCCCTGTAGGTGGCGGTGACTGGATGCACGTCAGACAGCCCTCAGCTCGGTGAAGTCAACGCCTCAGGTATTGCTCTCCACTTTTGCTGCCTACTTGGCACTTCTGGTGTGCCTTTCTCCTGAGATACTCTTCAAATTCCTGCATATTGCTCGGTTGAATCTCCGCCGACACCAAGAGATCTGCGAATCTCAAAAATAGCGAGTTCAACTATAGAGGATACACATCAAGCCACAGCACTGGCCACAACAGCTGTGCCAGACTCAGGCACAACGCCATGTTTGCAGGAAATACTAGTACAGCTTAATGATTTTTGGAGGATTGGAGAACTCATCCCGAGACACAAAGAGAAGCATGCAACCGTCTACCTCGTACTTGATGTGGAAACTGGTCTACCAGCAAAAAATCTCGAGGCACACGTCTTTGTTTTGGATCATAAGCAACCAAAGCTTCGCAAGCATCGACTGCGCTGCATTAAGAGGATGGAGCACCGTACAAAATTGGAGTTCAGGGTCCAAGAAACTGTCATCATTGTCATCTCCACGTTGCAAGCCATCGAGAATAGAGCTCCAGACCAGGATGGCCCTGTCTCCTCTTCACCCAATACCAACGGGCCACAAGATCCAAACGATGGTTCCACATCCATGACCGACTATGGAAGAAGCACGCTCTATCAGCGGGAGTCGGTGCGAACACGGCAAAAAGAGAGACGGCAAGCCAAACGATCTGGAAAAAGGGTACAGAAGCACTTCAATACTGCCGACGGAGAACAAGTGAGGACGCCAGCGACAGGCCGGGCCGCTCTAGATGATGCGCAGACAGATTTCACAGGATTCCTGATTTTAATCTGGATATTCTATGACGAAACAGGCACCACGAGAAGAGAAATTCCACACCAGCGCTCTGAGTTCGTCAAGACCATGGACAGCAACTCCCTTCAAGAAACCTTGGAAAATTACTTGAACCAAACCACTGCCAAGCTGAAATCGCCTGCAGACATGGAATCATATTTGAAAGCCAAATGCCGAGAAATTGTTTTACTGCGGCGACAAATAGCTAGGGTCTCGAGCGCTGATAAATATCACCATGACAAGTTGGGGAGACTATACCAAGAACAAGCCCAACACGACAAACTTTCGGAAAAATGGCGACAGATCGAGAATGGACCGAAAGCAAAGGCTATATTCCAATTAAAAGTCGTGCTTCATGCCAAATCAGTCCTGCCGCAAATTCTGGCTTCACAGAAATCTCATTTCAGATCAATCGAACAGAGATGTGCTCGCACAGTTGAGAGACTGACCTCGATGGAGATTATTGAGCAGCGTAAAAATCTCGTGTACAATGTGGCTCAGTATGAAGCATGGACAAGCACCGTCTTCCTTCTATCTCACGCCCGTGAGGACCTCTTGAGGCAGTTGGAAGAAGCTAAGAGCGAATTGGCGGCCTTCGACCGTGGTCTTCCCGAGCAAAGTACATTAAAGTCCGATGGCTCTACGGCGCGGAAAGAGATTAGATTTAGCCCCTCCCTGGCGAACAAGGTTATCACGGACCCCTCGGCTAGGTCTTAATTCTCCCCAGAGCTTGCAGCTTGCAGAGGTTCATAGAATCTCCATTTTCTACCTAGTGAAACCGGCTATTCCAATAGAAAAAAATTGCAAAGTCGAACACAAGCCTATTCCTGGCTGATACTTTTGCCCCGTATAGTCAAGTCACTCTTGCTGATATTGTCCCCTGACCTCACTCCATCCCCGAAGAACATAATATTTTCCCCTTTCTTTATACTGCCTTTTTCCACTTTTTCTTCTTTGAAGAATCCAATTCGTATTCCAAATGGGCAACCACAGGAATAGAATGGGTGTGGTGGAGGCCTTGCTCTGCCACTCCTTCAGAGGACGTGGGAGCGCTCTGGTGAGAAAATAGCAAAACGATGGGAGCGGACGGAAGAAAAAGAAGTCTTCTGGGCTCTGCCCAGAGCACAAATGATACGATAATATGCAACAGATACGTGAAAATAAAAGAATGTGGGTCGATTGATTATCTGCGGTAAAGACTGTGTTTTGAACGCAAGGCCTCTTTTAAGGACTTCTGATCACGGTAGCCCCTGATTCCCGAAAATCAAACCAACCCTCCACCCTGCAGCCGTATTGACATAAGACATGGCGGCGAAAAGATAGGGCAAGTCGGCCCGCGACACTTGTCTGGGAGACTTGGGAAACGCCAGGGGCCGCAGGAGGGCTAGGGTAAGTTAATTTCTACATATACTCGAATCAGCAGCACCTGAAACGCCTCAAAAAACACGTGTGAGGATCACTCATCAAGGGACGCGAATCTGTCTCTTCCCGTCAAGGTAAAAATGGATCACAAGTGGATATACTGTCTCTCCATAAGGCATGGGAGCAACGCAAAAACTCGGCAGAACTAGAGAGATGCTGGACACTGGAAGACCTAGACATTTCTCTTAGAGTCCTGACCCACTGGAGCCTCAGGAGGCCCCTAGTGATATTCCGCTGTCCGTCTGTCGTTGTGCTTATTTATTTATCTTTTTTTTTTGTTTTGTGTGGTCTGCCTGACTTTCCTGGCCGGGACTGTGGACACTCCTTCTCGATATGGCGTAGATGATCTGCGAGACCATGTGGTCTCTTGCTATCAATTGTATTTCCGCATCCACAAATATAGGGGCCGCCCCCTCTGCATCGACGACCGCTGATGTGGCTGCGGTGCTTATCAAGGCGAGCACGACGACTGCAAGAGCAGGTGTATCTGAAGTCCATGTGTTGGTCGTTCAAGTGCCTTTTCAAGTCCTTCTTGGATCGGAAGTCTTTGCCGCAATTGGACTCGACACACGGCCAGCGCGGCGGACGCGTGGCACTGTGGTTTCCTGTGAGATGATTTTCTGCGACGTGCTTCAAAGCCGATGCAACTTCGTTGAAATTGGTTCGACATTGGCCACAATGAAGAAAGCGCTGTTCAATTGAAGGCGAAGGTGAAGCTGAAGAAAAGGTGCTTGGACTCGACGACTGTGCTGCGGGTTGTCGACCTGGCCATGACGGCTCTGAGCCGGGTAATCGCGGTGGGGATCGAGGAGGGAACTTGATGAATTCAAAGATGGTAGACGATGAATGTGAGCCAAAAGTAGTGTTTAAGGGACATGGGGATGAGTTTGATCCATCTAGAGAAGATACAGTACTGAAGTCGCAATCGTCTCTGGCTGGCGTCTGGAAAGGTTGGCCGGACCGTTGGTCCGGTGCCTTCCCTTCGCACAAGAAAGAGGACTGTTCGGACGTTCCATACGCATCATCTAAAGTGGCTGCGTTGTTGTATATCTCGCACTGACGGTGCCATTCCAGCTCTTGACAGAAAAAAGACTGATCCTGTTCTATGTGGTGATCATGTTGGCTGTTCGAAATGTCTGGTGCGCCGAGACACTGCTCGGCGCCAGACTAATGGATACCGGCGGAGTTGCAAAAGGGAGTCAGGGGCGGATCGGCCCCAAGACCTTGTGGTTTGCCAGTCGCAGTCTAGAGGTTCGTTTTTTAGGCCATCGGATGCCCCGCTTTCCGTGTGGGGAATCAATAGTAATGATCACGATGATCTCAAAAGACTGAGTGCGAGCGATCGCTGGGGTACCCGTGATGCCCTGTCTGGCTGGCTTCACGGGTAAGTCTGAACTTGATTATCGAGACGAAGACGGGCTCTGAAGTTGGGTTCCGCACTCCTCTTCTTTTAACCGCGTGGCCGATGCTTACGTATTACAGATTTCTACTCCACCCTGCAGGCCCAGACGGCCAGACTGCAAGACCACCTACCTGTATGGGTGGCGTCCGTAGCAAGGGGCTCTCTCTCATTTGTCGCTGAGGGAGGGCCCTTTTTCTTATTCGCCCACGCATTTCTTATCACGCAGGGCCAATGAGCTGATCGGCACTAAACCCAGTCCGCACGTATTCAATCCAAACTGCCCTTGGAGGGCCTTTTAAGTGATTGGCCAGGTACTGATCTTACATTGGATCTTAACGTTCCCACACCATCATACAATAATCACTATGCCATGAAGCCACACTGCGGCGAAGAAAATTGGCCCTCCAATCACTAAAAGCGGTGTTGGAGGCGCATGCACAGTGGCCATTTCCAATAAGCATGAACGTGTAGGTGCATCACACGACTCTAGACTTGTATCTGCCCGGCTAATGTTTTCCAAAGAGTTTGCCCATCGTCAACGAGTCTGGCCAGTCCAAATATTGGCCCTGGAAGACCTGCAGACAGCTCCTGTTGCATGGCAGGTGTGGTCCTCTTCGAATCGTGGCAGTAAAGGTGACATTTCGGAAGTACAATCCGTCAAGCCAATTCATCTCGCAAGGCGGATTTATAAGAAGTCCATCTCATCGTCTTTAAGGTTGGATGCCCTCTCCCAAACCTTGGACGTAACAACTTCTTAGTGAGTCCGCGGAAGAAGTGAAATTCCTCTTCATTCTATCTATGCATCGGTATTAGTGTCAGAACTCATTACAGACTTCACACTGGAATATCATTCAACATGGAACGATCCCACACAACCGCCACGAAATCTCACACGACGCAATCAGGCAAAGGAACATCCGGTACGGGAAGTACGCATCCCTATACGCCTCAGAGTTCAGGGCACTAACCCGGAGACAAAGTTGATCATGGCGTCATGATGTCCCGCTGGCTCGCTCAAGGCAGCAAAGATGAGCCTTGGACAGACTTTTGCATCACAAATACAGAGGCTCAGTCTCACGAGTTCATCGGAAACATTACGGGTAACAGAGATGAGGATGGCTGGAGCATGAAGGCGGAACAAGGGTCAGCGCAGCACAAGTAGCAGATTAATAATGGTAGAAGCTAACAGTCGAGATTGATCCGGATATCTTGTCGAGTAAAACAATCACGGGGAATACGTGTCGTTAGTACATTTAATGGCTCCTATTCTTCCTGAAGATGTAATTCAAATGAATTTCCTTGCTAATTTATTAAAATTAATTCTTTAATACATATGTGTAACAGGCCATTAACAATGTGGTTCTTGTGAGAGTTTTATATGAATGCAAATAACCAATGCTATGGAAGCCGAAATTGATGTCTAACTTCAACCTGATCCTATTACCACCTATCGTACCATTGTCTTGCTGGAACGATGAACGGAGGCATGAGTGAGATGTAGTACGAATATGCCCAGCCGGTACGCATTCCTCGCTAATATAATAGATGTTGTTTCTGTACGTTCTGAGGTGTCAAGCCTTTTTGATAATTCCTGCTTGAGGTAGCATTTCTGTATCTTGTGACTTCTTTCTCTTGTTTACTTTCACAATCCTCTCTTGTCGCCATTCCATGCCAAATTTGAGATTAAATAAAAGTAAAGGGTATGCTGTAGCGCAGAGTCCTGCAAGTAAAGTGAATGTCCATCCCGTTTCAAGGCGGTCTAATAGCACTTGAATGATGGAAACGCCAACTGCAGCGAATGTGCCTCGTATGATATTTATGGTGGCACTCGCCGTAGCTGGGTTGTCAGGATGAATGTCGATAACCAAGGTGCGCAGGATCTATTTAAGGTGCGATGAGCAATATAGGTCTTGTGACATATAATGTTGCAGAGTGAGAAATGAATGACTCACATTGAACGTACCGGTGACACCTATTCCACTCAGGAACTGAAGCACCAAAGGAACAGCCATATTCTAGATTTCGAGTCAGTCTTGTCGCCTTTCCCCATATTGAGCGTCGCGAGGTGTGGTTTCTCACTGTTTTAGCTTGGATGGACCAACCATAGCCCACAGTGCACATGATCAGGAGCCCCATGAAGTACCAAATACTCCTCAACCTTGCCTTCTCGATGGGGAAGCTGCTGAGGTCATCCCCTTTCTTCTTGTTTATGGTGAAACCGACCGCTGCAGCAGTGATGCGGTAGTCTCGGTCAATGACCATGCCTGACTTGTCAATAGAGGAGCAAAGATTGCTGAGCCATCTTCGATGACGCACCAGTCAAGAAAGTCCCTGCAGTACACGCAATTCCATACGGTAGATAGCAAAGTCCAGCTTGAAGAGCATTGAGACCGTAAGTGGTCATAAATAATGATGAAAGCGAGGATTGAGAGCATTGGTAGTTCATGTAAAAGACACCATTTGCATACATCAGCAGTGCCACATCCTTCTTAAACAGTATTTTAAGGGCGATCAGTGGATTTGGTATTCGTAATTTCGGCTTCTGACCAGCGGTTGTCGTGATTTCACTCGTCTGGTATTGTGGCAGAATGCAAGAAAGCAAGCTGCGGTTGATTCCACTTGCAGGCAGAGAACCGTTTCCGACCATAGCGCGGCCAGTCTCTGGGAAGGATATGGCCATGAGAACAAGGTTGAGTCCCGAGAGAATCGCGAGGAAGCGGAATATCCATTGCCACCCTGCTTTCTCTACTAAGACACCCCCAAGCACAGGCCCAATGCTTGGGGCTGCATTCGGTCTACGATATCTTTTAGAGACCATGGAAACCAAAGGGATGTTATTTGCTTACCCAGTCATCGCTGCTCCCATATATTTGCCTCTCTCATGTGGCGCAGCTATGTCGTGTATGACACTAAGACATAAGGCTATTGTCCCAGAAGCACCCATGCTTTGTATCATTCGCAATACGAGCAGTCCTACATAGGTCTTCTGTATGCTCAGTCCCAGATTTGCACCAAAATAGACCGAAAGAACCAGCAAGTAAACAGGTCGCCGTCCAACCATATCCGCCAGGTCACCCGTAATAGACGGTGTGATACACTGGCATATTAAGTAGGCCGTGATAGTCAGGTTCACGAGCTCAAGTGAAACGTGGAGGTCTTGTGAGATGTGTGTGATAGCTGGAAAATAGATGTTTGCACTGAGTGGTGAGAAAAAGCCCGACAAGCCTACGAGGAAAGCAATCCAAGCTTTTGATGATTTTGAGAAGACTGAGTATACCTCCTCACTTGATGGTTCCGGGGTAGAATGATCACTGTCTGCGTTTGATGTTTCGGTGGCCATGTTCAAGTAGCAGATAAATAAGTGCTCAAAAAGCTTTTGTGTTTAGGAATTTGGCTGAAGGCTCAGAATGTAGTCCGCTTTTGCCAATAAATTGTCGGGCAGGAACTCATTCTCAGGAGGGGACATCTCGAGGAGCCTCCTCGTGCAGTGGTCACGCCTTATCTTCCCGGCCTCCTGCAAGCCCATCATCACGCATGGCAGGGGTCCCAACGAAATGTCCCTTCTTACTGGTCTAACCCAGAGGTCGGGACCGAGGTCCGGGTCAAAAATGCACAACCCCCTCAGCTGCAGAATGTGGTTAGCCGGCATTGCACTCCGCTGTCCTGAGTGACATGCACAAAGACATCCTCAGCAAGTCGACAGAAGGGTCCTCTTGGGTACTTCCAACCGAAAATATTCTCATTCGTTTATATCTACGCCCATTGCGAACCCAGGTGCGCTGCAGCCAGGCTAAAGTGGACGCATTACATGATTTGATAGCACCGGTGTTCCTCGATAAATTCTGGCCCTAAGGGACTATCTGAAAATTGAAATCCACATAGTTTGAATAGAAAACAAGTATAGAGGCATTCTTTCATGACTCGCTTTTGTGTGTGAGCTCCAGAAGACCTAAAATAAAGCTCAAAGATATTTTATTCGTAGTTCACCATAAGTCTTGAATAAGTCTCTCGTGCTGGGTCAATCTAACCAGCCCCAATTGTGTGGGTCTGAGGTTCGATTTGCTGGGGCTTAGCTATGCTGTCACCTTCCGAAACGAATGGCGGTGCATCGTTGCTTTTTGGCGGGTATTTATTCACAAGTCTGAGTATATCGGCGAGGATCCTGTGATGGGTTAGCATGATAGATAGTCTTAATTGCAGAAGGAGAACTCAAGTACGCACTGTTCTCGAACCAATGGCAGACCTGGTCTGTGTAAGCAGTAGTCTAGATCAAACTTCAACACATAAAGTGCATTCCTGTCGTCGAATTGCTCTACAGGCTCACTGGGAGGGAAGTTGCGGAGGTATTGCTTGAAATAGAGCTTCCCAAATCTGACCATTTCCCGCCTCCAAATTCCAAGTTCGTACTCGTTGTGTGCGTAGAATGCAGCTGCGTCGAACACCATTGGTTCACCGGTCTCAAGGTTGGTGGTGGTATTTCCCTCCCATAGATCACCATGTACAAGGCATGGCTTAATGGTTCTTCCTCCTTCAGTGAGCGGATTTAAGATCTGTGGGATTACATCTTTGACGAGGCGAGCAAAAGCCTCTTCATATTCTGGCCATCGGCCATTGGATATGAGATCCTTCTCGAAGCCCTGTATCTTGATCAGATTCGAAGTCTGACAGACTCTTGCAAGCAATGAAAGACCAAAACCGTGATAACTGGGAAGGGGGCGCTGACATAGCTGATAAGTCTGGTGAAATACCGTGTCCAGTCCTCCTCCCACTCTATCGGCTGCGGCGTCTTTCCTTTGCAGTTCTTGATATGGAAGCCGAACTTCCCAGTGGGAGAGACACTCTGACGATGAAGCTGTGCAATGCGTGCACAGAATTTTGTTGGGTCAGGCAAGCTCGTGGACATGTCGACAAAGTCACAGAGGAAGAAGTAAGTGTCGATGGTTGAATTCCTGAATTTCCCCCAAGCCACGGGTCTCGGTGTAAGTGTTGGAATGAGCTTGTAGATTTCCGAGATAGAATGGAATTCCCCTTCCGTCATTGATGCACCCGCTTCCGTAGCGCACTATCAGGACTGGTTAGCAATGCAATGTCAAGTTTGTGGGTGAGCCTCCAACCTTGAGGAAGTAGTCCTTCTTCTCCCCGTTAACTATAGTCGCCACTCGAGCAGTCCGTGTCCAGAGTGAGGTTCCATAGCTACTTGCTTGAAGGATTTGAGTACCCTTCGGAAATTCTGAAATATTTTAGTTTCATCAGTGGGATCATTTAGCTGGAGTTGTTTACTTTCGATCACTGCAGGGTCCAGTTGGAAATTCCCTCCAATATCCGGGATCACGTCCTTCACACTGCTTAGTGTCTCCTTGGTGTTGTTCATTATGGTCCGATTCGAGAGCGCCAAACCCGCAAGTAGCAGGGCTTTAAATTCGGAGAGTCTAGGCGGTGTTTCTGGGGCAAATCGATGTGCGAGCAGCTCGCGAATTTCTATCAGTCGTCGCCTCGCTGGCTCCGAAGAGATTCCTTTCCCCACCTGCGTGGCAGATTCGGGGCACGGGGGCGCACGTGCAATTGGCCGCCTTCTACGTGCTGTGTTACCACAATACTCATCCTTCGGGCGGCTTATTCTATGCACAAGCACCAACAGGGCTTGTCATCCCGTCAGCGCCACGCAATTTCGTGGTTAGTATATATCCGTACTATTTCCTAGGATGTCTGTCTCAGTCCAATTATCTGCTCACCTTCTCGGAGGGAGACGCCTCTTCAAGCAGATGGCGCCAACTGCAGCCAGGCCCCTGTGTATGTGACCCTTATCTGTACCATCCTTTCTGCATGTTGGCAAACCCCGCTTCTCCGGTGATGGTGTAGGTGTGCACCTAGCAGCTTGACAAAGCACCTCCAAGGTGTCAGCATGGCAGAATCTGGGCGATAGCCTGATCAGGCTGCACCAGCTGGACGCTCTCCGGGGAAACAACGGAGGCCGCAGGGTCAGAGTCTTTCCCTTACGCATATGCCACGAAGAGCAATCTCTTCACACAAAGCGACATTCCATGGTTGAAACGACATATGCAGGGTTCTATCTTCATGTTCTTTTTGGTGGTCGAGGCCTAGAGATTCCTCAACGTCAAGTTTACGCACATTATCCAACAGACTAAGGCGATATCGACTTGCAATCTAGCTCTCACGACGGACGGTGGTCACATGGAAGACACCTTGGGCCTTCCGATGTCACTGCTTCAATATGGTAACATTCATTCCCATACCACGCCTCAGTTTCATTCGCAAGCTAAGCCACGGTGTCATAGTCCAAATGGCTGCTTCGAAAGAAGAAGACCGATTCGACTTTGTCGCCGCCTTCAACCTCCCCGCGCTCCCCGTCCCCGGGGCGATCTGAGCAGTCGCGGATCTCGACCGCTCTGTCATCCTTCAACCCTCGCGAATATGAAGTCGCGGCAAGCCATGCCGTGACTGACCCTCTCGGTCTGAACGTCATCCACACGCCCAATACTCCTCATGCAATCGATGTTGTCTTTGTTCATGGATTGGGCGGCACTAGCAGGCAGACTTGGTCGAAGAATAAGGACCCAAGTCTATTTTGGCCGAAGGAATGGCTGCCGTTTGAGCCTGATATATCTTCAGCCCGAATGTTGTCCTTCGGATATAATGCACATTTCGCGGCACCGGGCAAAAACATTCTTAATATTTCGGACTTTGCGAGAGAGCTCCTGTTTGGAATGAAGTTTGGGACGGATGAGCATTCAAAACCTCTAGACATCGGCCGAGTGAGTACATCCCAAATCTGGCTGACATTTGACCCAAGACACAAGCAATGGAAGTCCACTATACTCAAATTTGAAGCTTCTGACCTTGTTCTCCCCATAAAGGTACCCATAATATTCGTCGTACACTCAATGGGAGGGCTAGTAGTCAAGAAGGTCAGTGATCAACGACTCTGAATTCAAGACCACGCGGGTGGGCTCAACACACTCACAGTGCATCTAGGCATTCATTTTGGGACAGAACGATGCCAACTACAAGGACATTGTCCGGTCAATATCTGGAATTATCTTCCTCGCAACGCCACATCGCGGCAGCAACCTCGCCCAGGTGTTGAATAGGGTGCTCCAGGCTTCAGTCTTCAACCACACAGCAAAAGACTACATAACCGAGCTTCAGCGTAACTCCCCGACACTCCAGGAGATCAACGACCAGTTTAGAAATATTGCCACAGGCCTAAGCATCGTGTCGTTCTTTGAAACCAGGCCAACGACTGTGGGTCCAAAGAAAATGGTACTTATAAAATCCTCCTGGTCGGTGATTGGCTCTGATGAAAGTACCTGCAATAACAAGTTGTATCCAGATGATTGTGGAGAGGGACTCTGCAACCTTGGGCTACCTTGGTGAGATCACCAAACTACTTGATGCCGACCATCATGATGTTTGCAAGTACATCAGCCGACAGGACTCGAATTACAGAAGCGTGAGGGATGTGATCAGGTCTTTAGTGGACCGGTTCAAATCAACAGGTACAGCCTCAAGTCATTGTTAGTGAGCGGGCTAACCATAAAACAGTCTCGAAGCAACATGACCTCGACGAAGACAGCCAAATTATAACAGTCCAGTCACTCTTGGGCACATCCGAAGCCCCCGAGGATGACCTTGAGTACTTCATTGATCGACGATTAGAGGGATCTTGTACATGGATACTCAGTCACCATGCATTCCAAACATGCCTGGAGAACACTGCACCGTCTCCCGAAATACTGTGGTTCAGAGGCCCTCCAGGAGCTGGGAAGTCGGTCGTTTCCGCCTTCATCGTCCAACACTTACGCTTCTTGGGACTCAGATGTCAATTCTACTTTTTCAGACATGGGAATCAGGACAGAACATCCCTTAGTGGACTACTGAAATCGCTGGCATTTCAACTTGCATCTCAGGTACCAGAGTATCGTCGCCGTCTTACTAAATTGGCTGAAAACGGCTTTAATGCACAAAAGGCTGAGAGCCGGGTGTTATGGCAGAAGTTGTTTGTCCAGTCACTCTTCGCAGTTAATATTTCGGCGCCACTCTACTGGGTGATTGATGGTCTAGACGAAGCTGACTCACCGCAAACTCTTCTGAACCTTCTGTCAGGGCTTTCGAACGCCGACCTTCCCCTGCGGCTAATTTTCATAAGTCGAGAGACTCAGTTTCTTTCCACAGCGTTTCATCGCCTCGCAACGACCGTAACCACTCGAAAGACCCCTTTCGACGATTCAGGGCAAGATGTCCGGCTTTACGTCGAGAAAGAGATTGAGTTCATCCACGCTACGCCTGAACTCAAGACCCATATCTTCAACACAATAATGAGAATGGCGGACGGGAATTTCCTCTGGGTGCATCTCGTCCTAAAGGAGATCATGATGTGCATTTCGGAGGCCGACATCGAAAAGGCTTTGAAGGAGCTACCACCAGAACTGGAGCCGCTATATGCTCGAATGGGAGCAAATGTCGCCAGTCAGATTCGGCCTGTCGACTTGGACCTGGCGAAAACAATTCTGGCTTGGGCACTGTGCTCACGTCGACCTCTAACGCTTCAAGAGTTATCACAAGGTTTGCAACCAGAGTATCGACCCATTGATCTCTCACACACCGTCAAGCAAGTCTGTGGAGAGTTTGTTAGCATCAGCGCTAAAGGGAACGTGACAATGATACATGAAACCGCTCGAGAATACTTGACTAAAACCGCCGATGCCCGTCTTTTCATCTCTACGCCTGAAGCACACTACGCAGCTTTCCGGAAATGCATATCAAATCTTTCGACCACGAACCCAAGGATTCGATCGGATCACACAAAGTCTCAGCCGTTCCTGCTTTACGCCGCGACTTCTTGGGCATATCACCTGGAGCTCAGCTCAGCTTACCGGGACAGAGACTCTTTAGTCCTACTGGCCATATTCCTTCAATCACCTTCAGTCCTGACATGGATTGAATGCCTGGCTGTTGCTGGTGAGCTTCGAGTGCTGGTACTTGCGTCAAAGGCGTTGACAAGATTTCTTGATAAAAAGGCCAGAGTCGACTCCGAAGAGAGTCCACTCACGCATCAACTGCAGGAGAAAGATGTCGTCAAACAATGGGCAGTAGACCTGACCAAGATCGTGGGGAAGTTTGGAACCCATCTTGCAGCGTATCCAAGATCGATCTATACCCTCATACCTTCTTTCTGTCCACGAGACTCGATCCTCCGTCATCGCTTTGCCCCAGGGAATCAGAAAACTCCAAGCTCAGGATTGGAGCTATCTGGATTTTCCAATAGGGCATGGGATGACAACATTGCCACGTTCTCTGTGCGGAACGATTCCCAGCCCATCGTCATCAAGGCGCTTGATAATTACTTCGCCATACTCGTCGCAGATGGAATGGTCATTCTATATCATGCTTTGACGTGTCAGGAGTCACGGAGATTTCGGCATGGAGAACGAGTACTGCATATGGAATTCAACGAAGCGGGTGATAAACTGGTGACGTATGGATATCGAACGACAAAAGTGTGGAATGTGGCCGCAGCTTTGGAACTGAGTTGCGTTCATAACCCTTCAGGCACCAAGGCTCTGGCTATAACGTTTACCTCCAACTCTACAGTCGTACTGGGGTGTTTCGAAGATAGAACAATTAGGCAATGGTCCTTCCTCGACACCTCAGGCACGGCGAGTCGATGGGAGGATGTGCTTGGAGATGCACATTTCGGCAGTAATCATCACAATTCGCCGAGGAGCGCTTCTTTCAACCAGCAAGGAACACAAGTCGCGCTTGCCTACAGAGGCTTCCCACTGTCCGTTTGGGCCGTCGACTTTCCAGGCTTTGTTGGGAGATGTGAAAGGCCCGGATATGCTGGTGAGCTCATCTGGACAGAGGTCGAAAAGGTCGGTTGGAATCCCACGACTGGCCACGTTGTCGGCACGTACACAGATTCACACTTCTTCAAATGGCATCCAACCGACCACGACTACCATGAACTGAGCGTTCCAGCTTTGGACATTGTGTGTAGCCGAGATGGAAACCTTCTTGTTACCACTAGTGGCGACGGCACGCTGCGTATCTGGAACTTTCATCATTTCGCCATGATATATCAGTTGTCTTGCAAGACGCCTGTGACCGACATATCTTTCGATCCCGAGGGTCGCAGATTGTACGACCTGCGGGAGTCTTACTGCAACGTTTGGGAGCCGAACTCCCTCATCAGGTACACGGAGACGGATGACAGGGCAAGCGAAACGTCCAGTGCCAAAGGTAGCTCAGGTAATATGTCGATGGCCTCAGAAGTGTCGGCGGACATGCTCGAGCCTATCACTGCCCTCGCACTGAACAGAGTTACCTCGGCATACTGTGCAGGCAATGATGGTGGCTTGTTGACCTATTCTGCTGCTGGCTCCGAGGGGGCTGTAGAGCTATCTCAGGGGTTCATGACAGTGGATCACATCGTTTGGAGTGCAGATGAGACATGTCTCGCTACAAGCGACCTCAGTGGCAAAGTGACGGTGACCGCAGTTGATGGGACTGCCGCCGTACCAAAAGCAAGGCAAATCTTCCAAACGTCAACGCATGAAGGCATCCAGCAGATACTTCTGAGCCAGTCAGCCAGTCATTTGTTGGTATGCTCACCACAGTTTGTGCAGCTGTGGTCGGTGAGCACCAAGAAATTGGTCGCAACTATTCCTCATCCAAACAAGTCTATCCGGTGGGCCGATCATACTCAAGATGATCTTCTACTCTGTTTCGGGTTCAGCGATGTACGGATATTCAGATGGACTGATCTCAAGGAAGTGAACACCCTTTACATCAACCGGAGGTTGATCGACGACCAACGGCAGACTACACGTGAAGATCGGCCGGGCGCATTTAGGTTGGATTCAACTGACTGGCCCCTTAGCCCGCACGACTTTGACAGTTCTGTTGATAAGACGTTCCTAACACCCGACGGCTCTACGGTACTGGTGCAGACCTCGCAATCATGCGATCATCACAGACGTCGCAAGCAATTCATGATCTTGAGAATGAGCGCCTTGGCCGCGGACAACCCGGCGAAGGAGATCACTGCATCTGCCCTACCAGAACACATTCGAGCCCGTATTGAGATACCACTTGGAATCTTGGGCAATAACAGTATCAAAGGGCTCTGGGGGTTTTCCGCGGGTCATCCGGAGTCTGCCGTGCTTGCATTTCTCGACAAGGACTTCTGGGTATGCACGGGATTGCTTAACGGAGATAGTGAGGCCGCTGCCAAGAGATACTTTTTCCTGCCTCGAGATTGGCTCAACATCGAGTCTTTGGAACTGGCAGCAATCACTGGGGAAGGGACTTTCATGTGCCCAAGGAATGGCGAAGTCGGCGTAGTTACAGGCGGCCTGAGGGACGAATGGATAGAGTAGCGAGCTTGGGGCAGTATTCTATCTTTTATATTACATTCAGGGGCCGTAGGCAGAGCTATGCCCTCAATCTAATCTGTGTGCCAGAGCTGTCGCAGGTACGTGTGCATTTCTGCGCCGCCTGTTGTATGACGTTGAATGCCATAAGACTTGACTGCTGTCAGTCACCGATCGACTCTATAATTTGTAGTTGCATTTATTCTTCAAAACCTTTCGCAAATTGCCTGCTTAGGTAACTTTAGACTGCCCTCGTGGAGGACAAGAAGGAGACCATGTGATTGCTGACTTGTACAATGGGCTACTTAAGTAGTCAATGCATTCGATCATGAACACTAGATGAGGCGTCCAAATGTTGGGCACCACGTGCACGCCTGAACCCCGGGTGCTGGTGATAGCTGCTATACTTTGTACGTCACTCTTCGAGCTTCCATGGCTAATTTATGTGACCTCAAGATATCAAAATGGTCGAAAGACTGTTATGACTTAATCTCTGTCGCATTTATTTCATAGCAATCTTGAACATGGCATCGTACGACTACAAGCCACTGAATCTCTTTACGAGCTCCTTCAGGGTTCTTCGTCTCTTGATGAACCCCTTGACACAAAAAAGAATTTTCTTAGTGAACTCATCATAACAAGCCTCGACCAGACGTTGTCGTATAAGGCACTCTCATACTGCTAAGGTGGAATGAATAAGCCGAAAAATATCGAGGTCAATGGGTGTGACATGTCAGTTACGGAGAGCCTAGACACAGTTTTGCGTCACCTGCGGCTCCTAGGCAGGGACCGGATTCTTTGGAAAGACGCTATCTGCATCAATCAATCAGGTCTGGAACAAGGAAGCCATAAAATGGGACAAATGAATCATATCTTATGACATGCGAACATGGCTCTCATCTGAGAGGCAGGTCATTTTGAAAACGTCAGATTGTTCTTGTAGCGAGAAGACATCGTATTGAATATGATCAGTGAAAAGCCCGGAATTGGTTGAGAGCCTCGAACCATGACAAGGCAAGGCAAGGCATCGTCCTGCAGATAGCCGAATGGGGCCACGACAGTGCCATTGTCGAGCTACTTGCCCTTCATCGAGATTCGGGGGTCACAGCCACGTTAGACTTTGGAAACACACCGCTGCATCTCGCAATGAGACGCGGCGCTAAAGACTGGGCCAAACGTTGCCGCTGCGAGATGACATCGTGTTGAATCAGGGATTCATTGCATCAAACATCATTAGAAGAAGCTCCATAGAGGGAACATACTCATTGTTGGACAGCTTGTAGATTTTGATGAACTGAATGTCAACCGCGACCAAGCATTGCTCAATGCGACAACGCCCATGGCAGACGCCGTGCACATTCGGCAGAAAAAATCTTCGAGTGCCTTCCTGGCTCAGAAAGACATCGATCTCAACCGTGGACGATATTCAAACCACTGCTGAAGACAGTGCAAAGAAGACATTATGGAATACTTTGCCGTTTTCTAGACCCTGGTAGGCTTCGGGTCGATTATGGAGATGATGGAAGGGACGCCTTGCTAGAGACAGGGTGTGAGGGACTTGAGACTATGGTATCATTTTTCACCAATGAATACTTGAGAGCTAATCTCAATCTTTAGAAGAGTGTCAAATGTGGGGCCTGACTAAAGAGAGAAATCGAATTTACGAAAGCATCGGCCACGTGTCAAGAAAGCGACGGGCATTCCATGCACATGGAGGAAATTCTTGAGGATGATTTGTCGCTGACGAACGCAGTTCAACCAAAATTTACAAGCAAGTACTCACACCATACATCAGTTGGGGACCTACCGATATTCGACTTTGCTGCTGTGCTCCAGGAGAAAAACCAGCATATTCCTCATTCCAAGAAGTAATTAGCATTGACGCCAAGATGAAACGATCTTCAACAAAATTGCGCCATGAAGAAGTTGAACGTCAACCATCCCACAATCGTTGTATTTAGATCCACTAGATGATAGGTACCACCTTTTCCCACAGCCCTGACTCCAGCATTTTGCTACTGTCTGCGGCCGTCCGGAATAACAGAATCATCATGAGACAGCGATAAATGATCACATCATTTATATCCCGATGAAGTTCATTGTTTCTTTCCCTGTGAAATTGGTCCCACAACGGCCATTGTGCATCTTCCGCAGAGTGGTAGACCACCAATGCACGTATCCTATCCCAAAGTCGGCTGGATTGAGAAAATTCGGAGTCCACGAGATTCGTCAGCTCCCTGACGCCGGGCAGATTTTCGTCGAAGTTATCAACCAATTTGCGAAGCGCTTGCAGAGTGGTGAAGTGAAGTCCCCGGGCAGTATCTTGGTTAGGCCCTCCCTGATTTGTGCTCTGGCAATGATTGTGTTCAACGGATTGACTTGAAATATGTCTCGGAGTTGTTTCTGACTCCGATGCAGTGAAAAGTCCGTCCTTGATCATTTGCTCTGCCTGCGAAAACGCTATCGTTGTGTTACACAAAATGATAGACCGGCCCTTGAGATCTTCGAGATCCACACACTTCTCTAGGAGCCATGTGTCCACTTCTTTGATTTGCTCGAGTATGATGCATCTAAGGGTATTCTGTTCATCGATTGAAGACTCTAACAACCATTCCTCAAACCTCTCAGGTCCCTGAAGAAATTTGACGCACATATGAAGGGCCAGACAGTAGCCATTAGTAATATGAGTTCGTTTGTGAACGGCGTTCTCAATCCCAAGCTTGTTGCCCGAAGTTATGGCATCCTCAGCGGCTAGTTCTGGTGCTTCTCCAGTCGCCTTTTTGGCTTCTGCCGGTGCAGGCTCTTCTTCCGCTGAACCCCCTCCTTGTTTGTCATAATGCGACAAGGACAATGAGGCAAATAGCTTCCCCGCTTGATGTTTGAAGTAAATCTTAGAAAAAAGGGCCTTGATTGCTGAACTTGAGCTTGAGTCTATGAAATCATGCCATTTGAATCCATCCCAACTTGGAGTGACGTGAGACGCAGGCCATTTTATGATGTCGGATTGGTTGAATATGTCAAGACGTGCTTCTGCCCAAAATCTACCACTCAGGGCAAGGACTGTGAGAGAGAGGCTAGTCCTCATTGTCGTGGTTGGGAATAGCGCAGGAACATGTTTCGGTGTGAGGGCGAACAGACCAGCGATTAGCGGCAAGTGAACCTCGGAAATGGCGGCCAGCTTCACAGCAAATATGCCGTGCGTGCTTGGCTTTGCTGCGACTGCAAGTGACTTTGGGGTCAGGTTCCATCTTTCAATGGCAAGTCGTCGTTTGGACTTGGTGGACAAGTCAATACTGAATACTCCGGTATCAATGATTCCGCACCCATATTCCATCGTCGATCTCAGCTTTTCCAACTTCGGTGCTCTTGTTGTTTCGTCCTTCTTGTCGTATCGCGAGTAGGCGCCCACCACCCCAAGAACTGGATGTTGGCGGAAGTCGACTTGAAACCCACGCCCAAGCAGAATTGGATACCTTTGCTGATCCATTTCCAATTTCTGAATTCCTGCTGTCGCCACTGCAGCAACAATGGCTCCCAGTTGAGCATACGCAGGGGCAGCCACGAGGTCATCCGGTAGGTACTCTGCAGAAACCTCCCGCACGTTGTGGCCCCAAGCCTGAGTGTCCACTTTCTCCAAGCCCACCTCCTCGAAAAATTCGAGCCATGCTGCGGATGGGCGTTGTGTTTGACTAGGATGAAGGTATGAAGCAACCCACGGGGCATGAGCCCACAAGCCTCGAATTCTGTGTCGAAAAGTAGTGTAGGATGATCCTGTGCTGTCTAGGCTCTTGCTTTCTGCAGCCTCTGACCGCAAAGGCATGAACCGCAACGATTGCTCTCGCAAAATCGGCGTAGATGCTGTGAATCGAAAATTCATCTCAGACCAGTCCCATCTTCTTTTGGTCTTTCGGGACCATTTTCCGATAGCAAAATGGCTGGTTCTTCGGCGACCCTTGCCCGCTGCAAAGATAGCCTGCAGAATAGTTGCCAGAGCAAAAGCTGTGGCGAGACAGCCAATGAGGAGGGTAAAGGCGAAGCTGATCGGATCCCAATCTATTTCTGCTTCATCGGTCTCTCTGTGTTCCTTTAGAAGTTGGAGCAGGGCTCGAAGCAGGCAGTCCGTCGAGTTGCTATTTTCGGGGCATTGAGAACCGTCGGTGTCCATGTTGCAGGCTCAGTGCGTGTGAAATAAAGTAGTGAGTTCGGGAGATAGTAGCATGAAATTGTTGCAGATGTTGCTTGTTAGGTTGAAAGATTAAGCCGACCATGACGGGTAGATATGAATTTTCACCTGGGCAACCCAAACTTTTTGGGGTAAATTGGTGCAATATTGCCTTGCACGTATAGCGTTTTTGGTCAAGATTGTCAAGTTGCAGCGGCTGAAAGCAACTTTGGTGACACAACATTTCAGCTGCGCTCGCGCCCAATAAGTAAACATGTGGCAACCACGAAGTGGACCATTTTGCTTGTCACTCAGCCTTCAGCTGCATACCATCGCGAATCCCATACCCTTCAGGATATTACATATCTAATCTGATTGTCTGTTCAAGCCTCATACACGTCAGCAAACATGACCGGTGCAGAATTGCAATAATTTGTGGGTGACTTCGGTCACTTAGAAGAGTAAAGGCAGGTATCAAGACAAGTCGGTTATGTTTCAGTACTGTGCAGCACGATGGCTTTTCATTCTACGTAATATCCCCGCCACTTTTTCGCCACACCACCAGCTGGCCTGGCCGAAACATTATGCACGGAAGGCGGAAGGAGCGAAGCAGAAGGAGCTACGGCGGGATGCAAATTTTACTGTCAGGTCGATGTTCTCATGATAGAGATGAGGACTAGTTTGTTTTATGGTCCAGGTGATTTGCGTTTCCTTGGACTATGGCAACGCTTCTCAATAGGACCCCATAGAGTATGGCTCCTACGGCCTACATGCGGGCTAGTTGCGCAACGTCAGCGTGCTTATCCTGATCCAGTTTGACTTGTGGGAGGCCGCAGGCGAATCAAAAGAGAAATGGGTGGGCCGGATGTGGAGGCCTTCGGCCCGCAGCACCATGCATTGCCCGCCCATTTCTCTGCTTTCTCAGCGTCCAGGGAAAGATCGAGCAACGAATGCCTGAATGCACTACTTCATACCTTATCAAAATCGCTCCGTCTCATCGTAATGGTGATGGACCCTCTTGGCGCCTTTTCCCTTGCGTGCAATGTCCTGCAGATTGTGGAGACCAGCCTCCGCGTCCTGGGCAAGACTGCCGAGTGCTACAAAAACGGGGCCCCAGACGAAGTCAGCACCATCATCAGCAATCTGCACACAATCGAAGACCTCAACCATGAGCTCCGAGACCTTGTGCCTGGTCCATCTGAGAAACATCGATTGTCTTCCGCTGAGCTTAGGCTGGTCGGAGCGAATCAAGAATGTTTGAAGCTGTCAGGTGATTTCATCCAGCTTCTTAATGGCCTCAAGATCACCAAGAAGTCCGTGTGGCATAGCATCGGTGTCAGCATGAAAACGATGTGGTATCAAGATAAGCTGGCAGGTCTTGAAAAGGCGATCTCCGAGAGTCGAGCTAATCTAATCCTTGCCTTTTTGCTACTCATGCAGTAAGTCTGGCGACTATGGAAAAGCGAGCACTAGTAGACTGGTCGGCGAACACTAGTAGTCGGAGAACATTGCTGACTATTTGGGGGCCTCCAGTGAACGTTCCTCGACCATGCACGGCAGCAGCATCAAGGCTACTAATGAAGCTGAATCTCGCATCATTGACACCTTCAAAAAGCATACAAGCTCGCTGGAGGCAGGGCTTGGGAGGCTAACGTCTTGTCTAAACGAATTGTCTCTTGACCACGAAGACAAATCTGTGAACGAGTTTAGCTTAGTACATCAGGCTCAGATTACCCAGCTTTCGGAACAGCTTGCGCAGATTCTGGAGCAAAAAAGAGCTGCAGATCAAGCGAGCAAATCATTGGACGTCTCTGGAGTCAACGTAGTAGCGCAACACAGACTACTGCAAAGCTTGCAATATCCCCAGATGCAGGAGAGAAAAGAGGAGATATCCAGTGCCTACGGAAACACATATGAGTGGCTGCTTTATTCCGAGCCAAAGGATCATAGTGAATGGTACAGCTTTGTTTCATGGGCTAGAACGGTAAACAATGCTGAAGGGGTTTACTGGATTCATGGGAAACCCGGTGAGTCTGCAAAGAAAACATGTCCCAGGGCTTGCGAGAACTGTTTAGGTTTAACCTGAAAATACAGGTTCCGGAAAGTCAACCCTGGCTCGATTCATATACGAGAGATTGAATGTTTACGATCACCTGAATCCGTGGGCCGAATCCAGTACTGTTCTAAAAGCAGCACACTTTTTCTGGAATCCAGGAACGACACTGCAAAAGTCATGGACAGGAATGCTGCGCTCTTTGCTGTTCCAGCTGCTTGATCAAATCCCTGGACTCTGCGAAGCATGTGTTTCGCCGAGCCGATGGAGAACAGCGCTGTCATCTGATGCAATTGTTAACGAATGGACATCGTCTGAGTTGCTCCATGGTATAAGAGAATTTGTTAATTCAACAGGTGCTAAAATATTCTTTCTAATTGATGGCCTCGATGTAAGTTGGATTCGATACTTTGCACCTCCCGCTTACAACGACTGAGTCTTGGACTCGTGCTGTGGAAACTTTTTAACCCAAAGAACGTGTAGGAACTAGAAGGCGACGAAGAACAACGAGAGGGGCTGGTCAATTTTGTACTTGACCTAGCGACTCACGAAAACGTCAAAATGTGCATATCAAGCCGGCCGGACAACATTTTTCAAGACGCTTTTCATCATTGTCCCCGCCTGAAGCTGGAGAATTTGACATATAATGACATTGAAACATTTGTCACAGAGCGTTTTGCCAAGGAGCGGCGTGTCCAGGCCTTGATGCGGGGCAATCCGCAGATTATGGCCGACCTGGTTTCATTCATCGTGGACACTGCTTCCGGTGTCTTCCTATGGGTGAGGCTTGTTGTTCACGAGCTTCTTCGAGCAGTGAGAGACGGAGCCACTTTCACCGAGCTTGTCGATAAGGCTCATGAAATACCAGGTGATCTGGACAGTTACTTTTCACGATTTATTGATTCTATACGACCGGAGTACAGACAAGAAGCTTCGTATTTATTCCAGATTGTGCTCCATGACGAGCATTCATTCACAAGTTTACATGGGCTTCGGCTGCTTGACCTTGCTTCTGTGGGGACGATGAAAAGCACCTTGCATTCCCCAGGGGCACACAACTCCGCCCCGTTTGATCCAGACAATACCAACGAACTACAGTTCCGACTAGATACTATCACTCGTCGAATCAACAGCAGGTGCCGCGGACTCATCGAGTGCTACTACGTCACCGGGGACGTGGAAGAGGCGGTTGGCTTGCCAGAACTTTCAGAATCCAGCGAGATGGATCACAAAGCGCCAACCCATATCCGCAGTACCGTGGGGTTTTTGCGTGCATGCAATCACCATGTCGGCCTTATTCATCGTTCTCTTCGAGATTTTCTCATCAGTCCGAAGGTGTTTCAGATCCTCGAAGAGTACTCTCAGGGTCCTTTCGACACAAGGTTATTCCTGTGCAGGGCAAGACTAGCACAGATTCAGTCGCTCGATTATGTGGGAGACGGCGTGCATGCTCAGATGGCCCTGGGCCTGGCGAGCTATGTGCTGAGCGCCATCGGTACTCGCGAATTGAAGTACTCGGACGAGTCCGCTCTCATTGCGGCTCAATTAAGACCTGTGGTTGAGTCTCTCGGCCGCGCGCAGGTACACAGATCGGCCAACCAGGCGTGGTATCTTTGCTCAAGCTTCCTCCAAAGCCAAACAGAATTTCCTGACTTTCTTGGTGTCGCCATTGATTTTGATCTCGTGGCTTACCTCAGGAAAGCTCTGACGGCGGAGGCCATCAACGAAAAACGTGGTCTTTCTGTATTGAACTGTATCCTCCTCTCGCGGTTTTCCGATTATGTGGGCTCTGAGGTATTCAGCATCGGCAACCGCTTTCCCAACATTGAAGTGCTTCGCCTCGCGCTTGAGCTTGGCGCAGACCCAAATGAGTGCGAGGTTGAAATTTCAGTGTGGGCAGAGTTCCTCGGGTATCTGAAAGACCTCATGTCGCGGCCAGGTTTTCAGGATCTATTCGGTACCGATGACAACAGAAAGTGTCGTCATCATCAGGGCTACAACCAAATCTCCAAAGAGCCACTTCCGGCTGAGGCCCAGAAAGCGCATGTCGAAGCTGTCAGGGCTCTTCTGGAGCACGGCGCCGAGCCCGAGCTACCCTCCTCATGGCTCACATCAACACTTTTGCCCTTGAGATCCGAGCCAGATTTGGTACCAGTCTCAGTCGTACTCAGCGAGATGCTGGACTTTTATTCTCATGCACGACAGGAATTGCAGGAGTGCATTCGCCTTGCCGATGACAGACTCATGCAAAAGAGAGCAAATCGGTGAGACCAACGAATTGGCCGCGTTTGGTCTGTTACGCGCGTCTAATTGGGCATTCGAGAGGCTTGCGGTTGGTCCGTGATCGAGACTCACCGTAATTGTTGCACGTTCGAATTATTCCTGAAGGTGACTGCAAGCACGAACGAAGCTGTGAGTGGCAGCAGTAGGGGGAAATGGCAGTATTTGGCAGTATCGTCGCAACTCACGATAGTGGATTGTCAAATTCTTGATATTCCCAACAGATGGAAGATTTATGGTGCCATACCAATTTCCTGTTGACACTGTCATACCCCAAAGCTGGACAGCCCTTCTCCAAGGAGGGTAAGCTGATGGCGATGACTTGGACCGGATGCACAGAGCCGGCAGTTTGATATGGAATGTCGTTCACTATTGCCAATATGGCAACCAACTGCTCACCGTCTCCGGAGCTGTGGTACGCGTCTGACCATGCTTCTTCTCTGAGAATGGCGATTGAGCAGCACAGCGAAATGAGCCCAACCAAAGAACAGACACCTCCCAAGAACTCCCAGCTCGTGGTGACGTGTAGGTTCGGGCTAGTATTTGGGCGATCGAGACAGAGGGACGGGTGCGGCTGATCGACCATGCTCGATCGGTACAAATGAAGACCGGCTGTCTGGTTTGGTTGTACTTTTAAAAATAAGGGCCGCCACACGGGATACACCGAAAGTAAGCCAGCCGGTTGTGTCGTGGTTAGGCTCGTATGGCTCGGCATGAAAAAGCAAAGACAGCGGCCATGTGAGCCTTTTATGGTTTGAACGGAACGTTATCGAGGAATGAGAGATGACGATAAGCTGACGGAGCATGCGGGCGATTCAGGGGTGGCGAGCTGGCCCAGTCCAATCGGCGTATTTAATTGCTCTGTTAATATGCAACACATCACCCCGTGTGGGTGTGTCGGTGTTGTCCTTGACGCTGCTACTCTGCCAGTCTGGCCCGTCTTGCCAACGTCAGTGTAACGGTCCGGATGCGGCTGCTCGTGCTCGAGCGGATGCTCGCACGGATTTTGTGATTAATGCACCAAAACACTTCCCCGGTGCCTCCCCCAGGCTTGGGGCGGGAAATTCCAATCAGGATTACATTCCCCGTCTCGTTAACGAGGCCAATTGAGTCGGATCCCGACCCTACAGGAGGCTGATGAAATGTGAGCAGTCACAAGCCAGAGACACTAGGCGCTCAGCTCTTGGGTTCACAAATGCTTTCCCGCCAACAAACGAACTTAGCTCCCGGTCAAGTCAACCTCCAAACACTCCAGCCTCAGGCCCTCCTTCACACATTCACACGTCTTGGGTCATGCTCATGATATGTTTCATTGCGGCAGAGGTGCCCGCCTACCCACAATTGAGATAGGAGGCCGACGCAGCCGAATGACCGGTAAAGCAATCAATCAGCCATCCGTCGAGCCCGGCCGGACTCGATGTTGGAGCGTTGCACATGTGGCTACATGGCGAGTCTCGACTATAACCTTGTCATTCAATTCAGTCTCTTGTCTGTTTCACTGTTGGGACTTTTGTTGTCTGACTAGCTCATCGCCTTGCCCACATTACGCACTCAACCCTCAAATTCACCCTCGTTTGGTATGTCCCAAGGTTCGCGCCCTAAAAGCGTGAGTGACAGTTGCCTTCATGCCTCCATTGAGCCACTCCATCGCGCCCTCCCAGCTCAATGGAGTGAATTAGACGTACTCCGTCGCCCTTGCCATTATAATAAGCCAGTTGCTTTCTCCTACCAGAAGAATTGGTCCTCAAAACCAGAACTGTGCAAGAACCTCGAGCGAGGGAGGGACCACTCAACAATTTCAAACCCTCTTTGCCAAGTAAACAACAAAACCCCATCACAGCCCAAGCAAACAAACATCAGAGACCAAACGGACACGATGAGCCATCAATCGTCCCAATATGGCGGCCAAGGCAATCAATTCTTGGTCGACAGACGACGAGACTTCATTGAGGAGAACGATATTGTTGGGGCTAGCCCTGTCGGTAACACGCAGGCCAAGCGAATTGCCTTTATGAGTGGCAACGACGACTTCCGAGCTGCCAGATTGCGATGCGCCCTTGCTTGTCAGGAGTACAACAAGCTATCCGAGGACGTGTCCATCGAGGATCGTGTCAAGGGATGGATGTGGTGAGTACTCGCTTTTGGCGGCAACTGACCTGTCACAATCACACAAACAGCCCAAGTTCCATACCCAGAATGGATGGGGACGGTGAGAAGGCCGGAGAAGCACTGAGCCCAAGGCACTGCAACATTGTACAAGGCTGACCACGACGCTTAGCATTGTCGACCCTGACAGCAAGACCAAGGGAGATAGCGAGACCACTCCCGCTGTGGACTTTTCGGCCATCTTCAAGCACACCACCAAACAACAGTCCCCTGACGCTACGGCGGCGCATACCCCGCCAGTCACTCCCGTCTCAAATAGCCCACGGCCTCGCCCAACAATCCCCTACGTCAAGCAGCCCGTCTACATGGACTACGGCCTGCGCGTGCAGATCGCGCCCACGACCTTCATCAACCGCAACTGCACCATCCTCGACACCCCGGTCGCCGACATCGTCATCGGCGAGCAGTGCTCCCTCGGCCCGGGCGTGACCATCATCAGCGTCGGCCACCCGGTCGCGTTCGAGGAGCGGTGCGAGCCCGAGACGGGCAAGCCGGGCAGCTGGGGCGCGAAAGTCGTGATCGGCGACGGCGTGTGGGTCGGCGCTGGCGTGACGATTCTCCCTGGAGTCACCATCGGCCCTTACTCGACCGTCGGCGCCGGCAGCGTTGTCACCAAGGATATTCCTCCCCGCTGTGTTGCTATGGGCAACCCGGCCACGGTGCGGTACTGCATTGACAGCGAGACGGCGCGCGAGACTGTCGCGATCGAGGAGACGGCGCAGACGCTAGAGGATGCGCTCAAGGTGGGACGGGAGGACAAGGAGGGTCAGAAGTGCAAGATGGCCAATTAGGATGATCCTGGAGTCTGCATCTGGAGAAAATTTGGTGAGCACGCGTTGCACACGTCAATAGAGCAGCAGGACGCAAGTCAGGAACAAATGGTTCGGGACGGTTGATTTTGGACGGTCAGGCCACTGTTGGGCGAGGCCGGAGTGTTAGTATCGAGATACCCAGGACTGCTGATTACATTAATTTGCCTGCGCTGCATTCAGCAAGAAAACTTGAAAATTCTCTCATGGTCGTTGTATCCGAAAATCTGCCGTGAGCGTTGCTGCACTTGTGATGACTGTCACTCAAGGGAATACAACGCTTCGCATCTGCCGAGAAAATAGTACATGGCACGGAGTCACATCTGCAAGACAGGACTCTAATGTACCTCTGATCTATTAATACGTATTTGATAACCCAGTTCCCCGTACAAAGGAGTGATCCGTTGGCAGAATGTAACCCGACTGTAAATTATTAGAACCACACATGTAATCTATTTTGGGCATCTGAGGTAGCTTTTTGAACGTATCTTATCTGCCAAGATGTTCAGAAGAGCGATTCCGACCTTCCAAGCAGCCTCGTGGATATGCACGCACAAGACCATAAACTTGCCGATTGTGGCATGTAGGTAGGCAGTTGTCAGTGCACTGACCTCACCTCCTCTTCTCATCATCTCTGATGTAAATACTGGCGTCACCAAATCCCTTGTCATCCAGCCTGTGTACATCGACGTACTCTTCCCGAATCATCGCTCGCACCCTGGACGATTCAGGATCGCACAAACATGCCTCCAAATCTTCTGCGGTGGCGGCCGTCTTGGGCGGGTCGTGTACCCTCGCCCAGCGATTTATTGTCTGTTCTTCTGTGAGGACCGTGTCCCAGGCCAGAATGACCGGCCGAGCAAGGTCTGTAATGATCTGTCTGACTGGAACATTTGGAGAGAACGACAGGACGACGCTTTGGTCGTCCACTTCTATAAAGCCTTCAGGATCGTAGAGGACCTCAACTCCGTGTTCTGAAAGAACCACCTTATCGACGTCAGTGTATATCGGATCTTGAGCGATGCACTTAATCTCTATTCCAGGTTGAGCAGCTTGCAGAATATCCCGGAGCGTGAGCAATAAAGCGTGTTGCGTGGCGCTGCGATGTCGCGTGTGGTCGACGTCCCGTGCGATAGATGAGCATGCGAATGCGATGATTTTCGTGATGCCAGGTAACGAGGCGGTTGACAAGCAAGATTTTAATCTCACGCAGTCTTCGCTAGTTTGCCACAATTTCAAGCTGGCATGGAGGGCATCGCGTGTGCCCTCGAGGCTTCTGAATTGTTCCAGCTCACTTTGGCCGCCGTAGCATATCTGGAGCGGGCAAAGAGCCTGGTCGGAGTATCTATGGTTGATCAGAGATTGGTATGTACTGTACATTAAGCATGGTTCGAGCCTGCATACATCGTTAGAGACGGTGACCAGTCGTGTATATCGGAATGTGAAGATTACGAGAGGCAAGTGCCAAGAATTGAAAAGAACAGCAAAATTAAAGGTTACAAAAATGCTACCATTTGAAGAAAATATCACAAATTGCAGAGCACTTGCGACGGTTTTGAACTTGGGAAGTGATTACATACAGCACTTTCTCCTGACCGAAGTGCCTCGACCGTGTCAGGCCTTTCAAGACTGCACGTTCAACTCTCTGCCCAGTGACTGACGAGAACACGAATTTTTGGCCATCTGTCGATTCGCCATTCTCGGTCATCGATTTGATAGAATCGATCTGGTGCTTAAGCTGCTCCATGGCCGACCGTGTGAAAAAGGGAACGCCGCGTTCGAACATTTCTCGGACCTTTTGCTTTTGGACTGCAAAGTTCGGGTTCTCCATTCTGTGGATATCCTCTTGCAAGGCGGCCAAGTTTTCTACTGAGAGGTTAGGCTCCTTGATGTTAGGGACAGCGGCCTCGGGCGGCTTCGAAGGGCTCTCCGAGGATAGGGTCGAGATCATAGTATATTAGTGGACCAGTGGAAACGTGAGCCGTCAGTTAGGTAGCATTGAGATGTTTGGTTGGAGCGGTTTTGGGTTGGAACAACCCGTTTGGTAGGGTGGGTGAGACACTGGCTGGATTGAAAAGAAGCATATCGACGGTGAGCGAGACAAAGGATCGTGACAACGCCCAGATCCATATCATGCTAAAGTCGTGGAGACCCGCTAGAGCTTTTTAACCATTTTGATGGTTTGGCGTGCCCGCAAGCGCCATGTAACTACGTGCTAGCCACGGTCCGAGCCATCACACCACACCACACCCGGCAGAGCCCGTCATCACCTAGGTGCAGTGGCATGTTCCCTCATGAACGTGTCCAAAAGTTAGAACAAAAACGTCGATTTATCATGGAAACAAAATAGAATGACTTAGGCGTCGTGGCAGACAATGGGCGTCTAAGATCCTGACCTAGCGTCTACTGCCGCGGGTAGCGTCTTATTAAGCCAGTCTACTTATATTGAGCGAAACGCGGCCCGAAACACTTGGCATTGTGCCCCGTTTCGCATATAAGAGGGCAAGGAGTCGGGATTTCGTTATGTGGCTAGTCAGGCCGCCTAACTAGATCCATTCCAGGCCCAGTAACGGAATTGGACGCATTGCTGGCGATGAGCATTCCTTCGGCCAGACACGAGCATCGAAAAGGAAGTAGCCCAAAATAGGTGCGCCAGGGTCGGAGGGTATCGTACCCCAAGACGGCTCGCTCGTTCAGTCCCGAATTGATCTCTACAAGGATCAAATCACAAAACAACCAAACCTCAGGAAGTTATTCATTTTCAGATTTCCGAGAGCTATATGTGACCCATGGATCAATAAGCCAAACTTCATCAGCGTCTGCGGGAGCGACTAGTCAGTTGGGATGTCTGCACCGTGGACTGGGGTGTATTTAGGCAGTACTCCGCGATACAAGTTTTGGAGTGGACGAGGCATGATCGTTGGTAGGCCATGGAGCCCGAGTAAATGTAGCGAGGAATGATTAAGGCATGTTCATCAACTTCTTGATGCGATTCTTCGTCACGCCGCCTTCCGGGTGATCTCTTCATTTTAGAGATGTGAAAGATTCACACCTTTCGTAAGATGCAATTGCCCTCTTGGAAACTGACAATACACCCCGCAGCTAGAACCTCATCAGAAAATGGATCGTGATGAGAATATGAGCCTGGTGGAATGGATGGTGGCTGGGTGGAACGAAATTATTAGGACTCTATTCTTCATTGTGAAAATAAAGACAGGAGCTCATTAAAAGACATCTCCTAAAATCAAGGCTTGAGCACGTATAGTTTTGAATATCGCATTTAAACAGTAAGACTGTCCTTTGCTGGGTCTTCTGGCGCGTTGTCCCAGATGTCCGGTGCCAAATGAAGCAGATGATTTGGCTTCAGCTCCCCAGATCTAAGATGAAATAATTGAAGTGCTCTCCTCCTGTATTGCCCAGCATTTTTATACCCTGCCACAAACTCAACGGGCTCATATGTACACCGAGTTTTATCTAAGTCCACACCCATAGCGCATACGCGAACTACCTCCAGCGCAAAGCAACGCCTAATTTCGACAGAGACGGCGGAAGCAATTGTGCCCCTTGGGTTTCTAATTCATGTGATTACCGACTCCCGATGACAAATCGACATCGGTGATTCGGAGGTACTTTCGAGCTCCGACATCCACCAACCCATACCTCGACTCATGCTATTGGGCTAGGAGCATTATGTCGGTGCTTCCTGTCATCCGATGCATATGGTATCCACTTCGGGGACTCAACTGTGAATATCATTAGAGTGTATAAATGCAACTATGCAGACGAGCCAGCAAGACTCAGAACTACGTATTTGCACACTGACTATTCAGCATAGAACATCATGCCTTCCATCGGCCTTGGAGTTGGCGATGACATTCGTCATGGACTTGCGGCAAGATCCTTTTTGGCCTGCCTTTTGCTCCTCGTATGTCATGACCAACGGTACCCCATGTTAAACACTAACACATGCCGTGACTAGGTAATTGGATATGGCACCGCCCGACTGGTATACAACGTCTTCTTCCATCCACTCAGCCGCTACCCAGGGCCGAAACTAGCAGCTGCCAGTGATCTCTATTATGCCCGGATGATAGTCACTGGGCGACCGCACGAACGCATCGCCGCCTTGCATGCACAATACGGCCCCGTAGTTCGCATCGCCCCAACCCAACTGTCCTTCACCGACCCGTCAGCCTGGAGAGACATTTTTGGACACCGCAAACAAGGCCAAGCGGAACACCCCAAAGATCCAATCTTCCATGCCCCCTTCCGCGGTAACATTATTGGCGCCGAGCGCGATGACCACCGCCGCTTTCGACGGCTGTTATCGCATGGGTTCTCGGCGCAGGCGATGATGAACCAGCAACCGCTCATCACGCAATACGTCGATCTTTTGATCCAGCGGCTGCATGAGAATTGTGAAGGGGGATCGCGAAAGCTTGACATGACGAGCTGGTACAATTGGTGCACCTTTGACATAATCTCCGACCTTGCCTTCGGAGAACCGTTCGGGTGCTTGCAAAACAGCAACTACCACCCGTGGGTTTCAGCGATCTTTGGCGCTGTAAAGCAGAATGCCCTTCTTGGGCTCATTGGGAGGTACGCATTGGTTGCGCCCTTGTTGGAGCTATTGATCCCGCAGTCAGTGAGAAGAAGGGCACAGGAGCACTTGGACTTGACTCACGCGAAGGTTGACAAGAGGCTTGCACTGGCGGCCCCGAGATCGGATTTTATTGAGGCTATGACGATAAAAGGTGACTTGGTTAGTGACTCCAATTGTTCCCCAGCCCTCTCTCACGATGCTTTTTGGATGACCGCAGCTGTCGGCATCTAACTACGCGCAGACTATGAGCCGAGAGGAAATCTACGACAACGCCAACCTCCTCATAGGAGCCGGATCTGAGACGACCGCCACTGCGCTCTCCGCGGCGACGTATTTGTTGGCGATGAACCCTCGAGTTTTGGCGAAGCTAACTACTGAGGTCCGCGAATCATTCTCGTCAGAGGGCCAGATAGATTTTGTCAGCGTCCAGAAATTGGACTACATGCTGGCTGTGTTAGATGAGACCTTGCGTCTGCATCCTCCGTCACCCAATGCAAACCTCAGGCGCGTATGCGACGGCGGAGACGTCATCTGCGACCAGTTTGTTCCTCATGGAGTAAGTTCCCTAAACTCTAGCCTTGAATGAGACACTCAGAATGATTGATGTACATAGACTAGCATCGGCGTTTGGCACTACGCCATGTTTCGCGACCCCAACAACTTCTCCTGCTCTGATTCTTTTATACCGGAGCGATGGCTTGGTGATCCACGTTTTGCGAATGACAAGAGAGATGCCCTCCAACCATTCTCTTACGGACCGCGTAATTGCATTGGTAAAAAGTAAGAATCCCCGAGTTGAATCCAGAGGCCAGTCATATGTTGCCTTTTCTCTACAAGGACCCTGAGGTCAAAGAGCTTAAGTTAACGCTATTCAGCCTGGCCTATGTCGAGATGAGAGTCATTCTGGCCAGAGTCTTGTGGAATTTTGATCTTACTATTGCAGAAGACTCCAGGCACTGGCAAGAGCAAGAGGAGGTTTACACGCTGTGGCTGAAGGGCGACCTCAATTTCTATCTGACTCCCAGAGAGTAGTGGTATAAGCCAAGGAAGTGATCCCACTGACATATTTTTATTGAGTTGTTTTTTTGTCTATCCATTGTTGAGGGTACAAAGTGTGGGCCAATGGAGGACGGATTACGAAAAGATTCGCTTCATGGTAGTGTCAGTGTCTCAAATCAATGAGGTTTGTATGACTCGGGTTGCCCACGGGATGCTCCTGTCCAACTGGCCTAGCGCCCATTTTCATTGAGATATCAATCGCTGGCCATGACTGCCGGTACTGCACACGTAACTGGCCTGGTGAATGCAAAACCGAGGGAGGCGGCCAGTTATCAGCCTGGTATCCTGGAGATAAGAGTAGTAAGAATCCGCTGGGGTCGTCAAGATCAGCAGCCCAGCGGAGGCCTGATCCTCGGGTTTTTGGGGTGTCTTTTTTTTTAAAAAAAAAAAAAAAAAAAAAAAAAAAAAAAAAAAAAAAAACAGGCCCTTGAGCTACCAGGGAACATAGTCGACTAGAAGCTTGGTCCGTGTGATACTCACCTCAGTGTTTGAAAAGCTAAAGCAACATTGACAAGAACCATAAGTGACTCCCAGGAGAGGTGCAAGGCTTCGTCTTCTGAGATTGAGTTTACCCAAAATGGGCAGATGGAGTTGAATTGGAAGAACTGCGATACTCCTCAATTTGGAGAGTGACGCAACTGTAGTTCTGTTACGCGCCGAGTATATACATTGAGCACGGCCCCTAGTGCTGAAATCTCACAGCAGCCATGAAGCGATGAGAATGAAGGCGATGATAAAACACAAACCACCTTGAAAGCTCCCAGTGATGACCAAGCTCTCACAGACGAGTAGTCACTCTTAGTGATCTTGACGCTTTCAGATTGTCAGCAACTTCCTTCGCAACTCTTTGGCCATCCTCTATGCCACCATCCAGGAATCCTCGCCAGCCCATGGCCCAGTCTGCACTTCCAAACCAAACGTTCCCTTGCTTCTCCCGCAACGCATCAAGGTAGCGGCTGACTTGGTTTGGCTTGAACCACTCCCATGCACCTCTGGCAAACTCATCGTTGTGCCAATTGTGGAAGACCACTCTTTTCAGATCCTTGTCCTCTGTCCCGGGCAGAAGCTGCTTCCATGCCTCCAGAGTTGCATTGATGTCCTCCTCTGCCTGAAGGTGCACACCGGGGAGAGAGCTTCCGAACGCAACCAGATGAGTGTTCCCCGCCGGCGTGGTACCATCGCCAAAGGTGTACGTCAACTTCCCGTGGGGGTAGTTGAACGAACCTAGCGATCTGAGCTCAGGCTTGGCAACCTCGACGTGGCATTTGACGACGTGGTTTGCATGGCCTTCGACACTTGCCTGCGTCTTGAGCGGCAGGAGTGCAGGAGTGAATTGGATCGAGTGCAGGACATTGAGGGGCACAGTGCAAATGACTCTCCTCGCTTTGAAGACGGTGCCATCCCGTCCAGTCACCTCAACCAAGTCGCCCTTGTCATGCACACTCGCTACAGGCGTCGAAAAGCTGTGACTCAACCTTCCAGTGCCATGTGCCTCATCGAACAAAGACCTCTGCAACGCGCTCTGGCCGCAATTGAGCTTGTAGGTCAGGCCCATCTCGATAAAGTCCCGGTAGTCCCAGTTCGCGAGCGCCCACCACCGCAGCATCTCGAAGAAGGACGAGTCTTCCCACTGGCCTCCGCAGGTGATGCTCAGGAACCCCTCGAGCATGTTCTTCTCCAGGGGTGTGAGATCGTGCTCGATCTGCTGTATGCGGTCCTTCAGCGACATCTTGTCGTAAATGGCCACGGCTTCCTTGTTGCGCAGCGCGTCGTGTGGCCAGGGGATGACGGTCCGACCAAGCTTGCCGTCCACGTTCACCAGCTTCTTCAGGCCGGACTCTGAGATGATGTCTTCTTCCTCATGGGACAGGAAAATTGTCGGCTTGTCTTTGGACATGGTCACGGCGCACTTGTTGATGCCGCCTGACTGCGACATGGATACCTCGAGATTACCCAGAAGGTTGTACCGGAAGAGCTCGCGCCAGATGAAAGGCTGTGTCCAGTGCACCCACGTGCCGCCCATCTCGAAGGGGTAGCCATCGATGTTTGATGACCACGATCGGCCGCCGATTCTGTCGCGCGCCTCGATCAGGAGTGTGCTGTGGCCTGTTGTTGTCAAGTCACGGATGGCTGTGAGACCTGTGTATCCTGCACCGATGACTGCGACATCATAGACCGTGTCTTTTGAGACAACAGTCGACTGAGGCTGTATCACGCCAAGGCATGGGACTCCAGCTTTTAGCCCAGTCTCTGGTGTCCACTGGTATCCATCGCGGCTGGTGTGTCCTGAAGGGTTGGTCATTGGTCCTTCGAGTTGAAGAAGATGCTGGCTGGTTGCTAACGTGGATTTAGATCCTCTCAATTAAAATGTTGTCTTGTTTCAGATGCACTTGGGAATTTGCGTTGATTCGATTGGCATGGCCACCATCTTCTGGGACGCGCTCTTCCGTACTTCTGGCGCATGATTTTATATGTCTATTATATTACCGGGGCATCTTGCAAGGAATCTCACTTTCCATTCCTGATACAGTATATCTGATGATATAGTGACGGCTTGCATCAAAAAGTGAGGCTTAGATATCTTTTGTCGATGCTCGGGAGGCACCGGATGCTTAGTCGTTTGGTAGTCTCACTTTTATGCCCTAATTTGGCAATGTACCACAGCCGAGAGGCGGAGAGATATGCACAACTTGGCGCGATGATAGCGGCTGGCTTACACGCCGACGTCCTATCAGAGGGGGATGGAGCGCGCTACTTAAATTTTGCATTGAAAGAGGCTTGCTCTCGAATATGGCCCTTTCTGGACATCGCCAAGTGCACACTTAGGACGGCAGTCGCTCGGCATTTGCTGGTAGATCTCGTGGGCCATTTTCTCACTTTATTATCCGTTTTAGGTAACATAAATTGGAGTTACTTAGCCTGACACCTCAATCTCCAATCATGTGTCCTCCACAGTCGCATCCGGCATAGCACTGACAGAGCCTTGACCGGTCGCCACGTTATGCTTTCCCAGGGTACCGCTGTTGAACCTCCACCCTAGATAGTAGTGGATTCGTGGATAAGGCTCGATCCGACCAGATGAATCTGCCTTGTCTCCCCTTTCTTTACTCCTCCCGCTGCGAGATAAGACAACAAGATACTTGCTGGCGCTCTGAAGAGGCCGACTTCCAATCTGTTAAAAGTTGATCTTCTTATCTTCTCTAAAAGGCATTACGGAACACAACGAACGTGGTGCCATTTTCTATAAAGTCGAACGAAGAATGGCGAGGTGTTACACATCGTCAGATTCGAACGACAGTTCACTCTAGGCCAAGGCGATCTATGCCCATCTGAAGTCCACAATTGACTACCGGCTACAGATCCACTTCTACAATTAAACACCATGGCGTCAGAAAGCCCGACACATAAGGCCGAGGATTTTTCAAAATCCGGGGAAATTGACCTCGCCGCCCTTGAAAAAAGTACGTAAGGATATCCACCCGCGCTCTACCACCTTTCCGTCGCCATGCAAGAATAGATCTTGTACTGATCATTGTTTACTATCATATTAGACACGTCCAACTCCCTTGGCACCGTCGAAGATCCGACCCAGCCGTCTCGAGACCTTGGGCTGTTAGCCATCATCTCCATAGGATGGAACATCTGCAACAGCTGGGCCGGAATAGCGGCCACACTGGCCATCTCCATCGCGTCTGGAGGGCCGGTGACGCTGATTTATGGCATCATCATCATCTTCATATTGGGGGGAGCATGCGCCCTGAGCATGGCTGAGATAGCGTCCGTTCATCCTACAGCAGGCGGACAGTACCATTGGACGAGCATACTTGCTCCCAAATCTGCAAGCCGAGGACTGGTGAGTGGCCTCACAACCTGATGGAAATATTCACACACACATTCACCTCGACGCTGACGACGGGTGTAGAGTTATTGGTGTGGCGCGGTGAACGTGTTCGGATGGATCGCAACCTCAGCTGGATTCATCATCACCTTTCCAACCATGGCTCTAGCCCTTGCCTCGTTCTGGCACCCAGACTATACCGTTGAGACGTGGCATGTCTTCTTGATCTTCCAAGCGATGAACTTCATTATGGTTGCGTACAACATCTTCCTGCTGAAGAGAACCATTTGGCTGCAGGACGTGGGATGTACGTGTATTTCCAATTCAAGATCCCACTACCTGAGATTTATTTCTGCTCGCGTGCGTCTTGCTGACTTTGTGTTTTCAAATCATTGCAGTCTTTCTTTCGCTCATAGCCTTCTTCGTAATAACAATCACCTGCCTCGCCGAGTCCAACCCGAAACAAAGCAGCGATTTTGTATGGAAGGAGTTCGTCAACACGTCCGGCTGGTCTTCCGATGGTGTTGTCTTTCTCACCGGTCTCGTCAACCCCAACTTTATATTCTCCGGCCTCGATGGCGCCATACACCTGGCTGAGGAGTGTACCAATGCGGCAGTGGCTGTTCCTCGAGCTCTGGTCTCGACAGTGGTCATTGGATTCGTGACCGCACTGGTCTTTGCGATCGGAATGTGTTATAGCTACCATGATTTCGATGCCGTGCTTGCTTCACCGTAAGTCTTTTCCTTCTATATAATAATACTCAACTATTGGAACCTCGCGCTAACACAATTCTGCCCCACCAGTTTCCCTGCCCTTGAGATCTGGTACCAGGCCACGTCCAGTCGAAACGTCGCGACCTTCTTCCTCGTCGTCCTCAACACCATCACACTCTTCGCCATCTCTGGAGCTATCCAAACTGCTTCGCGGCTTACATGGTCCTTTGCGCGGGATGACGCCGTTGTCTTGGCCCCATATTTGAGCCGCATTCACCCCAAATGGGGCGTCCCCGTGTGGTCTCTGATCGCCAACAGCGCATGCGTGTTCGTATTGGGATGCGTATACTTAGGCTCGTCAACAGCATTCAATGCTCTCGTTAGCACCGGTATAATCCTTCAGCAACTCAGTTTCGCGTTCCCTGCCGCACTGATGTTGTACCGCCGCGCGACGGGGACTCTGAATGAAGTGATGCCGTTCACCAAGATCGGTTTCAGGTTACGATTCGGGGTTGGCCCAGTCGCCAATGTGTTGACAATTGTCATGGCTCTGCTGGCACTGGTCTTCTACGACCTCCCGGTAGTATTGCCGGTTACTGTTGGAAATATGAGTAAGAAGCCCCCTGTTCTATCTCGGTTCATGACTACTTGGCTGACATTTTCGCAGACTACTCGTGCGCTGTGATCGGAGTGATGGGCCTGCTTTCACTAGCCAACTGGTTTGGGTATGCAACAAGGAAATATCAAGGTCCTAGGCTGGAGCACATCAACTAGTGTATGGAGAATTACTTAGCAAAGCAATGATATCAAGACCCTTCTTTCAACGTACTGTAACGCCCAGAGGCAATCAAAATGCTACAAGATGCCGCCTTGGAATTGGCAATCATGGAGTGCTCACGCAATCAATTTTTGGAAGGCATTCGATAGGAGGGTATTCACCAAGAGGCGCGGTCTGATACGTCTTGGGCCGGCTGTGCGTCCTTCAGGACGTTTGAATGTTTGATCTTGCCGACGGTGCGGCTGAGGCCATCAACTCATCACCAGGTGACTAGATTCACCTTATGTGCACGCTTTTCCGCCCATGGGGGTGCCCCAAAGTGCCTCACGCTGGAGCAGAGCACACTGAGCCGAGACAAAAAATAGTTTACCAAGTATAATAATTATTTTTTTTATTAAAAAAAAAAGAATCCTAATATGAAGGTCAAGCGACCGGGATAATTCGCAGAAAATCCTACAGCCTGCGCCAGCGCTGACCAATCAGCCGAGGCTGCACCAAGAAGACTTTTGGGCGCTGAACTGGTCACCGTGCAGCCTGGGAGTGGCTGGGAGTAGACAGTCTGCTGAGTCATGTGAGAGTCCTCCACTGCGGAAGCATATGCCATTGGGCTTGGTACAACTCGTGCAAGTAGTGAATCACATACACTATTGGAACAACACCGCCACGTTTGCAAGATTGCGAAAACGTCATTGCGGAGCCCCTGTGGCTTACGTCCCCATACGCGTTGATCCTACAGAAAACAATCTCTAGCAGGTTATCCAATAAGAGGTCATCCTGTGGCTACTTATCCTACAGCTCCCCCTTTTGCTTTTACCTGTTGATCTCAGAGATACTGTGACCGCGTAGCGAACATACGAGCTTACTCGTAGATACCTAATTATTACAAGAGGTTTTCTTGTCGTTCTCAGCATTCACGACTGCGCTTGACCAAGTTTTCTAGTCCGATCTTAGAATAACTGAAGTTACGATTGGAAGTCATCGTCTCATACTGGCACAGGTGTGCAATAGCGCTCAAGAGGTCTCACATTGCACACCGGGATTCCCTCACTCAGCCTCAGCGTGCCTCCTGCTTGCAGTCCCACCCATACCCCACTAGAGACGGCCTACCAATCTCTACATTCAGGCAAGCCTTTGTGAAGGCTGTGAAAGTGGAGGATTTCAGGCTCAGTCTGGTTCCCGGATGTAGATCCTTGTCATCCACGTCCTCTAGAACAGGTGGGGAGCCGAGAGTTCCGGGCTCATAACGCGTTGAATTGTAGAGACTCGATTCATGTTGCTTATGTCTCCCGCAGATCCTCCTACATGATATTGGACCTAGATCGCCAATTCTCAAGCGTGCAGTAGCATTTCTCTTCACTTAGGCTCCAACTTCGACGCTTAGCCTGACAAATGTACCCTCTCAGTCATTCCAAGAATGCCTCGTTCGTCCTTCTCCCAACGATCCCACTTTCTGAAATGGAATATATTTTTCCTGACTGTCATCGACCCGTTTCTCCATGCCGAGCCTCCTTCGGTAGCCTTCGTGCTGGTCGTGCCAATGGTTCGGTAAATCATAGGAGTCAACTAACAGCACAGCTTACACCCCGAACCAGCTGTTGATGTCTTGTGTCAGCACGAGTGGATGCCGAATATCGTACTGATCAGCGTAACCAAGTGCGATGTTAAGAAGAATTTGGAAAAGAGTTATTAGATGGTTGGTTGCAAAGACTGTCAAGGATGCAAAGAAGGATGTGTACGCCTTGTGTCAGCTTAGGAGTGAGCGCCGAATATCGTACTGATCAGCGTAGTTAAGTACAATATTGAGCAGAATTCGGAGAACGATGTGGTTGCCTTGAAGTGATCCACTGTTGTATTAATTTATCCAAGCCTTATAATACAGTTAACTAATCCAGTCCTCTCAGCTGTCACATTCAAGTATATATAGAGGCAGTCTTCCACTTGGACTGAGTCAAATCTTCACACCAAGATCGTTGCAATTTATTAAATCTTTGTAAACCACACAAGAAATCTTGTCAAGATGTACTCCCAAATTCTCTCCGTCGTTATACCATTCTTAGCTATTTCTGGAGCTAAGGCAGATGTGGTCATGACCCTCTACTCGGATGGCAATTGTGCCAACGAGATTGGTACAGCTAATGTCAATTCTGGCAGCTGCATGACATGGTTTTCACCTGGATGGTCCTCAGCGAAAATCACGGACGACTCGGGTTCGCCTGCCGGCACTTTGACGTTCTACACCAACAACAACTGCGCTGCAGGCCAATCTAGCCATGGCTATAGCGCAGCCAACTTTGATTGCTTGAAGGACTTCGGATTCGTTGCAAACGCTGCTGGTTTGGCCGGCTAGAAACAAGCTGTATCTATAAGTACGCACGAGATATGCACAGTACAACTCATGGGTGACGAGAGGGATGACTTATTTGTTAACACAGTTCAGTCATACGGGCTAGGTCATTCGCGCCGCGAGGCAGAATAAGCTATTAAGGCTAGAGGGAAATGTGTTATGAGCCAACAGACGACTAAGCTCTTGGAAGCCTGATGTCCAACACATCAAGCGGGAACATAGACTATCTCTTATGTCAGCAACCTAGAAGTTACGTTATGCAAGAAAGTGGCACATACATGAATTACCCCACGCCTCATCCAACGTCAGATGTGCTTCAATTGCGTCTCTTCCATTCCTCGTAACTACTGCTCGTAGCATTCTGGACACTTTGTGCAACGTTGCCCGGCGTTTTATCGATTTTCCCACAAGAGAGATCAGAATGGTGAAGCTTGATTTCAACCTCGAGCGGGACGTACCTAAGCTGACCGGCAAGATACTGCTGATTACTGGTGGTATGATCTCCGGATTTCTAATCGTCTCCTTCATCATAATACAGCTGGACCGCGACTCAAAGTTTCTCATCTACAGGTACGAATGGTCTCGGCGCAGCTGCGGCTAAGATGTTGGCGAGCCGTAACCCTACTAAAATTTACATCACCGGCCGTAACGAAGCCGCCGCTCAGAAGACCATTGCGCAAATCAAATCCACTGAGAATGGCAGTGGTGTGATTTTGGAGTGGCTTCGCTGCGACCATGCCAACCTTGTCTCTGTTAAAGAAGCTGCCGACAAGATTCTGTCACAGGAATCCCGCCTCGACGTGCTCATGGCGAATGCCGGCATCATGGCCCAGCCACCAGGTCTCGTAAGCTAGTCCTCAACTATTGTCTTGCTCCCATTCTGGTTTTGTCGCACGAGACTATATATACGACGATGTCATCATGGATGGACTTGAGTATCAGGCGAAATGGAGAATGGAGGCAGCTACCTGGACCCAAGATATGAGTTTTGTTGTGACGCGTAGAGCGCGACGCGCATCTGATCCTGAGCGCAAATTAGACGCTATCGCAGCATCAAAATCTTTGCGTCTGCCAAGTATTCTAAACTTTTCCTGGCTCTTTTACTAATCAAGATTCCGCACTGAAGACGGCCGACGGCTTTGAGCTGCATTTCGGCATCAACCACCTTGCTCACGCCCTTCTGATTCGAAAGCTCCTCTCGCTGCTTCAAAACACCGCCAAGCTCTACGGTGAGGCTCGCATTATTCCTGTTTCGAGCCTTGCTCTCGTCCTGGCTCCGCAAGGTGGCATCGTCTTCAGTGACCTCAAAACTACACAGGAATATTGGCTCATGGCGAAATGGCAGCGTTATGCCCAGAGCAAATTGGCAAATCTGATTTACGGGAAGGAGCTCGCCCGGCGATATCCTGAAATCCTTACCCTAATCGCTGATCCAGGGCCTAGCAACACTGGCCTAGTCACAAGCCTCGGGTGAGTGAACATTTTACCAAGTAGCTTCTTGGTTGAGGGTGGAATTTGATTTTATCGCATACCGAGAAATATTGATTCTTTCAGCCAAGTTACTAATATCAAGCCCCCAGGTTGTTGGACAAGCTGATTGTACACCTCGGGAATATTAACAGGTTCCTTGACGATGATCAAGGCCACTGGAATCAGGTCTGGGCTGTCGGTGTGCCCAAGGAGAAGGCTATTCCGGGGGAGTTCTATGAGCCCGTGGGTATACCAACTAAATCCTACACGTCATGGTGCTTGGATAAAGAATTAGCGGCAAAGCTTTGGGACTGGACGGAAGAAGAGCTCCGGCCGTGGCTAGTTTGATTCGAATCATCAGGGCCGAGTACCGAGAGCCGGGCTTTATACCAAGCATGCCTCGCATGATGAAGAAACGAGCCTTACGCTCTCAAAGGCTAACAATATCTATTATTGCTCAGCCGGGAATATTAAAGCCATCATTTATCTGGCAATCTGAATCGCAGGACGCAGATTCCACGCTCGCAAGATGTATTTGAATCATTGGGATTTGTGTAATGCTATAATTAATTTGCGAGCAACTCTTAGAACTCACATGTCTCTTGGTATACGCAGTCTGGACGGACGGAATAGGGAACATCATGGTCTGGAAGATGACTTTAAGGGTTGTGTTAGGAGGGACTGAATGGAGGGCTTGGGGACGGAACAGGGACAGTAGACGCTTGAGGGCTCAGGCTACGTCTGGCTTTGGCTTCTACACACGGAGTTGAGGATTGTGGATTTGCCTATTTGGCGCAAGGAAGGACCCACATCTCCTAGCTAAGAGGTAAAACCGACCCCGAGCTATTCATTTGTCTGTATCGCTCTGTCAATCGGCGAGCTCCCTGTTTGAAAGCCCTCTGACCAGAACCCTGCTTACCTGAGCCCTGCAACAACATCCCAGGGTTGCCCACCCCATCACCCGGACTTGCAATCACGCAACACGCCCAGGCGAATAATCTACACGAACCGTTTCCTCCAGTCTGATGAAGCCGCCTGTGCTCTCGTCATAACCCGGAATACTCCGGCATTGTGCAGCAGAAACTGATGTGTGGTTGCTACCCTTGTAACTCCCCAGGGGATACTCATGCAGGCGCTTGGCAGCCGAACCACCGGAGGTATGACCGCTGCTGACGAGACGGCTCAGCTGTGACCTTTTGTACACCTCCCGTACCAAGGGGCTCATCCCTGGCAAGCACGAGCAAATGAAATAAGCAGAGGGCTCAATCATGGTATATATCGTAGTCTTGACCCCAAGTAACCACAGGTCTGATTCCAGATTCGACTCATAAAATCCAACGAAACGGATCACAGAGGTGATTATACCCCTTCATAGAGAAATGTCAATCAGCCTATGACGATCCAGGTACGGGGGAGGAGGGAGGGGGGGGATTGAACTCTGCCTGTCTCGGGAAAGAGGGTGTGTCCTTGTCTGAATATAAGATCTAGTCACTTACAGACTTCCCGCCATGAATGTCAAGCAGATTCCGATCTTCCGGGTTCTGCTCATCTGCAAATGATAGAGGGTGGACAAAGGCAGAATTGCAACGGCCAGATCAGTCAGGATGTTGGGAATACTGACGTACTTATAGGCGGCCATCAGGTTTGCACAGTGGCCGCCTGGGATTGTCTTATCCCATTTGAAAGCAAACGGCTGGCAGGTCACCAAGGCGGCGATGATACCAACGGCAATCCAGTTTGCCAGAACCACCCCGATCACGATCCAGGTGATGATGCGGACCTTGCGCTCGACAAAGACTCTGAGATACAGGATCAAGATCGCCACCTTGGGAAAGGTCACACCGGCCATGTATATAAACTCGCCTGCTGTCTGGATCTTGAGAAATGGTACGATAACCGATGGATCATGGATCAACCAATAGGCCAGATGTCGGCCCGCGCCTGCGACTTTAACAAACACTTGAGAGCTGGAGTCAGCACCAATAAATCTGTGAGAAATTCACAAAGGACGGATATAACAGCCTCAGTAGACTCACAGATACCATTGATGCAAAGTCCCAGACAGAGAAGGTACGAAAAGGGATACAAAACCCGGAATTCCCAGTGGTTGTGCTCCGCACAGAACAGCCGAGAAATCAAGAACATGGCATATACTATCGTTATAACGACTATGACAGCGACACTGGCGTCAATGAGACTCTGGCTGTCGTCTTCTGCCAGATACTCCGGTAAGTAGGAGTCGAGTCCTCCTTTGGTGGACATTATGGCTTCCGTGACTTGTCCCACTATATTTAAAGACTTGTTCCACTCCTGTTTCAATGTGTAGCGGCTTAGGGTTGCGTCTTCAGTGTCTTGACTTTTGTTTCTTGTTCCAGACGTGGCTAGGTGAGATTTGGCATGGATGGAGAAGGGCTGTGAGGCTTTTATTATGGGTTGGCCACGCTGATGCAGTCTTCGGAGCCCCCTCCCCGGGATCCTATTAGCCCCCACACAGACGCTGGTTGCTTATTTTTACTTTAGCCAATTTGACAGAACAGGCATAGTCTTCTCCTCCGAGCGGCATGACAGCTGTCAAAAGCGCGAACCCCCTCACACACATTTCGCGTAACAGTGTGCTCTATTTTCAGGCTGACAAGCGCCTGGGGGCGAAGAGGGATTGCAGTCTCGGAACCGCTTTTGCACCCCAGCACCTTCTGGCCCAGCACTGGACTTCCAGTCGCGATCCACATGGCTTTCTCCGCATTGAGCAAACCGGTGAAGACCTCGGATTCAACTCAGCCTCGGAGCCTAGTGTGTGGTACCCAGGCCGCTTCCTGTGCTACGTCCCCAGGTTACACGCGCGCCAGAATGAGAAGCAATGTGGTTGGTCATCCTTCTATAGACGCATGCAACCCCATCTCGTTGATTTCAAGGTCGATAAAGTCCTTAGGAGAACACCCCTTAGGTTGGAGTGTAATGGCAGATTCCTTTGTTGAAGCACGTCTCAATCATGGATAACCTCCAAACTCAATGTTGCAATATGACCTCCACGGACAGTACGAATCGAACTGTGAGCGGCGGGTCAAATACTGCCGGACAGATTCAACGCTGTCAGCTCTCCACAATGCGTCACTCATACTATGAAGTTAATGACGGAGCTCTACCGCTTGTGACTTAGAGATTAGGCAAAGCTCGTTTAGCGCAGAGACTGTTCTACGACGTTTTCTGTCTAACCAAGAAGCGGTCCACAAGCCTTTGTGAATCAATTACCGACCTCAATCGTACCGGGATACTCAACAATTGATGGTTGGAAATTTGTCTCTAGGAATGTTCCTGCAATACAGCATAGTAAACATTGTCTCAGGCTCATTCTTTGCCGGCGGCTGAAGCCTAACCAGAAGGTGTAAATTGGGCGTGCAAGATGCTGTGCCCCCTAAACCCACAATCCTATATTTCCGTTGACTGGTCGCCGGTAGACAGGGTAATTGTTGGTAGGGCTTCGTTGTGTGTACGCACGGTATTCGCTAGCGATTTGGTTGGTGATTCTTGGTTGTTGGTCTATGGTGTTTCTAACTACGTGTGGCGTGCTGCGCAGAAGGTCTATTGGGCTACGCAGGCGCCGGGCCGTCGCCAGCTGGCAGGCAGCTGGCGGGCCAACCTACCTACGTATCGCCATCGCTACCAAATCCACAGTAACAGATAGTTGAAGTATGGATCTCGAGAGCGACTGGGTGAGGATCACATCGTTTCAGAGTTTTTGCGATGGCAATACGGAGGTAAATGGTGGTCGTGAGGCGTCCGGTCGAGCGGCTGGAGAACAGTGGCGATGGTGAGTTTGAACCAGAAATCAATGAGACAACGGAGGAAGAGCAGACGCTTGAGCAGACTCACAACAAATCATATATTAAGTACTTAACATTAAATCAGTAAATTGCTAACAGTATATCGACTATGATTTCTGTAAGAATCTTAAAAGGAATCAACTGTTTTGGAATAATTCACAATTACATAAATATCTTTACACTATGTAGATTTATTACAATGATATAAACCAGCGCTATCTACTTTCATTGGCTTTGGAAAAGCCTGACCATAGACCAGTTCCAACCCGCCTACCCTGAGCATTCGGAAAGGTGCTCCCCACAGGGACTTACCTTCAACAATCTCACCGTGTGTCCCAAGAAATCACTCCCTTAGAGATCACACAGCTACAGATTGCAAAGTTCTCCAACCGTTTACCAGCAACTCAGGGTGCTTCTGCATAGTTCTCATCGCCACAATTCCCCCTACGGCTGTAGCAGTAGCGGTCAACAGCAGCGTCGCTGGTGAGAGGGTAGCAGACTTCTTTTTCTTCAACCGCCTCTCCTCGTCGGCATACAAGACCGTGTGTGGGACGTCGGGGAGATCCCATCCTTGGAGCGCATCGCTGCCTTGGATCACCGTGGTGGCGTCGTTGGCCTGCATAGAGTTGGGAAGTGTCGGTACGAGGACCTTGTATAGGAACTTCTTGTACCAGCTGCCCCATCCCATCGTGTTCATGGCATCCTCAGATGACTCAACGGCAGATTTTACCTTCTCGACCCGCATTTCGGCCACCTTGGTAAATGCCTCATTCAACGGGGCCATGTCCCAGACTTGTGAACTCTTGAGCTTGTCGCCCAGGCTTTCTTGAAGGCAATTGATAAGTGTAGCTGCTGAAACTAAGCAGTTCATACCGCCATGGCCGGGGAGCGGGTTGAATTTGTGTGCGGAGCTGTGCCAGTGTAAGTGAATGAGACCATGAATTACTTCTTTGATCACACAGAGAGATAAGAGCCAAATGTAATAAGAGGAACCCCGGGGGCTGAAAATTGAGAACGATTGGAACTCACTCTCCAATAACCACGATGCGGCCGTAGTGCCACTTCTTCAACACAAAATGGGGTAAGGCTGTGATGCCGGAATTAATCGGGTGCCTCTGGTCGTATAGCTGATCGAAGTCTATGTGGAGTCCATTCTTCCTTGGCACTTTAGCGAGAAGCTCCTTGCCACGAGCAATTTCTCTCTCGTGGTCCTCTTTGGTGAACCGGGGTATGGTGTTGTAGGTGATCTTGCGGGATTCTTCGGGGAGCTTGAAAAACCAGAAGGAGCTACAATGACTCGAAGGTTAACCGGGGTACAGAGAAACACTTGACGGGCCCACTAAAAGTCGAGTAGCAAACTCACAAACAACGTCCATCTTTGCCAACCATCCATCCCGCGTTATATCCGTCACCTGCAACACTGCCAACTTGACCGCGGGGTAGTGAAGCGCCGTAATCGGACACACCAAAGCAGGTGGCCCAGTCACAGATAATCTCTGTCGATACGGATGAGCATACTGTATAGGTAAAGGAGTGACTGGTGATGAGGTGAACTCAGCCTCCTTTCACTGACCTTTCTTGTCCTCCTCAGGAACAGCACCCGCCACCTCGGCATTCCTCCACATCTCGTTACGGACTGTGGACCGCACGCCGTCGGCGCCAATGACCACCTGCGCCTCGAACACATCTCCAGTCGAAGTATATGCGATGGCTTTATCTTCTAAGGCATCAACACGAATAATCTTTTGGTTGACAAGAAGGCGCTCTTTCTCGCGTATATGCTTATGCAGGACACAGAGTAAATCGTAACGGTTGAAGTAACCGATTTCATAACCGTGCCGCTCTTTCAAGATTTCTGTCGTTTCAATGAGGTGCAATTTGCCCCTGGAATTGTTATTCCATTGTCAGTCCTTTTAATTCAACCAGAGAAGCAACACAGTCTAGATCTGTACTCACGTGTCTCCGTCTACACTTATGGCTTGAACAAGAGGTTGGTAGATGGCCTCAACGTCTTCGAGAATGCCCAGCTGGTGGAAGATGCGAAGCCCTTGAGGCTGGATAGCAATGCTGGCTCCCACATTGGGAGTACAGCTGTCGTAGGCTTCGAGGAGGAGATAATCGACGCCGAGTTGTTGCAACATCAGTGCAAGAGTCAGACCGGTGAGGCCGCTCCCGACGATAATGACCGTGGTCTTGCGCTTTTCTGTCGCCATGGTTCGAGCTCAAATGGTGCGTAGTTGCTAGAGAAGGTTGAGCGATGGGAGAGGACTATTGCAGTGTGCTGAGGTTAATTTAAGTGTGACGTGAAGAATTGTCTTAGAGACGATTGGATATTTGAGACGGCTGAAGAAGAAGACTATTGATTGAGGCAGTAAAGTCGCGATACAAAACGTGGCATATGGCACCATTAAATAGCTGCCTTTGCGTTCGCCCAGGATATGAAGATCTGAATTCCACGCCAAGATTTCACTGTTGCAGTGGAACGCCAACTCCCAACGTCCCCACCGAAAGTCACCCCGGCTGGCCAACCAGGCAAACTGCTACCTTGTGGGTTCAAATCTGCCAATAAAGAGGTGTATCATGGCATGCAACGTTTGGAATACATGTGAAAGTGTCGCAAAAGGGCCCGGCACAGATGTGGGTCTACTTCATACGACAGCTCGGCTCCCAACTGGACCCCGAAACCGACCGACAACCAGGCCATGCCCACGCAATTGCGATGTCTGTTTTCCCGCTGAACTCGATTTTGTTCAACAAGTCCAAGAGTGGGGCCAAGTTGTATTGTCCGCTGCATATATTATTCCTACCTTTGGTCATCCCATGATGCATGGCGCATGATTCTAGTCCTGCTCGGCAGTGGTTTTAAGCATATATCATTTTCAAATTTCCATTTAGTATTTTGAGACAGGAAGGCTTAATCGTTCAAGGCTTGAAGCTAAAATTGATCGCCTAGTCAAAAGGTAGAAACAGTCGCCGGGACCCACTCTTTTCACTCCGAATAGCCTCACCGACTAAGAGCAAAAGATCCCTGTACGCACTAAACCCAGATAACACACGACAATGGTTAACAAATTGAAGACAGGTTTTCGTTGAATCTGGTGCATGTTACTCCCTGATATAAGGAGGACTTCTGATGAGCGCATTCGCATCAGCCATTGCCATCACTCTCATGTTGGATTACACCCGAAACTCTAGATGCCGCTCAGTACATACATGACAATGGATCTGTAGCTTATTGAGTTCCACTGGCATCTTTTTCACGAATCTGGTCGAAGAGTTTCGTGACGTCAACGTATTCGACACCTTGAAGTCCGATCCTCAGATATCCTGGCTCATGCAACTTAGTTTCGCGCTGCGCAAGTTCCTCGACGTCCCAGTTGGACCAAATGAATCGACCATGCAAGAAAGATGCAGCTGGAGTAGATGCCCAAACGCAAACTGAAGCAGGAAGACTGGCTGTTTCAATTCGGTCAGCATCCTTTGGGGATAATAGATAGGTAGTTTGGAAAGTCTTCACCGTCAGAGAAATGCTCTCCACTTACCTTCGTCCCATCGGACCATCTTGATAAGCTCTGGAGGAGCCTTGCCAGTGGAAGACGTGTTCGGTATGAGACCGGGATGAAGATTGATGATTCGACACTGCTCAACAGGTATCTCTTGGGCAAGGTGCTGGAAAAAGGAAGAAGAGGCGACCTTGCTGGCGGAGTAGGCGGCTTGGAGCCGTGCCGGGTTGCTGTGTGCTAAACAGCTCGTGAGGTTGATAAGTGTTTTCTGTCTATTGACGGAATTCGGTGAATCGAGGAACCTCGCCGTCATAAGGACATTGCCGAAGACGTTGGTATTGAACATGGCTCGGAACTGAGGCCATGCTTTCAGCAATGGATTGACTGGCCCACCAGACGTGTCAGCGGCATTGAGTATGAGAACATCAATGAGGATGCCCTCATTGGAGAAAGACTCCCACAGCTGGTCGATGCTGGCTTCTTCGCTGATGCTGAACACTCGAGTGAGAATTTCACTGGATTTGGCTTCCTTTGTTAGATCTGTAGCCGCTTTATTCACTGTTTTCGAATTGCGACCAGAGATGATGATACGAGACGCGTCGGCTTGGGCGAACTTATTAGCGATTTCATAGCCAACGCCCGAGGCGCTCCCAGTGATGAGAACAGTTTTCCCCGCCTGACTGTTAGAGGGATTCTCGGCTGATATTGCGGGATAAGGCGCGTGGTGAAAAGTCTTGGTCGTAGAAGCCATTTTTGTGCATGGACGAGGACGTTTAATCTGTGTGGGACGAATCGAGGATGATGCACTTCGATGCGTATACTGAATTCAGCGTTTTATACTTCTCAATAGATGCAATGGATGTCTCTGCTTCTACCATGCCTTCCATGATCCGGTTCTACTGGATTGCGCCCGCCCATTTCGATATCTTCTTCAATTGGCTTGCGACAGCACGTGGATCATGCTCTGGGTGGAGAGCGAGAGCGAGATTTTGAGTCTGGCTGACGAGATTTCAAAATGGATGAGCTGCATATGGGAACCAATCTAGACCAATAAGATACGATGGCTGAGCCCCGATTGTTGGATGATTATCAATCAAGGCCAATGGGATAAGATGACGAAGCGCCAATCTGCATGAATAACGTAAGCCACATTTTGGCTGATAACTATGAGTTGGTTCTTCGTTTTGCATCGTTGAATATACAACCTCAACTCACCATGGACGCTTTCTGTAAAATTGTCCAGCCGAAGAAGAAACGGCCGATGACGGAAGCTCGACGGCAACAAAGTAGAGCGGCACAGAAAAGATACCGTAAGCCATGGGGCATGTTAGAGTCGAATGAAATACTGAGATGATCTACAGGTGAGAAGCAGAAACGCCGGTTGGCAGAGCTGTCGAGTCTTGCGTCTGCAAGTCAAACCAATGGACCAAGCCATCCAATACCGATGTCGTCGGACCTTCTCGAGGCCGCCTGGCTACCCAATTCGAGTGGAGCGCTCGATTTGATGGAAGAACAGATTCTAGTGAACATTCCAGGTGGAGCTGCTCACTCAGCAGAATCGAACGGGGTAGAGTCCGCATCCGCCATTCAAGATATAAGGGTGGATCCAAACTGGACTATGAACATCCCTTTGAGCGGATCCGACATATTCCAGCTCAATGATACATGCTTATCTAGTGAAAGTATGCTGGAGGGGAGAAGAGGCGGGGATGGTCAAACAATAATAGAGAGCGCATATCCTCCTCTGAGTGAACAGGTTGCAGATACCCAGGAAATCCTGGAATCCATGCAATCTTCCAGTTTAGAGAGGCCTTCAGCAACCATCCAATCCTCGTCTTCATTTTCTATTGATGCTTTGCCGGCTCCATCGATCCCAAGAGATACATACATTCGAGTGCATCGTTATTCGCTTCTCAACTCTTTCATGGAGAATGCGACGACGCTGGGGTATACGCGTGATTGGGTGACAACCTACGGCTGTCACCTGGAATCCCTTTGGTGTCCCACATTACCACAACCGCAACCGCAAGTGGGGATACGAGTCAATTGGAAAGAGAACATTCCGGCGATGACGAAGGTAGCACCGGATCTTGCTCCGACTACAACTCAGTTGCAATACCCTCATCTTCTGTACATTGATATCTTCCCATTTCCGGAGTTCCGCGAGAAGATGCTAGCTCTTCGAGCAATGCGGCCTAAAGTATTTGAAGAAAAAGATTTCATCCGAGACATCGACACAGGCGAAGCGATTTGTTGCTGGGGACCAACACCATGGGAGAAGAGGTCATGGGAGGCACAACCATGGTTCTTGCGAAAGTGGTGGATGTTGACGGGAGGAGAGCAGGGAGAAATGGGATCCCTGAGCCGGTGGTGGAGGCGTTTCCGGGGAGAAGAGATTTGAGAAGCGGACGATGAGTGAATGATGAGCATGCTCTTGCTCTCGGAGACCAGTCTGGCCGCATGTCATTTATCGAATTCCGCTTTGCAACAAAACGTGCCGAGTGATGGTCAACATCGTTGTAACGGCCCGCGGACCAAGTGCTCAGCATGATTTGACGGCTCAAGACGAAGGAATAGGTGACATGCCGCCCACGGCAGACGACATGACCATCGAACAACAATGAAAGATCCATTGGGATATTTGAGCAACTATTGCCACTGAAGAAATCAGTTGCTCATGTCTTTCTTCTTTTCACAGCAATAATGTGGTGCAGTTGAGTCACCCTTGTATATTTCCAGGCCATTCGCAACCGTCTTCCTTTCCTGTCTCAGTGACTCCTACCGTCTAGACGTTGAGCATCATAGGAGGGTTTCGGTGGTAGAAGCATGAAGGCTTGTGAGCGCTCCAATGAGCCTTCTGGCAGTCCTGTATGCCTTTTGTTAGAAATGTGTCGTGTTCATCAGGGAGGCTCAGGCCCGCAGAGTGACAACCTACATGGTCGCAGTACGAAGCCACCTTGCATCTGGAGCAGACGGAAAGCTTCTTACCTATGTCGGCCTGGATCTTGCCACACTTGTAGCAGCTAGGCGCTGGTGATGTCAGTGAATCATGCGCATGCTCCATCTTCGAAAATAAGACTGTCATGTACTTGACTGACCTCATCTATTGAAAGGTACGTGGCGTGCCTGGCTTATAGTGCTCCAAAGCCGCGAGGAACTGGACTTTTCCAGGATCGCGAAAGCCATCATCGTTGAGAGGGGATGCATACCCCGGGCTGGAATGTATCTGCGGAACAATCTCGCGCAGGTGCTGCATGTTGTCGTCGCTGATCTTAGCTCCGCTTTGCATTAACATGGCGGCGAGGCGGACGGTGTACATTTTGCCGTCTGGGAAAAGGCCGATCAAGGAAAGAATACCCTTTCCCTTAGCACGAAAGTCTCTGAAGAGCTTGTCACAGAGGCCGGCGTCCATTTCTTGCAGAAGGCTGTGGACTGCAGCTCCTTGTCAGGGTCGTAGTCTTCGTCATCAGGCTTGACGAGGCCCATGGCATCTTCGATTTCGCCGCGGATGTCTTGGTCTTGGTCGCCTTGGAAAAGGCCTATGATGGACTGGTCAGCTTGAATCCATCATTGCCTGCACAAACAACCTGGGGCCGTGCAGACGCCACACACGGCACATCGCTTGAAAGGGTTGGAGGCGAATAGAAGATACTCACACATTCCCCAACGGCTCATGATGCTATGGTGATTACTGCGGAGTCAACCTGTTTGTAATCTGGGTTGCTGAGGTGCTTTGATTGCGAAGAAGACAAGAGGACAGGCTGATCGTGGCTTGTGAAGATTTGGCAGAGGTCAAACGCTGAGAGACTGTGCAGGCCACAATCAAAACGTGTATCTTGGTAGCAGGAACTAGGATTGGAAGGAGGCACGAAGAAAAATCACGGCCCTGCCTTGATCAGCTGGGAAAGCTCTGGAAACGACGCTCACGCTTTTTGCAGTCACGTTCATCAGTATTTGATTTGTGACGTCGGAAGACTCCGTTTGCTTCATGGGGCTTCTGGATTTCTGCAGGAAATGCAGACAGCCGAAACAATCCAAGCTAATTATCTAGAATACCTCGTTCTTTGTTCTCTTCCGCCCACAAACGACCTTTTCGCCTCGAAGTCTGCTCCCATTTGCAGACACAGAACAGCATTTTCACAACACCTACCGTCATATTCGACGCGAAATTCCAGGCTCTGACCAACAGCGATGACATCTCTGCCAACGCTTTCGTAAACACAGTGTCAGGGACCGTGAGCGAAAGAAAATTGAGGAAGAATAGGGGAGGGGAAACCAGCAATATGAAGAACGGTCAAGACCTCCATATAAGTCAAATGCCAACGAAGAAGGGTTCCTTCGGCCACATGCATCAAGCCTTCAGCTACTTCTCCATGACACATCAGGCCCTATCCTGTTGGTGTTACACCATCTTGTCCACAGCTGTGCAGCTTTGCGGTCGTTCTTGTGTAGCCCTCTTCATCGAATGGGGGCTGGATTGAAAGATATGCCCCGATATAGTAAAGCCGTGAAGCTGGGTTACATTGCCGTCTTTGTCGTCTTGCGAGCAGGTCACGTATCGACCTAGGTACCCAGTAATTAGATAGCTTGTGATGGCAGATGTAGGATGTGACTAGGGCTGAGTTTCATCTCATTGGCTGCGCAGCATTTGATGATGACAATGATCCCTCAACCTTCTGGTGCACATAGCAGTGTTTGAGTTTATGGAGGGAGGCAAACCATGATCTATGGGCAGACTGATGTCTGCCCGACAGCCTAGTTGCAAGATCCCGCCAGGCTGAATAGGCTGCTCGGACCCAGTGTCGCATTTTACACAGGCCGGGCCCAGTAGCACTGCACCTGTAGGCTGACACCTGGGTAGGAAGAGGCACGCAGTAAGTCTTTATAAAGTTTGTATGCCCTGAGGATCGTGTGGCTTGGCCCGCACTAGCCCAAATGCGCTGCAGGTGGGTATCGTGTAATCCTACCAGATCCTGTGCAGCTGTGCCACGATGCTGAGCTGAGCTCTGCAGCAGCCGCAGCTGGGCAATTTATAGACCTGTCTGCACTGTCAGCACTAATTCAGACAAGCAATGGTCCTAGCGCCAGCCATTTCGAAAATCAAAAGGGCAAGCCCAGCCCATGAGTGGGGACAAACTAGATTTCCAAGAATTTGGGTTTCCAACAGATACTCGATCTTGTAATCTCAAATAATTCGGAACTAGTCGCCGCCGATCCAACAATCATGGCCAAGCAGCATCAATGGGCAGAGCGCAATGCCACTCGCCAGGCATACTATGGCATGCCCGGCCTGTACAAGGGCGAGTGGAAAAAGCCCCAGATGTTTCCATACGGGCCCGAGCCAAGCGACTTTGACACATACGGCCAGTACTTTTGGTTCTATGCGGGCTGGTACATCATCTGGCTCAGCACAATTGCAGCCGCGGTCATCATCATCCTCGACCTGGTCCTCTACGTCAATCATGAAGGGGACCCCGACAAGAGGGTCTTGGCCCTGAGTATTGTACCGGTAAGTCGAGCATCGGGGAGCCCCAATTCTTCTCGCGTCAGGGTTTCTGCTTTTACGGTGGCTGATTCGGGTGCATCAACATCAGAGTGTCACAGTGCTCATCTGGATGACGATAGATGGAATTCTGCGAAAGAAGACTTGGCAGAGAGGGAGGCTGGGCGTTGAAGGAGTCGTTGTCGTGGGCACAATCGTCTGTCTCGCCCTGCTTGGGACAATGGCTGGCGCCAAGACTCGCCAGGGAGATACCTTCGCCCACTGGTATTCCGGTTTGTCTGGGGTTCTGGGCGATTTGTTGTAAGTGAAACTTCGTCGAGAGACCCTATGGTAATGCCATTGCCACTGTTCTAACTTTAAGTGCCTGAGCAGACTCCTTCGGCTCTTGCGGCTTTGCGAGCTTTACTATGGGCTTCGTCATCCTGAGTGAGGGCGATCTTTCCGAAGATAGCGGCCAGTGGTCGAGTCGCATAGTACAAATTACTCAGGCGGGGACAAAGTAAACATCACTTACGACTTGTTAAAGGTGAGCGAGATCGCCATCGGTGCGACTGCTATTAGTCTGGGGATAGGATGACACAAATACCATAGGTTAGGAGTGGCCGATTAGTATACCCGTGTATTTATAGCATGTTTGTCGCCCTGATGATTATGATACCTGTGCAAATTCTAATTTGCCAGTTTTTTACTCCGCTGTGAGCTTTTCGGACGACTGCGAATGTTCGACCCTCGAGCCATTGGGACGATAATGTGCGATAGATTGGCATGCTCACGTTCGACATGGCATTAGTCATTTTGGATGTGACTACCGAAGCTCTTTTTGGAGGACTTGCTCAAGTTGGCACTATGCGAAAAGACCAAGCTGTCGAGGTTAAATATCTGCTGATACGATCTAGGACGGAAAACCCCAAGTCATTGACATCTTCTCCGAGGCCGTTCGAAACGTGGTATGTCAATCCTATCACAGCGATATTTTGGCATGGCTCGAAGGCCAGCGCTGATATTCTCCCTAGGGAAGAAAATATCAGATCTCTTTTGAGATTCTATCTTTGTGGTCGAACAAAGTTATGAGGATGTCAAATCGTAATTACACTATACAATCCACAGACATCGCCCACCTATTTGATACAAGCATCGAGCGCGACATGCAATGAGAGATAAAGGATATTTTAGGGGAGCTCGATATCATGCTTGACATCATCCGGACACAGGAGAGAATCACAAGAAAGCTCAAGATAGTTTGAAGTGAGGAGCATCATTTACCAGACCAATCTTCTCGCCTGACATCAGCTACCGAGCTCATCAACAAAATTATCGACTATGGAAGGGAAATTGAGGACCTCCGAAGGAGTGCCAGAGAAATGTTTGACAACATAAGCTTCCTCTTCTTCCTCTTCTCAAGTCAATTGCCTGCCTAGCTGAAAAAAACTCTAGTTGGATTACCTGCGAGCCATGAAGGACCAACAAGGCTCTGCTGCCCAAGCGATAGTTTCCATGCGGCAAGGAGAGGAGACTGTTAGACAGGGACGAGCTATTGTGAGTTTCACGGTCATTACAATCATCTTCGTAAGCAATCTAGCGCGAATCGTTGAAACGCACACCGTAAGACTCGTTAATGTTGGTCATATTTACCATGTAATTAGTTACCACTCGCATTCATGGCTAGTATCTTTGGAATGAATAACAAAGAGATATCTGGCGACGATGCGCCAATGACCATACATTCCCATTTCAAATTACGACAGCATCCCGCCTCTAGCTAACCCAAAATTCCGTCTTTGAGTTCTAATCTCAGCGGGTATCATGATTGTCTCGATGACCTTCGCCTCTAGCAACTTTATCCAATCCCTAGTCTACCTGTTGTACAGGTTTCTATTTACCATGCCCGCAGTGAAATCGCGAGCATATGAGTAATTCTACCTTGGACTCGAGACCGGAACCTAGGCAATGGTCTGAATGGTCGAGGCCAAAGCAGCTGCAATGAAAGCCAACATGAAGAAAGCAAAACAGCGGCGCACGGCACAGAGGGAAAAAGAGAAAAGAGCAAGGGCTGAGCGGAAGGAGCGATAGAAGAGGTTCATGGGCGAAATGGCGGTTCACAGGCCTAGAACCAGGACAGTAGGACCTGGGCCGTCTTCTGCGCAATACGTTACGGGCTGTGAGAACCCTGTTGAAGATATTCAAGATGGGTGTCGGGGCCGTTGAGAAAAAGTGAGATGAAACGTACGTGATTTAAGCGCCACATCCCTCTTAAGTAATCATCAAGAGGCCGGTGAAAGCATTGTCTATGGGTCCCCCTTTTTTGTATCTACCGGTAGTAAATGACAGGACAAGTTTTGAGTTTGCCACTCCACATTCTCTAGGCCCCACTCGCCGCCGAGGCCCGATCGCCGGGATCCCAGCAGCATCTGTCTCGGAGCTTGTAGGGCGGGCGGCTGCAAGATTCATGCACGCGCTAAAGCAGAGCATACAGATCACACCTTGAATCTTCCGCCTCCCGACGCGGACCCCGCTCCCAGACGACTTGAGCCGCCTTTGACGACATGCCGGCTTCAGTCACGCGCATAAAGACACTGTCAAATTCAACAGAGACCGGATGGCATGACCGATGGGCTCTGACAAGCCAAAGAAATGTGAGACTCCATCAGCTTGGGCCCTTCTTGGCCTAGCGTCGACCCCTGAGCTGAGTTCTCGAGTCCTGAGAACTGAGTGCTTCATGTGCTCGCCGCCACCTTGGTCATCGTCGCCTCAAGGCGCGCATCAAAGACTGCCCGCTGACTCGACCTTAACACACAGCTTGTTATCACTGCACAAAGAGGAGGATAGTGTGTGACCTGACAGAGCCAAAGTGCAACAAGTGCGCCAAGAAGGGGCTGGACTGCCCCGGATATGGCATCAGATATCGCTTCGCGGATGGGAAGACAGCCTCGTCGACCGAGTTCGAGCCGGCCGAGAGCTCACGCTTCGCTTCTTCAGTATCGTCTTCATCGTCATCAGTATCTGCAAAGCGCCGACAGCCCGACCTGAAATGGGTGGACGTGTCTAGCCGAGTGAAGAGGGCGAGGGCAGCTGCCGAACAAGGCCCGAGCAGGGACAACGCAACAGTTGCGGGACCTTCCAGTACAGCACCCACGAGCTCTGGCCAAGACCTCATCTCGACTCGTCATCAACAAGGCAATGTTGTGTTCGGGCCCAATGGACCGCATCACAATCTTGCACGCCGTGATGTCCAGTCCGGGTCCCGGCAGACCAGGGACACCTCACCGCAGGAGACTGTGGAATCCTCGTCTACTGACGAGGATGAAACCGATGTCATCGAAATCACGCGAACGAATGACTTCGGCAGGTTAGCCCGACCAGACTTCTCACCAGTGTCGCTCAACCTACCCTCCCTACTGTCGAATCCAGACCCACGGGTGCGCCTTCTTTTCAAGCACTGTGAGCATAATATCCCTCCCACCTCATTTTGCTAGCCAAGGTCTCGGTCCACATTCTGATATTGATATATAGTCTCTACCCATGTCTCGCCTGTCATGCTCATGTACGACGACGAGGCCAACGGCTACCGGCGTCAGATACTTCCCCTCGCACACGCAGATCCCATCGTTGAGCGAGCGGTGTGTGTCGCTGCCGCGTTCCACTTGTCTCGACAAGTGCCTGAGCTGCGCCTCCCCGCTGAGTCGGGGCGAGCTGCCATCGTCAGCAAGCTGTCGTCCGAGGTCGACTTGAGCGATTCGACATGGGCGACACTCATTCTACTGATTGTCGCGGACTTGGTTACAGGGCACGAGCATGTACTTACGCTGTACAAGATGCTTCTTGCCTTCCTGGATGCCAGAGGCCAGACCGGAGAAGCAGGATCACCACTGGAGAAGTTCTTATATAACCAATCCAAACTGTAAGTCACTCACATTGTCTTGGTCGCCCATAGGTCAAAGTTACTAAGACAGGTAGGATATCACTGTTCGCCTATCCCATCCTGGGCGAGTCCAAAGCAGTAGCAGACTTCTCGAAATTCCTGAATGGGCTCATGACGAGTCACGACCAGCTAAAGCAACGTCAGCGCCAGAGCCTCGAATTCCTGGTCAGCACCGACCAGCTTCCTAAAAGTGACGAAGGGGTGTTCGACGCGAGGACACGGCTGTATATGGAGATCACCCGCGCCGCAACAGAGATCTACGTACTGCGCGCACAAACCCCAGACGACACCTTCGACACGTCCGGAGCCATACGGTTAGAGACAACCGTGCTGCCGTTGCTATCGAACCTGGACGCTACCGAGACTGCCATCGACGACACGTACACCCCGATCGAGAGCATGCCTGACCGCATCGCCCACATCCGCTCCCTCTTCGAGCAGGTCGACCCGTCGGCGCCAGGGTCGCATACCATCGTGTGGCCTGCGTTCATTGCAGCCGCCGAGTCCCGCGAGGAAGACAATAGGGAGTTCTTCTCGTCGATTCTGAGACGGCTGTGGCAATCGACTGGGTATGCGAACGTGCTGCGGGGCTTGGATGCGCTTCCGGCGCTATGGGAGCGGCAGGGTCGGGGCCAGAAGTGGACTGCTGCTTTGCAGGACCTGAAGACCGTGGTGATGTGACATGAATTGACCGCAGTCTGTGTGTGACAATCTTCATTCTTTGTGATTATTCTTTTATTATCGTGTACAGTCATTAGAGATATCCGCGATGAATCAACGCCTTGTTCAAACAGCCCCGACAGTGCCAGCTAGCAATCTTCATGACCATCCTCGGCAAAGACGACAACAATCTCAGAAGATATCCGTCACATATCTCTCGTTTCTCATCCCCTTGACAAAAGAATTGACTTCCTCGGGCGTATAATCCTTCCCTTTCCTCTTAGCCCCAGCAACAATCAACTTCCTCGCCACGGCCCCGATTCCCTTAGCCAAGCTCTTACTACCACAGATATAAAACCTTGCGCCTTCAAGCCACAATTGATCGATATCCTCTCGATCCTTCAGCATCCGATCCTGCACATACTTACACCCATCGCCGCCCTCCTCCTGGTGTTGACTAAACACCCATCTCACATCCACCGCCCCCAGCTTCGCCCACGCCTCAAGCTCCTCCTTGTACAGCTGATCGCGCTCAGGCCGCCGACACCCAACGAACAGCACCGCGGGCGCGAGGGCCTTTCCGCCCTCGCCGATGAGCGTCGCGCGCTCCTGCACGAACCCGCGAAACGGCGCGATCCCGCTGCCGTTGGCCATCATCACCACGGGCGTCGCCTGCATGTCCAGCGGGAGCCGGAAGTACTTGTTCGTGCTGCGAACCGACACCAGCACGCGGTCACCTGGGGTGAGGGATCGCATGTAGCTGCCCGCCACGCCGAGGAAGCGGTTGGGCTGCTCGTCCTTGGATGCGCCGTTGGTGCTGTTGGGAGTATGATTTCCGTTTGGCTGGTACCATGCTGGGCCATCGAGCACGGCGTAGGTCAATGTTACGGAATTGGGAGAGGCTAGTGGAGAGGATGAGATGGAGTAGTGCCTTGTGCGCATCGGCGGGAGCAATGAAAGGAAGGTGGCGAATGGGAGGGGAATATCGGTCTTGTGTCTTGTCAGGAGGTCGAGAATGGTGATGCGCTTCTCGATGACCTCGGATGCGAAGGTTTCCGGGGAGAGGTAGCTCTGCAGTGTCTCCTTGACACTTCCCGTGCTGCAGACTGATAGCAAGGCTTCGATATCCTGCTTCGTCGCCGGCTGAGAGATCTCAACGTATCCCCGGAGCAGGTCGAAGATGCCGATGGGCTTGCCTGTGGGAAGTGAGGTTGCTGAGCCCGCCTTGATGGTGATCATACCGTCCCATGGCAAGTTGAAGTGGTTCATGACTCTTCTGACATACTCCTTTGGGTTCAATGGTAGCACGGCGAGGTAGTCGCCCGCGGAGTAGTTCATGTTAGAGGGAAGCTCGATCTCGATGTGGCGCTTCTCCGGCTCGCCTTCTGCTGTGAGAACTTTGGTATCGAGAACGTTGGCCCACTGCACATTTTGCTGGAGATGAGCAGCACGTTCGTCGGATGTAAGCTCGATCTCGATTGTAGGAATGGTCGAGAATTTGGACGAGTCCTCAGATGACGACAAGTATGGGCCCAGTGCCGGCCAAAGCTTGCCGCTTGTCCATGTCTCGAAGTCGCCAAAGGTGTCTTGCTTGCTGACGTCGGATGATCCACGGTCTGATAGTCTTTTTGCGCCTAGGCTAGGGAGAATGTCGTCCACCAACGTCGGGATCTTCTGGAAGGTGGATGCCCAGTCGCTATGACCACACCCAAAAACAGCATACTTGACTCCTTCGAGCTTACTGCTTTCGCTCTCCTGCTTCAAGCTCTCTAGCCACGCCACGAAGCGGGCCGCATCGTCGGTTGGAAGCCCCTCGTACGAGGCTGTGATGATCACAATTGGCTTTTCCTTGGGAACTTTACCCATGGCTGCATCCAATGTTTGGACATTAGCCGACAGCCCTCTTTGAGCACACTGTGCCGCCAACTTCTGGGCGAGAGCCTGGCACGTCCCAGTGTTCGACCCATACAAGATCGAGAGGGCATAGTCGCCGGTTGCCACGGCCTCGACGCCCTGTGCGACGCTGTTCTTCTGCTGGCCACCAGTAGCTCTTTCACCGCTCAGCCTCTGCAGCAGTATTGTCGGCGTGATTCCCTCCCTCAGACTAGCCCGCATATAGAAGTCCTTGGGCTTCAACGTCAACGTCTGCACGACCTTCATCTCGTAATTTGGGTCGTCCAAGCGCATGTCAAAGTTCTGCAGGATCAACGCCACTGCCAGCACAGCCTCTTGCCATGCGAACGCTCTCCCAATGCAGGCCCTTATACCGGTGCCAAAGGGCTTCCACGCGTTCTTGGGCAGCTTCTCGAAATTTTCATCGAGCATGCGCTCTGGGCGAAATTCCTCGGCATCCTCGCCGAACACCTTGGGATCCTGCATGATCTTGCCTATGAGACATACAATCGACTTTCCTCGGGGGACCTCGTATTTGTGCTTGCTGTCTGGGTCTTTTGCTCCGATATATACTGGATCCTCTGTGTTCTCCGGGCGGATCGCGCGGCTGAAGGCCGGCGCAGTCGGCGTGAGGCGCAGCGTCTCCCGAAGCACTGCGTTGATGTACTTGAGCTCGTTGACGTGCTTGGGCTCGAGCTTCGAGTGGCCTACGACTCGGTCAACCTCGGCCTGAGCGGCGAAGTAAGCTTTTGGGTTCTTAAGGAGCTGCAGGAAGGCGAAGGAAAGCAATCCAGACGTCGTCTCATGGCCTGCCATTGATTGTGTCAGTCTTTGCTAGTCCGTAGCTCTACCCATGTAAAGCGGGAAACAAACCAGCGATTAAGAAAGTCTGCATATTTGCGGCAATAAGTCCGTCCCTCATAGTCTTTCCTGTCTTGGGGTCCTTGCCATTGATCAACGAGTTGAGCAGATCCTTCTTCTCAGTGGGATGGTCTCTTCGGTACTGAACCAGCTCCTGTGAGGTATCCTCCATGAACTTGACACTCTGTTTGATCTCCTCGTTATATGAAGGAAACAGCCTGGTGATGAGTCCGGCAAGCTGTCCAGAGCTGTTCGCCGCGCCCAACGTGGTGTTCATGGCTTTCACGAATGGATGCATATCCTCTTGGTAAAACGAGTTGAATCGAAAGTCCATGGCACACAGAGCGATCGTGTCTAGCGTTAGCCTCGAGAAGTCTTCCGATGCTTGTATCTTGTGCGTCGGGCCCTGCCTCGCCCATTTGAGAACAAGCTGCGATGCAATATCGTGCATTTCTGTTGATGTGTTGTTGTCAGTGAAACAAAACGCAGGCTCTGCTGATTTGAGGGTGTCTTCTGACCATCGAACATCTCAGCCACTGCCAAAGGTCCAAAGGCAGGCATCAGGATGCGGTGAGCCTGGCCCCAATCCTCCTCCTTCTCACTCTTCTGCGTGAACAGGCCTCGCGGCTTGCCAGACGCGTCCGCTGCCTCGGCCAGCTTGCCGCCGAGCAGTTTGTAGAATCTCGTTTCATCACAGAGCTCGTCGAACAGGTCAAAGCCACTGACCATTATCGACTCGCGCCCGGGTGCCTTTACCTTAAAGATGGGCCCGTGTATGTCGGCAATGCGCTCGATGGCCCGGAGAGGGACCTCATCCTGTAGGTCAAAGATATTACCGACAAAGGGCAGGCCAGGAGGTCCGCCAATCTCGGTTGGGACAGCCATAGCCTATTCGATCTCGACTCGTTGCGGGAACAAGTCGTCGCTGAAGCTGAAACACTTAGTTCAAGTAGAAGGCGTACACACTACTGAGCAAGCCAAGGAGCGATCGAGAAGACAAGAGATGGAAAAGACTCAGAGGGGAGTGATTAAGTCGGGAATGGCTTGGGAGATGACATTTAGATGGTCACACCTGTCAGGCCGGATTCGCGTCATGGTGGCTTATGTGCAAGCCGGGAGGATTCTAGATAAAACACAGGTCCAAAGAGCTTCCATACCATAGGTCGAGTGGAGCTAGTCCTCATATGAATCCTTAGAGCTGTTTTTTTCACATGCACATGCATGTATTAGCTCGTCAAGGGGCGCAGTTGGGCCCCCAAACCTTGAGACACTCATAAACGAGAACGAGAACGATGACGGCGGCATTTGCCGGCAGCTCGAGCTCTCAGCTGGGACAAACGCTTCATACCTCTGTCACATATTTGAATTTCTAGGTCTGTATTATCTTAATTTTGATGCATATCTTTCCTTTTCTCAACATGGGATCTGTGTAGGCCAACCTGAGACGTCAAAAGAGCACTGATGCGGTCAAAACTGTCTGATCAACTGCTGCATGGTGATGTTTCTCCCGCTAAGAAAATGGTCCCTCACAGCAAGTGATGCGAGCGGTACCCTGTCTCAGGTTGGACCCTGTAATGCGCCTAGAACAAAGCTTGTGTCCCCAGTCCCAGCGGGAGATGAGCCGGGGTTAGTGTAATTCCCGTCTCGGGATCGCGTCCGGGTTCGTTTGGTTGTGGCTGATGCCGCTCACTTGCAGATCTGGCTTTCCTTCCGGAAGAAGCGGAGACTGGGAAAACATGAGTGAGGTCATGATAATTGTAAAGTGAGCTATACCTTGGCTAACTTTTATATTGATAGTAAGTCAAGCATACTGAGCTGCACTGAGTATTCCCTCATCGTTCAGCAACCTCGGCTTCGAAAGGGCAAGTTGCTCACATTCGTTGATGCTGACCGCCGATCCTCATCTGTCCTACATGTTAAATCAAAAATGCCGAGGTACAACGGACGATCGGTGCTTCCGGCTGACCGGCTAAGATTTCTGCCTTGCTAAGATGTCGCATACACTACTGGAACAACACACTCCAAAGAAATAATGCGAAAATGACATTGTGTAGCCCCCTGTAGCTTATTCACTTTCCCGTATAGAGGATCGTCCAGCATAAAAGTAGTATACAGGAGGAGGTCATCCCAAGAGAGGTCCTCCGAAGCGAGATTATTGTATAACCAGATATCACACTCCTCCCCTAGCTGGTGGACACTCTGGTGGACACTGGTGGACAATTGGTGGACAGCTCGGTGGACAGCTCGGTGGACAGCCAAGGATGCATGTGTGTGCTCGCGCACATCCCTGCGCCAGCTTCAGCCGCCAACTGAAGCGGGTAGCTTAATGCATCCAAATTTGTCCTTGCTAGATACGCCTCGAACATCACCAAAGACGACTGCACTTAGTAATAAATAACCTGCCACCGCATCACCGGACTAGACTCGTTCCTCTCTCATATTCGACGTATTTCACGGTCTTTGGAAAGTAGACTCACGAGGTGGACTAGCTGTTGATAATCCATTGGTCGTACAAATCTTTTACCGAGGGATGTTAGAGAAACCGGTAGCTTGCGAAACAACTTGCAGCTTTAGTTATCATTACGAGTAGCTTATTACTGAAAGTCTTATTCCGTGATGATATATAGCTTTGGTGTATCTTGTCTATAGTAATATAGTAGTGCCCTTCCTAAAATTGTATGTGACTTACACATCGTCAGTGGCATCGAATTCATCTATCACGCTGACGGGTTTTACAAATCTCCCCAGTGGTTGGTACTTGAGATGATGTATACCGAACCCCTCTGGCCCTCCAATCTCGACTCCCCTCTTTGAGCCGGTCCATCGGTCACTAGCCGCAATTCCCAGAACAGTGACGAGAAGGCCATATCGGTACTCTGGAGTACCAATAGCCTCACCATTTTGCGCGTCGATGACCGAAATCAGATCGGGGACAATGCAGAGCACGTCTTCTTGCTTCTCCAATGTCTCGCTGTCGTCTCCGTCATTATTCTGGTCATGAATCTTGATCGCAGCGATATTCTCGTTCTTGAACGGGATCTTAATCACCCCCTTAAACTGGGTTCTACCTTGTCCTCCTTTCAAGGCACCAATGTCACCTTCCTTTGCCTCGCCAACGTCCATGCCCTCGATGAGGCACTCGCCATAGACATGCCCCATTCTCAGAGTCCTCGTGACACCCACAATCTTGCCCTTCCACAGGACCCTGGCCGCCTCGTTGCCTCCAACCTCTTTGACGATCTCTTCTGCGACCTCATCGACAATGTTTGCTCTTCTCGCCTTCTCGACTGCCCTGCCGATCCTCCACGCGGCAGATATGGTGTGCTCCACAACCCAGCGTCGTGTCTCGGCACCAGACAAAGGAGCCTCGGCGCAGCCAGTATGTGAGCCCATCTGGCTCAACGCAGCTCGCAGCGCCCTCTCCACCTGAAGGTCAGACGTGGCACTGGTCATGATGATCGTATTTCCGTTTCCGTCACACATGGACAGCGGACAGAAGACAGGCTGTCGCTCATTGAACACCACAGGCGTAGTCTGCCACTTAGTAGGATACGCCCTGCCCATCCAGTCACCATCCACACACGGCACGTCCATGTTACTCGACGCACCCAGTATCATGCCCTGCAGCCCATTGCCACCGCCAATCTCAAGCGCAATCATGTGAGTCGCCCGCTTCTCCTCAGGGAGGATTTTAGCCAACTCCATCTGCGCCTGCATCATCTCATCGCCTTGCAGCTTCTCGATCCCGACCGTCGGGCTGCCCATGCCGCCTCCGCAGCCAACGCGGTCGTCGTCTTTGAGGTCATCCGGGGACACGACGCGCACCACCGCGCCGGCACGCAGGAGCTGGCGCAACCGCACCATATGTGGGTACGGGGACCCGCCGCCGCCGGTGCCGAGGATGTAGCAGCCTGTGGTGATCCAGCCGAGGTCAGTTTCGTTGACGTACCAGACACGGTTCTTGACCGTTGGGCGGTATGTCTCTGGGTCGACTTCTATCGCTTGTTTTCGTGACTCATCCTTCTTTGCGCCATTGACCTCGGACCCATTTGTGTTGGCTGTCTTCTCGTACTGGTCCATGTCATTGGTCGTTGGCTCTTGTTCACTTGTGGACGGGACAGTGGCAAGATCCGTCCTCGAGAAGTCGAAATCGCCGGCAGCCCGAACAATGAATCTTGTCTTGTTGGCGATGTACTGCAGCGGGAGCGTCTCGATCTCGACGACCTTGACAGACTCTGGTGATGCACCCGCAGCGACAGTCTTCTCAATGGCCTCAGCCGAGATCTCACCCAACAGCTTTTGGGTTGATTTGTTCTCAGTAGATTTGACTGTGTCAACCACGGCACTGACTCTCGCCATGGCTGCTCCAATGGCGTTGGCCACTCCTGAGTATCGGGGCTTGAGGACTTTGCTTGCACCTTTCAGCTCATCTGGAGATATCACGGCACCTCCACCAACGAGCAGGACCGGGAGATCCTCAGGCGAGGTCTTCATCATGTCAATGACCTTCTCAAGTTTTTGTTTGATGATAGCTGTAGTCTCGCTCAGCTCGTCTTCAGAAAGCTTTCCCTGGACAAGTGATGGATCGCCAATCTTCACACCAGAACTGGCCAGGACAGTCGCATCTGTCGTGGTCAGGACACCGCCTCCGAAGACAACCGCTTCTTTTGTAAGCTTGTAGCCGACAGAATCCGGTCCCACGGTCGTGGGCCTTCCGTCTGTTCCTTTTCGAATGATGGACCCGCCTCCCAGGCCGATGCTCTTGATGTCAGGGCACGAGAAGTTCATTCTGACACCGGCGAGCTCGCTATAAGCCGCTTGCTGCCTTGGAAACCCGTTTGCGAGGAGAAGCCCGACATCAGTCGTAGTCCCACCGATGTCGACCACCATCATTGCTTGGCCTTCTTGGTTTTCTTGTCCCTGGATCAAAAACGCCGCGCCACGCATCGAGTTAGTCGGCCCACTGCTGAAGGTCCTGATGGGCAGCTTCGCGGCAATTTCACCTGCGAGCAGAGTGCCATCATTCTGAGTGATAAATACAGGGCATTCTAAGCCAAGCTTCCTCACGGGGTCCTGGAATGATCGAATTGTCTTGCGTGCAAAGGGCAGGATCGCAGCGTTCAAAATCGCGGCATTCTCCCTCTCCAGGAAGCCCAGATTCGCAACCTCGTTGCTCAACACCACATCGACGTCTGTACCCAGAACCTCCCGCGCAATTTCGGCTGCCCGGTTTTCCTGCCGATGTACAGTGTCAATAGGACTGAAAACACCGTTGATCACCACGGCCCGTATGCCCTTATCCTTGATAACCCGGCACTGCTCCCTAACGGCACCCTCGTCGAGTTCCCGGATGAGGTTGCCGTCCACTTCCAAACCGCCATCGACGCTACCCCAGTAGCCCAGCACCAAGTCACGCATATCATCCGGCCAGTCAACGCACGGTGGCGCATGCTTGCCAAAGGGACCCGCCAACCTAATGACAGCCACCCTGCACAGGCGGCGCGCGTCCCGCTCGACGACAGCATTGACGAAGTGCGTCGTGCCGATGGTGACCGAGGCGACATCTGCCGGGTTGATGGGCGGGTCAGATGCCGTGAACATGTGCGTGATGGCAGCGTTGATGCCGTCGCTTGGGTTTGTCGTCGTGGGCGCCTTGTGGTGCGCCAGTATGCCCTTGTTGGGCGACGACGACTGTGTCGGGTCGATGATGACACCGTCTGTGTTTGTCCCACCCACGTCGACGCCGATGCGCAGGCGTTTGCTTGTTTGTAGCCCGGCCATGTCGTTGTTGTGGCGGCGTTGTTGCCGGTTCCGCCAACGTTTCAGAATGTTCACGAAAAAGTGTGTGAAGTGAATTTTGGTTTGCTCTAAGTCCTCCACGCATACAACGTCGCTCCAAACATATCGAAATGACGCCTTGTATAACCTCTTGTCGCAATCTAGACTGGCTGCGGTTCCCCACGGCAAAGACCCGCATGCCGGGCGGCACTTGTCGGAGGGCGCCGATCTGGGTCATGATAAGAGAAAGTACCGGGATATCTCCGTATCCGGACCGTGAAAGTGTGCTCCGACCTGCTATGTGAGATCGTTCGTAAGATGCAAGAGATATGGATGGCAATAAAGAGATGGGGATTGCCTATCTTTGATGCTCTGATCTGATTCGTACGAGTCAAATCTGTGTACCGTGAAAAGGAGAGACCGATTTGCACCTTACGCTCCCTGCGCTTATGAGGGGCTTACACAATACTTTTTCGTTGTGTAACCCCCTTTCTCTCTCACTTCGTACGACCTACGACATGTGTCTTGCTCTCATGAAGTCCTCGAAGCCTTCATTCTTGTGAAAGACGCGCATTCCGTTCACATCTTGTCAGCTTCAAGGCTTGGCTCGTGTTGCTCAACACCCATGGCTACCAGTAATGTGAAGGAACGTCTGGGCGGCGTCAAGGAGAAGATCCGCCTGCACGGTGACGAAGCCAAGCATGAGCAGACCGACTCATGGAGTAACAGAGACCTGATACCTCTGCCTCCGGAGAGGAGAACATGGAGTACGCAATATTCATCACGATCTTTTTCGACTACGGAATGCTAACTGTCCACCCACTCACCAGACTGGTTCCTTTTCTTCGGGTATTGGACAATCTCGAGTCTCAACATCAGCAACTGGCAGTCACCAAACACCTTCCTGACCCAGGGCCTTTCAGTCTCCCAGTCGATGGGCATCATCCTCATCGGCCGGCTCCTCATCTCTCTCTTCTCCACTCTCATCGCCTGGTGCGGCCTGACGTGGCACATCGGCTTCACGGTACAGAACCGCTTCTCCTGGGGCCTACGTGCCAGCTACATCCCGCTATTACAGCGCATCCTGCTCAACTTCCTCTGGAATGCCATCCAGTGCTGGAATGGTGGCCGGCTCGCGGCTGTGTGCATAACCGCCATTTGGCCAAGCTTCGCTGAAATGCCTGAGTTCCTTCCCCCGAGCATGGCAGCTATCACGACGGGCTATCAGTTTATAGGATTCATCGTATTCTGGACCTTGTCGATGCCGTTCCTTTTCATCCGCCCCGAGAAATTCAAGTGGCCCTTCCGCGTCACCAGTGTCTACTGCGGCATCGGCATGCTTTGCATGATGACCTGGGCACTGGCCACGGCTAAAGGTGTCGGTCCTCTGATGACACAAGGGCAGAACGTCCCTAAGGGGTGGAGGAATTCCTCCTGGCTGATGATGGCTGGTGTCAACCAGATGGTTGGAGGAGTTGCTGCAGGTATCACGAACTCGAGCGACTTTGGTCGCTATGCGAAAGGGGCGAAGCACTATGTTGGCGGAACGTTCATGTCTGCTTGGATTGTGGGCGTGCTCGTCTCGTTCATTGGCCTCGTGACCACGTCTGCTGCGCAAAAAATATATGGTGAGGTCTATTGGAATCCACCGGATTTGTTGATGGTGATGATGGACAGTGGACACGGGTCGTTCAGAGCACGAGCTGGGGTGTTCTTTTTGACCTTTGGATTCGCCTTGACGGCTTGCTTTGAGAACATCTGCGGCAACGCTGTGGCTGGTGGTATCGACCTGGCTGGCCTGTTCCCTCACTACATCGACATTCGCCGAGGCGCCCTTATCACCTTCGTGGCAGCTTGGATCTGCCAGCCTTGGCAACTCATCAACAGGGCAGCGACCTTTGTCAGTGTGCTCAGCTCATTCTCAGTTTTCTTGAGCCCTATCATCGGCATCATGGCAGTAGACTTCCTTGTACTTCGAAGGGGGAAGATCCGCCTCAGTCACCTCTACCGCACCAATGACACAGCATACTGGTATTTCCACGGAATTAATTGGCGGGCTATCGTCGCCTGGCCGTGTGGCTGGGCTCCGACGATTGGCGGTCTGGTCCTCACCGCTGGCGGAAATAAAGATGGGCCCAAAGCCTTGTACCAACTCTACTACATGGCTTTTCTGGTTGGTGAGTATACAAGCCCGGCACTATCTTTTTTGCGCTCTGCTGACATGGCCTGCAAGGCTTCTTTATTAGTGCGTCTCTCTTTTTCGCCCTCAACAAGCTCTTCCCAGTTACCGGCATGGGCGAGTATGACGAAGTGGACTATTATGGCACATTTACCAGCCAAGAGCTCTCTAAATGGGGCGTCATCCCTTGTGAACAAGTGCCAGTGGTTTATGGAGATGAGGGCAGTGAATCTCAGGTTCAAGAGACCTTCGACAAGAAGTATTGAGTGTGGCATTCTGATAAGAGAGTGTAACTATGGCTTTTGGAGTGGTCTCAAGCGTAATATCTCATCTGACATCGTAATAATATCATACCCAGTTTTAATGTGCCTTGAAAACAATCCATCCCAATTGTGAAAACACAGGTCCTCAAGTACCACATTCTCACCCTACCCGGCTCCTACATTCATCACATACTACACAGCCCTCGGCTTGACTCTAACCCTGAATTCAACGGGCCTCAAATTGAACCACCCATCTTGATGTCCATCCAGCTTCCAGCTCGGGTCCACCATCTCAAAATCACATTCTCGGATCAACATCGCCGTGGCAATCATGTTGAATTGCCATGCCCAGTGTTTTCCAATGCATTCTCTCTTCCCATTTCCAAACCACTTCTTCACGCCAGCAGGCAAGTCCTCGAATAAGTCGCCCATCATGCGCTCCGGCCTGAAGGCAAGTGGCTCGTCAAAGACGGCCGGATCACGATTCACACCGGCCAGGACAATGATCATGGGTTGGTTGTGCGCAACTTGGTACTTCCCGCCAGCCAGAAGGATCGGGCTCTTGTCCGCATCGCCGCTGGGTCCTGTAGGTCGAGGCACCGGCTCGATGTTGAAGCCCGGTGCCGGGAAGCTCAGCCTAAGAGACTCGCGAACGATGCCCTCGATATACTTCAGACGTGGGAGGTGGTCAGCTTGGACTTGCGCCGCGTCGCGTGACCACGGGCCGACAATCTGGTCCAGCTCCTCCCTTGCCTTGGCGATACACTCCTTGTTCTGCAGGAGGAAGTACACCGCGCTGGCAACAAGACATGGCGCTGTCGAGCTCCCGATTGGCATAGACACGATCTCATCTACCACCTGGCTTTCCGTCATGCCCCTGCCTGTTTGTTCGTCTTGCCCTTCCATCAAGTCCCAGAGTATATCCCTCCGGCTGGTGGGGTTTTGCTTTCTGTGGTACACGAGATCGGCAGCATAGTCCTCGCGCATCACCTTTATCGACCGATTAAACTTGCCGCCAAAGAATAGCCAATTGAAGAGCCTCGGCCGAGTGGGTCTCTTCATGGCCTCAGAGGTGGAATCCTCCATGCCCTGCAACATCGGGTGGCTCTCCTTGGCAGGAATGCAGTTCAGCTTCTTTCCAAACATGGTCAGAGTAGTGGCCTCAAGATTCAACCGGTTCAGCTCATCGATTAGCAAAACTCCATCAGCACGAGAGGCACCGCCTCCAGACTCGCTCATCCCCTTCCACTTCCCAATCAGCTCGCTCGTGCAGTCGACAACCTCCCCGCACCACTCCCTCACAGCATCAGGAGTAAGACGCGGCGCAATGATGCGGTGAGCGACGCCCCAGTTCTCCTCGTTTTCATACGCCGTGAAGAGCGCGTCGTGCACCGCACGCCGGATCTCGACGATCGGCCCACCCACGTACTTGCGGAAGCGTTTCTCGTCGCACAGCTCCTCCGCCAGGGCGGAGCCTGCCACAAACACGATGGTATTGCCGAGGACTTTGATCTGGAAGATCTCGCCGTGCTTCTCGGATAAGCGCTGCAAGGACTGCCAGGTGTTGGACGGGTTGACATCGAAGACATTGCCGACGAGTGGGAGGCCTTTTGGCTGTGGGATTGGATGAGACATTATTGATGTGGACCATGTGTCTTTCGAACCGATTGAGAGTATGTTTCAATGTGGATTTGACTCTCGGTTCTAGATCATACCTCGTACAGTACCCATGGACTTCATGACAATGGACGCAGGAGTCGCGAACAATTTGGGGCGGGAGGGGTTGATATGGCCATTCTCCCTGTACGTCACGGTAGCTCAAGTTTCACTACTTTTCTTTGTCTTACTTAGAACAGCACATTCCTGCAGCTAACCGTTCTGGTTGCCGAAGTTCAGCTGTGGCGGGAGATCAACATCTGGCGGCGCTGAGCACCTCATAGAGGTTCTCGGGAGGAACATGCCACTGTATTTTGAATGAAGCCGTCCAAAAGGAGGCCTTGCTGCTCGCTCTCAGTCCTTGTCCGTCGAAAACGTTTCGTGGAAATTAGTTTAGGTCTTTGACGAAAAGTTTCCTGAGATATGAACATGAATCATCTAAACAGAGATGAGATAGCTGTGCAACATAGCCATACTGTATCACCGATCACAGCCCGGCGATCATCTCCGCTCCTGTGCAAGGGAGGGCTGAATAACGCACCTTGGCTTCACGCCCGAGTGTCGCGCAGCGGGATCTGATTGATCGACAGCCTGCCACATATGCAGTGTGTCAATAAATGATAACTCGCTCACATACACCGACTGTCTTGGTCATATTACATCCAAACAATGACATTTGTTCAATCTGGTGTAACACGTTTCTCGATTCGATTGTTCCCAATTGAAGATATTTATCATCCGAAGGACAGCTAGACCTGTCAAAAGTCAACAATCATAGGGTGATATTTCAACATGGCAGTGCTTAACAGTGTTCATGAGTGCTTGTAAAAGGCCGTCTAAGCATTTTATCATTTTGTCTGTCATATAGGACTCGCCATAATAAATATTTGACATGCGAGGCTGCGAGTGCAACAAAAGCTGATGCTCCATCCACCACGAGATAGTTAGTGTATTGCACATCAGGGCGAGCTGCTACCTAATCCCCTGGCTTTGAAATTTCACATCTGTGTGAGCTTGTGCAGGTGGGCAGATGGTTGCTTGCTCGTCAGCTTGGGTAAGGAATTCAGTTTGCCTTACTCGTGGAACGTCGGGGTTCCTCATTTGGCGACGCCGAGCCCATGTTAGATTTCATCGGTCTGCATGCAATTGGTAGCAACGATTCGTCTTCTGACATGCGGCGCGCAACTAATTATATCGATAGAAGACCGCAAAAGCATTAACATTAATTTTTCTGAAGTTGCAAAGGAATCAGATAGTAGAGTGGAGTCACTCGAGCTCGGCTGAAATCTGCTCCGCCCAAATACCCGACCATGTATGTACCTGTGTTAGATTAGGTTATTATTCATTATTAATTCTGTGCTTGAGACTGACACTGTGTTTTCGTAGCCAAACTCCCAGTGTAGTGAATAATCTCAATTGAAATCTCCACGTCCCAGGTCGATATCAGAACAGAATGTCGGACAATGGTTTTATTGGCCCACCCTTCATCCAAGTAACTGGAGTACCCAACCTCAGGGACATTGGGGGATATCCCATCACCTCATCAGAAGGGAAGGTAGTAAGAACAGGTGTCGTCTTCCGGTCATCCGAACCGTCTAAAGTGGACGACGAGGGCATCATCAAGCTTCAGGCTTTAGGCATCAAGGACGTGTACGATCTCCGCTCCCGCCTCGAGCTTGTCAGAGATGCTCAGAACGGGAATGGGAGACAGGCGAGGACGTGGCCTGGTGCAACCCGTGTCGTCGCCCCGGTGTTCTCGGACTCCGAGTATACCCCTGAGGCCATAGCCGCGAGGTTCCGAATGTATGCGACTGATACCACGACGCCTATAGTGCTGGCACACCTGCGAGAGATCCTCAAGGCAGCTTCCGTGGAGGACAACCCGGATCGACCATATAGGAGTATCCTGGAGCATCTCGCTTCCACCAGCACTGGTGGTCCGTACCCTATATTGATACACTGCTCTGCGGGAAAGGACAGGACTGGCGTGATCTGCGCACTGATACTGTCGCTATGCGGTGTCGAGGATGAGGCTGTTGCGCACGAGTACAGCCTGTCCGAGCTAGGGCTCAAGTCGCGCCCAGAATTCTTGCGAAATCTACTGCAGGAGCCGGTCGTGAAGGGAAATGCAGCGGCCGCCATGCAGATGGTGGGTTCAAGGTAAGTCATGCCGTCAATAGATCGTTTAATTTGTGCCAATGTCGGTTGCTAATATAATGTCTGGTTCAGAAAGAGATTCATGTTGGCCTTGTTGAGGACCATCAAGGAGCAGTGGGGTTCGATTGATCAATGTGTCATTGAGCTAGGTCTCATTGATCAAGACGGTATTGAGAAGCTGCGGCGAAACATGATTGTCGATATCCACGCTATTGGTGGGACAGAACTCGAATGGAAGTCTCACGCGGAACTTGTGGCGAGGGCTGAGGACGAGGCTGACAGGCGGATAGACGCTCTAGTGGCTGCAGCAGAGTCGTAGATATAAGAATGCCTGCAAATTTAAATGATTATACTTCACAAATGATTTCGAAATTATACCATAAGACTCCCGTCGTCAAAGACCCCATTTCAAAAAGTTGATCGACATTGCAGTTGCAGGGGGACGGCGGTTGCGATGGCTGGGGAGTATCTGGCCTAAGGAAACAACATGGAAGACCACCTCTTTGTACCCAAACCTTCGCCTTTAGCCACATAAAAGCGTGTGTGAAGTTTCTCTAAGAGTGGAAACGTTTTGTTCGATGTTGGAGAAATACACGTTTCGAATATTTCATACGAACAGAAGTGCTAGATCGATCTGTGGATTGGAAGCGGGTCAAGCCTTGGATAATACAGCCTAAGCGCAATTCAAAGAAGAGCGCAGAAAATATTTCTTTCTAATTTTGAAATTCACAAAGCCTAATTATGGATGTGCCAGTTTTATATTCAGGAGAATTAGCGGCCAAAAAGAGGAAGCCGTAGGGCGGCCAGGCCACGGACTGGTCGGCCACGATAATAATACCACGCCGCTATGGCAATAGATGGCACCAAGATTGATGTTGCCAATAGAGCGTACGCTTTCTTTATGGCTTTGCGAACAAAACCGGCTTGCATCTTATCAAACCTTGCTGGGATGTTCGCGCTCGGAAAAGGCACATCTGGTATGGGTTTTCCCAGAACAGGGCAAAGCTGCTCCCACCCAAATCCATCTTCTAGGTTGAACGACGCCAGCTTCTCCTTTGGTACTATTTCCTTGACCCTGCGATTCCTATTTACACACCATCTGTAAGCATATTGACATCAGATTGCAGGGGAGTTCCAAACCTACAACTCAATGTAATCCGCTTTGAGGACGTCCTCGCCGTCTTCGAGCGCCTTGCCGTGCCACCATATTCGATGAACCATAAGATGAAACGAGCAGAAGCGATCCACATAAGTATCAATAAGCCGCAGCTGCTTCAACGGGAACTTGTCTACGTCCTGAAGAGAGTGACCCAGTGTGTTCATGACGGAGACATACCACTTGTGAACATCCCGCTCCACGTGCACAAATGGGACCTCGGGGTATGCCTCGACGAACTCATCCAGGAAGACAGCTGGAATCTCAACGATAGCATCGTAATCTGCCAGCCACTTGTCGAATTCGGCTCTTCCGTATGGCTTTCCGACACCGAAGTACTTTGCGTTCAAAGCTTCCTCGAACATCTCCAGGTGAGACACGCCTCTAGCCATAACCTCGGCTCCATGGTACGTCCGATATCCCAGAATTGTCAAGGCTTTGTACAAAGACAATGTACCAGTTCTGTAAAGTTAAGTAAGCAGATGATTATATTAGCGAAAGTGTCAGGTGAAAATACCGGCTTCGTGCCACAACTATGACTTTCTTTTCGCGTATGTGCGCCGGTGTGGGCAGCCTGTCTACCGCTCGTGACATGGTTGCTGATAATACTTGGATTCACGTCTGACTTGGACCTTGTCTTCGGCTCGAATTGTGAAATATAGTCGCTGGCGGGCGCATTGTAACAAACGTGCTTATTTTGCGCTTCGGCATCCCGATTGGGAAGAGGCCGACTGTTGTTCACGCCGGGCGAGTCAGTTGTCATAAAGGAAGCTTCTCATTCTAACCACTCGTAGCACTTCAACCTATTGGCCATTCTCAAGCTTGGACCTTGCAACATTCATTGGCCATGACGAATCGCACACTCCCGATGACGAATATTGAGAGCCTTCAGGCCATCGCAAGGCAGCGGCTAATTGAGTATCCTAACACTGCAACGTACACCGCCTTGTTCCTGGGCTTTTGCTGGCTTCTGTCCTTATGGTTCAGTAATCCAAAACTGCGCGCGACGGTGCCTGATGCTCAAGTCCACGGATTTCGATCATGGTGGGAGCCGACTCTTCTGCTGCAAATTCGCTTTGTGTGGAGCGCTGTGGACATCATCAAAAGCGGATACAAGAAGGTGTGATTGCAGCGGCCAGTCAATTGAATAGTCAGCAACATAGATTCGCTACTAACATGCATTGCGTGCAAAAATAGTTCCAGGATGCTCCGTTCGTGGTTCGTCGATATGATGCCGATATTACAATCATGCCGTTCAAGTACTTGGAGGAAATGCGCGCCATTCCGAGATCCAAGCTCAACTGTAAAATGCCACAGATCCATGTTCGTCCTTGTCATGCCAGACCAGCTCCCAACCTGATTGCTGACAATATGCCCTTGATCCCCAATTTAGAACCTAGTCCCAAAATGGACCTGGGCAGAATTTATGTATGATTCGGATTTGATCGTCCGCGTCCTCAACGGCCAGCTTAACCGGAACTTGCCCAAATATGTCGATATCGCGCGAAGCGAGCTTGAATATGCATGGGACATAGAAATTCCTCAAACCGACGGTGAGTCCCTCAGCTTCTGCTCATTCACAATCTGTGTACTCTGTCTAGTTCCGAGAAGACGGGATTAGCAGAGCACCCACGTGAGGTGATAAAGAGCTGCGGCTGACTGCCCAAAAACACATACAGAATGGGCGGAGGTGGACATCCAGCAAATTTTTCGTCGGCTTGTCTCGCGTATGTCAGCCAAGGTATTCATGGGTTATCCTGCATGCCGTGACCAGGACTGGATCAATCTCTCAATCGGCTTTACACATGACATGTTCGTGGCCGCATTCACTCTCCGCATGTTCCCGCCATGGACGCACCGCTATATTGCACCTCTAGTGCCTGCCCGGAGGCGGATGTGGAATCAAATCAAAACTGCTGAGTGAGTAGAATTTCTCATTTCTGTCTTCCAGACTAAAAGGCGTTCATGTGGAGTGATTACTAAGACGAATTCGATGTAGACGAATCGTTGGCAATCTCGTCAAGAAGCGTGACGACGCCAGGAACCGTGGAGACGAAGTAGAGGACACGCTACTTGGCTGGATGATGGACAATGGCAACGAAACGGAGACACGCCTAGGAGAAATGGCATTCCGCCAATGTTTCTTGACCCTCGCCAGCATCCATACAACGTCTGTCAGCGTGAGCACTGTGCTATTTGACCTGTGCGACCATCCGGAGTGGTTTCCTGTGCTTCGTGAGGAGATTGAACAGGTCACTGCCCAGTACGGGCCGATCGGCGAACATCCTGGCATGACATCGAGGCAGTGGATTGCCAAGTTGATGAAGATGGACAGTTTCATAATCGAAATGCAGAGAACCAACCCGCAGATTCTCCGTGCGTATCCCCTTCCATTGCCCCCCACGGCCCCCATTCTTTATAGCTCTACTCAGCCACCAATCTGCTACGGACGAAGACGAATCCTGACATATTGTACAACTAGTGAGACCTCAACGGGTAGCTATGGTACCCCTGACTCTAAAGGACGGCACAACGATTCCCCAGGGGGCTCGGGTGGCCTGGGCCGGCCACCACCACGCCAACGATCCCTCCATATTGACCTCAGACCCAGAGGCGTTCGACCCCATGCGGAGCTACCGCAAGCGTACGGCGTACGTTGACGAAGACGGCGAGAACCCCAACAAATACACCGCGGTTGACCAGTCAGACATGGATACGCTCGCATTTGGATACGGCGGCCAGGCTTGTCCCGGGCGCTACTTCGCGATCGGGGAGATCAAGCTGGTGCTTTCGCGCATGCTGGTCCAATTCGACTTTGCGTACCCCAAAGGCAAAAGTCGTCCCAAGAGGATGTACGCGGACGAGAACACATTCATCGACGCGCATGCCACTCTCATGATGAGGAAAAGAAAGGTTTGATCATAACCTACCTAATAAAGATATCCGTGAAAGGACATTCCATAGAAAGCTATCCCATAGGAGACCAACCCATGGGAGCTTTCCAAAGCCATTTTATGCAAGAGTATATAGATGTATTTGAGAGAATCGAAGTATTGCAATGACCACTTTCCAATGTATCCGCGTAAAGTCGTAGCGGAGCCCGTTCTACACTAAGACTTAGACATAACAAACACCTGTCTAAATTTCTTGCCAGTTATAAGAACTGTAGCATAAAATGACATAGTGAGCACATTGGCTCGATGAGTGCGTGATTTTATACTGTCTCTAGAAACCAATCGGGGCTTGCCACAGCCGAAGAAGCGAGCCAAGCCACTGACTTCCACAGGACCTAGTTATTGATCCACTGATTGATTCCGGATGGTTGAAGTATTGCACAGCCTTGATAAGTCTTCATGAGTTCTATATACCGGGAAAATCGGACATAATGCCGTAATAATGGACTGTTAGGAGCAGCTCTGCGGCAAGGTGCAACTCTATACCGCGGAGAAACTATGACCTCCTCTACCACCAATACCACGCCTATCACACATACATGTGTGCTATATACACCTCTCTTTGCAGGCCCTTGACTGCGGCGTGACTGTGCAAGGCATCCTTCTGAGTATGGGACTTTCGGTCAGAATCATCATGTCTCTATAGCCAAATCATGCATTTAATCTGTGAAAACGCAGGGGCCGTCTCAGCTACTAGCTAATTGAAAGCGTCATCTAGTTTCCTTTTCTTCTCAACCTCGTTCTTTGGAATCCTGGCCGAGATATCTCGAATAACGTAGACCTGGCCATACAAGTCCACCTGCTGGGCAAAGAACTCAAGGATGGCCATGCGCCGCCTGCTGAGTCTGGCTTCATCCCCACCAGCCGGTCCGTGAACGCGGTTGCTTTCATCCTGAAGTCGCCGGAAAGCCTCGAGATACGAGTCGCGTTCGAACTCGGCCAGCCTGAGCAAGGCAGCTTTCTGGATCTCAATCCCACCATTCCCCGCTGGGTCGGCGAACTCGGGGAAGTCGAGTGAGTTCAAATTTCCCTCGTCACTGTCGCGCTCCGCCGATCCCAAGTCATTGTACATGCGGCACATCGTGGCCAAATGGCGGCATACGGCGGCCGCGAGGAACTTTTCACCGGCTGACGGGTAACAGTCGCCATTGCTGCCCTTGGGGCTCAGCGCGGCGCCGAGGTGACAAGCCACGAAATGGAATGAATACGGGCAGGATATGTGGTCTGCGGATGTTGTGCGTACCCAGTTGAAGAAAGTCGTTGTGGATGTTGAGACGCGTGTCACGCTAGCTTTTTGAGGGACGTCCTTGTGCTCACTCAAGGGCGTGCTGTCCTCAGCCTGTTGAATATGAGCTAAAAGGTATGCCTTCATCTCGCGTGCGAGTAGTTTCCTGTCCCAGACACTGGCTGACTGGATTGAGGGGTGTTGTAGGACATGTTTGGTGAAGGTAGAGAGCGCAGAGAAGACCAGGTCGTATTCAGGACTGCGGTCCTGGGAGTCTGATGCTGAGTCGCTCATAAAAACGTCTTCTTCGATGCCCGAGTCCGCGTCTTTGGTTCCTTGGCTGCTTCCGGCCGATGACTTGGCGCTCGTCTTTTCGGCAAGCAGGTCGTGGATGAGCTGGCGCAGATCGTCCATATGGTCCCGGAAGAGTATTCCCGCTGTAGCCTCCATGAACTCATCGAGCTGGAAGTTAAGCATGGCGATGAAGCACATGTCATACAGAAACAGAGTGGATGCGTACGTGCGATCGCGGTTATTGGCGGCCGTCCAGAAGAACGGCACAACGTCCAGGTACTTGTCCTCGCCGACGTCTTGGCGTGGAAATACGTCCAGCCTGTGCGCCCGCAGCAAAGGAGTGAACAGGGCTGCCTCGATCATGGACGCGCGCAGCTCCCACTCCGGCAACGACCTAAAGAGCTCTGCCTGGTGGAATAGACGGACGTGCTTATCCAAGCCTTCTCTCGGAGGCGTCCAGAGGCTGGATCCAACGGAAGCGCCAAGCGGGGACTTTGCCGCCCACCGAGCTGCGAGGAGGTATGATTTGGTCAGAAGAGCAGATGCGTAGCTCACTTTCTCGATCCATATATAATTCAGCTGAGCTTCATTACCGCTCATCGAATCTGCAAACGCAATCCCGCGTCGAATAGCCTCATTCAGAGGCTCACTAAGACGGTCAAAAAAGCATACTCGCCGCGCCTCCGTAAGGATTAGAATGCCGTAGGCTGTGGCTTCGATGGATTTGTTCCATGATCCATCAGCATCTTGATCAAGTAGCGGTCGCAAGCAGGCCTGGAATAATGTAATGGCGACCCTGTATTGCAGCTCCTGATCCAGCACGTCGGGTAGCTTTCCTTGCTCCAACAGGGATACAAGGTCTACTAACACCTCGACGAGAAGGACCGATGGATACAAGTAGCAGGTATTCCACTTGTCCTTGATTTTTCCGTCACTTTTCCACCAGTAGTCACAAACAAACTTTGTGATCTTCTGAATCTGGCTGCCGTACATTGCTGCGTCTGGCTGGTGAAGAAGAGCCGAGAGCGCGTTGCAATTGGCAGTCAAGCTTGGATCTCTTTCACCAGGGTAAGTCCGAAAGTGTGTGTTGGCTTCAAAAACCTTGATCATTTGCCGGGGAGTGGCATCTCTCCCAAGCACAGCCAAAGTGGAGATGGTCTTTGCGGTATCATCCACATCTGCTTGAAACCCAGGAGCTACGATGATGGAAATTAGAGACAGAGTCCGTTATGGTCAAACAAAATGAACGCTGCACGTACCATAACCGATAGCACCCCCTTCTTTCTCAAATGAGCCTTCGAGGATCTCTACCAGCTTGTTTAATTCGTCGCATGCTAGATGAGAGGCTGAGAACCCAGCTCGAAACAACGTTGTCAAGATCTGTTATCATCCATCTTTGATCAGATCTTGAATACATTCACACCAAAGGATTCAAACTCACCCAGGAAGACTCGAAATGCGTCGAAGGAAATGCACTCGGAACAGCTCCGGTGCCCTGGCCAGCTGCGTGCTTGATGACATGGCGTAGATAGGCCTCAGACTCGTCGTCCCACTGAGAAGCATGCATCAGGTATGCAGCCGTCGACGAGGGCGACCCCATCATCGAACCGTGTGTCCTGTGATGCCGTACTTTGTCGAAGTCTATTTTCCCGATAAAGGCCTCGAGCGAATGCAATGCCGTCATCGGCTGTTTACCGTAGAGGTACTCTGGTCGGAATCGCGACATCTTAGCGTCGTGGATCTTCATCAGTGGTTTGCGTGCTGGAAATTCGAACACCAAAGACGGGTCTTCGGCCTCGAGAAGGTCGAGCATGGCCGGGACGATGATTTCGAAGCCCACATGCTCCGTTGTCGACACATCCAGAGCCGCCAACTGTGCTCGCAAAGACGCCGCCGCTCTTTCCGCACGCCCGGCCAGGTCTTTATGGTTGTGCTGCGGCTGAATAATCTGCTCTGTTTGGACGTGGCGCTTCAATGCCAGCAGTGAAGCAGCAGTGTTGAGGATCCCATCGATGGGTGCGCTGTTGCCAATTTCCCAGCCGCCAGCATCGGACTGCGTTTCTAGGAGAAATTCGAAGCACTCAGGGAACAACCATTGTTTACGCCCATCGACTGTTTTGGTCACCAGCGATACCCATGCTGTGTCATAGGCCGCACAGCTCATGGTGCCAAAGCCATAGCGGTCGTCATAATCTTGCAGGGTTCTTTGGACCAAGGACCTCGCCTCGTTCACAAGTGGCTCATCGAACTCCATGCTCGTATGATTTTTTGAAATAGAAGGATGATTTAGCTTGAAGAGAATAAGCTCTCGGTTCGGGTTATGATGAACGAATGAGAGCACCGAGTTGGGATAGCAGGTCCTTTTGCAGACCTCCGTATACCAATGCTGCTGTTCAAAGGATATATACCTTGTACGCACGCAGGGCTCAGCTCACCACTAAAGACTCGTGGGCCCACGCCTCGCGATCTTCACCTGCCGAAGGACTTTTATGACCGTAAAATAACAATTCTTTTTTCTTTTCTTAATTATTTTATCTCCATTTTTTGTCTAAAAGGAAACAGCCGTCGTAGTAACATTTACTATCGTCCTGAATCAGGGCTTTGGCCGCCCCACCTCTTTTAGTCGCTCTCTTCGGCATAACGCATGCATCGGAAGGCCAAAATGGGCGGGGCCCGGTGCCCGGCTCTGTTTACATCGGGTGGCTTTAATGGGCGCCGCCGGATGCATTGGCAGGGGTAAGAGAGACTCAAAGTCCATTATGCAAGAACGAAGACGTAAGCTGGGAAACCAGAATAGACGCAAGGCCAATGGTATTAATCGTACTGTAGTGCAATTTTGACCTCACCTGTGGTAGCAATTCCGCCAAGCCGACGCACAATAGATCCACTCGAAGTCAATGTGACGATGGCGACAACAATGAATTCGATGCTGAATGACACAGAATTCATTGGCCATCAAGCGGCTATTCGGCTGAGCGCGCTCCTTGGCAGCGACCATGCCAGCCACAAGACTCTGGTTGCATCTACCGTCGGTCTCGCCGCCACCTTCATTCTTCTCTGCTGTAGAGTCTTTTGGTACATCACGGGTCCAAGCCTGAGCCGCTTGCCTCGGGCCGGCAAGGGGCCTGGGTGGTTTGGCTTGGGTCTGACCGAGGCGAAACGAGACTTCAAGATTAATGGGCGAAAGATCCTTGATGAGGGATACCGCAAGGTGCGTATCCTCTCCGCTGAATGATCTCCCGGTTTTGGAACTTTGAACTGACCACTTCGCGACATTGTAGAGCAAGAATGGAATGTTCCTGGTACAAACCCTGAATGTAGAGCGGGTCGTGTTGAGTCCCAAATATGTGGACGAGATCAACAAGAGTCTGCCCGAAGACGCTCTAGACATGGCCGATGGATTGAGCGAGAGGCTGCTAAGCTCTCAGACAAACCTCGACGTCGTCTTCCGGAGCCCTCTGCATATCGATGTCTGCAAAGCCCAGTTGACACAAAATCTTCGTAAATAATGCCCTTTCCCTATAGCACATGAGCCTGCATGCAGTATTAGTGAACTGACTTGACGCCAAATTGGGTGGTATAGACAGTCTGGTGGAGCCCATCCACGAGGAAGCAAGCTACTGGCTAGCTCAACGCATACCTGGCAAGACGCAAATCAGGGCTTACGAGACCATGGTCCGCATTATAGCTGCTACAGGATCCAGGATGCTCGGTGGGCAAGCAGCCAGTCGCAATGCAGAATGGCTCGAAACAGCGGCTCTTTACTCAATGGACGTGGTCAGCGTCGCTGTTATGCTGCGTCCCTACCCGGCTTTTCTGCGTCCCTTGATTGCCCCTTGGCTGGAAGGGACTAAGACACTGCGCCGTCACCTGGAAACAGCCAAAAGGACCTTCGGGCCAACGTTCGTCCAAAGACTCGCACTGAAGCAGCAGCAGCGGGATGGAAAAGCTGACGGCGAGAAACCAATTGATATGGTGCAGTGGATGGTAGACTCGGCACGCGGCAGTGACCAGAACCCTGACGTTCTGTCGCACAACATGCTATTTATGTCACTGGCTGCCGTGCACACGAGCTCAGCGACGACCATCCACGCGTTGTTCGACCTCTGTGCCAATCCAGAGTTCGTCCAGCCCATTCGTGAGGAGGTTCTCGCCGTGGTGGCCAAGCACGGCTGGACGCTATCGGCCATTGCAAGCATGAAGAAGCTCGACAGCTTCATGAAGGAGTCGCAGCGGCTGAACCAAGCCGTTCTCATGACTTTCAACCGCAAGGTCGCTCGGCCTCTGCGCTTCGAGGACGGCACCACACTGCCCGCAGGCACTTACATCACTATGCCAAGTGATTCTGTAGCACGCGACCCGGACATCTACGACAACCCGGAGCATTTTGACGGATATCGTTTCTACGACCGGAGGATGGAGGGCGGCAAGAACGCCAATCGCCACCAGTTCGCCTCGACGGGACCCGAGAGTCTCGCGTTTGGCCAGGGGAAGAATGCCTGTCCTGGTCGCTTCTTTGCTGGCGTGCAAATCAAGGTTGTGCTCGCCAACATCCTGCTCAAGTACGACATTTCCTTCCCGCCCGGTCAAACGGAACGTCCCAAGAACATATACAAGGGCGGCTTGGTCCGGCCAGACCCTCGCCAGAAGCTTCTTTTTGTCCCACGCGACGAACAAAAATAGACACGGCGCCGCTTGAGGTAAACAGATGATTGTAGAGACTACGAGGGACTTCAAAAAGTACTGCATCGGTCAGTGTAGTCAAGCAAGGCAGCTCTATATTAGACTAGATGCCCAGAGCGGAAGATTTGTTTTTGAAATTGAGGTCCATTTAAATCAAAGCTATTTCACATTGGTGGTAGTGTTGTTATATTTCGTAATATGTAGGGACTATGACATAAAATTTGTGATCGAAATGTGATGAGGCCATAAATAGCTTTCGTGTTGTCTTACTATGAGTTGCGGTAAATTTTAATAGTCTGTTATAGTAATGACAATCACACAGATAAAAGGTATCAAGCATCGTGTATTGAAACTCTATGTACGTCTTCAAAATGACTTACGCTAATGTAAACTGGTGCCACCATCTGAACAAATCGTGCAAAAGCAATCAATGGAAAAATAGAACATGAAAAAGGGCACTAGGACCACCACCTTTCACTCCAAGGCCATCTTACCCAGCAACGCATGCATCTCCTGGTTTCTCTCACGGCCCTGGTCAATTCTACTTAACTCGTCCCTGGCCCTTTGTACCAACACGCGCACCACCTGTTTGGTGTATTCTAGACTCCCTGTGCTCTCGATGTAGCTAACAGCGTACTTTTTCACTTCAACTTCTGTAGTCTTCTGCGCCAAGATTTGATATAACCGGCGGTCCTCGGGACGAGACTGGATGCTGTGGACGACGGGAAACGAAAACTTGCCCTCCGTCAAGTCCTCGCAGAAGCCCTTACTGGTCGTGTATTCGACAGCCGTCAAGTTCTTGTAATCATCAGCGATCTGATAGACTAGCCCTAACAATTGCACCAGCTTGTCACAGACAGGGGCCATTGGCCCGGCTGGAGACTCGGCCTGCATCAGCTTTACAGCCATCCGGAAAAGACCTCCCGTCTTGTTAGACACCATCTTGAGGTACTCGTCTTCGGTCGGGCATTTGAGCGTGTCACGCCAGTACAGCTCCTGACCCTGTCCGCGATGAAGGTTCAGCATTTCAGCTGTGAACACTTCGAGGGCCGACGCCGCATTGCGGAGCTTGTTCAATTCTTTGGCGGCTAAGAAGTACACGTAGTTTCCCGTGTTGATGGTTTGTGCTACACCGTAAATGCTGTGGGCGACGGGCCGGCCTCGTCGCAATAATGAGTTGTCCTGAATATCGTCGATGAGCAGTGAAGAGGTATGCAGCATGCGCACCACATCGCAGATGATGGTCAGGCTTTCAGGGGGGACCCTGAACCAGGCGTTGAAGGCGTTGAGGATGAGTGTTCTGAACTCTTTGCCAGAGTTGGACGCCACGTAGTCATATGGTGCCAGTACAACCTTTTCTTCCTCTTCGGCCCAGGAGAAGTTCAGGTCGGCGACTGCAAACCGTTGTGGGTCACCCGCAGCTGAGTTGTTGATTTCAACAGCTGACGACTTTTCTTCACTTTGAGAAACGGAGCCATTCTGGCTCTCATAAACAGGTTCTATAGGTTGCGGTAGATGAAGCCTAGCATGGTTGACATGTGCCTTTTTCGCCGTTTGCTGGTCAGATAGACTCGTGCTTCTGTTGCGTTTGTGGACTTTTGGTAGAGACGGCCACGGTGCAGACGGCCGCGTATCTGTTTGCATCTTTAATAATTCCATTCAGAAAGGGGAGGGACACGAACACAAAGACAGAATGTGACACATTGGGCAGGATATAATCTGGCCTGTGAGCGGATCGGGAAGTCCATTTAACATCAAACAACTGCCGAGGCTCGTTACACGAGTAATTCACTTCAATCAATTTAATAGCTATCGCCACTACTTTCCACTACATTCAAAGGAGAAGGAGATAACGACGGTCGTAATTCTCTAAGCAAAACATTTTGAATTTACAAGTTAATGACTAGTTTACGCCCATTTCTTCTTTTTGTTTTTTTTTAAAAAAAAATAACTAACCGTCAAACAGTCTATTTCAAGAATAATCATTGAAAATACTTGTTACTTTTTGTGAATAATTTTGAGCCGTAAATCTGCCCGCTGGAAGTTCACGGTGCTTGTGTTGCGCACTCGGCCAAGCCCAATTGGGATCCGCCGAGAGCCTGGCCAGCTGAGTTCCCACGGCGTCTGAACAAAGCCCTGTCTGCACAGGTACCATGGACGTACATCTCCCCCGGGATCTGAAATCCTTGCTTCCTCTATACTATTTCTATAGGCAGTTGTGGCCTCCCAAGCAGTACTTGCCCGGTTTGGCCGCCGAAGTGATTTTCGGTGGGGGAGTCAACAAACATTGTTCAGGATCCTTGTAGAGGTGTAAAGGGATCGGTCTCTCGAGCGAGTGAGACTGCACAGATCTAGTGCACACCCTTGTCCGTCCTGATTTGACCGCTAGCATTGACTGTCCACGAAACAAAATATTCATCCACGTATGCCAATGAGCGGAAAGGGAACAATGGCAGCGGCATCATGCCTAGTGTCTGAAGATGGGAGCAGACGTTCATCAAGGACCTTTCCGACTTCCGAGATTGACAATTCACCACTCCGAAACATGGCTCGAAGCAGCAGCGAGGATAGAGCCAAGAATGATTCGGCCACGAGCACTAGCACGAGTCCTGAAGAGATAGGCGTAGTGGATGAGACCGAATATGCTCATGGCATGAAGCTTTTCCTGATCCTGGCTTCTCTACTCGTGACCTTTTTCACGGTTCTCCTCGACACGGTTCGTTGGGCGATTTCTATTCATCTTGGACTGGCGTTGATTACTTGGAGGCTAACGCTTTTTTCTTGCTATACGATCACAGAGCATTATAGCAACAGCAATCCCCAAAATCACAGATGACTTCCACGAGCTCGGAGATGTTTCTTGGTACGGTGCGGCTTTCATGATGACTATGGGCGGCACGCAATCGGCTTGGGGCAAAGTGTACAAGTACTTTCCGCCCAAGGTTGGGTTTCTTGTAGCCGTCTTCGTGTTCGAGTCCGCGAGCGCCGTATGCGGCGCTGCTCCGAACTCGACGGCACTCATTATCGGCCGCGCTCTGGCGGGAGTCGGCGCGGCTGGCATTGCGAGCGGCACGTTTACTGTCATCGCCCTCGTTGTCGAGCCAAAGCATCTTGCCACCTTCACTGGCATCACAGCCATAACAAATGGAGTGTCTTCGGCCATTGGGCCTCTTATCGGTGGTGCTCTTGCCGATAAAGTGACCTGGAGGTGGTGTGAGTATATCTTCCCTACATGATTCACTCACGTTTCTCCTTTGAAGATAAGTGTATAGAAAGGCTAACAATGATCTACACGTAGGTTTCTATATCAATCTTCCCATTGGCGCTCTTGCAGTGCCCTTCATCATCCTGTTTCTTCGCATCCCCCCGCGCAAAGGGGATCCTTCTGAGACAGGCTTGCGGCAGAAGATGATGCAGGTCGACCCCGTCGGTGTCGTGTTGGTCATGGGCGGCATCGTTTCTTTCATCCAGGCACTGCACTTCGGTGGTTCGTCAAAGTCGTGGTCATCGAGCACCGTCATCGGCCTACTGGTAGGTTCTGTCGCTATCGGTGCCGCCTTTGCCGCCTGGGAGTGGCATCAAGGCGAGCGCGCTGCAATTCCGCCGAGGCTGATGGCCGACCGCAATGTATTGGTCAACTCGCTCTATACGGCCCTCTTCGCGGGCTCATACTTCACAGTCATCTACTACCTGCCCATCTACTTCCAGAGCATTGATGATGTCAGTGCCACCATGTCGGGCGTCCGCAACCTGCCGTTGATCATCTCCGTGTCTGTCACGATACTCGTTTCGAGCGCTTTTGTCTCCAAGACGGGGCCCAAGCCCTTACTGCTAGCCGGTGCAGGTCTAGCCACTGTCGGTTGTGGGTTATTATATACTCTTGGAATCGGTTCTTCCGCTGGAAAGTGGATCGGCTACCAGTTCATCGCCGGTATTGGATGGGGTCTCTCGTTTCAGCTTCCCATAATCGTTGTGCAGGGCAAGGTAGCACCAAATGATATCGGACCAGCGACAGCCATCATACTATGTAAGCTCCAATCCCCGTCTTCCCAAGCCATGGACACCGGCTTACTCTTCATTTTCCGGCCAGTTTTCCAAACCGTCGGTGCTGCTTTCTTTCTGGCAGCTGCGCAATGCGCATTCCTCAACCAGGTCCTCATCAAACTTCGCACCAGTGCCCCAGGTGTCAACCCGGCGACTCTTGTTGCAACTGGATCGGCTCAATTGCGCTCCATCTTCACTACAGACGAGATGCCCGGCATCCTGGCTGCTTATATGGCCGGCCTCAACGCCGCGTTTGCATTGTCTGCCGGAGCAGCGGGGCTAGCTTTCGTCGTGGCTGTGTTTAGTAGCCATAAACCTCTCTCTGCACACACCCCACCTGATGTCAGGACCGATGGAGGGAAGAAAAGTCCTCCGGTTGAGGAACAAGCGACAGCATCCCTTGAGTCCGGAGTTGCGGGAATAATTGATGAGTCGCAAAGCAAAGAGTAATGTCTAGCCATATAATATTTTCTTCTCATTGGACGCATGGTTTCATCAATTGAGTGGGATTTGCACTAGTCTTTACCGATAGCTCCGTAGGCGAAACTTCAGCCTTGGGGGAATACAATTATGCTGGACGGACACATGGTATGAATCAAAGCCAAAAAAAATTGATACATAATTTGACGCTTTCAACTCTCATTTGAAATCAGGCATGGTTGAAACTTTGAAGGCATATTGAATGATTCATACGTAGCACAGCAGTCCGTGGGTCTTCACAAAGTTGCTTTTTCGCCAAACCTGAGCAGTAGCAATGGACCAATAGAGCTGATTCTGTAGGCCGAATACAATTTTTAGGGGACCTAATCGATACCTTCTAGCCTTTTTTGGCCGTCACGGTCGTTGTGTGCGAAGACGTGTTTGGCTTCGATTACTGGCCGCCTATACTGGCTGTCCCACACATACACTTAATAATTAAGGGCCAGGACATGGATGTATGGAGAGGCTAGAAGTCTCATCTGCCTCGTCTCCTAACTTAGGCACCAACAAGGCCGGCGATGTCAGGGGCCAGTTCACCTGCAGCCCTCTCGCGCATCAGAATCGGCACCGTGGGGTCCGGGTAGAAGGCCTCCTCGTAGCTCCAGTTCGCAGGACGCCTCTGCCCCTCCGGAAACTTGAAGTCGTAACGCAGCAATAGATGACAAAGAATCACCTTGATCTCATTGCTGGCGAAGAAGCGGCCCGGACAAGCGTACTTGCCGTGTCCAAAGTGGAGGGTGGACGAATCGGTTGTGGCGAACTGAAACCTATTTATGTTCTCGGGTCTGGATGGATCTTGGCGGAGTCGCTCGTAGCGAAAAGCATCAAAAGCCTCTGGATCACCACCATCTGGCAGCAGGGCCTCGTCGTGGGCCATAGCGGCGGATGGCATGGCGAGGTGCGTGCCGGCAGGTATGCAAGTTCCGTCTTTCAGAGTTATGGCCCTGCGGACAACTCGCTGGAATGATACTGAAATGCTCATTTGTCAGAAAATCTTGTGCATGACCACGAGGATATTCATCTTGTGCACTTACAGGTAAAAGGCGGGTTCATGCGCTGTGATTCACGCAAAAAGCTGTCCAGCTTGCGCAGTTTGTTCAGGGTCGTTTTCTTGAAGCCGCCATCCTCGCGCAGTACAGCCACCATTTCGTCACGCAGGGGCTTCAGGTATTCTGGATGGGCGCACAAGTCCAAAAAGAAGTGTGTGCACATCATGGACGTCGTATGGATCGACCCGAGGCTAACAAGGAGCTGTCGGTGCACCAGATCTGCTACACTCCCTTCCTCGGGCCTTGCGCCGTCAATCAGCCACTGCAGGAAGTCGTTAGGTTTCTGCCAGGCAGGATCATCAGAGGCCGCCCTGCGACGGTCTTCGATGATGGGTCCAAGGAGCCGCTTCCCCGCCGCTAGGTTGGAATATATGCGCCAGTATGAGGGCAATAGCCTCGCGACTACAGGACGCACAACGGGAGGAAGTACGCGCAGCAGATTTCTGGTAATTCCAATGTTTCTGGTGTAGTGTATACTCGTGTAGAGCCATTCCGCGTTGCGGCAGAGGTCGGGACCGACGAAGATACGTGCCGAGACGCGTGCCACGACATTGATGATCAACGGCGTGACGTGAATTGGTGTCCAATCTTTGCAGGGATTTACCTCGGCCTCGAGGGCAAAGACAAGCTCCTCCTTAACCGGGGGGATCAGCGTACCAAGGGCAGGTGTCAACTTCTGCTGCAGAGCTCGTCTATGGAGATCACTGTCCCGAATTACGCTAATATTACCAACGGTGTAACGACCGACCATGTTCTTGATGTTTGCATCGGTCGCGCTAATTTTGTCCTCGGGCATATCGCGAAGCTCCTCGACATACTTTGGCGGGAGGACAAGGATGTCCGAGTCGTTGCGCATCACTTTGAACATGTGGCCTTTGAACTATGCATCACTCTGTTAGTCTTAGTTGCGCGCTCTGTCTGTTCATCCTGCCTGCCACAAACAATAGTCGGCTTATACTTACTTTGTGGTATCCTTCGAGAACCATTGGAGCACTATTCCGTGCAAAACGTAATCCGACAAGCCATCTTGGTTCCCAGAAAGACCGCCGCCCTACCTTGGGCGCCTTGAAGCCGAAGACGAATTCATTCAGCACCACGAACGTATAGGCAAGTACACCAATCCCAACCAGCCACGCAATCCGCTGGTTCGTGTTCCAGTGGGTCTCTGAATCATTGGCAGAGTCCAAAAGAGACACATTTTGGGCTGATGTGAGGGATGTGAATTTCAGCGCGAGTTCTGTCTTCCACGTAGCGACGCTCATGATGATGACGATGATGCCGACGATGCAACGGTCAACAGAACGATGGGGTTTGGGCCGGCGTTGCCCTGACCAACCGTATCGTGTGGCTAGGTACTGTACATTTACGCCAGAGGAGTTTTAGTGGGGGAACAATTCGAATGGAGTTGTTCACCTGAGTCGGGAGCGGTCGGCGCCTTGAATCGTCGTGTCGGGCTGACCATTTTGGGTGCCGAACAGCAGCCACAGTCGGTCCACCCAACTCAGTCGTTAAGCCAACCGAGTAACGCAGACTCGTATACTATTTGTGAGTGTTTTTTTGTTCGGGCAAGAAGTAAAGGTTGATTGCATTGAGAAATAAGTTTAATTAATCAAATTTTTAAACTATCTCAAATAAAAGTTATTAATCAAACAGGCATAGTTATACAAATAGACTAGGTGATTTGTTGTTTAACTGAGCCGGGCAACTACATTGGGCCCCGGTCCGACTGCTCCATGGTGGGCATGGAAGTAGACTACCGATCAAGCTGTCACGTGAGGTGACTCTTATGGAGCTTCTGTCTTATACCAATTCATTGTAGCACAGAAGCACTTATGAGCGATAAAATACTTCAGACTATACCAAGTTTCGCAGGAAGTTGCCTCATAGCCCAGTTCCTCGCGCCATGATTCCCGAACTTCTGTACGCACTTGTTGGGCTTGTAATCCTCTTACATGTCGCCGAGCGCATACTCAGTCTTTGGGATGACCCTCGGGAGCCCCCTCGCGTCTGGTCGCGAGTGCCGTTTCTAGGCCATGCAATCGGACTGACGCGATTTGGCCCAGAGTATTTTCGATTCGTAGGGTATGAAAACGATCTCTGAGCAGCATCCAACCATTTCAGAAGAGCTCTTAGCGAGGAATTAGATACTAATCCAGCCAATATTTACAGGAAAAAAACAAATGCAGAACTATACACACTCGCCTTGCCCGGCTCCAAGACGTATGTGAGCAACACGCTACACCTGATGACGCTCATCCAGCGGAACTCAAAATCGCTTTCCTTCGACCCATTTGCTATCATGACATCCAAGAAGATGGCAGATGCCTCTGAAGACGTTCTCCACCAAATGACGACAGATTTCGCCCATGTTAGTCACAGGACAATGCGGAATAGCCTGCAGAAGCCGTCTTCTGAGAACGATCAAATGAATGCGCGAATGGCCAGTGAGGCTGCTTTGCACGTTGACAAACTGATCGAAGGCGCTGTCACAGCGGCTGCAAGCGGCGCCACATACAAGAAGGTCATGCTGCTGGACTGGGTGCGGCACTTGGTCGTCCAGGCTTCAAGCTGTGGGGTCTACGGCCTTGAGCATCCGTTCCGCGATCCCAAGGTCGAGACCGCGTTCTGGTGAGACATTTACTCAGCTTTTGTTTGTGAAAACTCCTGAACATGAAGCTAAGTTCGCAAAATTCGTATGTAGGACATGGGCTTCCTATCTCCCCTGGCATTTCGCTGGTTTGGATCTTCTCGGCACGGGCTATGCCGCACGTGAAAAGCTATTTGCTGCTTTTCGTGCCTACTCAAAGCGCGTGCCCGATGATGCCAGCTCTCTGATCAAGGAAAATGACCGAGTCTATCGTGAGGCGAGCTGGGCGGCAGAAGATATTGCCAGGCATCATGCTATTCTCAGCAACGGCGTGTTTAGTAACACCTCACCATCACTCTACTGGGCTATACATGACCTTTATTCTCGCCCAGATATTGTGTCTGAGGTCAGGAATGAAGTAGTGACCAACGCCGTTGGCGGAACCAAAGAGACCGGCTTCACACTTGACATCGCGGCAGTAAAGCAGAAATGCACGTTGCTGCTTTCTACGTACCAAGAGACGCAGCGACTACGACATTCACACGCCAATATCCGTGCTGTTCTACAAGATACCATCTTAGATGACAAGTACCTACTCAAAAAGGGCAGTCTGATACAACTGCCACCCGAGCGAATTCATGCAGACACAGCACTGTGGGGTTCCACGGCTACAGAATTTGATCCCTATCGATTCGTTAAAAAGAAGCTGGCGCCTGGTTTCCTAGCCTGGGGCGCACCGCCACATCTCTGTCCCGCCAGACAATTTGCGGCAGTGGAAGTTCTGGTTGTGCTGGCGCTGTTGATTTTGCGTGTCGACTTGGAGCCCGCCGGCAGCTCGGATGGCGCGATGACTTGGAAGCAAACACCTCCACCAAGTACGACAGCTACTATCTCGACCTTGCCTTATCCACGGGAAGACTTGAAAGTCACAGTGAAGGTCCGGGGCGAGTGGGCCGGACAGTGGACTCTGTTGAACTCGAGCGACAGTCGCACCAAAGTGCCTCTTGCCTCTACTTAAATCTACTAGTGACCGCTGACCCAGAGACCAAAAAATTGTTGGACGGATTAGATGTACACCGCGACCTCAACATAGTACAGTGGAGATTCATCAAGAAGAGGATGGAGTGCACTACCACTGTAGGGTAAAATACGATCTAAAGGAGCTAGACACGTGAAGCAATGCTTCTGCATTCAGTGTACTACGCCGTGTACTGCGGCGTTGATGTTGCGTTGTGCTTTGAGCAAGAAGCATACACAACAACATCAGCCCTACTAGCCTCGAAGCTGGTAAGAGCGTAACTGAATGTCTTGCTCTTGTGGGTGTATCTCGAAGCCAACGTCCAACTCAGCGCGTTCAACAGATCAAGTGTGGGTTCTCGGAGACAAAATAGATGTGGGGAATGATGAATGTGGATTCCGGAAGAAAGATAGTGGTATCGGAGGAATAATGATCGAGTGGCGGACAAACAATACATACAGTTATCAAGGGACTGACTCACGATCTCAACGTCCCGACTCTCTATCAGCAGCATTCCTGCCACAAGCATTCAAATTGAGTTTGTAGTAAGCGGGTGCTCAAACATCGTATCAAGACTGATGTGGTATTAACAGTGGCGCCACCGCCAAGTGAAGTAAATAGTGGGCACACCGCCCCTGATTTCCAACACCGCTGCGACAGGCAGAATGCATAGTCCATGTGCAGCCACATGGCCATTATCTGTGTATAGCTCTCCAGGATTTGAGTCAACTGAGAGCAACTTTCCGTCCATTTTCTTTCATTAACACAGTTGAGGTGTTCTTCAGAGCTCCTCGATGATTATAAATATTTGAGACCATCGCCTCTTGTGTTTCCCGCTTATTACACGTTGAGCATTGCCAGTGGAATCGACAGCACCATGTTCTGCACTCTTCGGCATACGCGTGAGTCCGACGAGGTGTACACTTTCGAGAAGACCCCACCGCCGTACTCCAAAAAGCGCGGTACCAAATTCGCTAAAGTCGCCTGCATGACCTGTCGAATGAGCAAGGTGCGATTTAGATTCTGCTAGATGCAGATGCCAAGCCACCGTAACCAGTGGGAAGTCCTACTAACCTCGTGGCTGATGCTCAGTTAAGATGCTCCGGTGAGCTCTCTGGCTGCCAGCGATGCCTGGCTAAGAAGATCAAATGCCATTTCCCAGCCCCGCCGAAGAGCTCTGGCAGCACCCAGAACAAAGGGTGCTCATCAGCGTCAGACCCGCCTCCTCAGGCGAAAGCGCCTTCTGATACGACTGAGTCGACCACCGACGATAGTATCAGCGTAGTTGCATCGTTCCACGAGGTACTGGAGGACAATAGCAGCTTTGACTTCGAAGCATCGACCTTCGCCCCAATCGAGGATGCCGACGCACTGCTATTTACCGCTGAATTCAGCCCGTCAGAGACATCCGAGCACCCCACCGCGTTTACTACAGATGCCAACAAGAGCAAATTGCCTCAGGACGAAATGATTTGGGTGGAAGGAAACATAGGTCATGTCTTCAACAGTGGCAGCAGCATGTGGGCGTCATCCGAAGACATACCTCATACGTCTTCACGAGGGGAGAGCTCGGAATTCTGTTATGCTTGCCTCGCACAAGCTATGAGAACCCATGAGGCCGTTGAGGCGGCTGTTTGGGCTCAGAAGAACAGGGTCAAAGATACCAACGATATACTTAAAGAACAAAAAATGGCCATGGTAGAGTGCAGGGAGCTTCTTGATTGCCAGAAATGCAGTAGACAGTCAGCTCAAATCATGCTGCTCTTGTCAATATGCGGCAAGATACTAGGGTCCCTGGAAGCCGCATTTTATGGGCTCCCCGTAGGGAAGGATGCAAATGCTGGATTGTCTCCACATCAGACATATCTTAAGAGGAGGTGGACCACACCAGACGGCGGTCCCGAACCCCACGGGTCGTCATACTACCTGCCGATCTATGGTATGAGTAGCAGAAATAGACGGCTAGACGACGAGGATGAGCTTCTCGTACTACAAAGTTTGCTTAAGGCGCGTGCGGCGATGCTGGATGGTTTGTTCAGCAGGCTCCACATTGTCATCACTGCGCATAGCTGGCCAGCCCAGCAAAGCCTCATTCGGGAGCTCCAAAACCGCCTTATAAAGGGCCCTTTGATCACGGAGCCCGCAGGGAGGATACCAGAATAGATAAGTACAGGGAATTAAAATAAGTAAAGGTACTAGTTGTAACTATATAGGTATACTGTCCAAAATACGTTTTAAAGCAGAAGACTTTTGAGGTTTCAAAGACACAAAGCGATTTTCACTTCATGGAATTTCAAACTTCGTCAACTACAGACAAGCCCATAACTATCATGGTCCACGAGATTCTCGATCGTAAACCCCACTGGAGAGCTCAATTCCCTCATTCTAGGTAACACGAGAGTACCGACCAGGGCTTAATTACGTTTTTGACACCGTCTGGTCCCCCGTCCTTGGCCTGCAGTGGTAAAATCCTGGGGCATCCTATGGCTGAGGGGAAAGAGCATGGCCTCCACTGATAAGCGAAATGCCACCACCTCTCTGAATGATTACTTACGAGCCCAATACGAGGTTAATCTCGGCTATCCGCTTCACAGCTACGGGTTGTATACAGCAGATAAGTAATAAAAAACGGAAAACATAAAGAAGTAAAATAATGTCTTATAGGACAACCAATCATTAGAGAACCACGTATACGATAACCTCCTATAAGCTTTATAAGGATATCTGCTGGGGTAACCTCTTCTAGGATAACCTCCTTCAGGATAACCTCCTCTAGGACAACCTCCTTCAGGATAACCTTCTCTAGGATTACCTCCTGTGTAATACTTTCCTATCAAATGAACGGATTATCCTAATCAGTGCATTTTGAGCCAGCGTGTTCTGATCTCCTAAGGATCTCCAGACTGTGTATCCCCTGGTCACTGTAAGTGTTTTCTTCAACAAATCTCAGGTCCTTATTGATGGAGTTGCAGGAATAATTGTAATTTTGTGGCATACAGTAGTTTGGTTCCGTTTTTGTCTATCCCTGTTAAATATGCATATGGCGGCATGTGAGATGAAGTCACGTCAAAGGCTGGAGAAGTCTAGAGGGACAATCGATTTACAGATCTACCTAAGAACATTCATAAAAGTTCAAGAGGAAGCCGAAAATAGCCTGTATCAATCGTTTGAAATATTTCTATCATTTCCATCGGCGTTCTGGGTGTCAAGATCTCGCGAGCTTTGGTCATGGAGCACATCCCTGTGGTCTCTTTCCTTGATCATGTTCTGGAGCTTGTCCCAGAATCGGGGTCGAAGATTAGCTTTCAGCCATTCAGCATGCTGGGGGTGATCTCTGAGGAACTGAAGATCACTTTCTGGGGGGTGGGTTTCGCGGCGCATCATTCTTTTTATGCTTCGCCGTCTCTCTTCGGGCGGCAGATCTTCGTGGCGCGGTAACATGTTTTCCTTGGTCACCTTTGGTTTGAAACGATACTTCTTGAGTCGTTCCTGTACTTCATTCGGTAGCGGACCTGGAAAGGGCTGACTACATTTGCACGTAAGCTAATATTCGGAAAGAGGTTTGGGAGGGGGGTTTCATCGTCTCACAGTGACTCTCCATCCCACTCGTACACAGTCATTGGGACCTCAGTGGGGTCATCGCTCCCCGTTGGCGATTCGCCATGGTCGACAAGAAAAAAACAGAGGCGATCATTGTAGCCAAACTCGTCTCCGTAAGTGTTTGAACGGTCTTCGTAGGGGTTGAAATTGCGACCCCACTGGTGGAGACAGATCCGGTGAAGCATCGACAAAACCTTTTTACCATGGCCGTCTCCAGGAACGAGATGGGTCCTGGTCTGAACAAGGACTCTCATGGGCCCAGTTGCATCCTTCTTCGCATCTTTCTCCGAATTCTGAGAGGTCGCGGTCGGACTCTCAATCGTTGGCGGATTCTCTGAATGTTCCTCGTCATCGCAAATGACAATGTCCATTGTGGCTTGCTGGTTTGTGGTGTTGACGAGGCAAGTTACATGTGGCGACAGGATGCCGTGTCACTGAAGAACTCCATCTTCCCCAAGCCCCGGAACCCAAAATAGCGGCGTTGCAGGATTTAAACGGCCCAATCGTAGGCCGCCAAGATAAGGTTCGAAGCTAATGTTGCCCCAACGCCTAAACCGGCCCTCTGGCCTGATGACCAGCCCAATACAGAGGCCGAGTTGACCTGCTAGAGTCCCAACAGCATGGAGGGTGCCAATCAGGCTCTGGCTACGCCACTGGGTCCTTGTTTGAGCCATTAAACCATGGATATCATTCGTGCCAATGCCCAATGTCATGTTGGCACTAAGTGATCGCAGTCGATAAGGCGTCCAACAACTTGGTGCAATGGTAGGTACAATGCCATGGTCCATGAGGCCGTTGAAGCACTTCTCCTACCATTTGATCTTTACAGAGTTTATTTTTCACGAAAAGCAACACTAGATACCGATGAAAAGGTATTGGATAACGACATTGTAATCTAGGATATCAAATGTGTGGATCTTCGCAGCATCGGGATACAGTTTACGCGGAACGAATCAAGCGCGGAGAGTAATGAGGCCAAAACTCAAGAGATAATCTGCTGGCAATTTCGTCTATCTATTGGGTCCTGAAAAACCTAGCCAGAAACTCCGTACAATCCTACTTGTATGCAAGTAAACCGCCCTGGGCCTAACATTCGCATCCGCATGGCTCCCATTCACGACCCCTGGTAATAGTCTCTGTCTGGCCCGTACCATGACAGGCATCGCAACGAGGATACCTCATGTAATAGCCCTTGCCCCCTCGACAATAAGTGCAATGGCGGGAAGGCTTGTCTCCGGACTTCCGAGTGCAGCAGCGCACTTTTTCACCGTAATCAAGTCGCATCATTTTGCCCTGGCCCCTACAAGTAGAGCATACGACCTTGACCTTATTCTCGACCCATATCTTCTTCCAGCCAGGATGCGGTCTGCAACTCTCACAGGTCGGGTCGGGCTTCTTCTCGCGAGATTTATCGCTCTCGCTACTAGAGTTCGAACTCCGCCTGGGATAGTCCGGGTGATGACCCTTATGGGGCTCGTATCGTACTCGGCCGGAGTTGTGCCGGAGCCATTCTTCGTAGTCCCTGTTTGACGACATGGTGTTCTTATTTCTACTGCGCCGAGGAATGAAAATTTGATGCAGACCGTTTTATGAAATTGGGAAACTGGTCAATGTTGTTTCAAAAGTCTTTGGTAGATGAAATGCCACGTAAAGGAAATATTCGTCGAAAGAGGACAGGAAGTGATATCTAGTGCCAGCACCAGAAGTCTAGATGAGCAGTACGGGTTGTGATATAACAGAGTAAAGTGGCTGCCAAGTAGAAGGGGGTGGAGAACGATCTCTGATCCACGAGGCTTCTTATATCCATCTTCTCATGCGAAAAAAAAAAACATGAATCAGAAGAACAAGACGATAGAGGCAGCTAGCAGATTGCTACATTTAGAATCGAAACATTGTTGGGTGTTGTAAGTGGCTGAATTGATGGTTGTCCATGGCCGCAAGTAAGTCAAACCATCACCATAGAAAGAGGGCAGAGACTACGCCAGCAATCAGAAGAATTGGAAAATGCCAACAGTCGAATCTCCAAAACGCACCAGCCTTGGCCTTCATGGTCGAGGCAAAGCATGCTATCAAAGCACGCCGCAGATTCCTGAATTAAATCGCGATTTTGGCATGTTGGTGTTTGAATTGTCAGAGGGCAGGCGAATTGTGACACCAAAAATGGTATACTTGCGGTTACATCGGTGGGAGACTAGGCCCAGGCTCCCAAAGTTGTGATTAAGTCGACCCCGGCGTAGACAACGGTCGGCCTCTCTCAAGGCCAGCGGGCTTCGGCCACAACTTTATATGGTAAGACCCTGGAGCCATGAGCAACAAGTTCGTTAATCTGAAATTACGGATGGACGGCACGAGCTCAAGGGGGTGAGACGAATGCCCATCTTGTTCAAGGGAGCTATCACCCACCAGCTGCACATTTCCTCGAAGGCCATCAGCTTAAGTATTGACTTTCTCTCTCGCCCCCGTCCTTATTGTAGTGAGCAATATCTCAACTCATTTTTCAAATTCCAAAATAAGTTCTTGGATCGTGAAATCCCAAAAGTCTCCGCAGAAGTCTTTTTGGCGAACAATGGATGACTTGGAGATGAGAATATAAAAGCTATAGCGGGTCACAATATAGTAATTTAGCAGTCAAGAAAAGCAACCTATAATTACACATTCCTTAATCATCATTGGTATGTGATCACTGTATATAACTGACCTAGTGCACTATCCGATGCGTGGATGCATGCTACCTGCTTATAGTTTGATAGATACTCAGATGCTTACGGTCGGGAAGGGGTAATAATGATCAGTCAGATCCGATCATCAGTCACCTGAACTATAGAGAGCTTGACGCCTTTTAAGATGAATTGATACACAAAGCTTTGACTCTTCTGTGAGGGGAGTGATATTCATATAATCGTGGACTGACTCTGGCCGCTAATTCGTCTACAAATGCTCGAAATCTGCCTCGGGCGGAGCTGGCCACGCCACACTTTGTGACACGATGACAAGCACTTCTTGGTGGGCTTTTGCGGCCAAGAGGGTTCCTAGCCAACATAAATATTACATTTTGGCAAATGCTGTGAAACCTAGGGGCAGAGACTGGACCAATCCAAGGGTCCTCGTATCTGCAGCGCGTGCTTTCTTTCTGCATGAGGGTCAGCAAGCCGTTGAAGAGGCGGTGTCCGGTGTATCTCAATCTCACAAAACTGTCGAGCCTTGCCAATCTTAAGAATGTAACAACACAAGGAAACCTTTCCAATTTGGCTGAGTAGCCGATCCCCACATCTACGCTAAACAGAGCAATCTTTTTCATTTGGGTACTGAAAGGCCACCTGTACAGACTGCAATTATATTCCTACCAAAAACGCTGTCTCGAACCTCGCTGCTGTCATGTCATCAATTAGCAAAATCCAGGCGGCCCTCACGGCGGCCACTAATGAAGTGACGGTTGCGGCCGCAAATTTGAACTTCGATTTCACGCTCATCAAATGCGAGGCACCGAAAGAATTCCATCCATTAGGCACCGCCTTGACTCAAAGGCGTAGGGAAGACGCAGAGTATGGATCGACTCATATCACCGCTCGACGACTCGGCGCGTTGTTCGAAGGGCTACTCCCACCCACTCCGGCCCTTCTACGAGCGTATGGGAATAGAGTCTCTGAGATAGCTCAAAGCTCCCGGCAAAACGGCTCAGCGGAGCCGCAGAACAGCATGTTCGCGGCGCATGCTGGAATCGACGGAACATCGATCTGGGCGGCAGCGACGTCGTCATCCACTGCATTACATGTTCAGCTCCTGGCCTGTATGCTAGCCCGTCACTGGCCAGCTAGCGAGGCGACCTCTATCTGGGTAGAGTTAGTTCGGGGAAGGAGGCAGGAGTTAGAGGAGGCGTGGACTCAGAATCACGCGGTTCCTTACGCATCTTTGGTTGCGGCAACCCAACCTCAGATATCTCGCGTGAGCCTGGCCGAATGGGATGCAAGCGCTCGCTCGTGGCTTCGGACCGCTGACCGCGTCAAGTTCAAACAACAGAATCAGCTTATGCTTCTCGTCACGAATGTCAGTGTTCCTGTTAACGAGCATATGATGGTCTATCAGAGTGTCATCCCGGCTTGGAAGTCCGCCTTAGAGTCGACGGAGAAACTCGTGAGTGGGATGCCCCAGGCCATCAGCCACGGCTCATGTCTTTTGGCAATTAGTTCTTGGCACCTATATCCCGATATAATCGTTACGGATCCTACTACAGTGTTTCACAAATTCGAGGATCCTTTGGTACGACCTGGTGGGACACTAACCCTTGGCCTTGCCCGCCCTGGTGGGGAAACGCTCGGAGGGGTGTTCTGGTCCCTCTCACTTGCTCATCTCAACTTCTATGGACGACGCCCTGTACAGAAAGAGGCGTCCTTGAATCTACATTCGCAAAGTTTGTCATTCCAGCAGTTCACGGTGTCGGTCTTTGGGGCATTTCTAGCGCGTTGGGGTGCCTTCGGAACAGATGCTGAAGCTCCAGCACGGTTCCTCACGAAGCTGAGAGACGACATTTACGCGATAGCAAACGGTCAGCACTCCAGCTCTGCCCTAAGAGAGTCCTGCATGAGGGTGGCCAGTGATAGTGCGCAGCCGATAAACCTTCTTGCCAGAGCTGCCGATACGCTCCTCGATGCTCGGAAATTCGAAGATCACCTCGACCTGAAGTTGATTGCTCTTGGCGGTAAGAAAGCAGAGAAACTCTTGCCTCAGGCACTTCCGTCTAACTTCATGGGCTTTGGTGATCCCAGAATTCTTCTTAGACTTCTGAAAGGCCCGGACGAGAGGATCGCCTTGCTCCGCCGGATACTTAGCGACAGTGACCTGATAACTCAAAATCAAGGGACTTTTGTAATTCGCTTCTTTGAGGACATCAAACCCCAAACCTTAGTATACGCATGGGCACCTGATCGTCTGGCAGGTCTCGCGACCGGTCAGGTTCTACGAGAAGCACTTCCTCAAGGCGGTTTTTCCAACCCCCCACACGTGCGGTGGGCTCCAAGAGCCATCCTTCAAAGGAAGAACTTCCACAAGGACGTGGTACATGAGTTGTCGGAGGACGCAGCATTGCCGCTAGCGTCAAAGGAATTTGAAGTCCTCCTTGAAAACAAGTCCGAGGGCGATGGTAATGCTGTGCTTCAAACATATCACTATGTCTACGGTGACCCTGGCTCTGCTGCGATCTATTCAAATGCACCCGACATCCAATCTGTTAAGTCCGGGAAAATCAGACCGCCTACTTTCCAGGACCTCATCTGGTGCCTGGAATTTGATCTGTTTGACATGGGAGCCATGATTTCGTTTTTTGGCCTCAACGAAGGTGCGGCAGTCGGACTTGAGACCAGGCCTGAAGGCCGGACACTCAAGGCTTTGAGCAGTGCACACCGAATCTACCGATCACTCCCAACTGCCACAGTGTCCACTCGGGCTCTCAACAGTCCTCTGTATTCTCCTCGATGGTCGCCACAAAGCCGAAGAATTGCAGCGATAGACAATCCACACTCATTTGATATACCCAGTAGCCGCCAAACGCCGGATGCTCAACTATCACGGGACGTGGCCTTCTCATGTATAGCATGGCTAGAAGCCGGAATTGATATCGATCCTCGTGATCTGACGAGAGTGTTCGCTCTCGCATATGAAGACAGTATTTACGTTTCCATGAATGTGTGTCCTGGTCTTCCCCTTATCTTCTGATCAAGTTTGCTGACATAGTCATGAGCTTACTTGTGACCCTTGGGAGTCACCAAATAGTCATGAACTCAAACGGGTAGCGGGAAATGTTGGCAAGCCAGGAGTCACGCTTCTTGTGCCACCAGACGATCCCGTGGTGCCTGCGTCCGAGGAGTCCTCATGGAGAGTAATAGGCACCTCTGAGTTCGACGGCCTTGCGGAAGATGGATTTTCCCAGACATCGATGCACTTGTCGTTCACAGAATACTATGTTCCGCTTGTGAAGTCCACCAATGGCCAGGTCCAAAACAATCAAGTGCACTATCTTGAGTCCGTCGTATCAATACACCACGCCGGACAATGGATTGGAGATGTCGACTTACAGAAGTGTTTAGCGAGCACCTGCCTTACCCGAGAGCCGCTACTTTCCTGCAGAGCGGGACACAGCATGTTTAGTGTCAAAGGAATAAGATCAATCGAGTCGTGGGAAGACGTCATCGAGCCGCCACCTGGCGATGGTGTCGTCCGGGCCCATGGCAACTGGGTGGCACGACTCGCTACGACTGCTGTTTCAGTACATGTCCGGGACGCGGCGGGAGGCGGAATTTCCAGAGGAGTCGCTGTCTACTCCAATGACAGCTGTTGGAATTGCATCTCTCAAAGTGGTATCTTCAAATCCACGGTGGGTTCCCATAAGCAATCGACGAGCTACATACCTGGCATTTCCAATATCATGATATTCTAAAGGCGGATTGGTAAGCTATTCCTTTTCATTCAGTCCGAAGCCCAAAAGTGGTGTCGCCTAGGCCAAGGTGCTTGTCCTCTGAAAGGAAAAGACGAGCCAGGACGTACAGGCTTAAAAGGGTTTAGCTGCAGGGTGTATGGTGGAATTTGGAGACAGACCCGAGTGGAAATGTTGGACGGGTTCGACTTCAGATCAAAACCGGTCGGAATTTTGTGCCGCCTCACACAGTCTCATATCCCTTAAAATTTGAATTATATGTCACTCAATACTTTTGCCATCTTACGTTAATGATACCATGTTCAACGATACTGTATCATAAATCAAGGAACCGTGGATCATTCCAGGTGTAGGCTCATCACTTCTTTTTCCGTGGTGGTGAATCACCGTTGGCGCGGCACACTCGGCTGGCCAAGAGCTGTAGCTCTCCATGGGCTACTGCAAGGCCCAAATTGGCCTAACAAAGAGCTCGATTGATTAATCGGGCTTCTTGATCAATTGAAGGCAGTGCTGGGGCTCTGCAGCTGATTGATAGCGTAATGCAGTATACGCGACTGGTGATGCCTGAAGCTGGGAACAAGGGGAGCTGTGTCCTGAGGTAAGGTTTGGAGCGAAGTCCGAGGGAGTGCGATATAGAAATTACACATTGAGGACGACTAAACAAGGTGGAAAGTACCTGAGAGGCCGTGGGGCTCGAAACGTGGCGTCAGACCACAACCTGGCGCTGAAGGTCTTATAGGCGGCCGGCGCAGCACGGAGCCGCATGCCAAGCAATGAGCGATTGGCGGAGGGGGTCGGGGAGGATTGCTGACCCTTCTAGGCAAGCATATGCATGGTGCAGGAGGACCAAGTGCAATGCAGAGGTGTACAGTAAGATGGTGGCGCGGTGGTAGGTGCAAAGGATGATTGAAACCGTTAGCATTGGAATGAGTGAGTCTCGTCACCCATTCCCGGTTTCAATAAATACAAGCAGTTTGAAGTCCAGCTGCGTCTGTTGCAGCGAAAGCTGTTTTTGCTCTTGACTGTATAATATTCAAGATATTCCACAACTCTAAATCCATGCTGAACCTTGACCTCGGCTAATAGCCAGCGTAATCTAACGTAGGAACGACTAGAGTCCGAGGTCTCGCATGTGGCAATTAGCTAGATATCTCCAGGATTGATGAGTTCAAATTGACGGGATATGATAGGTCATGTATTGTGACGCCCACATGGGCCAAACAAGTACGTACCGTCAGCTTAATTGGCGTCCAGTGATGCTATGTAACTCTGGAAGGATGATCTCACACCAATGAAGCGCATGTTTATAGAGTCGTATCGACCCCCCCCCCGTAGGATTTTGAGGCTGAGATTGTCCGATGCTCATCTGCCCCCCATCTGCAAGATGGATGCTTTGCTTCTTATTTTCTTTCTCTGACATTGAACAAAGTTTCTCAAAGTGTCAAGTTCACATTTGGTGCTGCTCTCTTAGACCTTGGGCACCGTCAGCGTTCAAGATCTATCGCGATGCTGCGACGCGACTTTCTTCCTTTACTGACATTGTTGGCTGGGATAACTGGTGGCAACAGCGCGGCTCAACCCATCAGGGTCCTTTATCCGGACACGGATGGTCTAGCATTCTATGCCAAGGATGTCATCAATGTACCCTACGAAACCAACTTCACTGAGCCGTACCTCTACACGTGGTGTGTGCAGGGCAATGCTTCCCGTGAGCAGTACCACATAATTCCGAATGTACTATCATCTTCGAATGTTGACAATCTGTTGCAGAAGCACAAGAGCCTACAAGACCCCCTGGAGGCAATGGGACAGCCCAAGTGGTGCTCGACTTTACAGAGTACGATGGTGAACAGTGTTGGTTCGAGATTAGACCTTTGCCCGCATCACAGGATGCACATGGGCTGAGGAACAACTCGATAGAGTTTAACTTCATTAATGCAACCCATAGATCAGGACCAGTACGTTCTCTTACCTTGTCACGTCTCATGAAGAAGTACGATTTTAACTCGCTAGCACCAAAGTCAACCTTCGGAATCTCTTCTACGACCACACCCGCGACGACCCTTCCAACATCATTGTCAACCTCAGCCACTACATCGACTACAAGCTCCCCTCAAACTTCCTCATCTGCACCGTCAGGTCTTTCTACCGCCGCAGTGGCAGGCATCGGCGCGGCAGCAGGTATTGCTGGTATCGTACTTGCGACGATTCTTGGAGTATTGGTGATGCGATGGCGGAAGAAGAAACAAGGTCGGACTGGATATCTGTCAGACAAGACGGGACGCGACGACGAGCAGATCCCTCGGACTGTAGCGGTGTCGGGCGCTCACGAGATGCCAGCGCCCAATGAAGAACGAAATCACAAATACACTATCGTTCCATCATTGACACCACAAGAGATGGACGCTCAGCAAACACAACGATATGAAGCACAATAGAGGAGCCTGGTCGTAAAACGTCCACCTACCGCCCACGTAGCTGCCAGCCCCAGCAGGTGGACGTTGGGCAAGCGGGTAATGGAGTTGACAGTTTTATCATTCTATCCTGGAGCCAATAGACAGACACCATCCTCAGCAGGCACAGGAATTGTTTGCGAGACGCAGCTCGAACAACTACGAGACATTCTTCATCTGCGTCTCTTTGACCCACACGTACGGACAATTTATATAATAGATAATTAAATTGTGAGTTAAAAGTCATTGTAATCACAGATAAACGAATTCTAGCTAAGCTAGATAAAGTGATAGAGCCTTCTTAAATCGACACTGTTATCATCTGGTGACATATTACAGTTCCTATGATTGTATTTCTTAGCTCTCTTCGGGTCGCTCGTGCGTATATGGGCTTGTAGTCCAAATTAGGCTGGATGCTAATTGCGGCTCCCGCAGCTAATTCCTACTTAAATGAATCAGTGCGCTACCGCGTAAATCTCAAAACTATCCATGCTTCTTAGTCTTCCTACTAAAGGAAGATACATTGGCACCAAGATGACGGTCTTCCAAGTTTTCTCTGTACACGTAGTTCGCCGGACCTGGCTGCTCAATTTGTTGTTTTGGCTAAGGCCGATCTCAGTTCTCGGAATCAAAAGGCCAGGTGTATATATGGTCCGATGACTCAGGTATGCAAAGAAGTCTCTCAGTGGATTGTTCTCTGAAGGAACCACTCTCCTTCGTTAGGAAGGGTAAGACTACTGATGACTGTGAAGTCAAGTGAGTAGCGCGCTACGGTAGTTGCTAGTATGGTCAGATGAGCCGAACCAAGATTGCAAAATAGTAAATTTCCATGGAGGTTTCCCTTTTGATCAACCCGAGATCGCCCAAGCAATCACGACTTCTCGTTCTCACTCTTTTGCTATCGTTTCTTCTAATCCTAAAACAACATTTTGCGCGTACTCGCCCCACCGCTGCAATTACAAGTCTGAAGAACAGAACCAAAATGTCATCGCAAATGCCAAATCAACCTCGTCCCCGGACATACATCCTGGGCCGGAGGTTCCGCACGAGGCCTCGTGATCAGGCTGTGGGTGTGATGGTCCAGAAAAGAGAATTCTTTCCCATGCCTCACATCGGATGGAATACCGGTCGTCCAACGGCGACGCCGAGGACAATCTTTGGCTTTCGTACCCCACCGGTCATTCCTGCTCTGTGGCACAGTCTGACAATGACTCCACCGGGCGGTTTCGTCATGCGTAACTTTCGCCGTGTGAAAGGTGTCTTTAACAACTTCCGTGACCTCTGGAACGACTTCTGTCTGTGGTCGAGCCATCGCCAGTTCCGCGAGCTAGAACCACGACCTTTCGTCTTTTCTGAAAGGGATCAAAAGCATTGGAGGGGTTTGAAGGCAGGACAGTACCAAATTGCGTACCAGGATCCCTCTGCAGATCCAAAGTGGAGGATGAAGCAGATCATCGAGGTCAAGGACTACAGCGACTTGGATCACGCATTTCACGTGTACTGTGCCAACATGACTTGGTATGTCGGTGGCCACTATTTTTAGTTATTATTCTTCGGCTAACAATTATTGTAGGACATGGAGAAATAGAGAATTCGGGTCGGATGACTGGAAATTTCACATGCCACATCGACCCGGGTATTTCATTCCGACGGTCGACGAGCCTCTCTGGTAACTCGACCTCAACTATCAGCAAACATTTACGCTCAACTGAATTTACAAAGGATTGAAGCTATGTCCGTCCCTTAGGAACACATGTATAGAAATGACTACTCCCTCTGTCGTCTTAAGACTCTACAAGAATGGTCCCGCTCTAGAAGACAATCCCGAAAGACAAGGGTACTTGGTCACCAGTAGTGAGAGGCAAGTATATGCAAAAGAGGGGGAGCACGAGCAGTGAGGTAGAGCAATAGAACTGATTCAATGACAAAGTAAAACTTGACAATTACTCTGTTCTCTTCTCCACCACTGCCGCAACACTGCCTTACGGCCTTTCATAATATCACATCCCAAACCGGCTCACCCTTACTTTCACGCCATGAACGCGCTCCCTCCGAGTCCCCACCAACTTCAGCCCTGCGGCGTGCCCAAGGAGCCCGTCCAAAGAGGCACCCCGCCACTAGCACTATCAGGTATGACACTGTCACTATCGCCATCACCCGGACCATGATCATCGCCTCTGTCCCGGCCACTAATTCGGGGCTGGTTACCACCTCTATCCGCATCGTTGTCGTCGTCATCTCCATCCGCATCGTCATGTCCACCACCGCCATCAGTCCTGGGCGGGACTCTATCGCTATGCGGCACCTCGATCTGCTGCGATGCCGGGTTGGACGCGATGGACGCGGATACCTGTTCCGCGTTCGCGGGAGGCTTTGATCATCAAACATCATCAGCATCTGCGTCAGGTCAAGTAACTACTGCAACAATATGCAAGAGAAACGCAACACACCACAACATCAACAAAGAGGGACAAGGGAAATCCAGAACTCACAGCAGGTGGAGAGCCAAACATCCTATCACACCAAGCCCTTACCCCCTCAGGATCATCCTGCCCAATAGCCCAGTCGGGCGCAGCCTCCATGGTGCCCATGAGCCACTGCAGTTCCCACAGCGAGGGCCGGTCCTCGGGCAGGTCGGCGAGGCAGCGGAGCAGCAGGTGCATGAGGCCTCGGTCGAGGTCGGGCTCCGCGGCGAGGGTGTAGCCGTGCGTGTGGAAGGGCGGCACGGCGCGGCCGGCCGAGTCGCGGATCACGGCGGGCCCGGCGAAGAGGTGCGCGCCGTCCGGGGAGTTGAGCGGGCCGATGGCCGCGGGTGGGTAGGGTGTTGTGTGCTTCGTTATGAGGTTCTGCATGGACTTTGGTTCTTCATGTCAGCGAGAGACAGGGCCGGGATCATTGATGTGTGTATTTGTGTTCTTACGAGAGCTGCCTGGAAGATATTGCTCCATGGCCCATACTTGCCTGCTACCCTTGGAGGGTTAGGCTCTAGGAGTGGGAACTTGTCGATGTAGTCCCATTCTTTGTGGTATTGCTCCTGCGATGTTCCCACTGACTGTCAATCTCACTGCCCTGACTGCATGTCTGTCAAATGCTCACATACCGGTAGTAGCATCGTGATCTTGCCCATTTGCCGCCATGCCCATGCTCCTTCACTGGAGGTGAGACAGGTCAATATCGATCAATCTTGACCAGTGGCCAACAACGGCTGGCTGCTCGATGACACGAAAAGTCAACAGCAGTAGCCATGTTCGCACATGAAGTCAGAGGGAGAAGGGATAGGCACCAAGTACACACGGTGTTTGGAAATCCACACTACTGCTGAGCTTGCCCAGACCCAAGTCGCTGATTTTGAATATCGGTGCCACATTGTGCTCATTGTCGTCATTTTCCCCAATCAAGACTGTGAGTATACCACAGCAGTCAGCATCACATCTGGTCCAGCGCAGCAGCTGAGTAGCTATGATGGATGGTGGACAGGGGTTCAGAGGCCCCAACTCACCGTTCTGAGGATCCAAGTCAAAGTGTATGAAATCCCAGCCAGCCGGGTCGGGGTTTCCGGGAGTCTGGGCGGGCAATACCTCATTGATGTCGGGACCCCAAATGGATCTCCATTGCTCCTCAGGCAGCTCTGCCCCGTCCGGGCTTCTCCTGATTCTCGGTGGTTCGTACATCGCTATACAACCCCTGACGACTATCGTGAAGGAACAGGAAGAGATACAGTGTCAGCAAGATTTCATTATACATTTAAGAAATAAAATTGGGTTGGGTTGAACATATAGAGTAGGAAGTAGACTCACGGCAGAAAAAGATACGCCACAGGACCTTGTTCGGCACCCTGTCGTTGGATCTGGCCAGCTTCCTGATGAGGCCGTGCATGTCCCCGTGGCGCATGAACTCGAGCGTCAACATGGAGGTGTCGTTGTCGACGGGCAGCCACTGGTTGAACACCGCATCGGCGTCGCAGCCGTCGGTGGGCATGATCTCCTGGCCCCAGCCGAGCAGCTGGATGATATGCCGTGCTCGCTTGAGTGCCTAAGAGGCAGGCCCTCGCTCGCTCGTCAGTAGGGAGAACAGTCGTCATCAGCGGTCCCCAATGGGCAACAGCATCTCTTTGAGATCGATCTGTCAACGGGGATTAGAAGAGTGGTCACAAACCGCATTAAAAGTCCACTCGCGAGCCATGCTCCTTCCACTCCGCAGCAGCGACTTGACAACAACCTTCTTGCTGGGCCCTCCCTCCCCGCCAGGCCACACCTCGAGCAGGCTAGCGATGCCGTTGCCGCCGACGCCCAGCATCTTGACCAGACGAACCACGATCCCCCGCCGGGAGAGCGCGTCTGCCACCACCTGCGCCGCGGCCTGCGCCTCGTCCATCCTCCGCCTCCTCCGCGACCCCATGCTGCCCGAGAAGACTTGATACCCGACCCGGCCCGCCGCCTGCCTCGCAAAGATGGTCCGTACGTCGTCGGCTGGGTAGCGCCCGTCCCAGGCATCTCTGCTGGGTGGCCTGTACAAGGGTGGTATGTTTGGGTCTTCCCATGGCTTGGTACGATCCCGTGTCAGGCCTCTGCGGTGGTACTCAAAGTAGTTGTTCCAATAATATTGCGTTGTGGCTCGGAAATCCGCCCAGTATTGGTCGTTTGCTGTGCCTGCGTTTCGTGCTGGGCCTGCTGGACCTCTACCCCGTCCAACTTGGCCACCACCACCACCTCCTCGACCGCCTCTATCGCCTATTCCTCCACGTCCGCCACCACCACCTCGGCCTCCCTGACCTCCACGCCCCCCTCGTCCTCCCCCTCGACCACGACCTCCTCCACCTCGGCCCCCTCGTCCTCCTCGTCCGCCTGGGCCTGCTGCTGGGGCATTCATGTGTGTTGGATTGAGGATGTTGTTGCTTGTGTCAGGGGACAACTCCTCACTCCCTCACCAATTGTGCTTTCGCACTGTAAAAATTGAGCTAACCCTTTCATAATGGGGCCGTCGACCAATTTCGATTCTTGAAATCTCAATCAATTGAAAAGCTGCCTGTCTTGACAGCCCGGCCGTGCAGAACAAAGCTGTATACGTGCATTGACAACCATGTTGGGCTGGCCGGAAGCGGCGATTTGTTTTGTCCCGTGGGCATAAAGAGAAAAGTATCACCTCCTGGCCCACAATTTGACGGAAAACATGATCTCAGGTTGAAGCCTGATGGTGGGTTGAGCTGTGTTTACCTAGCTCTCACCCGGTACGAGGCTGTCTCGTTGCTTCGCTTCAACTTGACTGCGCTGAATTCAACGGTATGCAGCACAAGGAGAATGGTTCACTTGAATTATTGTAGACTATAAAGGCCCACTGCTGCTTGATATTGTGGAGCAGTCACCAGCATTCGTAAGCCTTCATGAATGCAGCCTCGCCCAAGCAGACATTCTGACCTTGCACCACACGCCATGAAGCCCGCACCGAAGTGTCAGCCATTGAGACCGTCCGGCCCAGCTGCAGATACGTCGATGTCTACTTGGCAGCATCTGGACACAGATATGAAGGCGAATACGAAAACCTTGTGCTGCAGATCCTTCGTCTGTTCGCCGGCGGCATAAATAATCAAATCGACCGTCGATCGTCCTATCTTGACCTACTTTTTTGATCCCATCGATCCATCCCATCAATCTTGTCGGAGAAAACCAAGATCATCTTTTCATCCTGGCAAAGAGAGAGCGTCTTGGTGGTTTGGGAGATTTTCCAAATTTGGAAAGATGGGAATTGGCAGGCAGCCCGCGCACTAGCGACGGTGCCTTGGGCTGAACCCTATCAAGCCTTGGCTATCAAGCCTGGCTGTTATTTGACCGGCACTTGGGCCTGTGGAAGCGCGGTAGAACAATTTCCGCAGAGGCTAAATACAGATTGAAGTTATCAGAGTTCCAGTAGTGCCGGACGGATAAGGAAGCTGAGAGCTAAACGCCGAGATAGCAGAACCGGGGGCCGGGAATTCGGTCCTGGGGCGTGGGTGGTGTGGTGGAGGGGCCGCCACCACGGGAGGCAAAAAAAGGAGATAGAGATAGACAGAAAAACAATGACTGGCGGTGTGTTTGGGGACGAAGAAGGCAAGGAGTTGGCTGTTCCATGTCTCCATTTCTGGGCCGTCCTGACAGTCGTCGAGCAGTTGGTTGTGGACTCGTGGAGATGGATTATGCAGGCAAAGCGATGCGATGCGATGCTGAGAACACAGCGCGACTTCATCAACTGGAAACATGTCGTGCAGCCCGACGCGAGGCGAACTCTCTGTCGCCACGGAGCTCATACCCCAGGGTGGATTCGCGATGGAGCCAATGTGGATTGGGGGCTGAAAGCTGAGAGCTCCACAGTTGAGCACCCAAAAGCCTAACATAGGCAAAACAGACATGGAGTACAGAGTGCTGGGGCTGGGGTTCGCTGCAATTCGTTCTACTTGCCCTGCCGTATCGCGTTAGAAGCCGTTGAGAACGAGTGACACGACACATACATGATACATGCGTTGTGCTGCTCGACCTGCATTGACATGTCAGCTTGTTTGTTTGTGAGACCCGCTGTCGCGGTCTGCTGCCGCTGCCGCTGCTGGAGTTGGCAGTGGCGTTGGTTGGATGTTGAGACGGGAGCTTCTGTGTCAAACGGGCATGCATGGCATCGCATGGCATCGCATGGCACTGCACCGCATCACAGCCATGGGGCCAGTCAGCACTTGAGCACGCTCGGACGTGTCAATGTGCCAGGCAGCTATACTGTATGTTATGTGCTGTGCTGGATGGGCTGTTGCGTCGCGTTGGAGATCCTTTGGCTTGGCCGGTCCGTCTCGTCTCGTCATGTCTTGTCCTGTGAGGGGTGAAGAGGCGCCTCGTACGCCTTTCCGCACAGTTTAGCCCTACAGCCTTACTGCCGAAGAATTCAATCAAACTCTCCGACCATGATGGCACAGTCGTGGACGGCTGCGACGGTGTCGCTTCGAGGTGTCAACTGACAGGTCCAGGCACAGACAGGCACAGGCACAGGCACGTCGATTCGGCATGCAGACACCAGGGGGGCGAACGGGCAGAGAGTCCCAGAAAAGAAAAGGAAATGTTGCGACTGGTCAAGTTAGTCGGGGTGGCAATCCCAATGGGGGTTGTATATGAGGGCCAGATATTAATCAATGCCACGTCAGCGGACAAGCCACGTTTTTGCTCGAGTGCCGGAATGTCACAGTTGCTGTGCTGCGGTATCCGCGCGCGAGCTGCGACATTCAAGATTCGACCTGATGCGGATGGGATGTGCGCGCATTGGTGTGGCATTGGTGGGCATTGGTTTGCTGGTTTGGTGTGTGTGTGTGTGTGTGTGTGTGTGTGTGAGCGGGCGTGCCTTGGAACTGTTTGTCTCGCATTCGCATCGCGCCGCCAATGCATCCATTGCATCCGTCCATCCACATGATGCGTCGCGTACCTGGCGCTAAGAAGAGGGGATCTCTTTTTGCCCCTTTCTGATGCTTCTGTTTGTGCCTGTGATGCTGGCAGATACTGTACCTTATGTAAGAAGCTGGGGCGAAATGGAGCAGAGATGTGGCCCGTCTTGTCCATCTCTCGCCCATCCAATGTCAAAGCGACAATCTTAAGATTCAGACCATTGGGTCGGTTGGGTTCGGCTATCTGCGTTCGCCTGCAGACCCCTGGTCCGCGGAGGAAGAAGTGGAGGAATGTGTTCTGTCAGAGTGCTGTGGAGCGGTTGGTTGAGAGTAATCGAGCTGTCAGGAAATCTGGTGTTGAGATTGAGGTGCATCCGTTGAAGATCAAGGTAGGGTAGGACAAGACGAGACGCAGGCAGTGCAAGAGAATGGCACTGTCAACGGGTGAAGCTGCCCATCTTGCTCCTGCAGCACCCAAAAAGGGAAATCAAATGAGGAAAAAAAGAGAATGACCAGATTGGTAATGCAGGGAAGGACCCTGCTTTCTGACTGCAGGGATCCTCGATGCAGACACCAGGGGAAATGTGCAGATTGGGAAGGACCCCACCTTGATTTCTCTCCCTCCACCTGGTCACTGCCCTTTTTTTTCCCTATCATAGTGAGGAGTAATTTTTACAACAATTATAGTCATGAAGTTTCAGAATTGAAAAGAATGAAAGAAATTCTTATTAATTCGTACAGACCTCGACTTGACTAAATCTTGAGTGATCTGAAGGCTTCAATTACACATACAAAAATGCTCAGGGCCAGCTATGGACCCCAAAACCCCTGCCTCCACATCTTCATCTTCTGCATCGGGAACAGGGATCAGCCATGTCCGAGTGGAACCCCCCTGGTCCCCACGAGGGTCGTCAAGTCAAGTTCTCTTTTCTGGAAGGGGCAGAAGCGCAGAAAGAGTGGTCTGATGGCGTGGAAGGAGACAAGACAGACAGACCCAGACCAGGGACAGGGGGGAAGAGCACAACGTGGCCCAGTGGGATTCTTCCAGATCTTTCCCCGCGAGGAGGGGGGGGGGGGGCAGATGGCAGATGGCAGATGACAGACTGATGGAGGTTTGGATTATGTATCTAAGATGCTGATGAATGGTGGGATGGTGGGATGGTGGGATGGTGGATGGTAGATGGATGGATGGAAGTAAGGAAAGCCTGGACTGAGTGGATGTGATTGTGATGACTTAGACTGCTTACTTTGAGATCACGATCATGATGGAAAGTGCAGTGTAGACGACATGCCTGCCTTCCATTGCACATGATATCCAGGTGATTGCCTCTTTTTTGCACCGTGGATGATCCTGTCCACCGTTTCTGCAATTGCGTACAATACACCAGGAAGGTGCTCCTTTCTTCTTCTGACGTTTTGCCAGGCAGGCGATCGATGTCTCCTGCCTTACCAACAATAGCAACAGCAGCAGCAACAACACCAATTCAATCGGTTCATCCCCATCCTCCACTCCGAGATCGTCGACATCCAATTCCGGACCGAAGTGGCACGCCCGAGTGATCATCACCACAAAACGAGTTCAACAATCACTCTACCAGTTCAATCAGTCAATCAGTCAAAAAGTCACTCAGCCAGTCAGCCAGTCAGCCGCCCATTCAACTAGTCAGTCAATTGATCGCTGCTCTCTCATTTCAGCTGCCGGGTCTGACCTGGCCGTCGGTCAGACACAACACCAACCCGATCCGGTATAATTCCCAGCCAAAACAGTACCGTACTGTATTAGTCCACTGCTATCCTCATCTACACCGTCTCCATAACACATGGTTTGACAGCTCGTACCGCCCTCTGTCTGTCTGTCTGTCTGTCACAGACACAGACACACCGCACGTGGAATCGGACAAAGCTTTGACGAGCTCCGCCCTTGAGCTCGAGCTCGACTTTGACCTTGACCTGACCCAGACTAGGCCCGTCTATCTCCAGTCCCCAGTCTCCAGTCTCCAGTCTCCATCCAGTGCAGTATTGTCCTCGACCAGGAGGAGGAGGAGCCAGTGTCACACCAGCAGAACAGACATCCACTTAGCCTTCGCCTGACCTGACCTCGACCTCGACCTCGTCTTGTGGCGCTACTCGAGATCTGTCCCATTCGTCACTCCAATTTGTAGACCTACGATACGAGTTCTTTGCGCTGCCTCGCTCGCTTCACCTGCATCGAAGCGCGCGCCCACCGAGCGAGGAGACGGTCCAACAAGACACCAAGCTGTCGTGACATTGATCGATTCATCCGTCATCATCATCAGCAGCCCAACCGAAAGCGACTCCCACCCCAAACCCAATCCAACCCACAACAACTTTAACCTGCAGTCGTTCGTTTCACCCACAACCACCCACCCACCCACTCACTCGCTCAATCTACTGCTGTGCTCTGCTTGACTTGCATACACGTATGCATATCTTATTTGTCCGGCCGTCTGCCCAATCTGGCCAGTTCATCCTGCCCTGCTTCTGCTTTGCTCTGCTCTGCTCTGCATGGCGCCCATTTCGCATCTGCCCTGCAACGGTTGATCCCTCTTGCTGCTGCTGCTGCTCTCGCTCTCCTTTTATTGCTGAGTACCTAGCACCGGGAGCCTGGGACCTGGGATCTAGGGACACCCCATCTCGAGTCATTCATTAGTCCCATCTCCCGAGACGAGACCAGATCAGACCAGACGAGCCAGATCCGCAAAGGGCCTGTTTGTGCACCCAGGCACGACATAATCTAGTCCAGCTCGGCACAGACTCAGACACAGACACAGACACAGCAGATCAGTGACAGCGAAACTGACAGCGCCCCCTTGAGGCCCTCGTACCCTCGAACCCTCGGCACGTCCTTCTCCAAGCTGCTGCTGCTGCTGCTCCCAAGCCCAGCCTAGGCCTAATCGACTCAAACCGACCTGCAGACCGACTGCCTGCATTTAGGGGGCGCAGCAGCCACACACACACACAGAACAGACAGCACACAGACAGGTACCGGCTCAGGCACAGGCACCAGGGGCATACACACGGGGAAACACACTCAGACGGGCTCAGCGATGCATCAGATGCACCACCAGATGCACCAGATGCATCATCCCCATTCCCATCCCGACCCCGACCACGACTATGAATACGACCTCGACCCCGAACCTGAACCCCCGCGAAGGAAATCCCACCGACGGAGGCCTGAGCTTAACATAAATACAATCATCAGCGCCAGCGCCAGCGACCCGCCGGGCCTCACCACCCCCTTGTCGCCGCCTCCCCCGCCCCAACTGCCCTACAAGTCCTCCTCCAGGAGTCTGAGATCCTCCGCAGCCGCCGCCGCCGCATCGTCGTCGACCACCGTGACCATAGCCGCCGACCCGACCTCCCCCTACTCCTATTCCTCCTCCTCGCGCCGCCATCCTCCTGTCTCCTCCAAGGGCAAGCAGGCCGCTGCTTACCACCGCTACGCTTCTTCCTCTTCCTCTCCTCCCTCCGCGAAGTTTCCCGCTCAGGCCTACGGCGCGTACGAAAGGGATGCACGACACGCCGACCCGGAAAGTGGCACATACGACCCGGACTTCGATTGGGCCAAGAACAACCACCGAGGCTTCGAAACCTTCCTCGACCCGCTCTCTCCCGACGACATGTCGAACAAGGAAAATGACTTTCCTGCTGAATACGACCGCGACAGGGACCACCACACCACCGCCTCGACTCCCCCGTCCCGCCCCCAGCCCCGTCCGCGCGACTCCCACGACCTCTCCCTCTCGCCCCGAAATGTCACGCGCGACTCGCTCCTCGGGAATATGCTCCTGTCCCTCGACCAATTCAGCATGGGTCAGATGAATTGCGCCCAGGGCGGTGGAGCCCAGCGCACCATGTCTGGTTTCGCCGAGGAGTCCAATTACTACGACGACGATGCACCCGTCGCCGCCGCCGCCTCCAGGACAATGACTAGCACATCGAGGGCGCCCAGGCGAGGACACGGCCACTCGTACAGCTCCGACTACGAGGACAACTCGAGCACACTGTCGCGCGGCCAGCGGAGCAACAGCAGCTCCACCGGCTTCCAGTCTAACCTGGGCAGGATCAACAGCATGCGCGAGATGTCCAGCCACCGAAACACAAACGGCGCACCTGGGTCGAGACCGTTACACTCAAGAGGGGGTAGGGGTAGCAAGAGCAGTAGTACAAACAGCATCGATGCAGGAGGAGGAGGTTACGCACAAGTCCTCGGCAGCCAGCGCTGGGCACACGGCCTAGGCTCGAAGCGCTCCTCGAGCTTCGAGCTGGCCCGCCGCCCGTCCTTTGGCGTGCAGGCCGACCAGCACCAACAACACTACCACCAGCAACACCAACCACAACAACAACAACAACAACAGAACCAGCGGCGGCCGTGGCAATTGGAACTCTCCGAGTCATTTGCCGGCGACGACTACGATGCTGCACCGACTCCAACAGTTCCTGTCGGACCTCGTCGGCTGCCTAATATGCCGTCAATGCCGTCCTTCCACCGCGCCGAGCCCATGGGCGAACCCCTCTCCCCTGTCCGCTCCATCAATCTCGAACGCAAACGCAGCAACAAATCCTCACGCAGCACAAACACCAGCCGACAGGGCCAGTCCAGATTTAACCACCGCGATGCACCTCCCGTCCCTACGCCCGCGCCCCAGCCCGCATCCGTTCCCACTCCTGAGCTAGATGCCGCCCCGGCGCCACACGTTGGCTATGAGAAGGCCAAAGAGCCCGTGCACCAGCCCGCTCAAAACTCTGTTCCGCAGCCAAAGGAAAGGCCTGGCTTCTTCAAGAGGATGTTTGGCGGCGGCTCAAAGAACAGCGTCGTGGCCGCCCTGGATCAATCGGCAAACTCCTCGGTGGTCTCCAACTCGTCTAACAACTCCACCCCGCTCACCAGTGCCATGGGCAGTAATAACTCCAACCAGGTTTCATCTTCACAGCCAAAGTCAGGCAGCAATCCGCCATCGCGGGGCTCGCAGAATCACTCATCGCATGGGCTCCAGAAGAAGCCGTCGAGTTTCTTCAGACGCCGCAAGAAGTCCGTCTCCGTTGCCGATGCCGAACTGCCTCGCGTGCCACCCCTGCTCGCCGCCCCCACCATCTCCCCAGTGCAACTCCCCCCGGCCCCGTCTCAGCGCCTCGAGGTCCTCACCCCTCGCGCGCAACCAAGCCCCGTCACCAGCCTCAGGAAGGCTATGGACCCCTACCTGACACACTCGGGATCATCATCGGGTCTAGCCACTCCTCGCCAGCCTCCCGATGACCTGTCGCCAGTACATCTCTCTGAGGCCGGTACCAACAACCGCGCTATGGACCGAACCGTTCGAAGCTTCTCGCCCGACTATGAGCCGGACCCAATGGCAACGATACGCTCAGTGCCATCGGAGTCGAGGGGCAGGGACGCCGGTGCCTCTGCTGGCGAGGCACAGAGAAGGACGACAACACCCTTAGGAGAAGAGCCTCCAAGACCACTTTACAATTACGAGCGCACGGGCTCCTTCTTGCATGACAACAGCGAAAGCGAAGAAAGCCCTCCACGGGTCAGGAAGCCAGATCCTCAATTGGTCGCGAACGGCCACCCAAGATCACCAAACGACGTGGGCCGCGCGTCGCTGGCCCCACTGCAGACAAATCAACCCATGTCCTCGACGTCCTTGAACACGACGAGAGACAAGAAGATGGACAGGTTGACACAAGACAGCCTCAGCACGATCAAGAGCGAGCGACACACCAGCCTGCAACTTCCGATTGAGGGCGCCCTCACGGACCCAAAGCTTAACACGCGTGCTTCAGCAGCTAGTATCCCAAGTCTCATGGTCGAAGACTCGGAACCCAACTCCAAGGTGACCACACCAAAGCCTGACAATCCCCTCGATGAGCCATTCTTTGTCGTGGGCGACCCAACCGAAGATGACCGAGCGAAGGCCCAGAAGATCTATGATGGCAACGAGGAGTTCATACCCAAAGACAAGGCTGCCTCGTGGATGGGCGAGGAGGGCCTGATCCGGCAAAGAGTGTTGCAAGCGTACATGGACCTGTACGATTTCAAGAGCAAGAACATCGTGACAAGCCTGCGGGATGTGTGCAATCGTTTGATCCTCAGGGCAGAAACTCAGCAGGTCGACCGGATCCTAGTGGCATTCTCCAGTCGTTGGTGCAATTGCAATCCGAATCATGGATTCAAGTCCACCGGTAAGGAAAATTCCCTTTCAAACTTTCTTTGGCATTGCTAATTAGCTGCTCGCAGACGTCATCCACACCATCTGCTATTCCATCATGCTCCTGAACACCGATCTGCACATGGCCGATATCGAGCAGAAGATGACCCGAAGCCAGTTCATTAAGAACACAATGACGACTATAATACAAGCTTTGGGCGAATCTGTTCCTGAAATGTTCAACAAGAGGGGGAGCGTTCTGCCAGGCAAGGGCCTCAACCTCGACGACGGGGACGGACACGTCGAACACGAGAGATCGAGCTTCCGCAATTCGTTCGTCAAGTTCCCCATGCGAGCTGGATCTGCGCTCGGTGATGCGCCAACGGAGCTCGACGATTGTGGCCCGCTGGTCAAGGCTCCCTTTGAAGGCTCGTTGAAAGCCTGGGAATCTCAAATGGAACAAGTACTGAAGGACACGTACGCTTCGATCCGGGATGAACGATTGCCATTATTTGGAGCGGAGCAGCCTCCGCAGGAACAGCAGCCTTCTGGCGGCTTGTCTGTAATGGGCATGCTGAAGCGTTCGCCCAGCGTCCTCAGCAAGGCCCCTTCGGAAAATCCGTCCACACGAGGCCGGGTTCCCGACTCGATGCGCGCAAGCAACTCGCGTTGGTCCTCCAAGAGTCGATCCAGGCCGCGTGGTTTCGGCAGTGCAGGCTTCTCTTCCAGCAGGACGAGCTTCGACGACGGCCAGTCCATGTGGAGTCCTGTTGAGTCCAACGCAACATGGAGCCGAGCTTCCCTGGGTAGGACACAGACGTCCATGTCTATGGACTCCTTTGGCTCGCACTTCACACGTGGTGGGGGCTACCAGCAGTCCATCGGCTTTGCCAATGCTCTGAGCCAAGCCATTATCCGGGAGGACCCTGTGGGCAGTGTTCAGTCCCTCGTTAGTGACGAGCTGAAGCCCACACAGCTGCTCGACGATGAGTCGCTCGAGCTCGCCGGCCCACCCTGGGTCAAGGAGGGCATGGTTGTTCACAAGCACCACCTGGATGGCGTTGACAAGAAGGCCAAGGAACGTAACTGGTCCGAGGTCTTTGCCGTCATCCAAAAGGGTACCATAAGCATTTTCTCCTTCACGCCAAACAAGTCCACGGCTCGCCGCGGCCGCAATGCTCAGAACATTAAGAAAGGTGCAGTGGTCGGTGGTGGTAATTGGCAGGAGAATGCCACGTCCCTAGGCTCATGGAGCCTCCGACTGGCCCTTGCATCCACTCTTCCACCTCCGGGTTATTCGAAGCAGAGGCCACACGTCTGGGCTCTGTCTCTGCCTACCGGCGCAGTGCATTTGTTCCACGTCGGTACGCCCGAGATATGCAAGGAGTTTGTCACAACTGCCAATTACTGGAGCGCCAGGCTTAGCACGCACCCTCTGATTGGCGGTGTTTCGAACATGGAGTACGGCTGGAGCGATTCCATCATTAACAACGCACTCGTGACGGCCATCAATGAGAACACTGGCTCAACCACCGCAAGCTCTACAGCAGGTCGACAGCGCAGCAACAGTGCCGTTGGCCGCTCGAGCATGCATTCACGCGGCAGCAGCTTCCGTTCCGTCGGCTCGTTTGACTTTGGCAGCTCCAGCATCCGGGGCGACTCGTCCAACAAGCTCCCTGGCGACCGCATCACCATCTCAGAGTGGATGCCGCCGACACAGTCGATGCGGCCGTCCAACTCGCCCGAGAAGGAGCAGCTCGAGACGCTGCTCAAGTACGTCAAGAGCATCGAGGACGAGCTGCAACAGCACAACTCGCTGCGCAGCCCGATGTTGCTAGCATTCAGCCCGCGTGGTCCCAATGTCCAGAAGGCCATGGCGAACTGGGAGCGCAAGAGCAGCTATCTCCTGCGGGAGATTGTCAAATTCCGGACCTACGTGGACTGCCTGCAGCACGCTGAGGTGAGGAAGGCCGAGATCTGGAGGGAGAGGGAGGTTGCGAGGCGAGCGGCCAGAGGCAGCCTCGACCTGGAGGACGACGCGAACGACGTCGATGGCCACCGCATTTCACGGCGCGACTGGGACGATGGTGGTAGTGATCGTGGACATCCCGATAGTATCTATGAGATGGGCGACGAGCCCGTAATGGAAGAGGGTGATCAGGATGCCACCCTGAGGGCCCGTTCATGATGGGGCCCATAGGACGAGGAATCGGAGCCTGGCACATACCGGCGAAAGATGACCTTGGCTGGGTTGACACAGCAGTACTCGAAGGAGCGACTTGACATCTCTTGGACTGCACAAAGGCACGAGGTCATTGATTCGTGTGGGATCAGGCTTGTACAACATGGCATGCCTATATGGTTTTTCGGTGGACGTGAGGCCAAGTTTTTTCTTACTGCGGTGATACCCCCTTCCCCAACCGCTATAGTGGTTGGGATTGCTGTCGACGATGGGGCAGCGGCAGGGACGGCGCGTCTTGCCCTTTCTTCGAAACTTTATTTTTTGCCCCCCGTTGCCGTGTATTTTACACGTGTGTATATATATCAAATTCATAGCGTGGCGCGGGATGGATATGCTGCTGGATTGGGAATGAATGCGATGAATGAGATCCTGGCGGGGGAGAGCGGCATGGATACGTAGGCAGTTAGCTCTATATATCCTGTCTCTAAGCACTCTACTAGTATGTGTATGTTTGTGTGTGTATGTATTGGCATCTGCTGTGATGTGCCGTTGGTGAACTCTCATATCTGTTTGTTCGTTTTTGCATCCCTGTGTATTGGCGCATCTGTTCCGACCCTTCACCCCTGTATCAAAACCTCGGAGCCGAAACCGCCTAGTCGTCGGCCGACAACCCCAGACGCTCAGATGCGCACAAGTCGTGACGTCTCCCCATATATCTATCTTCACACCAGCCAAATCACTCATTTAACAACGCGCCGTCCTCGCCCACACATACGACATCGGTTGGAATAGGCCCATAGTCAAAGCTCAATTCATGCTCTCTCGTGCAAAAGCAGTCATGGCTTCAGCAGGACGCACGTATCTGGCCTTCCAGCACGACGCCAAGCTGCACAAGCTGCCAACCAAAGTCGTCGCCATCCACGCCTTCTCATCCCTCGAGGAAGCCAACCGCGGCCTCTTCAAGCAAGGGACCGACCAGGACCATGTCGTCGTCACAGAAAAGACCATCTTCCACCCGCAGGGCGGCGGCCAGCCCTCAGACGTCGGCACAATGACCGGCCCGTCCGGCGCGGCCTTCGACGTCCAGGCAGTGCGCATGGACGCCGTGCGCGACGGGCAGGTCCTGCACTTTGGCCGCTTCGCCGACCCGTCGTCGTCATCACCACCGTCGCCCGCCTTCAAAGCCGGCGACACGGTCGAGCAGGCCATCGACGCCGACAAGCGCCTGCTGTACTCGCGGCTGCACACGGCGGGCCACGTGCTGGGCGCGGCGGTGCGGCACCTGCTGGAAAAAGAAGTCGCGGGCTTCGACGAGCTCAAGGCGTCGCACTTCCCGGACTCGGCGGCGTGCGAGTTTGCCGGGCTCATCGAGGCGCGGTGGAAGGACCCCGTGCAGAAGAAGGTCAACGAGTACGTCGCTGCTGCGATGCCGGTTGAGATCGACTGGTGGGACGAGGAGGATTTTCGGAAGCATGGCCTCGAGAGGCTGATTCCCGATCGGAGCCTGGCGCCGCCCGGGGAGAAGTTCCGCGTGGTTAATATTGTGGGGGCGGAGGTTTATCCTTGTGGTGGGACGCATGTGGACACGACTGATTTGTGTGGTGAGACGAGGGTTAAGAAGATTTCGAGGAGTAAGGGTACGTCGCGGGTTAGTTACACTGTCACTTGAGGACGTGCATGTTTGGGTTTGTTGAGTCTTCGGGTTAGGTCGGAGGTGGCTCTGTCAGACCTGCTTGCTTTGGTTTTTTACCTGCACTTGCGCGTACGGGGGTGCAAGAGGTGACGGCTAGACGCATATAGAAAAATTAGAGCGCAGATAGCTATGCGCAGTACGCGGTCCATCAACATGCCCAGGTGGTACAATTCTTCTTGAGTCCTGCTGGGGCTACCATATTGAGTCGACTCGTATCATACCTCATGTGAGACCAGACTCTATCTAGACGACGGGAACACTGTTAGGGGTGCAACACAAACATTTCGATGTCTAGTTGATGCCAATGGCTCAAAGGGGCTGTGCCTCGTCTGTGTTAGGCAAACACGATACTTCGAGTGCACTCTGTTCTACTGACCCCTGCGGTGGCGGCCTCAAAACATGGCTGGCGTTCTGCGGGCAGTCAAATCCGGCCTGTGAACCAGCGTATGTAACTATGCGAGCCAATTAGTTGATTTCATGTCGCTTTTGAGCATGGGCTACCGGCTATCGAGAGGCCACCCGTTGCCAAGCCATCTGTCGTGCTCTTTCGTGTAAGGACATCGAACGCTTGGAAGTACCTTGTCTAGACGAGGGACATTGAATCGTCTGGACTGGGCCGAGATGATGTTGCCTCTCCTTCTGACTTCCTTATTATCCTCCGTGCTTACGGGCTTGCTGATACTCTTCCGGCTCAAAATCATACAGAAGCACTATCAAAAGAGCCAGACTCGCTCAAATCCTTCATATCACTCCTGTCAGTCGTCGATGCTATATCAATCCCATTATGGCATCAAATTCATCCAATACGACTGCCGTGGAATACGTCGGATGGCAAACCGCACCACATACCCGCGGCACGATGGGCATATTGTTGAACTGCACATCTGTCATTCTTCTAATCACCTGGACCAGTTTCCACCCTTGTATTGGCATCAGTCGGAAGCAACGGATACTTACCACGATCACGGCGATTTTTGTCCCAGTATTACCGGTATTGGTGGCTTCCAAGGATTTTATGTGTGCCTATCGACTGTGGAAGCCATTGCATGTGATGGACGGCTGGAAAGAGGAGTGGACTTGGACAAAGTCCTTTTTGGTCGTCAAAGGTGGCATTTGTGTCAGGCCACACTATCAACGTAGTCATATTGACGACTCGAGTTCTAGTCAATCAATCAACTCGAATTTCGGCGATATTTTGGACCCGGATACTTTCCTGCAGCTCGCGCGGGTGGGAAGTGTCCAATACGAGGACTTCCCCGCTACTATGGAAATTCATGACAAGTCCAAAGCGGACTGGTTCGCTAAGGCCATTACGGGTTTGCAACTCCTCTGGTTTATCATCAACATCGGGTGCAGAAGGATCAACAATTTTCCCGTTTCGTTGATGGAAGCAATAACCCTGGATTGGATCGTATACGGACTCTTAGCTTCAATCCTGTGGCTGAAGTGCCCCCAGAATATCGAAATACCTTACGATGTTCCTGTGCGCGATTACCGCGAGCTGGCAGCAGAATCACAGTCTGACTATCATCCAGTCCTGTCGGAGGTATTGCTGCGTCACTGGCTTACTGCGAATCCAGATTATGGGCGTCGCAGTCACACAAACAAATCCATGTCGCAAATATTGTGTTGTACTATCATGCTGCCGAGCTCCGCTCTCATGATGGTCCCTCTGATGACCCCTTATCAGTTTCCATCTCGACTTGTTACCGGAGCATGGGTGGCCTTCGCGGCCATGTCTTTGTCATCTATTCTCGCACTCACCTTAGAACCTTTAGTCCGTTCTGATCAGTATGATGGATACATCCGAGAGAGATTCGTCAAACTACTGATGCTTGAACCTTCTGAGTCTTGTGAAAATGAGACGCGATCTGTCAGCAGATGGCTCGAACTCACCGCAGCGATGGGGTTTTACGACAAGTCTGACGTGGCTTACAAGCAAATGAACTCGGATTCCGTAACGCGGGGTTTTTTTCTAATGGTCGTGATGCCGTCGATTTCTGTGGCTTGGCTCTCCCACTTTGCAAAGCTGGTTATTGCTTTGACAGCGTTTGCCGACGCACCCCATGGTGTATACGACGTCCCGAGCACTTGGGTCTTGGAAGCCCTAGTACATGTGGGTGGGTGATGCTTAGGCATAGAGAGCAAGTAGATGGTAGGCCCTTCGGTCAGCGCAAATGGTGTGCGAGGGCGATGAAACTGGAAATTCCCCGCTAGGGAAGGTGAAAACTCATGATACGATTTTACTCATATGTGTGTTAAGTACAGTGCTGGATGTACAGGGGTAAGTGCCGTCTCAAGAGACTGGTGATTAGTATGGGTGCAAAGCACTTAGGTCAGACTTACAGTAATCTTTACAGTAATCGTCCAATTGCATCGAATGACCTGCGAAGACTTGATGATTGATAAGCTGCTTTTATAAGCCTCACATTTGAGACTTCGCTTGACCTGCACCAGCCTTCCGTAGCTTCCACTGAGCATCTTTGACATCGATGCCAAATCGTTCCCCTCCTCCTTCCGGCGACCACCACCAGCCCAGACCAAAGAGCCGTGAGTGCCAAGAAGACCCGTCAAGAATGCCTCCCTCACTTCCTCCGGAGCCCGTGGCCTCGTCACACATTGAGCTGCCAGCAAGGAGAGATGCCAGCCCAGCAATGCTGCACGGGTCATGCGGCAGGACCTCCTTGGTATCGATGATCAGGTAGGACGAGATCCCGCAGATAAACATGACGGTAAGTAAGATTTGTAGCTCCAGTTTCGACCTCCAATTTTGCCGGAGCACCCCCCTATCCGAGTTGATCCAGGTCGCAGTGTACGTCTCGGGAGTCGTGCCGATAGCGACAGGGACCCGCATTTTCGCGTTTGCTACCTGGGCCATGTAGCGCTGGTACAATCCCTGGATGGCGTCGACTAGCTTTCCCTGGTTTTCAGGTCCCCGGATATTCTCTGGGTACACTCCGCTGCTTGGCTGAAGCATCAGTGTGAAAAAACCGTCAACGTTGTAGTTCGGGTTGTCATAGTTTTGTACTACCGATGGACTTCCGAATCCACCGTAAGTCACGTTGCCGTCCCAGACAATAACCTCAAGCTCGAAGTGGAGTTGTGGACGCCAGGGGAACGCAGTCTGCCCGCTTGGCCCACTGGGGAGATACCTGATTGTAGACTCATCTGGAACCGCAGATATGACTGTGAAATTGGGGATACTCAAGGTAACCTCCGTTTGGATTTCTGCCATGAGTTGAAAGCATGACATTGTCGTGAACCAGGCTGGTGGTGCATTCAAAGTGATGTTAAGAATGTCTGATGTATTAAGCGAGTAATTCCCAAAGGTGAAAGCAAGTGAAGGGCATCCAGGTGCACTATTATTTTGTAGTGGCAATGAGAACTCTCCAAACCTGAGGTTCCTGTCACCTGCATGCAGGTCAAGCATCTGGCCTACCAGGCCAGATTTACCAGAATTGAAGCTCAGTAACTGTCTGCTAGACCAGTCGATCGTTGAGGCTTGCTGATCACACGTAGTTGGAACCGACGTCGTGGCATTGATGATTAGTGATGCTTCGGATTCTCCAGCATATGGTACATAGACGGAAATGTCGTCTGTGGGTGTGGTGCTGCACTGCAACTCACCCCGAATGGCTGGAACTCGGACAGTAATAGAAGGCTCTGACATAGCCTTGATTCGGGACAAGTCTTTCGAGGGTAATTGTATTTCCGGAAACGTCAATTCAGAATTTGTCCATGATGGGAAAGATAGGTTTAAAACCTCCATATCGGTGACAAGAACCGCCGCGCCACCATCGTCGCTCACACTATCAGGCCATGTGGGGTCAAATCGGTCAACTCGACGGACAGTAACAGGGGATGGGCCAGGCAGGCTCTCTATCGTGTAGAGGCCGGAGGCCGCGATTGTCAGAAAGCTGCCAAGAAAAGCCGCTAGGGTCGCAAAAGCTGTTTCCCAGTATTTGTTCCGCAGAGAAAATCCAAAGGACTCAATAGAGAAACGGCCGAGGAGGGCATGAGTGATGACAGGTTTGCCTTTAGCCTGAGCTTTTTTCAATCGAGCAAATGGGGCCAAGACCAACACGTTAAATTCAATTGAATCGTACAGCATAGCGACGGTCATGAACAGTACCGATGGAACAAATCTGGTACCAAAGGTGACGAGCATAGAGTCTGGACTCGCGATGCTTGTCATGCCGTTGACTCTCGAGGACAAATGTTGCAAGATTTCCAATGTGGCGATGATAGCAAGTGGAAAAGCTGATATCAGTGCGAATATCCAAGGACGCAGGGGAATGGGTCTCCACCATGTAATGCTTTCTTCGGGAGGCAGCTCTGTCGGCCTCGCATTGGCAGTGTGTTCTAGACCCGGAATAATCGAACAGAAGCCAGGTTTTGTCGAAACAATCATGCTTTGAAATGTGAAAGGCTCCAGAGTCTTTTCAATTTGCTCGGTTCTCTTCTGGCCACAGTCTTTGAGTAGATTGTTGAAATCGGGACTGTCTCTCAAAATCATGGCCATGTTTCCGATAGGCCCGATTTTGTGCGTAACAACGTCCTGAGCACGGATGAGAACCAGTGCCATTGCGCCGACGGCCACAAGGAGAAAACCGCTGACCATGGCCAGCGAAGCGAGGGCAGAAATCTGTAGTCTCATAGAGGTCGTGCTGATTTCTCCCTGCAGAATTTGTGTTGTGTTCGATAAGAGGAACCTGTTGGCTACTTGTACACCTGTGTAGGTGAAGACCGTGGTGGCCGCCGAGGACATCGTTCCAGGATTACCAAGAAAATCCGTCGCTGACGTATCTGCAACCAAAGACATCATGTTCACAAATGTGTCGGGCACAAACTCATCCGTCCCCTTTGTAATGTAGCTCCCGACTATGAAGTCCGCGTTGTCGGCGTCCAGATTCAGTCTGTTGGAAAAATCGCTTTCCGTGAATCCTTCGACGAAGGGGCCAGGATGACCTGTGTCGGTGTCACTTGGAAGTAGGATAGTAGGTTCCGGTGGATTCCGTGAGAGGTCGTACGTGACCTGTGCAGGGACCATGGAGTAACTGATGCTGCAAGCAACTGAGGTCACTTCCATGATCTGGATGCCCCAGGTGTCTGAGGAGTTTGATGGTTCGGCCTGGAGGATAGCGGAAGGAATAGCTGTTTGATTGTACCGAATGTCAAATAACGTGACCAGCGACCAAAATGATTCCTTTGCATCACGACAGGTGTAGTCTCCAAAAGGAACCCCGCTGAACAATTGTCGCGTCGGGTGCATGTTACGCAGATATTTGAATGTAATGTCGACTTCCTTTGGGTGCGATTGTGACCAGGAGCACGACTCCCAGGATGCATTGGCGAAGATCTCAATCACGTCCACGTTGTCATACGGGGAAGTAGTCGCATTCAGGGGGACCAGGCTCGCCTCTTGGCACTGAATCAAAGGCCTGAATGATTGGACAGTTCCCCGAACCGTGGAAAGTGTTCTGTTGGCGGTTGAATTATCTGGCAGTTTGAAACGCTGAAAGGCAAGATTCGGCTGGAGACCATCTGGAAAGGGTAAATCATCAGCGATAAGGGCATATGCTTCGTAATCAATGGCCGACTCTGCCAGGGAATCGAAATAACTTTCACCAGACTTATAATTGGAAGCATTGAAAGTTGTCAATGCTTCCAGTGTGACATTTTGATAAGGCATCGACATGCTGACTGGGCTAAGGAGGCCAGTAGATGCCACTGTCACGATCCTGAGCATGATACCAGCGTAGATAGCGATGGCAACAGTGGCATGCTTGAATCTTGCTGCCTTCCAAAGATTAACAGGCAGGATTGGGGAAATATAATCAAGGAGAACGGTTCTCTCGGGGCTCGCAGGACCTCTTTTGAGTTCTTTCCAAGGCTCAAGCAGCTTGCAACAATATGTTGTTTGATTCCAAATGCTCATGATAACAGTCAATACTGCTGTAGGCCCGTAAGTCCACGAGTAATTGTTGGTTGTCAGAAGGGGGAAACCGTGGTTGCCAACGGAAACTCGCCACAGAACAATTGTTGCGGCGGACAGCAATGTGAGGAGCGATGAAACTGTAACAAGCAGGGTTGGTGACGACCAGAAAGGGTTCCAAGAAGTCAAAGTCCTAAGCTCCGGTCGCGACTCCGTTTGCTGGCTTGACAGTCGGTCATGTTCGCTGCCACTGAAGTCAGGCTGGGCATCCCCCAATGCCTCACCATCATCATGAAGGCTGCTTATGTTGCTCGTGTTGTCTGTATCAAATGAACGGTTCAAAAGAGAGTCCAGCTCAGGGGTCTGGGACAAGGCAGACGTTTGATCTTCTTCAGGCTCCGATCGCAGGGGCATATTTGTGCTGAATCGACTGAGGGCACCTCAGTCCGCTTATACTAACATGGGTAAGATCTGTACGAGGTGAACAGACTTACTTAGCTCTGACACGTGGATCAATGAAAATCTCGCTGCTCATCTGGATAAATGGACTTCGGCGAGGACGCCTTTTCGGGCAGTGGTGATTCCTTGGTTTTGAATTTGGTCAAGGGGCTCATATCAGGAAGCATGTCATCGCAGGGAATAGGTGTGCGATATTCTACAGAGCTCAGCTTTTGGTAGTTATATCTTATTCAACAAGTGCTGTAGTGGAGCACTATGCTAGGCAGTGCTGTTCAGCTCAGGCTCCAACGGTAACACAACATTGAAGACGGGGCAACGCTGCTCGAATCACGCTCTGATACAAACCCCAGATGAGACGTTGCTACGATAAGGAGGTGTGCAGAGGCCGGCAGCCCCCAAAAGTCTTTGAGGCAGTGCTTTTAGAGCATTCAAGGCGGAAGTTAGCCAGGTGGTTGTATTCCAGGCTATGTACGGCCCCTAATCAGAATCATGCCTGGAAATGCACGATGTCTTGGCAGCGCTGCCGACACTGAGTCTTGATGAGGATACGGCATCCACACGGGCTCGGCTCGCATGGGTGGCAAGGCGAATGCGATGATTTATTTGAACATCTATTGAAATTGTTCCAAGTTCGATAAGCCTCGGGAAAGAAATGCATTCGACATTGAATATGTCGAAACCGTTCCGAGCGACTCCTTGAGAGGCAGCTCACCGGGCCAAGTCGCGGGCCGGTGCCCGTGGGTTGTGAAGATCACCCCGCAAACAACATTATGAAAATATTGCAGAAACCTTGTGGTAATGGATACATCAGCGTGTGAATGTCTGTTACGACACCTAGCATTGTGGCACACTATATAAATGCTACGGCTTCGCCTGTGGCCCGAACGCTCGTAATGTTCCTGTCTTCGCGCAACAGGTTCTCACCAAGGCCTGCAGACAGTACGGGTGACACATCTTCAAGGCGTTGTAGAACTCAGCGACAGAATACCCTGTGCAATGTCTTTAAATTACTTGACATCCCTACTTTTGCTCCTCTTGTGCGCAAATTTCGTTCAATCAAGAATGAATGTTTCGGGTGGCATTCGGGCTCATGCCGTCACGGAGGGTGTCACAGCTAGCAACGACTTCGTCGTACAAGCTCGCATCGCCGGATCTGATACCTGGTCTTCTTTGCCTCCATATTCTGTCTATGGGGCCGAGCAGAATCTTACCCGCAACCAATTCAACCTGTATCCCATCACTATCAGCTCTTTGGATTACAACGAAGGCCCATTGGAAGTCCGAGCTCAATATAAAGCTGGTGTAGTTCACTCTGCTTTGATCCGACCTATCTCCTTAGGAATTGAAGCTACCATCGACGGCGATGTCATCAGCTTCACACTCGATCGACATGTGGACCTTATGCTGGAAATCAACAATGACAAATGGCAAGCGTTGCACCTTCTTACCAATGAGATCGACACCAATGCCCCCACCAAAGATTCTGAAAACGTCTGGTATTTTGGACCGGGTCTGAACAACGGATCGGCCTACGCGAAGGTCGATGGCGGAAATTTGACCGTCCCATCAGACACAACTGTATACCTCGATAGCGGGGCATTTCTCAATGCTAGAATACTCTTCAACAACGTATCCAACTCTGGGATCCGCGGGCATGGATTCCTTTACAACTCACCCAACGGCGGTGCTATCCTCATCGAACGCTCATCGAACATCTTCGTCGAAGGCGTCACCTCTTTCAACGCAACTGGCTTCAGCCTCACGACAGGCGAAGCAAAGAACGTTCACATTAACCATTACCGATCCTTCTCGTCCCATGGAAATGGTGACGGTCTCGACTTCTTCTGCTCCCAGGATATCCTGGCTGAAAATTGCTTCCTACGCAATTCAGACGACACTCTCGCCATCTACGGTCATCGCTGGGACTATTACGGCGAGACCAGAAACATTACGCTCAGGGATTCGGTCTTGTTGCCAGATATTGCGCACCCGATTAATATCGGGACACATGGGAACCCCGAGAACCCTGAGAGTTTGAGTGGGATCCACATCAGCAACATTGACATCTTGGACCACAACGAGGGCCAGATGTGGTATCAAGGTTGTATCGCGATCAATGCTGCCGATGCGAACGACATACACGAAGTGCTCGTGGAAAACGTTCGTGTGGAGAAGATAACGAAGGGTCAACTTGTCAACCTTCGCGTCATGCAGAATGGCAGATGGACGACCGCGCCGGGCAGCAAGATCAGCAACGTCACGTTCAGCAACTTGGAGCTGAATCTAGAGAATTCGAAGATCGTGAACCCGTCACAGATTTTGGGGTACGATTCGACGAGGAACATCCAGAATGTCACTTTTGAAAACTTAAAGATTGGTGGGGAGCTCATTCATGAGGGTTTGGCCAAGCCGAACTGGTTCATGGTTTCGGATTATGTTCCTTTGTTCGCGAATGAGCATGCCTTGAATGTTTCGTTCAAGTTGACGGAGGGAATCAATGGCACTGGGAATTAAATGGACCCATCAAACTTGCCTCACTTGAAGCAATTGTCTTGAGACTATGGAACACATTGTACCAGAATTTCCAATTTCGGAATGTTTGCTTTTTCCTAAAGGAAGACGCTAGTACGACATGAGTTAAACAGCCACGCTTTGATATCTCTTTATACGTAGTCGTTGATCCCGTTGTGTCTCAGATGGTAAAATCAGTACACATGGCGACATCGAGATCTGAAGTATCATTAGAGTCACCATGTGAAAGATTACTTCGTTGGGACTGGAACCTATGTAGAGGACGCAAAATCAAATCATTTGTTTCCCATGATGTTTTTCCATATCATAAAGTTATGCTCATTGGTAATCTTACAGGCCGAAATTGTGGTGTCTCCTAATTGAGGAGCCCGAGGCCTGTTGGCTGAACGAAGAAAAGCTTGATACCTCGGCACGCTCCTCGATGCCTTGATCCTCCACGATGATACCCTTACCCGTCTCGGCGTCTCGGCGCGTCACCGAAAACTCCTTGCGCGCATACTCAGAACTGCCCCGAAGAGCCATCTCTGCTAGTGCCTTTCCGAGCAACGGTACGAATTTCATCGCCCATCCGGCCGTAAATAACATGACGCTGTCTTTGGGCCCGCCACGAAGATACTCTTGTGGAACATAGTCCAGAACGAACATGTTGTCTGCGTCGAATCGTGTGAGCAATAGTCACGTCTGGGTCTGGAAAGACGAGGGACAACGCACCAAAGACATTGGTTTGCAGACAACTTCCAGTAAAAGCTGGCACTGTGGAGTCTACGCCAACGAGGTGCTCTTTGATGAAGTCCTGTGTATCCCGGATATCTTCGGGATTGACCACATTCGTTCTGCGCGCACTAGGATCCTTGATTCGGGAGGTAGCAGCATCAACGGCGATCCTGGTGGAATTAGGAGGGCCCCAGGGCACAGCGGGAAAGCCGTAGAAGAGTTGAGATCTCCCATTTTTATCGGGAGCAAATTGGAACCACATGCCTGAAATTCGCAAGGTCAAACGCCACTCTAGACACGACTATGTTGCAGGATACTTACTGGGGAAAATCGTGCCGTTCGGTCCGGCGTTGGCGTTGAAGTAATTAAACACCATCTCCCATATATCGAGGTCCAAGGATATACCAAAGCTTGGCTTCAGCACATGGTTGATATAAGCCCCTGACGCGATAATAATTTTCTTCGCCTTAAAAACAATGGTATCCCTGTCATGACGGATTGTGTGTACTTCCCAAATGTTGTTGTCATCCTGAGAAGGATTAATGTTCTCGACGCGTGTGTGTTGCTTGGCCTCAGCTCCATAGTCCTTTGCTAGACTCAGCAAAGTACGCAAGAGTAGTTGAACGTTGATGACGCCGTTGTCCGGCGCGTAGAGGCCCTCCCAATCGCCAGGTAGGTTTTTGAACGGGTAGCGATCCTCGATGTCTTTGGCTTTCACTACAACGCCGCATTTAGCTTCTAAAAATCTATCGTGGACCCCAAATATTTCTCGACCTACACTTCTTGTAGGACATGCCAAGTCTGTCGAGGTTTTTTATCGGGCCGTTCAGTGTTCCTAGTCGTTATTAGTAAAGTACGAAGCGGCTGACGATACCCCATGGAAGATCAATTTACCCTCCGGAGTGCTGCCGCCAAAGTTTGGATCTCCAAAATTCAACAAGCCACTCATCCATCTGAGGGAAGTACCCGAGTCTTTTTCGAGGTCGTCCCAAAGGCTCATTGCCTCTTTAGCTAGGTCGGCCATGAAGTCCTCAGTATACCTATTGACACGATCTTAGTGGAAATAGCCCTTCGACTTCTAGCGTTTTGAACAACTCACATCGTTCGAAACATGCGAGCGAGGTCATTGGAGCTTCCTGCCTGGTTGAAGAAATTATTCTGCTCGAGGACGAGGGCACTGGCGCCAGCTTTGGCTATCTCGTAGGCGGCCGCGAGCCCAATTGGGCCTCCCCCGATGATGATTGCATCGTACGTCTTGTCTGGCATGGTGTATTCAATTTCTACGTCAAATGAGCTTGAAGTTGTTTTTCAATGAAGAAGGGTCCAAAGGCCATTATTTCGCGGTCTTTAAAACTCTCTTCAGTGCAGACGTTCTCCTTCTTGGACCCATGAACCCCAACTATTTCCATGTCCAATCAACATAAATGAGGCTGAGTTAGCATGCACAAGCTTACTGTGGCAAGTTGCTCTTACAAATTCAATTGCTTTGTGAGACTCTCCTAGTTGCAGTGCTAGAAAACTGTGGCTAGCTGGCTCGTAGCTTTGCCCAATCATGGTTGAAGCGGTGAAGGCAATCGAGCCAATTTTGAGATGGTCGGGCGTAGTGGAGAGCGTGCAAGAGTCCCTCAATTCAATTCGAGACAAAGAGAGCTGAACATTTCGACGGCTGGGGAATAGCGAGTTCAGCTTGCGAAGATCTCCTAACGGCTTTTGGCTTTCAGCTTTGGAGAGATTAAAAACATGAAAGGATCTGTCAACTGCGGTAAGACATTGCTGAGCTGCATGTATGCACGGTCGAGGGAATGCCAGTTCAGCTTGCAAAAGGTACCTGACGACTCCAAGCTTTCAGCTTCACAGGAAAAGAAGGATAGTACTTAAATACCAGCACAAAACAGTTGAAGAGATGGTTACTGAACATAAAATCTCCATGGAACTTCGACATCGTCTTGATGCTTCAACTAGTAATTCCCATTTCTCATTCAATTGAACCATCCTCATTCCAATCTTCTTCATCATGAGTACCACTCTGGCTTCCCACGAGAAATCTGCCAAGTCTCGCTGGGCAGGGAGATTGATTCGCCGGAAGCTGGCCGCCGAGCTCAATGTTCTTAAAGAGAGAAATGAAGATCCACCATTCGGCTTTCACAGCTCGAAACCATACACTCACGACACGCTGCCTCCTGATCCCAACTATCTAGGTGACAAGCGACCAGGACCTGGTGGTGATGGCATTGAACAACCTCCACGCAAAGTTTGCATAGTAGGCGCCGGCGTTGCAGGTCTTTACATTGCAATGATATTGGATAGTCTGGAAATCCCCAATCTGACTTATGATATCCTCGAGGCCAATTCCAGAGTCGGCGGTCGCGCTTATACTCATCACTTCAGCGATCAACAGCATGACTATTACGACATTGGTGCTATGCGGTATCCTGATATTCCCATCATGAGTCGTACATTCAAACTCTTCGAGCGTCTCCGTGTCCCAACCATCAAGTACATCTTGAACAACGACAAAGCACCAAAGCTATTCAACGACCGCTTTTTCTCTGGAGGCTTCGACCCCTACCATGTCAGCGTTACGAATGGTGGTTCTGTTCCTGACAAAGTGGTTGACAACGCCGAAAAGATCCTTGGAGATGTTTTCGGTGCCTTCAAGAAGGAAATGGCTGACAATTTCGAGCGCGGATTCTCGAAACTTATGATGTATGACGACTTCAGCACGCGAGAGTTCTTGAAAAGAATGGTGTGCGGCCCGCTACAAGAGAAGCTCTACAACTTCTTTTCGATACAGTGGATGGAGACTCAGGACACTTCGACCAACCTCTTCGATCAGGCATTCTCGGAGAGTGTCATGGATTCATTCGACTTCGACTACCCAACAAAGGACCCAGAAAAGCCGGTGGAATGGTTTTGCATTGAAGGTGGGACTACCGTCCTTAGTGATTCGATGCAAAAAACACTGAAGTATCAACCTCAAGTAAGAAAAAGAGTAGAGGCCATATCAATCAATCGCAAATCATCAGAGGATGGAAATATGTCAGTCAAGTGCGCCGATGAGACGGAGCCTCGTACAGGTTACAGCACCGTTTTCAATACCACAACCCTGGGCTGCCTGGGCCGTATGGATCTTCGTGGTCTCGAGTTACATCCTTCACAGAAGGATGCAATTCGAAGTTTGCACTACGACGAATCTGTGAAGGTAGCTTTGAAGTTCTCATATCCCTGGTGGATTGTGGACTGCGGCATCCGAGGCGGAGTCGGCTCTACGGATTTACCCCTACGTACCTGCGTATATCCGTCATATAACCTGGACGATGGTGCGGATAAGCCCGCAGTCCTACTGGCTTCTTACACATGGGCACAAGATGCCACTCGAATGGGGTCCCTGGTTGACAGACAAAAACCGCCACAAAACGAGGGCGAGCTCGTTGAGTTGATCTTGCGGAATCTTGGCCGCTTGCACGCAGAACACATCAGCTATGACAAAATCAAGGAGGCATTCACCGGAAAGTACCATGCGTACGCCTGGTCTCATGATCCGAACACTGCGGGTGCTTTTGCTCTCTTCGGCCCAGGCCAATTCAGTAACTTGTACCCGTACCTCTCACGGCCGGCGGCTGATAGCAAATTCCACATTGTAGGCGAAGCGTCGAGCGCCCACCATGCCTGGATTGTTGGCGCTCTGGATAGTGCCTATATGGCTGTATATCGCTTCCTGTATCGTTTCAGCATGTGGGATGCTTTAGAAAAGCTGAAAGAGCAATGGGGTCTGGTGGATGAGTTGGAGGTAGGAGAAGAGGGAACGGTGCATTTGCAAGTCATGCTTGGCACGCTCCGAAAGAAAGACCAGTACAGGGTCTAAAACGTTGGGAAAAGGCGACGAAAATTGTTTCTCCAGCCATTGTTTAAGGGATCAGTCAAGTGCCGTCAACACTCTCTGTGACGTGACCGCCCAATCAGAGCACCATGTATCAACGAGGCGTTTAGTGAGCACCATTTTATCATGAGATTGTAAACACACCCACCGGCATAGTGCGATCATTTCAAGATTGCCGCGCAGGAAGCAACACGGGAATTCAATCACTACCCAGACTAGAACAGCTAGCTATCTGGCACTATGCACAGAATTTAGACAGTCAATGGCGGATTCTTAGGCCTGGTAATCTACAAACAATTTTTTTTTTACCCAATTCTGTTGTTAAATATTGCTGGCTTCTCACCTTCTGTTTATATGTAGGCGCATTGAAAGTAGTGAGTGAGTCAATTTTCTGGCGGTGGGCGTTGACGGCACCAAATCCACTTCGTTCTCCCCATCAACCTGGATGTAGACAAGCCTGAGCCCATAGAATTGCTGGCTGACATGCCTTAGCTCCTTTTTCATTAGTCGAGCTCATTAGACGATAGTTTTGGAGTATTTTGTAGACCTTGCTGACGTCCATGGGCCTGATATATTTTCCGGAATCCTTCAACCTGTGGATACTTAGTTCAATGCCAGACTAGTCCCAGGCAGCAGAATTTTCTCAAGCTACGGTTCATTAGACCAGCATCCCACAATGTCACCAGAAGCGAGGGAGTACATCTCTCCAGGTCGGAGACATATATGATGATAATCTAGACAGAAATGCAAGGCTCGATAAAGTCAAGGTCTCTGCAACAGCGATCTTAATGGATGGACGCGGAGGGGTCACATTGCATTCCACGAAGAGTCGTGACTTAGCACTGGCAAGGAGTAAGATCGAGCAGAGTTTCTCAATCTTGGATTCCTCCCGTCAAACCAACGCCAACTGTTTCGTCGACACGTTCCAATGCGTCCTCCAATCAGGATGCAGATTGTCTTCGGGGAGCCATGTTGTACCCAGTCGCTCATAATGTTTAGTGTCATGATCCACACAACGGAGAACAAGGCAACTAATACCATGACCTGCAAATACATGAACGATAAGACATAATACATCATATCTCACTGATATAAATAATTCGGGGATGACACAATCCTCGGTGAGAACGAAGGTAAAGCTGGACATTACTGAAACATCGTATCTTTGATAAAATCCAGATAAAGAGGGATTTTTGAGTTGGTCGTGGTCACTGCATGGCGTCAAATTGGCAGGGAAAGCATCTCCCCTGATATTGAGAACAGCCACTTCGATGTCGCCCACGTACGGGCTTCCCTCATTTTTATAGGTGATGTGGCAGCTTTCGAATTGGATCTCTTGAACCGATTTGCTAGGAAAGCCCACACTAGTTGCAGTGGAGGCCCATGACCACGTTGGAAAGCTGGCGTCTGGTCGCGGTGCGGGAATGGATGATTTGCGGTACCAGCATAAGCATTTTAGGACAATCTCCTGCCAAAGACCGCATAGGTATGTCCAACCTGTATCCTTGCCGTATTCCTCTGCGATGCCCGCTAATGCAGCCAGCTTATCTTGTGCATAGGTCAAGCTTCGCGAGGAATAACTTTCAACAATATCGGTCCACGCACGAGAGGAAATCGGTTGACAATTTCGCCGGGAATAATATTCTGTTCCCGTGCTGTCTGTGACCGCTGTCACATTATTGTTGTATGTAGTAATGTCGTCGAGATCATATCGTGCGCATTGACACACAGCATGTTCACGACAGCGCCACATAATCTCGTGCTCCAGAAAGTAAAGAGTCCGGGGGGAGAGTAATAATTCCTGATAGACCCAGCCTCGGGACAAAAGACTCATAGTCGAGGACTCGCCTGAGTCCATCAGCTCAGTCGAGTGTTGTCCTTCTGGCCGAATACCATGGTACGCGAAGGGGTGAGGCATGTATTCCTCGAGGTGCACAGAAATACCTCCTGGCAAGTCTGCTATATATTCACCTGTGATGAATTTGTTTGGGTCACTGAAAAGACTCTCGCTGCTCCCACGGCAATGGGTCGCGGAGATGGTGAAAGTGGCATTCTTGTAAATCGATGCCACAGAGGATGCTTCGTGTTTCCAGTCGGCACTGTCACCTTGGATGATGCACATGCAGTCCACCCATAGATAGTCGAGCTGGAATTGACGCAGGACGTGTACTGTGTCCTGTACTTTGAGATGTGCTGAAGTCAGTGCAAGTCGCCCTACAATGTGCAGTTCAGGAAATGTATTGAACTCACTAAGGTGCGGCAAGTGGGAGCAGGGTAGTCCTTCCTCAATTCTTTGACACCGATTTGAGTTGAGAAGTGAGATGGCTTTAGTCTCTTCGCTCCAACGGTGGCTCAGTGCGATGTATTCCACTGGTTCCGTCAGGTCTTCCACCAGCCAGACGACTGAGGCTGTCTCGTCGGAGTTGTGCTCAATGCGAAGAAGTCGACGCGGGATGTATGAGCAGGGTCTTCTCCTGCAGTTGTGTTCGCTATTGCACATTTCCCACCAACGTCTCGCGCGATCAAGCACTCGATTTTCAGCCGTCCCTTCCAGGTTGGCGGTCGCGTTTCCCCTGCAAATCAAAGGATATCCTTGATACGAGTCTGTCATTGGTATGGTATGCTGCGTCAAGAAAATGAAGTATCCGTGTGTCATACGAGAGTCGCTGATAGAGATTCCTCGCCAAAAAGGACCTTGGTCAGATTCTAATTGAATAGCCCCGCGATGAAGGGCAAATTTGAGTATGTTTCTGCAGGACGTGCAACCGCGGTCGGCGGATGCCACGAACTCCTTACGCGTGAACTTGAGATATGTCCCTACAGTCTGTGTGATGTCCTTATCTGCATCGATATTCGACGGATGTGCGCCTGGGCTAAGCAGGAACAGACACACACCGCATCTCGGCTTGCCCGCGCCTCTGGATCCCTTCGGCTCACCTCTAAAAGGGGCAACATCTGATGAAGCTTCCATTAGAGACGTGATATCAATAGGTTCCGAGATTGTCACGATATTTGAGCAGTCGTGGGTTTCACGAGGATCGTGTTGACGTTCCTGCCGATACTTCATGACGATGGCGGAGGTGGTCGAAGTGCCTTGACGAGGAATGAAAATGTTCTGGTAATTCTCGTCAGCACGATTAAATGGTCAAGCAGCAAGGCTGCTCGCTTGTTCAGCATGAATAGATGAATGGCTTAGGGGAATGAAAACCTAAAGACATACTATTTTGTACTCTAACACGCAAATGTAGCTTTCCCGCATGCCTTGTTTTGAAGGGCGTTATCCAGTAAACACCCCAACCCCGCCTTGCTTCCAGTGGTCGAGCCGCGAGACTACTCCGGGCCGGTCGCTGCTAATTATCATGTCTATAGATACAGGTCCGAAACAGGTCTTCATCAAGGCAACTTGGCCGAGTGGTCTAAGGCGCTACGTTCAGGTGTTAACATCTTCGTAGTCTCGAAAGAGGCGTGTGTTCGAGTCACACAGTTGTCATTGTTTTACTTTTCTTTTCTTTTGGCACTTCGACAGAGGTCCACATTGACATCTGTCGGCGACTCATTTTCTTTTACAGAGAGAGAATGACATGATTCGCAAGCCCAATGCGGCCAGTCAGCGAGTGTTCGCTTGCGATTCCAGATTCATTTGAGCTGTTATATGGAGCTAATGTTAACCCCGAAAGTGGCACCTGGTTGACTGATGAAAAGGCATGTATTTACTAGTAGGCAAGTCATAAAGCACTCATAAGCAGGATGATCAGAATTCCTTGATCTCGTAGACTTCGTAGCCAGGTTCTTCATATGGATGAGCTCTGAAGGACAAGAATTAGTTACTCTGCAGGGCACTAGGGACACAATATGGGGCCAAGATCTTGGGCAAAACCAACTTCTTCAAAGCCTCCACGGCCTTTTTGGCACACTCTTCCCCGACGCATAGCGTCTCAACCCTGGCTTCCTCGACCTTCTCCAGGGCGCCGACCTCGCCAATGTGCGGGTTTGCCGTGTCTCCTGGCCGAAATTGACCGGTTCCAATTGTTTGCCAAGCACATTCTGTGTAGTTCCCGGGACCTGGGTAGCGTCCGGCGCCGGCGGCAAAGATGGCCGTCTTCACGGCTTCCACGTCCGAGACGGGTACGTAGAAGATAAGTTTGTATTTCGTGGTAGTCATTCTGTCGATTTTGTCCACCGGTGGTTGTAATTCAATCTCTGATGCTCGTTCAAAGTTGTATCACTGATGGCAGCAGGTTGATCGTTGTATACCTAGATAAGGTTTAAGCGTGCAGTGAGCGTGCTTTGTGAGAGATTGCGTCGAAGCGCGCGTTCAATACGAACAGGCGTTTCTCACAGAGTCGGGTGGGGCATTTTCTGTCCCGATTACCGCCGAAAACTTTGTGCTGCAGACCCCTGCCAATGATGAGAAGCAGTACTGCAGGAGCGGAGGCTTAAACGGCAAGCCAATTGAGATAACTACTGTACTTGGGAAACAGCAAATGTTCAAAAGAGACTTGCGTCATAAATGACTTGAAAGCTTTGGTTGATATACGTGAATTAGGGGGCGTACCTCGGGACGCCGGAGCTCCGAGATCCAGCTCAACATCGTCCCTTCTGCTGACCACTGCACTGCATATTCGTAGGGGTTTCAAATCAACTCGATTGGCTGTGTGGCGGGTAATCTTTAGGGGTTACTTAATTATATAACCTGGTATATAATTTATAATATATACTAACTACGCTAAATACAGCTTAAAAACAGCTTTTTTATATAAGTAAATAAAAATAAAATAAACTTAATAAATATTCCTTTTATTTTTTATTTTTTTATTTTTTATTCTTTTAATTTTTTTTTTTAAAAATAAATAAATAAATAATTTTAAATATAATATAAATATAGCTTATAAGTATAAATAATAAATAAAAAAAAAGGAAAAAGTTAAAATAAATATAAATAAAAAATATACTTTTTTTTATTTACTTACTTTTATATATATAAATATTACTATTTACTAACTATTATATTATATATTTATAAAGGTTTTAAATTAATTTAATTAGCTATATAGCAAGTAATTCTTAAAAGTTACTTAATTATATAATTTAATATATAATTTATAATATATATTAATTATATTAAATATAGCTTAAAAATAGTTTAAATTTATTAATTAAATTTAATTAATTAAAAATAAATATAATTAATAAAATAATATATTTATTATTAAAATATAAAAATAATATTAAAATAGTTTTTAAAATAATATTAAATTATTAAACTTTTTTATTAGCCTAAAATTTTATACTTTTTTTAAAAAATTTTAATAGCTATAATAGCTTTAATAATACTTTTATAAAAGCTATATTTAAAATAATTATAAAATAATATACTTAAAATAACAATATAATATTATATAACTATAATTATTATTTATTATATAAAAGTTTTTTTTAATATTATAAATAAAAAAGCTTTTAACTTATATAAGTAAAATATAAAAAGTATTTATATATAAATATAAGAGTAAAAAAAACTATTAGTTTTAATAATAAAAATTATAACTTTTTTATTATTTTTATTTATTTTAAATATTAATAAAATTATTAATATATAATTAATTAAAAATATAATATATTTTTAAGCTATATATAAATAATTAAAGTTTTAAAAATTAATATAGCTATTAAACTAAATAAATTTACTTATTTAAAAACAATTATAAAAATTAATATAAATATAATATTAAAATTAAATATTATATTTAATACTTTATTTATTATAATATAATTAATAAGTATTTAATATAAAAGCTTTAGCTTTATTAGCTTATATTTATTTTTAAAAACTTTAAAAAAAGAATTTACTACTTTTTAAAATAAAAACCTAATATAATTATTATTAAATACTTTTATAAATATATTAAGGTTAATATACTAAAAGTAAATTTTAATAAAATACTTTATAATTATTATATGCTTAATGTATTTAATAAAGTATTTACTAAATATAAAAATAATAATAAAAATTAAAAAAGTAATTATTATTATAAAAAAAAAATAGTTAATTTAATATAGCTAATAAATTTTTAAATATAAGCAAATATTAATATTATATAAGTTTTTTATTTTAAATTTAATACTAGCTTAAATTAGCTTAATATAGATTTTATTAAAAATAAAGTTACTTACTTTTACTATAAAATTAGTATTAAAGATATTAATAAAAAGCTTTATTAATTTAAATATAAATTAATAATTAAAAATTAATTTTAATAAAAAATAATATTAATAAAAAAAATTTTATTAATAAAAATCTAAATAATATAAATTTTAATATTTATTACTACTATAAAGTAAAATAAAGCTTAAAAAATAAGTAAAATAATAAACAACTATATAATACTATTAAGAAGTATAGCTTAAATAATTTTATTATTAATATAAATAATAAATATATTATAAAGTTAGCAATAGTACTATTTATTTAAAATTAATAAAATATAAAAAGTTTTTATAATATTAATACTATTATTAAAAAAAAAGGCTTTAAATTTTACTAAAATAATAGTTTAATTTTAAGAAATAAGTAGGTAAGATAGCTAATTTATATTTATTAAAAATATAAATAAAAACTAAAATACCTTATAACTTATTTTAAATATATTTATAAAAAGATAGTAGATTTAATATAATATATTTTAAAATAATATTATATTATTAAAATTTAATAAAAGATTTTATTATTAAAGCAGGTTTATTTAAACTATTAATAAAATTATTTAATACTAATATAACTATATAGTAAATAAAGCTAAAAACTTTTATAAAAAGTATAAAAAGGTTTATTTTAATTAAATAATTATTATATAAAAGCTAAAGAAATTATTAAAAGTTTAAATATTTTATAAAAAAAAAAATTTAAGGTTTAGTATATTTTAGATATAAAATAAAGCTTTATTAATACACTTTTATAATAGTTAAGCTTTTATTTATATTATATTTATTTTAATATTAAAAACTTTTATAATAATATTTTATTAGTTTTTAATAGTATTAAGAATTATTTTAAAAAATTAAAGTATTACTAACTAATATTTTAAAGCTAAGTTTTTAAAAGCTAAAAAAGTATATATTAAAAGGATAATAATAAAATTATTTAAATAATATTTTATTAAAATATTAAAATTAAAGTTTTATATAGTTATAAAAATTTAATAAAAGCTTTTTATAAAAAGATTAAATAATAATAAAGCTATATATAAGCTAAAAAATAAGCAGTTTTTATAATAATACTGCCTTTACTATATAAAATTAAAAAGTTTTTTTTAAAAGTAAATAATAAAAATAAAATAAAATATATTTATTAAGTTTTATTTTATTAGCTATATACTATAGCTTATTTTTTATATTATATTAAATATATAGTATAGCGCTATACATTTAAGAAAAGCTTACTTTTTAAAAATACTTTTATTAATTAATATATTAGTTAAATAGAAAAAGTAATAAATATATTAAAAATTACTATTTTTTTTTAAAACTAATCTTTAAAAAAAATAAATAAATAGCCTAATAAGTCTATAAGGGAAAACTTTATTTAAAAAAAGATTTTTTTTAAATTCTTTTTAAAAAACTAAAAAATTATTTTAAATAAAAATAAAATTATTTAATAAAATAAAGGAATTAAGTTTACTATTATACTTAATTAAAATATTAAAATATAAAATACTATTAATTATAATTTTAAAATTACTAAAATAGCCTTAAAAAGCTTTTATTTAAATTTAGAATATAAAAAAATTAAGTAAATTTTATAATAATTTTTTATTTAATAAAAATATAAAAAATCCTATTTTATTATTTAATTATAATAATAAAATAAAATTTATATATAAAGTAAATATTTAAAAAGCTTAATAATAATAAAACTATAAAATACTTAAATAAAAACTTTTATTAATTAATAATTTAAATATTAGCTTTTTTAATAAAAGTTAAAAAAACTTAACTATTTTTTTAAAGTTTAAACACTTATTAACTAAATAGCTATTACTATATAAAATACACTTATATAAGCAATTATAATTAGCTTTTAAATAAATTTAATAATTAAAATTATTATAAACTTTTTAAATTTATTTAATAAATTAATTAATAAAAAAAATATTCTTTTTTATTAAGGCTTTATTAAAATAATTTAACTTTATAAAAAAATTAAATTATTTTTTTAATTTAAAAAGTTTTATAAAAATAAAAGCTAAATAATAAAATATAAAAGTAATAATTAAATAAAATTAGTATTTAACTTTTTATTAAATAAACTAAAAAAACTAAATATTTATTATTATTATAATATTATTATATTACTTACTAAAAAAAATATTAAAAATAATATAATAGTTAATAAATATTTTTATAAAAATACTTTAAAATTTAAAATTTTTAAAAAATAAATACTAAATAATTATAATAATACTATTATTTATAAAAATCTTTTTTAAAACTTAAAAATATTATTACTTTACTTTAAGTAAATAAAGTTATGAATACTAAAACAGCTTTTATAAATTTAATAAATAAATTTAAAAAAAATAACTTTATAAAAAGTTTTATTATATTTTTAAATTATAATTATATATTTATATAAGTTATTTTTATTATTTATTAATAACTATAATAATAATATAAAAGTATTAAATTAAATATAATAATAATTTAACTTTATTTATTAAAATTTAAATTTCTTTTTATTTTAATAAAGCTTTTTAATATAAATTTTTTACTTTTTTAACTTAAAATTAATAAATATATTTATTATAATTATTTAGCTTAAGCTAAACTAAAAAGTTATAATTTTAAATATTATTAAAGCTTTACTTTTATTATATAAAAAAAATATTTTAAATAAAATTAGCATTATTAATTATAAAATTAATTATAAAATTAATTATAAAATTAATTATAATATTTATTATAAAATTAATTATAAAGTTTATTATATAATTAATTATAATATTTATTTTATAATTAATTATTTAGCTAGTATATTATTAAAAATAAAAAAAAAGGTTAATTAAAAAAGCTATTTAAAAAGCTATTAAAAAAATTTATTTTAAAAAAGCTTAATATATATATTTTATTAAAACTATTTTTTAAACCTATTATTTTACTTATTTACTTATAAATATTAAAAAAATAAAAAAGCATTAATAATATAAATTATAATAATTAAAAAGATTTTTCTTTTTAATAAAAATAATTAAAATAAGGTATATAATAAATATTTTTTTATATTACTTATTTAAATATATTAATTTTATTTTTTTTTAAAAAAAAATATAAATAAAAACTTTATATAACTTAAATAAACTTATAAGCTTTATAAAACTATATACTAAATAAATAAAATTAATTAAATTAGATATAATAAAGTAAATAAAAAAAAATATTTTTAAAAAGAGTTAATTTTAAATATAATGCAAGTATAGCTTATAAGTATAAATAATAAGTAAGGAAGAGGGGAAAAGCTAAAATAAATACAAGCAAGGGACGCACTCCTTTTTATCCGCCCGCTTCCGTATATATAGATATTACCAGTTTTGCAGGGTTCTTAAGAACCTTGAACGGACGCACGTAGACACAACTAGACACCCAATGACCAGTCTTCTCTACACCGTGAATTCACAACGTCAAATTACCGGCCAGTGTCGTTCACGAATCAGAGCTGTCCTCTATCATAGGAGCGCCGTTTTCAACAGCCTGCCAGTCAATTCTGGGATCCTGCCTTGGGCTTATCAAATGGTCAGCCCATGGATTCACGCGTAACGCAAGGGCGTCTTTCCAAACAACAAGCGGGAGGTGCTCGGCCGCCCCCTGCTCGTCGCTTTCGTACACACGTGCAGAGTCGGAGTTGACCGCCATTGTGCATACGGAGCGACTGCTATCGTAGGATCCTGGGCGTATCGTGACCCCGACGGATGCTGATCCGAGGGGTATTTGGCTGGGGAGCTTGCATAGCGATATCCCATTGGCGCGGTCCTCATTACCATACACCAAATCGATCTGGTTAGGGTGGCTCTTCATGTTGATAAAAGCCATGTTCCCATTTTTCGAGGTCCCTTTGTCTTGCCAGGCTACGATAGATGAGGTCGAAAGGGCAGATGGTAACTGATTTGGCGCCGCGGCTACAGTCTTGTCCATGTCCGATTCTGGATGATTCAACTGTACAAGGTGGGGTTTCTTGTTTGGCCGTGAGATGTTGACACCGTCATCTATTGATCGCTTGTGAGCACTGCTCTGAATACGCGTCACTTTGCGCAGCACAGGTGATAGAGGTATAAGTAGTGGCCATCGCCGACCAGTGTAGACAATAGCGATCGCTGTGCCACAGTGCGAGAATCCAACGGTGGGTCTAGCACTGAGTATCGGTGATAGTTGTTTGATCAGGGTCGGGTACGGTTGTTCTGTAATGATTTCAGTTGACTTGACCACATGCAAGTGTCGTCGTGGTGTTTGTTAGCTAATCAATACGAGTTGAGGTGCATACCTCGGAAATGCCAAATGAACACGCCCTTTCCCATTGTGAAAAGAAAGAGTGGATCAACGGGGTGAAAGTGAGGATTCGTTATGAACCCCCGATCTGTCCACGAACAAGTCCTTTTGATCAATGTCGGAGTTTTATTTCCGGCTGAACTTGATGCAACGGCAAAAACTGCAATGCAGATAGCGCCGTCGACTGCAGCCCAAGAACTCGCTTCGAAATCGGCGAAAGCGATGCACTTGGAATCTGGACTCCATATTAGCTCATAAGAATAGCTTGAACTCCTTTTAGAATTTCCAGGATCGCGCTGCCAGCTTCTTTGCAGACTCGTGTTAAAACTTGTTCGCAACTCAGCACCAACACAGATATCGAAACTCGTGTCGAAGCGGTATACATTGTTTAGGATGGAGAAATGGCCAAGTCCCGGGGCGATTGTCAGAGGGAAGCTGCATTTCCAGCAGCCCATAGGTGAAAACCTCAGACACTGACGGAGGCAAAGCTCAACATTGCAAGCTAGCAGGTAAAAGGTGCTGTTACAGATGCTCTCGGAGCCAGTCTCCATTATGGCAAAAATCTGGTACGTCGCGATCCAGCCAGTGGACGCCATCTGGAATTCGGAGGGAGTGACTGGTACTCGGGGTAACCATTGGCCCTGACGGCGATCCCTCACCCACTTGATTGAACCTTGGACTGATGGGATGTCGGTCAAGTTTTCCCATCCCTTACGAAAGACCCTGATAGAATCAGCGCGTGTTTCCAAGTGGAGGCATGACGTACTCGCAGGGAAAGATAGCAAGGACTGCCAGTTGACAGCCATCGGCAGAACTCATCGAGACTGAAAAGGTAGGCTTTGTTGTTTTGCTTGTGTCTAGGTCTGGCTCAACCACCATCTCTGGCGCAAGACACTGCGCAGATCCGGCAGTGGTCGAGACTAAGAATCTACTCTTGGTGAAGATAGTTACATCGCCCCAGATCTCGTGCGGGCTACTCCTCAAGAGTGATGCCCATGCCTCGTCAAGGTTGATCAAGTCATTGGCGAAATCACGCAGGTTGGAGAGCAGATTCTCTATGTTCTCAAGGTTTTGAATCCGTGTGGAAAGGCTTACAATGTCATCTCGTAGCGACTCGAAGCGATTCGTAGTACAGCTTTGCGCTCCTTCGGGTGATGTGCGAAGATTGTACCATGCTTCGACCCAAACCATAATGCTTAGCCGGTTTTTGAGGTACTTAGAAGCATTATCTGCCATTTTTGTGACTTCCTCGGGTATGTCAGTGCTCGAATCAGTGGTGACGGCGATTGTTTGTAGGAGAAAGTCCATCCAATCTGTAGCAAGTCTCATTAACGGTAATTGGCAAAGCACAGTTGCCGGTGAAGCAGATTCGCCTAGAACGCCGGACAAAGGCCCCTGTGGGATTGCTTTTAAGAAGGAAATGAGTCGTGTTGTGATTATAGCCTTGGATTGCGGTGCGCTTGGGATCAGAGGGCGGTGTAATGGACAGCGACTGCGAGGCTGGACAAATTCCAGAGCAGTCAAGTGGATATATCGGAAAAGGTTGGTGGGTTGGGGACCTTTTTCGACCAAACCACCACAAACCACAATGACCGCGTGCTCGAATTGTTCGCTTATACCTCGCGGTTCCATGTCCCATCCCTCGGGGAACAGAGCGTCTTTCAGCTCTTCTGGCGAGATCCCAACGTGAGCCACCCACATCAACGCTTTGCGCGACATGCTTTTGCTATGTGGGTCCATGGAGTTGATACGAGTCTCGATGCGCTTGTACATCTCGTCAAGCTGGTCAAGTCCCTCTGTATTTCTCTCCATGATTGTTGCCAATCGCTGAGCCCGCGTCATGGCTGGTCCATTTAAGTACGCGATAATAAGACGTGCCCACAAGAACATTCCTTCAGCTCGGCCGACAAGGTGTGATACGATGGCGGCCTTGTCAACATTCTCCGACAATAGACCTTCCTCGACTAACGTCTCAACCTCCAACTGGAGGTAGCGAGCAATGTCAGCGTTCACGTGAGCCCCACCAAGAATAATCCGGTCATTTTTGGGTATCCGGCGTCGAAGGCCTGCGACGTCAGGCCGACTGAGCATGACCACCCTCAACGGTGATGAATCACACCATTTTGACAGCTGACGAATCAGGCGGTCGCCGTGGGAACACTCGTCGATGGCATCGACCACGAAGTACAGGTTGGGAAGGTGCGGCAGACACTGAGAGATTGTGTCTACAATTTCGTCCTCCGAAGATTTCTGCAGGACAGCCCCGCTGCGTATCCCCAGAGCAAATATGTTGCTGACCTTTTCGAACATCTTGAAGTATTCAAACATCTGCGTAGCAATAGCACGATAGGCGTCGACGGGCGAGTTTCGGGTGTTGAGGTTCTGGCTGAAAAAGTAGTAACATACTTCAGGAGCAGAGTCTGTGTCAGATTGATGATCGTTCTTTTTGAGTTCGTGGATTAAGGATCCAGCAAGGACTGTCTTTCCCGAGCCCGGGTTTCCTGCGAGGATTCTGTTAGCCCCCTTCCGTTCTCTTTCGGAAACACATACGGGGAAAGCATAAAGTTGCACATGCTGAGGCTTGGTATATTTGCTCAAGTGCATTACTCACCAGAAATCCATAGTATCTGGGAGTCATCTTGAACCGAGCTCAATCCGCTGTTCTGGATAGCACCCGATCTCCACGATGTGAGGCGAAGATCGTCTTGGAGCCATTCATGAGTACCCTTAAGTTTAGCGTCTTGAGCCTGCTCCAAGTTGGTTTTGTACGCAGGGGGATCGAGCCATTGTGTGGCCGCGCTTGGAAGATGCTCTAGAATGTGTAAACAAGTAATGGGTCAGTTCATGTCACTCTGATCACCGCAAATATATGCAGCCCTTACAGAAATAATACTGACGTCGAGACTGCGCATTCTGCATCATTTGAATTGCGGATAGATGCGTAAGCATCTGTTCACGATCTTTCTGCGCAGACCTTACCATTCTTTCGTTGAAACCACCCTGACTCGCAAAAAATAATTCTTCCTTCACAATGTTTTGGTCAAGACTAATGCTTTCGAGGATATTCTGAAATCTGACATCGAATGGCTGCCACAGGAGACTGGCAACTACAGACGGCGTCCTCTTCAATTCTTTGGTGAGGTGGTCAGCTATCTACAAACACCGGCGATTGTCACGATTCAATTTGGGATGTCAATACATACTACCGCATTTCTTTGAGAACACGAGGGCCACAGCACCATAGAATTCGAATAGATGATAATATAGTCTTTTGAACGCGGATTCCAAGTAGGGGGTCAATGCGTTTGGCTGCTGAGCTAGGGAGTCGTACAATGTCTGATATCTGGGTAATCTCAAGTTGAGTGTCTCCACAACATCGCATAGCTTTTCAAAGAATGTAACGAAGTGGCTGGCCAACTGTATTAAAACCATGGTGTCAGCAAGTCGAGCAAACGCTTAGAATGACGAACCTTGGAATGCAATTGGGGTGAGGGCGGCAACACGCACTTGGAGAACCAGCTGAAGTGAACCAAGCGCAATATTGGCCCATTCAGGATGAGCACCGCAGAATGTCTCCATGATTCTGAAATATGGTTGGAGATTATCACCGAGGACCTTGACCTTTTCCAAACTACGCTTGACGCGCCGACCACCATTGCTGAGGCTCGGAATCCTCTCAAGATTGCCGATAAGGTCCTCCACAGAGAGGCACGAGGAGAGATCGGCCTGCTCAGACGGGGACAAGAGAGACAAGAATTTATTTCGGGCCCAAATGAAAGGGTGATCATTGGAAGGTGTGGACGCGGTCAGCGAGCCACCACTAATTCCACTGGTCATTGTGTGAGTGCTTGCAGGAGGCAGCGTGACGTGCAACGCGAAGAAGAGAAATTGCCGTTGAGAAGCCCCAAAGGGTTGACGACCCTCCTCATATAGTAGGCTATATGTCGTGTGACAGGGCAGTGCTCGTGACTGCGCCGCTGTAGCAGGTTGCCTGGAGAGATGTCCGGCCAAACAAACAGCTGAAGAATTTGAACGCATCTGCAGAGCTGGGGATGTGAGCCAACCACGTGCATCTCCGTACCAAAATGACGCCAGCATTGCTGCATTGCTTGACTACTCGAAATTAAGCAGAACACGCGTTTGGGGGATGGCTTTACCCTGGAAGAAAACTACTTTGGTACCCCTTTATACTAATGAATCTATTGCTTATTTAGAACCACTTTCGAACCACTTTCCAAATTCAGCCAAGCTAACAGGCACCAGAGAACGCCTCCGCTCGTAGAGCTCTTTCCGTGTCTATATCACCAGTATGGAATAACTTCCTATAGGATAATCTTTTGGAGGATATTTTCAATTGGGATAATCAGCTATTGGATCCTTTCTTGTAGTATAAACCTGCATGGTAATATAAGCCACAGGGGCCTCCGCATTGACGTATTGTCATTTTTTAGAGTATCGCGGTGTTGTTCCAATAGCGTGTTTGACTTCCACCGCTTCGGCCCTGTCGCAGAGTCCTAAGCAGTTGATTGGCGTGTGGATGAGCCTTGAGACTTCCTTGGGTGCTGCTGTAAATGATTAAGTTTGTATTTGGTCGTGCTCACCATTTCTGCTCCAATCTCTGTGGCCTGTGAAACGTTCATTGATACTTAGTCCAAAAAAAATTGCATCTCTGATGGCGGTAGGTTGTGATCGTTGTCTACCTAGGCAATCAGTGAGCGTCCTTGGTCAGGAGGTTGCACTGAAGCAAGCACCTGATGGCTTGGCCGTAGGCGCTTACCACAAATTTGAGTGGGGGCTTGGGCACTTTCTTATCCTAATCGCCTCTGGAATTCTTCTACTGGGGGGCCCTGTCAATAAAGAGAAGCTGCACTAGCAGGAGCGGAGCCTTGAACGGAAAGCCCATTTATAGATTCTTTGAAGTCTTCAAGATCCCCTGCTACTCTGGAACAACAATAATTGTCGTGAGAGAGCAAACACTATATGCCTCAAGAACGTACTGTCATCTCATTATATGCGGATTGTGATAGTGACTATCCGATCAATCTGGACAGATGCTCTAGGAGCCAGTTTCTAGGATGAGAAATAGCCCCGTCCGCCGCGAGGCAGCCAAAGTAGGCTGACTGGAATTCGGATGGAGTGTTTGAGACTTGGGAGGAGGCAGCCACTCGGATCAGGAGCCTGAGGACAACTTTTGAAAACCCAAGGCAGACCTGGAACCTTGATATATTACGCCGAACGGCAGATCAGCCTATCCAATTACTCTTCCGTTTTCCTACGCCCTTGGAACTCAGTCAAGGCAGCTGCATATAGCACGATAAGCTTGGCGCGCCCTTTCTTTGAATTGGATGCCAAGACCACAACTAGAGGGGATAGCCAATTCTCGTCCAACATGTCATCAGCAGAGTCGCAGCTATCGAGTAGCTGACGTGGCACATGAGCGAATACTTCAGCCTCACACAGCATGGGTCTGACAGGATAAATACCGAGCTTTGTATCACACGCCTTACTCCAAGACATACTCCCCGCTCGAAATATCAGCACCATGAGACTTCTTGACACCACATCCCTTGAGTTTCATGTTGGGGAGCACGCCACTTTCCGCCAGGAGGGCTATGCAACTCTGTCACATCGTTGGGTATGGCAGGAAATCACCCTCGACCAGTTCGGGAGTCATGTTGAGGAACTCAGGTCCAGCGCAAGGCCCCTGAGCCCACAGCTGGAGAAGATACGCGCCACTTGCGCAACTGCACGCAGCAAGGGCATCAAATGGATTTGGATTGATTCTTGCTGCATCGACAAACGGGACATGGTCGAATTAACCGAGTCAATCAACTCCATGTACAAGTGGTACCGCGACTCCGTATTGTGCATCGTCTATCTCTACGATGTTAAGAAGAGCGACGCCGTATCTATCACAAATCCCCACATCTTCAACCGCATCGATCGTGACGAGCCATCTGAATGGTTCTCTCGGGGATGGACCCTGCAGGAGCTCTTAGCGCCTCGTGAGATGGAGTTCTACGACAAGGAGTGGACTTACATGGGCACTAAGAAGGACATGAAGACTTCGCTGGGGAAAGTTACTGGCATCAATGAGATCTACCTGAGTGGGCAGGTTCACTTTAGGAAAGCATGTATCGCCATGAAGATGAGTTGGATGGCAAGGCGAAAGACCACCCGACGAGAAGACGTTGCGTATAGCATGGTCGGCCTCTTCGGAATCACCATGACGCCTGTTTATGGTGAGGGTCATGGCGCATTTGCACGTTTGCAAGAAATCCTCATGTCCTGGAGCTCCATGGATGAATCGTTGTTCGCCTGGAAAATGCCAGCGCTCGATTCTGGGAACCAATACACATATTCAAGCGATCCCTGGCAATCAGGCGAATGGGGTCTTTTGGCTCCTTCTCCTGAGTGGTTCGCAGACTGTGGGGCCATAATGACTTTCGAACATAAGCCACCACGCCGAGGCTTATTCACAATGTCACCGAACGGTATTGAGGCGCCTGTCGGAAGAAGTGCCCAAACCCCAGAAGTTGAGTGTTTGCAATGCCTGGCTTGCTTTGGATTTATGTATGGCGTCGTTTTTGGAATTCTCCCCTGCATTTACTATCGGCGTCTTCTCAAGAAAGTATCGAACGAGGAATTCGCATTCAAACTTCAATGCTTCGAGCCAGATGCCGCTGGAAACTGCTATGAATTAGAACCGGTGGAGATATACCTGCGACCTATAGCGCGAGTTGAGGACTTTCCACCTTCCGATGCACCTATCATTTCGCTGAAAAGAGTTCGATGCACCGAATTTGGCCGCGCTTCCAAGCCTATCGGGGCAAAGACAGGTCTCGTACCGCAACCGAGCGTTACCGACCTCTAATCTTGAGCTGATATTTGAGGATACCGTTTGATTGCTTTGTTTGGTAAAACACACTGTACTAATTAGCCTAACATTACGTTAGCATCTCTTTCAAAGGTTATTAAGCTTAGAATACCCTACTTTGATAACCATTTCCCTCATATTGCTCTTTGCAATTCAACGTCATACTCAGGTCCGGCAGTCGCCTCCTAAGCCAGTTCGCCCCCACGGCCGTCGAGACACAGTTCCACGTCACCACCTAGGTCGATATGGGCACCACACTGAACCGCTCTAGACAGGAACAGGTAACTGTCTGTTGGCTTGTTAAAGTTCTTGGAGTTTTCCACGCTATAATCTAGATGCTTCTGATTACCGTCGGGTCACTTTCCGCTCTGTGGCGAACCTCCGAGTACGAGCGTTGCCTGTCGTGCTGCGCATAATACAGCATTTTCACTGATTTCACGACCCTCTGACATGCAAAAGAGTAAGTTACTCTCAGGAACTTCTACTGCTATATAAGGTGGTGATGACGGCCTTGCTCCATTGTATGGCGCAGGACGTCGTCACACGGATCCCAGTTGAGTACATCGTCATGTTTGAACCGGGCTATACCCTTTTAAAGCATTTTGAATACATTGGCACGGTTTCTTCCAATAGTACCGGATTTTGTTATGGAGCTGCGGGTATGGGACTAGATTAGACGACATTGCACTTTACTTAAATGCCCGCTTAGACCCTAGCGTTCTCTTTGTTGAGACTGACTGTCCTATAAAGCTAATACAGACTGTCGAATCTGATGCAAATGGACCGATGATAGCTGAGAAGTAGATGTGGTAATATAACAAGCCTCATGAACACACATTGCGCTTTATGGTTTGCTGATGCTAGGCGCTGCTGCGAAGCTGTCGACACCCATGTTAGATGGTAGCGAATATGGCTATGTGTATGGGGCTGGGCAAGGAGTAAGTGTCTATGTTTTAATACCGGGCATGGAGGTCCCGCGTTTATATTTAATTAATTTGCCTCGTCCCATGCCATATTCCAGTAGAATGTCATCTTGCTGATGTATCTTGAGCATCCGGACTTCAAGCACTCTCTTCGGGGGCCGTGATATTCCTTATGACGGTGGAAGGTCTGAAGATAAATCCAAATAGAAGGATGGGACTCGTGATTATCTGAATTGAGATGAAACACATGTTGCCGATACGATTTGTGCTCAAAATAATGGTGTCGTGCCACTTGTTCATCTCATAAATTTCAAAGTAATTTTGAAGGGTGATTCAGTCCTTACAATCGCCAAAGGATGTTTTCATTCGTATAGCCTGCCTGTGCCTCTCACCAGTTTTCCATTCTAAGTTCTGTCTCATTACCTGCCTCTACCCTGACCAAAACCACCTGCTGGCCCGCCTCTGATTCTGACTTGTCACATAGGCTCTTGCAGATGTGACAGCTGAAGAACCCACAATCAAGGCACGCAACCAGGGCGAAACACCTTTGAAGGTCCGCACTAAGGGGAAGGTTGATACAACCACTCCAGAACCCCTACAGAATATAAGGAAAGAAAGGGCGAACGTCCGTTTCCGCAGCACCTTGCACCTCAACCCGTCGCGGTCCCTCCTAAAGCTATACATGCGAGCAGAAGATCTGCACTAGCTCGTCAAAGATTACACGAGCCTCATTAAGGAACGAACCAGGGCTCATAATGAAATTCGCAAGTTCGAGTATAGTGGCTCAAGTCTTATTGTTAACGGTTATAACGCTGCCATACTGGCTTTGTCGAATTTGGAAGAATATTCAAATTAATGATAGACAGGTTACTGAAGTACATTCCATGGGCAGGAAGCCAGTATATGGTAAGGTGCTTCGAGTGGTAGATTTATGCTCGCTTAGCATACGTTACAGCTGACATATACGACGGAGAGGGCTCCTCTTGGAGGTTCTTTTGCTTATGGTTGAAGACAGCCACAACTTGGCCCTTGCTATTGATCCTCCGACTGGACTTAGAACGGGGATTAGCTGAATTGATATCGTTGATTGTTGCGGCAGTCTGCCAGTTCTGGGAATGCGGGTCATCGGCAACATCCATGGTGCCAGGGTCGCGGCCGAGTGATGATGGCGCCAACCGGACGCCTATACACTCGCCCATAAAGTTAGATCCGTCGAAGGATGCAACAGATCTTTGGGCAGCTAGGGGATCTTTGAAGTCAATAAAGCCCAAGCCATCCATAAGTTTGATTTCTGTGATCCCACCAGAGCCGGTGGATCTGAAGTGAGCCTCAATATCAGCTATATTGATACCACGAGGCAGGTTGGTGACATTGACTCGGGTTGAGGACAGCTCGTGGGAAGGTGAGGACTCGATTGGAACGGTTTCTTCATGAGGACTTTGAGAATGCCCATCATCTGACGTGCTAGCCAATGAGCTCATCTCGACTGCTTCATGGCTGGTATCTTCGTTATCATCAAATACCTTTGGAACAGCGAAAATAGCAAGCTGTTCCTGATGTGTGGCCACGTGCCGCTTGAATTGGGTAAGGGAGACGAGGATATCGGCTTGGTGGTTACTTGTTGACTGTCGAACATCCTCTTGTTGTCTGCGACGTGAGAGTATCGTGGTCCAATCGTTGCAGAAAGGACAGTCTTGAGACCTTAATTGAGATGGCACTATCCTCCCGTGTTCAATCAAGAATTGAAGTTCCATGCCGGGATCGAGTCCATGTTGGTCAAGGATGTGTTGCTCGAGTAGCTTCGCAGTCGTACAATGGCACCCACACAGTTTGCACATGTAGAGCGAGTAGTGATGTTTTAACTCATGGCTAAACCAAGCATCACGATCACTAAACATCAGGGACTCACACTCCTTCCCACCAGATGTGCAAATATAAGCTCGGAGGTCTCGGTATGCATGGATTCTAGGTTTCGTCAGACGACACCCGGAGAGTTGGGAATACGAAAAAGAAAAGGCGAAGGCAAAGAAATGAGGATCTCATAGGTCTGGTAAAGAGGTGCCACAACGCAGTTCAACGTACTTCCACGATGTTTCCTTGTGAAACGATTGCAGAGTGAAGCATATTGGGCATTCAAAGTACTCTCCGTCTGGGCCCAAATCCGCTAGGTTCGGCAGTTTGAGGTTCGTGTCTTTATCGAAGGCTGTCGAAGCCGAAACCAATGAAATTGAGTCGTCGTCTCCCCCGAGGGGTGACTGAAGAAATTCAGATGCGGTTATGGTCTTGGGAACAACAAAGGTTGTGGCTTTGCTGGACTGCATTGCGGTCACAGCATCCGCCGTAGAGTTGGTGTCCTCAACCTCAAGCTTTGCCTTATGATCTCGAACGTAGTTGATGAACTGTCGACGCTTCGCATTTGCGCTCCCGAGTCTACATGCCAACCATCTTGCATCGCTGAAACTCAGCTTAGGATGTCTTTCCTGGACGTAATTAGTATCAAATTGCACCGGAAATGAGAACTCTGCCTGCTGGAGTGCTCGCTCGAAACGGTCTCGAGGTGTCGCTTTTCTGACCAGTATACCAATGCGAAACAAAGCTTTGAGGCATTGAGACACCATACTCAAAATCAGATTGGCATCTTGTTCTCGGGATGTGAACTCCGCGTCAGATAAAACGCCATCTGGCGGTATATCGAAACCTTCCAGGCTTTCCTGCCCATCTACAACATCGGCACCGCTGTCAGAGCACAGTGGCAGCACTGGGAATCAATCAGCCATATGAAATACTAAAGACAGAGTGAAGCACTGACGGTCATGAATGGCTTCTTGCATATCATCTAATTGCTCGCAAATATGGTCTCGGATCTCAGAGCTATCTGCCAGCCTCGACTCCAAGGACATACGCTTGTGTGCTTGATGAAAGGCTCCAAGGCTACCAGTCCACAGTTTGAACCTGTCCAAGATATCTTCCACAGCCTCGGCTGCAAATGGTGTCTTGGTGACCCTTGTCTTGCGCAACAAATCGAGCATGCTCTGTTTGACATCTCTACTACGGTCGGCGATACTCCTTCGATCACTTGCCTGTGTCATGGCGGTTGCTCTGAAAGAAAGCCGGCAAATCGTGTTCGCTTCGGATCTGCGAGTTTGTTGTTTTCAATCTCAATCAAACGATAGCCGAGAATAAGGCAACATTTCAATGACCTGTTCGAAGAGTGTGAGGCCCAAATGACCGACGAACTGAAGTAAGGATGACGGGCGGGGGCGGTGACACCAAGTCACAGAGAGAGCGACAATGCGCCGATAAGGACGTACAGACTTTAGTACCCTTTCGTCTGCAAATTATCGGGCTTTGGATCATGCTGACCACGCACGCCACCCTTGTACGACTAGAGGCGCTTCCGTTCTTTTCCATCCCCCGAAGGCCCCTCTCCCCTCACCCATCTTACGTTCAGTCTTTACTTGAATCACTGCAGTCAGGGCCTCATCAGTTCAAATAACCTTTTGAAATGTCAGGCCTTGAAGTTGCGGGTTTGGTTCTTGGGGCGTTTCCCGTTGCATTAGAGATCCTCGACAAATACAAAGAAGTAGCTAGACGTTTCGGATTCTGGTACAAGATTGCAGCGGAGCACAGGAACTGCGACTCGCAGCTCAAATTCCACCGATTCGTATACATAGACAACTTGAAGAAGTTGCTACTCCCATTAGCAGGGCTCGACGACACGCATATCGATGAGTTATTGCAAGATCCCGGGGGCAAGGCTTGGAGCGAAGCTAGGACTGCGGAGCAACTTAAGCAACGCCTTGGAGACTCACACGAGATATACATGCAATTCATGAACGAGTTCCAAGAATGGTTGCATGCGATTAGAACTAAGTTGGCTTTTGATCCAGAGACGAAACAGCAGTCTCGAGAATCTTTGTCCGCAGTAAGTCTGACGGCCTCACGCAATGGCATCACACATCGGAGAGATTTAATATTGAATTCTAGGAAGCGAATAGGACTCGGTCTCGAACTGAGATGCTCAAGGACCGGGGAAAATGGCAGTTTTACCGAATCAAATTCAGTCAGGAAGAGAAGGAGCGAAGTGAGATCTTCGCCAAGCTTCAAAGCTGCAATGATCGGCTCAAGACATTGCTGCAGATCAGCGAGGACGATGCCGAGCTAGCCCGAGAAAGAGCCTCAACAAGGAAGAATGAGCCCAGTTCGTTGTGTCACTTTTGGCGACAGGCTGGTAGTGTTTTCACGGCACTTTCAATGGTGTGGAACTGTGAGTGTCGAACACAACACTCTACCAGACTGTTGTTAGGGCATCGAACAGCCACGGAAGGCGACTTTTCCTTGTTGTACAATAAGAGTGCTCAGAGGCCCCGAGAGGCACGGAGGATCAAAATAACAGCAAATGGCGCAGATCTCGACAATTCGGCTGCTATCAAGTTACGCCCGCACAAGCCAAGTGTGGGGGCTTATGCTCCAAGTCATCGAACCTCCATTCCCAGGAGATCAGCCATGAGGGCAAGCAGCGTACTCAGCACCGGTGAATTCAGGTATGAAGCTACAATGGTGTGGAGTTCGGACGTGTTTAACGGGATATTGATTTCCTTCCAGGTCACGATTCTCAGTCACTATCACACAAGTTGAGAACTCGTCGACTCAAGGACCCGCGTTCGCGCCTAGCACCAACCCAATAACCGACCTCTGTCTGTCATTGGAATCTTCTATTGGCCAATTTTGTGGGTTCATCGACGACAATGACTATCGCTACTATGTCTACCAGGACATTGCGGTCCCCGGCCGGTCAAACACACCCAAAATGATCACGCTTGACCAGCTCCTGCGACAGGATGGTTTCCCCATACCGAAGAGAAGGCAAAGAGTTGCTTTAGCTTTCATTCTATCATCGTCTTTCCTCCAGTTGCTGGAGACACCATGGCTGCCAGCCTCTTGGCAGAAGTCAGATATCGTGTTCTTCGACGATCCGGATAATCCTGGCGTTTTTAAGCTAGACGAGCCTCACCTCAGAATTTCTCTGGAAAGCAAGACAGAATCCAGTCATCCAGGTGAGACAGGCCGCAGGATGCAACTATCGCGTCCGCTGGAAATGCTTGGCATCGTTTTAATGGAGCTTTGCTTCGGGAAATTGTTGGAAGAGCAGTCTCATCGCCTCAAGTACTCTAGTTCGGGAGACTTATGCATCGAGAGAGTGCTTGATTTTGAAGCTGCAAAGGAGTGGCACGGAGAAATAGAAGAGGAGGCAGGATGTGACTATTCCATCGCTGTCGGGTGGTGCTTGGGGGGAATCCTCATCACCCCGCTGGACCGATGGAGGGAGGCCATGCTTGGCAATGTTGTGCATTCCCTTGAGTCCTGCCATAACTATCTACAGCACTAAGTTTCTTGAGATATAGTTTTATAGATCATTTCAACGAGGCTCTGTATCTCAGATGTCGAAGTAAAGTGCTGTTACAACACGGGCGAGTATTCAGGTGCCTAAGCCCTCGGAACCCCTGTTGTAGTGTAAAATCAAAAGATGCAACCTTTCGCCTTCTCTTTCTTGATGTCTGAAAGAATTTCATTTCGAATGGCCTTATAAAACCCGACATCCAGGTACAGAGCCACGCGTTTTGCACATATACGGCAAATATACAGTCTCATGCTACCAGATTACGATTGCTCCAGTGTTTCTTCCAATTACTGGCAAATCACACTGCATCCAACGAAAGCAGACGTGAGTACCCTTTCTACATGGACCTGATGGGCTGCAGCAACCGCATGTCACCACTGCGTGACAGGCCCGCCACGAACAGGTGTCGGATGCGTGCAGTTACACGTACATGCGCTGTATAGGGCCAAAGAACAGTCGCACCGGTGACCGGGGACAACGTCGCATCGACAGTGCTGGTGGAGCCGTCGTGGGTTCGCCTCCAAGGTGAACAGAAATAATGTAATTACACCACGGTAGCCTGCGCCCGCGTGCCGGCTTGGCTCGCACCAGCCAGTGCGCAAAAGGCCAAAGCATGATGACGGCAGATCGACACGATACCTCGCGGTCTGCAGGCGGCCCTGCAGCAGCAGGAAAGGCTAGCGCAGGTGAGGCAGGTGAGACAACCCCTCGGCTTCGGCTTCGGCTTCGACGAGCATGTCTTGGATGGAGATTAACCGCGCAGCAGAACTGCACCCAGACCCTGACGCTCAGAGCTAGCCGAGCCGCCTACGTGATCTGGCGATCTTTCTGCCACACTAAAGCTCAAGGTATGGGCATCAAGTGTTGACGAGTACCTCACCGCAAGCAACATAGTCATGGACACATCGTCTGGAGCCGAGATTCAGCTGCGACAGCGTCAGCGTTCTGATCTTCCGAGACTTCACGATATCATAACGGCCGTATACGAACAGACCGGCTACCCTGTGGACGGACCTTCCTGCTTCGAGGACTTTCTGGATCCTCCTTCAGACCAGGTTCTCTACACGATCACGGCAGTGCTTAAACCTACCGTCCCAGAAACAGAAAATGAACAACCCATCGCCGGTCATGCAATGATCATGTCGCCAAGCTCTGGGGCTTTGAACCTGGCGTCTAAAGTGCACCTGCAGCGAGGTGGGACGATGGAAAACCATGCAGTCTTGAGCCGGTTCTTTGTTAATCCAGCTGTCCAGGCAAGGGGTATTGGATCCAAGATGCTAGAGGAGGTGACTGCGTGGGGTAGACGGGAAAGGAAACGCCTCGTCCTCATTGTGCTCGAGAAGGACGAAGGCGCTATCAGGCTGTATGACCGGGCGGGATGGGTAAGGGTTGGTGAGTATGTCTTCACTAGTAAATGGGGAACTGGATACAATGCGATCGCCTATCTGGGGCCGCAGTGAGTCAAGTTTCAGGTCGCAGGGTGACTATGAGTCTGAGCATATGTAGCCATGGCAACACCCTGAGAGCAAGCCTTGCCGAACCATGAGACATGTCTTCTTTGCGTTTTTGTTTCTTTAGGTGGTCGTATTGAAAATTTGCAGTACACCATGTCCCCAAGTAGAATGCAATAATGAAAAATGGGACGGCAGTAAAACCAACAACTGATCTGTTGTTCAATGTTATAGCTTGCGTTTGATATAGCTAAATGAAGCCAGTTACCTGGCACAAATAGGACACAGAAAACGCGTTGGGAAACATCTCGAACACGATTCGGGCTCCACTTATCAAAAGAAGATTCCGGAGCCGGCCCCGTAGCACCAAATGTCTCGGAGGGCTGCATTGTACGACACGGCTTTGGCCGCGCTTTCACTGCCCCCAAGGTGCGACTTGAGACAGATCAGGTGATGGGGTCAAATGCGAGGGCCTTTCTGACGCAGGGCATGTCCTCCTGTTGGCGGCTTCGTCCGAGTGGTTGTACGAGACGCACTGATGTAGAGCGAGTAGTGAGAAGTGAGAACAAAGAACCGAGACCAACTGCACCTCGCTTATCGCTGGCGAGATCTCGCACGGATGAATGGAGTCAGTTGACGAGGCTCGATCGGGTAAGGCTACTTGCTTTTTTGTTTCCTCCCCGCTGAAGAAGAAGCATTATCTTGTGACAGAGAAAAATCAAAATCAAAAACACAAAGTTCAGGAGACTGTTGTGGGACTTGCCAGATCTGCAGCGCAGCTTCGGGTGCATCTTCCATAGACTGTCACGGCAGGAGACCGTGCTGCCGTCCTGCCATCGTGCCGTCATGCCTCTGCATCTTGCCTCATTCCAGCATCCAGCAGCCGGCAGGTCCCCTACTCCCGCCGTTTGTGCCACCATAAAACGACTGTGGATGGGGGATCTGTGGAGTGGAAGGAAGAAGTATGCGGGTGGCTGCAGGGACACATACTAATCGACAGGGGTAAATGCGAACGGGTCGCTTGATCATCCATCCATACATGGATGACGACTCGTCTCCCAGTCTGTGTATTGCTTCACACACCACGAATAAGAAAACAAAGTGAGTCAGTGGCGTAGCCCGAGCCCCTCTCGTCCCTCCCCGGCCCCTCTGACCTCTTTTTGTTTTTTGCCTGAACACATCCAACGTAACACTGTGCTAAAAAGTGTGTCTCGGGCACTTGATTCGACCCCCAAGCCGAGGCTGTGACACTGTGCAACGTCTTTTATATCAAGTCGTCTTCGAAGCCAATAAGGTCCCCGTGCCCACAGTGTCATGTTGATTATCTAGGATGCTTGACACCTTGCCCGGCTTGAGTGGGTTTCCTGGATTGACCAGGTCCATGACTGGGCTTCCAGGCTGCCACATGCCCGTCAGTCACATTCGTGTCTCGGCTGGGGAACAAGGTAATTCAACGGCGATCTCGCGCCCGCGCATCCTCCCTAGCCAGGACCAATAGCTTGAAAGATGCTGCCAACCATTGATCAGAAGGGATCATCACTTTTTTCCTTGCTTGTGCGAGGGGCCCAACCGTGCGTACGACCGCCCCTGATCCGGATGTTTCTTGCCCTGAACACGATGTCCACGTACTTTTGTTGTCTTATCCTCGACGGAGCACGGAGGAGACCGTCTAAACTTTACTGTCTTATCGAGGAGACATTCACTCTTAGCAAATGCCAAACGAGAGGCTCTGTTTGGTCCTATTACCATCAGTTTGTCTACCGGCCACTCGTTCGTGTCGGGTACAGTGCCCCGTTTGGGAACTGAGATTCCAACATAGGGAATGCGTCCAAGTGTGGAATGTATGAGACGTCTGAGACAGATCATCAGAGCAGCACTACAAAAGCATCTCGATCAAGCTTCGTGGCGCTTAGCGTCGACGGTAGCCCCTTCCTTGCCCTGCCGGTGACTCTCTCCCTTCGGCTCCAAACGGACAAACAAAGACCTAGAACTATCATCCCAACCCCTCGTCCATTTGGACGTCAACCGAGCAACCCAGGAAGGCTAAACTATCAACAAAGGTCCACCGACGAGGACCATCTCCAAAGAAAGACCTCTCACTTTGAGAGTCTCGAGCATCAATCGCAATCATGAACGAACCTCGCCGCCCAGCACGCGCCGCACAGGTCGAGAACCCATATCACACGGATTCGGAGAGCACAAGCGGCACCCTGACCTCGGCCCACGAAACCCGAAAGGAAGATGACCCAACGTCCACTTCCTCGCGCCACGGCCTATCCAAGGCCCGCCACATAATACTAGTTGGCAGCATGTTCTTGACGCTGTTCCTCCCGGCGCTCGACCAGACCATCGTCTCCACTGCGCTGCCAAAAATAATGATCAGCCTGGGGGGAGGGTCGTCCAACTCAGGATACACGTGGGTTGGGTCCGGGTATGCATTGACACAGGCGGTGGTGATGCCTCTGTTTGGCCAGGCGTCCGAGGTGTTTGGGAGGAAGTGGGCGTTTGTGGCGGCCATATCGATATTCATGGCGGGGAGCTGTCTGTGTGGCGCTTCGCAGGATGTGTCGATGCTGATCGCCTCCAGGATGGTGCAGGGGATGGGGGCCGGGGGCATCACAGCATTGGTGATAATTCTCATTGGTGATTTGGTCGGTACGAGAAAACGTGGGAAATATCAAGGATTCATCGGTGCCACCTGGGCTGTTGCATCTGCTCTTGGACCAGTGCTGTCCGGTGTACTTGCTGAGCATATCAGCTGGAGATGGGTGAGTAATCCCATCTCTATGGGTAACCTCGGTGGAACAATGCTGATGTTGATATGAACAGTGTTTTCTCATCAATCTGCCTATATGTTTGATCTGTCTCGTTATTACCCTGTTGTTCCTCAACATCTCCCGCCCTTCAAAGAGCTTCCTTGAGGCCATCAAGACCCTCGATATAGTCGGAATTCTCGCAATCGCCGCGGCCACAGTCTTGCTCTTGCTTGCTTTCGAATGGGCTTCTCTTGGTACATCGTGGAGCTCACCACAAATCCTGATATCATTGATCACCGCGGCCCTGTCGCTGGGGTTCTTCATCTACGCTGAGACAAAGGCGACCAAGCCAGTCATTCCGTTGCGCTTCTTTACTCACCCAACCAGGATCGGGGCATACCTTGCAGCCTTCTTCCACGCCGTGGCGTATATGGGGCTGAACTACTACCTTCCGATCTACTTCCAAGCAGTCCGCGGCCAGAGTGCTTCTCAGAGCGGCATCAGCATGTTGCCTCTGGTCTTGATGTTCGGCATCGCAAGCACAGGGGCAGGATACCTCATCACATTCACGAAAAAATACCAAACACTAATCTGCGGCTCCTTCCTCGTAGCCACAATGGGCTGTGCCATGTTGGTTCACCTCAACAGGAATACATCAACAGCCGTCACCGTGGTCCTCCTGCTCATAGCCGGCATTGGTGTCGCCCCGAACTTCAACTCCCTCCTCATTCCAATCCACGCATCCTTCGACGAAACATCTGACAACTCAGATATCGCCATGTCAGCCTCGGCCTACTCGTTCATCCGGACCATCGGACTCAGCATGGGCATCAGTGTTAGTGGCCTGGTCTGCTTCGACGAGCTGCAAAAACTGAGTACGGGATCCACGGCGGAGCTTAGCATCTCGCAGCTGATCGAAGATGTGGGCAAGATGGTAGGAGAGGAGAAGCAGAAGACGATCGGTGTTTTCGAAACAGCCATGACGCATGTGTTCATCGAGGTGGCCGCCGTCATGGGCGCTGGTATGGTCGCAAGCTTCTTGATCCGAAAACACAAGCTGGGTGAGAAGGTCCGATCGGACCACAAGATCCAGATGGTTCCTATGACGAGAGCGGGTCAAGCCCCATCTGAGCAGAGTGTGGATACAGTTGTTAGGGACAGGTGTTGATCGCCATTGTGTTCAGATGCTCCTCAGGATCGAGTCGAGCAGTGCACAGTGCCAGCTGTATCCGGACAGCTGTGAGCCTGGATGACAGTCATTCAGACATGATTAAAGCATGTAGAATATTATTATACTGAGATGCAAGTGTAAGATGAAGGTGCAGGCTGGCCCTACCCAGCTCTCGGAATTCAGTGTGTTCTGGCAAATATGCCCTACCAAAGTTTGGACGGCCGGACGGAAGTTGGTCTCCTCTGCGCCTTTTGTGATTACAAATGCATGTCATAGATCACAGGAAGCTACGAAAGTCTACGGTGTATTGTGTTACGCCCTAGAGCGTCATCGCAAGTCCGATGTCGTGAGGGCGAGTGTTCTCCGGTCCGACCTGAGGCTTGGCCGCCGCCGGTGCGGGGACTGTACTCCGATGCCCAGCTGCCGCTGACTTATCCTACTAAGAAGATAGGTCTACTTAGTCCTCGCTCGTTGTGGTTGCATTTGGAGGATTAGGTACTGCTCATCAACTTCTTGCCTCCAACAAAAGCATTCGGTCAATCTAGTGTTGCAACGTCTTGATAAGCCAGCTCGAAAGCCGAGCCGTTTTTTCAACAATGAGCACGACGACCACAACCACCCAGGTGGATACGATTCCCCTGACTGATCTCCCAAAGTCTCCTCCCACTTCGAGAACGCATCATTCTATCCCCGATACATCTGCTGGGCGTGTGCTACCAAGCGTCCCCGAATCGCGACGAGTGTTCCATGCCGAGCCCGCGAGCACGCTCAAGAAGTCCACGAGGGTCTTGATCACCACCCTTGTCATCTTAGCCAGTCTTACACAAGTAAGGGTTGCACCGGTGCTTTGAATAAAATGGTTGCCGCTGACAAATAAAAGTTTGCGGCAAACTTCGTCACTCTAGTCGGAGGGCTGTCTTTCAGTAAATCGCTGGGACGAGATGTCGGACCGGGAGAGGCGAACTGGATGCCTGCTGCATATTCGTAAGAGTGTCTTCCCTTTTCAGAAGCCGAAAGCGTGGATAAGCGACTGACAGCTGTGTCACAGCCTTACCCAAGGCGCCTTCGTCCTGATGAGCGGCCGCCTCGGTGCCGTGTACGGCCACAAGCAGACACTTGTCGTCGGTGGAGCCATCATCGCAGTGTTCTCTTTCATCAACGCCTTCACACCGACGTACAACTCTTTCGTCGCTGTGCGAGCTCTGACTGGGATCGGCGGTGGCCTCATCATGCCCAACGCAGTAGCAATGATAACCATTGTCGTCCCACCAGGGCGAACGCGGAACCTGACCATGGGCTTCTTCGCTGCTGCTGCCCCGGTCGGCGGGTTAGTCGGTGCTGTCATCGCCGGTCTGTTTATGATGACTCCTCGGTGGCAGATGATGTTTGTATTCATTTCGGGCATTACGGTCGTGCTGTTCGGACTTCTCTTTTTCCTCCTACCCCAGGAGATTCCTGTCGACAAGGGCGGCAAGATTGACTACACAGGAGCAGGACTTGGTCTTAGCAGCCTCATCCTCTTTAACTTTGTCTGGAATCAAGCCCCATCCGCCGGGTGGTCAGCGCCTTACGAGATTGCCCTCCTTATCTTGTCCGTCACCATGTTTGTTGGGTTCCTCGCGTGGGAAAAGTATGTCGCCAGCGACCCCATCATGCCGGTCAGTATCTTTAAGGCGCCGACCTTCACTGCCCTGCTCTTTGTGGTCCTTCTCACCTACATGTCATTCGGGATATCGCTGTGGTACATGATCGCCTGGGAGCAACTTCTCCGCGGTCTGAGCGTCATTGAGATTGCCGCGACCTGGACACCATTCGTCCCTGGGTCCATCATCGCTATCTTCATTGCGGCATGGCTCATCCCAAGGCTTGCAGCACAATACATCATCGCGCTTGGCGTAGTGGTTGTGCTAGTATCAAATCTACTGCTAGCCACAATGCCTGTTCATCAGACGTACTGGGCCCAGACATTCCCTGCGATTCTCATTGGAAGTATGTGTCCTGACCTTGTGTACGTGGCGGCACAAGTCATAGCCAGCAACAGCGTCAGCCGCAAGCAGCAGGGTATAGCTGGGAGTCTGATTGGCACTTTGAACTTGTATGGTAACAGTCTGGGGCTGGGATTCGCAGGTACGATCGAGACACAGCTCTTGAAACAGACGAAGGACGAAGTTCGGGGGTACCGAGCGGTGCTGTTTTTTGGAGTAGCCCTGGCTGTGGCTGGCCTGATTCTCAATTTCATTTTTGTGCGTGTGCCCAAGGATGAGCGCGAAGGATGGGACCCTGCCGACCAGGACGCTGACGATATCCCGGTCGTGGGAGCTACGTTGAGGAGAGGTGGTGCTGCAACTGGTGTCGAGAACAGTACCGCAGCATAAGGATCTTCCAACGCGACATGGCAACAGAAGGGGAATTGGGCATGGTTCTCGCGTGAATGCATTGATTGGAATCATGCTATTAGGTCGTGGCTGTAGCGAAATAAAAAAAGAAGACCTTTTTGAACTAGACCTTGATGGACTACTCCGGAGTTGATGCACTGTCCTGTGGCAAAAGTCGGTTCATGACGACCTTTGCCTTTCTGACAACTCGGCAATCCTCATAGCCTTCGCCGTCGCTGTTCCCAAATTTCAACAGCATTGGAGCCACTATGAGATCAACTCGCGCATCTGCACCCTGATCCGCCCACATCGGTACCTCCTCCATTCTGTCCGTCTTGATGTTGAAGCCGTTGAACAGGCTCTTTGTATCGCAGACCCAGTAAGCCCTGGAGTGTGCCATGGCCGATGCCAGCGTGACAGCACGATCCACGATCTCCCCGATCCTGGTCTTCAGCACCTTGAGAGTGGCCTGCCCCGAGTAGTCGTCCAGGACCATCGACAAATGGTTGATCAATTTCATTCGCTGCGAACCATCAGCGGCCCACAGGCTTTTGCCCTCGGCATTTGGCGACAGAACATAGCTCATCAGAGGGCGCAAGGTGTAGTAGGTCGGAAGCTTGCCATTGCCTGCGTAAGAGTTAGTGATGGACCTTGTGTTAATCATGTCCACAGGTAAGACGACATACGTGAGGCGCTTGCCTTTAAAGTGGCCTCCAATTTGGCTTCTTCCTTTTCCACAAATGCGGCAATCGGTATCTCGAGCAACGCATCGATCAGTTTGTTCCAGATAACGGCCTCAATGAAAATGTGTTTGGCCTTACTCAGGTAGGATTCGTAGTCTTCGTCGCGGATCAGGCTCTTGAAGTAGGTACGAACGCTTCCCTTCTCGTTGCCAGGCTCTACGTTGGGGGGGCCTTGGAAGAACTCGTTTACCAAAGCGGTCACTAGATACTGCAGTTTCTCGTATTCAATCCGGATTTCCTGGTTGTCAGGACCCTGGGGCACTGAAATTCCCTGCTTCGAATGTTCCGGGGTGCTTATGGCAGCTTTCAACTTCTTCTTGAGCTCCTCAATCTCGCGGTCTTTCTTGGCAAGCTCCGTGGCAAGGTGCCTTTCCTTCTGATCTGCCGCTCGGAGTGCCTCAACCACAAGGCCTTCAGCAGCCTTCAAGCTCATAGGCTGATTTCTTTCAATGTGGGCATGTTTCGGGCTGTGGTCGTTGTCGTGGGGCATTTGATCAGCCGCCTTTCTCTTAGTAGAAGCCATGATCGCTGCGATCTTGTTGGGTTTCCAGCTAAACACAGGTGTAAGCATCTAGAAAGGGAGATCAAGGAGTTTGTGCCAAGGGTATAAATCCTATCAGAAATGAACCCGTCAAAGATTATGCGGTTGAAGCTCAGAACAATGCTCCACTGGAGATGCCCTGCTGGATGTTGTCACTGCTGTGAATTATCTCGTTGAGCATGGGCCTGCTAGCGGCATTCCTGATGCAGCTTTCCTACTGTAGGAATGCTTCATGGAATATGACATGGAATTTCGTGCCTCCTGGGGGATGAAAATTGAAAGGGCTGGAGCAGTACATACCTTATCACGTAGGCAATTGTGTCGCTGGAACACCCCCGTGCTCGTCAGAAATGCAGGCAGAGTAGAATCTGGCAAGAAATGACAGATGATTTGGAGACAGTAGCTATGTCTTGTTGGCATAGAGTGCCTCAAAATTGCTGAGATGTATATGCTCCAGGGGCTTCAATTTGATGATGGTCGGTGGCAAGGCGAGACGATGGATTTCGTAAAAGTCTTTGGCCACCTATGGCGAGATGATATGATAGGTTGCCACCCTTCCGTACCAAAGGCGATCGTGACTTGTAGGAAAAGGAGAGATCAAATACCTCACGTTCAAAATGGCAATGAGCCCCTCTTCCTCGAAATGTGACCAGCAGTGAGCGGCTCTGTGTTTGGGCGAACGCTGCGAAAGTGGCACGTTTGCGTAGGGGCGCGAAGTTTCGTTGTCGCACTTGGTGGTAAGAAAGGCTAAAGATCTCAGGTAGAGTGTTTGGAAAAGCCGACACTGGATGGAAACTGACAGCCGAACGTTTTTCTTTTCACTTCTTCCTGATGTCATGTGTCACGTAGTTGTTCGCTTTCTTCAGCTAACTTTGCAACTTACATCACCCAATCCTAAGCTCTGCCGTTTTCTTTTCTAGCCATCGGTCTTGCCACAGTCTTTCTTTACGCTGCTGCTGCTGCTGCTGCTGCTGCTGAATCCTCTAAAACCCAGCGGCCCGCCAGCATCACCGCAGCAACACTCCACTACCTGAGCACGTGCTGCAAAAGCTCTACGAACAACTAAGACCTTACCGCTTCCTCATGGTTTTCATGAGTCTCTTTGTTCAAAACACCTGAGCCCTGAGATAGAAGCAGATCCCACTTTTGCCATGCCAGAGCCAACGGTCCAGATGAAGATGGAGTGTCCTGATGACGCCCGGCTTCCGTCGGACGTCGTTTCAGTAGGCTTGGACTTTGGCACAACGTACGTATCTCACTCGGAATCCATGATTTGTTAAAGATGCTCACTCTCAACTCAGAAACACTGGCGTTGCCTACCAGCATGCTATGTGCGACCAGCCTCTCAAGGATATCGAACTTCGCATCCGCAACGTCCGAGGTTGGCCAGATCGCCACGGCCCAAACCATGACGAGAGCAAGGTGCCAACGATACTTCGATACGACAAACAAGGCAAGGTTGTTTCGTGGGGCTATGAGGCAATCGGTGGGGACGGAATTGCTATCGAATGGTTCAAGCTCGCCATTATCCCCGCCAAGGATCTTCCCCCGAATCTTCGAAACGCCGTGAAGCTCAAGGAAACAAGGAAGACTTTGACCGATATGAACGTCAATGTGACTAAGGTCATTGAGGACTACATTACGATTATCTGGAAATATGCGCGGGGCGAGATGGAGAAATTTCTCAGGCGCCGAATTCTTCAATCTATCCCGATCCACGTCGTGATCGCAATCCCAGCTATGTGGGGAAATCAAGCCATCGATACGATGAAGAATGCTCTAGCATCAAACATCCTGGCATCGTCTATAGAGCAGCAAGTTACATACAACTTCATCTCGGAGCCCGAGGCAGCTTTACAGGCATATGCGAAGGAATTGCAGGCCAAGCTCGATGTGGGCGAGCTTGTCACGGTCGCAGATCTGGGTGGAGGAACGGTCGACATGATCTCCTACAAAAAGGTAGGCGAAGGTGCAAAAGGCTTTCACCTGCAATTGGAAGAGGCCGTTGCGGGAGAAGGTAAGTTATTTCGTCGCAAATCGACTAGACTGGTGTCTAGCATCCGAGCTTTACAACTGACCACCATCAGGCGCTCTTTGTGGCGGCATGTTTGCGGATGAGGCATTCGAGAAGCTTCTTTCAGACCGTCTTTGGACAGAACACAAATTGAACATCAAGAGGGATGATCCAGAGGCCTGGAGAAGGATCATTTCCGAGCAGTGGCACAACATCATCAAGCCCACCTTTACCTGGAAGGCGACCGGTCAGATCTGGCCTGTAATCTTTTCGAACTTTCCCACCAAGAAGGTGGATTTGACTGAGGACGATGTCCGAGATGTTTTTGAGAGCTCGGTTATGCCGGGAATCTTTAATCTCATAAATCAGCAGATCAAACAACTCAAGAAGGAACATAACGGTAGAGGCCCGGGCATAATCATCCCCGTCGGCGGTTTTGGACGATGCCTGTACATCCATCAAAGACTACGCGAGGAGTTTGGTGGCGCCCAACCTCCCTCCAAGAAAGGCGAGCGCAACCCCAAGAAGAAAAAGAAGACGAATGATTCGGAGATCGAAATACTCACCGAGAAGGGCGACTTCCCGTCGACAGCCATCTCTCGAGGCGCTTGCTTGGCTGGCATATACGCACAGCTTGGGGAAACCATCGTGATGAGTCGAAAAGCAAGGACCAGTGTGGGCTTTCCATACAGTGTCCCCTGCCTGCCATGGCATCAGGGAGCGATACAAAACAAGGACTTTGGTGGCTACGTGATTCCGGACATCATGAAACGGGTGGTCAAAAAGGCATGTTTTATTTTCCTAATCCTTTATGTTTCATTCTACTTTCTGCTCTAGATTAACAGCCTTCGGTAGGGCGATACTTTAACCGAGTCTGGAAAAGACTCAACGCAAGCCATGTACCTGCCCTGTGATTTCCAGGGCAGAGGCACCCGGACCGAGACCTCGACCTTCTACGCATACGACGGCGAGCATCCCCCGGAGCGACTTGACTTCAGGGATGAGAAATTCCAAGACTACGGCGTCATGTCCATCACGGCCTCCAAGTCGATCGAGGAGCTCCCTATATTCGACTCGGGCGCTGAGAGAAGACGAAATTTCGACTGTAAGTACTATTCTTCTCCTGCAACAGTTCCCTGATCTTTGTGCTTTGGAATGTTCTAGAATGTATCACTTTGGGATCAGTAGCAGGTGATTAACACATATCAGACAACTTGCGGGTCAAGCTTATTGGTGGCTCGATAGACATCACTGCTACCTCAGCCCATCCTGATGATGAAGGGAAGGAGGTTGGAAAAGTGGTTTTGTCGGGTCTTGAGGAGACTTGAACACCTCTTACAATCAGGAAAGCTCTCAAGCGCTTCTATACGGAACTCAAAAACAACAACGTGGCAATTTTGGAACTTGTAAAAGGTTCAGAAGCCCGTAATGCCGGATGATGACAAGGGGGAAGAGAATACGCTTGATGCCGTATGACAACTTTCATGAACAGTGTGCGCGGCAACAAATAGTCAGGGTTACAATTGATCGTTCCATTCTACTGAAATGACCCTCTCTCTACTCTCTCCCTCTCACCAATTCTCGTATGTGCTTATGAACACCCGATAGCGATAGGCTTACTGCTTGTAAAGCGGCCCACCCGTGGTCCACAAGCCAAGCCCATAGAGAGATGAGCTTGAGCCTTGACTCACGCAGGACTAATTTGGCCAGGAATACGAACAGTCTCAAATTCGGACGTATGGCTTCGCTGAAAAGACGGAAGCACGCAGTGAACTTGGAATATTTATATTTTTATGAGCCACGATTTGGACTGGGCCTGCTCGTTTGAGCGCCACACAAATGCTTTGATGTAATATCGAGCTTCACCCCATGGAATACTGAGTCAGGTGGCTGGTTTGTGCACGCAGGCAGCAGCGGCTACGATGGTCAACCTCCGGATTCTGAGACCATGTCCTTGCAGGCCAGACAGACTCGTGGTTCACGGCTCTGACATTCGGTGTTACTAAATCTATAATTCTAAAGAGGGATGATATTGCATTCACTTGGCATTCTTGAATATCCGATGCCCCGTTATGAATAATTATGAGTTATGAGATGCCACGACATTAGGATGTTTGTCTTCCACTCAATCGGCCTAGCTTGCTTTATCAATCCTCGGTCGGCTGTTCCCCTGCAAGTAGCGTCTCTTGGATTCGCTGAGATGGCAGCCAGCGTTCAGCCGGTATAAGCCACCAAGATACAATGGCAAAAATGGTAACGATACCCATGATAACAGGGGCATAGTTGAGTGTGGCAGCCTCAACTGGGAAGACGTAAGGCGAGAAAAGCACAGCCACAACCCATCCGTTCCACAGGACAGCAATAGCCTGAAATGGCTTGCTCAGACGGCCCAGGCTCCAGGCGGGTTTGGGGAATTGCTTGGGCGTCAAGAAGAGCCGACCAAGGCATATCAACCCGTAGGCTGCGGCTGAGGGGACACCTGCCGCCGAGACGAGTGAGGTGAAGGCCACTGATGATGGGAGGATCGTGCAGGTGATTAGTGAGGACACTCCCCAGACGACTAAGACAGCATTCCGAGGCTGCCCATCGACAACCTGGGCGACCCAGGGTGACCAGGGCAAAACGCCGTCGCGAGCTACTGCAAACACCAAGCGAGATGCTGCAAGAATGGCAATGGCGGTGTTCTACGTCTTTGAATTAGCTTCGGCTTCTCCAACATTTTTTGCACGTTGATTTGACTCACAAACCATAACGCAACTGTGCAGACAATGTTCATGAAGATGTGTCCACCCTGGCCCAGGATGACTGCATACAGAGGTACGAAGGGCTGTGCGCCACCAAAGGAGAAGAGCGTGTCTGCGTCAGGCTGGCGTACGATAACGTCAGAACATTTCTAAGTCACCTTCGAGGCAAGATGTAGTTGACTTACGACGCAGAATAAGAACAGAATGACAACGATGAAACCTCCGATCCCGCTGGTCACTGTGCTCCAGAAGATCCCGCGGGCTGCTGCGATGCTTGCGTTCTTCGTCTCCTCAGCGACATGGCCCGAAGCGTCGAATCCGATGAGGATTCCGGCCGTAGCAAGGTACGACAGACACCAGTTCCATCCTACCGGGGCACCTGTCCCGTTGTAGGTTGTCATGAATGCATCGTGGGCGGATCGGAAGCCATAAATGCTGCTGCTCGTCGCAACAGGCAGCCAGATCATGTTCAAGACGAAGTCTAGGAGGACGGAAGCTGTTGATAGGTAGAATATCCACTTGAAGTAACGTGCTATTACGGTTAGCTTGGCGTAGTTAAACAGAGAACTTCAGGTAACCTACGTGGCAATAGGTTCCAGATGGCTGCCAATGCCAACATGACTTCCGTCGTAATCCATTGGACAGCTCTAAACTTGATACTTGAGGTATCAGATGGAAAATCGAGATTGAACACAACAATTTCCTTAATAACCGTTAGCCACCATAGACAATAGCATTGACTTATTGATCCAGGGTTGTACTCACCGACAATATATAGTTCACGGCGGACTGCGTGTTGCCTGCTGTACGTCAGCAAGCAGTCTTAACTGTGTTGGCAACATAGATCTGACATACTCGCACAGAAAGTTGTCCATGCTGTCGTGCTCCACCATGCAACGATGAACCCAAAGAGCCGGCCAAACCGAGGTCCTCCAGCTTCAGCCGCCCACAGATAAATCGACCCGGCGAGAGGGAGTGAGGAGCAAATCTCCGCAATGACGGCTGCTGTAATAAAGGTGAAGACACAAGTTACGAGGAAACTCGTCCTGTTGATTCATGAGCATCGTTATCGGTCACTTTAGGGACGTGATAAGGAGTGATACCAATAAGCAAGATTTCCGCCGGCAGCAATGCCAGTGGAAAATGTCACGCGAACACCGCCAATGAAATATAGCGCAGCTGTCTTGTGTTAGCTGCTAGAAGCTTAGTAGCATTTTGGCTCTTCCTACCAAATGTTGTCGCGAAATTGTGGAACGTGTTGAAGGTTCTGTGCAGGACCTGAAGGTGTGAGTTGGTTGACTCATTCACCGCGGGAAAGCGTATTTGCTCACTGGTTTGTAGCCCAAGTTTTCCTGCGGGATCTAACGTCAGCCCGTCAATGATCAAAACATCACATCGCCAGCTGCGAGCGGCCTACCAAGACTTGCGCGTCCTTCGATGACTCCTGTTCTGGATCTCCCTTGAAGATGGTCGCGTTCTTCTGGACGCTTGCATCTTCGCGATTCGTGGCCATGGTGGCTGTCAATATTCCGCTGCTCGCGTATTGACGTTGTAAAGTCCAAGTCGAGCTGAGCAACGACGCGACAGCAAGAGCATGCCGAAGATGGAGCCGGCGACGACGTCTTATAGCTAGCTGGTCAAATTGTTCAGGGGACAGTTCAAAATCCTGTCTAGTGTGTCGGACTGAATTCCAGGTGTGGAAAGGCTTGACGGGTTCTAGTAGGAACATGTCTGTCACGCAATTAGCGCAAGTAAAACGCAATGCGCCGGCTACACAGCTCGCTCGAATAAAGTGGAGCTGCACCAATTCTTAAAGAGAAGAGACACCGAAGCCGGTCATTTGATCCCCATTTTGCATGTTCTAGATTATCAAGGTCATATGTGCTAGTTGAACTGCTTTTGCAGTTGGAAAGGGATCATAAACATCATCTTTTGTTCCCTAGGGACAATTAAAACTTTACCTTCAATCCAATGTCCATCATTATTTTCGCAGCCTTTGGTGTGTTGTGCCTGGCAACGTTAGCAATTGTGAAGGTGCGTTACAATTCCGAATAAATTGAATAGAAGGCAGTTTTTTTGCTGATGAATCGAAGGCCATCACTCGGGCACATGCATCGTCGTTGTCACAAATTCCCAACGCAGGCTGGGGTGCAGCCTATTCGCGCCTGCTATGGGCTTTCAGCAAAGAGTATCGGGGCGTCATCACCATAGAGCTCCCAAAAATCCATGAAAAGCTTGGTCAGTTCTCATAAACTCCGGTAAAAGTTGTTTAAAGATGGCAAAAGTCTGACGAGGACGGTGACAGGTCCCTTGGTGCGAATAGGACCCAACGAGGTCTCCTTCTACTCGATAGACATATATGACACGATACATAAGGTCAACAGTGGTTTCGCCAAGGATCCTCGTAATTATGGGGAGTTTGTCCAAGATGGGCATCCTGCCCTCTTCTCCATCACGCATGTGATCCCCTATAAGCCTCTAGGTTGGTGTCTACTACAATCAGCTGATGCGTGACAGCGACCTGGAAGAGCACTCAAAACGCCGAAGAATTCTTGGTCAGCTCTTCAGTCGCAGCAACATCGCGAAGCTTGAAGGATTGATGCTCCACCATGTCAACGTATTCGTCGAAGCAATTAGCCGAAAGTGTGGTCCTGTTGATGTTGGACCGGCTTGTCGTGCCCTGGAAGCTGATATTATATGTATGAGCTTGGCCATCACCCCGAAATTACGAAGTCTTCGTGCTCATTTTCAAACTCACAGCTGAATTCTCTTTCGGTGAAGCCGTCAACGCTGTCGTCGCTTGGTCTAAAGGAGGCGAGTTGGCGATTGTGGCCAACAATGATAAGAAGGCGACTTTCATGCCTTTGGTAAGTTCTCTCAAACAAACGACCGTACAGACTTGTTGACAGTTGCAGCTTATGAACTTCCCAGCTCTATATGAAGTCTGGACGCGTATAGAAGATTTCTTTTGTCGTATTAGTGGATCAAGAGTGTCGTATAAGGAAGGCCTTCAGCAGTACGATGAGGTCGGTGGCCCCCTTTGCAGTGTTGAAGCACCAGTAGCTCATGGTCGAACAGTGGACTCTCAAGGCGTGGGCCAGAAACAAAGACCCTGACAAGAAGTCGCCTTTTCCAAACCTTATTAAGGTCATGATTGCAGCAGGCGTTCCGACCCAGACTGCGTTGTCCGAAGCGAAAGAGAACCTTGGCCCAGGAACAGATACAACCTCTGCCTCCTTGGCGCACGTCCTCTATGCCCTCTCAAAGAATCCAGTATACCAACAAAAGTTGTATAAGGACCTCTTCGACCGAGGATTTCCCACAGATATGAGCTCCCTGGAAAACATCCCACGCCTTCGTGCTTGTGTGAAGGAAGGAATTCGCTGGGCTGGCGCAGCAGCAGCTATGCTGCCTCGTGTTGTCCCGCATGGCGGCGTCGAGCTGTGTGGGAAGCTAATTCCTGAAGGCGTGAGTCTCCCACATATGGAATCCTTCTCAAATTGAATTTTGTGTTGTTCTTGAAATCTCACACAATTATCATCATTTCAGACAGTCTTGACCTCGTCGCCAATTTGGTACCTCAGAGACAAATATGCGTACCCGAACCCGGAGTTGTTCAACCCATACCGCTGGATCAATGACAGTGGCACAACCAGCTCGGACAATGCTATTCGGGACAAATTCTACGTACCATTTTCCAAAGGGGCCAATGTTTGCATCGGAAATCAGTGAGTTTCTGAATCTGTGGATCTTGCATGAGTGACATGTTGCTGACCTGCCGTCATTTCAGCTTTTCGTATTACGAGATTTATCTCGGCTTGGCAAAGACACTTGAGAGGTTCAAGCTTGTGCACGTGGAGGAGGCTACAATATCCACACAATTAGCAGGAGTGAGTAGCCCAGACTGGCAACCCGTACAGCTGCCCATGAGGAAAGAGTGGGTCGCTGCCGTCTTGACAGACCCCCTGCTCGTGGAACTCATCCCAAGGGATGCCAAAGAAGATGATCTCAGTTGGTGAGAACAGGGATTTCGTGTAAAGTTTTAAGGAAAGGGGAGAGGGGATTTCCAGAGGGCGAAAAAAATAAAAAAGACCTGGGTTGACTGGCTTTGGAATTAAATCACGTGTCGTGTTTGAATAGACGGACTTGAGATGTGAGCCTCAAGTATCACACATCTGGCCGCCATCAGCATCAAAATTTTGTGTGCATGATGAACAGGCAAGATATCATGCGAGACACGAGATCGAACCTTTATCAAATCCTCTTCGAAATGCCGAAAAGAAGTGATTTGTTGACTCCAAGGTATAGCCATCGGGAAGTTCCTAGCGAGGACTCCTCTATCGTGGTTTGCGTCAGCTAAAATAGGGAGAAATACTGGGTATTCAGAAAGGTCTCGAGGCGGCATGACCTATTTTTGAGTGAGGAAAAGCGGGAGCACTTAATGTCAAGAATCAATAGACATGAAATTTGCAGCCCAATGAATATGGGTGCGAAATTCCTATTTGATTGTTAGCATGCCCATGGACTCTTCACCGATGCATTGCCCCACGACGAACGAGGAATGACTTCGTGGACCAATTGCGAATTAATGAGTGAGCATAGCAGTTACAGTCACACAACAGGGCCAATAAGCCATACGGCGCAGAACCATGTCAATATACTCAGAACAAGTCCGTGTGTGGCTATGAAAATAGACCCGTCGTTGGGGGCAATATGTTTCCTTGGATAAAATATATTTCGCCCTTGTCCGCACATTCTGAAATCAGTAGTCGGCGGCATTCACATGCTCAGTAGTTGACATCATCAGGGTATTCGCCTTAATTGAAGGTTCAATTGAAGTTTTTGTCCATCATGACACACCCAAGCACAAAAAAGAGCTCTTCAACCCAAAAGATTTTGGTCCCTGGATGGTCGTCTAGAGAACCTTTCAGGATTTAGAATCGCACCTGGCAGGCTCGTGCCTTCCACCTGGAGTCATGTGAGTTGCTCCTAGAGTAATTGGGCAGCGGCCGGCCTTCTTTGGAGTCACTTTATCGGCAATAATTAATTGCGAGAAAAGACTTGATTTAAAAAATTGAAGATAATTGATATATTTATAAGACCCTTCCCTCTCTTCCCCCTGACAGGTGTCTCCATTCTTTACCCAGAGTTTACTCAACAGACCACAAGTGAAAACAAGAAAGTCCACTAGTGAGAACATCAAATTGTCTTCCACTCGACTGAACCATTCCTCATCTACGACATCAGTCTACTATATCCAACTCTCTACTACATCCCACACACGGTCTATCTATACCCCCTCAGAGTTTTATTAGCACTTACATCTGTTCCAACAGACTCCTGGCTTGGATACATTCAGCCCCACAGGGTATCATTCATCCACGAACTACCTACCAGACCTGTACGCCGATACAAACATACACACACACTACGAACACACACACCCACAAGACACACATTTACATCAAAGACAACATGTATTCGGCTATTCAAGGCTCCGCCAGCTCCTCAACTCGGCTGGATGCCGAACATCTGCCCGTGGAACTTGGGTGTCTCATTCTTGAACAACTTAGCAGTCACCGTGACTTGCTTTCCATGATCGAAGCCTATCCCGAGTGGGTTATGTCGCTATGGCAGAGCTACCCCCAACAGCTGTTCCCACGAGCCTTGGACAACATGTTCAATGAGCTTGATGGCTTTTGCCACCACGACGCTCTTGTCGCTTTCCACGTACGAAGAATCAGAAGGGAGTACGCGGAGTGGATGAGGCCGCGGCATGAGACTCAAGATGACAGGGATGAACTTGAGCGCATGTTCCGTAAGATCCTGAATCTGGAATGCGACGATCACATGCTGGCTCTCGAACCCAGCCTCACCACAATACTGGATTTTGGCGACCTTGTTAGGGACGTTAACTCCTTGACTGATCGATACTCAAATGACGCCTGGGCAAGAATCCACGACATCGCCCAAAAGACTGGAACACATTCATCGTCCGCGAGCCCCAGCAACCAACCCGACATCCAACTCAACGCAGAGGAAAGGGCCTGTTTCCAGCTCAACTTCCTCGATGTGGAAATCTACCTACTTACAAAATTCTGGACCAATGACGAAGGCGAGCGCTACATCTTCAACATGGGTCCTGACATCGAGCATATTATCCCCCACTCTGAGGCCGATGTGAGGGAAGAATTCGATTCGTGCCTACGCTACATCTTCGACGCCTACAGAACTTATCTAAAGGAGACAGCGAGGGCTCTGGGGCTACCCGAGCTTCCCACCAGAGACGACTGCGCATGGGTCCGCGACTGGCACGAAGACTACGAATACGATTATCCAGACTATCCAGTGCAAGCCACACGGGATACATCCACGATATTTGCTCAACGTTCCATATCGGAAGAACAAAGGTTCCTGCTATGGCTTTGCGAGTTCGGCATCGGCCCCCTTGTGAAAGCGCACGGGGCGGAATCTGGAGAGCGCCGCGACGAGCTCCTGCGGCATTTCGGTCTCCAAAAAATCTGGGACACGGTGGAACTGCGCCACAGGTTTTACCGCTACGATGCATGCGTCGACCATCCGCACCCCAGTCCCGGACGTGAGCCAATCCGCAACCCTCGGAACAGACATCCCATCATGAACCTTTACGGACGAGACCGCCATCAGAGATACGCACGCCGCTCATCATCCTGGGCGTGCGCCTCGGCATTCCTCGAATGGAGCCATGCGCCTGGAAAGCGTTTCTCAACAAGAGACGACATCGTGCTCAACGAGCGGGGCCGCTGGATTACAATGTCGGACACGGACAAGGGAGCGACAGACTGGAACCCCTTCAAGCTCAAGAGCATACTAAACAATAACAGTGGCGTGCCACACGGCCATCCATACATGTTTGACGAGGACAAATATCAATTCAGGTCGTTGCCAAGCCGAATTCACCTCGTATTACCATAAGAAACATCGGAGGGGTATCGGACGGGAGGGATGGGAGATTGATGGCACTAAGGCAATCATTAGGGTGGAATGGGTTTTTAAAAAATGGAAACCGAAATCTGCCGCGGGGGGGGGGGGGTTGCGGGCTATATGTACAGTCATTGCATGTGTGTCGGAGCGATGGACTATTCTGGGATATAAGAACTCAAGAAACGGATCTACTGGGGGCGATGAGAACAGACGCCAGGGATTTGCCGAGATTGGATAATGCAAAATACTCATCGCATTGAGCGAAAATGATTCTGTGCCACGTCTTGGTGAATTGATTGTTTGTAGAGCTTGTGAGGCGGTCTGCCTGTTGGTTACCTTACGAGCCAATTCAGAAGTCCCGAAACTATTGCTGCTTGAAAACGTAAGTAGATTATTTAAGCAACGTCGTATCGCTTTATATGCAGAGTCTCATAATACCGCTTTACACGTCAAAGCTAAAGCAAATTCACGGTTGAGCCAACCTAGACTTCATACACTCTTTTACACTATCGTCTGCACACTGCTCATCAGACACCATGGGAAATAAAGGCCTTACTGTTTACATTATCCGCGGCCTCAAAGTTCGCGTCCAATCAAGTTCTCGACAATTCCTTTGACAGCAATGGTTGCGATAACACCTACGGCTGTGCACCTCTCCATGGAAACAACCCCGACAAGGCTTCAACGCGCTTGCATTCACAGCTCAGTGGTAACAATACAAGAACCCGATTATCTATAACGGCAAATCTAAGCAATAATCAAAGTAGATTTGGCTATATAGCCTGGGCGTAAGAAGCGGTTTACTCGCAAAGGCAGATCCTGCCTAAGGAAAACCTGCCTACAGAGCCTCCTATGGGATGTGATTCTCTAAGGGAGGAGATTTTATCATCCAAAACAAGCGACGACATGAAGTGCGAGGCATCTGGCCATGGAAAGACGGGGATCCTCATTGTTGTTAGTGACGATAGGAACTACATTCCACCGACGATCCAGCGAAGAATATTGGTATCAAAGTGTCCCCTCTTTTGAATTTTTCCAATGCTAAATATCGCAGAGCCCCATCATCCTTGTGACCAGTGCGAAACCATAGTTGAGGGCTTCATGGATCGAGGAAAACATCGCCCATCTGAGCACGGGTCAGAGGAGGGATTGAGCCCGCTTCCAGACAATGAATAGCTATGCAAGACATCTGAGCGCTTCAGACGTTTTGAAATGAGGTCCTGTGAACAGTATGATCGATGCAGAATATGTGCGAAGGTAATCATAACATAATGGGGGAAGTCGGCGTTAAGATCGTTCCCTTGAGGTGCCAAAGTCCCTGGTAACACTACTCTATTTGATGTGGTTAGTCATGTCTCGCAGTCTTAACAATTCTTCTCTTGCTTTACTAAGGTCTCGGACCCGAGTCCGGCGCCACCGCCCCGGGACCCACTTATACCGAAGATTGGTCGGCCGCTATGTAGCGAATGTATGAAGTCATAAGCTGTGCTCCATGGAAAAGATTGTGACGACACCGTGACATGTCATAGACAACGTTCGGCTGGGGACCAAACATCAAAACGCCTTTTCGCTCACTACTAAATCCTGCTTTTGGTCTGATCAGTTCAATTGTCTTTCTCAATCCGAGAATGAATAGTCCTCCTCAGACAAACTACGACTCTGACATTCTACACCCGTTTTCACCCTACGCTTGGTTTTAAACTATTTTGTCATCTTCCTACCACGTCCAGACTTCGCCTGATCCTCTTTCAATTTCGCAACCTCAAATCACGCAGCTCTCACAATGGCAACCCAACGAGTCTTCCAGCTCAGCGGCACCTGCAATAATTATCCCTGGGGCAAGAAGGGGAAGCAGTCACTGGCCGCTCAGCTGTGCGCAAGAACGCCAGGCACCGACTTTAAAATCGAAGATGAGAAGTTCTACTCCGAGATGTGGTTCGGTGACTACCCGGACTTTCCAGCTCGCGTGCTTGAGACGGACGAGCTGCTCGCGGACGTGCTGAAGAAGGATCAGCAGACTCTCCTCGGAAAGAAGGTCGTGGAGACGATGGATGCGCAGCTGCCATTCCTACCAAAAGTAAGACGATTTCGATGCCAGAGAAGTTTGAACAGAAACGGCTAGGCTCACTATGTGACATGCAGATTTTATCAATAGCAAAGGCTCTCCCGCTCCAGCTGCATCCAAACAAAGATCTAGCAACCAAGCTGCACAAGCAAGATCCAGACCAGTTTACGGACCCCAACCACAAGCCAGAGATTGCAGTCGCCCTGTCAACATTCGAGGTCTTCGCAGGATTTAAGCCTCTCTCAGAGATCCAACCCCTCTTCACTCTCTCCGCCTTGAGCTCTTACTCACCCGCTGCGCCAAAGGAGCGCTGGGATAACGACACCCTGCGCGAGGTCACTCGCAACCTCCTCAAGGCGGACGAGGCCACGGCCAAGACGATCGAGAGCGACCTCCTGCACACGCCGCGGTCGGAACTCCAAAATGTCAAGGCCGACTACATCCTTGACCTGCTCCCGCGTCTGCAGGGCCAGTACGGGCCCGGCGACGCCGGCTCGATTGTCGCGCTGACGTGCATGAACTTCCTAACGTTCCAGCCGCTGGACGCTATTTACATCCCTGCCGACGGCATCCACGCCTACTTGTCAGGCAACATTGTCGAGTGCATGGCGCGGTCGAATAATGTTCTCAACGTGGGGTTCTGCCCGCCCGCGGATAAGAATAATATCGACATGTTTGCGAACACCCTCACTTTCAAGTCTCACAGCAAGGAGGATGTGGTTCTCCCCAAGCAGAAGAGTGAAAGAAGCAAGACTGGCAAGACCGAGGTGTATAAGCCACCTCTGAGCGAGTTTGACATGATTATTTCTGGACTGAGGGCTGGGGAGAGTGATGAGCTCAAGGCTAGCGAAGGGCCGGGTGTTTTGCTTGTTACGCAGGGTACTGGAAAGATGGGCGCGGACGGAAAGGAGTTCGAGTTGAAGGAAGGGTATATCTACTACGTTGCTCCAGGCGTGGACCTCAAGTGGGAGACGGAGAGTGGAATGCAGATATTCATGGCTGCTGTGTGATTTCTCGAAGCATGAGGTAGCAACACCGATCCAATTTATCGTTTCCAATCTTGAGAACACTCGCACGTTCATTTGGCCGTGTTTAGCCTTGCCCATGACGCATTGAACCGAGAACGCACAAAACAACCCATAGAACTTGGTCGCTCGATTAAGGGATAGGAAAGGAAGAAAAAGGTGGTGATAATCCAGCTCGTATCGCGACACTTTCTTACAAGTATTTTTTTCAAAATCAGGCTACTCGATCGCCAATCTCTAAAATGCTGACTTTTCCTTAAGCGGTCTTCGTCGTGTCAGGCTTGAACCAGGCCTTGGGCCCAAACCACGTTCCCTTGACGAAGCTGTTCCAGTACACGCTGGGGAAGAAATCTTTCTTGAGGTGGTAGAATACCCGTCGAGGAACGTCCTGGCTGCCGATACCGGGAACCTTGGCGAAGGTCTCATCGGGGACACCGCCGTACTTGAACTCACAGAGCATGAGCTCGTTGTGGCCAGTCAGCAGTGGGCAAGAGGCGTAGCCAGTATAGCCGGACTTAAGCTCCTCGCCACGAATGGTGGACAGCAGGTTGTCGACCAGGACGGGAGCTTGAGAGCTAATGGCGGCCGCGGTCTTGGAATTTGGCAGTGATGAGGCGTCGCCGATTGAAAAGACATTGGCGTACTTGTTGTGCTTGGTCGTGCTCTTGTCAACGTCGACCCATCCAGCAGAGTCGGCTGTCAATTGCCAGGGTCAGTATTGTTTATGCAATGAGAAGTGGAAGCGCTTGAGCATTCAAGGATGACTTACCCAGAGGTGACTTAGCCACCCAGTCGAAGGGCTTCTGAGGAGGAACGACGTGCAAAAATCCGAACTCCTTCTGCACCTCCTTGCCATCTTCGGCGAGGTTCTTGAAAGTGGCGACCTTGTTTGCAGCATCCACGCTGACCAGGTTGTGCTGGAAAAGTCCCTCGACGCGGCGCTTCAAACGGAGTTCCTCCAGAGCCTTGGAGTACTTTGGCACAGCGAACATTCCTGGGCCGCCGGTGGCAAAGTAAGGCAGAATCTCCTTCCTAACTCCGTCCCTCTCCCACTGCGACAGAGCCATCCACAAGATCTTCTGTGGCGCACCGGCGCACTTGATGACGCCAGCCGGCTGAGTGAAAACTGCGTTTCCCTTCTTGAAGTCCTGGATGTTCTTCCATACCTGCTCCACAGTCTTCTCAGAGTAAATGGAGCTCACTTGGCTGCCTGAATCTTGCAGAGCCTCGGGGAGGCCCTTGATCCCGGAGAAGTTGACCTCAAGGCCAGGAGCCACAACCAGATAGTCGTATGAGACCTCGACACCGTCGGCCGTCTTGAGCTCGTTGTTCTCTGGGTCGAACTTGGAGACCTGGAGAGGGTAATGTGTGACGCCAGATGGGATGAGGCTCGACAGGGGTCGGCTCATGTCGCTCAGAGGCTTGAGGCCAGAGCCAACAAGGGTCCATCCGGGCTGGTAGTGGTGGTTCTTGGCCGGGTCGAGGATGGCGATGTCGTCCTTTTGGAACTGTTTCGAGCGCATCAACTGGGCAGCGACGGTCACACCGGCTGTACCGCCACCGACAACTACCACACGATGGTGAGGCTTAGGTGGTATCGAAGTAACGGTGGCGTAGGTTCTGGGTGACGACGCCTTCAGGCCCTTCGCAGACGCGCGAGCAGCCCTAACCCCCAGTGCTCCAGCCATTTTTTGCGCGATAGGAAAGAAATCTGACAGGTGCTAATTAAATGAATGAGTTTAGAGTCAAAGATATATTGGTAAAGTAGTGCCCTGTATGGCGTAATAGTGTCGCAGCAAGGCGGTGGTTGAGGTATGAGAGAATCTGTGTGTGAGGAAATTGTGAAGAGTGCTTGCGAAAGGCTCAGCTCTATTCTCTCACTCGCAAATCTAAGCAGGGGCTATGGCGTGATCGGCTGTCGGCGGCGTTTTCGATAGAATAGCCGACGTGGTGCCACTGTCCTAACCCTAGACCGCGAATTCGGGGGGAGGGTTCCTCCTATCCAACGTCACTTTTGAACAAACAGTGACTTTCTTGCACGTAGAATGAAGACAAAACTATCATCACGTGACGCTTGAGACTGGAGAAAAGTGTTTGCACAACCTACTTGCTTTCCCAATCTAAAAAATAGGCGGGATTGATTGGTATCTTCGCTTGCGTTGAGCCGGCTTGGCTTAGCTGCCAACCTTGGTAGAAGCCATCTCGCTTCCACTAAGTCGACCACTATGAATAATCAAGTTCGTCACAGTCCATGCCGACGCTATTGATGGCCGGCCTCTTTTACCTCGCAAGAAATATTTCTGCTTAAGGCTTTGACGTCTTTTATTCAAGATATTCTGGTTGCTGTCTACCAACGCAATACATCCCCCTCCCTCCCTTGTGAACGCCGGAAGACCTTTTAGACATCCCGGTGCCAGGCCGTAGCGGCTTAATCTCGGCAGGTGACTGAGACCTCAGCTCAATGCAATAGAAAATCTCTTATGCCAAATCAAGCCACTTTGCAAACAGGAAGAAGTGTAGCCGTCAAGAACACAAAAGCGCTCTGAAGAGTAGTAGCTCTCAAGTCACCGTTGAAATTGGCAACATATCCCTGACACCACGGCAAGTATGGTTTGGCTTTGCTATCTTTTATTCTCTTCTTCAATGTTTCACAAAAAGTCTACAGCAGGTATGATTTCAAGATATGACCGCCGTATGAGTGTCTGAGATTCAATACCAGAGGACGCAGTGCGTTTGAATCTCTGGGACTGTAATCCATCGAGCCTCACTCACCGATGGCGGCCATCTGAGCGCGGTTGACGTGGATGTCGGGGTCCTATTTAGTCCACAACAATACATTCGAGGGCATGGGAGATAGAAGGCTCACTTTAAGGCTGTCAGTCGGTATTGTACCGCAGAAATGGGAGCCCAAAATGAGCCCGATACCAGGAGCAACAAGTCGACACATCATTGTTATCTGGACGCCTGCCCGAATATACTTGTACAACAGCCACACTTTCTCGTCCATGGCTGCCGGAACAGCGCAATTTGAGCTGCAAAACGTATTGCTGGCGCGACTTGGGCAGCTATGGAATTACCCCTAACTATCCGGCCCAGAAATTACTGGATCACTCAAGCGATAGGTTCTAACGACTCTGACGCGGCGTTCATCGTTCAGGTCATACAAAATCATCATCTCGTTCCAAATCCGCTGACCTGTCTTGATACCTCCTGATGTCGTACCCATCCCCGCATACCCCTATTGTACGATACGCGTTAGCAAGTTATACAGACTTCTGCGTTGCGACGAACTCTGACGTTGCGCACGCACACGTTCGTGTACAGGCAACTTTTCTCAAAATGGCAGTGCAGACGCACCTCTGGGAAGTCCTTCCGAGCGGTGAAGGTCACCTCAGCGTGAAGAACGCAACAGCTGTCGTCCAAGGTGATCTGCTTCGGAGCGACGTTCTCGTCCATGCCGTTTAGTCGCTGCGTGGAAAAGAATTTGACGTTCTCCTCCCGTCCCTGGATGACCTGGAGCTTACCCAAGCGTACCTCAAGATCCGGTGCCCAGAAATCGGATGCTTTGCCAAAGTTGTTGCTGCTAAAGAAGCCAATGTAGCTTCTGACGTCGTCCTTGGTTCGGAATGATGATCCGGACCCGGCTACTGCGCTGCCGCCGACGGCGACATCAACTACTTGTGCCTTTCTCAGCAGCTTGGTGGCTCCAGGCTCAAGGTGGACAACTCGTCCTCTTTCGTCGAGGTGGTAGAACACAATCATGATGACATCTGGGCCAGTTCCCTCGGACACAGGGCCCCATCCGAAAAAGTCGTCCATCTCTACATCCTTCTTCCCTCTAAACTCCGCTCGTGCTTGCACGATGACGAGTCCCCCATCACGTTCGAATATGATCTTCTGTGGAACGAGAGTCTCTGATGCTATCTGGTGATGTCCTTTGGCCCACTGATGATAGCCGCTTAAAGTCTTAGGGCCGGGAATGAGGGGAATGTCGATCTGAATAATGCCCGAGATTCAGCAACTTAAAGAGATGAATACTGTGGGCATTCCTAGACGAGTCGTCGCTATTTCAACCGCCGTAGAGGGCTTATGGGCACTCGTACTCACATTAATATCGGGATGGTAATACTGAAAATACGTGTCAAACTCGTCGGCGCTAAAGGCTGCAAGGTACGCCTCAACGTCTGGCTTGGATTTAAAGCCCTTCAGTCCAACAGTTGGATATATTTGATTCGCCATGGTAGCTCAACTGATAATTGGTGCAGCGATATCCACTTCAAACATAGAAATAGAGGTTACAGGCAACATTCAAAATAAGCTATGTCTTGCTTGTTGCAATGTGTATCAGAGCAGGTTCTACCCAGATTTGGAGATCGGCTGAGCCGGATCATAGTAGCTCCTCAGAGGCAATTTTCGGGGTCTTGATAATATCCGCATGTTGGAGATACACTATATACCGTGATACGCGCGGCATGAAAGTGAGGGGCGAGCATGGATGTCAATTGACATAACGTCTGCACATGCCACGACACAAATGGCTTTAAGCTTAGTCTAGTCACGAGCGACGGCCGCAAGAGCAGCCTTGGCATGCGAGCATATAAGGAGACGGTTCCTCAAAATTCACACGAGATCATATGCCATTTGGGTAGTCCACCACAACGCTCCAGATACAAAATCACTTTATTAAAACTCCATCTAGAAACCCAAGATCAAGGCGCAGCCCGATCACGATGGCAGGACACGCCTTCGAGAACTGTAGCCCGGCTTATGTGGACGGCATCAAAGCCGGTGATCGCACCGAGTTCCCCGAGACGCCCGCCTTCACCAATGGGGTCGCTCCGTGCCGCTTTCAGGGGGACATTGAAGAGCTCGAGGTGTTTGGGAACATTCCAAAGTCCATCCACGGCACATATTACAGCATGGGCGTGGACAAGAGATTCCCTCCGATGCATGAGGATGATATCTTGTTTAATGGTGACGGGATTGTAGGGGCATACTACATCGCCAATGGCCATGTCGACTGGAAACGGCGCTACGTGAAGAATGACCGTTATAAGGCCGAGTCCAAGGCCCGTAGGAGCTTGTTTGGCAGGTATCGCAACCCGTACACCGACGACCCGTCGGTCAAGGGGCTAATCCGCACGACCTCCAACACCAACATTGTCTTTTGGCGGGGCGTCATGCTCGCGTGCAAGGAGGATGGGCCGCCTTATGCGCTCGATCCGGAAACACTGGAGACCATTGGGCGATACGACTTTGACGGCCAGGTAGTATCGCCGACCTTTACGGCTCACCCGAAGATTGATCCGGAGACGGGAAATATGTTGTGTTTTGGCTACGAGGCTGGCGGGAACGGCAATGACTGCTCGAGAGAGATTGTCTTTTATGAAATTGGGGCTGACGGCAAGAAGCTTACCGAGGTCTGGTTCGAGGCCCCGTTCTGCGGGTATATACACGACTTTGGCTTTACCAAGAACCACATCATCCTGCCGATGACACCGTTGAAGGCGGATCTGCAGCGCCTGCAGAAGAGCAAAGTACACTGGGCATGGGATCCCAATGAAGACCATTTCTTTGGCGTGGCACCGCGGAGGAGCCCCAAGAGGGAAGACATGGTCTGGCTTCGGTCCGACAACTGCTTCCAGGGTCATGTTGCCGGGGCGTACGAGAGCGAGGGTGGGGACCTGGTCTTTGATTTGTCCATGGCCGACGGGAACGTCTTCTTCTGGTTCCCCGAGGACGGAAAACCACCGGTGCCGCCGGGGCCGGGCTCCCCGCTCAGGTCACCAATGACACGGTACACCTTCCCCGTCGCGAGGGACGGCCGGCTGGTTTCTCCCGAGAAGAGGATCGCGCCGGCCTTCTCGTGCCAAACGTCGGTCGAGTTCTCCCGCATCGACGACCGCTTCCAGGGCAAGGAGTACACACAGTTCTGGTCCCTCGGTATGGACGGCTCCCGGCCGTACGACATTGCTCGGTGCGGACCGCCTGCCGGAGGGCTCTTCAACCTCCTGGTCCACTACAACTGGAGTACCGACACCGAGAAGGTGTGGTGGCCTGGCCCCACGACGACGCTGCAGGAACCTTGTTTTGTGCCGCGTGACGTGGACGGGTCGCCCGAGGGCGACGGACACATTGTCGTAGTCCTGAACCGCCTCGACCGGGGCATCAACGAGCTCGCCGTCCTGGACGCACAGAAGGTTGGAGAAGGACCCGTCGCGCTGGTGCGGCTGCCGCTCAGGCCAAGGCTGGCGTTCCATGGAAACTTTGTAGACCACAGGGACATCGAGCGGTTTGAGAAGGAGAAGGAGAAGCTGAAGACAAATGGGCCACCGGCTCCATTACCTTGGCAGCAGAAGGGTTTGTGAAATCAAACAATATCGGAAGAAAAGTCTCCACCGTCACAACTTATCACTATGCTAAGTTGAAATGCCAATTTTCTAGGATAATATGTGTCGGAGGAGAAGATCTGGAAAAGATAGAGAATAAGACGTTACGATAGCTACTTAGCGACTGCACAGGTTTGGGTTTGATGTTATGTGTAAACATACGCGAGTCGCCTGCGAAACCAAGGGCTGGGAGTGGTACCCAAGTATCGCAGTTTCATATGATGCGCCCAGGTCATTGAAGAACTGAAACTCTCAATGGGAAGACACTGGCCGGCCCCCAGTATGCTTCTGGGCGGAATTGCGGAAATCGGATATAGAGGACAGATGGGCTAATTTGTCACAGGACCTGATTGCGACACCCAAAATGCCGTGAAACACTCCATGTTCTTCACAAAACGAACCAGCAATGGGTTATGCTACAAAATTTGGGCGTAGAAGCATGTTCCACGCAATTGTGTTGATCTTCGGCTTCAACGGATGTGTACTGGCGGGTGGTGGCACAGGAAGAGGAGTGAAGTTGCTCTCGCTACCAATGAAGACCAAATTGACTGAGATTTCAGCCTTGAGAAGCCGTCATACAGATTTAGAAACTGAGGAAAGTAATAGCGTGTAGATCATACACAGCATGCATAGTGGGTTAGCCGTGCTTACTTACATCATTGAGGTCTCAAGCTACCACAGCCAACCGAGCAGGTGCATCGACGTTGTGTAACGCAATGATTGATATGGATACCCCTGAGGGTGTAAAGACTCCAAGAATCATCGCAGCACGCCAAGAGCTTTCTCAGAACAGCAACATGCAGATCTGGGATTCCGACATGCTCGAGTCCAGTGCAGGTTGTTGCAAATTAGGACGGAAATGCAGTTGCTCACCGCCCCCAATATGGATCTGCGGGCACTTTTTGGGGGCCATGAGTGGGGGCCATGATACTGACTGCCGAAAGACATTTTATTCTCCTCTCATCTAGGTGTGTGGATGCAGAGTAAGAAATATCGGTCTTAAGCCTACCGGTTTTCACCAGATAACCTGGGACGTGCATTTTATCTGACCTCGTCCGTGACCTGATCATCTGTATCAAACAGTCATTTTACCTCTTGCTAATCTTTCCCATCGCCTTTATGACATTTCTGTTGAACGTGAACTCAGAATGTCTTCATCGATTTCCAAAAGTGAGAGCAGTGTTGATGATGGACCGAAGCTAATAAAATTCTCACAACCATGGCGGTCGTTGTTACTGTTGTAGTAGCTCTACGCATTTTCATGAAAATCCGCCGACAGTACAGAATCGATTTCGAGGATTGGCTCTGCCTTGCCGCTTTCGTAAGTCTCTTCAAGCGCTGAGGATTCGGATTCTGATCTTTGCGCATTTGGATGTGCTCGGTTGGATTGCTAATGACACTGTCACCGCTAGGGACTTTCCTGGGCTTTCTATGGGTTGAGCATGGCTCTAGTCATTAAAGGTGGCCTTGGCAAACCACTCGCCGCAATCCTCTCCGAGGGTGGTAAAGATAAAATACGGTACAACTACAGGGTAAGCCTCTGCCCACGTCCTACCTCTGTTGATGTTTTGGAAGGTCAGACGCCTAACGATTGTATCTCTTGCCAGATACAATATGCCTGCGAGATGTTCTACGCATCTACTATCACGACCATCAAGATCAGCATCCTTGCCATGCACTGGAGGCTTTTTCCAACATACATTATGAAGGTTGCGTATATCATCCTCGGCGGTCTAACCATCATGTGGTGGCTCGCCGTGATTCTCGTCACCAGCTTCAAGTGCCAACCGACTGGGAAGACTTTTGACCCGTATATTGACGGCGATTGTATCAACAATGGGAGCTTTTTTCCGGCTTCTGGGATTCCCAACATTATCACAGATGTAGGCATTCTTGTACTCGCTATCTACCAAGTGATTCGTCTTCATCTTCCACTTATGAAGCGGGTTGGCCTCTCGGTCGTGTTCATGGCTGGTTCCTGCGCAATTGCAGCATCATGTGTACGCCTCTACTACTATTGTCAGGTAGAAATAGAGGCCTCAAATGGACACAGTGAAGAAAAGACCAGTGAGTTGAAGCCCCTACTCTTGCACACATCTAATCTCCTTTCACACGTTGTAGTGTCTAATGGTCTTGCAATCCAGCGAACGAACTCAACGCAGTTCTATGGTCTGTTCTTGAGACTGATTTAGCTATCATATGTTCCTCCCTGACGGCATGGGGCCCGCTCGTCTCGCACGTCACTTCGCAATTATGGTCCGTTCTATCAGCCAGCGGCGGCTCCAAGCTTAGCGATAAGCCGCTGGCAATTACCCACACTTTTCGGACCTTTGGTGGCACTATTGTCCATAGACTGCCAGTCGCTAGCGTTAGAAAACAGAGCGGTAATCTAGTGGGACAGGGCAATAAAACCAGCCACGGGCAGTGCCATTGGTTCGACCGCCTTTCCGACGATGAGCTCCTTACGCTTGAAGGTTCCGCGGCGGTTCAAAGAGATGTGAAATGAGGTTGCACGAATTGGCTGTTTGCACCCTATCAAAGAAGAGCAAATATTACGACAACTCACACGCACGTCCGACATTGTACTTCGCCTGAATGTTTATGCCCACAAGATTTCACGATTGAATAACCTTTACTTGCTTTGTTTCGGGAGTGTTAGCAAAGCCTTCCGTGACAGAGTCTTTTTGACAGCATCTTTGGGAGTCTGGTCGTAGTGCAAGCAGGTACGTGTGGTGAGTTCACGCAGACCAAGTCAGGTTTTGCATTTTCTTTGTATCAATTTCGAGGTAATGAACAACCAGAATGTCGATAATTCTACTTTTGACCCCCACCGAGACGTTCACTTGCCCTGATCCCCTACACCCCCCTTGTACGAGGGGTGGCGATTGATTTCAAACAAAATATGAGGCTTTTCAAGCTACCGAAGGGGGTAGAGAATTCTGTACACGCAAACCAAACAAGCGATCTGTGATCTGGATTTTCAGCAATGGACACCGCTAGTCTTCCATTAGCTATCTGATTCGTATTTCACTGAATTCCTTCTTGCTTAAATCAACCTCATGTGCAGTTAGTACTTGATGGAGTATAGCACTCTTGAAAACCACCTCGGATTCCCGGAGGTATGCTTGTAGCTTCTCTACGTCTGGCTGGACATGATTCAAGACAGAAAACCTTTGCTCCATGACAGTTTCAAATTTCCTCCAGTCCCAGTACCTCTCATCTCTGGACCGCGGTCCTTGAGTTTGTTCGAGCTCAGTGTTGGATTCGTCCGAGAGTTGGCGCAAGATACTTTCAAGCAAGATCGAAGCTCGATCCTGGCCGTCGCTTGTATCGTTCTCGATATTGACGGTTGCTATCCGAGCCTGGAACTCGCCCACCTCGCATGCTTTGTCGTAGAGGTAACTGTCCAAGGGCATGTTCGGCCAACATAAGTCAGAAGTTCTCTCAATGTAAAGGTTCCTCAGCAAACGGTCGGTGACCCCTGCCCATTGCATAAGCTGGGGCAATACGGCTGCTCCGTCGAGAAGTTGGTCGTCATGTAGTTGTAAATCAGTCCATACCATCGCCTCCTTTTCAAAAGGATCCCTAATGAATAGACCTAGAAACCTGTCCAATTTCAAAGAATGTGCTTCATCCAGTCCTGCAGCCTCTTCGATCTGACGGTAATCTTTGTGACGCATATTGTTTACCTCGTTAATGAGACTTCGAAGCAAATACTCGTCTCCCAGTATCTGGCCGCATATTCCAGCGTGCTTCTGCCACTCATCCAACAGACCAACCTTACTCAGATCAGTGATTTCAATTTTCCGGATCGCCTTGTATGTCAAGGTCATTCTCGATGTTGCTAGATTGTAACTCCACAATTCGGGGTAACTCCGTAATTGAGGTAATAGATCCTGCGAGAATTTAAAGATTTCCAGTTCAGACTGCTCCACTAAAGATGTTGGAGATAGCGTTTGAAGACATATCGGTATGCGTTTGGAATTGTCTAACGCCCACTCTTCTGGTAAGTCCACGATGACAAAAGGTTCCCCTATTTCAACCAGAGTATATTGGTCGCATGAGGCGTCGTTGAGTCTCAGAATTAAAACTGTCAAATAATCCGGAAGCATGACAGCGCGGTGCTGTGCGCTGCTCGGTTGCTTGGAACACGTCATGAACTCAAAATGGCATTTCCACGACTCTTATGAGTTGTCCTGATTTGGCTTTTTAAGAGTCCATACAGGTTGATTTCCGTGCCACCGATTGGTTCCGTCACGTCCCAAATCGCCATTGAACAACGCATTGATTGTTTCCCTGGCCCAGACCCTGCGAGCGCGTGGCGCAAACATGTATTCCGGGCTATATCCGGAAGTAAAGGGTCCAAGAGGCATATCGAATCGTCGGCGCCAGTCAATGCTATCACGGGGCTCAAATATTCGTTTTGGGTTGTATTCTGAAGTGATGACGGGTCCAAGATGCACGCCTCGTATAGTGATGACTCCGGAACTGGCCACACGGAAGACAGAGTCACGCCCCAGATTTTGGCCCTTTGAAATGATGGCCTTCAAGACTCCTTGGGTTTTAAGCCCTGAATCGCCAAGCATCTTCCAGTCAGGAACCCAGGATGGAAGGCCTGGGTAGATGTTGGGAGCCAAGCGTGTAGCAAGCATCAGCACACCCCACACGAAACCATTCGTCGCAAGATCAGCTGCGATGCCGGAATATACTTGTACAGTAGACAAGCTATAGTCTGCCCTTAGCCGTTTCTCTTTGCTCGAATCCAGAAGGCTTAAAAGGGCAAAAACTCTGTCTCGGTCGTCTGAGCAACGACACAAGGCAGTATCAAAGATTAAACTCAGGATATGTTCTGCTTGTGATGAGGCATGAGGCCTTGATAGCTCTCGGACAGTGTGCTTCGAATGTTTAAGCCATGGAGGATGAATGACTTCGGATCCCAAAATTGATCCCCAAGGTTTCCCCGCGAACGTTGAAATATGAGCCGTGGCAGAACCGCAGTGCAACTCGAGGGTTTGTGCTAACGCCACCTCTTGCACAATCCACATACGTCGAAAGTAAGGTCTTTTAAGAAGATCGCTGACACTCCTGCTCTCGTCTTCGTTCAGGTAAAATCGACCGCGCTGTCCAAGCAATGACATCGCCATGCTACTGTCATCTTCCGTTGACTCTTGGCCAAGATATACTAGCACTGTCAAAGCCCTGGAGTAAATCTGCTGCATCAAATCGACTTGGCGAGACCTCTCTTCTGGGTCATCCTGATTGACACAAACTGAGTCTACCCAGATGGTTCGCTCTGTTGTAGACTTTCGTACGCGATTCAAAGCCTTTGCACAGTTGGTCCCGAGCTCCATGAAGCATCGAGTGCCCGATAGAAATAAAGCTGGGTGCACATCATCATCCGTATTGTCATTGGACGTCCCGACACTATCATGATCCCTCCAAGTATAGGACAACGGCTCGTACACAATCGAGTCTGAGAGGCACACTTTCCGCAGGGATCCAAATAAGACATCCCCAGGCTTGCCTGCTTCGAGATCCAAAACTCGAATCTCGTCTCCAAGTAGTGTCTGCGCGTTTCCGAGAACTTTGCGCCGCACTCCATTGTATGTTGTTGCTGTTGCTGTTTGACTGAGCGTGCTTGGTAATTTGGCTCCACGATCGCAACTGGGATTGCTGGCATCAGGCGATGCATCTTCCACGTGATATGTGACAGACTGGGGCCAATACAGGCTGAAACTATGTAATGATCCACCTTCGTGATTTGTCATGGCTGTCCGAGGGGGGGGGGGGTACAAATGAGCGCCCGCTGTTCACAAAGTGAATAGAAATTGTATCCTTGTGACACAAGTAATCAGAAAAGAGCGTAGATATGGTAGGACCTGGAAGATACCGGAAACAGGGTGGATGATGCTCGTGGGAACAGCGGAGTCATTATCTAAGAAGGGATGGTAATCAAAGCCGCATCGTCATGTTTGGGGAGGGGAAGGGGCCGCTGACTGATCAAGTAATGCTCGCCAACCCAGACGACTGCTGCCCTGTCGTGTTACGGTAGGGAGGCTTGGATTGGCCTAAGAACTTGTGCATAATGCGGCGTGTCTGCATAGATACCCAATGTATTACATTGTAGCTAATTAAGTCTGCCGGTCACAGCCTCCTTGACCGAATTAGCGTACGAAAGCGCAATTCCCACGTACTACCTGATGACATTGACGCATCAAGTCTTTCGAATACGCAAGAAGCTCTCAAGAAACACCTACAAAGCGGCGTCGATCTGCTGGTCGAGGAGACAAGCAGTGGTGTTCTCGCGGAGCGAACAGAATGACAAGCTTCGGTATACTCTAATTTCCTATAATTGATCCCTCCGCACATGCGTAGCCATCTGGCTACTAGCCCACGAATTCCGAATCGGCTCCACCTGGCTGCCTCTTCGAGAGCCTGGTATATGTGCAGGTGCAGGCTTGAAAGTGGTGTTCTTGTCCCATTCCAATATTGCTTCTGCCATCTCATCAAATGTCAAGTCCCCCTTGTCGAACTTGTGCTGTAGTCTGCCAAGGACATCCACTGGGCAGAAAGGTTGAAGACTGTTGAAAATTTGCTCCATGATAAACACATCATCGCACTGCCCGATTTCGATCATGCGGCTTCTTAGGCGGCGGATCTCCTGGAAATACGACTTCATGTTCTCATAGTCAGGCCGTCGGATGTTCATCAACCGCTTGTACAGCCTGGCGCCGTCGTATTCACCGTATTTGTCGAAAATGGTGCAGGTCTGATGGAATATAATGAATGGATCCGGTTCGTTTATTGAAAGGCCATTATCGGTCAGTCTGTCTCTGACGCGTGAAAATGAGGACTCGATGATTAGAGCGACGATGCCCCGTTCTGACCGCCAGCGCTCATGCTCCTCGCTGCTTGATGGACACGGTATCGAAGATTCTGTGTATTTCCTGAGCTGAAGGAGGTCCAATGCTTTGATGATCATCGCTTTCCAATGTTGCAGGTTGGTTTCGCCCTCCAGCGGAGGTATTATTCTGGAAACAGCGCCCAAGCTGATGCTGTCACTAATATGACTTGTTGGCATCGCTGGCGCCGAGGTCCCGTTCGGCCTTGGGGATGGCTGAGGTTCGATCTTCCGAGGCATCGTGATGTTACTTCACTGCTCTATGTTGAACATTTGTCATCGGGACGTGCGGAGTTGACATGGAAGACGCGACGTCCAGTCGAGGTTGCGTCCGGTCTGCGGAAAAACCGCAACCCCGTTTATGATGAACTCTATTCCTAGATAGATGCATGGGACTGAAACCTATTGGGCAATAATGCCTGCCTTATTCTTTGATGGCCTGAAATGCTAAGCTCCGGCCTCATTAAGGGGCTCCGGCCGGGCAAATCATTCGATCGAGCTTGGCAAGGGTACCTGAATTGTGCCCAAGACAAATTGGAAAGAGCTGAACAAATCACTTTGAGCGTACACTCATTAAGTTCAAAATACAGCGCAGCATGCAAGGAGCAGCGATCTAGAGAGCATTGCTTCATTTTGCCATCCATCAGCCATATCGCACACTACCACCGCTCTCCCTGAACCAGTCATCGGAGGCCAGACCTTCCTCCGGCGACGCGTAGTTGATGATGGTGCTCTTCATGGCCGTGTACGCATGATATGCATCCACTCCATTCTCACTCCCCACACCGCTGGCACTCTTCGCACCTCCCCACGGGCTACTAGGGTCGTTGCGGTGGTGCGTGTTCACCCAGACGATGCCCGCGTCGATCTGCTCAGTCACCCGGTGCGCCTGTGATAGATCATTGGTCCATACCGCAGCGCCCAGCCCAAATTCGCTGTCGTTTGCCAACGCGATGGCTTCGCTTTCGGTGTCGAAGCCCACCACCACCACGACCGGCCCGAACGCCTCCTCCTTCCAGATGCGTGTGTTGAGGATGCTGTTCCCACTGCTGGATGTCAACACCGTCGGGGAGTAGAAGTATCCTCTCGAAAAATTTGTGAGGTTGTCCAGAGGACTCGTCCCTTGTAGTCTGACACCCCCAAAGACTGGGGTGGCATTTCCACTGCTCACTGCATCTTGAACCAGCGCCTCGACATTCTTCAGCTGCTTCTCTGAAATCAACGGGCCCATCGTAGAGTTGGGGTTGGTAGGCGCACCCATACCTCTGGCGATAGTGTCCGCTTTCGCCGCGAGCTTTTCCAAAACCGTCTGCAAAATCGAGTTCTCGACGATGATCCTCGTGGCAGCGACGCAAGTTTGCCCGCTTGCCACAAACGCGCCGAAGGCGATGCCGTTGACTGCCAGGTCGATGTGAGCTTCCTTGAAGACTACCAGCGGGGCCTTCCCACCGAGCTCAGCCGTGAACTTGGCCAGGTTCCGGCCCACAATGCTCCCAATGGCGCGGCCTGCTGCCGTCCCTCCCGTGACGTCGACCTTCCTGACAAGCGGGTGACCACAGAGCGCAGCTCCTGTGGTGGCACCATATCCCGGCAGGACGCTGAAGACACCGTCAGGAACACCAGCCTCCGCCAGCAGCTTACCAAGCCGCAAGGTCGTGAGCGGGGTGAGCTCGCTCGGCTTGACAATGACCGAGTTCCCGGCCGCGAGCGCGGGCGCGATCTTCTTGACGGCGATGAGCAAGGGGTGGTTGAAGGGGGTGATCTGCACGACGACGCCCAGGGGCACCCTGTCGACCCAGTTGTGCAGCTTGCCCTGCGTCGGCAGCACGGACCGCTCCTCTGTCCTCAGGAGGGCCGCGTAGTACTTGAACCAGCGCACCAGCGAGGGCACCTGGGCGACCATCTCCCGGATCGCGCGGCCGGTCTGTATGACCTCCAGTTTGATGAGGTCGCCGAGGTTCTCGTTGAGCAGCGCGGCGGCCTTCTCGAGGACGTCGGCCCTGAGGTGCCTGGGCAGGCGGGACCAGATACCAGACTTGAATGCCCCGTGGGCCAGCTGCACTGTGTCCTCGACATCTTCGATAGAGGCGGAATGACAGTAGGCAAAGATTTCTCCCGTGGCCGGGTTTTCGACTGGAATACTGATTCAATGTGTCAGTAACCAAGTAGGCGGATGGCTTCGATGTTGGAACACGGTATCAAAGAGCCCAGTTTTCTCACTTACAGGTCACCCCGCCCAGGCTGATTCTTCCCCGCAACCCAGAGTTCGCGGGCTGAGCCTGCGCGGTCGCTCATCTTGTTGAACGGTTCCTCCTTGGTCTCAATCGTCCCGTGCCCTTGTCTTACTCTTGCTCTGGCCTTTGGAGCTGGTCTTTGGCGTGAGAAGAAAGGCTAACGACCGACGGACAGTGTGTCGGGAGACACCCGGACAACGGCGACGTCTGCCGATTAGCTCGGCGCTTATCAACGGCGCGTTGTGGGTCCCTTCCGGCAGCTGCCGACCGAGGAACACGCCGGATTCCGGGCACATCACTTTGGAATTGATCTTCGGACGGCGGAGTGTGTTGCGTTCCATGGCAGAAACACATTCTTCTCCTCATGCCTGGAAAGACGGCAAAACTTGGCGACGAATCACAGAATAGCTGCAGAGACAGTGTGCAAAACAACACGATTGTTGCTTTCCTTTCATTTCAGTACCAAGGGTGTGCAGGAAACGACAGAGTGGCCTGCAGCGGCGCCTCGCTAATGTTCCGCATGACAGTCTCCTCTAACTCTGCCATTTCTTCCTTCACCCTCTTGTCAAGGGACTCCTCTACCTCAGCTGACTGCTCACCCATTTCTTTCCGAAGAGTAGCCATGATGCGAGACTCGCTCTGTGACACAAGTTCAACCATCTCCTTCCTGTGAGCCGCTAGGGCGTCATCAAAGTGCTGTTCTAAGGCAGATAGACGGGAGTGGATGAGGCTCTCGATGCCCGCAGGATCTCCTGCACTCTGTTTGCGGGATTCTGGGGGACTGCTGCTGCGACGAAGACGTTTCTTGCCTTTGTCGAGGCCTGGATAAGGAGGGGCAGATGCAGCCTCTTGGTACTGTGGAGGGTCATCGTGCACTTCGCTATTAGCACTAGCAGGTAGATCGTCGCCAGCGGTGCTAGGTGCCAGACTGTCTCCTTCGACTATACGGCCCCCTTGGCCCTGGTAGAGCGTAGCCGCACTTTTCAGGGCGGCGATGCTAGTGGCTGACGGCTCCGAGACGGCAGCGCAGAGCTGCCGTATCCGCGCAGCAGACATGCTCCGGGTCGGGATGGCAGCGTATACGGTCCAAGACGTCTGACGGGCCAAGTCAAACATGGAGGTGATGATGTGCCCAGATGACTTATTCTTGGGTTCGCACTGCTTTGGTGGTAGCACCAGAGTCGGTGGTCTGGACATGTCAAAGGACAGCGAAATTGTGTCATTGCCCAGCATCTTGTCGTCGGGTTCCGCTTCGAATGAGAGCTGACGGATGTGCTCAGGATATACGTGCATGAATATGTTGGTTCTGCCGTCACGACGGAGGCCAGGGGCGTTCTTGAGCTGGACCGAGGCGCGCAGTTCAAAGAAGGCCTTGTTGGAAGCGGGCACCCAGTGTATGTCCAAGAGCAGGCTGGGCAGGCGCTGCCCTGTCTCCCACGACGCGAGAGCAGATATCTTGGTCAAGTCGATTTTCTTGGGCCATGTTGGTTCGATGTGCCCGATAGAGGGGGCGCCAGAACTGCTGCTTTTGGGAGATGGGGAAGCCTGCGCATCGGCGGGTGCAACTTCGGTGTTTGTGTGTCGCCTCGGGGATGGACTGGATCTTGCCTGATTAGAAGCTTGCTCTGGAAGTCTTTGCTGTTCAGCGTCATGTTCTGATTCTGGTTCCGGTTCTGGCCTGGGTGTGTTAGGATTCGTAGTGGTGCCGGAGGCAATGGATCGATGCGAGGGCGAGGTTAGGGGGTCATTAGGAGAGGAGCTCTCTGTTGCATCGGCCACCATGACTACGGAACAGCCGCGTCGTGCTATCAAGTGTCAGTTCAAATGTCTTCTCCTATTCTGTGGCCGCACCACCGCGGGTTTGGCCCTGGTGGCCTCCCAGGCGGTCGCAACAGCACAGCCTTTTCTCGCGACGGTGATGGTTTGTCGATGGGAGCAGAGCAGCCTCGAGTGCTTGATTGATCAAGCAGCGCAGAGAGGAAGGCGTTGATCGTTTTCATTCCTGCACGCCCAGCCTAGCCACGACACACTCTATACGACGAACTCCAGTGCTGCAAGAGGCACCAGCACCCAGGGTCTTTCGCCGTCCGTAGAGCGACGAGTAGATGCCTGTCAAAAGTCGGTGCTGGCCGCGAGACACTGGTCGTCAGGAGTGTCGTGGGCCGTAGGCAGGCGGTGCCCGGTCATCCGCTGTCACAGCGAATACCTAGGAATTACTTCGAACCGGCCCAGTTGGGATGCAAAGCGATGTTGACGGGCTGTGGCCGATGGTTGTTGTGAAGGAGTCAGGCACAGGAAATGGCGAGAGGAGAGAAAGTGGTGCGTGCACGGTCTCTGGGCTGGCAGGCTGATTACATAATGTGGAGGTTGGGAGTTGGCCTAAGCGGGCAGATAAGGCCTTATCTTATCACTTCTTATCGCTGCGTGCGTCTTGGAGCTGCAACTTGCAGAGAGAGCTGTTTCTAAGGAAACAAATCTTTGACTTTTCTTGGATCCTTCGATGTTTACAATTTAGGATGCAGCTGATTTCCATCTCTCATATTGACATAGTTATTCGGATGACTTCTCGGATATTCCAAGTGTGACAGCTCCCAGGTCTGCTCAGCTTCAACGCCACATTCATGCAGCAGCAGGGAGACCGCATCCTGTCAGTCGGTCTTCCACCAAATTCACCCAGATGCACAGGAAATGGAGCTGAGAGTTGCGAACGCATCTTATAATTGCCCTCTAAAGTGTTGGCAACTGGTTGGCTATGACTAGCAATTCCAGGGCGGGTGTGAGCCAACGAGAGCTCTCTTCTCACACGTCGCCCCCCCCCCCTCCCCATTGGACATAAAATGTTAATGAGCATAACGCCTTCATTGAGGGGCCGACATTAACCTTATATTTTGTTTGTACTGTAGACCAGTCCACACGGGAAAGTTCCTTTTACTCATTTATCTTGGAAGCAACTTTAGCAGCTCTTGGCCAATGGAAGCATAATATCCTCAACGTTGTTGGAACCCAAACATTGGTATTTTGACACTGTTTTTGTTCTAGACCGCTCAACCGGTCAACATGGCGATCCAGCCCTGGGAAGACGTGGCACCAGGTTGATTACTGTTGCATACATGATTTCGGACTGGAGTACCTAGGTAGCAGCATCTGCCTTGGCAATCAATATGCCTTGATTTGATGATGTGCAGTTGCCGCTCGGTCCGCCAGAAGAGGCATCCCGGTAATACCTCACTGAGCAAGAGGCCAGCTGCGGGGGATGGCTTCAGCCTCCCTCCACAAAACCCAGACATGGCGGGTCCAGAATGCACCGTCTGCTCTAAACTACGAATGGCAATGAAAGCCATATCTTGGCATCAGAAATCCCCGGGCGAGCGGCTCGGACGAGATTCAGCTTCTTTGTTGACGTCTTGATTTGGTACACGGGTGGCAGCAGGTGTGGGTACCGCATATCACATCAGCTCCGAAACATGGGGGAGAGCTACCCTGTATCCACGATATGGGGAAACTTACCCCTCCCCCGGATTTCGGATGCCCCCTAATAGACTACTACTGGACCCGTACAACGTGGGGAGAGTGTGGGGAGCGGAACTAGTGTCTACCTCCTCGACGATGACGGATCTCTGTCAACCTGTTGAGTTTCCTTAGATGGGAACCATCGCAACTACTTAATCCGAGCTCATCGAGGCAAGCTACGATCAAGATATCCTGCATTAGGAACGCCATCATCATTGACGCCTTCACTTCATCCATTGACCAACATTTCGCTTCCAGCTCATCTCGATCTATCAAACATGAGTCCCAGCGTGCTAACGCAGTCCGCCGTCCCACTCCCCTCCAGCCAGCGCTGTGAACCTGGGTCCGTCAACCTCAACATCGCACAATGGCCCAAGAGAGCCGTGGACGGGCCAGTCGATGCCTTCGGGACTGCCAAGGAAGTCGTTTTGACACTCAACTCGTACCTCGGCAAGGCCCCTTCAAAGGAGGCTGCTGAGGGTGTAGCATCTCTGTTCAGCGACGGCGAGTGCTACTGGCGGGACCACCTTGCCTTGTCATGGGACCTGAGAACTCTCAAGGGCAAGGAGAGTATTGTGGAATATTTGCAGGACAACTCAAATCTCACCAAGGTAGCCGTAGATGCGTCGTCAGAGTGGCGTCAGCCGACTTTGACGGCCCTCAATCCCGAACAGACGTCCAAGGGCATCCTGTTCTACATCACTTTCACTACGAAGCTGGGGTCTGGTCGTGGAGTCGTCCGTCTACTTGAGGATGGCACGGGCTCTTGGAAGATTTGGACCTTCTTCACGACACTCGAGGAGCTGAAGGGGTTTGAGGAGCCCGTCGGCCCACGTCGACCGAACGGTGTGCAGCATGGCTACAACAGGGGCCGGAAGAACTGGCTGGACAGAAGAAATGAGGAGGGAGACTTTAAGGATCGAGATCCGGATGTTCTCATCATCGGTAAGACTTCCAAAAGCAGACTTCACTACATGAATGAAGATGGCCCAGATGCTGACCACCTCAACCAGGTGCCGGCCAAGGTGGCTTGTCTGCACATGCCAGACTAAAGATGCTGAACGTTCCGACGCTGATTGTCGACTTTAATGATAACGTTGGAGACAACTGGCGAAAGAGATATCATCAGCTCGTTCTCCATGATCCAGTCTGGATCGATCACCTGCCGTATCTACCATTCCCCGATTGGTGGCCTGTTTTCACGCCTAAAGATAAGCTGGCCGACTTCTTCGAATCTTACGCGAAGCTCTTGGAGCTAAACGTCTGGATGAAGACGACCGTAGAGTCTGGCTCCTGGGACGAATCACAGAAACGGTGGACGGTCACCGTGAAGCGGACACTACCGGATGGCTCGGCCGAAACTCGAACTCTTCACCCAAAACACATCATCCAATCGACAGGGCATTCCGGCAAAGCAAACATCCCCGACATCAAAGGCTGGGATTCTTTCAAGGGTGATATCATCTGCCATTCATCTCAGTTCCCAGGAGCGAAGCCAAATAGTCAGGGAAAGAAAGCCATCGTCGTGGGCGCCTGCAACTCGAGCCACGATATCTGTCAAGACTACTATGAGAAAGGCTACGAAGTGACAATGGTCCAGAGATCGACAACGTGCGTCGTCTCAAGCGAGTCCATATGCAAGATCAGCTTGGCCGTCCAATACGAGGAAGGCGGCCCCCCTACCGAGGATGCTGATCTTCTGTCCTGGGGTACGCCATCCGAGGTCCTCAAAGCAGTACATTACGAGATCACCAAGCTGCATCAGGAAAAGGACAAAGCCACCCTCGACGGCCTCGCCAAGGCAGGGTTCAAAGCTGACAAGGGTCCGGATGACTGCGGCCTCTACATCAAGTACTTCCAACGCGGCGGTGGCTACTACATCGACGTTGGAGCATCACAGCTGATCATCGACGGCAAGATTAAGGTTAAGCAAGGGCAGGAGATCACCGAGGTGTTGCCGAGGGGACTGAAGTTTGCAGACGGGACGGAGCTCGAAGCGGACGAGATCATCTTCGCGACAGGCTACCAGAACATGCGCACGCAGGCAAGGGGTATCTTCGGAGATAAGGTTGCTGACAAGCTGGGAGATATCTGGGGGCTTGACGAGAGTGGCGAGTTCCGGGCTCTATGGAGAAACTCCGGCCACCCAGGGTTCTGGTTTCACGGAGGCAATTTGGCGATTTGTCGGTATTACTCGAGAGTTCTTGCTCTACAGATCAAGGCTCAACTAGAGGGACTGGAATAAGCGCGCCCAAAGGTTGATGCGCCCAACCTAATTAGACTACTCACGCTACGCTGATCTGTCATACTTCTCTGTCTGTGATCTGATGCATACTAGTACGGGATGCTGTTCTCATTCGCCTAGTGATTGTGAACAGTGCAAACGCTCAATCGTTGTATTCTTCCTCGCAGTAGCTTCGGGCCAAGATGAATTAGGTGTGAGGTAAAACAAACACAGACTCTAGAGGATATCAATAAAAGACAATAAAGCGCCGTATTTGAGTTGCGTCCAGCGGGATTGTGGCTGTGTGTTGGCAATAAAGGTATGTGGCCTGTTGCCTGGCGCAGAAGCAAAATGCAATGGATACCGATTTAGCATTTGAATTTGATGCATTGCTCGAGACGCAGGTCCAGCTGTGAAGGCTGGGCTGTGATTACATTCAGGTCGACCCATTCTTTGTATCACCGAACTTGACTCAAGTCTTGTAATTGTCACAGGGAAAGTGTAAATTCAATGCTTTTAACGGCTTTCATTATGCTGGACGCTTTTCCCATCCATGAAAGTGCAGATGACAGTGAAGTGCATGTTTGAACCAGCTACAATTCATCTAAATTGATACATCTATCATAGCTCAAGCAGGAGCCTGTTTCCCTTGAACTTGGCGAGGAAGTAAATATCCTGCTCCATTTCGGCGTCGGTAAAGTTCTCCTTGGTTGATACTTTTGCCTCGGGATACTTAAGGAAGAACTTGGCTGCGCCCAAGCGGAGCTCGATGCGAGCAAGATGCATACCGACACAAGCTGAAAGGAAAAGACAAGAATATTAGCAAAAGAGAGTCTCTTGAGGTAGCTCACGAGGCATTAGGGTCAGCTTACTCCGCACACCGCCGCCGAAGGCGAGGAAACCATCTTTCATGTCCTTGGTAGGATTCTCCCACCGACTCGGGATAAACTTGCGCGCATCGGTGAAGATCGCATCCATGCGATGGACGCTCCACGGTAACGTGCTGATAATTGAGCCGCCCGGCAGCCAGTAGCCGCCGAGGGAAGCGCCTCCAGGAGGCACGACTCGGGGTAGAGCGGCAGGCAGTGGAGCAGCTAGTCGAAGGGTCTCCTCAACGACACAGTGCAGGAAAGGCAGCTTCTTAAGGTCGTGGTCGGTAAAGTCCGGACCGAGTGCCTCGAATTCCTTCAGCAAGCGCTCTCGTACGTCAGGGTTCCGGCACATAGAATGGACGAGGTAAGTCAGCGTGTTAGCTGTTGTGTCCGATCCAGCGATGACTGCAGCAGGCTAGTATTAGCACCCAAAGGTCAAAGCGAAAGAGTCATCTGGAGAAAGTGTCCAAGGCAGGGCCTACTGTATTCCATTGCCTGGTCCCGAATTTGGTTCGGCGTTAGCGCTCCCTCATCTCCAGCTTTCCAGACCTTGGTGAAAAGTGTAGGCTTGACGTTGTCCGGGTCTTCGTCCAGCAGTCGCCTATACCGTGCAATCGATGCCTCAGCGTATGATCGCTCATTTTCAGATGCCTTCAGAGACTCCTGCAGGACCGGCAAGGGGAGGAAGTGCAGGTATTTCGCGAGAAACGGGAAGGTTGACCGCATGGCAAAGAAGACTCCACCCTCACGCTCCAGCTCGCGGATGTACTGGTTCTTCTTGCCAACCTCCAACATACGGAATGAGTCGCCTCCAAAAGACAGCTCTCCGATTATGTCTGTGGCCATGAAGAGGAACCACTTGAGCACATCGACAACGCCCTGTCGCTCCATTTCCTCCTGTATCCGCGAAAGTGCCAGAGTGACCTTGTTGTCTATCCAAGGCAGGAAGATTTGCAAGGACGACTCGGATAGTGGACCCTGCAACAGTCTCCTGTGGTTTCGGTGAAAGTTCGGATCCGTCGTGCTGAACATGCTCCTGAATCCGGGGAACTGGACAGTCTCGTACCACCAGTCCTTGAGGTATCCCTCTTTGACGCTGAATATCGTTCGAATAGCAGTGATGTCTCTGGTGTGCACCTCTTTTGGGCCGACGCGCACTGTTGCGCCATACTTTTCGTGTAGAGCATGGACGTACTCCACTTTTTTGCCTCTGAGCCATTGGTACTTGACAACCATGTTCGTATACTTGGTGTGCCATGGTCCCGGGACCTTAGAAATCGGGCTACAGTTGGCGGAAACGAGTTGCTATTTTAGTTGTCAATATTTTGGGCCTGCAATGCGGGGAGTCTACGGTCTCACATATAAGAAAAACAGACTCAGAACAACGCCGATTAGTTGGGTGCGGCCAAAGCCGTCAAAGCTAACGGAAGTCATGGCTTGTCGGTATGAGTTGGATGGTATTGATGATCGTGAATGATTACTCAAAGCCTTGGAGGGAAGATCTGCTCGACCTTTTTATTCTCCATGAAGACTGTGAAAAGCGCGAGTCCGTAGACTCGTCCGCGATCTCACCGACGGTGGTTTCGCACTCCGAGCGAGGTACAAGTGACTTCCGGTAATCCCGGCCGCCCAGGCCGTCTGCGAATACACTCTGCCAGCTTTGATCTTGTTAGTCCGGCGTCTGTGGGTCTCTGTGGAGATGGAGAGAATATTCACTTGCATGCAAATTGCCTGGAAAGAGAAGTCCTGTGATGTTAATGATTCGTGGTGGAAGTGCATGGTGTAATTCCGTAAGTCCGATACAGAGCTTCCATGTGGATCCGTCTAACATAAACCTATTTCTCATCTCCCTCAAACCTGATGGCAGCGGAATTCTTATCTACAATCGTGGAACCACCACTTCCATGATTGAATCAATTTATACGCGAATTTGGATGTCAAATGTAGCATTGTGTTCATCGAGGGAACAGCGTTGGGGTAGAGAATTCTCAAGAATACGAAAATGAAATCGGATTTGACATTCACAAAGATTGCTGTGAGAAACGTATTTAGCAAAGGCTCTTTCTCACTACTTACAGCATCCAGGTGTTGGACAGATATGTTGATACGCAGCAGTCGCGAGACGTCAGTTTGTGCGAGAAAATGGGCTTTGTGGCCGGACTGGAGCTGTCATCAAGCGCTGCGAGTCGGAAGGGAGGTTTCAATTGTAAATAAAAGGGATTTTATCAAACAGAGCAACCTTTGAGTAGCGGCCCTGAGTAGGCCCAATAGGTTGAATATGGGTAACCTAGACTACTTGACCGACCGCAGACAATTAGATAATACAGTATTCCTTTCGCCCCCAGCAGGGCTGCAAACCACAGAGGGCCGTCAAGTACGATGATCTAGTGTGCGAGGCAGCATCTAAGCGAGCGCCTAGGACCTCAGATGCATCATCACAAAACGTGCATTTGGTCGATGATACCTGCTTGCCAGACTTTATCAGTTTTGGCATAATCCACTGATCATCTCCTCTTCAGCCGGGACAGACCAAACCTCAAGAATTTTTTGAATGCATTCCTCAGGTCATAGAAGCCATAGATAGACTTCCAAGTTGCCCGTAATTCTTGAGTTCGGTTGCTTTACACCTGGTCGACATTTGGCCAGTTGATTAATAAAAAAAAAACTACACGTCATTGTCCTCCAGGTCACTTCCTCTGCCCCGTAATTTTATCCAGATTGAACGGTCTCTTCCCCTCCAGCACGGCATCTAGCTCCCCATCAAAATGGCTATGGTCATGCCACGCCTCCTCCCGATGTACAGGCTTCCAGCCCAGCTTCTTCTGAGCAACCGTGCCGACCGTGTTCCAATGACCTGCCCATCCGGTTGCCGCGATGTGCCTCCCGAGGGGCCCACCACCAAAAAAGGGCGCAACAGTGTCCAGGTCCACATCTTTGATCTCCTTGGCCTGGATGATGCCTTTCCTCACCGCGGCCTCGAGACAGTCTTGCGCAATATCCACCAGCTTCACTATCCCAACGCAAGGAAAGATAATCCCACCCCTGCCGCTCGGCACCCTCTTCCCACCCTCGACGATCTCCTCCGCCACGCGGACATACAGCCCCGCCAGGTCGTCCACGTGCACGAACCCCATCTGCGCCGTGCCGTCGCCTAGCCTGGGCCCGTACCCGTTCTCCAGTACGAACCGCATCATATTCGGCACCAACCTCTCCGCCGTGCTGAACAGGCCCCTCCCGCGCCCGAAGATGGCCGGGATTTGCAGGGCCGTGGCGCCAACCCCGAGCCTCTCGCCCGCGTCGAGCACCGCCAGCTCCGCCGTACGCTGAAAGTACGGCTCCCGCGCCTCCTTGTCCCTCTCGAGCTCGTACACACGCACGGCGTCGCTGTCGTCGAGCCAGAAGTCCTCGGCGTAGCAGTCGCCCGCCAAAGGGTTGTCCGAGATGTTGGAGCAGCCGCTCGTCTGGATGATCCACTGCGGTACCGTACTGCCCCCGTCGCTGGCAGCTTTGCGCTTTGCTAGCCCGTGAACAAGGGCCTCAGCGCTGGCGGGGTGGAACCCCGTGCCTGCATTAATAACCATGTCATGCTCGCTGGCGAGCTTAGTGATAAGATCCAAGTCCTCGAGGGCTGTCAGGGGGATAGTAGAGATCTGGTCCCCGTATACCGACTTCAACTTGTCGGCGCGGTCGGCACCGCGAACGAGAACGCTAATGGGCAGGCATCTAGCGAGGGCGGGGGATCGGGTGAGGTAGTAAAGGACGGTACCGCCTATATAGCCTGTTACACCGAGGACGAGTATTTTCGGCGGGGACGGAGATGCCATTGCGTGGGCGAGAGTCAAACCTAAGATAGTTCTGGGAATGGGTCTTGGTGGGCGCACTGTTGGTTGGTATTTTCTATGCGTATGATGGTTCAGGTTGAGTCTTTGCTTTACACAATGCTCAGACTTCTTCGTCGAGGATTACCATGGGGTCGGCGGAAGAGTGCGATTGTTCAGCAGGGTACTTGCCCCTATCTGCCAAGCTTCCAATGCACGCACAGGGAACATTGCAAGTTGGGATGTGACTTCGCATTTTAGGCCGTGGCAATACCCACGTATAACTGGGCACCGGGACCGGGAATAATCTCCTGAAGGTCTAGCTGCCAACCTGTCGCCGTCAGTCTATTGCCCGAAAGGGCTGTCAGCGTCGCCTGCGTCTGCAGCTAGCTTGCAGATAGAGTTGCGACGTCAAACACCAGAGACGATGACGTTACCATCAGAGAATGTGACTCTGTCGCTTTAGACGACATGGGAATGCGAGGTTGACGAAGCAATCCGAGTCTAAAGTATGATAGCTTTGGTCTTAAAGTACTTGCATATTGGATGGTAATGGAGCATACACCTTGCGAAGAAATACCAATGATTGCGCTGCATCATTTCTGCTTAGAAGTGGTCCAACCAATGATGTCCCTGACACGAAGATGCTCTTTTGAACCCGCCGTTGTTCACGGAGTTGAGTCAACTCATGCAACCCTGGGCCGAGTAGCCTTAATGATTGGTGCATTAGCGTTGTATTGTGGGATCCGCCTCTCAAGTCCGCTTGCGAAGACCCTCAACTCCGGCGCTAAGGTCATTACCAGGCGATCTCCGGAATATCAGCCTTCGCATGTTTACCACGACAGTGCGTTTTGGACTACAATTCATAAAAATATCCAGTGATGGTCAAATATTGCAGGAAGATCGACTTTTAATAGCCGACTGATCTATTTATTTATAACACTGTTTGTGTCTTTGTAAATGTTGCTCGGCCCCTTCCTTCCATCCCGCTGTTTACTTATACCTAGAAGCCAGACCTCTCCTTCATCACTTTACCACTGAAGCCTCGATCGACTTGAAAAAAACAAGAGCCTACAACACGTCGACCGCTCTCATTTCTTAAAAAAAAAAAAATCTCGATAAGGGGGATAAGGAGACAACAAACAGAAAAACAGGCTACAAACACGAGCACAAGCCATTACAGCCATGACATCAAGAATCAAGTCACAAGAAGCCCCAAGCAATGTCTCCGGCTCATTGTCCCCATCACCATCGCCAACAATCATGCCACAGCCACCTGCTGTCGAGGAGCCGTATTGCATTTTCGATACCCGTCAGAAGTATCTCATAGTTTTTATAGTCTCTATGGCTGCAACCTGTAGGTGTGCGCGAAACCCTGGAGGGAGTCCTTGGTTCCCACGGCTTGTGCATCATTCAAATACTGACTCTCTCGCGCTTTCGAATTTTATCTGACAGTTTCCGGCTTTGCCTCAAACATATACTTCCCAGCTCTGCCAACCATTGCCCAAGACCTCAATGTTTCGGTGGAACTCGTCAATCTGACCGTCACGTCGTATCTCATATTCCAGGGCATAGCCCCAAGCCTCTGGGGTCCCCTGTCCGATGTCAAGGGCCGGCGCACCGCATACTGCTGCACATTCGTCGTCTTCATCGGGGCATGTATTGGCCTAGCCGAGACGAAAAATTACGCGACGCTGCTGGTCCTGAGGTGTCTGCAGAGCACGGGCAGCGCGAGCACCATCGCAATAGGCTCGGGTGTGATTGGGGATGTCACCACCCGAGCTGAGCGTGGGGGCCTCATGGGCATTTTCCAGGCCGGTCTGCTTGTGCCTGTTGCCGTCGGCCCCATTATCGGTGGCGCCTTGGCAGGATCTCTTGGCTGGAGGTCCATATTCCTATTCTTGACTATCTACGGCGCAGTTTTCCTGGCTGCTTTGATCGTGCTCCTGCCCGAGACCTTGAGATCAATCGTTGGCAATAGAGGCGGCATGTCGCCAAATTTGTTGGTCAAATATCCCTTGACGGCATATCAAAAGCTCACCAAATTGCCATGGAACCCGGATGTGGTCGGCCCGCCTCCGCCCGCAAAGCAAATCGACTGGACCGGCCCATTTCACATACTCTTCAGCAAACTCGCAGCCCCGATCATCGTGTTCCTGGCTATTTACTACGCCGTCTGGCAGATGAGTATCACCGCGCTGTCCTCCCTCTTCACAGAGCGCTACGGCCTCGACGAGACTCAAGTCGGGCTGACCTTCATCGCCAACGGAATCGGTTCGATGATCGGTACCCTGATCACCGGCCGCATCCTCGACATGAACTACCGGCGTGTCAAGGCCAGCCATAAGTCCCGATCACATCAAGCCGATGCTGAGATGGGCGTAGGTCAAGGCCAGCCGCTAGACGCTTTTCCTCAAGAGGAGGCGCCCCTCGAGGCGGCACGCCTCCGCCTGGTCCCTGTGTTTGCCATTGTCCAGTGTGTGTCCATCCTCGGGTATGGCTGGTCCGTCCACTACGCACCGCGGGTCCACATCGCCGTCCCCATCATAACTACCTTCATCACCGGCTGGACCGCCGTCTCCACGCAGTCCATCGTCATGACATATCTCGTCGACATCTTCTCCGACCGGAGCGCCGCCGCTAGCGCTAGCCTCAACCTTGCCCGGTGTCTCTTTGCTGCTGGCGGCACGAGCTTTGTTATGCCCATGGTCAACGGCATCGGGGCCGGGTTGGCGTTCACAATCTGTGTTATTGTGCAGATGCTCGCGCTTTCCGGGGTCGCTCTTACGTGGAGATTTGGCGCGAGGTGGAGGCAGGAAAAAGAAGATCAGAGGATAAAGCTGCAGGGGACCAGTAAATGAGGTACAGTCGTCAACACAAAGCTTGTTGGTCGATGGAGTGATAGGCAGCCGAAAATGTAGATTTGTGCCGACCGTATTCACTGCATGATAATTGACTGCTTGATAATTCACTCGGTTACACCCAGGGCACGTCAAATTCTATCTTTTGTGAACAATCAAAATCTACACTTTGTAATTAATATATCCGTGTCCATATATAACCTTTTTTTTAATTTGTTTTCATAGCGATTTGATTACTATTTTCTTATGATATTACTATGAGTCAATTCTTTCAGTGTTTAAAAGTATGATGCCCTCAATAGCACAATGGTTAACAAATCTTTTATGTAACCCAAATTTACTGATTTGTTCAGATTCGACGAGGTATTTTCCCATGCGTCAGTGATGGCGTTGCCTTGCACTTCTGCAAGTAGATCTCATATTACCGTCTCCTTTGTCTTGAACGAGTTTCTTCGGCGTTTTCGCTTTATCTGGTCTCTGTGGATGTTTGATTTATCCAAGGCAGCCGCCTCCCACCCGATGGGGAAGATCTTCTTACACAGATAGCCCTCCGCATAGGGAGAATCGCAGCGGACGTGGTAAGTTCGAGCAAGGAAGGACTACAGCGTCCTGAAAAACTCTACGTTACTTATTGACTTCACGGTCTTCACTGCGAAAATGTGCATATTTCCCAGGTTGAGAACAGGTAGGGAAAATTGAGGAAATTGGATGCGGCACAAACGGACGGGTTGTTCTATTTACAATACTTCCTTTATCTGACTCAATTTAACCACGTCCGTCCTCCAGACCGTCTCGCAGCAAATTCTCACCTAGGCAGACTTCATTCGATAAAACCACCAGAAACATCATTGCTCTAAGGTTCAGATCCCATGAATTTAAACTCCCTCATCCAATCAACCACTGCCTTTTTACCCTTGACCAAAGCCTCACGCTCAAGACTCTTCCTGGCATCGCCACGGCAGAAGCACGCATGCTCCACGTGAGGAAAGTGTCGGAAGAGAAACGGCACGCCGAGTCTTGGAACAGTGCGGCATGTATAGTCCTTGAGCTCAACTGTGTAAGAAGGATCGTGTTCAGGAGCGAGAACCTGCACCGGGATGGCAATCTCATCGATATCGCGTTTCGTGAGAAGCGACGGGTGGCCAACGGAGATACAGTTGACCAATGGCGGCTGGTGCTCGCGGGCTCCAAGACGGAATGCGGCCCACCCGCCGTAACAGAATCCAACCGCGCCGACGAAGGCGTCTGTGAAGTGGAGATTTAGCTATCTGATGTAGATACGTCTCAAATGGAAAGGGGGAGCAATGATTCAAAGAGAGATATTGTTCGGGTTTTGCTTTCAGCATATGCAGGCACAGATTCACCCAGACACATACATCTGGAAGACATTCGTAAGCAACACACTGATAATAGAATTTTTAGGTCTTGGGGTTGGGGAGAAGGGCACTTACTTTTCTCTCAACTGCTTTGCGCAAGCGAAAATCTCAGGTTCTCGGATGTCTCGGCCGTTCTTGGCCAGGAATCCTTCCAAGTCGACTTCCTGCCAATTACCACTCAAAATGGGCTCGAAAGGCAGGACAGCCCCAGCAAAGAAATCTGGAACATAAACTGTCGCCCCAACTTCTTCAGCGTAGTGGTCAGCCAGCAGGCGGGTATTAGGGAAGGTCCACTAAGAAGAGGCCAAATTCAGTATCTTTAATTAACGATGCCGGTCTACAAGGTTGACAGCTCACACCAAAGAGATCATGGATCACCAAAATCGCAGCCGAGCTGTTATTGCCTGTTATATAGGCGTTGTGGTTTCCAAAAGTGTCGATGATCCCGCACTGCTTACCATCCCAAGAAAACCCCTCCAGGCAGCGGGAATCGGCGCACATTGTAAAATTGACCACGGCTTCGGAAAGACTGATTGGCTTCGAGTCACGTATTCAGCAAACATTGGCAAAATAATATAGCTCCTTTTCCGTCTCCAGATACCGGCAGGTAGAGGAAAGGCGGATGGGGAAAAATATCAAGAGTGTTTTGAAATCTCACAAGTCCGTACAAGAATGACGTTGCATATTCTCTGTATCGCCTGGACCAGCTACAAATGAGCGGGGAATGTGTCTAAATGCGAGGTACTTATTGCGAGGGGGCAGGGGCTGCACCAGCCCCAGATCGGCCAGCGGTGAAGCCACCAACAGTCGGAAGGCGCCACATTGTGATAAGTGATAGTGGATGTGGTAAGCTGAGAGAACTGGGGAGGAGGTTGGACGGGTAATTTGAACCAACATCAAAATCCGGCAGCTTCATCTTTGGAGATAGTATTATCAATATGAAATCATCGATCCGAGGAAAACTCGTTTCCAAAGTGCCACGTCGGGCTAATGGTGCACGAGAGATCCTTTTGATGTCTCAACCTCTCTGACGTGAGGTATAGCGGTAAGCGGGGAATGTGCATGCAGTCCCATTCAATTTGTCCTTTGGGTGCGGCTATGACACCAACAGGCCTGGCATCCATCAGACCCCAGATGTTGGTCGATTCTCAATGCAGGGTATTGGCGATCTACTGTACTTGGCCCTTTGCATTCAAGTGGCACAAGCCAAGAGAACAAACATCCGCACTGCAAAGCACGTTCCTGCACGTTGGAAGGAGAGACTGGTGTATCTGACCACTTGCAGGTGAGCTCCCAGGGCGCGTGGGTGCTTGACGTTATATATTTATTTATTATAATAATATCTTGATTTAAAGGAACTAGGGCATGAGAAAAGCTGGTATCTCTTACTATTTAATTTAGTATGTTGAAATATAGGAACTACATTAGAAACATGTGGTTTGTAACTATGGATCAAGTGGAGAGTTACAAAAACTATTGCATATAAGCAGAGTCTTTCTCAGCAAAATGCGCCAACAAGAAAGCATCCAATTCTAATCATGTTGTCCTTTTTGTAGACTAGAACCAAGTCATCCTAGCAATTGACTGATAAGAGAAGTGGAGATTCAGTGACAGATTTAAGCCGAGATAAGACCTGGGCAAATGCCGGCCTCTTCCATCTTTTCGTCCAAGAAGTCTGCATTCGCATATCATCGTTATCAAGGCAATTTCATGCCAGATGGACAGATCCTGCGCGACGAAGTGCACAAAAGTTTCTCTCCGAAGCACAGCAACTCTATGTCAGCTCCCGGCGCCGAAGACGGGGGCGGTCCAAATGCCCCACTCACCGCCGAGCCGGCCGGCGGTCGGGTATGGCAAGCCTGCCTCGCGTGCCGGCGAAAGAAGGTGCGACGTAAAGATGAGCATTCAGAACTATTCCCAGGCGCTAAAGTGCATGATAGATCAAGTGCGATGGTAAACAACCTTGTCACAACTGCAACTCCCGAGACAAGACTTGCGAGTTTCCTGGAACCAAAGACAATGCATCAGCAAGCCGATAGTAAGTGACATCAGACAGCTTCACAACAGCAACATGACCCGTAATTATTCACTGGCGACTTGCTAGTTATACCACGTCTTTCGAGGCGCGCTGCCAGCACATGGACTCTCTATGTGAAAGACTAGAGACTCTTATAAGCCACTTGTCGCGATCCCTGGAGGCCATGCATCGGCCACCCGGGACCGGTCCCGTCGCAAGCCAAAGTGAGGACCTGATGATAGCTGCTCAAGCACTGCCCAATCTTCAAGAGTCGGTAGCAGGGCTTCGAACCATCCCTAATGTGCATGACACCGGGACAATTTTGGACGGCAACATGGATCCAACCCGACCGGCGGCTCCGCTGCGCGTCCGCCAATCCTATGTCAACGACGAGTTGCAAGACTCGTCTGCCAGCGAAGATTCCGACACGAACGATGATGATCGTCAAGATGGAAATGCGGAGGAACGGGACGATGAGCACGTCGGCCAGGCTGGTGCCTTGGTTCGCGATTCGTATGGCCGTCCTAGGTAAGTCCCCAAATGGCATACTCGTGCGCAAAATCTCACGTTTAGGTCAGGTTCATTGGCGGAGCCACTCACAACTTACTGATTGAGGCTGCAAAGAGTCTGCTGCCTGCTGACTCCACAACAACTCCTTCATCCACGGGGGCGAGCCAAAGTGCACTGAGCACCGAGGATCTCGAGCTTCCCCTTTTTGTCCGCGGGAAAGTGTGGCCTGAACTGCCCTTCATACCAAAACCAGAAGATCTTCCGCGGCCTCCGCAATATATTTCAGATCTCCTTATTGGTCTCTACTTTGACAAACTTCACTACACCTTCCCTGTTCTCTTCAGACCTCACTTCATGAGGCGGTACCAAAAGTTACTGAAGGCTGGCCGCGATTGCTCTTCCCCCAAGCATCGCCGTTTCTTGATGGTTTTCTTCGCCGTCTGTGCGTGCTCGTCCAGCCTCCTCCCGTCTAACTCTGGGAGTGAGCTACCCGGGATTGACTACTATCAGAAAGCGCTTCTCATGTTCTACGCATCTACTGGCGAAGCGTCACTTGAGAGGGTTCAGTGCTTGGCATTGCTATCAATGTGTTCCGCGGGATGGAATACTTTGTCCCAGAGTTGGAGCTTGGCGGGTCAGGCAGTGAGAGCTGCCCAGGATATGGGATTGCACCTAAGTAGCCGATCGGTGCGTTCTCTTTACTCGTACATTCTGTCAAGTCACTGACGACGGGAAGATGTTGTCTCTGGCGCCAGAAGTCTCGGAAAATAGACATGCTGAACTTGTTCGACTTGAAGTCTCTCGTCGTATCTGGTGGTGTGTATACACTCTTGACAGGTAGGTAGGTCTGTGGATGATTGATCACATGTATTGCCCGAGCTGATAGTTGACAACAAGGATTACATCAATCTGTCTCGGTCGCCCGATGGCTGTACAAGATGATGACTGTGACTGCGAGTTGCCTCTCGACAAGAAAGATGAAGACTTTGAACCGCAAAACATGAAATCAAAACTACATCACCCACCCAAGGCTACCACCCCATCCGATGGGCCATGTATTATGAGCGGGTTTCTGGCACTTGCCCGCCTCTCCCGACTGGCTGGCAAGATCCAACACCTTAACTCACCCTTAACCCTACGCAAACTTACATCTGCGGACTCTGACAAGACGCAAAGATTTCTTTCTCGTGTTGATACCTACGACCAGGCCCTGCGAAACTGGCTGGCAAGCCTCCCACCGCACATTCAGTTCTCGGCTAACAGCATGGAGAAGAGTCCGGGAGGCGACCCTGCCTTGGTCATGTGTGTCATTACCTTCATCCTGCATGCTGGATCTCTTCTGAACCTTTACCGGTATGGTTGTCTCAGAACCCCCTGCATGACACATGACAGTTTACTTACTGAAGAACCAAGTTGCTTCTTGAACTACCCTAAACAAGCGGCTCTGGAGGAGGAGGTAGACATATCAGGTGCCATTGCCCAATGCGTGAGTGCGGCACAAATGTGTATCCACGCAGCGGAAATTGTACGAGACTTGGTGCCGACTTCACATTATCTGGCCCTCTCGATTCACTACATGACGCTTTCCGGTATTGTGCTGTAAGCTATTACATCTTGGGGTCCCTGACTGCATTGAGTCTGATCGCTGATTTATAACATGAGAACAGCCTACGAGTTCCTCCAAGTCACCGCAATTCAGAGGTTCTAGATGATGTGGGAAAATGCGTCGCATTTCTGAAGGATGTGGAAGTTCGATGGTCTGGCGCCAAGCGAAGCCGGGCTATCATCGAGCAACTGTTGCAGCACCAACGAAGGAAATTGGCACTCGAACGCAATGCTGCCCAAAGCCAATCCAGCGTTTCACCAGCTTTAGCAAAGGGAAACATTAACAAAAGGACATTGGATGACTTTGAGGCCACAAACACTCCCCGAGCTGGAGAGAACTTTCTGTGGGGCGGAATACCTGGCTCCGAGTTATTTCCATTTGATCCTTTGGATCCACTTCTATTCACCCAGTTTTAGACAAAAGGATGGTCTATTGAGATCAAGCCACGGCTAATTGTACGCGGCGGCGGTCTTGGGGTCATCCGTTGTATCTGAATCATTCTCGTTATCATTTACCTCGTTTGTCTTTGTCGAAGTCAGGCTCTTCAGCTTTTCCATCTCGACAACCATCCACGCGGTAATGGCAACGATGTCGGCTCCGCAGTTGACAAAGTGAAACCCTTGCTTGTACTTTGCTGCCGCAACATGAGCATTGAGTGCGAAATGCCCGACGTACTTGCCCGCATCAAGTCCAACCTTCAGAACATGGGCAATGGCCTCCTGAACCTCGGGAATGGAAGCATGGTCGAACGCCACCTGGCCCATTGAGGCCGCGAGATCGTTAGGGCCGATGAACAACATGTCAACGCCATCAACAGCAGCAATTTCCTCCACATTATCCACGGCCTTTTGACTCTCGATTTGCACACACACCATAATGTTGTCGTTTGCGCTGAGCAAATACTCGCGGGCAGTCTGGTTGAACGCAGACTGTGCGAACATGGCTCCGGCTCCACGGAGACCCTGGGGCCATCGGGCGGAGCGGTACTTGCATGCCCGAACGACCGCCTCGGCTTGTTCCTGAAAGATTTTATAGCCAAGAATGACATGACGGAAAACAAGATGCTTTACTTACCCTTGTCTCGCACATCGGTACCATTATGGCATGGGCACCACAATCCAGTGCCCTCTTCATCATCCAGTGTTCCGATGCAGGTATTCTCACGATTGGTGAAACCCCTGATGTCGAGATGGCACCGACCTGGAGATACATCTCTCTATCGTCAATGCTCCCGTGCTCCGTATCGATCAGGATCCACTGTTCAGAGCACGTCAGATTGTGTCAAGCATCCGACCCAGAGCTCTGGGTCTAACAGATTTTCTGCGACTTACATCTCCCCCCAGAGGCGCCACCGTCCTTGCTAGCGAGTAGCCGGGGAACTCAAGCCATTGACCGACGCTCGGGCCTTCACCTCTCTTGGCCCTCTCCAACGATTCGCGCAACCGCGTCTTGCCTGTCGCATTAACAACAGGTGACTTGATTTGATTCGTCATGTTCCTGAATGTGATGTTGAAAGGGCTTTCCAAATGACGACAAGCAATTTTCTTTCTCCTGGTGGCGATTTGATGCGGCTACGTTTCCGTCTTGTGATGGTCTTCTTGCAATGACAGACAACAACTTGAAGTTGCATACTTGGAGTAAGCTGCTGTCAAGAGGGGTGGCTCCGGCCGGGTCCCGGGCCGCAGGTGACTTTGAACTTGTGAACAATTGGCTAATTGATGGCATGATTTGCAGGATGCGACGATCAGTTTCTTGTGTTCGAATCAATGCTAAGTAATAAGCCAGTTATTATCGCACGCAAATCAGCTTATCCGGCATGATCGGGGGAGGTCCGGCCGATGCGTCAACGCGTCGGCCAGCGGACACTACATGCAGATCCCCGGTGCGCGCTGATAAGGATGGAGGAAGATGCGGTGACCCCAGCTCTCATGGCTGTTGGATATAAGGCGCTGGGGAACAACTGCTTCTCTGTGGGGTAACTATTTCCGGCAGTGTACAAAGTCGAATTACAAATAGTAGCTCACCGTCCGCCTTTGGCGACAAAGCTCTTCAGGATATCGTGGCGTTTCCCTCATTCCGAACCATTAATAACGCCAACTTGAAGATGGCTTCCGAGAACGTAATCAAGAAGACCGATGGGTTGGATGTTAACGACGAGCCCAACGACATCATCGAGGGCATCATCGAAGATGCGACTGAATATTCCGACTCCTATTTCAGGAAACTGCGTGTCAAGATCGACTTGTTTCTGCTTCCGTTGATGTGGGTGTGCTACGGAACTCAGCAGGCCGATAAGACATCTCTCAGTGTCCAGGCCGTATTTGGCTTCCGCGAAGACACCGGATTGGTTGGCGAGCAGTTCAACTGGTTGAGCACCATCTTCTACCTTTCTTACTTGGTATGCGAGTTTCCCGGCAACTGGTTGATTCAAAAGAGTCATACTGGAAAGTTTCTTTCGGTTGTAATGGTACTATGGGGTGTCGTGGTTCTCTGCATCGCATTCGCAAAGAATTTCGCACACCTCATGGTCCTTCGCACCCTCCAAGGAGCTTTGGAATGCACGATTTCACCAACCTTTATGCTGATCACGGGGGCTTGGTACACCTCGCAAGAGCACACATTGAGGTCTCTGATCTGGGGAACATCAAACGCCGGCATGAACATCATCACCGGTCTCTGCATGTACGGGATCGGATTACATGCACAGAAAGAGCCCAATGGGCTTGCAGCAGTATGTTGGGTGTTTGCGGAAGCTCAAGCAAGTAAGCTAATCTCTCGCACAGTGGAAAGCCATCTCCTTCTTTCTTGGCAGCCTGACCATTGCATGTGGAGTCCTTGTCTGGTTCATCCTTGGCACACCTCGTGAGGTTCGATGGCTCAACGAAGATGAGAAGAAGGCGGCTATTGCTCGCGTGCTCGCCAATCAAACCGGTTCCGACAGGAATAAGCGGTCAGAGTTTAAGTGGGAGCAAGTTTGGAGCACTTTCAAGGGTTGGTCTTAGTTTTGTTGGAGCCTTGGGACATCATGAAGGACGTGGAGACTGACAAAGGCATTGCTGACAGATCCGCAAACGTATTTCTTCTTCTTCGTTACCATCATTAATGCACTGCCCAACGGAGCGAATACTACATTTTCCAAGTTGATCTGGAAGTCGTTCGGCTTCACACCGTTGGAAACACTCCTCAAGGGGTCTACTCCATACTATTGCGTTAGCATCTGCTGGTTCTTGGTCGTCGGATACGTTACGCTGAAGAAGCCCAACCTCAGATGTGCGTCTCTAGTGTTCTCCTTCCGAGATTCGTTCCTAACAGACCACAGTCATGATGATGATGTTCTCCCTCATGCCCGCCTTCAGTGGCATGATGGCTTTGGCTCTTCTTCCAACCGACTCTATGAAGTGGACTAGGTGGGGCATGTACATCTTGCAGGTCTTTGGATCGTTGCCTGGGCTCAGTAGGTAGCGACCTGCTCTCGAATCTGACCATGACTGACTGTTGCAGTGATCTGGACCTTCCTGCCGTCCAACGTCGCTGGAAGAACGAAGAAGACCGTCACCTCAACAGTCTTGTTCGTCGCTTACTGTGTTGGAAACGCCGTGGGAGCTCAAATGTTCGTGGCCTCAGACGCGCCAAAGTACATTCGCGGGCTTACTGCTTGTGCGGTTCTCTATTGCATTGAGTTCTGCAGCATGGCGGCATGGCGGTTCTACTGTAAGCTAAGATCGAGCGCACTTTGGGCGGCGATGTGTGTGTGCTAACCATGAACTCAGACATCTGGGAGAACAAAAGACGAGCGAAGATGATCCGCGACCAAGGAATCTCTGACGAAGAGAGTGAGCGACTCGGGAAGTTAAACGCTGAAGCTGATATAACCGACCGGGAGAACATACATTTCAAATATAAGTACTAGGAAATGTTGTGATAGCATTGAAAGCATTGTATGCAGAGTATTCGATTCATTGTCTAGCATTCGATAGGTGCTGATAGGCATAGAGCGGTGGATTTTCGAGGGGCACTGAAGGACCCGGTGACCATTCAGAAGGTGTGCCATCAGACTCGGACCAGGTTCTGTGGATAGCCCTTCCAACCCAGAAATTCGAATGCCATTGTTTTCTGGGAGCTTTAAAAGATTGTTAAGAGGAGTGAGGTACCGCGAATACTTCGATATCAATATATGACACAGAACCATACGGTCTACACTGGGTCCCCAAGGCTCCGATGTAGGACATCTGACAGGCTCCTCTTCATTGAACGCATAATTCCTTTCAAGATATGGCAGTGCCCATCAGTACGTTGAACACTGACAGTTGGAGTGACAGCTAGCACTGATCGTTTCAAATTTCATCAAATAGACGCATTTTGATTCAAATATTGTTCGAGCCCAATAGTCCGTTCATCTGTCCGCGAGTTCACCGCCAATACCTCGCTACAACCTTCGACAGACGCTCAACCCCAATATCGATCTGCTCTTTCTGCACAATGAACACCATTGTTAGCAAGCGGCGTCAAGAACAACCCTGGACTGAGTTAAGGGAATTCCAGGCCATGGCTTACCGTCGGCGTTGCAAACGAGAAGCGAAAGTGCGCCGTTCGTGGGTTGGCACCACGTGCCTTGGTTGTCATCTTGTCCGGCCCCTGCCAGGCATGATAGTAGGATCCCGGGGTGAGCAGTACGAGCTCATTAGCCCACACCTTCCACAACTCGTCTGCGAAGTCCTGCTCGGGATCTTTGCTGGTACCTGACTTTTCCATCTCATTGAATTCGTCAATACCGTCAAAGTAGAACTTGCACCACACAAACATGCCAGCGCCAGGGTCCATGAAGCTGAACACTGGTCGCAACTCTCCACCCTCCTGAGCTCGGACGCATGCAACAAGACCCTGCGCTTGAGGCACCGGTGACTTGGCAGCAGGGAGAACGACAAAGCGTGCATGGAAGGCGTCAAGCAACCAGTCTCTCCTTTCACGATACTGGAACTGCAGGCTTTGGAGCCAGATAAGGTAACCATCAATACCCCAGCGTCGAAGCAGGCTGAGGACAAAGGCTTGACTTAGACCCGCTGGGTCTTGTGTCTCGACCTCTGTCGCGCGGAGAAGACGTTCACTGAAGACAGGGTTGGCCACAAAGTAGCCCATGCGAAGTCCGGGGAAAAGAGTCTTTGAGAAGGATTCGAGGCGTATCACGCGACCCTGAACATCGATTGACAGAAATGTCGGAACCAAATTATCAAGAAACTCCTTCGTCTGCTTTGGTTGGAATACAGATTCTTTGGCGGTAAGGTATCCGGGAAATTGCAAGAAATAGTACGGGTCGTCCTCGACGATGATGATGTCTTCACGGAATAAGTATCTGCGAAATATCACGGGGGGTTACTTCTTACCGAACTCAACACATGTGTCGTAGATCTCTGTCCGCCTCTGTGCGGAGATGGTGATGCCGGTCGGGTTCGATCCCACAGATACCAGATATAGTCTTCTCTCAGTCAGATCACAAAGCCAAGTACACAGAGCTAGCTTTGAGAGAACTTACACTCTGGGCCTAGGACCCCCTCTCTTCTCCTCGTCCCAATTTTGAAGAGTACATCTGAGATTTTGTGCCAGGAGACCATCGGCATCGGCCGGGATGGGTACGGCTTTGATCCCAAGAGGAATCCAAAGAGCCTGAGCCGAGGGATACGTAAATTCCTCGACAAGAACAAAGTCATTTTCTTCACAGAGAAGACCGACGATCTTTGCCCATGCATTTGTGTTCCCCGGATGGAGCAAACATTCATAGTCGCATGGAGGCGCATGGACTCTCTCAGTCAACTCTTTCGCCAGTTCAACCAGCTGAGGATTGCCGGCTCCGGAACCTGTCACACATTCAGCCTTTTGTTGACACTAGTATATTGGGCCTGGGAACTGCTTCCCATACCATACTGCAAAAATTGAGACAACTCTAGATCGCCAGGTGATGCACCCCGGCCAAGCGCGAGGTTCAGTATATCCGGGTTCTCGGCCCCCACCTTCCGGTCTCCGGCGAGGGACGCCTCGGGAGTCAAACAACTGAACTTGGCCTCTTCAAGCGGGAAAAGAGATGGATGCGGAAGTCCTACGGGCTAGTTAAGTATTGGGATTTAAATACACCTAACACCGGTGTGAAATACCTCCAGCGAAACTGATCATGCCATCACGGCCCATGTACTTGATGATGTCTTTCAATGGCGAGGCATGGCGAGCTTTGCTCTTAGCATTGATGTGGTGGGATAGGTCCACGTTGGTTGAACCGCGACCGATATCGCCCATGTTGCCCGTTGAAGAGAGAGTTGCGTGCCTGAGCTTTGGTGCGAAAGACTGTTGGAAGAAGTCATTACTCGACGTCAGAGTCTATGAAACTAAGTTGGACTGGCACTGCACTCAGGATCCATGGCCTCTTATCTGAATCTCTCGCCATTTCTCTTTACGGAAGTCATTGCAATGTGTGTGGTCAACACCCCCAAAAGGGGCTTAGACGAGCAATCTTCGGCCGGAGATCCGAGCCGAAGCAAATTGAATGTCTCGTCAGAATGCCCCGCGGGACGGCTCTCGGACCGTCGAAGACCAGATTTGTGGCCAATAACGTGCAACGCAGCTCTTCCATAACTAAACTGGGAGCGCTGGCAAGAAGCTTTTGGAAGGCTTTAAGACTCAGGCAGATAATCTTTCGACTAAGATGGGCAACAACATTTCGTACCAGCAAACGCCGGTTGAGCTTAGCATAGGCGACAAGGGCAGGATTCGCGGCCTTCAATTCGACGACAAGTCCCGCCGATTCACGGGCGTCCCCTATGCGCTTCCTCCGACCGGCGAGCACAGATGGCGCAAGCCTCGACCACTGCCGGCCTCATATTCATATAGTGATGGTAGTGGAGGTGCCTACGATGCGACGAAGTTCAAAAGTATTTGTCCTCAGAAGGCTTTCCACGTCGGAAAAGCCGATGGCCAGGGTGCTACACACAGCGAAGACTGCCTCTTTGTTAATATCTGGACTCCGGTGCGCAAGGATGGCGAAGAGAAGGAAAAGGAGAAGAAGTGGCCGGTGAAGCTTTGGATCCACGGCGGCTGGTTTCAGATGGGAGATCCGTCTCAGGAGCCTGGCATGGATGCGACGGAGCTCATCACCACGGGCGGACTCAATGCAATCGTCGTGGCCATCGGATACCGGCTGAACGTCTTTGGCTTCCTTGCTGGCGAGGACCTCCTCCGCGAAAGCGACGGCGAGGCCGGCGGAAACTTTGGTCTGTGGGATCAGCGGGTTGCGGCCGAGTGGGTTCGGGATAACATTTCGTACTTTGGTGGTGACCCTGAGAATATCACCCTCGCTGGTCGCAGCGCTGGTGCGTACAGTGCCGAAGCACAGATGTTGTACGATTTCCGTAAACCTCGGGACACATCCTCCCTTTATCGTCGAATCTTCATGGTTTCCAACGCGATCCCCGCGCAGCCCAAGTCCTTGGCAGATGTTCGGGGCCAATTCGACGAGCTCTGCGAATATTTCCAGATTCAAACAAGCCTACCAGGTCCGGAGAAGCTCTCGGCCTTGCGCGGGGTTAGCTCAGATGATCTCGTCAAGGCAATTCCTCATTTGAAGAACCACACTTTCCGGCCCGTTACGGACGACATCTTTGTGCATTCAGGAATGATTGAATATCTGCAAAGCAAGGACTTCGCCGACGAGTTCAAGATCAGAGGATACAAGATTTTGATTGGTGAAGTGCGCAACGAGGAAACGTTATACTCGTCGTACAATGCCCCGACTGAGCCAGTCGTGGACGCCCTTAAACTGCAGGTTTCGAATTACTATGCCCCCCAAGTAACCGACCGAGTCATCCAAGAGTACAAGTTGCCGGAGTCGGACAAGTTAGAAGATTGGCAAAGGACCTTCGGTGAGACATTGTATGCCTGACGCCAGGCTATAGAACAATCGCTGATATTCATGATCCCAGGAAACATTGTGTCCGACGGCCAAGTGCGCGCGCCGTCTCGAGCTTTGGTCAAAGCATTAGTTGGCAATGGCGTCGAACTGCAAGACGTATGGAGATATCACATTGCATATCGTTTGTCTTTCATCGATCAAGACGTGGCCCCGGCCTCTTTCGGTGTTGCGCATGCGATGGACAGGCCTATTTGGAAGTAAGAGCTGCTCCCAACGGGCAAGAAAATTCGAGTCTCGCGAAGACAAGGGATCTTACTGACTTTGGCCTCACCACATAGCTTTGCGATCTGCCACGGACCAACGCCCGCTGAGAGACAGCTGATGGAGGATTGGATCCAGATGTTGACTGCTTTTGTGCACGATGACAATAGGTACAGATTTGGCACGACTTCAATTGATCAAATGAAGGTTATGACTCCAGAGGGAAAGATTGAGATTCGGTCAGACGAAAGATGGGAGGAGCTGGTGAAGCTGGGAAGCATCTTTGCGGGTAATTAGATTTCCCATGGTTAATTTCACGCAATGTCTTCCGAGCCCTCGAACTTCTTCCACTAACGCCACTGCTCTACCGCTATGGCACCGTTGAGCTCCCCGAGAACAAACTGTACGAGAATAATACGGTACGCTGGTTTTTGAGGGGTAGGGTTATCAATTTGGGGAAGCAGATGCGTGGGTTTGTTGATGTCGCTCGGCTTCCTCCACAGCAACGGCACGCCCAGAAAGCCCAGTAATTACAGGTTTGACTATAGAAGAGCGGATAGGATCCTATATTTTCCTGTATCTGTGGCCGTATGCGCTTCGACTTGACGAAAGGTGGTGCATAACTAAGATTCAAGCTGTCTAATTCGGCTTCGTAGGCCCTTTTGAACGGTCTGACTGCACTTTGGCAAAACGCTGATCACTGTCACTCGTCACATAATGAACAAACTCATAGTGTCTCGATTATATAAGCAAGTGTCTAAAACAGCTGGTCCGTAATCATCATTCCGTTTCGATCTTGCAGCGCTTGAGCAATGCTGGACAACCTGATTCAGCCTGTCAGACATGTAGTTGGCGTTGTGTTGCCCGAAGTTGTCAGAGGCAGTGACGTGCGATGTTGTGGCCAATCAAAGCACCGTCATCTTTTCATCCTGATGAGATTCTGCCAGTCGTTGCCTTCCACCGAACCACCTGAACGGTTCGCAACCTCTGGGAATTAGGTAAGCTGTCAATGCCCACCAATTTGATGGCGGCAACGCGCGCCAACACATCAAGATGGGTCACACTTTGAGAGCCGCATCTCTCGACTTGCATCTGTCGAACCCTTCCCCTTCCTTGCCTTCAAACCCCATGCTATTTCCTAGTCTATTGAAAAGTACTTGTCTATTTAAGATTGCTGGTACCCCGCCTCGAAGATGTCGGACCAAGATTCGGATTCACCTCATCAAACACTTCAGGATCAACCCAATAACTACCCCCTTCTAGATCTCATTGATCCTATCACTTCGAACAACAACGCTTCCCTGCCTTTACCCTCCCTTTGGCCACAAAGAGACCCATCTCATTACTGTTCATGCCAGTGTCGTTTGTCGTTACCAGAAGAGCCCAAGGGATACAAATCTGCCACTCCGTAGCACAGATGAGCCTACCAAAATTCACTCCCGCACCCACCAATTGAGCAATGACTAAGTAGGTCCAGTCTTTTAATGCACACACTTCTACCCAGAGGCGCTGTTATTCGCAGACTAGAAGAGACGCAAACCTAGCCCAGGAGCAAGTCCACTCTTTCATCCGGGATACCACCCAGCACGACACTACCTTCGTCCCAGAGCAGAAAAGCAGGCGCAACAGATCCAAGAGGGTTAGAATGGCAATCCAGGCCGTTGACCACCTGTTCTCCAACCCGTCTCCTGATCAACAGCAGGGTCAGACTGCTCATAGCCCCAAGGTGCCGCCTCAGTCCACAACCGACGTCGCCATAGGCCAGGGTACCCATCAGAATACAGATCTGAACGGGGTCGGTCAGCAGTTCCATGATGATAATGATCATTAAAAGGTATAATCAGATATCCCGAGCTCAGATCTATCCGTCCCCTAATCTCCTCCACCTTCCCGCTCGATGCGAATAAGCAGCTGACATTGCAACAGTTATATTCATATTTGATGGTCTAACCGACCCAGATCGTCTCGCCTGTCTGTAGAAAAGATCTTGTCACTGACCAAATAATTATGTTACTATGGATTCGGGACGAAGATGTGGATACTTCATCTGATGAATATTATATCGTTGCTACGCCGCCAGCACAGGATGGTATGTATGAGCTCTCCCTATACCGTCGTTGTCGCTGATGCGTGGGGACTTGGTCACGGAGGCATTTCCACTTCTTCACCATTGCTTCATTGTCGGCCCCCGCTTTTCTCCTTCCTCCTTCCCTCCTTTCATCCTTTCATCCTTTCCTTCAATTTGTTCTTCTTTGTTTTTCCTTTGAATCTGCTGGTATTTCTCTCTTCTTGGCGAGGCCGGGTCAGGGAACGGGATGGGTGGTAGAGGATGGTCAACGCCAAGTTCCGCCAGTTGGGTAAGGTATTACTGCAAAATAAGATTGCCAGACCGCCATAGTAGGCTGCTCACTTTAGGTTTAAGGAGTGCCCGCCAGTTGTGGTTTATGTCGGGGATCGGGGCCGGCATCATAGGGAATCTGATCCAAATCGAAATTCACTGTCTGCTGCTGCCGCTTTGTCACCCGAGAGGAACCAGCTAAGATATTACGATCGACCTCGTGATCGATGATAATGACGCGTCATCTCACAAGAGCTATCAAGGTCCTGTGAGGCGACCAGCCTAGATAAGCACTTCCAGACAGCATCATCACATCCTCGTCAACCCTCACAAAGCTCTATTGTCGCCCAGCTTACGCCAAGATCTCCCCTCGCTTCTCGTATCTTCAGCCGTTTTGGAGAGCCTCGTGTCTCCATTGGGAGCTGAATATACAACCGCCACCGAGATAGTGTTGCTTGTCCACGTGAGAAAGTAAGGCAGAAGGTTACACGTTGTCGAGCGCGTGGAAGAGCGGTAAAAGAGACAGCTTCCCAGCTGGAGAAGGCGCTGTACGACCCCTTGTGGAGGTACTACTTGCTTGGATAAGACGATCAAACCACCCAATAAAGCTCTGTAAGGGCCTTCTGGAAGTGTGAGTCGCGAGACTACTGCATGAAAACACAGCCTCTATTGCCCCTGAATATGACCGGGCACAGGCGCGAGATCAAGACTATCCAGCCAGGGGTCCCTTTGTCGTTATATCGATTCATCTCTTATCGAGCCACGAGTCTCACACCGCAACATTGACACCGCCGTCCTATTTCCATCAACAGCTTGGGATTGCCTAAGCCATTCCAGGCCCAAGACTGCTTTTGAGCGGCTTTGTCATCATAACCATCACGGAACAGGAAACTCGTCTCACCCTCATATGCAGGTAAGTTGGAGATGCTACTATTGGAATACTCTGTAATCTCGAGATCCACACGCCGACATGACGTCTTCCACGCTACTGGATCATCTCGTTTGGGAAAGGTCATCCTCTCCTATGGTGGCGCTGTGGAAATCTTGGTGCAGGGCTGTCGAATGGGTAAAAGACCGCAAAACTGGCGGGGCAGGGAAGTTGACGTTGTGGCTGTGCGTCGTGTCGGACTCCCATGGAACATATTTGCGATGGCATTCGAGTCCTCGAGGCACAGGATGCTTACACAAACAATGCCGATCACAGCTCAGGGCCTTGGCTTAGAGAATACGCCCGCACATAAAGAAGGCCACGCCACCAGGTGAGGCGCCTGTCGCTTCGGACAGCGGTCTCCAGGCACGAGAAACACATATGAGGAAGCAGCGTCTAAACAGGGAATCTACTGACGACGAATGATGTTGGCATCACTCGGCGCAAGCCTATAGAGCCTCGTAGTGCGGCGCCGGGTCCGGATCTCAAAGGAGCCAAGGAGTCGGGGCAGTGTTCGTAGATTTCACCATCCGTATAATCAGATTGAGTTTTAGGCATAAAAGTGAACTTTGCGTGACTGACGAGGGGACTCTAACGGCGTGCCTTTTGGGGCTTTCTCTTCGGGTTTGCTTGAGAAGACTTCGCTCCTGCGCAGAGTGCCACGAGCTGCGTGAGCCACATTTGTGACTTCAATTAAAATACTCCACATATGACACTCACATCCCTCTATCACAGATTCTATCAGAAAACCGCTATGCACATATAATCTCACTCACGTCTCGCTATGGTGCTTCCACTTGTGAATCTAGTATTGGAGAGATGCGTGCAGACACCACCACTAGTCTGTCAGATGAATGAATGCATGTGTGGTTAGATCTGATCCCGTAATATTGCCTCCGTCAAGAACTGCCAGTGGTTGTATTGGTGAATTTGGGTTCTGAAGCGGCCAATTATCTATCTTTTAAACACTGCAGTACCACTAATTTACTGTATAAAAGTTTTGAATGGTGCACTGGCAGTACGTACTCAAGTGACTCTGCAGAGTATGTTACAGAACCGAGTCATAACCTTAGAGAGGCTTCCTCAGTTGGTAGAGAACAAAAAGAACTATGCAGAGATTGAAAGCTCGAGAGCAAATCTTTCAATATAGAGTTGCACGGGGCCAGGTTGGAACTTGTGACGTACCTATATTGCCAGCGGCGAATGCGCGCCCTGCCCACAAATGTCTTCTCATGTGGCTCCATCAATCAGTATCCTGTCGTCAGCTAGCGGTTGTATTCTCCCGGGCTGCCTGTTTTGTATGGTGATACAAAACAGACGCATGTCCAAAGTAACCTTGACCTACTCAGGCAGTAAAGTCCGTCTGCATGATCAACTCGCATGCTGACACCAGTTTTCAATCGCATTCAAAATTTGAAGGCGGGGTAGGATTCTCAAGGCACAACAAGCTGAATCATCAACATATCGTCAGGAGACACCACGCACAAATTGTCCTGCAAAGCGACCATGTCTCGAAGTGACGGTGGCGACGCTGAGCGGAGTATGCTGCGACGAGCTGAACAGCTACTCGATCATGGCGTCTCGATGTTGCAAGCTGGTTCGATTGACGAGCTCCGATCTCATTCCCATCAAATTCCATCACCACCGCTGTCTCGAAAACCTGTCGTCAGCAGATCTCCATCCTCCCAGGAACGCCCCCTTTCCCGGAATAGTAATGGTACTATCCGACAAGAATCCTTACTTTCACCTACCGATCCTAGATCCTCCACAAGTATTCGTCGGCCTAATAGCCGTGGATCACGACACAATACGTCCAGGGATCCTTCTTCTCATGTCTCCGAACATTTGATGGTCCCAACTTTGACAAGGCACAGAAACAGCGTTGATGCTTCTGACCCAGGAAGTCTGCGATCCTTGAGCTCGTCTTCTGTTTACACACGGAGCACCCACCGCGTGTCTCCATCTATGCTATCAGCAAACGACATGGCTGAGATGTATGGATATCTCGACAAGGGAGAGTTCAGGCTGATCATCTTACGTCCTGAACGGAAAGACGATCCCGAAGGTATTATCAGATGTGATATGCTCAACTGTCCATTGGGCAATTCACGACCCTATGTGGCGCTCTCCTATGCCTGGGGAGACGTTAGCGACACTCGCAAAATATTTGTGGGGTCGGCAAACAGAACCATAAGCGTGTCAGCCAGCTTGGAATCAGCTTTGAGGGCTCTCAGGGATCCGAGAAAGTCGATAACAGTGTGGGCAGATGCCATCTCAATCAATCAACAAGATCAATCTGAGAAAGCTGATCAAGTCCGACTAATGACGCGAATCTACCAGAAAGCAGAATCGGTAGCAATCTGGCTCGGCCCACGATCTGAAGACAGCGACCTCGGCATGGAGCTCATCGAGCAGGTGTCAAATGGGGCTGAGATGCCACGAGAAATAACGAGACGTACACCCGCACCGTTCAGCGAGCAGAATTTTGCCGCTGTGGTGGCCCTTTTCGATAGGGAGTACTGGCATCGACTGTGGGTCGTGCAAGAAGTGTTCAACGCACGAGCTATCAATGTCCACTGCGGACCGGCGATTCTCCCGTGGAGTGCATTCCAAACTGCGTCAGATGTGTTTCAAGACCACAGAGACGTGCTCGAAAGAAGCTTTCACCCTGGTTACAGCAACCGCTTCTATCAAGCACGATCCGGAAGCTACCCACAGGTCTTGGTCCATGAAGGCCCAGGTAGTCTGGCTAGAGTTGGTTCTCGGGCCAACTTCATGGATGGCGACGACGTACCCGACCGCTTGGTGTTTCAGAATCTGCTCGAAGTAATGCAAGCTTGTCGCAGAAAGCTCAGCTCCGACCCCAAGGACAAAGTCTTTGGTTTACTGGGCGTCCTCTCAGAAAAGATCCGCAGCGAGATCAAGGTCGACTACGGCGTTCCTGTCAAAGACATCTATGTCAATATTTTCCGCACCGTTGTCGAAAAGACCGGTTCTCTGGACATCCTTTGCGAATCGATTCACTTTCCAGATTACGCCAACAATAACAATCTGCCGAGCTGGGTGCCCGATTGGTCGCACATATCAAAGGTTTCACCCATTGCGACGACCCATACCTTTTCGGCGTCAAGAAAAGCAGAAGTGGTCGTTGACTTCACGGAGAGGAACAAGCTGAGGATATCAGCCATACCGTTAGGAAGTATCAAAGAACACGGAGTCGCTGTGGGCACACGATGCACTTTGTATGACTACCTCACAGCCTTTTTGCAATGGAGAGCCTGTCTGTTGCAAGCCTTTGATGGTCACCCAGACAAATTCCTGCAGTCGCTTGAACAGCGCTTCTGCTTAGCGCTGAGTCTTTCTCACATACCAGAAGACTACGAGACACCAGAGGAGTGGATGGATATCTGCTACCACGTCTTCGCGCTAACGTTACGTGATCGCCTCCCCAAATTCAAGATAGACCACGAGCTAGAACAGTACATCGGCAGAGACCCTCAGATGGATTATAACAAGCGACGCCTATTCCTACAGGAGAACGTTGCGTCAAATATGATGGGCCGGTGCTTTTGCATCACCGATGAGGACCGAGTTGGTCTTGGCACGGGGTTCATGATACGAGGTGATCATGTTGTTGTACCGCTAGGCTGTAGCACGCCTGTGGTCCTGCGGCCGGAAGGTGACGGGTACAGGTTTGTTGGTGATGTATACATCAACGGATACATGTTTGGAAGAGCAGTCGAGGAGTGTAACAAGGGGTTCATGGATCGACAGGTTAAGACGTATATTATCCACTGAGAGTGAACTATTGTCCAAATATGATCACTAAGCGTCTCGCTGTTATACTGCATCAGAGCTTGTTTCGAGTTTTCATTTACCAAGTTAGACTGTCTTGAATAGCAACCCAATCATATTATTGCCCAAACGCGAACATCTTTGTCTGTTTAAAATACATTAAACGAAAGTGTTAAAAGATAAGAGATTAAATTGGCCATATGTCAAAACAAGTTTATTTTGAATATACAATATAAGAGATATTTACACACCCTGCTCACGTTTTGTCCTATGCTTAGGGGCGGAACAGACAAGTTACATTGAGCAAACGAAAGACATAATACTCAGCCTTCAATGTTGCGATGGCAGACCCACCCACCCTCCACCATCAACAACAATCAAGAAGAAGTTTCCTTAGGAATCCAAGAGCCATCCCAGCAACTCCCGGTGAAACTCCGCCAGCTCCTCTATATGCGGTGCGTGTCCTAAATTTGGGAATTGGACCAGCGTGCTATTCGGAATCATGGCGGCGGCCGCGGGGCCTAGCACACTATAATTCCCAATCACTGCCTGCACCGCCGGGGGCGACCACGCCTTTCCAATGGCCGTGTTGTCCTTGTCCCCGATAACCAACAACGTGCGCACCCGTCCCAGCAGGCCAAACTCGTAAATGACAGGCTGTGTGTAGATCATGTCGGTGGTTTGCGCCTGGTTAAAGGTGAATTCGGCGCGGTGCGAGCCCGTGTAGATGTTGTAAAGCATGCCAACCCACACGTCGTACTGGGGCTGCCACCGGCCAACGTAGTAGGTTGTGTTTTCGTAAGTTTTGATCGAGGCGTAAGTGGTCGCGTTTTCGGTGGCCCAGCTGCGATCGATGCTTTGGTAGGGGACGCCTTTGGTCTTCCAGTCCTCCAGGCCGAGAGGGTTCACCATGACCATGGCTGTTGTATTGCTGGGATACATGCTGGAGGAGGTCAGCGTACTCTGAGGATTGATTTCAGACTGATCAGGCTCTCACGCCCATACTAAGACTTACATGGCATATCGAGCTGCCAGCATCCCTCCCGTGCTGTGCCCAATGATAGTGGCATTGTAGATGCCCAACTGCTTCAACAAGCTATTTGTGTTCAAAGCCAATTGTTGGAACGTGAACTGGTACCCCACCGGCTTGGTCGACTTACACCACCCAACCTGATCGGGCGCAATCACTCGGTACCCGGCACCGGTCAACTGGATAATCGTCTCGTTCCAGGTCGCCCCGCAAAAGTTTTTGCCGTGCAACAAGACGGCTACTGGTGCATCTGTCGATGTATTTGCGGTGCTTGCGGGAGCCACATCCATAAATGCCATTTGCATGTTTAGGCGCTGCGAAGGAAAGTTGTAGACTTTGATCGGATAGGGATAGGTGAAGTTGGAGCCGTTCAGGTCATCTGGCTGCGGGCCATCATCGATGTAGCCGTCTCCCCCGCCAAGCGAGCCTTGGGCGGTAACTACTGAAGTGGTAGCGAGAAAGAGGAGGGGCAATATGCGGAGTATGCTTTTCATTATATCGACTTCTTTGACTTATGAAGGCTGCATAGAAGTAATATGAACCCAGATATTGTCTGAGAAGTGAAAATATTATATCTAGGGAATGAGATGAGATTCCTGCTATTATGGCTTGTAGGCACGATTCGCCCGTGAAAACAGGTTTTCATTTAGCTTTGATTGGGGGAAATGAGTTCTCGCGAAGGATGCGATATAATGGTAATTGACTGATAAGATAAGCTTATCGATTGTAGCGTTACATTCCAGCGGATTGGGAACGTTCAGCTTATTAACGACTTCCCTCCATGATATACAGCCATACTTTGAACACCCAGAATTTCACTTGGCCTAACCAGTACAAGGGTGTCGTAATGACCCAGGGGCAATCTCTACGAGGGTAAACACAGCCGTTTCAATTGAATAGAGTGAAGCAATCTTGTGTGTGTTGCGGAGAGAACCATCCGCAATGTTGCGGATGACTTAAGCTGTGTATTAATGAAACTTCAAAGCAATATATAAGGCATGTAAAATGCTGGAGTACTAATTAGATGAGATGAAAAAGCGAGTGATTTCTTCTCGTTAGGAGGGAGGGTTTATAGATGTTGTTGCTAATGAAATAGTTAATCAGTGATTCCTATGTTTGCAACATTGCTTTCGCGATAACTATTAAGGTCAACTTGAATAGTGTGATGTCCGAGAGCATGTCTCGATGCCTTTTTTCCAAAAGCTCTTCAATACTGGGCGAACATTCAGCCTATAGAACGATCCACCTGCTGATGATTCTAACAACGTTTGAAGTCATCGCTGCTATCGTCTTCATAGCTTTCCGTGATCCCATTACACCCTGTGGGCATCAAAGAAGCGACGGAGCCGGTACTGATTGACTGGAGCGCAATGAATAAATTTAGCAGCAATGTTATAGCTTTTTGGACTTTACATTGGACAAGAACAAGTTTGCACCTTCTTTCCGCAACAATATCTCCAACAAGCAACAAAATCTGTCAACACGTCATGTCAACCTTGTCAGTGCTGAAATATCTCACTTCTTGCACAACTGTTCTCTCATCCGTCCGCCGCCGGAAAGCACTTGAATGTACATGAGCTCCTGCAGGGAGTGGCCATTCATATTTTCCCTTTCAACTTCCTCACATGTGTACGTCCACCAGAGTCGGACTTCTGTGTATATATACTCCCAGCATTCCCAGTACTTGAACGCCTGAGCAAATAGCTCGGAGTCGTTGAAGTCCGCTCACGCTACCGCACACGACTACTCAACGGCTCTTCGTATTTGCGTGACTGCTCACCAGATTTCTCTGGGAGCCTTGTTGGTACAGATGTGAGTGGTACATGTTCTCGAAGTCCCCAGAGCGGAGCTCGGAATAAGGCCTCATTTCGATATCGGTGTCTTTGGTCACGGTTATGGTGCCTTGTGACTTGTCGCCGCGATGAGTGCTCTGTGAGCCTTTAACGAATGAGAGCAGCGTTTGTAGAGTGCCTCTAGGCACATTGGGCAAGCCCTGGTGTGGCTCTGAAACGTTGGATGTGCTTTTGCTGTTGTCCTGAGGAGGCTTCGAGGGTGTCCTGGACCTGGAGCGGTAATTTCTCCAAGAATCCCATCTAGTACTGGACTTCTCCGCTAGGCCTTTGAATATGGGAAATGCAGCTGGTACACAAGCGCAGACAATGCCAAGATTGATCTCAGCAATGCTTGAAAATAGTCAGTTGAAACCCAGTCAAGAAATGGTTTTATGGCCTGGGACTTACGCCAATCCATATGCTGGCATTGATGTCCAGAATGGATCGGGATACTTGCGCACAAGAGTTGTTCGATAATTATCAAGACGTGAGGCTAGACCGGCCGCAGAAAAGCTGCAAGCTCTGTATATTCGAGGCACAATTAATGTCAGTTTACCACCTCGAACAAGAAAGCCAAGGGTTTAGGGAAACACATACAATAAACCAGTGGCAAAGAGCGTTGAGACTCCGATTTTCCTTGCCAAGGACATGTTCAGTCCAGAAATAGCCGTCAGAGGTATTGTTATGATGTAGAAGTCAGTAACAGTACCCACAACACCCAATCCAACACTGATCTTAGGATTCTGTTCTCTAGTCCTACTAAAGAAGCTCATCCCACGCCAGCCTCCGTCACCTCTATGTGGCACACTAGATATAATCCACGCAATAAATAATGAGGTGTATAGTACCGTCACTGATATAATTCCAATCCATATCATGACGTTGCTTCGGAGGGATGGCGAAAAGATGCGACGAAAGAAGACACAAAGGGATAGTTTGACTAGCGCAGCAGCCCAGCAATATGCTGCTGTGATAGCGCAGCTCTTCTACGTGGAAGTCAGTCATCAAAGCATGGAGATTGGGAAGACATTGACACCCAAGAGAACAAAAGGATATGATAGGTTACCCACCTGTAGGACACCTGCACTTATTACGCTGAGAGGTATGTTCCAAGAGTGACGGCCGTACATGTCATCGATGACTAGTAACAAGTAAATATGAGTGGGTCAAGTGCTAATTGGGAAAGTGCAGGAGGACAAACCACTTGACAACATTACGCCGCAAAATCCACCGCTTGCGGCCTAACAAAGGAGATTAATAAGAGCCTGCGACATAGCCTACCCGCCTTGTATGTCCGAGGCTGTAGGAACGACTAGCACTTACTACAGCAGCTATACACAAGTCTGAAAATGATTAGCGCACTGCCAGGGACGGAGTGGATGGACCCAGCACGGTACTCACAATCATCCATGCCCAGTGCAATCCTCATTCGTAGACGAGCAAAGAGTCGCAGCACAAGAAAACCGAACGCCACTGGTAGGGTGGTGTAAATAGCCAGGCGGGGCATCCAAGCTTGAGAGGGTCCCTCGGCAAGGTTGACAGTCTGCCCTGGGGGTGCCATTCCGAGTGGGACCTTGGAAAGATCGTACCCATCCATTCTTGGTTTCAATCCTGGGGTCTGTGCCGATAATGGAAAAGGTCTCGATTGATAGGAGTGTCAGCAGTATGGAATTCGAGCAGATAGAGCGCTTTGAATCAAATCCTCAACTACTTGCACCAAATATTACCGAGCGGGAAGTTGGCGTTATTCAAATCTTTTATCTCTCGTAGTGTTTCGCGTGGGAACATCATTGTGATTAGTGGCGCAATCTGTATAAAGAAGGCTGCAAGCGTGCTGGTCATCTGCTTCTAAATTTGCGTTGGAGCAGTTGAGGTGGTTGCATGCTGTGATGCAATGCTACCAAGTCTTTTGGGGGCTATTTGTGAAACGCTGAGTGAATGTAGCCCCTACAGGCTTGATGTACTGTATACAACCATCCTGTTGTTGGTCCTCGACTCAAGCTCCCCATTGCTTGAAAACTGGGCACGGAATACGTGGCGTCTACCAACATGCTTGATTTATTTATATGCTTTGGTGGACCTGAGGGTAGTGGTATAAGAGAAGGCTGCTGTGAACGCTACTTAAGTATCTTCAAATCGGAAGGCAACCCTTCACTCAAAGTCGCAGTCGGCTGGGAATGTGGTCTTGCATCCCCGAGATCTTGTCTTCTCAAAGGGTTTCCACTCAGAAATCACTTGTTTATTCCACTGATCCTTGCCTGCCATCGAAATGCATCAGCTTTTTGCTTTCTTAACAGGAACAAGAGAATCACTCACTTGGTGTCTTGTCTTGGCCGTGAGTATTGTGATATGGATCACTGCGTACCTATACCTGGTGTTTCAATATCATCGAGCACACCGATCTGACAGATCCGGACTGATACCACCTTCTTACCCGTCACTTTTTCCATACCTGAGCGTCGTGATTTCGTTGGTATGGAATGCCCGCGCCGCCCTCTCACGTTTCACGTTAGTAATGCATTTCAGAGAGTCTGGCCCAGTCAGGGAATCCTGTTAACAGTGTGTCATTTAGCACGTACAATGGAAACTCTTCGGTGACGCAGTTGCCAGTGTTCCCTGGCATTAACGTCTTCGTTTATCGAGACCCTGCAATCATTCGTCAAATTTGGAAACAGTCATCCCTCCTCGACTTCCGCCCAACCGTTGTATACTTCTTCAAAGACCTCTGTGGGATGTCGAAGAAATCTGCGTTGCTTTATTTGGAAGACGACTCGGGAGACCAGATCAAGCCGCTACCAGGCAGCAGCGTCCCAGAAGAGCTTCGAATCCATCGCATCATCTACCAGAGCGACCGTCAAGCACTCACAGGCCATGCCCTCGAAGCTACTCTCCAGCGCTATATGGATGTATTCGTTGCTAAGATATCAGAACGTGTGCCGGATCAGAACGGCGCGTGGATAGACTTTCCCGATTTGTGTAGCTTCACCCAAGATACTGTGGGCGCAGCTGAGATAGAAGCAATCTTCGGCCCTAATCTCTTCAAAATGCACCCGGATTTTGTGCGCACGTTTTTCGAATTCGATCAGGCAGCACCATGGCTGCTTAGGAAAATGTCTTATGGAAGGGCAGAGAGGCTTCGTCATACCATCCTGTACCAGTTCAGGACCTGGTTCAAGTATGCGAGGAAGCATTACACTGAAGAAAGCAGATATGAAGACGGTGACGGGGACCCTTTCTGGGGCTCTGCATGGACCCGTTGTCGACATGAAGAACTTAGACCCCTTTTTGATGACGATGCAATGTCGTGCATTGATCTTGGTCTGGCTTGGGGGTAAGTACTGTGCGCAGTCATGTCTCTAGAAAAGGATTGAATAGGAGTGCTGACAACCGACCTCATGTCGTAGAGCAACAGCGAACACAGTGCCTTGTTCCATGATGGCTGCGATCCACGTGATGCGAGACCCATCGCTTTTGAATCGCGTGCGGCGTGAGGTTCAGGAAGTGTATGTTGATCGCGCCAGCGGCAAGCCGGGGCCTGTTGACATGAAAAGATTGTCGGCGAGCCCACTGCTGTCCTCTATCTACGCAGAGACACTCCGTTTGCATGTATCAGTGTCAGTGCCAGTTTTGCCGATGTATGGTGAGCTGAATCTGGGGAAATGGCGCATTCCTAAGTCCAGTTACGGGCTGATCCCAACTGGCATTTCACACATGGACAATAATGTATGGAACACTAAGGACGGTAGCCGCCCGGTGGACTCGTTCTGGGCCGAACGGTTCATTGTCAATCCAACTGACCCTATGAGCGGCCCCGTCCGACCCAGTGCCCAGCTGTCAAACACGTGGATCAAGTCCACGGCTAGCAAGGACAAGAGGCAACCGTACTTCAGTACTGATGGGTTGGAAGGAACATGGATCCCTTACGGTGGTACGGCTATCTTTTGAGTTCATGTTCATGATAGAAATGTTCTTTGAACTATTCGCTGACTGACTCATCCAGGAGGGCGAAACATGTGCCCTGGCCGGTTTTTGGCCAAAAGCGTGATACAATTCACACTGGCCACACTGACAAGCAAGTACGACATTGAGCTTCAAATTGGCAGCAACCGTATCCCCATGACCAGTAATAGATTCGGAACGGGTACAGACACTCCTTCTTGTTCAATTCCCTTTCGTATCAGGCGGCGACAATCTGGTGGGAAGACTTGAAGCTTCCACGAATGCTGACTTTGATCCATTCGTTTCCCTTTGCATCACTGAACCATTTTCATGGGCCACTACGGATAATGTTTCTGGTTTAGTATAGCATAGCCAATCGATTACAACGAGAATCTTGTGAATCGACGAAGACTTAAATGAACTGAAACTTGATATGCAATAATTGAAAACCACAGGGCCGGAAATAACCATGTGTCTATGAGAAGGTGATGCATCGGTTGCATGAGTTTAAGCTTCTGATCATTATTTCTCCATGCCAATACAAGCGGTCGAGATCAGTACATTACTTGAGGTGAAAGAAGAACATATACAATACAATCCATTTCAAGCATGTGGACTTATGTAGTTTTCAGTAGATTCAAGTCCTTGCCGAAGGTCTGGTCTGACCTTTTCGCAATCATATCCATTCACGTACATCTACCTTGCCCAGGTGCTAATTACTGAATCAGGGCGTCCTTGATGTTATCAGATTGTTCGAAGAACTAGTATTTAGATCATATACCATATGTGTATCTTTTGCATCGCCATTGAAGGGTACAGGACTTTTGTTGTTAGACAGGCTATGTTCTCCAAATTGGTCAAACAATCCAATAGCTACACAACTGGAACATAGCTGCAGCCAACAGGCCTATTTTGCACCGAACAGACACTCTTTCATTGCCTGCCCACTAATTCCCACAGTAAGCAAGCTAATTATGGAGGGGAGTACTCATTGACACGGGCCGCAAACCCTCCTGAAGTCCGACACACTTGTATCCGGTACTTCGCCAGTCTGCACATGACAGGAATCGTGACCTGAGAACTGGGCTAAGCCCGATACCTGTCGTATTGGCACACAGACGATCTGCAGAACACCTGTCATTCCCGGTCAGAAAGCATGTGTTGGTAAGAAAGGAATGCCAAGTGACACATGCAAGAAATCAATATATATGTGCGTCGCTAATTTGGGATTATCCCAGGCAGCATTCCTTCAAGCTGGAATCGTTCAATTTGTTTTGTAGGGCTATGCAGCATGCTCCAGACCCCCAAGTTCTCAGCTAAGCCTTATCCATCGAATGATGACAGACGAGGCTATCATTGAAAGATCACCAACGCATGAGACCCAGCCATGCCACTACCTTTAACTCCGGGATTGCGACCCGCAAAGATTTGGAATCGCAAATGAACGACGACCAATATTGCTGATGACAAGACACTGTGGATTGAGCTTTGTGTTGGAATCAAAAAGGACAGCCGGAGGAACTTTGTCTTTGCGTGTCCAAAAGGTCAGGTTTGATGCGCATGAGCAACCTGCGTAGTTAAGTCAAGAACATCCCCACTTATTCAATCATACGATATGATGAACCTCACTGGAGGTTGGGCCCAAGAAAGTGCATGCAAAGCAACGCTGACTACCAAGGTTTGTTTCCCCACCAGTTTTGGGGGGTGGGTGTGGGGTCAGGGCAACATTTCATTATTGTGAACCAACACATACAGCTCACCCACTCACACTGAAGAGCCAGTTCACAGCCTGCAGATTGTTGGTTGCCACAGCCTAGATAATGCAAAGTTCAGGCTCGAGGTGGGTGCGCTCATTTTATCCTGGCCCTGTTTCCCAGCTCAGGCGCAGGAGCCGATCTTGCCCCAGAGCGTGATGATGAGCCCTGTGTCACCAACCAATTCATATAACATAGGCTGATAAGCAGGGTCTGGGGCGAGACTAATCGAATGATATGGCAATATAAGGATGGCAGCTGTCACATGCAGCTTTCCGCAGCACACTAACTCATCGACGGGGCGTAGGGCCAACTGTGCAGGTCTTCACATGTATCGGAAAGTACACCGCAGTATTTTCTGCGCAAACTGGTTCTATTCTCTTTTTGACCAGACACGAGAAATCTGGTTAATTTGCCGAGCATAAATGCCAAGACTAACCTCACCTGTTGGCGGTTCAACTGGTGTGGTTACACATTATTTGGAGCTTGGAGCTCCCAATTTCCCACAATGCTTGTGCTTCAATACACCGCATAGCGCCTGGGAGTGTTGGACGTTTCAAACGATGACCTCGTGGAAGCGGCAGCACATGTCGGTTCTCTGTCATGTATCATACGGCTTGCAAGAAACATTGACCAGCATCTTCTTGACGCGGTTATGAGAACGTGCTGTTTTCTTTCTCTCTTTCGCCATTTAGAGCCCATCCAGTATCCAACAGAACAGCGCCCGTCTGTGCATTGAGATTCAGTCAAACACGATGGACGAAAAGGACAAAACTCGCAGTCCTGCCTTTTCCGAGCAGAGCGAGGGAAACATCCCGAGCACAACAAACGACCTGAAACCCAGCGGACTTTCCGAGTGGCTCCTCGCAAGAAAAGACCAGCGGATGCCCCAGATTGAAGTGTCCTTCAGCAAACTCAACTGCTATGGATTCCTCACTTCGGCACAGTACCAGACGACATTCCTCCCCAGCTTGACCAGGCTCTCCCAGAAAGTGCGACGTCAGCTACAGAGAGTCCATATTCTGGACGATTTCGAAGGTTTGATCCGGCCTGGAGAGATGCTGCTGGTGCTCGGACGACCTGGCAGTGGATGCTCGTCTTTTCTCAAGGTATTGGCTGGCGAAACCCATGGGTTGAGTCTGGACGCAGCCTCAAAATGCAGCTACAGGTTCAAACAGTTTGACAATAACCTCGTGCACGAGTCGATAACACCATCTCCATGGACGCCGATCTCGTACGATCAGATGCATCGTGACTTCACAGGGGAGCGAATATACCTTGCTGAACTTGATGTCCATTTTCCCGAACTTAGTCTGGGTCAGACTCTGGGGTTCGCCGCTTCGACACGCCGGCGTTTGTGGACCGATCCGAGTTGTGCCCAGGGGAGAACACATTCAAGCAGTAGTCAGACCATGGCCTCGCTGTTCAACCTGACAGAAGCGCTCGAGACCCCTATGGGAGATGCTATAATACGAGGCGTAAGCGGCGGGGAAAAGAGACGGACCAGTATTGCTGAGGCATACGTTGGCGGCGCACAACTGCAGTGCTGGGACAATAGCACCCGCGGACTTGACAGTTCGACGGCCAAGCAATTTATCAAGCTACTGAGGAGTTCAACGGATGTACTTCAGTCCACAGTTGCCATGAGTCTCTATCAGGCATCTGAAAGCATGTGCCAGGTTGGTAGCACCCTGTGCACGCTCACTGGAAAGATGTTCGTGTTTTACGTTTCCAGGAACACTGGGAAGATGTTTATCAAGTCGGCTCTGATTCCCATGCCATGAAATAGCTGACCTGAGAGTAGTGCTTCGACAAAGTGATGCTGCTTTACGAAGGCCGCGAGATCTTCTTTGGGCCTGTGGGTCTCGCAGCAGAGTACTTTATTGCCATGGGTTTCGCCAGACCTAGTCGTGCAACCACGCCAGATTTCTTGACTTCCCTGACAAACCCGGCAGAACGTGTCGCCCGCCCAGGTTTTCACGACCGGGTACCAAGAACATCTGACGAATTCGCGACGGCATGGAAGCAGAGTGCATTGGCCCAGTCACTTCGCGCCGAGGTCGAAGCGTCCAACTCGACGATCTCTCCTTCGGACAGTCAGCAGTCGGCTACAAGCGGGGAGTCAAGCCTGGCCGGCAAAGTCAGGTAACTCGATGTTCCTCTGTTCCCCTGCCAAATCCACTGAAATTGCCTCTAACATCGGCCCTAGTTTTCGGGAGTCAACGTTTCCTCTCCAAATACACGAACAGGTCCTTATCTGTCTCAAGAGAGCCTATCAACGGCTTCGCAACGACTACGTCCCCATCCTCTCAGCAATCATCGCAAATTCGATCCTTGGAATCATTGTTGGCAGTGTATTCTACAATTTAGGCGAGGGCACGAACGATCTGAGACAGCGATCCATCCTCCTCTTTTTTGTCACGATGCTCAACTCTTTCGTACCCGCTTTTGAAGTTGATCTTATGTGGGCACAGAGGCCGATCGTTGAGAAGCAACATCGCTATGCGTTCTACCACCCCTTTGTCGAGCGGCTGGCCTCTATGTTATGCGACTTTCCTAGCAAACTCGCTCTGTCCTTCATGCTCCACATCCCGGTCTACTTTATGACCAACCTCCGGAGGACTGCGTCATCTTTCTTCACCTACTGGTGTTTCATGTTGGTGAATCTCATCACCATGGCAATGCTCTTCCGTATGATCGGGACAATTTCAAAGTCTCGGAACGGAACCATGACACCAGTCTCGATCTTAACAGTTCTCTGCGTTCTATATGCCGGCTATGTTGTTCCTCCTCCTTACATGGTTCCGTGGCTCGGTTGGTTTCGCTTCATCAACCCAGTCGCTTATACCTACGAAAGCCTCATGATTAATGAGTTCAGCGATCGTCAATTTCCGTGTTCCAATACAGTCCCCGACGGGCCGGAGTACAGCAACATCAATCAAAGTCTGAAGCTGTGCCCGGAGATTGGTAGGATGGCGGAGTCGGGGAGTGTGGACGGCAGCGCGCATATCGCACTGCAATACGGATACTCCCATGATCATTTATGGAGGAATATCGGAATCCTTCTCGCCATGATGGTTGTCTTCTGCGTTATACATCTGCTGGCCGCCGAATACATACCTGCTGAGCGGTCCCGGGGTGAGGTCCTCGTCTTCAAGCGCAGCGTGGCTCCAAAACTTCACAGGACAAAAGCAGCTCGAGATGATGAGACAGGGGAAGTCCCTACTCTCGCTCAAGATGTCCTAGTCCGCGGTCTCATGGGTGGCGACAAACCTCCTGGGGCATCGGAGCCTGCAATTGTTGTCGACGCCGGTAAGCACGCATCTGTGTTTCACTGGAGTGGAGTCACATACGATGTCAAGACCTCTGGTGGCTCCCGAACAATTCTGAAGGGCATCGAAGGATGGCTCAAGCCAGGGACTTTCACGGTACTCATGGGCGCCACTGGAGCAGGTAAGACGACGCTGCTCGATGTCTTGGCGGACCAGACTTCGGCCGGCAAGGTAGGTGGCGATGTCTTTATCGACGATCAGCCGCGGGAATCCACTGAGAACTTCCGGCGGAGGATGGGCTACGTGCAACAAAACGATATTCATGTGTCAAGTTCGACTGTGCGTGAAGCATTACAATTCAGCTCCTTGCTGCGACAGCCGAGAACGAAATCAGAAGAAGACAAGTTGGCATATGTTGAGACAGTTCTAGAGATGCTAGATATGGAAGCCTACGCCGATGCTATTGTTGGAGTCATGGGCGAAGGATTGAATGTGGAACAGCGAAAACGTCTCTCCATTGCCATAGAGATGGTTGCCATGCCCGATCTTGTTTTGTTCCTTGGTACGTTGTCTTACGTCACTGGATCCCATCTAGACTGCTGATAATTGTCCAGACGAGCCAACCTCGGGACTCGACAGCCAGACAGCCTGGTCAATCTGTACGCTATTGCGGAAGCTGGTGAACAACAACTACACTATTCTTTGCACGATTCATCAGCCCTCTGCCCAGCTATTCAACCTGTTCGATAGAGTCCTCTTGCTAAAGGACGGCGCTACAGTCTATTTCGGCGACATTGGCCAGGACGCTAACGTGTTGATGACTTATTTTGAAAGTAAGGGTGCTCAGGAGTGTCTCCCAGACCAGAACCCAGCTGAGTGGATGTTGCACATAACAAGAGGCCAGTCTGCGACAGCTTCTGACACCGAAACTTGGTCCACAAAGTGGCAAAACAGCCAGGAAAGACACAACGTCACACAACAGCTCGAGGGCCTCAAAGCAAAACGGAACCCATCCACATGCCCAGAAAAGGAGAATGGCCCGGGACTTGACGAGGGGGAGTTTGCAGTGCCTATTTTCAAGCAGATATCATTGGTTTCGAAGCGTTTCTTCCAGGATCAATGGAGGGACCCCGTTTACTTGTACACAAAAACAGCAATGTGCACCGGCCTGGTATGATTGTCTCTAGTTGCTGTCCTTTCACTTCGTAGCGAGTACTGACCTCGACGCAGAGCCTCGTCAATGGCATCTCATTCTACAACGCCAAGCATGACATACAGGGACTGACAAATCTCCTATTCTCCATATTCCTAATCTCACAGCTCTTCAGCGCCCTGAGTCTGCTAATTCTCCCACGGTTTGTCCGGGGACGTGACGTGTTCGAAGCCCGAGAGCGCAACTCAAAGACATATTCGTGGATGGCTTTCGTTACAGCAAACATAGTCGTCGAAGCCACCTGGCTGACCCTCATTTCAGTCTTTCTATTTGTCTGCTGGTATTATCCTACGGGTATGCAGCGGAACGGAAGTGCGCACTTCGGCACCGCTGAGCGCGGTGGCCTCGTTTTCTTGCTAATATGGCTGTTCTGCCTTTGGGCTAGCACACTGTCTCAAGCGTTCGCCGCGGGGATCAGTGGCCCAGAGACGGCTATCCAGATAGCCACTCTCTGTTTCTGGCTGAGCCTTGTTTTTTGCGGGTATGATTTCCAGCACCTCATCTACTACTCCCACCTCCCTGCGTGAAAATGGAACTGATGGGTGACTTACAGGATTCTCGTCTCTCCTACTGGGCTTCCAGGATTCTGGATCTTCATGTACCGTGTATCTCCCCTGACCTATGTTCTGGAGGGTCTCGCTATTGCCGGAATATCTGACACGAGGGCTGCGTGCTCTGCCATCGAGATGCTGCCCATTATACTCCCTACTGATGCAGCGACATGCGGAGAGTACCTGAAAGCCTACATTCTCGTTGCAGGCGGCTACGTTTCCAATGGGGGTGACACCAGCGGACACTGCCAGTACTGTCCAGTCTCGGACGCAAACATAGTACTTCGAAGTTTGGGCATGGGCACTGATAAACAGAGAGCATGGCGCGATGTAGGAGTAATGGCTGCCTATGTCTTGTTCAACACGGTGGCGATCTTTGTTATTTATTGGCTGGCGAGAGTTCCTCGAAGGAGCAAGCGAGAAAAGCGGTCATGAGTGTTGCACGGATGTTTGAGTGCATAAATCCATCAACGATTGCCCCGAAGAAGCAAGGCTGAAGAAAGACGAGGGAGTGTCCACTTTACTTACACATTGAACATAGGACGTGTCAGCGCAGGGCTTCAAGTTCCTCGTATACATGTTTTCACTAATTAGGGCTTATTTGAGACAGCTCATGTGGAATCTTCCCAATTCTTCGGCGAGATTTCCCCAGACAATTAGACCCAAATAATCAAATACTGACGTGTCATTACATGTTTGGCCATGATTTGAGCGATGATAGACCTTGCTCTCTCAACTTCCCTTAGTGACACTGTCCACCTATTCAAACCAAGTCTACTGCTCTACTACCTTTGAACCTCATTGTCTCTTGACTTCCCCGCCTCCCCGGACTCCGTTTCCTGCCTCTCAACCCCCGAGGAGCTTTACTTTCATCATCATTCCATCTACTGGTTTTGCAGTAATCCGTATCGTCTTGAACTCAACGTCAGGACTGGGATTTTCACCTTTTAGTTTGAAAGATCGATGCACTCACAGAGTATAACTCAGACTTGGTCTTCAGTTGGCCCTTGGCATCAACGATCGGCTGACCGCCAGCGTCGACGTCCATCTCACCCAGGCCAACCTTGATGAATTCATAGCGACGGACAAGCATGGCGATAATGACGCGAGCTTCAATGTTAGCTAGTTCCGTCCCGATGCAGCTCCTCGGGCCCCTCTCAAATGGCCTCCACGCACTTGCTGGGCAGCTAGCGTCGTCGTCGGCCTGTAGCCAGCGCTCAGGCACGAAGTCATCTGCCGTGTCCCCAAACACAGAACGGTCGCGGTGAATAATGCTGTGATTCAGGTATATCCAGTTGCCGTCGAGGTTATATTCCCCTTGCGGCGTGGTGACCACGAGCCCACTGCCGGGCTTGGATACGCGGATGGAGCCAGCCGGGGGATGCAACCTCAGAACCTCTTTGATGACGGCAGAGATGTAGGTCATGCGATGGATAAGCTCCCGCCCTTCCGGAGCCAGCATCCTCTCCTCGACTGTGGCGGAGCCTTGTGGACCTGTCCCCGGCCCGAAGAGGGTTTCAAGCTCATCTCGGACAGCCTTTAGTGCATGAGGAGTCCGGAAAAGCTCATAGATGCTCCACACGATTGTGGTGCTCGTTGTATCGTGGCCGGCGAAGAGGAAGGTTTTGAGCTGGTCACACGTTTCCTCCATGATCTGCGGCGTGAGCGACTCAATTTCCTGCAGACTGAGCGCTAAGATGGTCCGGGGACGATTGCTGGAGACTTCACCATGGGCATCGGAGTTCATCTCATCGAAGTTGCGACGGACAATCTGCCTCAAATGCTGCGATATTCTTTCACCCAGACGACGTCGCCTCAAATAAACCCGAGGGGCTAGCCACCAAGGCGCGTGGAGCTTGTCGTCTCCGTATGCTGCTTCAATGTCAGCAGTGGTTGGCTTTATATACTTTGACTGAGCACCTACTCTTTATCATTTCTTTGAACATGTTAATGAGCTGGTCCTGGCCAGAGGAAGCAAATTCTTGGGCGTTCATGTCCTCGCCCATGGTGACTGCTCCAATCACGTCAAAGGTAAGATTTGTCGTTAGCTGGTCGAGCGGGAAATCTTCTCCTGAGCTGACAAAACCATCAATGGCTTTCAAATAAGGCTTTGTCTTCTCCATGATTACGGGCAACAGAGTAATGAGGTGTTGTGGCGCAAAGCCTGGGTTGAATCTCCTGCGAACCCCTTTCCATTCGTCATTCTTGGGCAGTAGTTAGCAATTACAAGAGGGTCATGGAGCAAACGGGGGGTTTTAGAATGTACCTGTTTAAATAGGATTGAGTTGGGTCCAATCAAGCTCACAATACGGTCTACAGAGGGCGCCTTGGGTGTGCCGTACTGCGGGAAGTGCTTCGAAGGTCGTGACACTTGCTCGGCAACTTCATGACTAGCGATCAATACCATGGGAGGTACAACGGGCCAGTTGTCAACCAGCATTATGGGCGGTTTCCCTAAGGTTTCATGCATATCCGCAAGGATTGCGTCTATCGTTGGCGGGTATTAGCACAGTCCCATGATCATCAGTGGACATGCTAAGATATAAAGACTAGCCTGGGTGACGATCTGGGATGCCTCGTTTGGTGAACTCATAGAACACCATGAGATGGCCCCAAAGAAAAGAAGGAGGAAGCTGAGGAATGTGGGCATTCTGCTTGAAACGTCTGTGGTACAGCTTAGTGCAGAGGTAAGTGCCAGTGGCGAGCAGCCCTGTGATGGCGAAGGCCAGAGTGGGGTTCGTCAAAGGATTGGCCATTGTGGCAGAAAGCAGCGTTTGGGCTTTGGTGATCAGCAACGGGTCAGATGGTCCCAGTGTGGAATGAAAGTGGAAAGGGATTTGTCCTAGGACCCTGCTTCAAGTGCTGACCTGGAGGACTGGCAGCAGTGAGCCAAACTCAGAGGCCTTTTCTATTCTACTGTGTACTTTGCAGCTAATAATAAACCAACCGGCAGAGTAGCCAGGGTATAACAAGAATACTTTCAGGCAGCTGTTTGGCCGTTACACCACAAATGCAGATTTCACTCTGCGCCGCATCACGGGCTACAGCGTTTTCATGCCGCGGGGGAGGAAGCTGTACGTACCCAGGTACTTCTAGGTACATGCCAAGACAGAAAGGTACCCATTTGCGTAAATTACGTACCTCGCCATGCATCAAGGGTTTCCTGCATCTCGTTACACGGAGTGATTCCCGTTCTGGAACACCCAACAGCCAATACTTGGAGGCTGAAAGGTCATTTCGACGTTGTGTGCTGCAGAACCTACCAAGGCCGGCAGCCTAGGCGAGCAACTTACCCGGACCAACACATCACGACCGGTGTAAGGTGAATGTGACATGGGGGCCATTTCGCTTCCAGAACAAGAGACACACAGGACTGCATCCTGTCTGCTGGGTTGGTGCACAGATATGTTTCCCCTTATCTTGGTCCTGTCCGTCCGTGGCGCAGTTTTTGATAATTGTCAGCAAGGAGTTCTGAACAAGCGCGTAAGTGGCCGGGCACCTGAATGGCAGTCCAACGTAGAACTAGATTGGATTGAGACGATGTTGTTTGAAAAAAAAGCATACAAAAGTACCAACCTTTTGTACTACTAGTAGGCATCTCAAGGAGAGTTGCGCGCAATCATGCCGACGTCGTGCCAGGTGTGCTTGTATCACTAATGCCAGATTAGAGTAATGTGAAAAAATGAGACGGCACTTGGGCTTTATGACCGTGGGCTCGAGATTTGCACCAAAGTGTGTGGACTTTATGTAGGCTGGCCTCAGTAAGAAAGGAAGGAAACAGAGCTCTGGCGGAGCCCTCGGGGCTGCAGCTGTAGGGTAGGCGGGCCTTATCGATAAGGGGGCTTCTGCCGCGGCCAACCACCCTAGCCCTCAGCCGCCAGCCTTAACTAAAGACTTTCAAAGGCTTAAGTATAAGTACAATGTCTACACTGTCCATGTGAGGGCGTGGGGCTGAATGCCAGCGGGGCCCTTTGGGTTAGAGCACGTAGGGCCCTTATCGATAGGCTTATCTTATCAGCCCACCGCCGTATTGTGAATAGCTTCGAGGGTACGCGTAGCTGCGCTGTCTCTGCCTTTCTTTTCGATAGGCGAACCTCAACAGAAATCAGCAAAATTCCACAGCTACATCGGGTCTTTGTGCCATAACGACGTAGGGACCGTCTCAGTTAGGGCAATCTGTATAAGAGAGGAATTCGCCTGATAATTGGATGAGCATGCACCGGCGAATTCTCCCTCAATGTTCTCTACTTGAGTTCCTAAATAGGCACCCTTCAATTGTCTGACTATAGAGAATCCAACATCGCCAGACCAAAAAATTCCCACAGCACGCACAATGGAGCCGCCACCGACCTCACAGGTGCCAATCTCTCCAACTATCCGCTCTTCCTTTGCATCAAGCTCCTTGCCAACTGACGGCTCTACTTGCCTTCCCCCTCCACCGCCGCCACCACCGCCTTTGGAAGATTTGAGGTCTCTCCCACCAATCAAGAAGGTACGTCGGCATGGCAAAGTCAGGTACCGCCCGTTGCGCATGGATGAGTCTGGTTACGAAGATGTGCACAAATACGTGCCTGGGGGCTATCATCCCGTCGACATTGGTGACAAGATAGCTGAGTACACCGTGCTTCACAAGCTGGGATCTGGCGGCTTCGCGACCGTATGGCTGGTTCAGTCCACTGAAGACAGCCGCTACTACGCCTTGAAGATCCTCTGCGCTGATGTCTCTGAAGCGCAAGCTAATGAGCGAGGAGTCATGGAGTATCTCGGTCCACACGATCATCCAAGCGTTGTCAAGTTACTTGGTTCCTTCGAGGTCACCGGGCCCAACGGCGTGCACACCTGTCTCGTTCTTCCAGTTTGCGGCCCTAGCCTCTACAAATGGTCTCTTGGAAGGTCGTTCTTCTCCTGATAATCATTGCGCTAGAGCAATCCTGCTGATAGTCTCACCAGAACCTTCACCCCTGGCGCGCGATATCGAATTTCTCAGCAGATAGCCAATGGCGTTGCCTTTCTGCATGAACGCGGTGTTGCCCATGCAGGTCAGAATCGAGTCCCATCTGTACTGCCTTGAACCATCGCTAAAGAGCAGATTTCAGATCTTACTACTTCCAATATCGTCTTCAGTCTTCCTGATATCCAACCCATGTCGCCAGATGCAGTTTGCCAGTTGTTGGGGCCTATGGCGACAGAGAAACTGAAATTGCGCGATGGCTCCTATTCCTCGCATGGTCCCAAGAAAATTGTCAACAATCCCGACTTCTCAGGTTTCAACATTGGCATGTCCTCTGCTGCAATTATGATCATCGACTTCGGCGAAGCATTCGTATTAGACCGCCCTCGCGGTCGCACCGGACTCGGCATCCCGATAACTTCTTTCCCGCCCGAAGTCTGCTTTGGGCATCCTCCCTCAGTCGGCAGCGATATATGGGAACTGGCCTGTTTATTCTGCGAGATTTTTTGTAGCAGGCCTCTTTTTCCCATGTACTTCCCAATCTTCGAGATGCTCATCGGACATATAGTCCACTCCGTGGGATTATTACCACGCAGCTGGCAAGGCCAGTTTGATGCGGTCAAGTATGGCTATATGGAGAGCGGCAAGTTGAAGAGCACATCCGAAGGCGCGCCGTCGTGGTTCGAAGAGAACCCTGGGGATGAAAGGGGCAACCTAAGAGACGTAGTGGCCGAGGCTGCCTCGAGGGTGGAGATCACGATTGAGCAGCAAGAGTTCATTGCGGCCTTGGTGCAAGAGATGATGGCTCGTGAGCCTGAAAAGCGGCCTCCAGCTCGTGATGTGCTACTTCGCATAGAGGCTGCTGCGCTTTTGTTTGATGGGGAAGTGGCTGAACGGATTGCGGACATCCCACGCAGCTCTGAGGATATAGACACGCCACCGCCACCGCCGCCGCCCCAAGAATACGGGGACTCTGAGTAACGAGATAGAGTCACTGCATTTAATCCCATAAATTCGCAAATTTGACTTCCTCGAAGACTTTTTTACATGCAGTCACGGTCTGGTGAACGCCCAGTGCAGATTCGTGAGGCCCTTGTCACGGCTCTGACAGACATAGGACCAATGGTTGGTCCAGGGAAGAATCGATTGTGGCCGGCTCTGCCTTCACATGGCAAATAAGCAGACAAAGAATCATTCAGGGTTACCAGGAATCACCAGAAGGGCGAGAATTCCCAATGATATTATTACGAGAGTTATCTATTACCAGGCAAAGCATTAGTAGTTGAAGCCAATTCCTGCCAGTGGGCGTCAATGTTTTGTTTGCAAGTATACGTACGCGGCTGGTCGGATTGAAGCTCACACAGACGAAAAGCCTGGCAATTCTAACATTGTGAATATCGTAGTAAAAGCATTTGCAAATGTGAGCGGGCTCCGGCAACCTTCAACCCCATGGCAATTTGCAAAGCAGCTGCTGATTGAAAGTGTTTACCACCAAGTTTGCTTCCCTTCTATCTTCGCAATTTGTAATATTTCATAGCCAACATACCTTTCTGGACCCCCCTCCCCTCTTAACTAGTCACTTAAGCTCACTATTTGTAAACTGGCGTCTCGCTCGAATATATGCAATCGCTGTGAGACGAAGTCGAGAAGTGTATGGAAGAGCATGGCGCACGGACGAAAAGCCTCCATCGGCGCCATGCATGCTTTTGACAGCTTCATGAAAGAAACACAGAGGTACAACGTCTTCAACGTATGTGCGTCAGGAAGAATCTATCCATGCATGCATCATGTTTACACACATTCCTCTCTTACTCTCCCATCATGTCGCCTCATCTCAACTACAGCATCCTTTTCAACGCAACTGCAACCGCTTTCCAATCGGGCGGCCCCCTACCCCATCCCCCAAAAGAATCATTGAAACCACATATTTACTCCAACCGAGCCTACCAGCCTCCCTTGAACACATCTCTCTGAAACTACCTTCACCAACGATTCACATCCCCTCAAAGGCGCCTAGATCGACACTCCTCACGCCCACCTCTTCCAAGACGAAGTCTACTACCCAAAACCTTCGGACTTCGACTCGCTGCGCTCTGCCTGCATGCGCAGCTCTTCCGAACCCCAGGTCCGTCGCCAGAGCCCCGTCACCGGCACTGGTGACCATAGGATGCACTTTGGCCACAGCCGCCATACATTTCCAGGGAGCTACATGGCTTGGCCCATCCGACATAAATGGAAGAAACGTTTACAGGCACCACGGAAATTCTCTGCGAAAGATCCGAATTTGAAATATTACATAATACAGACTAAGCTACAATGCCCTTGAATTCTGCCAACTAAACACTAATTAAAATTTGGGCTGGTCCAAGTGCTTATGGATCAAAGTACCAGGTCTGTCAGCATGCATTGTTGCGGGCGGTATCAGAGTATAGTAGTAAACAGAAGCAGCTTAGCCCAGTCGTAAGAGCGTGATTATTTCAAAGTACCTAATGTGGAGGCAAACACTCTAACAGACATGTAATCCTTAAATTTAATCACCATATCATCAATTTGCCATTGCAGCAAGGCTCTTCTACATGGATTCTTGACTGGTTGAAGCCCTTAGTGCTAGGAGGCACGTCCAGGGCCGGGTTCTTGGTGAAGAAGCCATCAGGCTTCAGCATTACGCTGATCCTCTCGGACGGCATTACAGGGAAGTCCTCGGGCCTCGGGTTGTGCGTCAGCCCAAATGTGTGCCAGAGCACAATGTCCGTGTCCTCCACATTGTCCCCCCAGGACGCCCACTCGGAGAGGCCCGTATACTTGCGGCTCTGGTTTGTGAACTCGCCGACCGTGCAGCTTATATGCGACGGGCTTGCGCAACACGTCGTTGATCTTGCCGTCGTTGCGGATCTTGAAGATACGGTTCTTCTCGACGCTGAGGTCGAGTCTTGTCTATTCAAAACAAAAAGTACATCATGAAAGTTCTGACGCGTATTAAGATATGGGGCACTGGTTTATCACTCATTTTTGCATTGGCTACGCCGGGCTTGGCGGAGTTCTTGCCCAAACACGACTATATCATTGACTCCCTCTTCTCGTAGCGAAAGTAGAAACAGCTCTACTTCAAGCAGCTACTGAACACGCCGTCCCAGCCCAATGCTTGGCACTTCTTCGGAACGTTGCGGCGAACATGTTGGGAGACAACATAGGTCAGATGAACCATTGTTCTTTTATTTTTATCAGCGCCGCCGCCGACCGCTCTGCTCTCCTGAGAACGAGGTTATTGGATGGAAAGGGCACACTGCGCGGGAAATGACTTGAGAGAAAATATTGACATTCTCCGTTCCGTAGGAACGAATCCTATGGAGCTCAGTCATCCACTGCACACGAGTCTAACTAATACCACGCCACGATGACTTCTCGACCCAACCCAACCAAAATCTCTTCACGAAGACTCGCTCTGCCTACCGCATGAGATTACCATCAGTCCTCTGTTCTTTGTTCAATGGTCCTGTATTCTTGGCCATTCTCGGTGCCCATGACATCTTGCCTAGAATGGCATAAGAGGAAGCGCCACCGGCAGCGGGTATATTGTTTGCAAGTTGATTCTTCATGGCGAAGCCGAGCGTCGCAAACTTTATTGCCTCCTTATAGGTGGCAGGCAGCCCATAATCGTCACTGAGGACCACCTCCACCCCATGCTTTGCCATCAGGTTGGTCAAACAAGCGAGCAGAGTCTTATTCTGTGTTCCGCCGCCGCTCGCGATGAGCTGCTTGACTGGCGACTTCTTGATGATTATGTCTACGACAGAGTTTCGAATCGTTTCCGCAGTGAAGGCGGTCAAGGTAGCGACGAGGTCCTCGGTCGACGATCCTTTGTTCTGTTCTAGAATGTCGTCGGCGAAGTCGGCGCCGAAGTCTAGCCGCCACGCAGAACGTGGAGGAGTCCTCCTGAAGAATGGATGGGTATGCAAACTCTCGAGGAGCTTTGTGAGAACTGTGCCTTTGGCGGCCAGCTCGCCGTCCTTGTCATAAAGTGCGCCTGTCCGTGCCTTGACCACATGGTCGATAATGACGTTCCCAGGACCGGTATCAAATGCCATCATCTGGCGACGATCCGCATCCGCTAGCTGCACATTGGCGATACCACCGATATTTAGCGTTGCGACAGGTGCAACGTCGCGAAATGCCACAAAGTCGAGATACTGCATCAATGGGGCAGCTGAGCCTCCTAGCGCGTGATCCACGGGCCTGAATTGTGTGACGGTTGTGACTTGCGTCAGGGCCGCAACGACTCCCGACTCGGCAATGAAGAGGCCACAGGGGAAGCCGCCCTCGGTCCAACGCTCGACAAGACCAGCTGTGCCATCTCGACTGTACTTGGCCATTAGGTCCTTGTCGGCAGGCTCCTGGTATATTGTCTGACCGTCATAACCAATCACCTCAACGTCTTCGGGTTTGAGCCCTGCTTTCTTTATCAAGGCGTTGGCAGCCTCTGCATATACAGCACCGGCGGCATAGTTCAAACGGCAAAGCTCGAAGATGGTCAGGGAATTGTTGAATGCAGAGAGTACCTGTTCCTGCAAGGCTTCCGGCCAGTCCACTGTTAGGGAATCGATATAGACTGGACGGGCAGGATGGCCATCGGGCGCAAAGTCGATTGTGCAGAGCACTGCATCAACTCCGTCAAAGGAGCTGCCGCTATTGAGCCCGATAATGTACGGCATCGTCCGCAGTTTCTCCTATCTGTGGGTAGGGTCAATTACTAAGAAGAGAAGAAGGCAAACTCTCGAGTATTCAAAGGGCCAATGTTGTCTTCAAGTTTGCTGAATGTTGCTCTCTGTCGAATTTGGGGACGATCGGTCACGACCACGACAAGATAATGTATGCAGCATGTGAGACAACTCCGCTTGCAAGTAGTTGACTTGTGGAGAACCGCCACTTGACAGCCTGGGGCCATCGGCGCGCCTCCGAGGAGTAATTCCCGATGGGATGTGGAGTCAAAGCAAGCTACAGTGGGGATCGAAAAGTCTTGCGACATCCACCTAAACGCGCCAATCCTCATTATGATCACCAAAGCAGCATTTATTACTAGCCTTGAGGGTGACCCCAGAATTGACACGCTCGCGACCAGTTGAAACTTGTTCCACTTGATGCAAACATGCTCTCTATCGCATTGATCGGTTTCGGAGGAATCGGGCGGTCTATTGCATCGACTATTGCTGAGAATCCCATCGAGGGCATCTCTATCGATGTCGTTTGCTGCAGGAGTACTCAGCAACAAGCAGCGCTCGACCTATGTCCAAAGGCCAAGCTCATAACACGATGGTCAGAATACCGCGGACCTGCGGTTGATATTGTGGTCGAAGCCGCTGGTCACAATGTTGTGGTCGATGACGGGCCTGCCATCCTTGCCGCGGGATCTGATCTGCTTCTGCTCTCTGTTGGCGCGCTCGCCGACAACCAACTTCACAATCGGATGCTCGAAGCTGCAAGGATCGGTAACAGTCGCATTATCATAGCAGCAGGAGCGCTAGCGGGATTCGACGGTCTTCACTCCTTGCGCCAATCTGGACTGAAGTCTGTACTCTACCGGTCTACGAAACCGCCGAAGGCTTGGAAGGGGACTCTTGCGGAGGAACTCATTGATCTTGACGCTGTGACTGGCCCAACAGTCTTTTTCCGTGGCGACGCTGCCAAGGCAGCTCTGCAGTTCCCACGCAATGCCAATCTAGCGGCAGCTGTCGCGCTTGCAGGCATTGGGTTTGATAAGACCCAGGTCGAACTGATCGCTGACTCAAATGTCAGCGGCAACTCGGGCGAGGTCGTCGCAATTGGTCAGGCCACAACGCTCAGGTTAGAGATGAGAGGTGAGGGATTTGCCAGTAACCCAAAGTCATCGCAAATCACGAGCATGAGCGTTGTGGCAGCCCTTGCAAGCCGCGTTGCCTCCCTGTCTTTCGCAAGCTGAGGGCCTGTCGGATGCTGTGTACCACAGTGCGTAGTCTTAATTTTGGCATGACTAGTACCTTGTTCACGCGGTTTGATTGGGGAATAGATGATCTTGCTATGAATTGGAACTCGTACTTTAACCAAAGCTTCCCATTTAACATACTGCCGAGAGATTGTATCCACCAACATTGCCTGGTGACGAATGCTCATGCCAGTTCGAGTCTTAATCTATAGTTCAAGTGAGATGGATTACTTGTTGTAGGGTAGTAATGTGGGGAAGCACGTATGCCATTCAACGATAACTGCACCCGGAACTGGCCGCATTAACGGGCCCATGTATATGAGAGTTGAGCCCGTGTACATTGAAAATACTGCATTCCTGCAATCATAGTAATAGACTGCGTGATAACTTATTGCGTGCGAATCAATCGGGGCCACTGTCGAGTCCATCCTTCTCTTTAGTTACCGTGCAGCCCACACCCGGCGTCCGACTACGGGCTCTGGCTCGCCATGTTCCATCGCAAATTCGCGCTGCTCTGCCTTTGTAGCGAGGTTGCGATAAGTTTCGCCGAGTGAAGAGTTCATTCTGATGTGGTAGTTCATCCCGAGGAATGTGAATGTATACCAATCTGCACGTACTGCTCGCTTCTTTGGTTTGCTTGCCCCCCTGTTGTCTTGTATAGAAACATTGTTACCACCGCCGTTACCACCACCACTGTTATCACCCTCCACAGAGGCACCAGAATTTGTTATCCCGTGCTCACCGCCTGCAAGGGATGTAATATCCAAGTCGTTAGTACTCCTTAGTGATATACCGCAAGGGTTACGGTTATTGCCTGTATAGATTGCGAAACTTGTTCAGCCATCCACTTGGTCAAACCTGGTACTATCAAACAGCTCATTGTTCCCACCTTGGCAGCAGTCACTAAAAGGGAGAAGCCTACACGTTACGGCTTTCTTCCCCTTATCTCCTTTGCTGTATATCGGGTTTGGATCTTCACTGTCACTTTTACACTGATTAAAAAGAGATATTCTAACGGGGCCTGTGTCTTCGCGGCGCACTCCACCTGGCCTCAGCCTCTCCATACGGTCGTTGTCGGGAGAGGTTGCGAGGGTGGAAACAGGTGGCTTCAGCTTCTCCATATGGTCGTTGTTGGGAGTGGTTGTGAGGACAGAAACAGGTCGGAGGAGCAGGAGCAGTAATGGAATAGGTGCGAGGAGCTGCATTTTGAGTCACGGCTTAGCAGCAATTGACTGTCAAGCTTAGTAGCGAGTAGGCTGCAATGCTGTGGTGAGCAGTGTGGGAACGATGACGCGCGCTTGGACACTAAGGAACCTGACATGGGCCGAGACCGACGGCTACATATGTGAAGTTTCAAGAAATTCTTTCGGGTCTTGAAGAAGGATCGTCAATAACATTTGATGTTAAATTGGTCCAAAGAATCTATTTGGGTTGGATGCCAAGGCAAATCATAGTCGACTTCAATATTTTTAGTTGCCCTTCACTCGTCCGTCGGGCTGTCCATCCTTGCGAAGACCATCGTTCTCAGTGGGCTTGTAATCATCGCCCGAGGCGCCGCCGCTGGCGCCCCCAGTAGTGCCACTACTTTTCCCACCTTGAGCACCAGCCTCATGCGGGTCAACCTTGCCCTGGGCAAATTCTTGTGATGATTAGATAAATCGTTGTTTCATGGGTGTGGTATGAACCTACGGCCAGTGCCGACACGCTTGTCAGGAGTACCGTCCTGCTTGAGGCCGTCGTTCTCTGTGACCTATATTAATACACATCAATGATGTGTTCGAGGTCCACCTACCGGTTGGTTTGTAGTCAGACATGTTGATGTTGGCGTTCTAGTTGGTAGTGAAAAGTGTAATTAAAGGTGCAAGATCACTCTGCTTAGGCGACTGTTTCGGGTTTCTGTTGAGTTATGATAAACAGGTTGCATGGTGAGAGCAGAGCTCTGGGTTTATATATACATTCTTGGGCACTGGAGTCCACCTTGGCAAGACCATCGCCTTGGCGGCCACTATGACAACCATGCACAGCAACAAGTGATGAATAGCATATGACATCGTGGTGATGCTTGTTCATCGAGTAATTTGACGTAGGAGGCTATTTGTTTCTGCCTAATGACATGATACAACCCGAGGTTCGTCTAGCTTGAGCAGCGCAAATGTCAAGACCCGTCCATCTACCGACGCGTGGTGACAAAGGTCGAATTTCCTCTAAGACACAAGTGCAAAGATGAGATCGGCTTTGGTCTCAAGACAAAAAGGCACAGTTATGAATCATGAAGCCTGAAAGAGAGCTAATCTAAGTCTCAGGTTGTAGCAGCTCGATGGTAGATCTGTGGAGACAACGGCGCTTGTACTCACCACAGAAGCTTTACTAGGGGTGAGACAAGAGTCCCTAAATGTCGGCTTGTGAGGAAAAAGAACTGTTCTGCATAATTGCAGCAGCTTGCACGTATTATCCTGCCGCTTCTGGTTTAGGTTGCATGCTGACAGCTTGACCGCATGGGCATACATTTCTGGCATTGGGATCCAAGAAAGCATTACCTATAAACAGAATCAGCTTCGACATCGAGAATAATTAACAACAGTCAGCTCGTCATTGCCGAGATCGACCAAAATCAATCAAGGACTGGTACAAGAAGGCGAGCTGAGCGAACACTACAGCCATAACCACGATCTCGGCCGCCAGCCCTCTGCGTCATATACATTTCAATAAGGATAGCTCCCCCGGGTTTTTGGGAAATGCCAAGTCGACACGAGGCTAATAAAAAGTTGGGGTAAGTACGGCTGCCCTTAGCCAAGTATTTTTAACATCGTCCATCAATAGCATATTCGTGAAGGGAACAGCTAACGGAGATTATGGTCCGTATGTGTCAAACTGTGAGATTAGTGGTGACGTCTTATTGCGGGCGTGGTCGACCTGCTGTCATACCAAACCCCATCTAACGTAGGGAAAAGGCGGCTCGGAATACCGGGAGGATTCCGGTTCTCGGGTCATGCAAGCGTGACTCTAAGTCCGACTTATGCAGGGACGCAAGCAGGGCCATTATGTTACGTACTCAGAGTAATTGTCTCACATGCAATCAATCATCCCAAAAAAGTTGCCAAAAACATTCGCTGCACTGCACGCTTTCTCTGCAACACCGTCTTTTTCGGACACATTTTCCATGGTCTCTCACCCAATATGGTCCACTTTTGGCATATATTATGAAAGGAAAAAATAAGGAAAAAAGGGCTTACTTTCGGAACAACTTTGGAATCAAGTAAAGCTATGTCGATAAAATCCAAAAAAAAGTTGCCGCCAAAAAAGGAAAAAAAAAATTGCGATGCAGTTCAAACAGGCCCACTTTATCTAGACCGATCGATTGCATATGACAGTATCGCCGGCCACGTTATGCCAGACTAAGAAGAAGAACCCCAGGCTAGAGTGAAGGCTCCTCGAATACCGCATATCGCCATGGTTGAAGTCTTAATGTCGACCAATACAATGAGATGATTCAAGTGGGCGCTGTTTCAAGGTTGAGGAATCATCGAGTATCGACATAGCCTCAGCCTACAGACCTTTGATGCCAGGGCTAACACATTCCCGCAGACAGCATAATGTATTACAAGACTACAGGACCTTTCCAACTGGGACGAGTGCGGATATAAACGCAGCCAAACTCTGCCGCCCTTCTCCAGCCTCTCCATCATTCTAAAGCACACCGTCACAATCCAATGTGTGCGAGTGCTTCTTGCGAGTTCTCTGAGACGATGTTCGGCGGGTGTTCTTTGGATCGACTGCCATTGCCGCGAGCCACTGGCCGTGCCGACCAGCAAATTGAACGCATTACGCATAGACGAGTTAGTCCCTGAGGTCACGCTGAGCCAGAAGAAAATTCTTCATCCCTTCCGTATGGCGTACAGGTAATTACAACCTGATCTCTACTTTTAAAGTACGGCGGCGACAAGACATTGTCTTCATACAACAGGCTAGTCAATTGTGATCAAAATGGATTGGATAATGGTGAAGATACTCCATTCCTCTAAGAAGATTCTATAGGCAAGTATTCTGAGTTTCATACATAGGCGTTTTCCCTAACATAATATGTTTCAAAGTCTTTCGCTAGGAACTGTATTTGTCAATTATGTCGCCAGGAAGCGTGCTGTACTGCGCAGAAGGGTACATTGGTCTGCTAGGCTGTGATGGTGTTAAGGGGAAGTTTCTGGTAGGGACTGGCCGTCTCCTAAGAACAGCCTATCTCCATGAGATGGACGCTATTTCCTTTGCTATCCTTCTTCATAGAAATGCAACGAAACGCGCATACCCTGGTTACGCAGCCACTCTAACCGCGCTGGTTGCCCTGAACCAAGTTCTCTTTTAGCAGGTTTTCGGTCTATCAGGCAAACGATGGGACCTTCCTCGATATTCACGGTCCTGCGAAGTGCCAGCCGTCTACTTGAGCGTCTTTGCAGTTGACTTTTGACGCTCGACGCTCGACGCCTGTCAGAACAAGGAGCGGTCGCCTCCCAACAGAAACATGCGGCCCACTTCCAAGAGTTACTAAATAAATGGGTCCCTATCGGGGCTCTTGTCGGACCCGAGCTTCCTTCGACGGGCTCAGGAGGTTCGAAACAGGATCTGGCCAACTGCCGTTCTCCACACGGAAGCAAGCGTGGGCCGTTTCGGCGCATGAATGCCACCTCAAGCTGCGCCGTTTTGTATCACGCCGGTCAATTGGTTTGACCGACGGAGGAGCGGACACTCTGTCCTGGATCATTGCGAAATCGCAAGCCAAGTCAGCCCACTATCGTTGGCGATCCACCTTTGACGCGTCTCGATATAGACATCATTGCCCAAGCTTGGAATGCCACGAGGTCTCTGGCGGATTTCGCAATCCTATTTCGAAACTCGTTCTTCGCGAACGTCTTTCTCGCTCTCTGATTGGCCACGAATTCTGTCATCTCTTGGTATTTTGCAACTCTGACCCCTGAGTATCCATCTACGCCGCTCCATTACCCGTGTAATGAACTCAATCTGCATGTGCAGTCCTTCGATCTAAATTTCCTGCGCATCCCAGACACTTATATACTATGGAGACATCAAGTCAAGAACGAGTTCGTCCGACGGAGGATCAGCCCCTGTCCGATCCGTCACAAGAGTTTCATTTTCGGCTCCTCATCGTACCTTCACCCTGACGACGTTTGACTTTGAAGCTCCGCGAGCCTGTTCTTAACCTTCACTGCACAACCACCTGAGCGCCTTCAGCTTCCAGTCTAAACAAAACGAGAGGAAAAGCTTCCTCACGGTCATATCTCACAGCCTGATCCACCTTCGTCTCATTTCCCAGTACCTTTGGCGACCTCATCATTGGCATAAACACCATGTCAAACAAGCCATTCAGCGTCCTCATCGCTGGCGGAGGCATAGCCGGCCTCACGCTGGCAAACATGCTGGAGAAAATTGGCGTCGACTACTTGATACTCGAGGGACATCGCGAGATGGCCCCTCAAGTCGGTGCGAGCATCGGAATCCTGCCGAACGGCTGCCGTGTTCTGGATCAGATCGGTCTTTACGACGAGATCAGAAAACTCATCGACGCGCCTCTTTTCGTCTCATCTCTTCGCTCACCTGAAGGCTCTCCGATCACTAGCTATCGCGGCATCGGAACTCAAGTGAATGAAAGGTAAGTTGGAGCGCATCTTATGTGTAAGCACGCTTCGGTTCAGATTGCTGACATGTCTCAAGGCACGGGTATGATACCGTCTTCGTGGACCGCCAAATGATTCTCGAGGCGTTGTGGCGTAACCTCAAGCATAAGAAGAACGTTCTCGTCAGCAAAAAGGTGACCAAAGTCGAGCTTGAGCCATCGCGAGTCAAGGTTGAGACGAGCGATGGAAGTTCTTACTACGGAGATATCCTGGTCGGCGCAGATGGTGTCCACAGCAAAGTTAGGAATGAGATGTGGCGGATCGCAGATACTCTTGAGCCCGGTTATATCCCTGCCTCAGAGCACAAAGGTGAGACTCTCCTCGAGGAATTTTGTGAGCATAGCCACTAAGAGTGAAATAGAATGTCTTCCTACAGTCTACAAGTGCATCTTCGGCATATCCATCGACAAGAGCTGGGAGCATCAGACCGTGCAGACGAACTTGAACAAGGGCTACTCCTACCTGGTCATCAGCGGACCTCAAGACCGCATCTACTGGTTCTTGTTTGTTAACATGGGCAAGACACACTACGGGCCTGAGCCCCCTAGCTTTACAAAAAAAGACGAAGAGGTATTAGTGAATGAGCACATGAACGACAAGATCCTGGAGAACCGCACGTTCAGAGATTTGTACTCCACAAAGATCTCATCCGTGCTGACCCCTCTCCCCGAGTACGTTTTCAAGAAGTGGCATTTCCAACGCATTATGACTATCGGGGATGCGGCACACAAGGCAAGTCATTCCCGATCATTTCATCCAACAACTCCCACCTCGGCTAACGAGACTACCTTCTAGTTCGAGCCGATTGCTGGTCAAGGAGGCAACAGCGCCATTGAAACTGCCGCTGTTCTTGTCTCTAACCTCGCAACCATGCTCAAGAGCAAGACGCGCCCGTCTGACATCACCGGAGCCGACATCAACGCCGTCTTCGCCAAGACTCAAGCAACGCGGGAGACACGAACCCAGACACTCGTCAAGGCATCCCACGAGGAGCAGCGCTTCGCAGCCATGGAGACCCCTCTCCTGGAGCTCGTCGGCAGGTACCTGTTGCCCCATTTGCCGATCGATGACAAGTGGGATCCGTGGTCCAACAACATCGAGGGCGGTCACAAGCTCGATATCTTTGATGTTCCGAAGCGCCCTCGTGCTGTTCCATTCCATGACGAGCTGGCCAGCACCCCCCTGACACCATCTTACTTCCCAAAGATCTCAGTCGCCATCTCATTGTGTGGTCTTCTCTACGTTGCGCAACAAGCGCTTGTCCCAGATGCAATTTCTCAGACCGGTTCATTCTTAGGCGAAATCGCGAAGGACAATTACACTGGATTCCCATCGATTGACAATCTTCTTTCCGTCCTGGTATGGGCATTTTCGGAGCAAGTCGCTGGTGCCGAACCCAACAAGAGAATCCAGTGCCTCTACTTTTTGATCAACTTGATCCCCATTATCTACATCTGGACGGTCGAAGGCTACCGGAACGGCAACATCAACTCGTTGGTATCCATACCCTCCCTCTTCGCCATCTACCAGCTCATTGGAATCGGAAAGATCGCGCCCTTGTACTTCCTCCTTAGCGTTTACACAACTAGGAGAAGCGTCTACGCGCGCACAACCGGTCGTCCCGTTCCTTCTCGTGCCGCCAAGGTCATTCTGCCGGCTCTTTGCCTCGGATACGTCGTCCCAACGGTTCTCATGTTCACGCCCCACGAGGACAGTATCACTCAGCAGAACGTCATCGCTTTCTGGCAACCTTCTCCTATCTATGTCTCCCTGCTCGCCTGGGTTGGCTCAAAGACCATGACTGCCCTGAGGCCGACCAAGCCCTTCAATTTGGAAATCTTTGAGAACTCGGACCTGTCTTATCTCCAGTCCGGCTACGCCTTCTGCTTCTTTGCCACCGCTATCACTCATATCTCCACATTTTTGTATGCCGGTCTCAGCCCCTCCGTGTCCATCTCGCAATCCTTCTTCGACCTTCCCGGGTTTGAGTCGATTGACATCACTGCGTTTTGGAAGTACGACATGGTGCTTTGCTTCAGCTCGGTGGCGGTCTGGCTTCTGTACAGTGTGTTCGAGTTGAGAAGATTCGGATACATCACAACCTCCACGGCATTCAAGGCCGTGGGGTTGACTCTTACTTCAGTGGTGCTTGTGGGACCGGGTGCGACATATGCGGGAGTCTGGGCCTGGAGAGAGTCTGTCATTGCGAGCTATGGCAAGGCGACGATCAAGTCGAAGAAAGAGTGAAACCGTCATCTCTTGCAAATGCAGCTGACGACTGATGGTCTTTGCTTGTCTGTGCGGTAGATTGCGTTTTGTCTTGATGGGTGATATGAATCTTTACTCTTGAGTTAGAAGATGGCTTGGCTTTGATACCTTGGATATTGTTGGACTGGGTAGAATCTTGGTTGTCAACGTATAAGTCCTCTACAATCTATGCAATGCTCGGTGTGTTGTCTCTCCTACACTCTAGTGGTGATATATCAACATTACGAGGATTAGAGGTTACCTAAATAAAGTACCTAGGTACTGCTCACAAATACATGTGGATGCCGACCGCTGCAGAACAAAATGTCCAGACACATCTTCAAATGCGATCATCAATCTATGATATTTCAGCCTATTTATAAGAACAGCTTCAATCACGATGGAATAGCCTAGTCATCTAGTCCTGCTTGGCGCCCACCTTACCAGCTCGACGCAAGCCAAACGTGCTTACAAAAGCGCATGACAACATGAGCGCAAACATGGTCCAAAAGCTCGCTCGATAGCCAGCCATGAGTTTCTCGGGAGACCCAGGCGCACCAGGCTGGCCCTTCGCTGTCAGCGCGGATACAACCTGCATGACAGTCAGGCCGAGTGAGCTGCCAAACTGTGCAGCGGTATTGAACACGGCCCCGGCCAGCGACTGCGTGTCCTCGGGGAAGACGTTGGAGACCACAATCAGTCCGATAGTAAAGAGCACGTCGCCACTCAGAGGCGTCAGGATCTGGGCGAAGAATGCGTTGTACCAGTATGGCCACTGTGGCTGGACGAGGGCCATGAGGAGAGGGGCTATGGCACACAAGACTGATGAGACAACGACGAGCCAGGCTGCGGAAACCTTGTCGACGATGAGCCCTGTGGAAAAATTCAATGCGACACCTACTATCAGACCTGGCAGTATTCTGATGGATGCTTGAAGAGCTGACAATTGCTGGACTTCTTGGAAACTGGATGTAGGCAGTCTATCAGTATGCCGATGTCTGGATGTGATCTGGGGAGAGGTCAAGGGCATAGCTTACAACAAACTACTGTATTGCTCCATCGAGTTTAAGACACCGAAAGATATAAGTATGGCCAAGCACACAGTGGAAAATGCCATGTTTCTCCAGATTTTATTTGGCATTAGGGCTGTCTTCCCGGCTTTGACGCGGTAGTGAACCCAAGTCAGAAATGCCGGCAGAGCCGCAGTAGCAACAGAAAGTAGGACGATGGTTTCAGTGTCATGGATTCTATCAACATCGGTGCTTAGGATTCTGCGATCTTGTAAGCTTGTCTCCAGTACTCAGACGACAATGGCGGCAGGAATTGCTCAGGACTTACGCCAACAAATAAGACAAGCAGGCTAAGAACGCCGACGCGATACCTGCACCGACCCAATCTACCTTGGTGGCCAGTTGAGTCATAATGCCTTGGGCGTGCCGCTTATTCTTGGGCAGGACTCGTAGCCCAACGACAAACAGCAGCAGCATCGCACCACCGTCAATGAACCAGCCCGCACGCCAACCGATGGTATCAACTAGAATACCACCAGTAACAAGTCCGAGCGAGAACCCGAGCGGTTGACTGAGGCCTATACAGGAGAAGGCAACGTTCCTGCTTCGGCCCTGCGGCAGGTTACCAGCCACGATGGCCACGGAAGACGACAGGTGTAGGCTCATAGCGACCCCCTGAATGACTCTTAGCACGATGAACTGCACCCCTGTCCGCGCGAAGCCGCTCCCGAGTATGCTGGCTGCGAGCGCGAAGCAGCCCGACAAGTCCACAGCCCGAGTGCCCAGGATGTCGGCAACTGAACCGGCCAGTAGGAGGGTAGACGCTACAGCGAGCCCGTACACGGATACCGGCCAGAAGAAGAGTTCCTCGGGCAGCCTGAGGTCGGCAGCGATGCGGGGGAGGCCGACTGTGATGTTCCCGTTGATGATGGAGCTCAGCAGGTTTACTCCTGCAAGCTGGGCGGTGAGAACGACGGGGTGAAGAGTAGGTGGTTTCGGCTGAACTGCAGGAGCACCGTCGGATTGGCGGGCGAAGAGGGAGGCTGAGATGTCGTCGTCGATAGCGCGGACACTGCGCAAAGCGATGGCATCTTGGTGTTCTTCTGTGATAGTGATTGAGGTAGTCATCTTGTCCAATGCCCGTCCGATATTTGATCTGGAAGTTCAATTGGGTCCTGCGAAACTGGTGGTGTTTGCATTCGAGGTTGGCGCGTGGTTGGTTAGAATTCTGACTACAAAGAGACGAATCCGGTCGATGCGTACGTAGGTGAGTCATGCGTATCCCCTCTCAACGCTACTACATCTGAGGTTAGTTCTGAAGATAGAATATCCGTGTTAAAAGAGAGGATTGATCTTGACTCAGAGACGAGCAAGCTTCTCGGCCCCTTTCGGCTTGGGCTCTCCACCTGACCAATTCCAAAAGACCGGGGCTCCGAGATGCCGGAGCCCCGAGAGGCCGGAGCTCGGCGCGGAACGGCTCGGTGCACGACTGCAAGCTTCATATTTATGTAAATTCAATGTTTTCATTGATTTTTAAAATCGAGACCAATATCATTAATGGATAAAAATTAAGCAAAATCATTGTATCCATGATGATAATTGTTATTAGCGTAATTGTCCTTTGCATTTTCATGAAAGTGCACCGATAGTACAGAATCAACCTCGAGAATTGGCTCACGTTAACGCAGCCTCATCCGCTGATGAGCATAACGGCAGTTGCAGTGGCATATCTGAGTTGCCTGATGCCAAGTATTTCCTTAGTCCTGGGGCAATAGGGTGAAGATACAAAGTGTCAAAGAAGAGCTCATCGGTAATGCTTTGTTTACCAACAAGGTATCTCGATGGAACAATTGCTCCAAGAACAAGCCATTACTACAAACAATGCAATGCATTGTGAAATAAACCGACCCAGAGGCTGTGACAGCAATATTTAGTACGATACATATTCTCAACTTCGAATATCAGCCTCGCGTTTTCTGTAGTTCTTCGCAAACAACCACTACTACAGTCTATTGTCATTTGAGAAAGAAATCATACTAACAGAACTTCTCTCTCAAAAGACGAGCTTTCAGCCTATCCAAAACACCAGCAAGCATGGCTCGTATTTCTCAGTCCACTTCGGTCTCCCGCACTCGTGAGAATTCCACAACCTCTTTCGAGGCAACTCCCTTCAGTGGAAGCCCCGGTGAGGTGGGAGTCGAGTTGGTCGAGATGAGCCCCCCTGCGAAGGAGCGCAGGGCCACAATAGAGGCACACCAGCCCGCCAAGAGCATGTGCTTCCTTAAGGAGGATTGCAAATGGTGCAGCCACGACAATGATGTGCGGTCCAAGCAGACAGGGAATCACCCTAGCGACGCTGTCGTTGCCTTGCGGCAGTGCCTGGCCGTCCTGGAGCGTGACCGCCGTGCTGCCGAGGAGAGACGTGTTGGATTCCTCGCTCTTATGGCGCGCTTTTTGTCTCGATGTGATGGAATTGTTTAGACCTTTGTGCATACATTGCTGTTTTTGTTTCGGTATCGCATTGCTCAACACTCGTTGGGGGTGAATAAGTAATTAAATTGTATTTGGTCGTTTCATAGTTTCTGAGTATTAAACCTCTATTTCTTCTCTAATATTCTTTTTAAGACCTGTGATATTTCGAGTTGTGAAATATCAATATTTTTAACTTTCTAGGGAGCAAAAACTCGAGCCAAAGATGAGGATCATTACTTTACACATTCAGCCAGATTTGAATAGGCCAGAGCTCAAGTGTAAGTTTTCGCGCGAAATTGCGATTGGATTTGTCCTTATTGATAGCTGAACAATGCTCTCGAAGTCTGGATGTGGTCTCCTTTGCGAACTCTAGCATGGTGCTCGGGCTCTTGTACCCCATGGCTGTCGAACTTTGGGTCCTTATCGGAGATTAGTCCTAACAAATAACTCCCAAATCTTATGTAGTGTGAAGCAGGCGGTCCAGCTTTCAGCGTTTAGGACCGGGGAGTGCGGCACACCGGCATGTTTGCATCCACACAGCCGCCGGGGCCGCATAAGCACCAAGACCTTTTGGCCGAGAAAGGTTGTGATTCGCAGGGTCAGTTTTCGTGTCGCTCAGCTGGGCAGCGGGCGATACCTGAAATATGTAAGAATGCAGCGAATTGCGGGTCACTACTCCACCGGGTTCTGGCCACGACTACCAAGGCGGAAGAGACTATTGGGACGCGGCCTGCAATGCAGATCGGTGTCACAGCCTTCTATGTACATTACCGGGCCTCCGCCCCGATAGAATAGCAGCGGAGCCTTTTTACACTTGATCCGCAGCCACTCGCTCACGGACGCCTCTTTTTCACACGCAAACAACTTGCCACGTTGGACAGCGAAGCACAATTACCCCTCCAGATCAGGCTGCGCCGATGACTTCAGCCAGAACGCCAAAACCCCGGTCTAATTCTTTCTCACCTCAAATCCTCACATATATCCTTTCCTCTTGCTGAGACTACGATCGTTCCACTTGCTTGGCCAGTGTTTTCACTGTATAAGAAAATGAGCTTCGGATTCGGCGTGGGTGATTTTATTGCGGTTTTTGACAAGGCAAAGAAATACCGAGACCGCTTCAAAGATGCTCCTAAACACCTAAAGTCTCTTGATCGCGAGTGAGTCGAACAAACAGCACACTTATTCTTGTCAGAGGCTGACCAGGCATCGACAGGATCACATCCCTCTACGCAGTCCTCGAGGGTATCGATCTCATTAAGGAGGAACTCAAGGACTACGAATATGAAAGTCTGAAAGCTCCGGCAAATGAATGCTCTAAGCTCCTGGACGAAATTGAGACAGTCTTCAAAGCCAACGGACATTCCGACCAACATCCGAATCCCAGTTGGCGCAAACGCATCACACTCAACCCTGAAGAAGTGCAGCAACTTCGTTTGCGCATTGCGCTGAACGTGCAGTTTCTGAATGTAATAAACCAATTCAAAGATAGGTCAGTGCACATGCTGAATTCTCGGGGACCTCTTCCTAAACAGCGCATACCATTTTGCTGACAACACTGTGTTGCAGTCAAGTCATACTCGACACCAACAGACATGTCAAGTCTATGCACGACGAGCAGAAGAGTCAACAGGAACGACAGATCCTTGAATGGCTCGACCGCAACAACTATGAGCCCCAGTACCAAGGTCACCTGTCACAAAGGCAAGGAAACTCTGGCAAGTGGTTTTTGGAATCTTCAGGTTTCCACGATTGGATTTCTGAAAAGGGCCAAGGTCTTCTGTGTCACGGCATACCGGGTTCTGGCAAGACTGTCATGTGTTCGATTGTGATAGACCACCTATCTTGCCAGTTTCCAAGCGACGAAAGCACCGCGATAGCGTACATTTTCTGCAACGCTCAGAATCAGGAAGAAGGAACGTTCCATCGCTATGTTTCGAATTTGACCAAACAGCTAGCCAAACAGATGGCGCAGAGTCGATTTCCTGACAGCCTGAAGGCTCTATATGAGAAGCACCAAAACAACCACAGCTCCCCACAGAAAGGCGAAATAGAGAAACTACTATTCGAGCTTGCTGCTGCGTGCACTCGACGGCTATTCATCATCATCGACGCTCTAGATGAATGTAGTGCCGACGTGCAGCTAGACTTGATTGCACTTGTCTCAGAGTTACAACAGAAATCGAGTGCTAATATACTATTGACTACACGGCCAATACCCGAAATTTCATGCAACGCAAAACTTGCTCAATGTCGGCCTTTAGAGATCCGGGCTCCAGAGGATGACATCCGAGAATTTGTTCAAAGCCGCATGAAACTCATGCACAAGCGTGTCCAGGGCAATCCTGCGCTTAAGGAAGAGATCAAGGACGTCATTCTGAGACGTGCCGACGGCATGTGAGTGCATCCCCCCCCCCCCCAAAAAAAAGTTGTTTTCTTTGTGGACTAAGTAGCCTAGGTTCCTGTTGGCTAAGCTTATGATCGATTGCGTAATGGCCGAACGCATGCCAACTCAAATTCGCAGGACCTTGAAATCCGCACCTCGGAATTATTCCGATTATTATCAAAAAACCTGGGACAGGATCAAATGTCAGAATAGATGCGATGCAGATCTTGGTACCAAGGTCATCTCGTGGGTTGTGTGCGCCAAAAGACCTCTTAGAGTGGCAGAACTCCAGCATGCGCTTGCTGTCGAAGATGAGCCGCAAATTGACGAGCAGAGTCTCTATTCACAGGAGGAAATTCTTTCTGTCTGCCTCGGATTGGTGCGCATAGATGCAGAATCCATTCTCCGCCTGGTACATCAAACTGCTGTGGAGTATTTCGAAGACGAGAAGGACAAGGACGGATTTTTTCCTGGCGCGAATGTTGAAATGGCGACCGTCTGCGTACGATACCTCGCCTTCGATCGGACTCAACAATGGGCTGCACAATGCAACTACAAGATAAACGAAGAACCACAGGATCCGGAATATCCTTTCTGCCATTATGCAGCATTACACTGGGGCGATCACGCTCGCGACGCTCAACAGCTTCCACAGAGCATTCAGCAGTTTTTTGACGATCGGGCTGCCCTTGAGATGTCCTGGAAGATTTGGAACAGGAGATCTCTAGTGAAAGTTCCGTGCAAGAGGGCTCATATAGCCGCATGGTTCGGCATAGCAAGCGTCTTCAAGAGCAACCTTTTGCGTGACGAAGAGATAATCGCCTGCGAAGGTGAACCTCCACGAATGCCCCTTAATTTCGCCGTCCGTGGTGGACATTTGCAACTTGTCGAGCTACTCCTGGAATTCAAGCCTATACTATCTCATCTGAGAATGCCTGATGATTCTCAAGCAGAACTTTGTAGTTCGCAAAGCCCGACACTTCATTCCAGATTTCGGTCTGCGATTGTTGACGCTGTTGAGTTTGGCCCTGGGGCAATGGTCGATGTGCTCATTAAGTTCTGTGCTCGAGAAAGAATTCAGGCAGAGTTACCGAACAGCGAAACCGGGGGCCTACTACACCGAGCCATACGTAAAGACTCATCAATCTACAAAGCTCTTTTTGGCCAACACAACACCTCGGAGGGATTCACCAAAGCAACTATATCAGAAATTGGTCTTCAGCTCGAGGCGAAGCTATATCAGGAAACACCCCTAATGGCAGCAGTCGTTTATGAGAACCCTACTGCCGTTGACCTCCTTCTGGGTGTTGGAGCGAGTATAGAGGCCTGCGGGACTTCAGGAGACAGCGCCTTGCGCCAGGCCGTCATGCGTGGGAATTTTGAGGTGTTCATCAAACTACTTGATCATGGGGCTAACATGGATGTTGAAGCCAAGGAAAAACCACTCATCTCTCTTGCTGCACAATTTTCACACAACGTGGATATCATACGTTACCTGATCGACAGTTTGCATCAGAACCCAAATGAAAGGCATGAAAATAAATTGCCGATTGAGTATGCATTGTCAAGCTTAGAGAGGTACTACGGAGATCAGCGACGTGACGAGGAGCGCATCAAGGGACAGGAAGAAGTCGTGAAGGTGCTTCTGCAACGTCTCGACATCGACGATCCCCAGCATATTTACCGCACTGTCCTAACAATGGCAGCCGAACATGGGAGATCGGATCTCGTTAAGGTGCTTCTGGAAACTCTCGACATCGAAGATCCCCAGGATCTCTACCGTACTGTCCTAAGACTGGCAGCCAAACATGGGAGTTCGGATCTCGTAGACTTCATGGCGAGTAAAAAGGACTTTGACAAGGACAGCAGGGATGACTGGATGTGCACTTTGTTGAAAGAGGCACAGTGTGATAGCAACTTTCGGATGTGTAAAGCTCTTCTGGATGGCGGCGCTGTTCTAGGACAGGAGATAGAAAAGGAGATAGAAACATTTCCATCGGGACTAAAGCGGGTTCAAATCGTGGGACGGTGGTACTATTGGAAACGGAGGTAGCGACTTGGCAGTAGTTTGTAATTCGGGCAGCTTTTGTGCCTTGCAAACATCAACAAGACTTTGAAAAGCAATGTTTCGATCGTATAGCACATCATTTGAATTATCTTGAGCAGTCATTTATTGCTGGTAAATCGGATCGCAGTGGTTTTGCCATAACGGCCTAACCGGTTGTCGGGTTCGGATACGTTCTGTGAAACGGAGGTGGTATAACGCGTATCAAGAGTACAAGTGAGTACGCAATGAATATGGGCCAACATGTTTGCATCATGACTAGGCATCGCCAATTCAACTAGTCATCCCGATATGATCAGCTTATGTGTACAAGAGCCCACGCGATTCTGAATTCTCCCGTGAGCGTGGTCGTGTGGAACCGCGTTGTTATGGAACAGATCTGGCGACAACACCAACTTAAACTAACGCTAGCTCTCATGTCAAAATAAAGTGATTCGCTAAGGAGAGCGACTCAGTAGTATTGTCGTCCTAGTAGTTTCCCTCGCCTCAGACTCTGGCCAGCGGCGACGAACATAGGAGAGAGCACCAACGAGATCGAGCATGACGGCTATATTGGACATCGATGAAAGACTCGCGCCCTGAATCGCTATTTAAGATTGTTCAGCTATTCTTTGATCCTGCTCGCATACTGGGTGACAATACCCACTGAGGCCCTATATATTCTTCAACCTAATTGTAAATAATGTTGATGATTATTGAGATAGCTGATGAATTGAAGAGGTTCTTTTAATAATGTTCAATTTGGCGATATGCTTAGTTGGGGGTATGTATATATGGGTGCGTCAACTTCCTGGTCGCTTGGTGTCAGGCTTCAGGAGGGGGCCAGGGAGAGTCATTGAAATAGAATTGAGTTTCTTAGCAGCTTCTGTACTAAATCCGTCCATCCGAGGTCTCTGACTACAAATCTACATGTCCCTGTGATATCTCTTGCTGTGCAATATGTATAAATATATATAAAGACGCTCCTTTCCGCGATTTCCGCGATTGTTCTGTGGGCGGCTGAGACGTCTAATGTCACCTAGGTAGTATCAAAACGAAGCTGCATCAAAACGGAGCTGTAGAGTCCACCACTCAATCTGCTTGGATATAGAGAAAGCATTTGTATAGCATAATTCGCTAAGAGAACATGAGACGCTATTGAGTTGGTCATACACCAAAATTACAGAATAGAGGCTTATCCCAGACATAAGCCACCGTACACCTCGAGTTGCCCATTGTTTTGATAGGCTGGTTTGATCACCAGTCATTACCCTCTCATTAAGTCGTAATTAGCCGTCGCGTTTCCAACCCATCATCTACATGCCTAGAAATTATAGTACCGCGGCTCGTTGAAGACATGATACCTATGTCCGCGTACACCTTTGCCCTTGAATAGGGCAGGGAATCTCTTCGACTCCTCGATCTCCGCCTCTTTTATCCTCCTGTCTCTCTTGTCCTCTTCGGCAGCGAAGAACCCGCCTTTCTCCTCTTCTGTCTTTGGCACCACGAACTTTCCGACCTGCAGCTCCGTATCGGTGATGGTACTACGGCTCACTCGCGCGTAGCCTGTCCGCTTCAGTCCTTTATAAAGGATGTACTCGCACCATCGATCCCAGTCCGTTGGGTCGATGTCATGCATACCACTGACGTCGGAGACGTAGGTGTTGTAGTTGCCCTCGCCGGGCTTGGTGACGAGATATGAAAGCAATATGGACGGCCGATCAGTTGAGCCCATGAGTTTGGACAGGTACTCAGTCTGCAGCCGTCTGTCCTCGGGGTCCTCTTCTTGACCGGAGTGGAAGACGAAAACGTCTACTAGTGTGCCGTAGGCGTCCAGTGTCGCGTGGATCGCGGGCGCGAGTTCGCCTACCGGGCTCGGCAAGAGATGATGCGTCGAATTGACGATTGGGAACTTGGAAAGCAGCGCGGCCCCCCATGTGTGCTTGTTGGGGCCTGGGCCGTAGTCGACGTACATGCCGAGATCCTCGGCGAGGTACTGAGTTGTGTCGCGGTTGCCCATGATGATACGCTGAAGGTCGCTCTCCAACAGGCCGATGACGTCGATTTCCAATTCTTTAATCAGGTTGCGCATGCGTACTTCAGAACTCCACATGTCGTTGTCGAGAGAGAAGTGGATGGTCCAGATGCCCGCGGTGATGAGGTTCGCGTCGCCGTGGTAGGGCTTGTAGTCGTTTGTGGGGAAGCGGAGGAAGGCTGAGCCCAGGAAGAGTAGGTTCAAGACACCGAGAATTGACAGATGATATCTTCGGTGCGGCTTTGGAGACGTGGAATTCCTGACAGGCCGCTTCCCAGCCTTCTTGGATGAATTGATTCTGTTGATGTCCAAGAAGCCGGCGCCGATCAGCAGGAACGTGGTGAGCATGACCCAGTCGGTATGCTCGCGGACTAGTGGGCCACCGGGCACGAAGGCGTAGGCAACAACCCAGACGTGGAAGAGCACTAGGAAGTTGTAGAAAAAGAAGCCCAGACCGAAGGTGACGGCAGGGTTCTTCTTGGCTGCGTTAGTGATCAGAGGGTGGGAGATGGCCATCAAGAAGGTGGCGGTGATGAGGGCACCGAGGTAGCCAAACCAGTGGCTGGAGTAGGTCAGGATCGTGGCGCCGACACAGCCAAAGGCATAGAAGGCGTAGGTATTGACCACCTGTGGGCGGAAAAGACCGAGGAGAAGGCCGCCAGTCATTGCCCAGATGGTGTACCAGGCCGAGGTGTTGGCGGTAGGACCACGAATGGGATAGCCATCCCAGACCCAGAGGATCATTGTGCTGCTGTCGGAGAGGAGGGAATGTAGGCCAAACATCAGGCCACCGAAGCTGAGTGCCGAGAGCAGGGCCGAGCCGTCCTTTCTCGAGCCATTGTCCCCACCGCTGAGGACTCCACGCCGGGTGAACCTCAGAGCAGCAGGGACAGCAAGGAACAGAGCCGTATAGTTCCAGCCCCCGTTTGCACCATGCATGATAGGCCAGATAGGGTTGTTTGTCTGCCACATGAACTTGGCAATGCTGGAGACGAGCAGGCCAGCCATCCAAGCCATGATTCTAGACTCGAGCCGGCCCTCGTGGGCAGAGTCGGCGTAGAAGGTGGCAGACCAAGCCAGGCACTGCATCCAGACCGCAAAGCCGACGGTGCTGAGGCGGCCCACAGGACCGGGGACCAGGAAGGCCAGCAGGCCAGTGAGAGACAGCAGGTGGACGATGCGCAGGTTCCGGACAACCAGCGCCCTGAGGGGGGCTATGGACAGCAGGAAGGGCGAGATGGTAGACATGACGAAAGCCTCGTAGCCGGAGATGCCCATGTACCAGAGCGGGAAGTACCAGACGAGGACCCCGAGGCTGGTGAGGATTGACCAGAAGACGAAGCCATGGTAGACGTCTGCCACAATGTCGAGGGCGGCGTTGGTGCCGAAGGGCAAGGTGGAGACGCCAGCGGTGGCCTTTTCCTTCTCCTTTTCAAGCACAGCTGAGGACACAGACGAGGAGTTGGCACTAGAAGAGAAACACGACATTTAGAACCGTCTCGGTCACCGGGATGCGTATCATTGTATTCCGCAGTGTGTGCGTGTACGCTGGAGTGTACAGCAACAGGGCGGGGTTCGCTGGTACTTGCTCCCTCTTTTTCTTAGAAGATCTATTTGGGAAGCCATTGGACATACCCCTTGCTGACTCCTTTGACGTCCCTGATAACTACCTCGAAGGAGTCGAAGTCGAGGGCGGTGACTGCGTCGAATGCGACGTCGAGGAGGACGAGGGACCACTCGAAGAACGCGTAGGTCGTGTAAGCTGTTGGGCGCATGTCAGTCTTTATTCTCTTCCTCGTGTCTAGTCCACCTTCGTTCGGTTTCGTCCCTTGCTTGTTTCTCTAGAGTCTGAACGTACCTCCTGGCACTCGGTGTACCTTGTGCTGAATGAAGAAGTATATGAGGGGGATGATGCTGCCGTAGAATGCGCCCGACACGTATTTCCTGTACTTGATCGCAGTTGGGTTGGGCGGGCTGAGGGCAATGCAGCCAAAGGTCCAGGGTATGGTGGCCAGCAGGTAGGAGATCATGAAGACATCGTGCCAGTCATGGTCGTCGGTGGAGGTGACATAGGTCCAGCCGCCGCAGGTGAGGGTTCGGAAGACGCCCCAGAAGGCGACGAAGGCGGGGAGCTTGTGGGCGGGTCTGCGCGAGAGGAGGTACCAAAAGCCCACGAGGGCGAATCTCGGACCTGCCGGAACAAGTCAGTCTTGGGTATTTTGGATTGATTTTTGGGGCTGTCTGGGTGGTTTTGGAGCGAGATTTCGGGGAGACTGACCAGAAGTCAATGCGATAAACAGCTGGAAGAAGGATCGCTCGGGATATCGGTCGCCTATTGTGGCGGACACGGAGGGGAACCATTCCTGGGGATATCCGAACCATTCGTTCTGGACAATCTTGTGGTAGTGGAGCGAGGTGCCGACGACCAATGCGCTGACAAAAGCAGCTGTAGAAGTAAGTCAGTCAGTCAGCCAGTCAACTTGTCGCGTGGACTCGTGATAGCTACGAGGGTAGGGACAAGAACATACAATATGCGAGGATGGTGTGCAGGTAGCTGACCCAGACTCCACTGAAGGAGAAGAGCTGCCCGTCATCCTTGTCTTTGTACCTAGACGCCGCCATCGTGGAGGGGAACACGGCACCGATCGATCAGAGGGGCATCAGAAGGGCAATTGAAGACACGAGAGACGGGGAGGAGGAGGAGAAGAAGGAGGAAGACAGCTTCAGGTTGAGGTGAAGAAGAATTTGGAAGGCTGGTTTGGATTATTTTGGGAGGGGGAGAGGGAAGGGGAATTGCGGCACAGGATTGATCAGATCAGATCACGGAATGTCTGTCTGGTCAGTCACAGTCAACAAGGGGAGTTACACGGTAGATACATGGATACATTGTTACATGGCACAGTACTACACTACGCTAGGGAAGGTCAAGGTAGACGGGCACGACGGGTATCTCTTGTAACGGGCAGTAAGCTGGGCTGATCCGATCGATCCTCTCCAACTTGCTGTGACAGGGCGCGTCTTTCGGTTTGCTCGGGCTGTTTTTGTCTCACAGCTCTCCGCCCAAGCAAAAGCAGCCCCAGCAGCCAGCCCCAGCAGCAGCAGCAGCCCAGCAGCCCCAGCCTCGGCAGGCCTTGGTACGTCACATCTCCAGCCTGCCGCCAAGTACGTACCCATCAGTTCCTGAGCTTCCTACTGGGCAAGCACTGGCAAGGTGCAAAAAAGAGCAGATCCTCCCCTCCTACGGGCCATTAGCGCCCTCTAGCCCAGGCACCACCCTAGTTCATCGCAGGCCCCACCAGCCTGCCCCACTAAAAAGTTTACAACGCCCATCCTCGACTTTGACTTTTCAACACCAAAAACCACCACAGCCTTGCGATCGTCAACCACAGCTCCAATCCCACTGCCAATTCCGATTACCACCCAAAAGTGAAGACAGCACAACAGTTCACTTCTCCCACGAGATAATCACCACTGTTACCATCGCCACACACCACATCCACTGGCCTCCATCCCACAACCTCCACCAAGATGGCCAACGTCGCCGAAAAGGCGCGCTTCCACCTCGAGCGCGCCGTCCCCCAGCTGCGCGAGTTTGAGGAAAAAGAAATCTTCACCAAGGACGAGATCCGCACCCTCGTCTCCAAGCGCACCGAATTCGAGCACCTCGTCCTCGGGCCCGGCTGCAAGCCACACCACTTCCAGTCCTACGTCGCCTGGGAGCTGTCCCTCGACAAGCTGCGCGCCAAGCGGTGCCTGCGCAAGAGGATCAAGCACTCCACGTCCCACGCCAGCAACGCCCGCGTCTTCAACATCTACGAGCGCGCCGTCTTCCGCCACCCGGGCAGCCTCGAGCTGTGGGCCGACTACCTGGACTACGCCGCGCGCGCCAAGGCCACCAAGAGGTGGAGGAAGATCATGACCCGCGCCCTGAGGATGCACCCCGTCAACCCGGGCCTGTGGGCCAGGGCCGGGAGGCGGGCCGCGGGCGACGGCGACATGGAGGGCGCGCGCGGCATGTTCATGCGCGGGTGCCGCTTCTGCAACTCCACCGCCGACCTGTGGCTGGAGTACGCCCGCGTCGAGATGGAGTGGCTGGCCAAGATGGAGCGGAAGAAGGGCGGGAGGAAAGGCCTTGAGGGCGCACGTGCCGAGGAGACGGTTGAGGATGGTGATGTCCTGCGGCTTGGCGACGATGACTCGGAGGAGGACGAGTTCGCCGACACCGAGATCCTGCCCGACCCGATGGCGGACGAGAACAGCAAGAAGGCCAAGGAGGCGCGGAAGGTCTTCTCGGACGAGGCGATCCGGAAGCTGGAAAAGAGTCCCGCACTGCAGGGTGCCATACCCAAGGCCGTCTTTGACGTCGCCAGGAAACAGCCCTTCTTCAACGCACCCGCTGCCGAGGCATTCTTCGACATGTTCGCTACCTTTACAACCGTCTCGGTCCAGGCTGCCATCATCCAGCACGTCCTGGATGCCATGGTCGAGGACTACCCAAGACACCCGGCCACCTGTGGCTGTCTTGTCCGGCAGCCGTTGATTGGTGTCGATGTCACCACAGTCGAGTTCCCCAGGGCGCTGCGCGAGGTTCTGGCAAGACTCAAGACACAAACAGAGAATACGGAGGACAAGGGCAAGCTGGCGGCCAAGACTGTGGCTTGGATCGATCCCATCCTCAGCAGGACCGAACTGGACGAGAATGTCCGTACAGTGCTGGAACATACTAAGCGCAAGTTGGAAAACCCCTGAACCCGGGGGGTCTATGTACGTAGTAGAAGAGATACCCTCGCCTAGATACCTAGGTACTTGTTATCGTCATCATCTCAGACTCCACGGAGCAATCCAGATTTGATTATATCATAAGAGATTATCCCGGATCAGGTTATCCCACATGCGCTGTTCTACTAGAGGTTTTCTTACGAGAAGGGTGTCCTGCTTGGGGTTGTTCTCTTCTTCCTTGGGCGCTGTGGTGGTGCCAAGCCATTCTCTCCGACAGCTCATTACAACACGCCTCTCACTCCCCGTCCTGGGCCCTTTCCTTGGCCACGCCCACCAGGTACTCCCACTCCTGGGCGCTCACGCGGCTGACGCTCAGGCGCGACTGCTTGAGCATCTGCATCCCCTCCAGCGGCTTACCCTGTGCGCCCATCTCGCGCAGCTCCTTGAGGCCGATGGGCGCGGCGAACTTGGATCGGAACTCGACGTGCACGACGCTCCACTTGGGGTCGCCGGGCTTGGACTTGGGGTCGTAGTAGGGGCATTTGGGGTCGTGGGCGGTGACTGGAGGGTATTTGTTAGCTGAGGTACTGACATGACGGGCTGTGTTATATGCTGGATGCTCACGATCTGGGGAGTGCTCTCGCACGACTTCCATCGTCCCTACGATGCCGGGCTCCTTGCAGTTGGAGTGGTAGAAGAAGGCGAGGTCGCCCTTCTTCATGGCGCGGAGGTTATTGCGAGCTGTGGGGCCAATGTGCTGACTGTTAGCAATGTTTCAAGAGGAGGGCCTTTTCCCTGCTTCAAATTGATGAGGGATGTTCATACCAACAAAGTTCCTGATACCTATGCCATGAATAATTTTGTCAGTCGTGATCTGCGACAGCATCAACCTGTGATGCCGAACCCTGAGAGAGAAGAACATACCATCCCACGGCTCAGGCTCGCTCTTGGCAGCCAGGTCGTCGATCGAGAACCTGACGTCCACGCCGTTCTCGAGCCGCGACTCGGGCTCGGCCTTCATCAGCCAGTACTGCCTGCCTGATGCTTCCTCTCCATTTGACTTTGCCTCTGCCTCTGCTGCTGTCGACTTGGCCGTTGTGGACTTGGCCGACGCCTGCTTGACCTTGACGCCATCGGCTTTGCCCGTCTTCTTTGCAGCCGGTGTAGGCTGGTGGCCGCTCTCGCCCTCATTCTCCTTCACTTTGGCCTCGTCTGACTTGGCCTCGGACGTTCCCTTCTTCGCCGTGGCTGGCTGCTTGGCAGTCTTTGCCTTGCCTTGCCCGCCCGCGGAGCTGGCTGTGGCCTCACGCGCTGCCGCCGTTGACGTTCTTTGACGCGTGGACCGGCGCGGCACGTCCTCCACCACGCCGTCTGCCTGACTAGACTTCCTCTTCGGCGGCATTATTTTGTTTTCTCGACAATTTCCCAAATGGGGACACCAGTTAGATGTTAGGGAGCGGGAGACACAAGAGGCATTAGCGCCAGCCCCAGCGTGAGCGGCAGTGGCACCCGCAAAGAGCGCTAGGCGATAAATGAGCGATTGTGTAACCTCCTGCTGCTGCAACCTTAATTGACCCAAGGCGGCTCCCATCTCGACCTGCCACCTGGTCGCCAAGCTTGGCTTGCGCGCTGCCAACAACAACAAAAACAACAACAACAGCTTCCGTAGAGGCTGTAGAGGGCCCCATGAACCAGCTGCTTGTAATGCTTAATCCTCTCGGAACCGGGCTTCCAATTTGAGCTTGGCGCATGCAGCTACATCTGATATCGAATCGTCGTTGGTCATTGAATGATCTCACAACTGCGCCAAGACTATAGCACAATAAGCCACATGGGCACTTGGATATTCAGGGCTGAGCCTCAGTCAGCCTTACACATTCCCCTCATGGACCTCCCTAAGAGCTCCCCGGCATTCAGCAATATGTAGATTGCAAGGGATAGGCCCTTTTGACTGACACAAAACCGACAAACCCATGATGTACAGATTGACCCAGTCTGCCCTACGATTTCCAGCTTCATCATGAACTTGTCGGCCTCGACCACCACCGAGGCTAGGAGAGTCTACTGCGTCTACCCAGTCAGCGGCAACTACACAAGCTTCCAGCGCAGCCTCTTCTACCTGACCACGGCGTTCGCCCTGTTCGGCCACGCGCACGAGTGGCTGACAGCAGGCGCCCTGGCGTTCGCCGTGTCCTACTCATCCACCGCAGCCGTCCACGGGATAGCCCTGGCCCTCCAGCGCGAGCCCCAGTACGACGGGGACATCGACGCCGTCGGCTGCATCGTCCCGTGGGCCACGTACGCGTCCTTCGCCTGCGCGCTCTTCTGCCCGCGCCTCCTCGGCAGGAACCTGGCCCCGCTCGTCCACAGCTGGACCTGCCTGCTCGTCGCGTGCAACCTGGCGCTGGCCTTCAACAGCACGAGGCTGTACTCGAAGACGGCCGCCTCGCTCGTCCTGTCCCGCCGGGGCGGGGACGGCGCGTGGTCCGACCCCTGTGCCGGGATGGAACTGCGCACGCTCTTCCGCGGCTATCCTGGCGATTCGATGAGCTCGGTGGTCTGGGGCAGCGTCAACGTCACCGATGTGTCGTTGGCACAGCCGGCTGGTGCTGACGGCGGCATTGTCCGTGTGCCAGATGTTGTTCGGCTTGCGGACTTGGTCTGGCTCATCGTTCTACAGTCTTTGAGGAATTGTCTCATGGTTGCGCCATCGATCCGGATACTAGCTGCGGACCGTCGGGCTTCCAGAAACGATGTCTTTGTGCGTTTGCTTGCAAAGCGAGTGCTCTACCCGCCATCGGCATGGAAGGGGCCAAAGATGTTTCCAGCGATTGTGATCGTACGGTTCCTGCAGCTTTACTGGTTCTTGCTCGAGTGCCTCCCCTTCCTTTCCGTCGTCGACGTCCCGATACGGATCGCTGCGCATACGCTGTCCTGGTACTTTCGAATGCGGGAGGTGAGGCTTCAAGACCTGTCGTTTCTGGAACCCCAGCTATCTCCAAGGAGATACCAGGCTGCCAAGCTCATCGCCATGGCCGTGTACACCCTGACCACGCTGGGCTACGTGACATGGCTACCTGTAGTTGCGTCCTTCGCCAGGAGCGGAGCCGGGCGCCTCCCGGATATCCCAGAGTCCGAGACCTTCCGGGCAGTTGGGCAGTGGTCACCCTGGCTCGCCCTGGGCCTGGCAGTGGTCACGGCACTCGCTAGCCGCCTGCTGCGGAGGTGGGATACCGAAGGCGAGTCGGGTCAAGACCACATGAAATCGATGGATTCATGGATGCAGCACCATCGGTTCAGGCTCGTCTATACTGAGATACGGAATTGGCTTGCTGCTGAGTGGGGGGAGGCGACAGAGTGGTGGAGGCATCCGGAGAAGGAAGCAATCGCTTCTCTGAGGGCCGCGGAGCAGGACGATGATAGTGACGACAGGTTCACCAGCAGAATGATCCAAGCACTAGAAGCATTTAGCACAGATCGGGATGGCTTTATTCTCCCTCTGTCTGTGCCTAGGCAGCCGAATGAGCAGCTTCGAGGACAAGACGGCCAGCCTCTTTATAGCATCAATGTAGAGCCGATCACTCTGAGAAATATAGCAAGGAAGGTCAAGGAGAAAAAGAGATAAGCTTAGATATCGAAGAATGGTATTGAGTATCCCACTTGGGACTTCTGACGGCACGTTTATGCAAGACTGCACTGTATTCCAGCAGGCGTTCTGGAATTCTGACCTTTTGGTAGGAAACAGTCCGTGGTTATAGTGCAGCGGTCATGGCGCTGTCTCATGGCTGCATCCCTGTGAATTATATGCACGTGAGTTCACATTGGGAAGTTGTATGGAAGAAGTAATTCACCTTCCACAAATTTCGTAAGCGAGGTAGCTTGTATTGTATCTTAGTTGGCATGACATGTGCTGGCACACTATCGGGCGCCTTGCTTCACCCATGATGGCCAAGATCCCTGCTGGTTCCCGCAAGGGACGGGATTTTGGCTCGAGAATGTCGCCGCCCGGGGTGTCTAAGTGGCGTGTGGCTGCAGACCAAGGGGGCGTGTATGTTCTCGGCAGGTGGCACGACAGTGAAAACCATTCCCAGTCTAATTCTTCATGCCGACGTGTTACATGCTGTGATATCACCGCCTGGCCTGACGGGCCCCTGCTGGCTGACAATTGGAATTGGCTTGTACATTTGCGATGCCGTGCTGTGACGGTCGCGAGTTGACAATCAGTTGGGCATGGTATAATTTGCTGGCAGTTGAGTGAGGGCCCGTGAGACATGTGCCAGAATCAACTGTTCTCCATCCTCAGCAGGTTGAGAGCCAGCTGGAAATGGAAATGGAAATGGAACCAGAGCTAGAAGCTGGACCAGAACTGGAGCCAGAAACCTTGGACCGCAGGCCGTGGGGCCCGGTCGAGCGACACGGATCTGCATCAATGGCCGATGATTCGTTTCAGCCCGACTTGTCGCCCGGTGGATTGCCAGGTAGCGTCGCCTCTGGCGATCCTTGACTTTGGGATGAGGTCGTCCGTCGAACAGATGCTTTTCTGAGGTAGTGAAACAGCTGGTCACGCTCGCTCTGTTCTGCTCAGTTGCAGATAGGCTCAAGGCAACGACTAGGAAGGACGGACGAGGCCATGGGGAGAAGAAGGGAAGCGGTCTGAGAGCTAGCCTGGCTCATTAAAGCCGCGGTTTATGTGCCAAGAAGATGCTAGGGAAAAGCTGCCAACCTGCGAATATGCACCGCTTTGCAGAGGGTGCGTGAGTGGGTGTGATCACTGTCGTGGGTGCGGTGCGGTGAAGAGATCTCGAGACAGACCAGGGTGGAGGATGAACTGGATATGCATGGATGGACATCACAGGCCAGGTTGACGTGCAGCACATTTCAGTGTCTGGCCATAATAACCGCAGTACAGGTTCAAAAAGACGGCATTACTCGGTGAAGCCTTGGTGAGTCTCGTCAAGGCCATTCTCGGAGAAGTCGGCATGTTTGAGAGACCCATTCATTGATCGAGTTTGATGGTGTAAAAAAAAAAGACCCGTGGGGTCCGTCAAGCCACGATCCCAGGAGCGGGGACGGAGGAGACTGATGGGTTGGGAGTGAGTGACTTTGGGGGGAGGGGAGGGGGGGGTTTAGTAAAATTGAGCGTTGGTGCAGCCACAACAAACAGCATGGAGATGATCGTAGGACACGACAGATGTGTCATTGGATTACACGGAAAACAAGAAAATCAAGATGTGCCATCCCAGTGGCAGCCAACTCATCAGCAATGAACAATGAATAAGAGAGTGGGCTGCCACTGGGAAGGGGGCAAAATGGAGATGACGAACTCTGTTGACCGAGGGGGGGATGCTTCAGCTTTGAGGGGCGGGCCGAAACAGCCCAACAGATGACGGTGACAGATGACACAGGATAGGGGGGAGACAATTACAATCAATGTGTTTCGAGGAAAATCATTAATGAGTAGGTGAATGAATGTAATAAAGAAAGGAAAATGAGAGAGTGGGAGTACACACTCTCTCGTTCATTTTTGGGGGGGCAACAGAAGGAGAGACGGCAGAATGAAGGCACACACCCAGCACACCCAGCACAGCACAGCACATGGCACATGGGTGGTGCTGCTGGCTGCTGGCTGCTGGCTGCTGCTCGTGCTGCTAGCTCCAATGTACCGGATACTTCCCCTCGAGACACATAAACCGGCCCAACTGCCCACTTTCTCCCCTCGTCTCTCATTCATTTCGCCTCTTTCCCTCTTTTCATCGTTTTCTGTCTTCTCTTTTCGCTGTCTGCCCTCCTGTGACGCCCTCGTTGCTGTTCTGTTGCTGTTTGTTGGCACACCTGCGATGTTCCCCGATTCAATTGACACACCCGCTCTAGCAGAACCCTTCAGCCCTGTGGCGACTGGGGGGGAGAAGAGCAGCAGATCCCGATGGATCAGACTTATTTGACCAGATGACGGCAACGGCAGCAGTTCTCGAAATTCTTGTCATGATCCTCGTGGAGGAATGACAAATTTCGCCATACACGTCCTCAAACTCTGGCCCAAGGGGAGGCAAGGAAAAATATGAAAGTGCTGGGTTGGCAGCACAAACTGCAACGCTCACCTCTCTCTGTCTGGGGCTGGAATGGAAGCGTGGGGAGAATGACATGGGCAGCCCCAGCCAAACCAAACCAGACCAGATCAGACAGCCCAGCCCAGCCCAGTCAGTCATGGGCAGACAGACACAGCAGCATGACAGCAAAACGACGGACCAAAAGAATGACAGACAGACAGCATGGCGGGGACCACCCAGAAAAGCCGTTTCAAGCAGCCAAAATTACCTCGGGCATGACCTAAACTCCACCGACGCCTTGGCCAAGCTCCCGCACTCGATAAAGTGCCGTTGGGAAGATGAAAGGAGATGACAAGAGAACGGGTGGGATTTCCTGCGTCTCCCTCTGTCTCTCTTGCTCGTTCACTCTCTTTCTCTCACTCCCTCTCTGTTTCTTCAGTTTGTTTCCATCTTTCTGTTCTGGTGTTTTTCTCACAACCGGATTTACGACGATGTTGGCCCGCCCGTCTCCATCCAGACCTTTGCAGGGTTCTCAGACCAGGCATCAATTACTACATAGCCAGCACAGCACACAACAGCATCAACAGCAGACCAACCCGCATCGCCACCTGCATATCACACACCCGGACAGCCCAGGCCGACCCCATGCATGCGACACACGGCTTGGCGCTGCTGGCGTATGCCGGTGAACCTTGCATACCCTTACCGGCAGGCTGCACTACCGTGGTATGGTAGTGGGAGTACGAGTACACATTGACAGACCCGAGCCTGTCTATCTCCCGGTCTGCCTCACGACATTTCAGACCTGGTTCATTTTCAGAGGAGGGGCGCCTTTAAGCAGATATGAATCGGATGAAACTACGGCAGCAGACTGGCGGCAGATTGACAGCGGCAGGCTGGCACGAATTCCAGGAAAGGATCCATCACGTCCTCACAAAGAATGCCTGATTCGAGCCATTTGACCCAATCCGTCTTACATCCAAGTCTGGGCGAGCAACAATTTGAACACCATACCAAACCACCACTGGCTTTGACTTCCAACGCATATGGCTCAAGGAGAAATCTCTCGGGCTCTGGGTCGACAGCACTGCCGGATTTCCAACAACGCCCCAAGCTATTTGGCAGTCCAGGCTGGCAATCAGGTCATAAATGCTGGACATGAGCCGGTACTGCTTTCGGGACACTGACCTGGGGGACACCATCGCCGCGGATCACCATCACCCTTCCGTCTGCGCATCCGGCTTTCATTTCCTGACGCGGCAGATTTCCGAGGATGGAGATGCATGGAGTGGCTACCGCTCGACTTCAACAGTCGAGCGGCCGCAATCCTGCCTTGGGTGATTCCCGTCTGGACGTCGCCCGCAGCCACAGCAACAATTGTCACGGTATCCTACAAGTCCAGGATGATGGGATTCCCGGAGTGCAAGCAGCCTCGATGGGAGAGACACGGATGAATTCTCCCTGGGACCCGCGTCTCGAAACACGACGTCAACTCTATAGGAATATGGGCCGACACGAAGAGTCAGTCAGTAGATCTGAATGGGTAGGTATGGTCGGTTGTTCTCCTTTGTCGTTATCTGTTTGCACCAACCCATCATCGTTACTATTTCCAGCATTGCTACGAGAGGGCCTCACCTATGCCTCTGTCGACGAAAACTGTCAAATGAAGCCATCCAAGGCCGGCACGTTGGCAGTGCACACACCAGTGCACACACTAGGTGCAAGTGCAGGTGCAGTTGCAGTTGCAGTTGCAGTCAGGCGGATTGGCTCGGCACAAGAACAACGTGGGACCTGCCGATCCCGGGGCAGGGGGTCAGACCACCTCTGATTGGCCGTTGCCGGAACTGGACTAGCCCCGACACGCTAGTCTTCTTTTGGCAACGGGCAGGGGGTACCAGCAGCTGAGCAGCAGGCAGAGCAGGCAGAGCAGGCAGAGAGGAGAAAAAACGAGGTGGCAGGGGCGAGTGGGGGGTTCTTCCCGAGGCAGGAAGAGCGAGGCGAGGCGAGAAAGGGCGAGCTGCGCGAGGGCAGGAGCAGGACTCGGCTGTCTCTCTGTCTGACCGTTCTGACCGTCTTGTTTCCAGTCCCAGTTCCAGTCCGTCCACCCGCCCCGTTTTACCTAGTCTACCCTCGTCTGTTCCCTGTCCCCCAGTCAAAAGTCAGAGAGGCACAGAGGAGAAAGACTGACGCTGACACTGCCACTGACATTGACCCTGCACAATCAATCACACACTCGACACACGCACCTGCAACTTGCAGCTGGCTGGGCACTGACTGAACTCTGAAAGGGTCATTCACCCACTCAATCGCCCTGCTTGCTTTGCTTGATTGCTCGCTCGCCCCTCTCACACTTGTTGCTCTGCCTGTCTGTCCGTCCATTCACTCATTTCGCTCGCTCGCCCACGCTCTCAATCACCCACACACACACCCACTCCCCCCCAGTACGCTTCACCGTACACCCGCGCAACACACGGTTCGTTCGTTCGGCCATCACGAACCGAATCGAGGGCCACCCTCGAATCATCATCAACCACCACCAGCCCAGCCCAGCCCACTGTGCTTGGTGTTGTTAGCTACCTTTCGGTACGTATGTGTATGACCAGACCATGCCAGACCAGACCAGGCCATGCCCAAGCCTGGTCTATCTTCTGTCTGACCCCCTTTCACACTTTCTGCCCTGCTGCCACGTTTGCTTGCCCCTGGCCTGTCTCTCTGTCTGGGCTCCTCCCTCTGCACTGCACATCCAAACCCTCTGTAACTCCCAATCCATCCCGATCCTGACCTGGGGTGATTTTCCCTCCGATGGATCCCACCCTGCCTTTGATGCCCTAGCCGACACGCGATTGCTGAGACCTGACCCAAGCTGCTGGTGTTGAATGCTATTGATTGATTGATCGATTGATTGATTGACATCAGCTGCTTGCTCCTATCGCTCGCAACCACCATCAGTCTGCTCTACCACTACTATCCCAATCTATACATTACACATGACAATTGTTAGCACTGTCCTCTCTTATTCAAACCCAGGGCAGTTTTCTCCTGTCTGCTTTGACTGTCCTGTCCTGTCCTGTCCCGTTCCCTGATGCACTGAGTTGTCTGTCTTGCTTATCTAGTGTTGAAATCCATTGGATTACGACAGCCTCGGTCACCCCCGTTCTATCTTGTTCTATCCCTTCTTGTTTTTCTCAATAATTGTTGTTGATTCTGTCTTCACTTCTTGTCTTGCTCAGGATCCTCTTGTTGTGCTCTTTATCACCTTGATAATTGTGTGAACATTGTCACATCGCTTCAACTGTTCCCTGTTTTTTTGCCTGTTTTTCCCCCCTAACAAATTATTCTATTTACACCACATCACCACCAACTTTGACCACCCTCTCACCACACTCCCCCTGCCAACATAGCCTCAGCACGGGACAACTGCCGTCTTATTTGCACGAGGCCAGCACCATACTATCCCACACGCTCCAATCACCCTGCTGTGCGCCCCCTGCCACTCTGCTGAGAGGCCAGAGGCCAGAGACACAGAGACAGAGAGAGAGAGAGAGCAGGCAAGCAACACTCGCTCAGCTCAGCCCAGCACACAATCAGTCCCGTCTCGCCCTCCAATGACCTGACTCTCCCTCCTGTAACCTAAGCACACCTCCCCCCCCAACATCCCCAGCCTAAGCCTCTCCCAGCTGCCAATCTCTAAACACCCCCGTCTCTCTGTTCTGTCGCAAGGCCACTCACTGTCCGCCGTCCGTCCGTCCTTCCTACTGCCCCCTTCCCAAAATCCCCCCCATCGCATCACACACTCGGCAATCGATCCAGATCGCGACCTGACGCGCCTCTGCTACCCTTCTCCATCGCCAAACACGTCGCCGTCGCACATCCTTTCTGTTCTTATACCATTTTCCATCTCCATGGCTCCTTGCCATTGCCTTTTGATGATTGGCTGTTTCTAATTTCTCGTGCTCCCCCCTCCCCACAGGCCTTTCGCTTCGCCCAAGCCTCGAAGCTCGCATCGCACATCTCGCATCGAGCATTTCGCGCGCATCAACCACCCTGCGGAAAAAAACAATAGGCGATCAACCAGATGGCCGTTGCGACCCTCGACACCACCATCGCATCCCGCCAGCTTCAACATCAACATCAGCTCCGTCAGCCTCGCAGTCGCCCTCTCTCGCGTCGCTTTCGCTCCTCCTCCTCCACCTCCTCTTCCTCCGAATAACCTCCTCCACCCGTCCCAGCCATGTCCGCCTGGGGCATGAACGAGGCCGCTGTCCCCAATCACAATGGCAACAACGGCTTCGACCCAAATGCCCAAGCAGCCGCCTCTGGCATGATGGATCCCTCAAATTTCATGGCCAACTCGGGCGCGGGCCCCTTCAACCCCGCCCAGTTCGCGCAGGCACAGGCCCAGATGATGGCCATGCAGCAGAACGGCCAGATGCGCAACGCGTCGCCCTCCTTTCCGAACCCCATGTACCAGACCAACCCCGTAATCCCATCTAAGCGACCGAGACCACGAGAGGACAGCATCGCGGGTTCGCCGCGACCCAATCCCGGCATGCTGCCCACCTCGCGCGCCGACACCCCTCAGCAGTCCCAGTTTCCAAATTACCAACAAGGCGGCCCACAGGGCGGCATGCCACAGCCCAACTCTGGTCAGCCCTCGCCCTACCCTCACCTGCAGACTAACGGCTCTGCGAACGCGACGCCATCGCCCATCATGGGCAGCAACCAGATGAGGCCCGGCAGCGTGCCCCAGAGGGTCGCCACCACGTCGCCTCACCCTTTCTCGCCCGCCGCCCAGCAGTTCGCGCCCCAGGCCTCTCCGATACCATCTGAACAGGGCGGCACCCCGCAGCCGAACCCGTACATGCAGCAGGGGAACTTTCCGCCGGGCTTCAATCCCAACTACGGCAACGCGAGCCCCTCGCCCGCACGGCCCCCCTCGAACCCGAACGCGATGCCCAACCAGATGATGCCGCAACAAATGGGCCAGATGCAGCCCGGCATGATGCAACAACCCGGGCAGATGGGCATGGGACAGATGGGTCAGGGACAGATGGGTCAGATGCAGCAGATGGCGCAGATGCAGGGCCAGATGGGCCAGATGGGCCAGATGCCAAACCAGATGTTTGCGCAGGGCATGCCGCAGGGAAGGAACCCGGCGGAACAGCAGCAGATGATGGTCGCCCACATGCAGAAGATTCAGATGCAAAGGCAGCAGCAAATGGCCCAGATGCAAGGTCAGATGCAAGGCCAGATGCAAGGCCAGATGCAAGGCCAGATGCCTGGACAGAACATGGCGCAACGGAACATGATGGCGAGACAGCAAATGCCTAACGGCCAGGTGCCCTCCAACATGAACCCAGCCGCCGCCATGAGGCCCCAGCAGCCCGGTATGGGCGCGCCGCAACAGGGGCCAAGGGGCCATTCAAGCCCAGATACCTTCATGAAACAGCTCTCGATGTTTATGGCGCAGAAGCAGATGCCGCTCAACACGAACCCCGTCATTGGCGACAGGCCCATTCACCTTATGCAGCTGTTCCAGGCCGTTAATAAAGCCGGCGGCTTCAACAGTGTGACTGGGCGCAACCTCTGGCCGCAGATCTGCATGGGGATGGGCCTCAATCCCGGCCAGATGCCCATGGCCCCGCAGCAGCTCAGGATGGTTTACGAACAGAATCTCAGGCCATTCGAGGAGACGTGGCGGTCTAGACAACCGCAGCAGCAGCAGCAGGCGCAGCAGCAGGCGCAACACCAGCAGCAGCAACAACATCAGCAGCAACACCAACCGCATCAGCAGCAGCAGCATGGCGGGCCAAACACGCCCATGGCAGCCGGCAACAAGCAGATGTCGCCAGGCCAGGTACCACCTAACATGATGCAGCCAGGTCAGCACGCCGCCATGCAGCAAGCCCAGATGCAGTCGCCCATGAAGCAGATGCCTCCTGGTGCAGCGCAAGCAAGCGTCAATGGTTTCCAGACACCTCAACCGCCCCAGCCGCCCCAGCCGAACTCCGCACAGGGCCATTCGCGAAATGCCATGTCTAAGAGCCATCAAGCGACTCCTGTGCACGACGAGTTCCCTGCCCCCTCCCCGGCCAGCAAACATGGCAGCATGTCGTTGCCAAGCAGCGCTCACCCCGACGGCCCTGGCGCGTCCGCAGAGCCAGCAAACATGCCCTTCCCTGCGCCCCTTACCAAGGAACCCGACGAGTACATCCCCTGCTCTCGGGTACCGGAACCCAAAACATATGGCGGTGTTGAGCTGGACGTGACGGCGAGGCTGGGCATGGAATACCAGTACTTCAAACCTGACGTCCCACCGCCTGCTCACCTAGGCAATATCGACCTGCATGCTTTAACCAAGAGCTTGCAATGCGGCATCCATGCCGAGGTGCGCCTGGCTCTGGACACCTTAGCCACCGTAACGAGCCCGCAAGGCCCAGCAGTGGGCGGCCCCAACATGGAGATCGATCTAACGAGGTGCGAGGAGCTCTTGGAAAGCTTGGTCGAGTGTGCCGAGGAACAAGTCGAGGTGCTTGTCGAGAACACCGAGGAACTATCAGACGAGATCTTGATAAGCCCGTACGAAGATGTGTCGAGAGCCTGTCGTCTGGAGAACATGGCCATTCGCAAGCTCCATCCGGTAGGGACGAATGAGTACGAGCTCGAGCGCGCCGTCGACCGGCTCTTGTGCATTACCACGATCCTTCGCAACCTTTCGTTCTTCCCGCCAAACCATGCCATCCTGGCCGACGACCTGCTCGTCAAGCTTCTCTGCGACGTCATCCGTTACCTTGGCACCCGCAACATGCTCCTGAGGACACAGGCCGACACCCTGGACTTCTTCAAAGACGTCGTCATCCTGCTCTCCAATATTGCTCACGCGTTGGAAATTCAGGGCCGGGAGCAGGCCGAGAGTCTGCTGCAGTTCATCCTGGCCTTTGCGCCGACGCCTGCGCCGCACTTATCCGATGCTGGCAAGCTGCAATTCGCACCATTCGAGCCCGTCTTGCACCCGTACCTGCCGCACGCCATCGATGCCCTGGCCAAGCTCTTTGCCCGAGATGAGCCGAACAGGACGTATTATAAAAGTATCTTCGCCGCCGATGCCTCGAACACTCCACCTTCTGAACTCATCACGCGCACCTTTGCTCTTGCCATCTCAGCCATCCCAGACCAACATCGCGACGCTCGTGCGACCGGCTTGCCTTCCCTGGTCGAGGCCCGCAAGCCGATCCTCATGCAAGGACTCCTCGCCGGCAACATCGTGGCTTCGCTGGCGCCGGACTACGACACTTGTGTAACGAAGACGTGGCTGTCATCTGGCAATGGGTTCGCGCAGAACCTGTTCCGCCTGGTCAGGGAATTGTCGGCGGAGTTCGAGCAGCCCAGGATTAAGCCGCCCGGACAGCCTCGAGCTCAACCGAAGAAGGACCCTGACCTGCTGTACATTGCTGTGTTGGGTACCTCCATGCTTCGGCAGCTTGCCCAGAAGGCGCGTGACCCCAATGACCCGGAGAGCATACCGCCGAACGTCGTTCCGAGGACGGACAAGATCCTCAAGGCACTTGAGATGCGTAGTCCCGAATTCTCCAAGGATGGCTGGCTTCAACATGTCGTTGCACTAGGATCGCTGCAGATATAGAACACCGCGTATCGGTGGTGAGAGGCATAAAGAGTTTTAATGAAGTTCAGCGAGGCGAAGGCATAGAATTTCAAGCAAGCATTGGTGATTGAGGCGCAGGTGGTGTCACGGAAAAGGGGTCATAGCAGAGCAGGCCAGACCATGTCCAGCAGGATAAAGGGGGGTATAGGAGGATAAGGAAACTGGCGTCAGTGTCGGAGCTCTGATGCTGTCACGGGTGGGTTGGGACGGCGAGGAACAGGCGAACGGAACGGTAGCATCGGATAGAGACTTGTCCGTTTGTAGTATGTATGTGTAGTGATTTGACATTCATTTCACACGGTGCTAAGAATGGAATCTTGCACGGGATCATCATCTCGAGGCACGCACAACACAAGTTTCTCTCTGTCCCATGTGCAGCCTACGCCCGGTGTCCACCGCCCTTCTGGCTCGGATCCGGTACTGGTATATAGTCTACGTGTGACCGCGACTGTCTGCGGCTGCTAGTGTTAGTGCTACTACTTGCTAGAAGGGGAGCCTGTGCCGTAGTGCTTGCACCGTGAAGTCCACACAACTAACTCGACACCAGACGGAGCGGAAAGAGATTCGTGAAGCAAGACGGACTATCACGTCCAGGCGAGAAATGACCCAATCGCCCCCCGGGATCATCGCGAGCCTATTGAAGATGTTCGCAGTTCGGGGCCTGATCTTTCTGTCTAGCCGGTTCTGTCCGGTTAGCAGAATGTTGATACGGTTTTGTTTCTTTGGTTTCCTATCGGTGCTTGGTGTGGGCTTTGGTGCGCATTGCTCTGGCTTGAGACATAGATCGAGACAACTATAGTACTTTGTGTAGGTTGGTAGGCGCCCCTCCGGAATACTTGACCCCGAGAGAAGTGGTTGATCCAGATGTGTATAGGGCCATGGTGTACCTTTTCTGCTGATATAGCCCTAGGCATTGTATGGGCTTGGCTGGCTGGAGACTTAGACAAGGCTTGGACCCCTCTTTGTGATGGAGTGGATCGGGGAGAACTCGCACGTATGAGGTGATTCGGATATTTGATGAAGAGCCTGCGGAATCTGAATTAATTTGTTGGCAGCTGTACATTCTGTGAGAACCATACTGGGCCAGAGGCTTGCTCCGAAGTTCTGCAAATCTTCCCCTTCGGGTTCTCCGTTGCTGGACGAGACGTGCCACAACATGTCACAAGCTACCCGCACCACTCATAGAGTCTCTTCCTTTTTCTACTTCGCAGCCCACTGCTAAGCATGCGTACACCCTCTTTCAAAAGCGACTGGGGCTGAGCTTTCATGCTGAATCACTATTCGATGCCGGGTAGCCAACTTGCACGTGCATCGCATCTTTGCCACTGTAATCTTCGTCACACCCGATTCCCCAAGCTTTGAGCCCCCTCATAAGAATTTAGACAGTTCTGGGTGCCCTTCTCCCAGCCGTTCCTTCGCCTCTCCCGACAAGGCATCTTCAGAGCTGCTCTCATCTTGAAGATTAAACCACCGCAAGTTCACCCCGCCACTTGAGGCAAGACAACATTTCAACCGCTTGTCATAATATCGCATCGTTCGAGAGGATTCATCATGGTCCAACAACATAGGATGATAATGTGGTTGTCTGGCGAATCACCGGAAGACCGTTCTTGGAAAAGCCTCCTAAGGCTTTTCCGTCTGCAAGAGCATCGAAAACCGGCGACACCAGCGACATCAGATTTGGACTTCGTCTGTGACGCATGCAACTCTGTTGACTGGCTCAAACTCACGGAGCGGTCGCGCACCTATCAATCGATCTCGCTGGATCACCCGCTTCCCATCACATCACTCGAACTCCGAGCATCACCTTGCAAAGTCTGCCATTTCCTGTCATTCATCACAAAGGTTGATAAACGGAAGTCTCAACTCACTGCCCTTCAATACCCATGGTACAAATACACCCACTTGCAAATTTCAGGTGGCGCCAGCAGATTGTTCATAAACAACCCCTCCCGGGAATGGTATGTCTCAACTCCCGGTGTGATGGCCATTCGCAGTGAAGATGGAGTCCAAGCCAAGTTGCAGATTCTTCCCAGTATCGATTTCAGGTGTTATGAAGCTTTGACAGATTTGCTGAGAACCTGCGCGGAAAACCACCACCAGACTTGCAATATCATGTCTGAGTATTCCGACGGCACCACTCCAAATTCATATTCGTTTAACATGCCTGGACTCAGAGTGATCCACGTGTCGTCCCGGAAAGTTATCGCAGCCCCAGCCCACTGCCAATACCTTGCTCTGTCTTACGTTTGGGGTAAATGTCAGCACTCAGAGGACCTGAGAACCCCTCCTCCAGTGGTTGAGGACACCCTTTCCGTTGCAGCCCATTTAGGGCTCCAATACGTGTGGGTGGACAAATATGCAAGTACAAACAAGTGACAGAACGCAGTCATTGCGGTATTTTCGGCACTAATTAAGCTAACCAAAGATCTAGTGTGTCCCTGTTCAAGATGAAAAGAAGCAGGACATGATTCACCGGATGGGTGAAATATACTCCAATGCTTATTGTACCATCATTGCGGCTGGTGGTAAGGACGCTCAGGCAGGGCTGCCTGGTGTTTCGAGTTGGCATCGTCGTCCGCAACAGAAATTGAGCTTCAAAGGCGTCACTCTGACCCGTTCTCCCATACTTAACAACGACTTCTTGGATTTGGTTCAGTCCAGCAAGTGGGCGACAAGAGGCTGGACCTTCCAAGAGTGTCATCTATCCAAGAGGCGCATCGTTTTCACGGAGGATCGAGTTCTTTATCTATGCAACAAGGAGTTTGTCCCAGAACCGTTTGAGAACACAGTCCCACCTAATGAACGGGGTGACATAACAACATTTCGAGCCTTCATACCGTCTGGCTTGCGCCGTCATCACCTAGATAATGTCAACGATCTTAGAAACCATATTGTGGAGTACACTTGGAGGGAGCTCACCTTCGAAAAAGACTCGATGAACGCTTTTCTAGGCGTGCTGCACTTCTACACCAGTCACGCTTTCTCAATGACTCACCTGTGGGGCTTACCGGTCTACAGATGCCGGCACTCAACAGAATTAGCCCCAAAGTTCCGGTTTGAGTTATTCTGGAGACACGATGCTCCTGCGACCCGAAGGCGTGGATTTCCGAGTTGGACATGGGCGGGATGGGACGGCCCTATTCAATTCCATGGCTGTTTCCATCCTGATGGATCGGTGGACCTGTTGCCGCTAAGTCACCGCCAACGTGTGTCAATCTCAATGGAAGACGACAAATCCAAGACGCTCTTCGAATATGCTGAGTCCGCCTTGGACAGAGCCAGAAGTTGCAAGTCCTCGCCATCTCTACTTACGCTTGGCCCGAGAAGACTGTTGGTGTCATGCAACGTTCTGGAAGTACGACTGCAACATTTCCGGCGTGCGTGTGTTAACCCAGAATACATCATACGACATAAACCATCCTGCGGAACCAGCGACTGCGCTGAGCAGTCTCGCATGACTATGTATTCAGGCGAACGCCTTGCCGTTTTCCAGGCCTTTCACGGCGTCTACATGGCCGTTGAGCCCTGTTTGGACCTTGAAATGGAACATTTGGATGATATTTCCGGTCTCTATTTCCCCTCTGAGCCATTTTCAGTCAAAGACGTTTCCTATAGTGGTCTTGGCCGTCTTCTACTTGTGAGGCGTGTTATCGACGACTATGAGCGTGTAGGGATCGTGGAGTGGTCGTTTCGTCCGCACGGTCTTCCGATGCTGTTTGTTGACGGGAACGATAGAATGCTGGACTTAGTCACCCTACCAGACGATGATGATTTATTCTATAGTGTTTCAGAGGAGAAGACAGTATGTCTCATTTAGGGTATATAGATCCTCAGTTTGTAAACTGTTTATTATTCTCGACATTGCTTTACTAAGCCAGAAAAATAATGATTACCTTGAGATTAGAAACATGATGCGCACTGACTGAGACCACAGATCTGGCAACTGCACCCTAGGATGTGAGCTCTACATCTTTAGCATTGCTCAACATTTATCACCTGGCGTGGAGGCTCTGCGCGCCTCAATGACGACGACCCTGACTAGCGGAGCTTGAGTACTGCGTCCGGACCTCAAGACATCCTTGCTAATTCTCCCGGGTGTTCGGTGAGCGTCGAGGGACAGGCACGTGTGTTTTACGAACACCCAGGCAGTGGCAAAATACGTTGAATAATCAACTACTTGAGGAGCCGCTCTTTTTGCATACAGTGACGAATCATAGGTGAGATATACTCGCTCACAGTGAAGAACTCAAGCCTGAACCTGATAACTTGTGCATGCTGACAATGAGGGCTTAAGGTTTAGATATTCCCGGCAATGTCACGCGACAAAGTCCAGTAGTGGACGCACCAAGTATACAGTTGGAGAACGACCAAAACAGTACTTTGGCACATACTCGACCCAGATGCGCCAGGTCAGGGGTATCTGCAGGGCGACCTTGTGCGATGCGGAGTCCAGGGTGCGTGGTCGTGATTAGACTTCCCGCACTCGACTATGTACCTCGCGTAAAGTAGCAAGGTACTGAGGGCAAAGTATTCCGTCGACTTCACACCCTAAGCCGCCGGAATAGGGTTGGCTATGAAACAAATACAGTAAAGGCCCGTTATCTTGAGGATGTAAAGCTACAGATCTCACCAAGCCTAGGAAATTCCATATGTCCCTTCTGAACCCTGGGGTGGTGGAACTTTAGCTACGGCGCCATCATGTTATCGATCGAGTGCAGCCTCGAGGCTATATAAGTCCCCGTTGCTCTGTGCCAAAGTGCTGCACATTTATGGATCACATACACGAGCACATACGTTCTTTCGACAATACGCTCTATTTTCCTTGAAAGATTCGACGACATGTGCGTCCTTGAGGATGTTGGTCTTGAGGTGGAAGTACTTGTGAAACACCGTGCAGCAAAAGAATACCCCTACAGACAGCCCAGCTCCGATGGTGGTCTGGACACCACTGCCGTTTGCAGGCGTTACATCCAGTCCGAGGAAGGGGCTGTGTTCTCTTTTCGTTGCAGTGTCAGGGCTGGTGAGTCAGCGGCCAGGGAATGGCTCAAAACTCCATCGAATGCAATTCTTTTTGAGGTGAACATCGATGATCGCGAGGGACTGAAATCTGTGGCACGCTACGTGGAGCTTGCGGCCCCTTCAACTACCATTAGAGCCTTGCCGGACATAGCGAACGACCAGCAGAGGTGGTTCCGATTCACCTCCATACCAACTGGTCTGTCTCTCAGAGCCCCTACAGAGAAAGTGCCCTCACTGATGCTCTCCGAGACGAGAACTGCTCCAAAGAAGAATGGACTCGGGACCTCGACCTCGCTAGGCGCATGGGAATGTTCAGGATCCGAGCCTGGCGAGTCGTGAAAGATGGCCTGGTCAAAGAAAAGCCAAAGCGGCAGCCTTACCGAGCATCAGACCTCGAGATCCCGAAGCCGCTGGCGGAAAAGGCCCTCACCAAGTTGCGAGAAGATGAAGGGAGGATGATCTCCCACGAAGCCAGGTAAGCTGAAATGCGTTTGTACCAGACCGCTCGTGACTGACAGCGAGTCGTACAATCAAGATTGTCTTCTCCCGTGGACCTTGAACCCGAATTTACGGGATCGTGGATCGAGTGGAGCAGGTCCGATCAGACGCCGCTTGCGGAGTTCGTGTTCCAGTATCGCTCCGAAGGTGATAGAAGCCGGCGCGGCATCGTATGACTGGCTCTGAAGCTGACACGGACCAGCTGATTTGCGGCGGGAACGCATCCTTCCTCGACCGAGTCGAAGCGACCGCGTCACGCTGTCTGGCAGCCCTCTCGAGAGATCCAGGCAGGTCAAGCCGCCGGCTCGTGGTGGTGACCAAACCAGGGTGTCGGTAGGTCATAGGAAACGCACGATTAAAGTCTCTGCTACTTCTAACGCTAATTCTCATCTGAGTTGAAGCGAAGTCCTGGTTTGGTGGACGACAAGTGCGGCGGAATCAGTCACCACCGCCCTCACAAGCGAGTCAAGGCCTTGGTGGCAGAGATTATCGATCTCACCAGTGAAGACTAACTCGGTATCTATGCACACTCTCAATGCTCAAATAGTCATAGTATTATTGATTATTCATCAATATTGTTCAACAAACCAATAAATACACATTGACCTCGAGTTTGAACACAATGTCTTTCACAAATTGATACCGAACTCCTTGTCCAATGTTCTTCCCAAGTCAGAGCTCATCTGTTGCATTACACAAGATTTCTCAATTTCGCGAAACCATTCAGATTCGAAAATATCGTAAAGCTGTTTTGACACTTGGCGAGGGCGTCACAACGCAATTTTGTCGGTTTTGATGGCCGTCAAGCAGCGAACCTCACTGCGACTTGTGAAAGCTTTGCTGAAATGGAGTAGAGTTATGCGTCAGAGGCCGCCCAAGTATTTTATTTGACATGTCACCACGTAATGGCCCTTAGTGTCTCGTGGTGGAACGGGATCGACATTGTAGCACCGCATACTTCACAGGCAGCTGAAATGCTAGCGGCATATATGACTGGCACCCTCTTGATGAATAGACGCTCGCTTCGCGTGTTGACAGGGGGTGTTGCAAACTTACCCCGCGTAAGCCTAATGAAGCCTTGGGAAAAGCCTCCACAACTACGTGAAGTACTTCTTGATACAGTAGTTTTGTCTCGGGTTTCTTCTTGCCATTAGTTTGGCCCTTAATACTTCACACGCTCTTTGAGGGTTCGTTTGAAGCATTGCCCGTCCGTCCCAGATATTTCTAGGTATGGCGGAAGCTTTGGCTATGATTGGCCTTGCCTCTAGCATCGCCACCTTCATCGACTTGGGCCTGAAAATTGTGAGATCAGGAAAGGCAGTATTCAACTCTGCGAGAGGTAAGACAGACGAAGCTTATGAGCTGGGCCTGATCGTCGAGGACATTGATAATCGGGTCGATGAGATGTTGGTATTCATGAAGTCCCAACCCACTGCCAAGTATGCCAAAGAACACCGCGAGAAGTACAACAAAAACCTGCGTAACATCACCGCCGAGTGTAAGCGATTGGCAAAGGACTTGCAGAACGTCCTTCTTTCGCTCGCTGTCAAGAAAAATGCGCGCTTTCCCATGCTCGAAGCCAGCAGAATCACTTTGAAGTCCTTCCTAAAGAAGGATGACATCGAAGCGCTGCAGGCCCGACTTGAGCGCCTTGAAACAAGGCTAAGAATTCATGTCACTGAAACAATGGAAGAGTCTGTGATCGCATGGTCATCCATTTGGATGTATAGCGGGGGCTGACTTGCTCGCTACAGACTTCGATACCGGCAATTACTGAAAGAATTACAGGACCTGAAGGTCTCACACGATCAGCACAGCATCCGCAGCCCGAAACTTGACAGTCTACACCGAGATCTCCAGCGTCTGACGCGGAATCAAAAGGAGGGAAACATTGCACTATCAGCCAATCTTACGAGCCTTAGTACCAAGCTAGCAGGTTCCAAGAAGACCACAAGCTATGGGACGACCAGCTAGAAACAATCAAGAGCTTATATTTTCCCGAACTCAGGCGCCGGGAGTTTGACATCACTGATGCCCACACCAAGACTGAGAAATGGCTCTATGTGCGGAACTGCACGACTTTTTCGGAGTGGTTAGAAGGCGGAAATGGTATTTACTGGATTCAAGGATTGGTACGCCATCAAGAAACACGCCCCAGTCCAATTACATATCAGACCAATCCTGCTCACATGTGTATATGAGCTTCTCAGGCAGGAAGCGGCAAGTCCACGCTGATGAAATTCCTCTGCAACCATCCCGAGACATTGGCCTGCCTCGACACTTGGGCGGGCGGCTCAGAAATCTACACGGCATCATTCTTCTTTTGGAATCAGGGCCATACAATGCAGAAGTCTCTCCACGGGCTCGTTCAATCATTAGCCTATCAGATCCTTCGCAAGATGCCTGACCTTATCCCCGAACTCTGCGGAACACATATGGACCATGAGCCCTGGGAATTTGTCGAGCTCAAGATGTTGTTTCGGCGATTATTGGCCCGTATGTCAACTTCCGCCAAGTTCTGTTTCTTTATAGACGGCCTTGATGAATATAGCGGGAGTACGGGAGACGTCGTCGAGACTCTGAAATATCTCGCGAGGTCTAAAAATATCAAGGTTTGCGCGTCTAGTCGCCCATGGCCTGCGTTCGAAGAGGCCTTTACGAATCCCAATAACACCCTGGTCCTACAAGATTTCACTCGAGATGATATGGAGGCGTTCGTTCGTGATATCATAGCGGATAACTCAAATTACAAGAGACTTGTGCGCAAGGATCCGATTTACGAGGAGCTCATTGCCTCAATCGCCACACGCGCCCGAGGCGTATGGCTTTGGGTATTTCTCGTCAGCAGGGACCTCAAGGAGGCACTAGACGGGAAGGAGGACTACACCACGCTAGAAAAGATTCTCGATAGCTTCCCACCAGACCTTTCCGCGTACTTCGAAGCTATCATCCAGCGACTCCGCCCAGTATATCGGGAAGACATGGCCAAGATATTCCTCCTCGCCGCCAGCGCGGTCAACCCCCTTCCACTGTACGCGTTTAACTTTATTGACGAAAAATGGTACAACTCGGTGGATAAGGCGACCGAGCATCAGATTGAGGTTACGTACAGAGGATGGAAGAATAGGCTGCATAACAGATGCGGCGATCTGCTTACGATTCGTAGATACGACGACGAGGATCCCGTGTTCGTCTATCGCGTAGACTTCCTTCATAGGACCGCTCGGGACTGGCTGATCGACATTAAGCTCCCAGCTCTGCAACAGGAGATTCGGGACCCAAACTTCAATCATTGGGTGGTTCTATGCAAGATGTTGTTATGTCTCATGAAAGCACTGCCCATCTCGGAAGACTACAAGCACCACATCTACCCGCTGCTTCGCGATGTGTTATCTTACGCATACGAATTCGAACAGGGCGCGGAAATGGCCAATAGTGAGGTTGCTCAGATATTGGACCGCTGCGACTGGTTTGTGAATAGCTGGTTGGAGTGCAACTTTCTCATGCTCGCGGTAGAGGCGGGGCTGGTTGGCTACGTCCGGTGTCACTTGGACATCTTTCCAGACTCAATCAACAAGATTGGGTGGCATTTGCTGAGAATTGCCCTTTGTTCGCCTAAGCACTCAAATAGCCCCATTTCAAAGGATCAGACGAAGGGAACTATCAACACCCGAATGGTGGCACTCCTGCTTGAGAAAGGGGTCAGTCCATATGACAGAGAATCTGTCCACCACTCCACAGTATGGAGATTGTTTATAAGCTCTTGCGGTGCAATGCCAGTGGACATAGGGGAACCGTCTGACGATATAAGAAGTACTTGGCTTCAGGCTACACAGCTTCTGGTTGAGTACGGCGTCGGAGGGGCCCCTTGGGGGACAGGTAGAAAGTACACGCCACCCGAACTACCTGACAAGTTGATAGAAATTTTCGGAACAGAGGAGACGGAAAGGCTCCTACAACGTATAGATGTGATTCGGAGACAGGGCTCGTGGGGCAACTGGGTTTGGGAGAAATGGAAACAAGTTGGGAATCAGCTGTATGTCTATTTATAATAGCCGGATAGAGCATTGGCGAATACGCCCTTCAGGGGCTGGAGACTACATGGTACATGCGCCCATACCTGTCTGAGGTCTACTGCTGGGATAGAATGGACTTCAGATACCTGGCCGTAAGTAAGAACTTACGATGTGGTCATCAACAGGTCGGCGGCCGAGTATTGTGACTGGCTGGCACTGCCCATATTGATGGTGGCCGATGAGAAGAAGACGAGGAAGCCGAGCGGTGTGGGTAAGGACCTCAGAGCATCCATGTGTATTCTGCCCAGCACTCTTGGTCGCAGTATCTTGATCATGGTCTTACTGGCCATTCATAGAAGCCGCAGCCAGAGTCACAGGCTATCTGGTCAGCGGACGGGGCGCAGACCTCGGGCACGGATTTGCTGTTGTGATTGCGCAACATCAGAAGTCTTGGGTGATGCAAAGACAGAGCGCTGGATCAGGGAGGAAATTGACAAGGAGTGAGATTTGGAGGCTCAATAGACTATGATTGCTATCCGTTACTATGATAAACAAGGTTAGCGATCGTCTTTACCTTGCTCGTGCGATATAAGTATGATCGTAAATTGGTAAGGTAGAGTGCACATACATGATCACCTCTTCTTGCAGTAATTATTTACCCGCTATTGTGGCGTGTCAATACCTCTACCGGTCACACAAGGTTCACAACGTGGACATAAGCGAGCAAATAAAGTTAGCAGTGACAAGATAGTAGCTCTTTCTTTAATAACATGGTCAGAATTCCTCATCAGGTCGTCAGGTTCACAAACAATGCATTGTTGGCACAAGAGCCTCGGAAACATGATCCGATACCTATAAGTTCTTTCAAAGCTTGTCAATGGTCTGTGAAGTAAGGTTGGTGTCTAAGTTTTGGATATAATTATCTGTCGAAGAGGCATTCTGATCTGAAGCAGGATGAGTTGTATGCCATGCTTTCCTTTGGTATGGGAGAGTTAATGGGCACTTGTTCTCGCCAGTTGATGCTTGGGACTCATGCCTTGGGGCACGCCGTTGCTTAATTTACTACGAAACCCTGAGACTCTAGCAGCGCCCTGGCCATAGAATCTTGGCGGTGATACTAGCTGCTCAAGTGAATTGCTTGAAATGGAGAAGCCCTTGCACACGTCCTGTGGAGCTTATGAAAAACGGGTGTGTTTGGGCAATCGAGATTTGATTCGCGACTTGGGCGCGTTTCGTATTGTGTCAGTTTAAGCCCACATGATGTTTGGCCTCCCGAGGTATTCGCGTTAGGAAACAGCTGAGCTCACTCGCGAAGACCACCAATGGAGCTGGGATCATTGTCTAAATTCGGGTCCTCAATTCAGTAACACCTGATCCTGATCAATTCACATGTGCAAGAATACCATTGTTCTTCGTATATCTGGTCGCATCTTCACACACTGGCCCCCCGCTGCTCAACTCGAGAATAGTCATTACCCATGGCGGGCGTTGTCACTGGAGAATCCTCCTAGACAGTGAATTTATGTGATGGAAGATGTTGTCTTGTGACTTTTGGGCCCTAACTTTCTATCCTGGTGTGAGCTGGAGCACCATTGTGGTCTCGGCTTTACACCTCGCCGTACCTCGATCCTCGCCAACCTTGTCGGCGCCAGAGTCCACAAAGCCTGGAGCTTAGACCAGGAAAACAATTCACCTACTCTATCCCATCCCCCACCGCTCTGATGGAAAACATTCAGAGGCTCAGTTTTTCCCAGCCTCCATAACAGCCAAACGGACAGCCAGTTCGTGAGCCCGTCCATAATTGCGCACAACGATCACCAAGATGTTCTACGTCGTTCGTTGCCCCTGTTGCCTCTTGACCATCTACTGCGACTTCGTGGATGATGGCGATACAGGCCCCCCAATCCTTGTGTGGTTGGATGATGAGCGCCTCGCGTTCTACAACTGTCCACATACCCTTTGTGACTATCATTTCAGCACCAATGACCCTGTCAATCTCTACGCCAACCAAGTGGCCGGACGCGTGAGGCACGTCTCTCCTTTTCTCACCATTGCCCCGCGGAACCCCAACACCACGGCCTTTCGTCCGCAGGGCCATCATACCGCTGACCTCTTGGCTCTTGCTCTTGTCGACCTCGTTCAGAGCGAGCAGCAAGAGATTCACGAGCCAGCGGCGCAAGCCAGCAACGAGGCGCGGACAGCCAATGATGAAGATGCGGACAAACAACACGAGGAAGAGCAGAACGAGGAGGAGCAGGACGAGGAGGACGATGAGGCTTCTGTAAGTATTCTACATAAATAAATAGCCACGGCCAACCGATTTGACTGACTATTTCGTTCCTTTTATAAGGACAATAAGCACCGCAAACCAAGGTGGACGGCCGCCGAGGTGGAGCAGCTCAAGCGACTTCTGGAAGAGGGCCAAAGCTACAGTGATATTGCCAAGGTATGTCGCCTACAGTCCACGATGGCCTGTTCGAGTTGTTCCTAGTCTTCTGGTGTCTAACGGTTTCCCATACTTATTCTAGGCGATCGGCCGTTCTTCCTCATCTATCGGCAGCAAGATCATTCTCATGCGCAGGAGGGGCGACCTGCCTAAAGTTGGACAGCCGACTTCACAAGAATGAGGCCTGAGAAGTCAACGACATTGAAGCCTTGTCACATGCTACAGCGGCTTGCCTGACCGGATTTGTTGATATGCATCTGAAGCTATTGATGTGCCAGAGTGGACGGGCTGGACGGCCGCAATGACCCTGTTCTTGGACGGGAAAGGAAGACAGCAGCAGCATTGGGCGCGACAAAGCAATCAAGGAGAATTGCACTAATAGAGGAGAGGAGAGATGAAGAGGAAAAGGGAGGGAAAATGATTTTTTTTGGGAGGAGGGAAGGCAGTAAATGCTGGATCTGGAGAGAAAGAATACCCAGATCGCTCGTCTCGACAAGGTGGAGCGGCAGAATGCTCCCCTAGAAGCATGTGCAAGCACCCTGAAGGTCGGTTACCCAGATCATCGTCACGAATGCGATCTGTCATACGGCAGCGTCTTTTTTTAGTCATTCTCCAGGTCATTCGAAGCAGCACGACAGGCCGAGGCCAGGTCACTTGATCAAGACATGGTGACTCGTCACGAGCTACCTAGGTGATCCATTTCATGAGCAGCACTTGTGACGCGCGCCTCAAGAAATCCACACATGAATAATTCTTGGCTTCCTGACACTTGAAGAGCTCTGGAAACGGCGGATTATATGGAGGCTGTGCCTCTGCAAAATTGAGAACATGTCCCACAAGCTCGCTTCTGCGCCCGTGGACTGTTCAAAGTCGTAGTGACGAGATCGTATCCTCCTAACGGAATCGATCGCTCTCGGTCGACAAGAAAGGATTGCCTGTGGTCCCTTTTCTCCATCAATGTGTCCGCCATCGTGGGTATATTGCGACATAGTGTACAGTCTCGTACAATCTCGTACGGCCCCGCCTCTCATCATCCTTAGCTCTTCTCATTGCAGTCATCTGTGCACGTAAGAGGGGCCCCGTGGATCTATGCAGCCCATGTCCATCTCTAGTGAACACGCCTTGCGTTTTCCTATCGACTCAGAATCCCCGAGCCTCCAGCCATTTTTGCACCTTGTCCGCGTGGAAGCCCTGCCGAAACCATCAGCTTATCTTTCAATCGCCATGACCTGGCCGTTCAGCGACTGCACAGTAGCGACCTACCTTTATTTTGATGTGACCGGTGACGGGATTTATTTTGACGTCGTCCTTGGGGAACTTCAGCTCCTCGGCAATCTCATCTCTCAAGGCTCTGGCATCTCCCACGATCTTCTTGACCACTGTCTGCTTCTTGGTGCCTCCGGCTCTTGCGTCGTTGTAGACAGAGAGGTTCTTCGAAGGTGTGCGCTCAACAAGGTAGGACAATTGCCTTGGCTGTGTTGACATGGCCGAGGCAGCTGCTGAAGATGAAGGAGGAGGCGTAGAGGATTGTGATGTTGATGCTGCTTCGGTGGTGAGCAGTCTTGTGGTGTTGAGGAAGGAGGATCGGAAGAGCAGCCAGCTAGGAGCAGCCGCGGCCGTTCGAATTGGTATTTGTCGAAGCATTGTGGACGGTCGACAGCTGGTTGATCGGCGGTGACCTGGATATGTCGTCGTCTTTTGCGGACTGAATCTTTGGGAGACGCGAGGTCGTCACCAGAGAAAATCGCAGCTGGCGGCAGGCAAAAGTACAAAGGTACAGAAGGCTGGCCCACTACAAAGCTTCATAGCTCCAAAGCTGCAAGGGTACGCGGATACATAGATACGTGGGTACTTGGGTACATAGGTACCTCAGCCGGCGTCGGTAAAACAAATGGGCGTGCTGGGGTGGTCCAGCCAATGGCGCACGATTGAGTGGACCCCACGAAAAAGAGCGAAGAGGCGGGAGCAGCGAACAACGAATTTTGGGTGGCAGCCCCGCCAGAGTGACAGACGACCATCCACCCCCTTCAGTTAGACAGTCAGATCAGCTCAACTGCTGGAGAGACTCGCGGACAGACTCCCTCTCTCCCTGATTCACCCCAAGCTCTAGTCGACAGAACGCCCACCACCCTTTCTCCCGCCGAAAATCATCGCGCCGTCTCCCCCTCGCCCGACCTACGCGACAGGCAGAAAGCCAAGATGGAGGACACCACCGTCTCCGAGTACGACCTGCTGCCGACGCTTGTCACCAAGCTCGACAGACATCTCATCTTCCCCCTGCTCGAGTTCCGTCGCGGCCAACTAGAGAACGAGGATGGCGTTTCCAAGGACGAGGCCAAGTCGCGGGAGCTGCTCAAGGCCACCTACGAGCTGCTGAGGAAGACAAACATGACCGACTACGTCGCCAACCTGTACTGCGACCTCGAAGGACTGCAGGACCCACCAAAAGAGTTCGCCGACAAGAGGCAAAAGGTCCTCGAGACCTTGGAGAAGTTCGAGGACACCACAGGCAAGATCCAGGAGCTGCTGGGAAGAGAAGATGTCGTCACAAACCTGCGGAGCGACAAGGTTGCCAACTTGGAGTTCCTGAAGAAGGAACACGATGTACGTGCCACGGCCCTTTCCGCACACTACGAGCTGTGTCCTTGGCTGGCAGGCAGCCAGGCGTCCCTCGATCGAGAATGTCTCCAGCATGAAACGCTCCCATGATGCCGTGTTGCGCTGCTCGCGGGGCTGCTCCGCCCATGCCCATGCAAAGCCAATGTGCTACCAGCGAATAGCGAATGATGTACGTGCTGACAAGGTAACAAACAGGTAACGATCGAGATGGTCAATGCCCTTTACGACTTCGGAAACTTCAAATACAGCTGCGGTGACTATGGTGGATCCGCCGACCTTCTCTACCAGTTCCGTGTCCTCTCCACCGACAACGACAAGGTCTCCGCCGCGACATGGGGAAAGCTCGCCTCGGAAATCCTTTCCACCAGCTGGGAAACCGCCCTGGAGGAGCTGATGAAGGTCAAGGAGAACATCGACACCAAGCTCTTCAACAACCCGCTCGCCCAGCTGCAGCAGCGCACATGGCTCATTCACTGGGCCCTGTTCCCCCTCTTCAACAGCGACTCCGCCCGCGATCCCCTCCTCGACCTCTTCTTCTCTCCCGCCTACATCAACACTATCCAGACCTCCTGCCCATGGGCTCTGCGCTACCTAGTTGCCGCCGTTATCACCGGTCGCGGCCGCTCGCGCAACTCTGGCGTCCAGCAGAAGCAGCTTAAGGACATTGTTCGCATTGTGCGCCAGGAGGCCTACGAGTATACCGACCCCCTGACCGAGTTCGTGCGCGCCCTCTTCATCGACTTCGACTTCGAGGATGCGCAAAGGCAGCTGAGCCGTGCCGAGGAGGTGCTCCGGGCCGACTTCTTCCTGGCCGGCGGCGTTGACGCGTTTGTGGACAACGCGAGGCATCTGATTTTCGAGAGCTACTGCAAGATCCACGCGCGTATTGACATCAAGGGCCTTAGCAAGACCCTCGGCCTGGACAACGAGGCGGGCGAGAAGTGGATTGTCAACCTGATCCGCGACACACGGTTGGATGCCAAGATCGACTCCAGCGAGGGAACAGTCGTCATGAACCACCCACCCAGCAGCGTCTACCAGCAGGTGATCGAGCGGACTAAGGGAGGCTTCTTCAGGACACAAGTCCTGAGCGCGGCGGTGGCGAAGTAATTGGGGCGTGGAGGCGGAGGAGAAGACTCAAAAGCATGGCAGGACGACGGCATGAAACCAGGCTTTTGGCATTGATTGGTTGGAGCTTTTGTGCGTTGTATTCCAAGGTACGGGCAAAAGGCAGGCGTTTTTAGGGAAGGGTTTGGCCTCCCCTGGGGATCTCCGAATAGGGGCCACCATTGTCGAAATGAATAGACAAAAATACCTCTTGATAATCCCGAGGGGCCACGGTTCAAGCAGTCCTTATTCTGTGCTCATGTGCTGCAGCACTTGTCGCTTCCCGACATATGCGAAAGACACTGGTGTTTCTGAACTGTCTTTGTCCGAAGACAATACGTGACGCGAATCACTGATCCGGCATCTATAACGGACACGTCGACGATTTGCCCTTTATAGATACAGATGGTGCGAAACATCTGAAATGATATATCTACTTCAGTCGTCACGTCTGGTTGTCCCATAGGTGGTTATCTCATCTAGATGCGCCTCCGTCTGATGACGATCATGAACATAATGGAGCACATTGTGGCCAGGTCTTCTTATCTTTCACTGGTTGGTGTCTTTCAGAATGTCGTTCCGACCGGCTAGTCATGTCCTGATACCCATCAATAAAAGACAGGCTCGCTAAACGGTGCACATGAGAAAATGCTAATCATTTCCTGTAGCCAACGAAAACTATAAACTTTTGAAAGAACAAGACAAAGTGAGCATTTCTCTAACCACTGTTGTCAGGCAATGAGCTATGGGTGGTCTTAAGGGTGCAAGTCAAAACTCATATTCAGTGTTTAAAGAGGAGTCATGATACATAATCGAATCTCAAGTCTTACTATAGTTGCGTCCCAAGTTTTAGTAAAATCTACGCTGAATACCGCTCTACACCTGCTCCGCAAGAGCTCTCGTCGCCTCTATACTGCCTCCAGCAACGGGCACGAATGAGGTCCTGTCCTGGGGCTGTTCTTCTTTCTTCGTGCCCTGATTCACGCCATACCCACCACCTCCAGGTGTCTCGATCAGCAACCTATCGCCGGCGTCTACAAGGATTGAGTTCTTGCCTCCGATATTGATGCGTCGGCCTGCTTTCTGGACCCAGGTATTACGGCCACGGCCTCCATCACCGCCGCCTTCCAAGCCGTATGGCGCGAAGCTTCGCCGCTCAGACAAGATGGATGCCGACATAGGAATGCGGAAACCGACGTCGCGGATGACGCCTTCGCCTCCGCGGAACGTCCCGTCTCCACCGCTTCCAGTCCTGAGACTGAAGCGATGCAGCACGACGGGATATCGCCGCTCGAGGGACTCCGGATCAGTGATCCTCGTATTCGTCATGTTGGTATGCACTCCGCTGGTGCCATGCCACGAGGGGCCTGCGCCGCTGCCACCCGATATTGTCTCGTAGTAGCCAAAGCCGTCCTCGCCGTCGAGACCAAAGGTGAAGTTGTTCATGCAGCCCTGGCTGGCGGCGCAGGCGCCAAAGGCGCGGAAGATGACATCCACGATGCGCTGCGACGTCAGCACGTTGCCGGCGCACACGGCGGCCTTGTGGCTCGGCCGCAGCAGCGACTGGTCCGGGATGACGAGCGTGATGGGCCGGATGCAGCCGTGGTTGAGCGGGATGTCCGAGTCGACCATGCACCGCAGCGCGTAGATGACGGCCGAGTTGCAGATCGCCACCGGCGCGTTCCAGTTGCCGTACACTTCGGGCCCCGTGCCCGTGAAGTCGAAGAGTGCAGAGCCGTCGGCCGCGTCGATGGTCACCTTGAGCTGGATGGGCGTCCCGTCGTCCATGTAGTCGATGGCGCACAGTGGGGAGCCCTGGGTCTTCACGGCCAGCTTCTTGAACAGATTGCGGATGGCCAGTTCGGCTGAGTCCTGGATGGCGCCCATATACATCTGTCATCAAGTTAGATGGTGACTGGTGGCCCAGGGACGGGAAGGTCATGTTGGTTTTGAGAGCCGCGGAGATTCAACATACCTGAACGACATCCATGGTGTACTCCTCAATCAGTTGACGCACCAGCCGTATACCGGTGTGGTTTGCAGCGACCTGTGCCTTCAGATCGGTCACATTGTCTTGGAAACACCTGGTTCCGCTGGTCCCAGGCATCTTGGCAGGTTCCTCGCACAGCAGGCGTTCCAACTCTTTCTCAGCGAATACGCCGTCCCGCACGAGCAGGAAAGAGTCGAACACAGCGCCCTCCTCCCACAAGAACTTCGAGTTTGGAGGCATGGACCCAGGGAGAATGCCACCGACCTAATTATATGCTGTCAGGCACATGGAAATTGGAGTATTAGCAGAGTGGAGGAACTTACATCGGCATGATGGCCGCGGGACGCAGCCCAGAAGATAATTTCTTTGCCTTGCGCATCGAATACGGGTGTGACTATGGTCAGGTCTGGTAGATGTGTACCGCCAAAGGCTAAGCCGCCGGTCGTTGTCAGCTTTGCCTTACTTTGAGTCCAGTTGGATTCACTGGAGATACATGGAATAGCAAAGTCACTCACCGGGAGAGTTAGAGAGGATGACATCGCCGTCCTTGAGCTTGCCCTCCCAATTCTTGATCTGGGACTTGACAGCAAAGGCCATACTGCCAATCATGGCCGGAACATGTGGTGCATTTGCAACCAGGGAGCCATCTGGGGTGAATATTGCGCAGCTGAAGTCTAGACGCTCCTTTATATTGGCACTGACGCTGACATTCTGCAGCACACGGCCCATCTGCTCAGCCACGCCCATGAAGCGGTGGCGGAAGACGGAGAGGGCCACTGGGTCGAGGACGGCAGTGCTGATATTGTGTGCCTGTGGTGGGCTGATGTCCATCACCAGCTTGTCACCTTCGATGCGAGCTGTTGAGGTGGGCCCTACCAGCAGAGTCTGAGTTTTGTCCACTACCAAGGCTGGGCCCCGAATGACAATGCCAACAGCTATTGAGACAAACAGATACACAGGTGTATCGACCCATCCCAGAGAGCTGAAGTACACCGACTTGACGGAAGATGGTTTTGGTGCAGTAACAGTACCGCCAGAGGATACCACTGCCTTCGTGGCAGATGTTGTCGGTACTGTCTTGGATGCATTTGGAGAAACCTGGCGGCCAACTACTCTTACACGAATGGTATCTACAAAGAGCTTGCGGTTGACGGGAGTGAATCCAAACTGCTGATGATGAGCATCGATGAATGCCTTCCTGGCATCCAGACCATCTTCAAGGGCAATCATGATAGCCGTCTCGCTGCCGTCGTAACGCATGTTGACGAACCGGTGAGCATCGACGGTATTGAAGGTCCGCATTGAAGAGTGCTCCTGCAACTCTTCGCTTAGGTTATCGAGGTCGTTGAGTATCGTAGGCAGGTTTTCAGCATCATATGTCTTTGCACATGGCCTCTCCTCCTCGTGCACGACGTCTGCGAGGCCAATGCCGTATGCTGACAGTATGGATGAGTACTTGTGAATGGTGACCCGGCGGATGCCCAAGGCTTCTGCAATGGCACAAGCATGCTGACCTCCTGCACCTCCAAAAGAAGCGAGCTGGTGATCAGCAGTATGATGGCCACGCGCTTCCGTCAGGCTGCGAATCGGACCGCACATGGCGGAGTTGGCAACTTGGAGGAAACTATCGCGCATTAATTGTTAGCATTCTGAGTAGGACACTAGTAGGAGAGTGGTATTTGGACCATGAGACATGACGAAAGAGTCAAAACACAAGCACACTTACCCATCAGCTACTTCGACCCAGCTTAGAGACCTTCCGGTATCTCGGTTTATGGTCTCAGTCAACTCCTCAAACATCTTAACAACAATTTCACGATTCAGGGGCTCGTCCTCATTAGGCCCAAAGATGGATGGGAAGTGTTCGGGCAACAGCCTTCCCAAGGCTAGGTTTGCATCGGTGACGGTGAGAGGGCCGCCTTTCCTATAACACGCAGGTCCCGGGTGTGATGAAGCGCTGTCGGGCCCAACAGACATGAGGTTATCTCGCCAGGCGAGAATACTGCCACCACCTGCTGCAATGGTGTTTACATTGAGCTGTGGGACATGAATACTGATGCCTGCCGTCGTTGTCTCGAAGATGTGGTCCAGTTTCCCGTCGTAGCGGCTCACATCTGTGCTTGTACCGCCCATGTCAAAGCCAATGGCGGGGACCTTGTCGTCCTCGTCGTAGCATGTCTGAGAGTAGCCCACCACACCACCAGCCGGCCCTGAGAGAATCGAGTGCAGACCTCTCAACGTGGAGGCCGGCACGAGGCCACCGTCTGACTGCATGAACTCGAGCCGGGCGCCAGACTGCTCAAGGCCGGGGAAGCTGGCCGAGAACTGGCTAAGGTACTGTTTGATTGTCGGAGTCAGGTAGGCATCGACCACGACAGAATTGCCTCTCGGCACCAGCTTTGGCCTCTGGGAGACCTGATGCGAAAGCGTGATGTGTTGGAAGCCGACCTCGCGGGCAATGTCTCCGATTTGGAGCTCGTGGCGTGGGAAGATGTATGAGTGCATCAGACAAACGGCAATGGACCGGAAGCCATCGTCATATATCCTCTTCAGGTACTCGCGTACCTTTCCGGCGTCAAGGTGCTGGACTACTTGGACTGTCTCGCCCGAAGTGCCAACGACTGTCTCCAGCGGCTCTGGAGATTTGAGCTTCATCGTCCGAAGGACTGAGTCGGCACATGACTGGAGGACAACCCGCTCGTCCACCTCGAAGACATCCGAGTACAGAGGAGCCGGCCGCCGGATAGAAAGGTCAAACATGTACGGCCGCGACTGGTTGCCGATCTGCAGCACATCCTTGAAGCCATGTGTGACGAGAAAAGCTGTCCTCTCGCCTTTACGCTCCAGCAAGGCATTTGTAGCCACTGTCGTGCCCATGCGGATCCATTCTGGGTTGTTCAGTCAGCAGGTGCGCCGTCATATCCTGTTTGTTGCTTTGGGGGGTTGATATTACTCACCTACGTCCTTGAGATCTAGCTTGGCGCCTCGCGGGATCGGCTCGCCATAGAACTTCTCCAGCACTTGCCTGATGGCTTCCGTAGGGGCATCTGGATAATTACGCGGGTCCACGGAAAGGATCTTGATGACGATATCTTCACGGCCTGTGATGCAAGCTACGCAGTCCGTGAAGGTGCCGCCCCGATCTAGAAGAGTGGGTGATCAGGAGATATTCACTTCCAAGCGACCTTGTGAGAGATTAGCCAACCTACCTATAGATATCCGAATTGGTCGTTCAACTGTTGACCCAGCCATGGTGGTTTAGACGATACTATTGCGACAAGACAGGAGCTCTTTCGCCCTGTTGAGAGCAGGGTCTGGAAATGTTCCATGTCTTCTATGTATAAACTGGGTTGCAGTGGTCTATTTCCGGCAAGTCAACCTATTCGCCGATATCGTTATGCCGGTCTGACTGGCTGCAAGAACGACAAGGGGGGAGCACCACCGAGGCACCACCACGGCTGTTTGTGGAGACTTCAGGACAGGGAAACGCAACTCTGAAGCGTAATCAAGTACCGTATTTTGACCGATAGGGCATAGAAATGCCAGGTAGTCTTCGTTATGCGCCAATAATTGTTACCAGGCGCATAGGTGTGGAGGTGGAGGTGAATGTGGGTCCTTTGTAGTGGTGGAGGTGGCGGTGGAGGTTAGTTGCAGATTGCACACGGCACCAGCGGTGGAGTTGGCGACATGCCTATGTATCCCAGATCAGGAACGGGCAACGAGAATATCATACGACTTCTACTATTGTAGGAAATGGAGCTCCGCCAGAGGGATAGCCTGGCTAATCAGAAAACTATAATGTTGAACCCTTTGAATAGTATTTACTGCGAAAGGCGAGCCAATTCGGGAATATCAAATGCTTCCACGTTCTTACACGCATAACATTTTTCTGTCCAGATTTCTTCACCTTCATTAAATTTTGACGACTTCTCTACAAGAGGGCCACACCACACACATAGCATCTCCACTACCTGCCATTTTCAATCTTGAGTGACCACTGAACACGCCATGGGCTCCGTTGACTACATCCCGAACATGGCGACGGCCAAGCCCGAGTACCAGGTCTTGGAGAAGCCCAGTCGAGGCGGTAGAAAACTCCGAATCATCTGCCTGGGTGCCGGCGCCAGTGCGTTAAATCTTGCGCACGAGGTTGACACGAGCTCCCTGGACCTTGAGCTCGTATGTTACGAAAAGAACCCCTCCATCGGTGGCACTTGGTACGAGAACAAGTATCCCGGGTGTGGTTGCGATATCCCTTCTGTCAACTACCAGTTCTCATGGGCACCGTCCAGTGAATGGACGTCCTTGTAAGTCCCTTCTGTGTCAGAAGTTTAAACTTGCATGGGCAAAGGTGGAGCCAAACTAACGCAATCTCTACCCAAAAAGCTACTCAGGCGCTCCGGAGATCCTTCAGTATTTCAAAGATGTCGCAGAGAAGTACGACTTGAACAAATACATTCGGCTGAGTCACAAAGTGGTGGGTGCCTACTGGAACGAGGAAGAGCAGATGTGGCATGTCAAGATCCAGAAAGGTGATGATCCCAATGCCATCATCGAAGACAAGGCCAACATCTTTGTCAATGCCAGTGGAGTGCTGAAGTAGGTTCTCCCATTAGTCAAATGCTGCCGAGTGTCAGCATCATTAGAATTTGCTAACTCCTCTTACTGCCTATAGCAAGTGGAAGTGGCCTGCGATCAAAGGCAGGGAAACTTTCAAGGGCTCGATGGTTCACAGTGCAAACTGGGACGACAGCGTCGAACTCAAGGGGAAGCGTGTCGCAGTCATCGGTTCTGGGTCGTCAGCCGTGCAAATTGTTCCCAACATCCAACCCAGTCAGTCGAGACATTTCAGGTCCTTGTTTATTTGCGCATTCGCTAATAAGGAGACGTTCAGTTGTGGGAAACTTGAAGTGCTTCATTCGCAGTGCATCATGGGTAACTGGTGGCTTTGGTCAGCGCTTTGCCGGCAAAGGAGGTGTTAACTTCGAGTGTGAGTAAATAACTCGCGTATGCCTGTCCAGCCATGCCTGATGGTTCTGACGCTTTTCAAAAAAAAGACAACGAGACACAACGGGCAATTCTCCGGACCGACCCGGTGAAATATCTCGCCTACAGGAAGAAAATTGAGTCTGAGCTCAACAGCCGCTTCCGCTTCATCCTGAACGGGTCGAAGGAGCAGCAGGACGCTAGAGAGGTTTGTGCAACATGTGAACCCATCAACGTCATGGCTTTACGAGCTGACCAAATGTTGTTTTGCAGTTCGCGGAGAAGGACATGCGGACCAAGCTTGCGAGTAAGCCTGAAATTGCAGACCTGATAGTCCCAAAGGATTTTGCCGTGGGTTGCCGGAGGCCAACACCAGGCAACGGATACCTCGAGGCGCTTTGCAAGGACAATGTCACCGTTGTGTCTTCGAGTATCGAAGAGATCACTCCCAAGGGCATCAGGTCGGCAGATGGTGTGGAACACGAGTTTGATGTTATTGTCTGTGCCACGGGCTTCGATGTCAGCTGGCGGCCACATTATCCCACGATCGGCCGACATGGCATCAGCCTCAGTGATTACTGGAAAGATGTCCCTAATACTTATCTTTCTATCACGGTGGCAAACTTCCCCAACTACATCAGTCAGTCAATTGCCCTTGAACCTTCCACTATCCGCGACAAGCTTAGCTAATGAAGGGAACAGTCTTCAACGGGCCTTTCGGCCCATACGGCCATGGCAGCTTCCTCCCCATCACCGAGACGGTGTCCAGATATGTCATGCAAATGTTGACAAAGATGTCTGAGGAAGAGATTTCCTCATTCTCACCGAAGGAGGAGGCCGTCGCCGACTTTGCCGAGCACCGCCGCAAGTTCCTCCCTCGCACGGCGTGGACGTCACCTTGCCGCTCCTGGTTCAAGCAAGGCACTGTTGATGGTGAGCCCATGATGTGGCCCGGCTCGCGCATCCACTTCTTCAGAACGGTAGAGAGGCCCCGATGGGAGGATTATGAATTGAAGTACACCACGCCAAACCGCTTTGGTTATTTCGGTAACGGCTTCGCCGCCTGTGAGAATGACGGCACTGATCTCACGTGGTATCTCGGACTCCTAGACGGGAGCGATAGGCAGCCTGCGCTGCCGGACGAGGACTTTGCGGAGTTCTTGTTGAACATATAAGCCCTGTCACCTGGTGTTTGGAGGGTCGTGGCAGAATTTTGGAATCTTTCTTCATTTCTAGACGCCTATGCCCATAGAACGCTGTTTGAATGTATATACGAAGCAAAATTTAAGCATATTGAAGAAAATATCGCACTCAAAATAAGATGTATTGCACATAAACACGGAAATCCCTATAGTCTGTCTCACCGATCCTTCATGGCACTCAATGTGTCTCAATTATGCCAGTATTCCGGGGAATCTCTAAGACTCTTTATTGCTCAGGGGTGTCTTGAAACAACATCTACAGCTATGTCATGGTATTAGTTTTATTCCTGTGGGACACAATGACGCAAGATCTTCCATAAATCAGCATTTGAGCTGTTGAACTTGTACTCCAAAGGAAATCGCTCTCCTATTCTACAATATAATGTGTAGCATTCATGGCATAAGATACAGTAGCATCGACCCATGTGTCAAGTGCTTCAATTCCCAAAGCTGTCCCCATGACACGGAAGTGAAAGCCAACGACCACCAAATACCATATCCAGCTATTCTTAACACCAGAAAGATCTCCCAGAAACTACAAGAACTATATAACAAACACTACTTCTCGATCACAACATGTATCGGAAGTTAGGCTGCTCGAAGTCCGTCAGATCTAGGAACTCGGTACCAGTAGAGTTAGTCTCGGGCTGCTCGAGGGCCTTCTTGTCGCGGCGCCTGTTCTCTAGTATATTGATGACACGGATTGCGATGATGACGAGGGCCGAAATGCCATACATTACGGAAACCATCATTTTCCCATGATAGTAAGTAGGCTTCTCGGTGGAGCGGAAGGTCTGAGGACCAATCCAGTTGCCAGCGGCATAGGCGAGGATCTGGAGGCCGTTAACGGTGGCCTTCTTGGTGTAGCCCAGAGTGTTGTTCGAGATCATGACCATGACCAGGCACCAGGCGGAACCGGCAGCGCCAATGAAATAGTAGCCAATCAACAGCGCGGCTGGGGCTGAGAGGGGGATTGCGATCATCATGATGCCACCGATCATAGGAATGAGGATGGCGATGAATGCAAAGAGGGAGCGATCCATGAACCGGTCTGACAGGTAGGTGAAGCCCAATTTGCATGCAATATCAACCACGCCAGTGGGCATGTTAAGCAGCAAGGATAGCCGGTCGCTGAAGCCAAAGGAGTTGATAACGATGGAGCCGAAGGAGGTGATGCCGCCGTTGGGGATGTTCATGAGCAGGGAGAAGAGCACGTAGAGATAAGTACGAGGGTCACGGAAGGCCTCAAAGAACTGGGACCACTTCCACTTGCGACTGCCGATACCCTGGAAGTTGACTCGGATACGTTCAATGGCGATGAGCTTCTCGCGGCGGTTCAGGAAGCGGGCGTTGATCTGGTTGTCAGGCATGTAGAACCAGCAAATGACACCAGTGAGGACAGTCGGGATGCCGAAGACGAGATATAGGATTCTCCACGTAGCGATCTTGGCATCAGTGACCCCGGAGAGGCCATAGGCGATGGGACCGACCACGAGCAGGGCCAGTCCGTTGCAGCTGAGCCAGAAGCCCACGCGTGTGGCTTGTTCGTTTTTCTTGTACCAGGCCGAGGTCAGGATGATGAAGGCGGGTGTGACTGTGGCCTCAAGGGCACCGAGGAAGAAGCGGAGGACCAGAAGGCCTGCATAGTTGGCGGCAAAGACGTGGAATGTGAGTACCAGGCCCCACATGATGATGTTGGCCGATGTGTACTTGCCCAGCGGAAGAGCGCGGAGCAGGTAGGTGGTAGGAAACCTACAAGAAGTTGTCAATCAGCCGCTACACGATTATCAAAAGGCCCCACAGGCCAAATTATATGCAAGGTGTATAAGAGCACGTACTCCCATGCGATGTAACCAGCATAAAAGATGCTCGAAACCCAACTGTATTCCTGGCTGCTGGGGTCCAAGTGGGTGTCCTCGCGGATGCCCATCAGAGAGGAGTAGTTGAGAGATGTCTTGTCGGCGAACTGGAGCGCGTAAATCCAGCACAGCATCGGCATCAAGGCCCAGTCGATCTTGCGCAGCACGCTTTGCTCTTCTTCGGGCGTGTACTCGACCTCCTCGCCGCCAATGAAGTGGAGGGCGGGGTCTGCGTCGGTGTTCTGTGGTTTGTCTTCGATGACGCCCTCGTCGACATCTGTGACGGTCCGTATAATGTCTGCTCCATGCTGCTCATTTTGTATCTCGTTCTTGTTTGTGTCTTCGGAGGACATGGCGCTCGGTGTAATGGCTGAGAAACAGGGCAATGAAGCACAAGAAACGAGAATGCTGCTTCAGGTGTACGTCCCCTGGGAGAACGGTAGTGGTGAAATGTGTTTGGATGTTATTATAAAGCGACACTACCAATGACAATATTGGCAACACCCTAGTCCGAGGAAAGAGACCAATTGACGAAGTGATGTGACGATTGAGAAGGCTATGGCGCCGGCGAGGATGAAAAGGACACCATATATAAGTGGCAAGCGAGTCAGCAAAAGCCTTGTTTGAGGCTGAGAGATGTTATGACTCCAGCGTCCAAGGTCAAGAAGAGAGGGGGATCTTCTCCAAATCATTCAGGAGGCGCATTCTTGACGCGGCGTATCTGCCAGGACGCAACAAATTGTAAGGAGAAAGTGGAGGGACGCTTATCAGGGCAACACTTGGCTAACCTAGTGTTCCTAGTCTAAGTTCAGCCACGGGAACCACGGGGAAACGGCCAAGGTGGAGCTCCACGACAGGGTTATTTCATTGTCCCATGCTATATCTGGTCACTACTATCTTCAATTAGAGGCAAAGCAAAGCCCAAGAGTCTATGGATCCAGATAAACAAGCTGGGGAGGGTGCATAAGCGGGAATTTAGTCTCTGTACCAATTAGTAATACCAAACCATCAACAATAATACTCATAGATAGCACAGGGTTGTCTGTTTATCTTGGCCAAATTTGGAGCCGCACGAGTGGCTGCACATGTGTGACTGATTTCTTTGTACATGTAATTGATACCTTATCTATCTACTGTTTTTCCAGATCAATGACTTCCTTTATGGGTCCCACAATATCTTCGGAAAGAGCAGACACTGTAGTAAATCCCAACGGCCTCCTGCCCCGGCCAGAACCATAAGAGAAGAAGTGTGACACGACAGCCTTGACACCTGCGACACCGACCTTGGACAATGCCCAGTCGGCATGGCTGAGTTTAGACTGGAGCTCTATTGCAGCCTTGAGGTCACCGTTCTGGTACAATTGCAACAAACGCACGTGTGTCTTGGGCGCCACGTTGGCCAGCGCAGCAATAACGCCGTCGGAGCCGGCCACGAGTGCAGGCAGGAAGAAATCTGACTTCCCCGCAAACGGCGAGAAGGTGTCCCTAGGCAACGCTGACCCTATGCGCTGTAGCTTGCCCACATTTCCACAAGTGAGCTTCACGCCCACGATCTTGCCTGGGTGTTTCTTTGCCAGCTTTATTACGGAGTCTGAACTTATGTCGATGCCTGAGGTAACGCCAGGGAAGTTGTAGATGAGGATCGGAAGGTCTGAGTCGTCCGCCACCTGGTATCTCAAATGTCAGTCCTAATTGTCAATAGCCTGCAGCAACCGTAGCCTCAAGCGCGATGCAACACATGTAAAATCAGTGACAATGATAAGACATACCGCGCTGAAGAAGCCTTCTATGACAGCCGGGGTCATGGCGGCGACCCAGTAAGCCGGAGGAAGTACTAATGCAAAGTCGGCACCGGCTTCCTTTGCCTCGGCGATGTAGGACAGGGTCTCGCGGACGCTGGGTGCTCCACAGCCGACGATCAGCTTCACCTGGGGAAAGCCAAGCTGGTTGAGGTGTGTGCGGGCTGTCTGAGCGATTGTTCTTCGCTCGTCGTGCGTGACATGTGGCGCCTCGCCGTTGCTGCCCTGGAGCACAAGCCCGGTGACACCCCCCTCAGCCATGCGCTGGATGTGGGCCTTTGTGCTCTGGATGTCGATAGACTCGTCATCGTTGAAGAATGTGACCAGTGGGGTATACACGCCAAATGGCGGCTTCGTGGTTGATGCCATGGTACGGTCTGGGTCGTAGAGTATTCGATATTGTATCACAGGGAAAATAGGTGAGGCAAGGCTAGCACATTACGGTAGAAATTACGTGGGAAAGGACTGTGAAAAGGACGATTTATGATGACCTGAAATTCGCATTGCTTCTAGAAAATTGCGACTCTGCTTCACACTCATTTTACGCCAGAAGCAATGGTTGTGGTCATAATTACCATCAATGACTGTGTAATTCCGCTTGCGCCTCTCAGCCTAGGGCAAACCAAGTTGCAGCCATGTGGAGCACCACAAGAGCTAGTCAATATCACACACAGCTTAATCTGCTGCATGACAATCAAGGTAGTCATGCGATCTCACCCAGCAGGGATCTCAACTCCGCCTCCACCTCCGCCTCCACCGAGAGTGCCAATACCACCACCAACTTTTGGACCGGCACCGGCCCATGAACCTAGGATCAGGACCGCAGGCAGACTGACTCCCAGTCCGCCAATTGCTTGCTAGGAAGGCCAAATATCCCTCCGATGGCTCCAATAGTAGTCGTAGCAGCCACTGTGGGCTCTCATTACTAGATGTTTCCTGACGACTGCAGTGTTTGCCTAGTTCTTTCGCCAATATGGGTTCCCTGGCTACTGATGCCTCCCTGTTTGATGCAGTCGAATACATCCCACCCGATGCCATCTTTGACCTGACCCGACTGTATCTTGCGGACCCAGACGCCCGAAAGGTCAACCTGGGCCAGGGCACTTACAAAGACGAGCAGGGCAAACCGTGGATCCTGCCCTCCGTTCGTGTGGCGAAAGAGACAATCCGAGATGCAAACCATGAGTACCTGCCGATCCTGGGGCTGGCATCATTCCGAGCCCTGACTACTCAGCTGGTGTTCGGAGAAAAGTCAACAGTCATCAAAGAGGAAAGAGTCAGTTCTGCCCTGAGCAATTATGGCTTTCGATTGATATAATGTTGACGTACACATCCTACAGGTTGCCGCATGCCAGGCACTCTCGGGGACTGGTGCTCTCTCCCTAGCCGGCTCTTTTCTGCACCAGACTCTGCCCGCTGGCACACCCGTGTATATCACCGAGCCGACGTGGTCGAACCACCGCCAGGTCTTTGAGGCCGTGGGGTTCGAGGTTCGCGAGTTCAGGTGGTACTCGGCCGAGACGGGCCAGCTGGACCTCCCCTCCGTTCTGGACGCCCTCTCGCAGGCTCCATCGCAGTCCGTCTTCATTTTCCATGCCAGCGCACACAACCCCAGCGGCTGTGATCCCAGCAAGGGGGCATGGAGGCAGATCGCCGACATTGTCAAGGAGAGGCAACTACTGCCACTGTTTGACTCGGCGTACCTGGGCATCACGTCTGGCAATTATGCAGATGATGCATTCGCCATCCGGTATTTCGCTGAAGAGCTCGGCCTGGAGACGGTGGTCTGCGCCTCGTTTGCTAAGAATATGGGCCTCTACGGTAAGAGCCCCATTTTCCATTCTCCTATTCAAGGCCAGCATCGGCAGTACAATACATATGCTGCAGTTATAAAGTCTATATATACGTGTACTAACTAGTAACCACTATATGTAGGTGAGCGTGTTGGCCATGTGTCCATTACAACGAAGTCCGCCAGCTCAGCCAAGGCCGTCGAGTCGAGACTAGCACAATTAACCCGCTCTCATATCTCCAATCCGCCAGCATTCGGTGCTCGCATAGCGGCAGCCATTCTTGGGGATAGTGAGCTGCGCACACAATGGAAACGGGACTTGGTCACCATGAGCTCCCGTATCGCTGGCATGAGAAAGGCGCTCTACGAAGAGCTCGTGAAGTTGGGTAAGTATTTCTGTCAGTCTCGTCACTCTAGAACACTTGACTTACATATTTGGTGCTCTGAAGGTACACCGGGCGACTGGAAGCGCATCTTGGAACAGAAGGGCATGTTTTGCATTCTAGGAATGAGTCTCGAAGAGGTGCTGAAACTGCGAGGTACGTATTGGTGCTCCCCAATGATGCATACCCTTCTGGTATTGACTGGAGTATTTCATTAGAAAAGTATCATATTTATATGGCAGACTCCTCAAGAGTGTCTATCGCAGGACTAAATAAGGACAACGTAGCATATGTCGCCGCTGGGATCGACAACGTGGTGCGGAATAGATAGAACTGATACTGAGTGGAAATCAAAATAAGTGAATTTTCTCGATTCAAAGATGTGGACTTGCGATTCAAAAAGATACTTCATAGGTTGCTATGAGGTTTGCCTTTTTGAAATTCTTTTATTAAACTGCTGTTCGTACCCTTTGATTTCTTTGCGACGAGAATGCCATCTAGATAGACCGAAGAAAGAGTCATTCGCCAGGTAAAATTCACACTGACGAGAGCGATAAAGTAATTTACGAGAAGGCTGTGGCCAGGTGTGCTTGGAGCGATGAGTAAAGAATATCTATCTCTCATCCCGTAAGCAAGTCTCCACCACCGGCGTTCGCGCTGTTCCTTGAAGACGTTCTAAGTTTTCGAAGTAAAGACAACGATATAATCAATTTGAAGCGGACTTGTCTTTCCGAATTTATGGCAATCGCGATTGTGAATAGCATTGAAAATTACCATGTGTAGCTTCGTTGTACACATTCCAAAGAGTTTCAGAGGAAATAGTTAGAACAAGAATAGGCACCAAGGTAAATGTAGAAGAGGAAAGCCTAGTATGAAGGAAGACCGGTGATGATAATGCCCGTGGGAGCTCCACCAGTGCTAGTGGGCCGCTCAACGCAATTGTATCTGATAAGAGCGAGAGCGGACTAACGTTCTAATATGGCACAATGGTCTATACCTAGATTATATGTAGCCATGTACTTCCATTCCAACTCAAATAATCAACGAGATGATCTTGCAACGAGACAAATTTTCTAACTTCTCTGAAGTGCAATCCGAAATATCTCCGAAACGAAAAACAAAAGGCATGTTGGCAAAGATTGAGTTGGGTACAAGCAACACTGTGCATCATGGCGTCTTCGAACACCGCGACAACATCCATAGGCTTCATCGGGCTCGGAGCCATGGGCTTTGGAATGGCGTGTAATCTGTCCAGAAAGTCACAGTATCGTGTCACAGGATATGATGTGTTCCCGCCGAGTGCGCAGCGATTTGCTGATTCTGCAGGATTCGTCGCTGAGTCTCCAAAACTCGCTGCCGAAAACAGCGAATTCCTGGTTTGTATGGCTGCAAATTCGCAGCAGATTGATCAAATACTATTCAGTGAAGAGACAGGTGCCCTGAAAGGTAGGCGTCAAAATTCTGCCCTCTTCTCACTCTTGGCCCTCTGACGAAATAATATTAAATACATGTGAATCTTAAGCAAAGGTGGCTAGAGAGCCTTGTAGCATAAGACTAACTTAGATACAGCACTTCCGATCTCAGCAATCATCCTCATATGTTCCACAGTCAGCCCCGAATTTCAGGAGTTTCTCCCATCTCGAATCACGGAGGCTGGTAGGCCGGATGTAAAGGTGGTCGACTGCCCAGTCTCTGGGGGCACAGCACGTGCAGCCGATGGCACCCTCACCATATTTGCATCAGGCGAGACAGAAGCCCTTCAGAAGGCCCGGGGCCTGCTCGATGCTATGTCGGAGAAACTCTATGTCATTCCAGGGGGCACCGGCGCAGCGAGCAAAGTGAAGATGGTGAACCAGCTTCTCGTCGGGACGCATATTGCTGCTGCAGCCGAAGCCATGGCGCTGGCGGCGCTGGCGGGACTGAACACCCGTGAGGTCTACGAAATCATCAGAAATGCTGCGGGAAACTCTTGGGCGTTCGAGAACCGTGTGCCTCATATGCTTGAAGGCAATTGGACACCTCATTCGGCACTGGATATTTTTGTGAAAGACATGGTATGTATCAACCTGTGCTACTTGCATGTTTACTTGAACTCCACTGATACTGCCCCCAGGGTATAGTTGTGTCAAGCGCGCGAGCACTGCAATTTCCTCTGCCTCTAGCTTCAGCAGTTGAGCAACTGTACATCTCTGGTTCATCTGTGGGATACGGAAAAGAGGATGATGCTGGACTTGTCCGTCTTTTCCTCCCAGCAACGCCGAATGCTGTCATGCAAAGTGCACAACAGATCATCCACAGGGGCGAGGAGATACCAAGCACTAAGACGAACCCGGCAGCCTCCAAAATTGGCTTCATCGGTCTAGGTGCGATGGGCCAAGGCATGGCAGCTTCTCTTCTCCGGGCAGGCTATTTTGTCCAGGGTTTTGATGTCCATGAACTAGCCATTGATAAATTTCTCCTGAACGACGGCAAGGCCGAAAAGGCTGCTTCGGCAGCAGAAGCGGTGAGAGGAGCCAAGATCGTGTTTCTGATGGTACAAAATGCATCACAGGTCGACAATCTCTTGTTTGGCAATGGTAATGCGGTGGAGTCGCTGTCAGAAGGCGCCGTCGTCATTCTGAGTTCCACTGTCTCACCTTCTTTCGTGAAAAGTTTGGAAAAGAGATTGGCAGGGCTTGAAAAGGACATCAGCTTGATTGATGCTCCCGTCAGTGGAGGCGTGGTTCGAGCTGCAAACGGCACTCTCACGGTTAGTGACTATTGTTGCACCTGGAAAGTCTGGTGCTAACTCACGGATGTTTAGATAATTTGTTCCGGACAAGACTCCGTCATCGCCCAGTCGAATGGTCCATTGATGGCAGTGGCCGGCGTGCCTGAAAACCTGTGTCACGTACAAGGTGGCGTTGGCGCTGCATCGTCTGTCAAGCTCATCAACCAACATCTAGCTGGCATCCACATCGCATCAGCCGCTGAGGCCATGGCGTTTTCCGCTCGCTTAGGGCTGAACACAAGATCCGTGTTTGAGACTCTGAAACATGCAGCCGCCTGGAGCTGGATGTTCGAGAACAGAGTGCCGCAAATGCTGGACGCGGACTGGACTGCACACTCAGCGCTGGCTATCTTCGTCAAGGACCTGGGTATCGTCCTGGATGAGGCCAAGCGGCTCCTGGCCTTTGCACCGATCGCTTCAGCCGCACACACCCTTTATCTTGCGGGCGCGGCTCGCGGCCTGTCGACACAAGCAGATGCGGGAGTTGTTCGAGTCTGGGACTTCGAGACAGGCGTGTTTGTCGCTGAAAACTCTGACCCAAGGTTGGATGGGCACGATGCTGAGAGCCACGAGAAGGTCGAGGCTTCATCTCAGTCAGAGCCTCAGCCCACTCCAGCCCAACAGATGCTCGCCAAACTGCCGGTTGAATATCCATCCAACGTTCTCGGAACGATCACAGAGCTTGTTACCAATGGCTCAGCCCCAGTTCTGGTTGTACTCGATGACGATCCTACTGGAACACAAACCTGCCATGATATCGACGTACTGATGGCCTGGGACTCGGCAACATTAGACTACGAATTTGGCCTTGACGTCAAAGGCTTCTTTATCCTCACAAACTCTCGAGCACTGCCCCCTACAGATGCACGACGATTGATCGTTGAAATTACGCGGAACGTCAAACAAGCGGCTGAAAAAGCGGGCAAGCCGGTCGAAATTGTTCTGCGCGGCGATTCCACCCTGCGTGGTCATCTGCCACAGGAGCCGGAAGCCGTGGAGGAGGTACTGGGCAAGTTTGATGCGTGGATCATCGCACCCTTTTTCTTTGAAGGGGGAAGGCTCACCATCGACGACGTCCACTATGTCAAGGAAGAGGAACTGTTAGTGCCAGCAAGTCAGACACCGTTTGCTCAAGATGCCACATTTGGTTACAAGAACTCCAACCTGAGACAATACGTTATGGAGAAGTGTGGCTCACGATTTGACGACTCATCATTTCTATCAATAACGTTGGATGACATCCGCATGCACGGGCCGACTGGCGTCGCGCAAAAGCTTCTGTCGGCTCCAACCGGGTCGGTCGTCATCGTCAATGCTGCGGCAGAGTCCGACATGGGCGTGTTCGTTGCGGGGCTGCTAGAGGCCGGGAGGGACAGCAGACGACCAAAGTACCTCTACAGGACAGGGGCGGCCTTTGTCTCGACTCGACTGGGCATTAAGAGGATCTTGCCTCTCACTTTCCAAGACATTGGAGGAAAGCTGGCTGCGACGAGTGACCGCCAGCCAGGCGGATTGATCGTTGCAGGATCGTATGTGCCCAAGACAACAGCCCAGCTAAGATTCCTGCGGGAGTCACGAGGAGACAAGCTCGTTGTGATAGAGTTGGAAGTGGCCCAGCTCATCGCTTCGCAAGATGCCGCTTCTGCTCTAATCTCAGTAGCAGCAGTTGAAGCATCGCGACAACTGGAACGTGGGCAGGATGTTCTGGTTATGACATCCCGGACACTTGTCAAGGGCAGTGATGCTCTCAATTCCCTCGAAATCGGTTCCAAGATTGCACATTGCCTTGTCCTGCTCGTGGAACTGATCCAGGTCCGGCCTCGGTACCTCATTGCGAAAGGAGGCATCACATCATCTGATGCTGCCACAAAAGGCTTGAAGATGAGGCGGGCGAGGATCGTTGGCCAGGCTGCACCGGGAGTGCCACTCTGGAGGTGCGATGAGCCCAGCAGCCGTTTCTCGGGTATTCCTTATATTGTTTTTCCAGGAAACGTTGGTACTGAAAAGACACTGGCGGAGGTCGTAGAGGCATGGGAAAATTGATTGTTCTGTTCAAGATGATTCATAGCGACAACGTCTTGGCATTAGTGAATGGTCGGGAAAATTGAACGTAAAAATGCTGATTCGAGAGGTGAAATGGAAGACAAATGGATTTATAGGCTATATTTGAACACTGACACAAAATTTCATGTTTCCCCAAGCTGTATCTCATTCTTCTACAGATTCCAGTCTTGAGACCACCACTGCATGAAAAGGTCAAGATCACAACTTGAACATGGTCGCAGGAGATTGGTTGGCTGCGTCGACAAGGACAAAACCGCCAGTCTCCGACAAATGAAACAAGTGTAACCGCAAGAATAGATCGTGCAAGATCAATGAGGGAGCAACAAGTGTGCGTTAGCTTCTTAACTGTGTGATTCTACTATGAATTAGTAGTCCTGTGCGGTGAGAATACACACTTCTATCTTGAATACAGCTAGATCTCCATCACTCGACTGCCAGTTGCATTTTTCACTTTGATACCGCAGCAGCCTAATTACCCTGCCTGCTATTCTCACTCCAGAAAGGCAGCCCCGCTTCCATCCGTGCAATTCCATACACCGACGAGCTATCCAGTGACTCACCCGCATACTCGCGCGCAGTCGTCAGCCTGGAAAGCGCCGTCTCGAGGGTAGGAATTCGGGTGCCGTGAGCCTTGGCGATGGATATGGCGTGGCTGGCATCCTTGGACGCTAGGGCAGCGGCGAAGCCTGGCTGGGTGTCGAGGGGCGGTGCGTAGGCGCCGGTGGTCATGCGTTTCGAGTAGCTCTCCAGAACTGGCCCATACATGCTACCTATGAACTCCTCCATCTGGGCGGTCCCAAGGCCTGTCTTCTCGGCAAAGACTTGTGCCTCGGCGATTAGCTCCTGAAGTCCAATGACAAAGATGTTTCTGTTCGCAGGCGTCAAAGTTCAGCGCTTCGTACATCACTGCATATACATGCATGTGTGCTACTTTGGTATAGACAGGAGGGGCTACATACCCTGAGATCTTGAGCAGACTGGCCTTACGGACGTCCTCGCCCATGTTGATGATGCTCCGGCCCATCCCAGCCAGAATGAAGGGGCCGAGTCTGTCAATAGTAGCGGCTGGGCCGGCCATGGAGAATATAAGCTTACCAGCGGCTGCCATGGGGCTGGCACCGAACACGGGAGAGGCAACGAAGGTTGCGCCTTTCTCGCCAAGGCGCTCTGAGCACTTTGCACATGTGTCGGGGTGAACAGTCGAGGTGTCAATCCAGACCTTGCCTTCAAGCGGGATTCCGGCCTCCAGGGCTTTTGTTACAAGGCCGTCCAACACTTCGTCGTTTGAGATCTGAAAGTATGCCACATCAATGGCGAGCTCCATCCTTACTTGCTGGCGTATAATTTTATAGCTCCTTTAATGCATCTCAAGGGTGAAGAAGAACGCCTACCATTGTGAAGATGACGGTCGACTTTGCAATAACTTCCTCCAAGCTCTCTTCAGGAATGGCACCGGCCTGTTTGAGAGCCTGGCCGCGCGACATTGTGCGATTGCTATATCGCAGTGGAGGCATGCCCTTGGCGGCGAGGTGCTTTTGAAGGTTCAGGGCCATGCCAATGCCCATAGACCCGAGGCCATACTATAACGAGCATGGTGAGTGCTGGCCGGAACAATTCCGTATATCTACGGAAAAGAAGGGAAGGTAGCTCGCTACTCACCCAGCCAAAGCTTTCTGTGGACGCCATTTCGCCGCCGGTTTTACTTGTTGTCGATGGCTTAAGATTTACTTGACAGAAGATGTTACGACTTAGATGGGCAGAGAATGAAGAATAAAGCAGCTTTGATTTATGCAACAGCAATTTTGCTTTCGCGATGGTCTATTTATCCCACACATGTACACTGTGATCTGCTGCATAGCAACCTCCACCCATACAGTACTAGTGTGCATTTTGGTGCTGTCAACGTGGAGCTCCACCGTGGCGATGTCGGGCCTCCCGCCGCACTGCGAAGAGTCATTGTAAGCGGGACGCTCATTCATCCTACTAATTTACGGATTCCCATGATAATTTCGCAACTGACAGAAGCTTGAATGCAGGAGATCTCAGTTTCTCAAGCCGAGTATCATTGAGAATGCCTTACAACAGCTTGACAGTCAGCCTCGCATCATGTCTCCACTGTTTTTGTCACAAAATTATCTCGGTAGTCTCACTTTTCTTGCCTGGACGGACTGTTATCGCTGGAGCATCACAGCACACATCTAATAATCAAATTTGGGGCAAAGGCCGAGCAGGTAGCGGGTATATGGTTACCAGATTGACATCCAATATTTTCGTCACGTTTCGACGCTTCTGTCTTATTTAGAACTTCCCCCTTTGGAAAAAAGACTTTCGACATATGGCATCATGATAAATGTCTTATCACATACAGCATCAGGAAGTACTTGCCACCTGGGCATCCATCCCGCGAACACCATTCCACAGACCTGCTGCAGCCGACGGCATTTCCTCGGGAATCCCAATACATCCATCTAACTTTTCCTAAATGTTTGTAATGCAGGCGGCTGATCCTGGTACGGAAGAACGACTTTGTACTTCCTAGATCCAGGCGCCTTCATGAGCTGACCAGACTCAGGGTTCATAATTAGTTCGACCATGCAATTCAATTGGCGAACGTGTCCAGAATCGAAAGTAGCCTTGGCAATGGGCGCTCTGTCGATACGTGAAGGACTATATCTGTAGCCGATGATATGATGAAAAGCCTCAGTATCTTGGATTGGCTGGACGTTTTTGCCAACATGATCGGCTTTATGTGTTTCCCAGACAACGTAGCCAGCTTGATGAAGAAGGTAAAACCATTGGGCACTGCACGAACATTAGTCTCAAACGGTTGCAATGCCGGCGCCAGGAATCGGGAAACTGCAGAACTTACGTGAAATCGCGGCAGCCATTAGGATGCTCTGCCAACTCTTGGTTTCGTCCGGATTGCCGCGCAGGACCAGCACGTCCCGGGGCGCCCGGCTTGTCTGTTAATGTTCGAGCTACAACTCTGTATGTAAACGGTAGTAAAGGATTGGCCGCATCCATGAAGTTCTTCACGGTCAGGCCCGCCGCAGGAACATTGAAATGGAAAGAGACATAAGGGCTTCGTGTGTTCGCCATGCCATTTTGCATCGCCTTTAATGTTAGACTTCGACAAGTCAGAGATGTTTCAGGGGTCTCAACAGATACTCTGACACTTTCGCAAGTCCTAATGCGCCCGGCCTTATAATATATAATGCTATAAGAACAGTGGCTATTAGCAAAAGCGGCAACTTACAAGTTGGGTACATACGGATTTGCAATTAGGAAACGTAGCACCCAATGGTTCTTTTTCTTCCCCATCTCCTGCTTCAAAGGATCCGCGGCCACAAATTCCGCGTTCCCCAGAGCCTCCACGATGAGGACCTTAACCTTTGCATTGCGCATCAGAGTTTGTAATTCAACTTCCGAAGTGTCCGGCTTGGGAGCGGGAGGAGCTGTCTCCTTTGCCTTTGCCTTTCCCTTCTGAGCATTGGTGTTGTGACTGGGCATATCGCGGAATCGATGTATTGGGAATCGATGTCTTGGATCAGCGGAACGAGGATTCTTTCTTAATAAATACTGGCCCAATGTAGGATAATATAGCGTATTTGCTTTAATACTAGATCAGATAATGTTCTTGGAAGAATGATTGCGATTTGATTTATTGCTGTTTCAATTAAGGAACCTCGTCTTGCTGCTCTAGCTTTATACACGACATGCTGGGCCACAAAAACCTCATCCGACATCACATCCAAGTTCGTTGCAGAGAGTGGAGTAGTTAGTTGTATACTAAAATTGGATTTTTGACATTTTGGTCACCAACTTGGGCGACATTGAAGCAAAATATGGTCTCTGAACATGGCCGAGGCCGAAACGCCACAATGGTGGAGTTTGACCAGCGCTATTTAGAAGTTCGACCATTCTGCCCGTTACTATGAAAGGATATCATTAGTTGCCAGTTGACTCGGAGTAGTGGATCATGAGAAACAATGGACTTCGAGCAAGCAGTCACCGGTCGCCTGTGCCGCCTCCTGGCCGCAGGCAGGCTGAAATATGTGGAGCTGAAGCTGTTCCTCCGAGCACATGTAGGCGCGACGATTAGTGCACGATAATCGCATCGGGTGCCGTTGGCAGTTCAGCGCCCCACGTCAATAAGGCACAGGCTCGCCCTGGTTGGTTCGGCGGCCTGGATGTTGGTGAGTAGCACTTTGAGCGGATCAATGGTATATTTAGCAGATGGTCACCAAAGTTTTTTTTTTTATAGAATGGACCCAACACATTTGATTCTGAGCCGTCGATCGGTGTTTGGATGCATGTCTGACTAAGCGGTCACCACCGGTGAAAAGACTTAATCTTTCAATGTTCGAGGTCTGCCTAATTCTTTCATTTCTCACCGATTCAACCGCAAGATTGAAGGTTGCCAACAAACATGAACAAACCTCCCAGCCACAACACTTCCATTACGACAGTCCAAATCAATATGGCAGATGAACAATTCTCCCTTGACTGGAAGCTTGTCCGTGACGAGATCATCGCCGCCTTGGCCGATGAACTCAACCCACAACGACACAAAAACCACTTTGAAGTGATGAGGGGATTCAAATTGACCAACGGTCACTTGCCCGCTGGTGCGGATTGCGTCTGGATAAAATACGACTTTGATGTCCCGCGCTTGCAATGGCAGGCAAACACTCAGGCATGGGCATACGAGCAAATCGCTAAAGACGATAACGCAAATGCAAGGTTCCACATTCCCCGTGTTTGCGATTTCTTTGAGGCAAGAATTAATGGTTTGGACTATGGGTTGATCGTCATGGAGTTTGTTGAAGGCGTGACTGTAAGCGACATCGAGTTCAATATCACGTCCAGCAATATAAGCCAGGAGGAGAAGCAGAACAAGTTATGTTTGTTCAAGGACCGTGTTGTGGAGGCTATTTGTCTTTTATACTCTTTAACTCCACCTGAAAATACGGCGCCAGGTCCTTATGGAGGCGGTCTGATTACGAATCTTGTCTGGGGCCGTGAGGATTCCAATTCACCGCAAGAATATGAGAGCGTGGAAGATCTACAGAACTGGATTAACGCGGAAAACGACAGAGTGAGTCAAACGGAACTCCACTATAGATCATAACTAATGACATATAGACAAATCCCGGCTACCCGCCTGTAGACCTAGTATCGGAAGATCTACGGCTCTGTTTTGGCGATATGAACCTGACGAACTTCATCATGGAGGATGAAGACCCTTCAAGTCGCTTGATCATTATAGACTTTGAGCATGCAAACTTCCTACCGACGTCATTCCTCGTCTACTCATCTTGGCTTACCCACGATGCCCATATCAGCGAGGGCATAAGGATAAGAGCTCATTTGCAAGTTAATGAGGATACGAATGCTGCACTTGACAACATCAGAAGACATAGACCTTATTAGCAACAAGAATCCAGGGATTGACTCAAAATTTCAGAAACCTGATATATGCAGTTGACATCAAGCGATCCCAGTTTGATCCGCAACAACTCAGCCCCCAAAACTGTGACTGCAATACCTCCAAAGAATTCCAGCCATTGCTATTTATGGCGTGGCTGACAAGTTCGGGAAGTGCTGGAATCCAGGAAGACTCATATACGGCGTAGCCATATGAATGCATGCAGGTCCTGTTTTGTAGTTCAACAGGAAGCTGCAGAAGGACACTGACCGCGTCTGATCTTTGGATGTACATCTTTCAGCTTAAGCTTGATGCTGGCCCGCTCTACTAAGCGGCAATAGTGCTATATGTTGAGTTAGGTTATGCGTCCAAATTGATTTCCTTGAGGATTGTCGCCATCGACGTCCCCATGCGCTAGAAACTCCACTTTTTATTCCAAAGCCGAGTCCAACATCCTTAACCAGGGTCTTCGTTAAAGAGCATTTCCTTTAAGAGGCATTACATGTTAAGTGCTATTCCTAATCAGTTATAAGTATATTTTTCCTAAGCCTATTTATCTGCCCCTTACAATACATTCTAATAATCCTTGTATTCAAATTAACTCTTTTACTTTTCAAAATAGTATTCATTTATTTTTTAAAAAAGATATTTTTAGTGAGAATAACACTCAGGCTCAAGGGTTGACACCAGGCATACCCCATAGTCGTCGCCCCTAAAATATGATCACATCGATATGCCCCACCAGATTTCTCGACGTGAAGTCGGGGTCGTTGAAACAGCCATTCTTGCAGCTCTTCTTCGGTAGCACAAGCGTTCGGTATCCGAGCTGCACGCTAATCGACGTTACCGCCAGGCGGCCCACCCAGTTTTCATGACATCTTAGGACCATAGGTCGATTGGATTTGTCGAGAAGCTCCTGCCAGCTGTCTGCGCACACAATTTGTCTCATGAGAGCGTTCCTCTTCTTCCCCATTTCTTGTAGTCCTATTGCTATGGGTTGAGTGGCGTACTTGTGACCGCTTTCACACTCGCTCGGCACTTTGGTCAGCGTGGCAGTTGATGAGGATAAGGCTTTGACGATATCAATGTCTCCTATCCAAACGTTACCATCATAAACCGAGACAATTGCTTCTTGGAAGAAAGCTTGCATATCCCGTTGGCCCTGGTGCTCAGCCGTATAGGGAACCCGGTATTCAGTCAGGGATAAGTGAAGAGAAGTTTTATTGAAGTGATCGGCTGTCGATCCATCCCAAGGTTCGTGATTTATGACATTCCACTCCCCTGTGTCGTTCTTTTTTATTTGAGGGACTGGTGGAGGGATCAGCAAAGACACGCCGGGTTTGCCAATGTTGCCAAAGGTTCGACTCAATGAGCAAGAATCCGAATCCTCGTGCGGGTCGGACGAGAGAACTCCAGCAGCGTAGATCGAGCTTCCAACGATGACTGCCATGACATTGTTCAGCAATCCAGGATCGAGGTCTTGGTCACCTGTCTCGAGGTAGGCTACCGCAGAGAATGCATTTTCCATGCGCGTCTGCACTGACTTCGATAGGAATCCACTGAAACACTTCTTCGAACTTAACGGTGTGCGTAGAACATCAAGGGAGACAGTGACTTCTGAAGTATCCAAATTCTTATACAGGTGATCAAGGAATCCGAGAAATATTATCGAATCATGATTTCGCTTCGCGGATATTCCTTTAAATTGCATCAGGTCTCTTCGCATGAAATCAAATATTTGGTCGAATTCCACTTCGGACTGCATTGTAGGGCCTTTCACCGAGTGATTAAAAACGCTGCTGATCCTCCTGTAAATTGCTGCGTATTTAGGATTTCCAAAGTAGTGCTTGAAAGCCATAGGCGTCGCGGCAAGCCCTTTCGAAGTCAATTCTGGACAAAAGGACCTTGTGAAGACCGAGTTCCCATGGACATCGAGACGTTTGTACGCATCTTTGGAAGGTGTAAAGGACAACAACTGGTGCTCTGTACCCATATTGGAGATCATTCGCCGCGCTATCCTGGATGATTGCACAAGATCATCTCCCGTTGTCCATGTCCAAGGCTCGGATTGGGCTTCCGCTTGGTCGGAGTCGTCCCTGATTAGGTGCAAAGCTTTGCCGTATTCTTTTGAGGTCCACCGATGGAAAACATTGGGAGCTGACTCCCCTCGTCTTGTTGAATTCTGGCACGGGATATTGCTTGGGAAGCCGGTCCGTCCAAGGAAAGAGTCGTTGTCAAAAGACACCACCATCCAAAGCCCGCTAGTCAACCGTTTAACACTTTTCTGTAGTACTTCACACAGTAATTGCTGCCGGACGTCCACGTTTTCGATGAATTCGATCAACTTGATAACATTCGTCATCCCGAAGGTCTGATTTTCAAACGTGGGTGTCCTCCCCTCCTTGTCCTTCAAGAACTCCCCGCCATTTCTGTTTCCATATGCCATTATTCGCGTCATTACACGCCGCCTGTCGGGGGCTTCGATCAGAAACTCTCCAGCCGCCTTACCGAGAGCTTTATAACCTGCAACGATTGGACCACTCGACTCTTCCATGCGACTCGCAAGTAAATGATAGAACTTGCAGACGTAATCGAATCTGTCCTGTGTTTCTGGCCACTCCCTGGCAAGTGCACCTAGTGCAGCAAGCATCAACTCCGTGATTGATACCCTTGATGGATTAGCATCCATGATTCTCGTGATCGTCATGGGTGCACCGTAGTATCGAAGCTTCGCCAACGGCAATGACCATCGCACACCATAATTGATGCCGTCAGATGGCCGCAGTCCGACTGTCAGAATGCCTCCTGGACTAACGAGGGGGTCATTCTGCCGCACTTCCTTCTCAGGTGGACCACTGGACAGCTCACTGCTATACACAGACATGTCTGGGTACAGATGCCATGCTGACAATCCGAGGAGCGCTCCCCCGTTGTATACGCTTTGCGCCACACCGGCGATCAATTTGTCTGCGACTTTCATTGACTCCGTCCATGCTTCCATAACACTTTCGTATGTACCAGGCGTATTGTTGACTGGAATGTCGATGTTGCCAATGATCAAGCGGAATTGAATAAGTTCTGCGGCCTTGATTGCATCCGCCGTTTGCAGCCATGACCTTGTGCTAGCATCCAATTCAGCGAGTTGCTCACGAGTGACGGTAGAGTTGAGTGCTGTTATATCAGCAATCTCCATCCCCTCCTGATGTAGCTCAGCTTTTCTGGCATTCAATACCTCAGCCCAGATCGATACAGCTTCAGGCGGGGACCAGAGCCGGGCTAATAAACAAGCCAGAAGTTGCACACAAAGAGCTTCCGGTCCGGACGTTGCGGCTGCCCAAAGAGAGGTGCCGTCGATCCCCACGTTCTTGGAGAAAACGTGGTTTTCATAGTTCTCAGCCGAGTACTCTCTGGTGTCTTTCTTCCTGTTCTTTGAAGCCGCCGCGATTTGCGAGACGCGGTGTCCAAAAGCCTGAAGAAGATGGGGCACTTTCGGTAGTCTACCTCTAAAGACGGCGCCCAGTCTGCGCGCAGCAATGTGCTGAGAACCCCCTTCAGCCTGGCGACGGCGGTCTTCAGACAGGCTACTGCCCAGGAGCTGGTACTCCCTGGGTGCCTCTACCTTGTACAAGGAGAAGTCAAAGTTCAACGCCGCCAGTGCCATCGTATTCTCTTGGGAGGCAGCCATTAAGGCGGCTGTGAACTTGCCAAGGGAAGACGCCATTATGTTTGTTGAGAAGATACTGAAGAATGTGTCTCATGAATCTAGACAAATATGATCATGCAGCGGAGTCGGAAGGCTGTCGGAATTGTGAGCTGCTGCACAACGTGCTTGACCTTTCTCGTTGGGTCTCGTTGGGGCGACACCAGTTGACCTTGGTGAATAACATAGAGTGCGCATGACAGCTCCAAAGTCTGTCACTGAGGCTACTGTGTCATGATTTGAGGGGTCGAGGTGCTTTATCTATGGATGACACCACAGCCACCAGTACCGGTGTGTTGGCATGTGTAAAAACAATCTGCAGCCCGCGCAGCTGCATGCAAGCCACCCTTGTGATTTCGTCCCGGGTGATTGGATCATCGGAATGCGCGACGGTAGCATAAAATGACTTGGCAAAGCTGCTTGGACCAGTTGAGATACTTTAGTTCAGGCCACGCGCGAAAGAGGTATTTGTGAAACCAAGGTCGATCAAAGTAGTCAGCAGCAGGACGTCTTCACGAAGACCCCTCCCCGGCCTCCATGGGCCATCTTCGCGGATACTAACCTCATATCCACTTCAAGATCTCCCTTTAAATCCATGCCAGATAGATTATCTTCCTGGCTTTCTTCCGATTATCAAAGCTCAACCAACCGCCTTACTCCGGTATACACACATCTCTCCAACAGAGAGATGCTCTCATTCTAGGTGATAATCTCCTCGCCACCAGCCCTTATTATTCCGAACTTGCCCGGTCGCCTCATTCCTCACGCAATCCAATCTCGTGACCCTGACCGCCTTTCAGCACATTACTAACGCGATGAGACAGGAGCGAGCCTACCGGCTTGAGAGGAGTCCAAATCCAGCCAAACGCCGCCGGTATGTATCAAATATTTGGGCGAATTCCGATGCATGCGCTCTCCCAGTGTGATTCTAAAAATTACCAAAGGCTGATGAGCGCAACAAAAAGTCCTTTCCAGTCAGGTTATGGGGCTGATAACCTTTTGTGGAATAAGTTCCCATTGCATAATTTCCTGCGGGATAATGTTGTAAGCCATAGAGAGCTCTGCAATGACGAGTTACGATAACAATATGAAGTTTAAAACAAATAACGATAAAACACATAACGACAAAACAGATGACGATAAAAACAAAGACCAGTTCCTCTGGGAGTACTCACGCAGTGAGTCCCATTACCGATCAGTCGGGCCATGCCCCCTCCGAGCCCGCTTGTCCGCCCCCTGCGGCGCATCCCGGTGGTCCTTGTGCTCAAACCAATCCTTCCACTCCTCAAACAGGACGTCCTTGAAGAAGACACCCGCCCCCGAGACCCGGCCGTGGACGAGCTCGTGCAGCAGCTCGTGCCACCAGCCGTACTGGTCTTCGTAGTACTCAAGCATTACCTGGGCAATAATGCTCGGGCCCATGGCGGCCAGAGCCCAGTATCCCTCGCCGTCACAGAAGTGGAACGAGCTGCTGTACTTTTGACGCTGGTCCCTGAGCTCGGCCCAGCGGTCCAGGGCGTCTCGGATGTCTGTGTTGCGCTCTAGGCCCATGTTAATGATGTCGTTGGCGGCAAGCTATTCGGAAATTTCTCATGTTTAGCATAGATCAGGCATTTTAATATGTGCTTTGATAGTCAAAATACTACTTAGAGATTGGCATGGTGCTGTAAGACCTTATAATTTAGGATGTCCTTAGGGTCCAGCTTGTAGCATATATCCGTCTCAAGCTTGTTATCTATCAGCAACATGTCAGCGGCTTGCTAAGTCAATATCGTTTCGAGGTTCCATAGGTTTGTTTACCATACAGAGGACAACAGCCATAAAGTCATTTCCCCTGGTTAACCTGTATACCACAAATGGCATGATCTTTGGCCCGAGCGCAACAAGAGCAGCAAACTCAGGCCCGCTAGCTCGGGTGTCCGAATCTGGTGGATCACTGTTGCTGAACCATGTCTTCCTCCAGGCGTCGTACTTGGTATCAAAGTCCTTGGCAAGGGCGGGAGACGCGTTCTTGAGCTTGTTGTATACGTCCTGGGCCGATTTCACCGCCGCGGCACAGGGAGGTGGGACGGTTGCGAAAGGATCCATGTGGGGGGCTTTCCTATTTGTCTTGGATGAAGATGATGAGGACGGTCGGGAGCAAGACGAAGACGAAGACGGACATTGGGAAGAAGAGGATGAGGTGGATGGTCGGGAGTTGGGGGGGGGGGGGGGAGGAGAAGAGGAAGAGGACTCTGGATTCGGCGGGGCCGAATTTGCAGTTGGCGGCACAGCAGGTGGCTTTGCAGTTTGCTGTGAAGCGCCTGATATCTATAGTCATATCTCAGCTCAAACTTGATGCTGGCCCACTCCACCAGGCGGCAACAGTGCTATCTACTAAATCAGGATACTCGTCGGAAATAATCTCCTCGAGAACAGTAGCCATGGAGGTACCGATGGGCCAGACTCTCCTCTTCTTCCAGAACCCCAGCACAGCTTTCGTGAAGCACGCCTCGCCCAGTTCCGGAGAAGCAGCCATCAGAGCGTCCAGCCCTTCCAAACCCGCCTCGCGACCGCCATCCTGCTGGCCGGGCAGTGCTGTCTCCTCCATTGCGACGTCCATGATAGCATGAAAGATCACGGTAGGAGCCTCGAACCTCCTGCGAGCCTGCGCCTGCGACCCAGCTGCGCGCGCGCGCATCTCCGAGGCTGCCCACCTGAGCGACCGCCAGATAGCCAGGACGACCCTGTAAGAGGCCATGGTGGCCCATGGCGGCTCGCGCCGGGCGTCTTGCCGGTTGCTGGACAGGATGGCGGACAGCAGGGCCATGGCCTCGTCGAGGATCATGATGACGGCATCGTCGCCTGAGTTGTGCTGTAGCAGGGACTCGAGCGAGCGTCTGGTGCCGGCGTAGCGGCCTAGTGTTAGGTGTGTCGCCGTTGCTAGGCCGGCGACGACGCTGCTGTCGACGATGCCGCCGATCAGAAGGTCGTCGGGCTTGTAGAGGGCGATCTTGACGGCTAGGCCTATGCACTCGATCGCCCGCCAAATCGGTCGGTATGTGTCTGAACCATCGCCTTGAACTTGGTCCCGTCCTGCGACTGCTCGGGAAACGTGTCGCAGGGCTGCTATGACCTGCCGATTCTGCGACTGTGTGAAGATGTGGAAGGCTGAAGGGTCCTGGAGGGCTGGTGGCATCTGGTAGTAGCAGCGTGTAAAATCTCTGACGAAGGCGTCGATGTTGGTCAGCACGAAAAGAGTTGCCATGGGAGATGCTGCTAAGGCCATCATAAGCTGTGGACTTGGTGAGCCCGACATCAGCGACTGCGTTGCGAGGGCCAGCGACCTCGTATTGGGTCAAGGAGGGCCGGCCGTCTCGTCTGATCCCAGCAAGGCCTGGATGCGCGGCTCCTGGCCGAGAATCTCCGACCAGGTCGCTGCTGTGTCTGCTTCCCACAGGGCAATGGAGAAGGGGAGTTCCCAGTCAAGGTCGAGTGACGAGGTCATCATGCGGACGTTGCAGGGGGCTGATATGTGGAAGTCGAGGAAGAGAAGCGTGTACATAGATAGCTTCATCGACTCCTCATCGACGTACAACATCCACAGGCCCTGGAGTGTATCCACATCATTTCCCTCGAATGGTGGCGCATCGTAGGACCTGATCCAGGACTGGGACGCAGAAGTAGCTACGGCTTGTCGGAGTAATCCGAGGTCTTGGGCAGCCTACACGGGGGTTTATTTCAGCGCAGAAACATAAGCATGAGCATAGCATGAATGTGAGCAAGCAAGACGTAATAAATAAGGCTTGTCTTACGTCTACACCAGTGCGTAGCATCTTCTTGGCCTCTTTGTATTGAGAAGCACCGCCCATGAAGGCGCCGTAGATAATGTGCAGCAACCAAGCCTGCATGGTCCATATCCTCCGTAGCTCCTTCCAGTCTGAGCCCACCTATAGTAAACATAGCAGTCAGTAGGGTTTGATCTGAGGGTTGGAAATAGGTGATTCCAGGAGCCACATGTAACAACATACGAGGCGAGCGAGTCTTCGACGTCCTGTGTCCCACAGACTTTGGCTCAGCCGAATACATGACAGTGCACCTTCCTCAGGCAGAGTTCGAGCCGTGTAGAGGCAGCCGATGGCGGTGATTATGTTTCTCAGCAGCTCTGGAGTGTCGTTGCCAAAGGTTGGTCGGTGAAGTAGTGGGAAGGAGGGGTGGAAATATTCAAAATAGGCGGCGATATGAGCTTCTATGTCCCCTGATGGAACTCTAAAATAGCAGCGTTGCCGGTTAGCAAGAATACTAGTTGCCAACGAGCAGGTAAACGAGGAGACAAGGGTTGGTGGGGCGATAGCGACGTACACAGTCTTGGCCTGACTGCTGGCAGGGGAGGCTTGAGACAAAGCTGGTCTTGAGCGAATGTCCAATGGACTGGATGAAGATGGCTGGCCCTCGACGGGGACGGTGATGGGGCTTCCAAGGACAACATGGGGGTTTAAATTTTGATCTGGGTCTGGCGGCGACGAGGCGGTATCGAGGTGGGCTGAGCGTGAAAGTTCTGGGTGTGGTGGTGACTCAACACCACGGTCATGGTCTTGGTTATGGCCGTCAGGCTGTGACTGTGGCTGTCTCTTTGCTGCTACACGATGGCTACCTCCGCTTCGACATCGCTCTACGTGTCGCTTGCACACATCCCTCCTTGAGAACCTCGCCTGACAGAGCAGGCATTGAAAAGGTCGATGTGTGCCGAGTCCATGTTCTAGCTGTGGTCAGCAAGTTACGATAGACCAAAATAACAAGGATTGAGACAGGAGGCAGGGATTAGGAATGAAGTGTGTGGTTCTTGGAGCATACTTGAGCGTCCATGTCGTTCCAGGTTCTCCTTGATTGGGCCATTTCAGTCAGCGAGTTATTAAACTACGCACAACGTAGGAGATGCGACATATGGCTGCTTGTGGGCTACATACATTCCTGGTAAACGTTTGTGAGCAGACAGAACATGTGAAGGGTCGATTGGAGCTCATTGCGTATGCAAATGTATATGTGGATGAGTGTATGTAGATAAATATATATGCTCATGCCATGTGGTCCAAGTCTAGAACTCACATGGCAATACACACCCATCCCATTTCCCCCCTACGCGTCGGAGCTTGATACGGCGGGGTTACGGTCAGTCGGTTATTCAACACCAACCAACCCTGACCCTGGACCGTCCGGCAGAAGGGAGTTTCTCGGCAGTCGGCATTAACACAGCCGTAGATAAGCGCTAAACATGTTGCAGTGAAATATATAAGCTAGATTATAAATCCTCGTCGGCGACTCAGCCTTATCAATTCATGCAGACATCGCAAGTACTGTTGGTGTGGCTTAGATAGAACACCTTAAAGAACACGAAGACTCCATACAAAAAATGTGAATAAGCTCCATATAGATTCGAGGACATCAGAATTATTCAAGAATCTGAGCTTACTGAGTCTATCAATACAGCTTACACCGAGTACCCATTTTTGCCTAGTCTCTATGCCTGTACGCAGCTAATCGGTCAGTCTGGAACCTGGTCAGACAGATTTCCCGGCACAGCCTGCCTTAAACCTATGCATGCAACCAATCGTCCCCTGCACGAATGAGTGAGATGGATGCCTTGTTCAACCACAGTCGTCCAACCTGCGGTACGTACTCCGAGCTGAATGGCCGAGCTAATTGAGAAGGCGTTAAAGGGTTCCGAGATCAGTTCGTGGGGCCGACTATGGGTGTGGAGAGCGATTGGTTGTTGGCACTTTCTGAGAAGTTTTAAAGGCTGGAGAATCCGCTGGCTCTTGGAAATGTTACCCCTCTGGCTTCTGCATTGAAGGCTCGCCGCTGGCCTCAAGGGTGCTCATCCACTGTACACATAATTGTCAGCTTCAATATCCATCTCTAGTCTTTAATTGAACAACTCATGGAACCTACTTCTAAGTCGCTGCGAGCGACTGGCGGTTCTGAGCCAATGGCTAAGAAACTCTGTCTGCTGTCCCTGGATGGCGGAGGTATTCGGGGCCTGTCATCACTCTTCATCCTCCTGGACCTTATGAAATCGCTGGATCCATACGATCCACCCAAACCATGCGACGTCTTCGATATGATCGGAGGGACATCTACCGGAGGCTTGATTGCGATCATGCTTGGCAGGATGAAGATGACCGTCCACGAATGTATTGAGGCCTATCTATACATCAGTCGCAAGTGGAACGTGCATAACGGGTTTATCCACTTTGATTTGAAGGAGGATTTCAAACGTTTCATATTCAAGCATACGATGGAGCCGGACGAGCTCTTCTGCAAGAGCGGGTGCGATACGGGGTGCAAGACGTGAGTCTACAACGGTCGGTTATCTAAACCGCATAATCTAAATATCGAGAATTACAGATTCGTATGTACTACAAGCATTCGAACTTGGGGAACTGTCATCATGTCGAGCTACTATTCATATTATCGGGACAACGACTATAATGCCAAGATATGGGAGGCTGCTCAGGCGACAACAGCGGCGACATCAGCGACGGATTCCAGATTCGACGACATGACACTCTTTGGTGCCAACAAAGCGGTGAACCCCATAAACTACCTTTGGATCGAAGCAACCAATCTCTTCGGAAAGGACCAGGTGGATTGGAAACTAGAGGACCACCTCCAATGCCTAGTCTCGATCGGGACGGGCTCTCAACAAAGCCTACCAACACCAACACCCTTGAACCTTTCTGAAAATGCGACTAGTTGGATTGAATTACAAAAGGCGCTCGAAAAAGAGACCGATGAGATATCCAATGGATTTCAAAAGAACCATGCCCAGCTTTTCCAACAAGGGGTGGCCTTTCGATTCAACGTGGACAAAAGTGTCAACGTCGACGGAAATAAGTATGAGTTTACTGGCGAGGCAGACATAGCCCATGAGATTTCACGTGTCACCAGGACATACCTTAAGGAAGCCAGGTCTACTTTGGTCTTGCCTTGCATGAAACGACTGAAGGCAAAAGCCTTCAATTCTCAGTTCAAGCCTCTGCTTGGTAGTAGCCTCAGAGTCAGCGCCCAAGGCGAGGAAGAAATGCCTTCAAGTCCAAGCGACCAAGTATCACGTAAGTACCTCTCCCACATCACTTCTGGACAATCATTTGTATCTAAAGCTTTATTCTACTTTCACATGAAGGTATGTTGATGAAGTGCACCCTCTCGACAGATTCGAAAGCCGGTCAAAGTGATCAAATCGCCACAACAATAGAAGAGGCAATACAAAGCAAATTTGTATGGACTCCCGATAATATATTGGTTGACACAACTTTCGAGGTTTCTTGGGAGCTGCAACGCTGCATTCAAGACGAATTGGATGGTGATTACAATCTTGGCCCCGTTCTTACCATCTCCGGCGATTCCTCACATTTTTGGGCCACATCATGTCTTGAATATGTTGAACACAGATGGCCTACAATCGGTAGCGCATTTCTCCAGCTGTTGCGGCGCACGGAAGGCTTCACGCGCAAGGTAGGGGCTGGTCAACAAGGTGAGCACGAGACCTCATAACTGCGGCGTCTAGTACCAAGGCAACCCGGTCATTAGTAAGAAACCACCTACTAATACACTATGATGGCGAAGATCTTGGTGGCAGTGATTCAGAAGATGAGGAGGAGACTGATGGGAGTATATGGTCACAAGTAAAAAACGACCTACCAACACACGACGACGACGAAGACTTTGGTGACAGTGATATAGAGGAAGAGGATTACAATGATGAGAGTACACTAGGTATCAATCTCCAACTTTTCTTCGAAACGCAACGTCGCAGCGAATGCTCGATTCTCAGATATAGGGGCACAACCAAAGAGCTTACAATCTTAGCTGAATTGTTGTCCTGGGTCACTGCCACTTTTCGATTGCCTCGAGCTGGAGAACTCTGCTGCTCAACTGTAGCCTTTGAGGATATATCTTCAGAGGACGGGCCACAGCTAGGGTTTTCGATTTTTGCTGAAGCTCTTCAGTCTTTCGATCAACGAGGACGGGGCGCATGTTGGGCACCGTTATTCCCCAGCACCGTTATTGCCTGCGGGTTTTCTGTTCCAAAGATTCCTTATACCAACGGTCTGCAAATATCTGTCAATGGTATGTTGGAGATGGCAGATATACTATACGACGTCAACTTCAAGAGCGACGATGGTGAGTCCAGTGGAATTTATCTCGACGGCATCGCCTGGAGACTTTATCCTACGGCCTACTTCAAGGAAGGAAATACCCCTATCGTCCAGTGGCACTTGGTAAAGAAGGAACCACACGAAGAAAACCACCAAGGTCTTCCGCCTGAGCTCCATGGTGGACCGAAATGGCTTGCAGATGTTTCACTGGACACTTTGCAATCTGCGATTGCCGTCTTAGGTTATTGCGACGACGCCCATGTCTATCTCGGCACAGATGAACGCAAACAGCAGTATAAGCTGTTCCGTCATAGTAAAGCGCGCGACGAGAGACATCCGAAGCAACTAACGCTGGGTAACATAACACTTGGCCTCGGCTTCAAACCTGCAAGCATTTCAATCCCATTTGCTGTGAAGAAGAGAAAGGGGCTTGTCGACTCGCGCAAGGACGAGGCCGTCAAGAATTTCTCGCTGCTAGCGGAATGCATAAGCAAGAAGCCGGTGATTCTGTTTGAAACCGAGAAGGGGAGAGAGAAGGCATGGATGGTGTCTCAACTGTCGATGTTTCTCGACTTATACAACTACTGGGCTTTCAAGACCGGATTGGAGGACATCAAATATGCAAAGGCTGGCGCGGATGGCGGTGAGCAGGCCAAAATTATCCTCAATGACGAGGAGTATTCCACAAGGGTGTTATACAAAAAGAGGGGATCGGATGATAAAGATCTGAATGTCAGCGACATGGTTATGAGGATATACGGCCGCTTCATGCACAAGGGTCCCGGCGGCAGGGACAGTCACCAGCTGTCTGACATAACGGTCCCAATGGGAAGAGTAGGAAACAGTATCCTGGGCTGGGACTGGCTCAACTTGGTAGAGTCGACGCCTTTGGATGAGTCGCCCAGGCTGGAAGTTTGGATGGGAAACGCCGGGATGCCACCTTGGGCCCCTCTAATGAAGACGGTGCGCGTTCTCTTCGGCCATGGGATAGGCGAGCTGATTAAGCCTCAAAAACCACAGGATGTGTGTGCAAACTGGTGCCCTGTCCCTGGAGGTCTCGAGAGCCTTTACTTGGTCACCACTGTACCATGTGTGAAGGCTAGAGAGGCTTTTGGTGGAGCTGAGAAGCCTGGTTTGGCCCCCGGGATTGTGTGGAACTTCAGTATTGACTGTACCTTCCAGCCGTGTGTCCATGGTAAGTTGGACGTGGAGAAGTGTATCAAGCAACCACAAAGTCTCTACATCGAGCCAGACAACAGCCGACAGAAACTGCACAAGAAACCGCCAATAATTACCAGTAGAATCGCTGAAGCATCGGATCCGAGGGAGCCGATACCTCCTAACGGTGCGGTGGTCTTTGCCAAGTCCCGAAAAAGCGAGAAGACGCTGCCTGAAGTAGAGGCACTGGGCAACGGCGCGGGTGAGGGCACCTGTGGGGTGGACAATCCGAGAGAGCAGGTCAACGATGATGTTGCGCCGTTGCAGAAAGCACACAGTAGCTCAAAAGAGAGGTCACCGGATCGGTTGAACCATACAGTTGACGGACCCGTTAGTTCAGACCTGACAGAGACGGTGTGCGGCGACCTGGTGGCTTTGCGGACGAAGAAGTCTCGCGCATGTAATAACAAGGGCAAGGGTGAGGAAAGTGGAGGGGACGGTGGCACGAATTTTTCGAGCTTGAGCGAGAAGATGATCGATGCGTGTAAGACCGAGACAATCTCGAATTCGAATTTGGATCTCGATGTCGGGGATAGTGTAACGAAGGCGATCAAGTTGTTCTTCGAGAAGCACCGCAACGGCCTAGAGAAGGAGGAGCGGAGAAGAGTACTGCGAAAGTTGTCCGAGCATCAATCGGCTTCCTTATTTCTGATGGTTTACGAGGGTGATGAGAATATCGCGAAAGAGAATCGAGACGATTTGGTGGACATGTGGAAAGAGGAATGCCGAATCGGGGCATGAGAGGCTGGGCGGGCTTGGCTGCCGATTAGCATGGGCTGTCAATTAGCATGATCTCGTATTCCTTGATCGAGTAAACCTCAGAAGCGGCGGTAAATGTCCTATGCGTGGAGTGAGTACGCGAGCAGAATGTGGGATCCATATCATCTGGCCTTCTTTGCTGAGCCCACGAAACAGATCCCCCTGGCTTAAGTCCGCCCGTCCTAGGGCTTGGATGGAGGCTTTTCAAGTGGACTTCCACTTGAACCTAATTTCCACAGCAGATATCACCAATCCGAGAACTCGACTGCATGTCCGAGCTGCTCTAGTAATAGATATTCTTCCAGTTCTACCCTTCTCCCGTCCCAAGCTCAAAATAAATCAATAGCTGCTGAATGTCGATAACTCGCGACCTGACATAGAAATTTTGACATCAGGGAGAACGGCGAGGAGGTGGCAAGGCTCGAAATTTGCAAGCTCGTGGTTCGTCCGGCACGCAGGCTGTGGAAACAAGGCAACCGGCATGAAGCCGGGCATAAACAAGACCACGGTGGCCGGGAGGCCTGGGATCTGGGAGGAGACCGGCGTGGATGGGTATGAATACCGGTACTTGTTCGTGGGTAACTCTAGGCCGCGGGTACATCCGTGGTATCATGCTTGTATACATAGGACTGTATTAATGGAGGCTCCGCCAAAACCCCAGGGAACGAGCCTGAGTAGCTACCATCCCGAATTCCAAGCCTCCATGGGATGGCTCGTCTCAAACCAAGGTTCGCGGGGTGATGAGTGGCGCATTTTCGCCATCCTCTCCTGCCGTTCCGCCTTCTCCTCCGGATCGCGCCAGATGCCGACAAATTTGAACAATTCTGGAGCAGTGGGCGGCGGAGCCGTAGAAGGGGTTCTACCGTATAGCCCCATGAACACCATCTCGCGAGAGACCCTGAGCTTCAAGTAGCCGTTGCCGATGAGCTTGAACGACAGCTCATACTTGCCGTCGTGGCTCTTGACCTTGACAGATTTCCGGCTCGCGCGTTTTGGAGGGCGGAATGGCCCAAGGTTGCAATTCGCTTCCGCATTAAGGTACACATCTCCATATAATACGCCAGTTCCACCACTAGGCTTCTGCCTGTCCCAATAGAAATCATTCAGGACGTCGTACATGTCGTCTACGAGGTAAATGTCGACTCGTTTGATCGCATAGAGATCGGAGTGAAAATGGTTGACATGATCGCTGCAGAACAGCTTAAACCCGTGGCCCGCAAATGGTCCAACAGGAATAGTCTTATGTTCCTTCCTAATCTTCCTGAGAGATTTATATGCGGCACAAACCTGCTCTTCCTTGGTTCTCTCAAATCCTTGCTCTCGCTCTTTCTCTACCCGCTCCTGCAACTTCTCGCGCTTCCTCTCCTCGCGCTCTTCCTTCAAGTCGTGGTAGTAGTCGGCATCAGACCCGTCGTAAGATCTCTCTGACTCGTGTTCATAAGAATCCATGTCATCGCCGTCTTCGAACTGGCAGTCACACTCAAATCTGAGAGCGGCGACCCGATAGTACCATGATGGGAGGAAGGCGGCGGCCGCTCTGCGCGCGAGACTTTTCAACGCGCGAGGCCCGTGGCTGGATCAGCCTGCTTCGCAAGCTTGCCCATTGTACGTGTGATGACTAGGCCTGTTCGATGCTTTCATACTGGACATGTCGAGTTAGAACATGCTCCACCCTGTCATTCATATTCTCATGTCCTGCAACGTCAAATGAGCCATCGTCACAGACAGCTGGCGACAGCTGGTTGCAGCTGGTGACAGATTCTCTTACATATTCCCAATAAGGAGAAGGATGATATGTGGCAGGTCCCGTCCCGACAATCTGGTGACAGGCGAGCAGGATCCGGGGAAATTGGTGTCAGGCGAAGATGACAAGTGGGTCCCGAGGCGTTCCGACGAACCATTCCCGACCCATCGGGCAAAATGGCCCTTTCCTGCATTTCCCGGCCCGTGGGGGGCTGGACGAGGGCCAGCCCGACTTGGTTCCTCTGGGTCCTCCCATTTCAGCTTGTTGGATCCGCATCACGCCACGGTGGGATGCTTCTGCTGGGCTTGAATGGGCGCCGTCACCCCATCCTCGCCCACCTGATCGTGGAAAGCAAACCACCTTCGAACCACGCTGTGAGAAATACCGGAATGAGGGTCCTCGATTGAGGATATTTTGAGGGTGACGATGAGCGTTGTGTCGGGCGAGTGCATGTATATTAGGTCTAGGATATGCCGCTTGCCACCTCATTCTCAAAGGCTGTCTCACCATCACACAGCATCACCACTCCAAACACATACACTTCTCAGGCCATTCGGGACAGAACCAATTGAGAGTCAAGACACACTTCACAAGTCTTGTTTCAAACAAATTATATCCTAGACCAACATGCGTCCCACACCAGCCATGTTTCAACAAGCCGCCCGCTCGGCACCCAGTTTCCTCCAGAGACTGGCAAAGAGTCCCATGTCCCCTCCAGTCGAGGTGCTCCCCATTCTGATCCTGCCAGTCGGCATGGTAAGCCGCCCCACTCCCTGTCCATCCCTTGCTCTGGACCCACAAGACTGTGCCGGCTTTTGATTGCTGACCTCCACCTCTATTAGCTCTCCTTCGCCGCATACACCGGCTCACGAGAATTCAGATACGACCGGAACTTGAGATTGAAGAGGACAAATGTCGCCGCTATGAATGCTCACTAGGCCTCTGAGCTATATAATATTCGACTGTTCTTTCCAACGGAGTCACTTTTTGGGGAGGACGGGATATACCACTGCTTTACAGGGAGTTGGAGGGGATCATCAACTGGTGTCTGCATTTAAATAGAATGCTAGACTATACAGGGCTATTTCTTGTACATACTATGTAGCCAGGAATGGCATGGAAATATCAATAATTATCTTGCATCAATCTCATATGAGAGCTTGTGTCCGATTCGCGACGACTGATGTGTCGAGAGGACATAATTGTGTCTTTGACTAGGTACCACAGATAACAGAGTATTAACCCCGACCAGGCAACGTCTCAGCTTGGTTTTGAACTTTTTGAATTAAATTGTGTTTTACTTTTGTGGCATCCCTATTTATACTGGCCGTGTTCATCGTGCCCTCAGCCACCCTCCTCACAGGCAGCAAGCCATGCTTTGCCCTTCAACATCTCAATCACGCTATCCCTCAACCACCACCCTCCGCTCTCGTTACTATCATCGCCACTAATATCACCCTCAGACTCCTTGTCTTTGCCTTTGGAAATAGTCTGCTTACTACTTCCGGACACATTTCTCGCCTCAGACCACTCAAACAATAGCCGCAGCCCCTCAAGATTCTCTCGGCTCCACCCATCCAGCCCACTCTCCAGCGCCAGCCGCGCATCAACCTCCGTCGTAGCCGCCTCCTCGCTCCCGCCCTCGCCACCGCGCCGGTCAAGCACCATCGCCCGCTCGGCGTGAGTGAGACTGGCAAGTGCGGGCTGGTCGAACACCCACTCGAGCGGGTCTCTGCCCCCGGATGACAAGGACGTGGCCCCACCCGAGATTGCAGCAGTGTCGCTGCCTCCCACGAGATCATCGCGTCCAAGAGCCCGCAGCGTCGCCCCAAAGACGCTCTCATGCAGTGGCCGCTGCCGCAGGTGCAGGCACTGGTTCTTTTGAAACTCAGCCACCAGCTCCGGCTTGTGCTCAAAATCGAGCTCTAGGTCCCAGTACCCCTGGGCTGTGGCATCGGTGCGGACGGACGAGATCTCCTCGAGTGGCGGAAGTAGACAGGGCGTGTATTTGCGGATTATTGTCGGTTCCTGCTTTTGTTTCGATGGAGCCTGGCGAACTTTGCGTCTTGACTTAGATGGAGAAGCCTGTTTGGCTGCTGGAGGTGTCGGGCTCTTGAGTTTGATGATGACTGGTACACTGACAGGCTGGGTCGTGGTGATGTCTTTGGAAACGAGGCACCGCGAATCTGCCGCAAAGACCCAGAAGTGTCGGAAGGCTTGTAGATGAGCCCTGTTATCTTGGATGCCAGAAGGAAACAATGGGTAAAAGGCAACGAGAAGGGATGCGATGGCCAGGTTGCTTGTGCTGAAGGTGACTGTGCCACTTCCCAGGAATAATGCGCCAATGGCTAAATGCGCGGCTAGATGGCTGCCGTACGATGTCTGCGGATCGTCTCGCCCATGCAGCGCTCGCAGCCTCCTGAAGACTTCAAGGTCACCAGTGCCGGCCATGACGCATGCGGCAGACAAGGCGACAATGTCTTGGCACATTTGAACGTTGTTGCGCGCTAGCTGGGCATCGTAGCACTCGGCTGGCTGCTTTGCCAAGTCCCTGAACTTGTCTAGGTACTTAACTAGCAAGTCGCGCACTTGGGTGTTGCCGGAGCCAGTGAACCGCAGCCCCATGGAGAACAGCAGACCGGCCAGGATGGAGTAAAAAGGCATGTCTTTGCTGCGAAGAGACCGAGGCCCTTGTAGCAGGTGACGCCATCGGTACTCCTTGGGCAAGCTGGACCTAATCCATTCCACCGTGGGCTCGACTTGACCCCACATAATGAGATTCTTGGCCAAGGTGCGCAGAAGAAGCACGTCGGGGCGGACGTAGGTAAACTGCAGGACGGAATCGGGCACGTCGACCTTGCGTGCGACAATGTGATCCTCTGACTTCATGAAGATCAGGGTTATTGCGACGACAGCGCCGGGTGCCGAGCGGTCAAGGACATTGACAAGCTCAACTTTCTTGCTGGCTGACGCCAGCGTGAGCAGTTTCTCAGTTAACCGCATGTCATGCAAGCCCCTAAGATCGGTGCCCTTGCCCAGATTGATGAGCCCAAGTGCGAAGCCAGCCGCGAGACGGTACCCCTCATTCCGTAAGGGGTCCTCCTCGTCTTCATCGCCCTCGTGCTCTATTTCCGACATCATGATCTCACTCATACGGCGATGCTGGCTCTGACAGTACACCAAGCCGATGCCCATGAGTCCTGCTGTCTGCGTAAGATGCGAGAGATTGAGCTCGGCAGCTCCTGGTGGCAGCAGACGAGTGACGTGAACGGTAAGAACCCTGGTAATGAGGTTGTCCGTGGATCCCATGAAAGAGGCAGCGAGTCCCAGAAGCAGGCCAATAGACGTCATTGTGTGCTTCGTGGTGAGGTACTTGAAGGCCACCCACTTGACCATAGACCTCAGATGCCCGTTCAGACCGAGTGCGAGGAGGAATCCGGCATGGCGGTTGCTAGGCTCCCCGCTCGGCTTGTTGTATATAATCCAGTTGTTGTCGATCCCTTTAGCTTGCGGCGATACCTGTAGACCAGAGGCGGCACCTTGATGGAAAAAGGCCCAATTGACCTTCTCTTCCACGAACAGTGATTTGTCAGCATTGACAAGAATGTTTGTGGGCTTGACTAGACAAGTGAGGTTGAAGCCCATGACATCAAATTTCTCTGTTGGAAGGGGGAATCGTAGACCAAATTGCATGAGGCCACGGCCTGCGGGTATGGCTAGGGTGCCGGTTGCGACGACAGTGACCTGCTCTTTCTGCTTTTCTAAATACTCTGACTCGCTCCAACCGGCCTCAGAAATACACTGAATAACTCTGTGATGCCTCGTTGATAACATATTTTCGGCCTCAATGAGACGTCGATCTTCACGGAATAATGCATGGATTATTGCCTGGCGGTCAGCGGACTCATTAGGCAAGTGGCCGTAGCCGGCCGAACGTTCAAGCGTCGCACATATCGCCTTGTAGTCTCTGGTGGCTGTGTGAGATGGGGGCGCCGCGTTTACGACAGAGGTTTGCTGTGGGTGATGCTGCTTGAGAACAGTGGCAATGTCGGATCGGTGTACAAGTGTTAACAGCTCCTCGGGCCAGGTAGAGGGCGGCCGTGCCTGACACATGGAAATAGCGTCCTTCAATGGGGTCAGCACGGCTGCGGGCAGCGTTTCAAGCACGTCCATAGTAAAGCCGCATCTGTTCATCAGCTCCACGACCTCAACATGCGACGTCGTAGGCGTGAGTGAGGCCAGGAACCTTTTGAACATGAAAGTACGTGGCATGACAGAAGACCATCTGCGATACGCATTTTCTGCGCTGACGTTCCTGACTGTGACAGAACTGTAGACATCGGCTAGTGTTGGAAACACAACGCTCTTGTCACCTGCAAGTTGCGATTGGATCCAGTCGTAGACGCCGACCGGATGTGGTGGACCTAGTAGACCCAAGGTGGACAGATCTGCGGACTCTTAGTACAAGCATGGCAAGAATTTGAGTCTGTCCACTTACCGTGGTCGTTTTTGGGACTGATGTCAACCTGCACGCCCAATTCATGCAGAGCAACGAATTTATGCCATCCCAACCACCTGCATATTTGACAAAGCATTACCCTTATGCTTGCTTGACCGAGTGAGGAGTACTCTGGCACCATAACGTCTAGCTTCTGTTCCTCAAGCAGCAAATGCAGGCCGTACGCGATGCCCCACGCAGCCTTGCCACGGTCGTCGAGCCTTTGATTAGGGGCGGTCGGAAGATAGCCGGCGGACCCAAGCGCAGCTTGACCAGTAGTGGAGGACATGAAAAGCTTCGCGAGGCGGATATGAGATGTCAAGAAGTCCTCATGGCTCGTGTCTGTTCGTGTCGGTGTCAATTTTGGAGTCTCTTCTTCAAGCATCCACCGCCAAGCATGAGATTGCATCCACGGCGGACAGGCCGAGGCATTTGGAGCTGCAAGTGTGTTCATCTTCACCCACGTTCCAGCAGATGGATCCAAAGACCTTCGTCGACGAGGGGTAGACTGTGCAGGGACAAGGCTCACGCCCGGAGCAGCAAGTGACAGGAATGTGCTAAGAATCTCGATGACTAGGCAGGACCATTCTTGGTCTGGTGTATCGATGTTCTGGTCCTCAGCCCACTTCATAATTTGCCACCACCCAGCCAGCAGCTTTTCGGAAGATTCGGTTGGCAATACGCTCTGACATACTCGAAGCACCTTGCGGACCTGTGGGCTCCTAGGTTGAAGCTGGATCTGAATGCGATGAGTTTTGCCATTGTGGTCTTCAAGGTCCACCACTCCAGATGATCTAGAATGCCGAATCTTGACAATATCAGTGGCAGATAGCTTTGCACCAACGGAACGGCGACCTTTGACCTCTCTATTGACATGAGTGCCTATGTAATCCAAGCTTCCCAGATTATCAGCATACAGCATGGGAAGCGCCAGTGTTGACATTGCGCTCCAGGGCGCCTGGATGCTCAGTTCTCTCTGACCCGCCGTGTTCTCTGACAATATCAGGATCATAGACTGGTCACCGTCAGATACCTTGCAAGAGTCAGCGACATTATGGGCCCGCCTCAACACATCTGGGGTAATCTTGGTGATCACACGGTCTTCGGTCACCTCGGCGCCGTCATGGGCCGATGTCTCGAGCTTCTGCTGGCATTCGATCCGGAGGGGAAGCAATTGCAAGCGCTTGTCGAGAGCATCTTGTATACAGATGAGAAGCTCCCGCTTTCCAGTCTCGTCGATCGCGAAATGGGGCCCGTCGACGATGAAAACCTTTGATTGGGTTCGCGCAGGTTGGTTTGACAATGAGTAACGGACATTGGAATTGTCCATGGCTACGCTGTGGATCTTGGTGAAGAGAATTTCTCGCGTGAGGCCGTCAAAGCTATGGTCGTCAAGCCCCATATCATGGAAGGCTCCCAGCTCATCTAGGAGGTCGTCGGGTCTGGGCGTGTCGAGGAGGTGGCTGAGATTGTTCATGCTGTGAGCCGCACTCAAGTTCAAGGGGCCAGGACCACCGCTCTGGCGTGCACGCGCGCCCGTCATGCGACGGCTTTCTGTGTAAGACGAAGGGATGGTCTGCTCAGCGAAAGTGGTTCTCTCGTGAGACGCCGACAGATCTGCACGAGCAAGCAATGAGCTCACCCTACGAGACTGTCTCCTTATCTTGTCCCCCTCATTCTCCTCGCCAAGAGCCAGGGCGATGTCATCTGGCTTGGCCTTCTCGAGTCTTTCGCTCTTGCGACTTTTCTTGCCGGGAGGCTGTGCTTGAGATCCCAAGCTCTCGCGAAATGAAGGCACGACGGGCGTAGTGGCGCCGCTGCTGAGTCTGGGTTGCATGGAGCTTCTTCTGCGGCCAGGTTTAGCCTTGCGTTTCTTCTGGTGCTTCGTGAAGACGTCCTCGTTTTTGATATAGACCAGCTGCCAGACTGTGTACAAATTGGCATCCCGATTGGCAGTTACGGCCAGGGTCAAATTTCCCCGGACCGTCTCTATGTGCAGGATCTCCTCCGCCAAGTCGAGAAATGGGGACTTCACAGAACTGTTGCGCGTGTCGCCTAGGCCTGACGATGGAGAGTGACTCACGACAAGCCCTAGCTCCAGCAGAGGATCCGTCAGACAGACGAGCCTCGGCCAGTGCGAGTCACTTGTCTCCAGCGGAGTCTCGAACATGTTCTCCATGGTGGTGTTGAGGCGCAGTGGCAGTGCCTTTGGTTGGCCCAGACCCTCCACTGAAAAGGAGGTGGTGACGCTCTGTGGCTGCTGGCTTGAAGGCGACAGGTACGAGGAGACGAATGAGCTCGGCGGCACTCGTGGAAATCTGAGGCTGACGGGAGCGAGGTTCTGTGTCTTGGGTTTGCGCTGGATGATCACACCGACAGGGGCAGCGCAGGCAGATTCGACCTCGAAGGGCGTGTGAACGATGTGACTCGTGCCGGATAGGAAGTAGATATGTGCCTGTGTTTTGAGGAACACGACCAGCGCCTTTGCCAGCGTGGGCTTGTCCGTGCTACCGTTGCTACTGCCGTTTCCATGGTGGCTGACTCTCCTCCCCTTGCCATCTCTAGTATGCCCCATGCTCTTGTTGTTGGAGGCGTTGCCATTGTTATCGGTGTCGGTGGTGGGGAAGCGGGTTAGCAAGGCTTGGAGAATGGGCTCGTCCTTCTCGATGTCGAGGTTGAAGCTCTTCCGGAACAGACCACCCCTCTTCCAGATGACACAGTTGCCGACTGTCAACAGCTCATCTTCGCCATCCTCATCTGTCATGACTTCCCAGGTGTGTTTCCCATCGACTGGCTGCCCGTCTATTCCCAAGGGCGGGTGCAACCCCAGAGACTTGACCGACGCCATCTTCTCGACCTTGCTCCATGGGGCTCAGGCTCGGCTGGGTCGTCGCATTGGGCGGTAACGGCGCCAATTGGTCGCGTTTTGCAGCTCCAGGAAAGAAGCTGACCTCTTGGTCTCGCTCCTGGACGACCACTTGGAAGCAAGGAGATGTTGCTGGTTGAGAAAGCAGCAAGAAAAGGCACTGTGATGGTCGAAACTCTTCTCTTTCTTGGAGGGGCGCCGTCCAGAAGTCGCGTCGTGACGCGGTTGCTGATAAGGCAGCTCTTCAGGGTTGATAACACGCCCCTCCCCCCCCCCTGCGAGCTTCTTCGCTGCCATTCCCAAATCAGCGTCTACATCCACCCCCCCCTCACAGCAAGAGAGGAGTGCCTCGGCCGGCAAAAAGAGCTTGGGGCCTCTGACGTCTCCTGCAGCTGGAGCTCCTCTGCAGCTACACCCAAAGCTGTTCTCTGGCCCAGTCTTTCTAAGCTCCTGCGTTGTCCCTGCATGAGCTTCAACAAGACTGTTCTTTCGACGTTGAACGTCATGTTCAGGCCTCCAGGCTCTGACCCAAGATGACGGACCCTGCGCCTGGTGCAGGCGATGACACCCATCATGAACCTCAAGACCGAGATATAGCTGCCACCTCTGTCTCCTCAGCGCCCACCGGCTCGAGCCCCCCACAAGCCACCGAAGTTCGGCCCATCGCCGAAGACGCAGGAGGGAGCAGAGGCGGTGCTGAGCCTGAGCAGTCCACAGAAGATGAGGGCCAGTCAGAGGAAGGTGACAGCGAGGAGGAGGAGGAAGAGTCTGAGGAGAGCGAAGAAGACGACGAGGACGAGGATGATGACGACGACGAAGATGAAGAGCCGCGCCTCAAGTATGCCAGGCTGACCCAGCATCTGGGCGGTGTCTACAAGAACGCAGATGCGACGAGCTCGTTCCTCGTGGCAGGGGACAAGATGGTCGTAGGCACTCATAACGGGAACATCGTATGTCCTCTCGATCTCTTGATCGCGCCTTCGACTCCAGCTAACCTCAACAACAGCATGTCATCCAACTGCCTGCCTTCCAATCCCTCCGAGTTTACCATGCGCACTCCGCCTCTGTCACTAGTGTCTCCCTTTCGCCATTTCCTCCGCCCCTGAACCCCATCAAGCCTGAGGTTGCCGCTCGAGCGATAGCCGCTGCAGTCGGGGGCCCTTCTTCTCGCCCAGAGTCGAGGCAGTCGGGGGCCAGCTCTGCCGCTACAGCGAGAAAGGCTCGAGAACCGAACCCCGTCCCAAATGTGCCCTCAAACAATATCTTCATCGCCACCTCTTCCATGGACGGCAATGTCTGCGTCCAGTCTCTCATAGACGTCAAGGATGTGCAGTTGAGGAACTTTGCGAGGCCCGTGCAATCTGTCGCCTTATCTCCTGACTTCAAGAATGATCGCACATACCTCTCTGGGGGCACTGCTGGCAGCCTTGTACTCACTGTCGGGGCACCGTCAGGGCGAAGCACATCTACAACGGTCGGGACAGCTGCGGCCACAGCATCTGGCTGGTTAGGGACTATGGGCCTGGGATCCAACACTGGCAAGGACACCGTGCTGCATTCCGGGGAAGGGATCATTAGCACCATCAAGTACTCCTTATCCGGGAAATTTGTCGTATGGCTCAATGAGCATGGCATCAAGATCATGCGGTCAAGCTTACACCTGGAGACCGATGATCCCGAGGATGCGTGGAAGCGGATCGGCCACATCGATCGACCGCAAACAGACGAGTGGGAGACCATGGCGGGTGTGTGGAAGGGCCGCGTCGAATGGATCGACGAGACCGCCGTCCCCGCTGCTGATGGGGAGAAGGAGGCGGACGAAGTCGCCGCGCCTTCACCTACCGCCGAGAAGCTTAAGCTCCGCCTGAACAAGGAAAAGAAGGACGTGGAGAGGCTCCTGGTTGGATGGGGCGGCACAATCTGGATCATTCACGTCCACCCGGGCGGCGTTGGCGTCGGAAAGGATGCAGGGGAAAAGACTTTAGGGCGGGCAGAAATCGTAAGAATGTAAGTGGCGCGCCCAGTCAACCCCATTCGTGGTGCTTTAGCTCCCTTCTTTTGCTGACATTCTACAGTCTACGCATGGACTGCATCATTTCCGGAATCTCGCTTTACACTCAGAGCCTCTTGCTGGTCCTAGCATATCCCTTGGCCAACGAAGAAGAAGACGACGAGCATCACAAAGGGAAGAAGGCTGTCAAGGGCCATAAACCTCAGCCATCGACGAGCTCCGGTAGGAGTGAACCGTCCGGCGGCGTCAGACGGCGCCAGAACAATTCCCCGCCAGAGCTTCGGCTCATTGACCTTGTCTCACAAGCCGAGATTGACAAGGACAGCCTCAGCATCAGCCGCTTTGAGAGATTGACGTCGAACGACTATCACCTGGGCGTACTGCCGCAACACACAGCATCTGCTGTGGTTGCCTCCAAAGGCTATCTTGAGGCTATGGCCGGCTTGGGCGTAGATATGTGGAACGTCGCCATGATGCCGGGCAAGGCTCTCTTCAGCTCCGCCGCCAGCATACGGAGCGGACATAGCAATGACGGAGCATCCGTCTCCAGGGTGGGCACCGGCAGCACTGCCGGTAGTGTGCGGCCATACACGCAGCGCCTAACCCCGCAAACTGTCCACCCAAGTCTTGCCAAGCCCGGTACCAAGATATTTGTCCATAGTCCATATGACTGTATCCTGGCTTCGAAGCGCGATCTCGCTGACCACCTTGCGTGGATATTGGAGCGCCATGAGTATGAGCGCGCCTGGGAACTGGTCGATGAGAACCCAGAAATCGTTGGTCCCGCAGACAACACCGACCTGGGCTCGCCTTTGACACCAATCCGATCCCATCCGACGCAGAGCAGTGATGACTTCTACGAAGATTCCGCATCTACACTTGATGGATTGGCCAGGAACCTTCTGGCTGATAAAGAGAAGCGGCGCATTGGCGAACTGTGGCTCCAACAGCTTGTCGAGGCGAGCAAGTGGGAGAGGGCTGGCCAAGTTGCTGGCAAAGTCCTTACCTCGTCTGATCGCTGGGAAAAGTGGGTCTACATCTTTGCAGGGGCTAACAAATTCGACGAAATCACCAACTATATTCCTATCGAGCCGATGCGGCCGCCCATTCCTTCCACGATATACGAGGTCGTGCTGAATCACTATGTACAGAACGACAAACTGCGATTCAAGGATCTGCTTGACAGGTGGAGCCCAGATTTGTTTGATGTCAACACCATCACGACCGCTCTTGAGAATCAGCTCAAGTACCGCGACGTCAGACCGGACACGTACCAAGATGGGGTCAGGGGCAGAGACTGGAGTCTTGTCATGGGATGTCTTGCAAAGCTATGTGAATCCAACGGACGTCATAGAGAGGCGCTCCGCTGTTACATCAAGCTGCAAGATGCCGACTCGGCCATGCGGCTCATCAAAGAAAGACATCTTGCCGACGCTGTAGCAGATGACATCCCGAGCTTTGTCACCTTGCGCATCCCCCCGGGCAAGGAGGACAGCATGTCCATGGGAGAGCTCGAGCAAGCGACGAGCGAGGCTATTACGCTCCTTGTTGATGAAGCTCAGCATGGCCTTGTCCGGCCAGAGGTTGTGGTATCGCAGCTGAGGGAGAAAGAGCTGAACATTCACCTATTCTTCTACCTTCGAGCCCTGTTCAAAGGCGAGGGTATTCAAGAGCACCTGGGGGAAAATCGTGATCGGGTCATGATGGAAAGCCAGACCCTAGTAGATGAATTCGCAGACTTGGCGGTCCACCTCTTCGCAAAGTTCGACCAGTCCATACTAATGACCTTCCTCAAGACGTCCACGTCGTACGCGTTTGAAAAGGTAAGTTGCCAGCTCCATTCACTAAATTGCTATCATCTATGGCCTCGATCAGGGGCTGACATCACGACAGGCCGTACAAGAATGCGAGGACCACAACTATGTTCCTGAGCTCGTGTACCTGTATTCCAAGACAGGCCAGATGAAACGCGCTCTGTATCTCATAATAGACCGACTTGGCGACGTTTCCCGCGCGATCGCCTTCGCCAAGGACCTTGATGACCCTGACCTGTGGGAGGATCTACTCAGGTACAGCATGGATAAGCCTCGGTTCATCCGTGGTCTGCTGGAGGAGGTCGGCACGGCGATCAACCCCATCACACTGGTTAGACGCATTCCAGAGGGCCTGGAGATCGAGGGCCTGAGAGAAGGCCTCAAGCATATCATGAAGGAGCATGAAATCCAGTACTCGATCAGCGAGGGTGTAGCGAGAGTGATGAGAAGCGAGGTGGCGGCTGCTCAGGCAACGCTGCGGAGTGGCCAAAGGAAGGGGATCAAATTCGAAGTGGTCGTGAAGCAAGAAGACCACATCGACGTGGAGGCGAAGGATGTCCCATCTGACCAAGTTTCGGTGCATTCCGGCAGCAACGTGCCGCCGCCCGCGACAAATGGTGACAAAGTGGCCGATGATGCTCAAACAATCACTGAACATGAGCCACTCCAAAAACCGGCCAAGAAGTGGAATGCCGGCCACTGTGCCGCATCGCAGTGCCTGGAACCATTCTCGCAGTGGGAGACAGAGACACTTGTTGGCTTTGCCTGCGGGCACGTCTATCATCTCACCCACCTGCTCGAAGTGCTACACCCTGACGACCCACTCCTGCACGATGTGGCGGACTTTGCACAGAATTATGAGGATGACGAGGGCCGCAGCAGGCGGAGGACGATTGGAACCAAGGTCACACACGCGAGGTTGTTGAGAGATCGCGTCCGCGGCGGATGTCCCATCTGCCACCAGAAGCAAGAAGTAGTCGCATAGCGCTTGATAAGATCCGGCTCCTAGGTCCCGACAGAATGTTTCCGCATACTTAAACGCATTGGAGGGTTCGATATTACAAACAGATACCACAAATATGCATCTTGATGTTCACTCATAGGTCCACTCCACTTCGATCTCCACACAGGCGAACAGATATACAGTAGCAACCTAGGTAGATAAAACATAGGGCCAGTCCAGAGCACGATGGGCCAGCAGGCAGAAGTATTACTGGGTACAGGGGCAGAAGATCCGGGACTCTGCTGCTCATGATATCCTGCCGACCCCTGCTAGCCGCTGCAACGCTGCTGCAACGCTGCTGCACCGGCTGGGGTCCAGAGTCGAGACTGCGGGCCAAGCTCGACGGCGGCTCCCGGCAAATTGGCGATACCACTGCATCTACGACGCTAATCATGCTTGTAAGACAGTCCACCACGGCTCTCGATGTCCTGATACGGACTGGCACCGGGGATCCCCCGTGGCTCTGGACCATCGCCTTTTCCATCTCCAATTAAGATAACGTGAAGGCATGTCTCGCCTCCGGGTTGGGCCAGCTCTTGACTTCATCTCTTCTTCCCTTCGACGCCCGTCTTCCTCTTATCCGTCCGCAACGGCCACACGGCACGAGCGCGAGACATCCCTCGCCACCTCCGACGGCCTGACCCCGCTGCTCCCACCGACCATGAAGGACGACTACGTCGACGTCGCCGCCGCCGAGGCACCGGCGGCGTCCTCAGCCGGTGTCTTCCTCTCTCAGGACGAAGCCGACATGGTGCGGCTCGGCAAGGCGCAGCAGTTCAAGCGCAACTTCTCCTTCTGGTCGACCTTTGGCTTCGTGTCCATCTACATGGCGACGTGGGAGTTCGTCATCGTATCCATGTCGCCGTCCATCGCCACCACGGGCTACGGCGGCTTCTTCTGGACCTTCATCGGCTCCGTCCTCTGCTACTCCACCGTCGTGCTCTCGCTCGCCGAGATGTCCAGCATGAGCCCCACCGCCGGCGGCCAGTACCACTGGGTGTCCGAGTTCGCGCCCGCCGGCTGGCAGAAGCAGGCTAGCTATGCGTCCGGGTGGATGTCTAGCCTGGGGTGGATCGCCAGCCTGGCGGGCGGCGTCTACGTGTGCGCCGATCTGGTCCGCGTCTGCGTCAGTATCTCGTACCCGGACCTGGTGCTCACCAGTTGGCAGATCTTCCTTGTCCTCCTGGCGCTGTTCATACTGACCATTGTGTTGAACACGCTGGGGACGCGGGTGCTGCCGACCCTTGAGGTGGTAAGTTTGATTGGGCACACCGTGGGCTTTGTGGTGTTTATCGGCGTACTATGGGCCATGTGTCGGCCCTTGAATGGGAGTAAGGAGGTATTTCTGGACTTTGAGAACAACGGTGGCTGGTCCAACTTTGGAACGGTGTGTCTGCTCAACCAAGTCTCAATTGTCTGGTCGATGTTAGGGTCGGATACCATTGTTCACATCTGTAAGTGTTTTCCCAGGTATGGAGACTGGCTTAAGCTTATAACCTGCCGCAGCTGAGGAAGTCCGCGACGCGTCTTTAACTGTTCCCCGAGTCATGTGGTATTCCTATGCGTTCAACACCTTCTTCATGGGATTTATCATGGTTCTGACGATGCTCTACGCCATCGGACCAATCGACTCCATTCTCGAGGCCGACCTGCCCTATCTGAACCTCTTCTCGGCAACAGGAAGCGCTGGCGTCGCTTTATTTCTAGCCGTCCTCTTATTTATACTCATCTACGCCGGAAATGTCACCGCGCTTGCCACGACGTCACGCGAGGTCTGGGCTTTCGCAAGAGATCGCGGCTTTCCATTTTCCGCCTGGATCTCACGTGTACGTTCTCAGAAGAAATCACCTCAGTTTCTCTTTTCTTGTCATCATACCAGATAGCTAATCCCCACTGACAGATGAACCACAAATACGACATGCCCTTCAACTCAATCTACCTGTCCTCCCTCGTCGCCCTTCTACTCTGCCTCATCACCCTCGGCTCCGACACCGCCTTCAATACCATCATCTCCGTCTCCCTGCTAGCTCTCATGTCGACCTACATGCTCTCCATCGGCTGCGTGCTCCTGAAGCGCATCCAGGGGGGCCAGTTGCCCCCGGCGAGGTGGAGCCTCGGGCGTTTGGGCGTGCCCATCAACGCCTTTGCCGTTGGCTACTCTGCCTTCATCGTCGTCCTCAGCTGCATGCCGTACTCGAATCCTACCACAGTCGCCGATGCGAATTGGGCGCCTGCCATCTGGGTCGCGGTGATATTGATAAGTGTGGTGGCGTATGTTTTCCATGGCAGGGTAAAGTACACGCCACCGGTGATCTTCGTTGAGGGAAAGAGGCCGCATGGCGAACAATTGCAGAAGGTGCCATGAGAAAGTTGTTGTATCAGCCTTTCAATTCATGTTGTATCCCTTCGTCTTCCTTAATCACTAGAGATGAACTCACGATCTGCTTCTCAATGAGGAAGTCCACGAATTCGCCGGGATGACTGATCTAGCTACGTGAAAAGTTAGACCTTGCTCTTTGGACCGTTGGGCAGAGGACTGCAATTTTCTCGAAGAGACAATTGCTATCTCATGGGAGTCTTGTACACTAAGTCATAGTTCATGCAGATGAACAGTTGTATGTGAGCGAGATCCTCTGCATACGCCTGTTGTGTGCTCGGGCAGATTCGACCCTCATATTAAACAAAGCTGGTGTAGTCTTCAGCTAAGCATCATTAGGATGCCCAATCACTGAATTCGAATTGGAAAAACCTGTCACATTCGACATTGCTGTACATTCGGTTGAGTCAAGACGTCGCAGCGCAATGCTGCAAATAGTGTTTTAATTCTTTAGCATCGCGACCTTTGTGTGTCTTGCCGTGCGTTGCGCACTGAGCACCCTCTGATTTCTGTGTCCATTCATGCCTTGGATGTTTTCTGTGGACAGAATTTCATGGTCGGTTGACGCAGTTCTGCTTCTGCTCTTGCAATGTCTTGGTGAGCTGCCCAGGTGCAACCATCTGACCCATTGGTCGTCCCGTGCATCATTCTCAAGCTTCTTATCCTCCCTGTGCGTCACGTCCTCCACGCTCTCAGTGTCTCCTGTCCCAGGTCTGGGATCGCCCTTGTGGAGACGACCTTCGAAGACTTCTTTCCACAAGACTTCAACAGCTGCTCGAGTCCTCAGTGCTAAGTCCAATTTGCTAGTGTTGAGTCGGTCCGACATACCTTTGCATCTGTAGCTCAGCCGTTGCCATCCGTGCGTCTTCGGTAGAGCCCAACGGCAGCGTTCGGTCTCGATGCTGACCACCAAGTTTCCTTCACGTGGCAAGAAGCCCAGCATGAGGCTACAGTTGCGTTACCGAAGGTACTGTTCACGTATGAACTGCCAAGAGGAGAGGACGGTGAGGACTTGCCATTTCACCAATTACACTGGAGTTCAGAGACCTCTGATCCTCCGCGTAGTCTTTCGGTCCCACTGAGCGTTTCATCTCGACGTGTTACGTTGATCTTCAAGGCAACCTCCTGATCAGCGAGCTCAATGTAAGTGATAACGTGAAAGGAATGAACAAGGGTTCAGGTATGAAGCTTACCAACTCCGTCTTGATAACAATGGCAGACATTTGCCAGGACTAGTTTGATCAACATGTTTCCCACAGCATAAGCGTCCTGCTTTCCCCGTCAGTCATAAACTGCTTTTGCACGACTGGCAGAGGAGATGCCATAGGCGTTGAAAAGTGTGACTTGCCAATCGAATGTCCACATGCATCACCGAGCCTCCGCTTCCGGGTGCGCTGTGCCTAGCCTGCAGGGCCAACACCAGCTTGCAACAGAGAGTGCTGGCTGCGTGCATCACTTCTCAAGGCCAAGCATGACGGGATCCGCAACGTTCGTGTCCAATTCTGCGAAGTCACATTAGCACATGTTTTGCCGGCTTGGGTCAGAAAGGGCTTCCAAACTCACAGGGACATCATGCTGGACAGGTTGCTTGAAGGATATGTCGCCATAGGCGCGACGTCGACCGAGAAATGGTGCCAATGAAAAGCATCAACTCGGATTTGTGATTTGCAATTGCGCTCAAAGCTTCCAGGTTTTGGGCCGTAGGAACAGACATCGAAGTTTTGGTGACTGAAATGGCTCAGCTGATGAAGCTGTGGGCTGGAGTGGCTCAGAAAGACCGAAGCCATAGGATGAGGAACAGACACCGAAGTTCTGGTGGCTGAAATTGGTTCCGTTGATGAGAACCGTGGGCTGAATGAAAGAATTCAGACTAGTGACAAGAGTTCTTGGCTGAAATCCAGACACTAAGAGTGTAGTGGCTGGAAGGCTCAAAGTTGAACAGAGCCGTGGACTGAATGAAGAGACTCAAATTGAAGAGCGAGGTGGGCTGAGACAGACACAAGAGTGATCGTGACTGAAAGTGGTTCAGTGGAAGAGAACCATGGGCTGGATGAACTCAAATTGGTGATGAGAGCTCTGGGCTGAAGTGGCTCGAATGTAGATAGAGCCGTATCCTGAATGAAGAGACTCAAATTGGAGAATCATGGGCTGAAGAGACAGACACAAGTGTGGTAGTGACTGAGGGCGGTTCAATGGATGAGAACCATGGGCTGAATGAACTCAAATTGGTGATGAGAGTTCTGAGTTGAAGTGGCTCGAATGTGAGAAGCGCCGTGGGCTGAATGAGATAACTCAAATTGATGAGAGAAAGTGTGCTGAAAAAGCAGACACCGAGGTTTTGGTGGATGAGTTTGGCTCGATGAATGAGAGCCGTGGGCTGAATGAAAGAGATCGACTTGATGAGAGTCGCCGACCGAGTGATCAGACACGATTATTTGGGTGACTGAAGTAGCTCGGATGAGAGTAGAGCTGTGGGCTGAAGTGCCAGACACGGAAGTTGTTGTATCTGACGAGGCTCAATATGATGAGAGCCATGGGCTGGAAGGCAGACATCGAGGTTGTGATGACTGACTGGGTGTTGCTCATATTGACGAGAGCTGTGGGCTGAAGGCACCAAAGATGCGGTGACGAACGAAGAGTTGCTCGGATGAGAACAGAGCTGCGGACTGGAAAGTCAGTGCCGAGTATGTGGCTTATGACTGAAAGTTGCTCAGATTGATGAGAGCTGTAGGCTGAATGTCCAGATGATGAAGTTTCTGACGAGGCTCGATGTGAAGAGAGCCTTGGGCTGGGAATTTGCCACTGAAGTTGTGGTGGTGACTGAAGGTTGCTCCAATTGATGAGACCTGTGAACTGAGAAGCCGGGCACTGAAGTTGTGGTAACAGGCATGGCTCGACTTGGATAGAAAGCTGCGAAGCAGAAAGGCCAGTCACTGAGGATGAAGTACCTGGCGAGGCTCGGAGTGATGAGCACAGTGGGCTGGGAAGCCAGCAACGAAGATGTGGTGAACTGACTAAAGTAGCTCAAAAAATGAGAATGGAGCTGTGGCTGGAAAACCGGACACCGTGGATGTGGTGACCAGGGTGATTAGAGATGGTTTGAGATGTTGAGATTCAGATACCAAAGTGGTGGCAACTGATGTGGCTCGATTGACTGAAGTGATTGGAAGCTAGGCACCGTAGATGTGGTGACCGGCATGGCTCGAATTGGTTGAAAAGTTTGAATGTCAGACACGGAGGTTGTGGTGACTGACGTGGCTCGAAATGGTTGGAAAGGCTGAAGGCTAGACATCGAGGTTGTGACGCCTAGCATGGGCAAGACCATAAGAGTTGTGGTCATGCTATCATGTGTGGAACATGATGTGTCAAGAACGATGATGGATGTTCTCGAGAGATGGACTGGCAGCGTCGTGGCAGACACGCTGGCTCGGGAGATTTGTTGAGCCCGATGTGTTGGTTGTGGTGTGCCAGAAAGGATGAGGCACGAGGCTTGAGACGATGGAGTTATCTCAAGCAATGCTGGATGATAGCGGCATGATGAAAAACCGCAGGCTCATAGCTGTGGATGCTGAGCAATGCTGAAGGGTTGAGTGTGACTTGATGAGACACAGGTCTGAGAGGCGTTGGAAATGACTCCCGACATGGTGGACGTGATGCGCTGCGATGATGATGCGCGAAGCCCGAGACGTCGAAGTGGTTGACGGAGCTCAAGCAGTGCTGGACGTGTAGAGTGGACAGCTCGATGAACTGGATGGTTCTCAAGCAATGATGAGTTTGCTGCGCCAGATTGGTGAGACGCGAAGAAGCTCTTGAGTTTGAAGCTTCAAGCTGGAGTGGACTGAGAAGTTGTGATAATTTTGGTTGATACTCGAGAGGCTGATTGGTTCCCTTAAGATTTACTGGATTTGGGGCGCTGAGATGAGTGTGAAGCGCGATGCTGGAGAAGTGAGAAGTATCTCAAGCAATGCTGGAGGTGGCTGTGATAGAACATTGTTGAGTTCGATGGTGAAGATGATGTTCTGAGGCCACATGTGGACGTTGTATGACCAAGCCGTGATGATGTCTTGGTCCCTGAGTTGACTTGTTGCTGATGGGCAACTGGATTGGAGTCGGCTAGAGTTGGTTGCTGACTGTGGAAAGGTTGAATCATGAGAAGCGACTGATGATGCTTGTCGATGATGTTGCGTTTCTGCTTGGCATCTGCGTTCGTACCCGCCCAAAGGCACATAGCAGAAGGTCCCGGAGGATACCGCTTGGAGGTGCAGAATCCGTCTTCATCCTCCGCCCCCAACACCGAGGGTGAAGGGGAGTATTAAGGTCTACCTCTGACCGAAGAAGCACCCTCAGAGCTCACTGGGAGATGAGGGGAGAGGGATTTCGTGTGGGGCACGGGGTGGTGGAGATGTGGGTGGACGTGCTAAAGAGAGAGACCGCGGAGACGACACAGGCGAGAAGGCAACAGTCGATGCCCCAGCAAAGACGATCGATGTGCCCGCTGCATCCGACTCCCGCTCCTGTCCAGAAGAAGCAGACTCCGATCCAGCAGCACGGAGCCGGTTCTCCCTTTTGTCTGAAACCCATTCCCAAAAAGCGTCTGACATTTCGAAGTCGGTAACGTGGCGAGGGTCGGTGTAGAGACGAACTCTGGGCGGCTGAGTCCACGGCAGCAAGCAATCCCAGAGCCTCGTACCAAAGACTTGGCCGAGATTCCGCCTCCAACCTAGGTCCCAAGGGTTACCGGGAAAATGCGCGATGATCGGAGCGTCGCCGGGGTGTTCGGGCAAAAGCGCGAACCAATAACCTCCAGGTAAACAGCCGACCATACGTAGATGGGATTTCTCCGGAGTCGTGACATTCCTTAGCGCTAGATCTCGAAACTTTTGCCACAGCATGCTGCTCGCCAGGAAGATGACGACGGCGACGGCCCTAGTCACCGCCGGAGCATGAGCCAAGGCGGAGGAGCTTGCGTTTCTCGAGATGGCGATGAAGGAAATTATGATCACGCTCAAGGCGTCAAGGAGCAGGAAGAGGATGGTAAGCAGGTATGGCTTGATCGTGCACAGCTAGACACAGACCTGTAACCAACCGCAAAAGTGGTCATACCCCGGACTCCTTTGCGTTAGCCAAAGTAATACATTCTAGAACATTCCAAAGCGCAAAGATCGGGGAACTGTGGCAGCAGAAGAGTAGCACTTACAGGTGTACACTGGCATCCATTCGCTGCCCCTTTGCCTGCAACGTTGCAAAATACGAGCAATGGTAGACGCGATCTGCAAGTGGCTCGCCCCGAGCCCGGCAGCCGAGCTTGCAAAATCGGAACCGCCTTGCATTGTCGCGATAGATAGCAGGACGTTGCCCCCATATGAAGAAGTCGCATTGGTGGACGGATGGGCGCCCACGCAGCCGAGCATCCGACCTTGGCGAAAGAGACCGTACGACGGCGATGGCCCAGCAGAGAAGGAACCAGGTGCGGACTAGCCCTAGCCCGACCCAGACACCAACAGCGCCGGCCTTCGAGCCCGTCGATTGCCCAGACGGCCCCAACCAGAGGTGACCACCGGCGACATTCCAGAGTTGCGTGACTAAGTAGGGGTCAGCAGAGCTCAGCATACGCGAAGAAGGCAGACGAGGAGAGGGAAGGGTGCGAAGAAGGCAGAAAAAGAAGGAAGTCGACGTGAAATAGGCTGGAAGACGGCTTGTTCACGAGTCGAAGACGTGAAGACGAGGGCAGAGAGGGAGGAGGAGAGACAGGTGGAACAGCAGCGGCAGCAGGAGGAGGCGTAGGAAGAGGACGAGGATGAGGACAGCGAGGAGCAGGACTTACAAGCAAACTCATACCCCACAGACCAGGAAGACACGGCGAGGTAAACCAGGAGACCGAGGATGAACAACCACCCGCCGGCCGGGTCATTCAGAACCCAGTCCAAGCAGGTTGCGCAGCCCCGCAAGGTGAACATCGCGACTCGAGAATCCCTTAGACCCCGAGAACCGTGAAGAAAAGAGAAATACCCCCTCTAAGCGATGAGAGAACGTTCGGAAGTGCGAAAGAAAAGTAGAGCATTCGTCAGCTCGAATGAGTGCTAATCAAAAGCCTGCGAAGTCTCGCGATCAAGCGCAAAAGCTCCTTGAAAAGAAAAGAAGAAGAGGATAGAAGGGAGAGAAGGGAGGGGAGGGGAAAAGGTAAAAAGGGGATTGGGGATCCTGCGGCAGGCTGCCTGCGTTCCTTCCTGACTTCACGTTTGTCCGTTTGTTTGCTTAACTTGGGCAATGCTTCCTTCCTCCCTGCGCTGGACCTCAACATTCTGTGTACGGTGACGACTGAGCCTGATGTCATGACGGCGGAAGCCATGGGAAGGTGCTCGAGGGAGGCCACCCAAACGGGTGCCCGAATATCCACCGTGGTAGAAACGGTGAAGGATGACCGGTCTCGACTGCACTCAACCAGAAGGCGACGAACAGAACACCCAGACACCATGTCAGATCATACCACAGTAGGCTGTCCTGTGAGAAATGTCCCAGGCAACCTGTGTAGGTTATTTGATGGAAAGTCATCCGACGAAAAGCTGTCCTACGGCAGGTTGTCTTCCGAGAGGACATCTTAAGAGAGGTGAGGCTCTTGAGGTACTCTGCTTCCCAAGGTGTGTTGCCTACGAGAGGGCCCTCACGTTTGAAAACGAACGTTTTGAGGTACAGCGTTTTGCAGTGCCGTCACCTTCCCACGCCACCTGCCTTTGGACCTGAATGGTGATGATGCAGACCCTTGATTGTTCATTCACCGGAGGAAACTGGTGACTGCGAGGCAAGAACATCTCAAGTTCTCCTGAACAACAGAATGTGTCTATCTACCTTAAGTATCTAAGTACCAAAGTCCCCAGCTAGGTGAGAAGCTGCAGTATTGATCTGTGTTGACTGGAAAACGGAGTTGGGGCATGGCGAGGTAGGAACTGGCACCCCGACCGCGCAGGTGATACTGGAATATTGTGGGAAGGCGGTGATGGCTGCCGTGTTTGACCGTTGTCGACACTGGAGAAAGGATCGTTATCAGTTGCGCACATGCGCAAGGAACGAGTGATGTAATTCAACACGACACGACTGCAACCTGCCCGAGCATGGGAAAAACATGCTCAGCTGGTCAGCACCTGCTTAGGTAACTATGATGTGTGTGTGTATGCGAGGAAATTCCACTGTACGGATGCAAAAGTCTGTGGAAACAGCGTTGCTGAAACGCTTGGAAGCAACGGAACGGACTGTCTTGAGTTGCCTATCTAACTATCTATCGGTACCTTGGTACCTCGTGTCTAGGTACCTAAGTACAGTGATTTGTGTGCATATGAGTGATGAGGTCCAATGTTGTGGAAGAGGAGGGATGCGAACAGAACATGGCAGAAACTCAGAAGAAGACCTCGTGACTTCGAAAACCAACCAACACCGCACTCATGGTAGCTTGTAATCACACGTCCACTGCAACCACTCGTAAGCCTTCTGGTGTTGGCCCTTATTCGTGCACCCGCCCTTCCCATTGACGCAATAATAAATGTGATGTTCGCTCCACCACTTGAACAAGATCCATTTCTTCCCGCAAATCTGCCCGAGCGTATCCTGTATGACCGTGTTAGCTCCTTGCCCTCGCAAAATTTGGGGCACCTTCGTGGTGTTTTGCCGGAGCAGGTGACCTACCTGGCCCATATGTATCGACGATTTGCCATCCTCCGAGCGCAAGCATTTCTTGTAGCACTCAGGGAGGGTCTCGCCGTAGTTCTCCATGTGGTCCGCAAACTTCCTGTTACGGGGCGGCAGACCTCGCGCCACGAGCGAGGGATGATCCTCGGGTGGCTCCACGAGCCAGGGGTGATCCTCGGGTGGCTCCACGAGCCATAGGAAGGCTTCTGTGTTGTTTGACAAGACCGGTTCTGTGCCGTTGATAAGTTCAAGCAGGGCTGGGCCAGATAAGTTGGTAACTGGCAGTGCTGTGGAGACGCTAAGACAATGTGAGTATGTGTTCGAATGTGGTGACACAAGAGGGGTGTGACTTACCTTGCAAAGCCAAGGAGGCCGACGAGGATGGCGTGGATTGAGAAATGCATTGTGATATGTGGTTTGAGGATACTTGAGTAGTTGTGTCTGCTCTCGAATCGTGAAGTTGAGGCTGGGATGTCCGTTGTGACAAGTTTGACGATATTATTCGAGATTCATTTGGTCAAAGACTATGAATGATGAAGGCGATGGTTTCTAATTTATATTTCACAGTCAACAGACAATTGTTCCAATTTCTCTTCACGCAGCTTTCTTTCCTCGCAATTCTATCAAACTAATGGCGAACCCTGCTGAACATATATGCCACTCGTGAATGACCCTGGTCTCCCTACCAAGTAGCGTGATGTCAAGGTGGCGCTATGATCAGAATTGAGGACGATGCCACAAGTCTGGAGCTCAGGCAGATGCGCTAACAGGAAATCTACGACGTGGCTCGACGCGCCGGGCGGTCGCTAAAGACCAGGATATCACACCGTCAAGGCATTAGGGCGCCACACACAGGAATCGATTTATGGCAGCGCATGTGATGATATTGTACATAACAAGCATATTTAGTACAGAGCAAGATTTGAGATGTATCATATAACCGACAAATAGACTATAGCACTAGATAGATCGCTGCTAGATACCACCAATGTAATGTATTTAGAGCATGATTTAATAAGAATGTTGAAAAACAGAGACATTCCTATTATTATACATAGCGCTCTTCTCTCGAATTCCTCCTCTCTTGCATGGCTGCCAGCACCTCCGCCTCCATTTGATCCACATTCACGCCCTGTTGCTTAAGAGCTTCCGCTACCTCGTGCGTTGTCCTCTTTCTCTGTCTCTCCCACAGAAACCATACTGCAACCACACAAGCCGTCAAAGGCATCACTACGACCCAATAGAGCCAGAATCTCGGTGAGACAGCTGACGACAAGGTTGCCGAATCGTGAAAATCAAAGAAAGTCGTAGACATGATGGACTGTGCAAGCAATGATTGGTGGTAAGAACCAGGCCTCTCCGCGCGTCACAAATAGAAACTGTGGCCTACTCACCGCTACGTAAGCGCCAGGCAGGAATATCGCTCCAATCAAGGACAGAGCTTTCATTGCGGTTGAGTCCCTCTTGCTGGCGTAAGCGAGGGCTCTTTGTTCTCCAGCGAGCTTAACAGTGAGCCGGTTTTCCTGCCTAGCGATAAGATTATCCAGCTATAGGTAAATGTCAGCTATACCGGTCTCTCGTGCATGGTGTCGTTTGACTCACTGCATCTCGCTGCATGCTAAGCCGCATCAGAGTCGTCTCAACATAGGTACTCTGGTTCTCAAAGCGCTTTTCGAGAAGATTGACCCTCGAGGCAAATTTCCGGTGTGTCTCAGCCACATTTTTGGTGTTTGGCAACCCCGTGTGAATTTCTGAGTCCATTCTTCCCAAACAGGCACGGAACGTCTGGAGGACGCGAATATAATCCTTTGGGGCTTTCCACAGCGCCTGAGCCTGACATTCAACCATATCCCGGCGTAGTTGCTCCGTTTGGAGTGCCGCCAGGTGGTAACTGTCGTCTGCTGGATTTTCAAACTTCAGGGAGATCTGATATTCGATACGTCGCACCCAATTCCTGACATCCCGCTGCTTCAACTCGGTATGTGACATGCACTCTATCTCAAAAATTATCAGCGGCAGCAGCAGCGGATGATAAGCATCATCAGCACAGTTTTTGAAGACGCTTAGCACTTCCGTCATGTTTGAGGACTCGGTTCCTTTATAGAAGCCCGTTGTGGTGTTCTCTTCAATGTCATGGCTCAGGAACAGTTGCCAGCCGCGGGTGCTGCCCCGTTTTCTGACGTCCGTCTTCCTAAAGATGATTTCTGAGTCCACATTAGCTTGATACATTTAGACCTCGCGCGTAAGATTGGGGGATCACCTAGGCGTTTCTTTCCACTTGTCTCGACCAGGTCCCACCAGAACAGGGGCCCAACGCATGCAGTCGTTCCCAGAGCCTTGAGGGGCAAGCTCATTGCCTTTGTCATGTACTCGTACTGGAGCTGCGGCAAACTTATTGTGTCGGGACTGAAAGTCTCAGGGTGCTTCGCATTTACTTGCAGGCTGCACACGTCGTCAGCAGACTCTTCCCCGGAACAGACTGGAACACAGCCCTGACACTGTCTGCACAACATTAATTTAACTTGAGCTGCCACCTTGACATATTTACTAAGCCCTGAAGGCCGGAACATTTCCTGGATTTGCTTTGAGCGTTGCTCCGAAATTCAGCATCTCGCGTTACTGTCACAGCTGACTCACCATCTCGAAGCCGTCGATGAAATTGTGCAACTCGTCCATGGGGAGGGGTTGCTGCTCCACCCTATTGCAATCGTTATACTAAGCCATCTTCAGTTAGATACAAATTCAAATTTATCATATTTGCATGTGAACGTACATTGTATAATACCATCTTAAGGTAACTTGTTTCTTCGAGAACGCACTCGCACTGTTGAAGCTGTCTCGTGAACATATGTTGCTCCATCACGAATTTTCTGGCGAGGACAATAAGTATGAACACCTGTTGTTGAACAAGTAGTCTAGAGAAATGTGACGAACATTACAACTCGACGTAGACCTCGAGCGGGGTGGAGGAACTGAGTGAACCTGACCTTAGTTGGCGGCGAAAGCCTTTCGGTGATCCGCAGCATAAGCGCTATCCCGGATTTGGCCACAATGCATGCCCATGCTTTTGCGTGACCTTGTTGATTTGCAGCGAGCCTCTCAAGTAACAGGCGGGATGTCAAGCTAGCCTAATCGATCGGATCAAAATTAAGGCAGGCAATGGATAGAGGCCACTCACCCAAACATGGATTATTATTCGAACAATCTCTGAGGCTTTTCGAATAACCGATTGCTGATATCGTTTTCTTTTACGCTGAAATGACATAATATCTGCTTCGCTCGCAATGTGTTGGAGACAAGCTGGTCTACCCAGCTAGGCCCTACCGCAGGATTCTCTGGTGATAAATCAACTACTGTTCTTCGTCGTTAACGGGAATATCACCTCAGCTACACCGGCGCTTTGATGTCAACGCCTGACTAGTAGACAATGCACTACTTGGAGTAAAGGCAAATCGTATCAAAACAACAAGAATGCCAGAAACGCCGAGCAAGTTGAGCCCTACTGTAGCTTGGGATCCATGGCTTTGTGGCACAAGGATGTGCCATCTTGCGGGACAAAATCCGAGGACAGCAATTTTTATCCGGCATTTGGTGCACTTGTAAAGAACCTGTCACAAGCACGAAGAGCGCAACACTAAACGGCGCGAATCTGGATATGAGACAGGGGAGACGCCGGCCTCGAGGCCGTTTTGGATATTCGGCTTGTACAGGGTCCTGTGAAGACTTTAAGGAAACGATTGGAACTGAAGTTTACAGCAGAGTCTCCGATTCTGTGTTATAGATATCGCGCCGGGTGGGGCCACTTCTCAAGGTTATGGCAGACATTTCCGAATACGAACTGAGAGCTGCGGAACTGGCTTCGAAAACGTATCCATAAGGGCGGTCCAGTTGGACAACGTAATGGAGTGATTATACCTATATGTGGACCAGACGTTCATCGCTTCTATACCCTCAAACCCATGTCCCATTTCTTCCACACCATTGGGCGCCACAATACCCCGTAGGGTCTAGAAGCCAAGCGATTACTTGTGGACAAAAATGCCCGTTTTGGTAATTCTCTCCAAAATGGCTTGACTCGTCAAAGATGGCCCACTGACAGCCCAGCCCTAGGAGAAAATTGACTGATAAGGTTAGACCCTTCAACAGTCCTTGGCTTTGAAGCAATGTGCCCTCTGCAATCGGTGACAGGGCAGTCGAACAGCCAAGCAGGGCATCAGACATAAAGGCGGCATTGATCCGTCTTGAGAAAATGTCATCCGTACGTCCTCCACATCTGCTGAGCCAGTTCGAATTATTATTTTCCGGCTCTCATATGAAGGAACGCTAAATTCTTCTTGCTTCAGAAGGCAACTTCGTACAGTACATTTCAACGAATATCACAGTATGGCTACGAAATTGGAAGCGCGTGTGGATCTTCCAGCGCTCTACGTCAACGATGGCAAGCTTGAGCCCAGCCAAATCGGCCGACTCGTTCCCATGATTGCGGGCACAGCTTCAATGGAAGAAATGCGTCACAGGTTCTCAGACAGCGGCTATCTTCTGGTTAAGGGACTGCTCCCCCGCGAAGATGTTCTCGAGGCGCGCAGAAAGTACTTTGACATGCTGTCGTGCACCGGTATTCTCAGACCGGGAACGGCTCATGTCGACGGCTTGTTCGACTCGTCGAAAGACCCAGCCGATTACCCCGGTTTCGGGACTGGCCGGCCGGGAAGCGGTACCGCCGTGTCGGACCAGTTCATGGACATCGCACTCAAAGCACACGCTGAGAGTTGGTACGCAAGAGACATATGCAAGCACCCTGCTTTGATTGACTTCGTAGGCGATTTCACAGGCTGGGGTGAACATACCGGAAGTCTGGAACGCACGCTTCTCAGGAACAATGTCCCTGGCAACAAAGCTATTGGCGTTCACTACGACTACATTTTCCTGAGGCATGGAGAAGATTCGGTGTTGACTGCATGGGTACCTTTGGGAGATATCAAGGTTGACGGTGGCGGCCTCATTTACCTCGAAGACGGTTCGTATATTGAAACGCCGCAACCGTACCCAATGAGCCATACCAACACTGATTATCTTTCTCAGGTCATGTGATTGGACGAGATACCGAGCGAAACTTCACTGCGAAGGCCATTGCCTCTGGTCTCACCGAAGAAGAGGCAAAATTCGCGTTCAACAAAAACATGGCCGCTGGCGGTGTTTTGACACAGGATCCAAAAGCATATAGCGACTCCTGCCAGCGCAGGTGGTTGGTTTCAAACTACGAGGCGGGTGATGTCGTCTTTCACAACTCATATATGGTAAGCTGGCGCTACAAACTCTGTGGGATGCGCTTCGGACGGAATGAGATACTTGAGCTAACCCAAGGGCCAAGATACATGCGTCTACGATGAATTATGACCAGGATGGAGTGATACGTCTGGGCACAGACTTGCGTTTTGTTGATGTCCGCAAGCCTTGGGACATGGTGAGTAGTTCAATAATGACTACTGTCGGGAGTGGGCTGACAATTGATTTCTACGACAGCGATGGGCGAAGGTGTACGAAGATGGAGATGGCCTTTGAGCATTGGACAGTATTTGCAGACCCTGCTTCAACATTTGCTTTTGCCACTTTGGGAATGTGGGATCGAGTCATTTGGAGACGTCATCCATACTTAGTCTAGGTGATTCCAATATTGTTCCAAATCGTGCCCGGAACACAACGGCGTAAATTGTTCTTTGTTGCCCAAGTGGACATCGAGAATGTCAAGAAAACAAATATGGGACAAGATTAATGTGAGGATATATTCAACCACAGCTCTTTGCTATGCCCCTTCAATGCTTACATGTTCATACTCTATTGCCTATATTGTCTCTATAGTCTATTGTCTATGATTCGCAACATATGATGCCGTTTACCTGACTCTAATGATTTAATTATCTCGTGAAAAGGCTAGACCACAACGAAAGGCGAGACTCGCCTACTCAGCGTCTAGGTACTCGGCACAGATCAAGTCGCCCTTAAGATCCATGACCTCGGCGATAGTGTGGTTGGGGATAATGCCACCCATCCAGAGCACATGGTTGAGGGTTGTATCGTTGCTTGGGTCGCCGTCGTAGTCGAGATAGGCGGCAGATGGGTACAGCCATCGGTTCTGCTCCATGATGCTCACAGGGGGGATAAGCTGGCCGCTCATATCCGTCAGGCGCGCCGTCAGGTTTGCCTCCTGCCACTTCTGCCACAGACGGTCGAGGTTTGCGTGGTGGAGGAAGAAAATAGGGTCTCCCGGGCTTGCGTTCTGGTTCTCCATCTAAAATTCAGTCATATCAGCTACCTCTGTACTTTCTCTCTTCCAGAATGGTCACTTGGAAGCATGCTGGTGAGCTTACAGTTCCACCGGTGGCAAGGTGCCCACACGAGTGCGGCGAGTCGACGTAGCAAAAGTTGGCTTCGTTGTAGGTTGTCGTCGCGAAGCACGTGTCGACATAGGACTGGTTGGCGAACTCCCAAGCGGTCTGGTTCCACTCGCGGGCCAGGCAGTACTCATCGTAATAGTCCACGCCCCAGACCTGGTCCATGCGGAGCGTCGTGTTGGCGAAAGCACCGTCGATAACGCAGTTTGTTCCGTTGGTAATGTTCACGCCGTTGGTGCCGAAGCTGTACTCGTCAGATCCCCATACTGAGGCTTGGTCGATGGTTCCGTAGACCTCAAGGTCTCTCTGCTCGTCCCAGTAGGGAAGAGCGCCACTGTATCCGCACTCTTCCTGCAGGAGCATCTCGTGCAGGCGGAGGAATAGTCGGTGCCAGGGAAGGAAAGCTCTGTGAAAAGTCCGCCAAGTTAGTTGGAAATGCTATTGACTAGTGCTGTTCAAAGACAACACACGACACGTACCCGACACCGTGGATGAAGTTTGACTGCTCAACATGGCAAGACTGGATCTCATCCCATCTGTTCTGTGCGCCGGTAATACCAGACTTTGCTGGGGAGTTCATCAAACATTTGACAGCCTCCAAGTACTCAGATTTCTCATCGTTACCAAGAGTGTGCCTGGATGAACGAGGACACGGTCAGTTTCGCTTGATCATTGATCTAGCTGGGAGCTCTGGCTCGTATGTTCAACTGACCATGCTTTTCTCTGGTTCAATGATGTGCATGTCGAATTAAATCCAGCTTTGGAGCGGCTAATCAATGGAGTTGCTATGGTCAGGCTCACGGCCGAAAACAAACGCAAAAGAGTGGATGATCTCATGTCGATGACTAGCGAGCTAGCAGATCAATGATCAGATCCACAATAACAAGGAACACAGATCGGCAGGAAAAGAGCGTAATCCGACGTTGTGGTTGGCAAGCGACGGATGCGAAACCGAAGCGTGCCAACATCTCGCTGAGTGTTCATTTATATATTGCACGCCAATATGGCCAAGAACATGAGAATTTTCTGCCTGACACAATGGCTTCAGTGGCGAGAAACTGATTTCAGCCTCCCCTAGGTTATCCCGGTACCCATCGTCTGCGCATAGATTTGTTGCGAAAGCCCCACGGCAAGAGCCGCGTACGCGTAACTACAGACCCGCCGACAGATTTAAGGAGGGCGTGGGGGGACGTCAAAGGTGACGATAAAGTTTTTTTTTTTTTTTTTTTTTTTTTTCACCGGTCTGCCTTACACGGGCATAGCAACTTATTACTGATAAGGAACAAGATTCTCCGCCAGGCGAAGCAAATCTGGAAGTCGACCGAGATCAGGAATTTAATGTTGGTGCTGTGGGTCACAGAAGCATCGCCAAGATAACTAGATCTGCCCTTGACATCTCCCACATACCGAAATACTGGGCCGCTTAATCAAGAAAGACGCGATGAACGAGATTCTGGAACTCGCCGCAAGCCTAAGTATCCTTTTGCAAAGTGGGTTTGTGGAGATGAGGGCGGTGCCGAGGCATGAAGTGCTATATTCTCCGATTTGGTTAACGTATAGACTTCGGGAGTGTTGACCCGGGAGCTTGTCAAAGGCGGGTTGATTCGATCAAAAACTGCAGGGCAAAACACTTGCTTAAGCTTACCGGGATGAGCGAGACAGCTTAATAGACCCGAAGGCAAAGGCTAAAAATAAAGAAATACCATTATCAAGTTCAGCCTCTAAGTGATATCGCAGACCGCCTGCATGCAGCTAGCTATCCCTGAGCTTGGCGTCGACAGGCACCAGGGTCTGAGCGTCCGGAAAATCCGGCGCCCCTGGACAGTCTTCGTATTTTTCTCCCTTTTCCTCTTTCCCGGGTCTCCTCTTTCCCTGGTGCCGTTACGATTTACTGACGCAAGAGAGTGGCTTGTTATCTACGTGTGGATCGTGTATTACGAGTATAGAATCTCAGCCATCAGAAACGTACGTGAGTCCGGTGATACTTGGGAGATACACATGGGAATAGACACAATCAAATTGTTCCGACAGAGGATTTTGATCACCAGAAGGATGGTACCGTCCTTCCAGTCGAACTCACCGAGTATGAGGGCACTAGTAGCTGTGTCTGAATTGCTTCAATCTGTAAGTCGCGTGTCGCAATACATATCAGATTCGACTCTAGCATGTGCAACATTGCTGCTATCAACATGACGGAGTCAGCACTCAACATGCCAACGTCAAGACATGTCTTAAGACGCACACGGACAAGACAAATTTCCGAAATGGTCACCCAGACTCGTGTAGGAACATCAAGCCTGTGGCTTGAATAGGGGCTCATCATCGATCTCTGACTCATGGCGATCAACAAGCAAGTGTCTGCTCCTTTAGGAGTATTTTCATGCCGAGTCGGGACGATGCGTTACATGCCGTACTTCTTCCAGTCGGTCTTCCAGGACAATGCCATGAAGTCCCGGTATTTGTGCTAGGTTAAAACGTCATAAATTGGTAGGTATGCCAATACGGCCAGCCCTGAGAAAATGACATGCTGGGGCTTATTAGCATCTAGCCTCTACGTGATTGAGGTCGGATATGAAGCTTTCTTGCTTTCACTTGTTCGTGAGGCGCTGCCGTTCCTTTACGTAAAAATGGCTGCTAGTATTTCCTTGCCTGCACAATGACGCACTAAGCACTTTCGATTTCTTGCCACATTATTCAGCCATCTAATCAAGTGTGAACTCATGTAAGCCCCAGATATCCCTGAGCGTGAGGCTCACTTTCAGACATGGCCATCCCAAGTGCAGCTCTGCCTCGGACACGATGCGAAGGAGGTCCTTGGTCTCGCTGGGACATGTAAAGTGCTGCCCGCATAAAGCAACGGCTAGACCTGCGGTCAACCGTGCTGGCACATACTCAGGATTCGAGATCGAGATGCCGCATATGATTCGAACTGCCTCCCTGATCTTATCTTCTCGTGACCCAGGAGACTTAGCTTCTTCGTCGGAATACTGGGTGCAAGTTGGAGGTATGCAGCCCATTAGCAGTATCCTGCATATCTGCAGATATTGCTGAGCAGCCGCTGGGCAATCGTAAGTATAGTAGATCCTTGGAAAGCTACTCGCCTCCCCGGTCGACGGGCCAGGGCTGCGCGTCGTTGACGACTGGTACATGGGTGTGAACGAGTCGGGCTTGCACCGATCCCAGTCTCGCAAGTATTCCCAGAGCTTCGCCCATTCTCCAGCGTCATGTCCGCCGGTGCTGTGCACAAAAGTGGTCACACGGGCCGCGTGCGCAATCATTCGATAAGCCCACATGGCATCCGAAGCCGGTCGTAAAGTTTCGTCTATACTGCAATAGCCGATGATGGGCTGCACTGGCTGTTTCGTCATATTCGCGATGAAAATCTCTTGACGCAAGGCGACAATCATTGCTGCGTCGCTGAATCCAGAGCTTCGTATATTGCCCTGTTTGATTTGCATGAGGATGGGTGCTGAAACAGCGTGTGAACTCATAGTTTGCTGCTCGATCGGCACTGATGACCAATCCGTTAAAATCTTGGATCATTCAGTTATACATGGTTAAAGATGACCTCCGCTCACCTGACATTTCCTCGAACAAGCGAAGAAGCAGTGCAGAAGCTAGTGCAGCATCTTGCAAAGCGCGGTCTGTGTCATTGAGAGACGGGATCAACACCTCAAGACACTTCCTCTCATATTCGTCTGCCTCCTCTATTCCCTTCAAGCCCGTCATTAACTCGCGATGCTTGGTAGAAATAGCTAGAACAGCATACAGGATGGCTGCGTCGTGAGGTATCATAGATCTGATGTAAGATCTAAAATGCATCGACGGGTCGCAGTAGTCAAACTGGCGTCCAATTGTTAGCAGTTCGGAATCAAGCAAGAGGGAGGACTGCGGTAAACAATCACCCATGAGACTAATACGGTGAAGAAGTATTTCACCAACTTCACTTCGTCCTCAGATAGTTGCCATTTACACGGAGCTTCAGAGCCTTGAGTGGCTTTTCCCTGTGCGTTGATCCTGTTCGTTGCAGTGACATTTTCCGGACGATTGATTCGGCGCGATGTCTTCTTTCGTGGCCCTACACGAATCTTGTTCAAACGAAAGCGTAGCTTGTCTCCACCGCCTTCACACCTTACTCCAGCAGTTGCGCAACCAGAGCATTCGCTGCGATCCGGGCCAATGTCGCCTGTGATCAGCCATTTCAGTGGAACCGAATACTTGAGCACTGTCTACCTATCCTTGAGGTGGATCTATCTCACATTTTCGATGTTGTGAACGGCATCTATCGCTATATACGTTGTCAGCACGTCAGGAATATCTCACGATAGACTTGTATAGAATCATTGATAATAGCGAGCAGGGGCTTTACCATGCGAGATTTGGGCGTCTGATGTTGTCAGTCCGGACAAGAGAAGAATTAAGAAGCAGGGCTCTGCTTGTGCTAGTCGGACGGTATTCAGAATTCTTTGATGCCATTTTACCAAATGCTACAAGGCTGTGACAGGCATGATCACAGAGCTGTGCACATCTAATAGGATCGGCTTGCTCGAGCTTCTACAGCTAAGTGTCTTCTTTTGCCTGACGTCATTGTCTGCGGGGCTGGACCATTGACAATCCTGGAGCCAGCTGGGTTGAATTCCACTTGGTTTGCCTTTGAATGCGAGCAAAACCTCTTCTGACTGTCGGCCCTCCGGCTCTGAGCACACATAGGACGCCATGATACTACAAAATAGGCAGCATTTTCGGCGTTATGCTGCTATTCCTCATTTCTGCCGACCTGTGTCACAGTCTTGGCAGAAACCTTCTTCTTCCTAGGTGAGGCACTTGCTGCATTGTTGTAGCGATATGTGTATGCATCAAGTTGATGCCTTGCCCCTATTCAGATCGGCGTCCGGGCACATTCTACAGCGTAACGATCTATGGTGTGCAGAGAGGAAGCCGCTTTTGGTGTTGACTTATCTCTTGTCCCGCCGCACCATTTCTCGCTTCAGTCATAATGCTTTTCCAGCCACTTTGCCATTCCTTTTCTTCTTAAAATACCATTGTTCTCATACCGGAACAAAGCATAATTCCTCAGTCCGAATAGACCAACCATACCTGGGGAGCAAAGGAGAAACTAACAGTGCCTAAATATTCCAAACAACTATCAAAACACGGGGACGATAAATGAGTCAGCCATGATGCATGAAGTGACCGGCTCTGTACGACTGACACTCTGATGGGACTTGGGCAGTCGAACTCTTGACATTGCTCTTGTCGTGCCATATAGGCTGATCGTCTGAAAGATTCAGCTGGATTTGCGCAGCAGGCTGGGTCGAGCACAAAGTGACACGCATTGTTGAGCTCGCATTTGCATCGCGAAGTTACATGCATATAGCCCTTTTGGGAAGACAAGGTCTGTCTCATGGACAGAAATCTGGGCTTTACTCTTGTGTTATGCTGAAAATTAGCGCTGTATTCTATCCTCGATTGTGTGTATTCGTTACTTTTTCCACCGTGAACATGATTTCCACGGGTTCTTGACTTCACAGACAATAGTAATTAGACGAAGGATTGAATGCAGACTGCAATCTTTTTTGGAACGGAGACCTTTGAGTCAAAATTTGTATACTTCAACACGTGATTTGCCTATTGAGAAGAATGCAAAACATGCTCTCGCCAAAAAGATCAGCAACGGCCGGGGATCCGCTGCACCTAGCATGATTCGGTGTTCTAGTCTCGAGTCCATGTTTCAAACCGCAATGCCAAATCGGGCGGAACGATGGGAGGTTTAGCCGGAGCGCCCGGGCGGCGCGCCTCAGAAGCATGGTCTTTTAAGCTTTGGATCTGGAACAAGCTTCACTGGCCCCTGAAAGCATCTGTCGTGCCCGCTCGCCCGCGTGCATGAGCTCCCAAACGTGAGGCTCAGCGGAGCCTAAAGGGGTGTTCATGTTTGTGCTCGGGGAATTTACAGTATTGCGATTGGGTTAAAGATTGACCCCTTGAGAAGAGTTAAATCCACTTTGGCTCGGAGCACGCCGCTTTAATGGCCCTCATATATAACTAGTAGCCCAGGAGTTGGACCACTTATACTGGTGTGGCAGTTTGTTTCGCGGTGATCGGCGTGAGATCTACAGCCTAGCTGGGTCAGCTACATTTCATTCATTTTCATTCACTTCGACGCTGACTGGCACGATGCATCTGTCAAAGTTTGTTCCCAGGGCATTTGCACCCGTATTTCTCCTCTTGATAACCTCGACAGATGGCCATGTCGTTCGAAGACAGACCCCTCCGGCAGCTGGGAACGTCACCTTCGTTCCTTGCCCTGCGATAGATCCCTTCCAACCTCAGGATGCCGCTTTGGGGCTGCAATGTGCCAACTTCTCTGTCCCGATCGTGCACGACCAGCCCGGGGGCGAGCAGGTGCAACTTGGCCTTGTCAAGATGCCAGCCAAGGGCCAGCGTGTCGGCAACCTGTTCATCAACCCAGGCGGTCCCGGTGCACCTGCGTCGACGCAGATCCTGAACTTCGCTACTGGTGGCCTTCCGATTGGACAAGCGATGGCGAACAGTTTCGACATCATTGCCATGGATCCTCGCGGTGTGGGCATGAGCGCACCGTCGAGGTGTGACGAGAAGATCGGGAACGAGCCGAGCGAGTTTGAGGTGACCACCGAAGCAGGGCTCCAGCAGCAGATAGACTACAACCAGAAGCTCGGGGCGAGCTGCAAGGCTCTGATGGGCACGTTGTTTGATAATATGGACACGATTGCCGTGGCCAAGGACATGGAGCTTGTGAGAGCGGGTGAGTCGCTAGATCTATTACCTTTCCGCCTCGGTGAGTTTGGCGGTCCAAACTGACATCTGCAGCAATCGGTGACGAGCCCATGTCATATTTCGGCCAATCCTATGGAACACAGCTCGGGGCACAATATGCCCAGTTGTTCCCTAGCAAGGTGCGAGCAATGGCCCTGGACGGGATCCTGCAGCACACGGGTGACTACGCCTCCAACGTGCTGATCCAGACCAAAGCACTTGATGCAGCCATCCAGGACTTCTTCAACCGCTGCGAGAAGAACACAACAGACTGTGGCGCCCAAGGCCCACAGATGCGCGAGCTGTGGGCGAACATAGTAGACAAGGCTGCGACAGGCACGCTGCAGGCGCCAGGATGCGACGACACGACGCAGACAGGTTGCTTCAAGAACGTCTCGACGCAGGACCTGCTCGGCACGGCACGCGGGCTAATCGAATCGCCGAGCGGACAGAAGCGGCTCGCGAAGATCCTCACGCTGTCGGGCACGGGCAACGCGTCGTTCGCCGACTTCTTCGCGCCGGGCCTGCTGAGCGGCAACGTGTTCAGCGACTCGTCGTCCTTCTCGATCGGCAACGTGCAGTGCCAGGACGGGCACTTTGTGGACGCGACGCTGGCGCCGTCGCCGGTGGGCCAGGTGCAGGAGCTGGCGGCCATGACGCGCAACGCGACGGTCACGCCGGGCATGGGCGAGTTCTTCCGCCGCACCGTCGGCTGCACGGGCTGGCCGGTCAAGATCACCAACCCGCGCAAGGCGCTGGACGTCACGGGCACGCAGAACCCGGTGCTGCTGGTTCACACCACGTTTGACCCGGCCACGAGCCCAGAGTACGCGAAGGGAATGCTGAAGGAGATCCAGGGCAGCGTGCTGCTGGTGCGGGACGGGCTGGGGCATACGAGCTACTTCAATGCCGGGCAGACGGCGGCGGCGATGGATGCATATCTTGTTAATCTTACCATGCCGGCTGTTGGGACGGTGTTGGCAAGCTGATGTTAATACTTAAGATAAAGCTGAAGACTAAATGATCAATATTAGCCGATACAATATACATCCTAGCATCTGTACACGGCCTAAACAGGATGTTCGTATCGTTTCCTGCTTTGTTGGGGTCCTTCATCGCAGATAATATGGGTGACAAGCGTCATGGATATACGAGTGTCCAGATAAAAGAGGTTGCATCTCATCAGTCTATCTTTTGTGCTATGCAAGGTCAAGAATCCAAATAATCGAAAGAGGAAGGTCATTAGAGCTTAGTGGTGGGCGTCCATCACTAAAGCCTCTATCCGCGTATCTGCGGAATATTTCCAGATAACTGCAGCTTCGGCTTACGGTCTGAATTGCCAATAAGAAACCACAGGGAAAGAGAATGGGTCTTCCCCATAGTGTCCGGGTCCTTTTAGTGGGGATTTACGGTCAACTGAGCCCACATATATCCGAATATTACGAAACTCGCAAACAGGAATGGGCAGCGAGACCAGGAAGGAAGACAGATGAGTGAGCAACGGTCACATGAGCCCCAATATTACCAGGCACTAATTACACAATGCATGATTCGGTTGGCCGTTGAGAGCCGCAACCAACCATGATCGGAGCCGTTGTGCGGCATTGCAACCGCGGCTTCATTCCGAAAGAGGAATGTCGCGGCACTATGCCAGTAGCACCGTGCAGTCGGGCTTGGGAAGTAGGGGCTCCCCGGCTTGTGTCAAGGCTAGGAACTCGGCCCTACAGTAGTTTAAGGCGTGGTAGATAGCGCTGATCGCTCATCGTGGGGAAGCATGAGCTTAAGCGTGTGCTTGTCGCAGGCGGCATTTTGGCCCGCGTCCAGCCGAGCCGGTGTTGGGCTTGGTCGGTTCATGTGTGAGGCGGCCGACGAGGGCGTTGACAAAGGAGAGGGGGAAACGCTTACCTAGGCCTCGTTGATTATCTTCGATTCTTCACACCATTGTCTTTTGTTGTGTAAATGCTCCTGTGATACTGACGCGAGAAGGAAAGTCTAGCAGTGAATACATCCAACGGAACAGGCCAATATGGCTAACCTCTCCTTCTCCCACATCACCATCTGGCTCGGCATATTAGCTGGCGCCGGCGCGCTCTACGTGAGTTTGGATGGCTTTGGAAATCACCAGGAAAGATAAGGGCCACTTATGCTCACACTGACGCTTCCACCAGACAACATGTCTCATCATCTATCGCCTCTATTTCCACCCGCTGGCCAAACATCCAGGCCCATTCCTCGCCAAGATCACCGACGCTTATATGCTATGGCACAGCTACAAGGGCGACCGACACCTTGAGCTTTGGCGCATGCACCAGAGGTATGGCCGCGTCGTCCGATGGGGCCCCGATTCCCTATCATTCAACTCGTCCACCGCCCTCAAGGAGGTCTACGGCTTCCGGAGCAACGCGCGTAAATCAGCCTTCTACGACGCCTTTGTCCACCCGGCGCCCAACACGCACAACTGCCGCGACAAGGAGCTGCACGCCCGAAAGCGAAGGGTCATGGCGCATGCCTTCAGCGACGGCGCCATCAAGGAGATGGAGAGGTATATCCTGGCCAATATCCGCACGTTCTGTGAGCAGATTGGCAGCCAGTCGAGCGCAGACGCCAAGGGCTGGACCACGGCAAAGTGCATGTCTGACTGGTTCGGGTATCTGGCCATGGACATCCTCGGTGATCTGTGCTTTGGCAAGGCCTTCCACATGCTCGAGAGAGACGACAACCGGTTTGCCATCGACCTGGTTGGCTCAGCGGCACATCGCCATCTGATTGTAGGGCGTCCCCTCCCTTCGCTTTTGTTGACCCATGCACCACTCACAAAATTGTAACTTGAGTCGTGATACTAACTTGGAAAATGCTTCGGCAGTGCGGCACGATGCCCATCCTCAACACCTTCTCCCTCGACCGCCTGCTCTTCCCGAACATCGCAGCCGGCCGCGCCAGATACATGGCCTACTCGCGATCGCAGCTCACCGAGCGCACCAAGCTGGGCGACGAGACGGACCGCCGCGACTTCTTCTACCACCTCCTGAAGGCGCGCGACCCGGAGACAGGCCAGGGCTTCACCACCCCAGAGCTATGGGGCGAGTCAAACCTGCTCATCATCGCCGGCAGCGACACGACGTCCACCGCCCTGGCAGCGACGCTCTTCTACCTGACGCGGAACACGGAGGCGCTCAAGAAGCTGCAGGGCGAGGTGAGGGCGCGGTTCGCCGACGTCGAGGAGATCCGCCAGGGCGCGGCCCTCAACGGCTGCGCGTACCTGCGCGCGTGCATCGACGAGGCCATGCGGATGAGCCCGTCCGTCGGCGGCCTGCTGCCCCGCGAGGTTTTGGCCGGCGGCATGACCGTCGACGGCGTCTTCGTCCCCGCCGGCACCGTCGTGGGCGTGCCGCACTACACCATCCATCACAACGCGGAATACTACCCCAGCCCCTTCACGTATGCCCCAGAGCGGTGGGTCGCGGGCTCCAAGCTGGCGTTTGGGAATGTGGTCGGCGAGGCGGACACGGCGGTGGCGCAGAGTGCGTTCTGTCCGTTCAGGTGAGTTTTCTCCATTGCATTCGTTGTATATGTCCTGTCGAATTACGTCTGACAATGGGTTTCGTATAGCATTGGACCCCGTGGGTGTATTGGCAAGGGGCTTGCGTATGTCGAGATGATGACTACGCTGGCGAGGACAGTATTCCTGTATGACATGAGGAGGGCTGTGGGTGTAAGCGACAAGGCGGAGGGACATAAGGGAAGGGAATGGGGGAGGGATCGGCCGGACGAGATGCAGCTGATTGACACTTTTACGAGCTGGAAGGAGGGCGTGATGGTTGATTTTAGGAAGAGGGATGGCATCTAAGGGTGTTGATTCGATCAGCCAGTCGTTCAAGCGTCATCACCGACAAGATTGTGTTCTGGTGTGTGATTGTCTCAGGTCGAGACGGAAAAGAGAGTTGTACATAGTGACCATCTCCGGACGAGATTGTGTTTGTGTCTCCCTCAAGCAATTCATGAACATGTCGAGAACATTCTCCGGGACAGCAATGGCAGTGATCTCATGCTGCGTCAAGTCTTCCAGTTGCGCTCCAGTCAGATAAAAGCCCACTCTCGCTGCAGGAATAGCATCATCAACAAGAGTCTGCTCTCTACCCCAGCCCCAAATCGGTTCCAATGCCGAGGCTATCCACCCTGCCCCATTGTTGCCCATCACGAGACCTTCTCGTATTGGCTCGCCCCTGGGCTTGTTGTTCCTTTTGTGGGGAATCCTTGTTCTACCTTAGATGTCCTCGGTCGATCTCAAGCTCCTTGATGAATCAATCTAACTGTTGGCATGGATTCATGCGGGCAATAAACATTGACAGCACCGGGAGATGCCAGGGGCCAAGTCTTGATTTCTCCAACGACAGCACGGATATGGGTTCTTGGTCCATTTCTAGCGGTAGCCAATGGCCCAATGCCACTCTTCCAAGCCTGGAATTCCACCGAGCGCTTGCAGTGGCAGAGCCTAGTCCACTGGGCTGAAGTCAGTTCATCCGACTCGGGAGTGTCTGCCGGGGAAAACGGAGCCGGCGAACCTTGAATTATCCGTGCTATCTCCAACTTTGGCAGCGATCATGCAGGCACAGGCTCTCTTATCTTACTAGCCCGTGACCCACGCGTCTACCCTGGAGCTTGTTGGAGAAACAAACGTGAATGCTGTGTGTCTTTGGTTGGCCCCTCGCCTGTACTCGACACGCTTTCCCCTGTATACCACCTCGGCTGGGCCCGTTGATGCATTTTATATGTACTCAATCTGGTACTTAGGATGTGACGAGGGACTCGCAGTATTGGACAGCACTGGGTCGATTCATTAGGTTCCCCTGCTTGGCAACACTGCGTGCCATGGATGACGACGACAGCATCTGAGCGAGCACTCGAGTCGGCTCCGCTCCACCATCTCCTCTCCTCCTCACTAAGTGGAGATCTACGTTTCCCTCCCCACCATCCGTGAGTTTCTTGGTAGACCCCACAGACAAACTTCAGGCCGACAATACAGTCGCGCTCGTGTCGGCACACCTCGGAGCGAGATGCACACACTATGAAATCACAACGCCCCTGCCCATAGCCGCCCAGGAACATGCCAGGCTCAGGGCAACCTCGTGATAACCACAATGTAACGTGCCGCTCATTCATTCATAAAAGACATGTTATCTCCACACCGTCCCCTGCCGTCGCCGATGCATTGTCCTGCAAGGCACCACCTTCCTCGACCTCGGCCCCCTCCAACCTGAACGCCCGCTTCTCGACCACGAGGCCAACGCGTCACCGCCATCATGAAGTCGTCGTTCTCTGCCCTCGCCGGCCTCATGGGCCTGGCAGCCGCCCAGTCGTGGCCCAATGGGCCCTTCACGGCCTCTGGTCGTGACATCCTCGACGCCTCAGGGAACGTCGTCACCCTCGCGGGCGCCAACTGGCCCGGCGCGGCTGATGTCATGATCCCCGAGGGCCTGCAATACCAGAGCGTGGCCTACATTGTCTCGAAGCTCAAGGAGATCAACATGAACGCCGTGCGGTTGACATACGCCATCGAGATGATCGACCAGATCTACGAGAACGGCGGCGTGGACATCCCACTGTCGCAGGCGTTCACACAGGCGCTGGGCGAGGCGAACGGCACGACTGTTTTCAACCAGGTCTTGGCTGCGAACCCAGACTTCAGCGCCAACATCACGCGATTGGAGGTGAGAGGACCAAGAGAAGTGAACTGACGGTCGTTCTTCGAGCTTTCATGGCTGACTTATTGTGATCTGTCCAGGTCTTCGATGCCGTAGCAGCCGAGCTCGCCGCCAACGAGATCTACATCGACTTGGACAACCACATGTCCCAGGGCGCGTGGTGCTGCAACACTGAGGACGGTAACTCGTGGTGGGGAGACACGTACTTTTCCGTGGCCAACTGGACCCGAGGACTGGCGTACATGGCTGACCATGTAAGTCTCCGGGGAATCCTTTCCTATGGGCCCCATCGGAAATACTGACAACACCTTCAGGCCGGCTCATGGACCGCCCTGGCGTCCATGTCCCTGCGCAACGAGCCCCGCAGGCCCGACAACAACGCCACCCTCCAGGAGACGTACAACTGGCAGTACTGGTACGAGTACGTCAAGGAGGGCGCCGCCGCAGTCAGCACCGCCAACCCGGACACGCTCGTCGTCCTGTCGGGCCTCGACTTCGACACCTTCCTGACGCCCGTGGTGCGCGGGACCGCCCTGACCCCGGGCAGCGGGACCTTCTCGCGCGCCGACTTCGCCGCCGACAAGGTCGTCCTCGAGCTGCACAACTACGCCAACAGCGTCGCCGACTGCGCCTCGCTCGAGTCCAGCCTCTACAACAACGGCTTCCAGGCCCTCAACACCTCCGACGCCGCCGCCGTCAACCACTTCCCCGTGCTCCTCACCGAGTGGGGCTTCGCCATGGACGGCTCCACGTACACCAAGCCCTACACGCAGTGCCTGGCCGAGTACCTGCCCGCGCAGAAGGCCGGCTGGATGATCTGGGTCGTGGCTGGCAGTTATTACATCCGTAGCGGGACCCAGGACTATGAGGAGACTTGGGGTCTTCTCTCGCATGACTGGAGTGAATGGCGCGATCCTGCGTTTGTGAACAGCACCTTGGCTCCGATGGTGGATGCGACTATCTCTTGAGATGTCTCGAGGGCAGAATGAGTTTGCAACGTCAAATATCGATATTGTAAATATGTAGCGGAAATCGAATGACATAGCGAACGTGCGTGATGCCTCGTGATGAGTGATCGATTGCGGACCCACTGCACTCGGCACTCGATGCCATGCTGATGCCGGTTGCTTCCCTGTTCTCAGCTTCATTTGAAGCGCACTGCGCCTGTCAACAAGCTGAGGAAACTGCCTTGAGAAACGAGAAGGCGGGTAGATATTCAGCATTCTAATACGATAGGCGAGGTCTGTATGTGCATTCACAAGTATGGTTGTCATCTAGGAAAGGATTCCTGTGAAGCTGTTGCGGCTGTCTGCGAAATGCAGTCATTTTGGGCTGTGTTCGTTGATCGCTTTCCATGGATATGGCAAGCTCTGCCGGTCGACCTGTGCCATCCATCTCACTTGTATTGTATTGAGTGACAAGTTCCTGTGCTGAGTCGACTGCGAGAAGCTCCTGCGGTTCAGAGCTTACTGTTGTCGCTGTCAATGAGGCAGCGGTCTGCTCTTCATCCTGAACATCCTTGAGGTGTTTTGAGTTTGGACTTTCCTTTCTCCTGAGCATGATCCATAAGATAAAGCTACAGATTATTATCAGAAGAGCGAGACAACCGACAATTACTCCAACAATAACTCTCGCAACCACTCTAGGTGGAAGCGGGCCATTGTGACTCGACGCGGCCGATGACATGGTTGATTTGCAAAAAGCGACCAGGACTCGTCGAGAGTCGTGCTAAATGTGGAAATGACTAGAAGTATCGTCCCCTTGCTCTGTAGATTCCAAAAAGGGAGAGAAAACCCCTGACTATATCTGTAATCGGCAGGGCCTCTGTCTTCGTCGCACAAGTAGGCAACCAGTCATCGCAAGACTGTTCATCAAGCCCCCAACGCCGTGCTACCTCACTTGCAGCGAAACACGCTCCAGGGGCTTTCCTTCGAACCTGGGGGTCTCGGAAAGAAACATGCTGCTGGGTCGATCTCAATTCAAGAGCCTCACTCGGCCCGGCCCAAGGCAGCAAAAAAATGGTATCCGCACCGGGGTTTGAACCCGGGTCTTTGGAGACTTCCAATGCTGCTGCCTTTGAAAATCCAATATGCTAAACCTCTACACTATGCGGATGTTGGGATGAAAAGTCTTCGCCCTGAGGAAACAAGAAAGTGGTTGTAGGCAGTAATGTGAATGTGTTTGTGCCTGAGGCATTGGGGGTGGGGGGGGGGGTCAACAGCCTGCCTCTCTCGCTACCTGACACTGCTACACCTGCCTGAACGGAGCTCTTGATCTCTCATGGTCAATCTATGTGGGCATGGAGGGCAAGTTTTGCTTGTGGTCAAGTTGATGGACTGTGTCTGGTGTGGTCGGCGCATGCTTTGTCTCGTGTCCTTGACCGTGCTGGACAACATCTTTTACGAACAACGGTATTTGTAGGGGCTCTTGACGCATTTCCAATCTACTTAGAATTTTACGAAAATATAAATCTGTTAAAAAGCCTTGAGGGACAAGCTTCTTTCATCCTCATGATCAACTTTGCAAATATTGTCTGTCAGCAGCTCTCAATCGATTACTGCTTGCGCTTCATTCAACTAGAAATGTGTTCCTCTGAGCCCTCGGTTTTAGACAAACAAGTGATTCCACGAATACGCAAACTTGCAGGTTGTATCATGTAAAATTGCCTAAGCGCAGTACATATCTCATGACCTTGGAGTCTTGGACCTAATGCTTTTGCACTGGTCGGCTCTGTGCTCAAGAAACAACAAAATCAGGGAATTGGAGCTTAAATCCTCGAGTTGAGGAACCTGACATCGGTAAGAGGCGGGCCTTGTCCTATTCCATGTGAGAAGCCTCCGGTAATTCCATAATCGATGAAGAATTCCTTTGAAAAGTTATAAGAGCTTAGAAAGGCTGCAGGGATCTTCAGCTGCGGATCCTTGCTATATTTCGTATTTGCTAGACAATTACCATGTATGTTTTTAACTACTTTTTGAGCAAGGTACGATCCTTGGAGCAAAGGAAGAGACTCAATTGCCAAGACAGACATCACACGGAGATCGTATACAGGAGCGAGCACTCTATGGTCTGGTAGCATGGCCGGGCGAAGGCTGGATCGAATAAACCACAAATGGATTACAAAGCGCATCCAAAAATTGCATTTACAAAGTCGAGAAACGTAAAGACCAGAGCATTCTTAGTAACTTTGGGAGATCGTCCTCAGACATCAATGGCCCCGACAGCCTGGATTACACATCCCTGACCGAATGGCGCGAGTTTCGAAATGTGGAGATTTGTAGGCGAAAGTCTGTTTGGAGACTTGCTGTAACACCTCTTGGTAATTCCCCGGATGCACCGTACGTCTGACATCGGATGCAGTTGGAGATTTTGGAGAGCGCGAATCAATTGGCCTGGTCGATCCGATATTTGGGACCATTCACCAAAGTTTATGTGATGGCAGGTGAAGCAAGGCTTCATGCGGATGTTAGAAGTAGAGGCGTGAGACTTTGTAATGCAGGGTGCTTTACGCACATGAAACCGTCAGGCGCAGAAATTGGGCGAACAAGCGTTGACTATCTGTTCCGACACGTACCAGATGGTAGGCCTATAGATTTCATTACCTCACTGATCACGATGATGGAACCTGTCTCAAAGCAGTGTGTGCGTAATCAATTCAAATTTCCATACCTATCAACGGTCAAGATCACGCTGCCCTAGCCGGGAACGTCATCGAGATCGGACAAATCGATGTTACGGCCTCATTCAAGCTTTTTCGACAGCCTTCTGGGCCGTATATGCTATTTTGCTATAGGCCCCATCTATGCGGCTGGTCATTATGGGTCATCGGACGATATGCCTCTGAAGCACAAAAGCAAGGATAATAGGATTGGAATCACAGCCTTACACTCTAATCCGACCGGGGTTTAACGACTGGTTCTGAGCATCCGACGAAAAGTTTCACTTTTTGCTCATTGACTACTGAACCCCAAACATAACTCCGCGTTCATCGGAGAATTCACCAAGAAGGAATAATCCCTAGGTCGTTTTCATGATCAAGCAGATACTCACGCCAAGATCCTGGCTTCCGGCTTCTCCGGTCCAATGCGGTCGTTTCATACTTGGAGACATGCCCGCTAATTTGTGCAAATACTGGATGACCGCCGTTGGTACAGAGTAGGGTTCTCCAAGGTTGTTCTCTGAGACATCTTTTCGGATCTCTGCCGAATTTGGGGTCACGTTCTTCTTTGTCACGGGGTAGTCGGTGTCTGAGTGGTCAATCCTACGTTTTACAATCAGTTGAGACATGATATTGATTAATCCTCGTAATTCAGCCGTCTTGGAAAATCTGGAGCTACCGATGCTTCCGTTTCTGACAGACGACCGTAATATAAGGTCATGCCCGGCCCGTGAGATTCTTCACTAACAATGACACTGTTGACTGTTCCTTTTTGACGCCATCACACCCACAGTCTCAGTTGAACTAAATGAAACCCCCAATTTAATTGATATCTACAGCTGTGTAAGCCTGAGACTTGGGATGGTGTGCCATTTTATGGTGTACCAGAGCTATTTTGTAGGAGTCTAAGAAGGGACAAATAAGCGAGTTCAGCTGTGTTCATCGAGACAATGTTCAGGATCTGTGCTCATATCTATCGACACAGCTTTTGGATGCGACATTGCAGTCGCAGCAAACGGAATGATCCGTGATCAACGGAGCACACAGACATTTCCCTCCGCAGACTCAGACGGACAGCTGAAAAGCTTATGACCGCCCTACCAACGTGTGCTACCCGGAATTTACCCAGGCCAGGGAAGGTCAGGCTGCATTCAAGTATTCATGCTTTCAAAATGCTGCCTCAATGACCAATACCCGGGGGCAGAGGTGTATAGTTCATCGGAAGTGTGATGGGGGTTTCAGGCTCTGCGTGCCAGATTCGAAGGTTAAATCTGACCCCTTATTTTCAATCACAGCATGTCCCTCATCCCGCAGGCAAATTAGCTTGCTTCGAACATAATGATAAAGCCAAGGTCGATTCTTCTTTCTTGGACGATTGTGCATCTGTGTCAATGTCGATGAGACATTCGCCGTCCTTGATCGTGCCATCATGGCTCCTGATTGGACTGAACTCCCTGGCAATGGCGTGGCATTCCTCAGTTTGTCACTATTATTCACGTTTCTAGGCGTCTGTGCCTTTTCGGCGAGGACATACACCAGCTGGACCTGCACCAAACGATTTCGTCTCGACTACTGGCTGTCGCTCTTTACATTCGTAAGACTACAGCAATATATACACGAGACATCGCGCTGACCATCTTCAGACTCTTCTATGCGTCAGCCAGTCGTTTTTTGCGGTGAGCATTGTGTTTGGTATTGGAGCCCACATGCAAGGGCTCCGGCCTCATGAAATAGTCGTGGCTATGCGTACGAGTTGGATCAACATGATCTCGGCAATAATCGCCATTGTCACTGGGAAGCTCTCGATCATTGCATTTCTGGACCAGATCAGGGGCCGTCATCAAGGGCGACCGTGGTTCCTCTGGTTTATCGGAGCGTCCAACATCATCGTCAATATAACGGTGGTCATCACTATCCTGTTACAGTGCTCACCAGTCGAGAAGATATGGGACAACAGCGTACCCGGAAACTGCGACGGACGACCATTGAATTTGAATTATGCATATTTTCAGGGCAGTATGTCTTTACCAATTTCTACACCAGCACATCTCCCTCTCCCGCACCCATCAGCCTCAGTTCGAGCCAAGACAAAGCTGATTGACAAATTTGTTCTTCTCTGCAGGCTACTCTGCTGTCTCGGATGCTGTTCTTGCCATCTATCCCATCTATCTGATTTGGGGACTGCAAGTAACATTGCGGATGAAGGTTGGCCTCTGCTTCCTCCTTGGGTTTGGACTCATTGCAGCCGCGTGTTCCGCTCTCAAAACGGCGGAGCTGAGAAATCTTCAACATGCCGACGAGGAAGACGACATTACGTTCTTTGTCGCTCGTCTGTCCTTGACCACCATTATCGAGGCTTGGATAGTGCTAGTGGGTGGGTGCATCCCACCTTGTCGACCACTTTTGAAGGCATTGATGGTGAAGATTCGTGGGCCGACAACTTCCACGGCGCGTACATATACAGCAAGTCACCCCTACCAAAGATACGACAAGTACGGTATGCCATCTTTGGGTGGTAGGGTAGTGAGTAGTACCGGAAAGATCCTTAGGGCAAGCTTGACGAGTCGTGCCATCACTGGAAATCACACCCGTGTGTACTATGACCCTAAGGGAGATGCGGGGACAGAGTTCGAGATGCATAAGCCCACTGTCAGGGGGGCAAGTGACAGCGATAAGACTTTGGTGCCTCTGAAAGACCCGGGCAAAGCGATCGTAATGACTCGGGTAACGGACGTGGATTTCTCTTGATGTTTGTTCAGGGTCTGACACATGGGAAAGATCTCCATCATAGCGTCAACTGTGACTTGGTTGCTAAGGCTATTTCGTAGGCAGTTTTTTTGTAATGCGAAGTCCATCAAGGACACAACCTTTACGAGGTTCGATTGCCTCTCATAAGAGAAACATGGATGACAAGCCTTGTACTCTATCCCAATTTAACTTGAACTCGGAAGAATGCCCAAGTGTTTTCACAGCCCAAATCTCTTTTCGTAAGGCTGTATTTGTCTAAGTGAGGTAGTGCCGTCCGTCTAGGGTTCTCAGCGGCCCTTGGTGGAAGGGGAGAAAGGTCTAGATATTACCACCTGCCTTATTACGTTTCAGAAGAGCGGAGAGGGATTTTAGCCTCTCAGCAGGGCTCGAGGTACGCTGTTCGCTCTCGTGCTCCCTTCCGGTACCATTTTGCACTTAGGCAATAGGGTTCACAATATAGGGTTGAGTCCAAGGTACTGCAATCCTATCTACTTCTGAAAGTAGTCCCCCCCCCCCGGAGGGCTCACTAGATATAACTGTAAGCCGATTCCTTGCATTAGTCATAAATTTACGATGTGGATCATGCGTCATTTGCTGATGGAGGTTCGGATATCAGCACTCGTGTTCTCGTTAGACTTATATGTACTCGAGGCCCCCCCCCCCGTGGTGCAGGAGTCAGTGCTAGATGGTGAGTACCTAAAAAGTATGCTCAAGTTATCAATGTGATTGGTTTTGTGTCTTTGACTCAACTGTTCATTCTGGCGAGGAAATTGGGTCCCTTCTGAAATAAGACGCGGCTCAACATTACACGGGATTCACCGAAGTCGATGACACTTGGACCCCCCATGGTGTATACCGCAAATGCTATCATACTGATTGTCAAATTGAGCTGATCCTTGAAATTAACTCGAGCTCAGCCATGCACGGTGGCTGAAATGACTGTTGAGGCTGTGGGATGTTGTAACGTAGCACGTGTCTTTGAGATCTAAGACTGGTCATTGGTTCTTGTAACCTGGCACGCATGCCTTCGTACAGCCTCCAATCATCTGTCTCACTCAAGTTAAACTTGCATACTCGATCTTGAACTTCCAAGTGCCATCAACCCCTCAGAGGCTGATTCATGAGCCGTGGAGAAGCTCTCCCGAAGACCGTAGTCGCTAGTCTACATGCTCACTCATCAATACATTTAGCAGGAAACGGCCAGTATATGTCGACTGTCTCCACAAGAAACGATTAGCATGTGACTGACATTCCCACACCAACGATGATACTAGACGCAGAGTCAGATAGACCCATCTGCCTGCCTCCTTCAAACGTTGTCTTGAGTCATGATGGCCACGGCAACAACCGATAGCCAAAGCTAGGGATATCGGGCTGGTCAATACTGTGACGGTCAAGGAGCATATGCGTGTACAAGATCGTGCTTGTGAGGCCAACGATAGCTAGTCCTAAAAGAAATTGTGAGTGCTCACTTGGCATTGCTAGAAGTCACATCGGGCTCTCAAGCTCGCATTTGTGAGTCATGGTTCAAGAGACAGGCAGAGAAGAGACCCTTCAGAGGCATCCTGCGCTGTTGCAGTGCTACAACGGATATACTCCTCGAGAAAACGCCAGCCTCAAAATCGAGGAAAATCTGCCTGGTCTCGTCCGCTGAAAGTCTTGGCGAGTATCATCGAGATGGATGGCTGTGGGCTGGTGTGGCTGCATCGATGAGGAAGACCCAAGGAAGCAAGACGACAGCGCAGAGAGTGCGAATAGAGGAGCATTGAGGGCGATGAATTGATTCACGGGCATTAGATTACCCGAATGAGCAGTTTTCCAGAGGACAGGAATGGCATGGCCCCGTGCAAACGCGTATTAACAAATTACTACACGAGACTGCGGCTCGATGTCATGTTCTGCTAGGCCAGGAGAAGTAACAAGCCCAAAAAGATGCCAAGTAAAGTGCCTGCGCCCCCAGTCGATCCTTGCAGTTACATACTGCATCTGCAACTGCTACCCCTGAAAAGTCTGCCAGTGAGCCTGTGAGTCCGTCTCAGCCACGACACTAGTCCCTGGCCAGCTGGGTCCGGGTATGCCCATGTCGATATTGCCGAGTGGGCATAGGCTGAGCCGTCCCGCACAGGACTGGGAACCCTAAACCAAAGATCCACTATGTCACGCCGAATGATTCCGACCTATTTTAAGAGGTTGACAGGCATTGACAGGCAGGGGACAAAGCTTAAATCTTTCAACTGCCCCATCTCGCCGACAACAAGCCTTCCCTAAGCGGTGTCCAATGCCCTGAGGCTGGTCTATACGGCCTTGATACACAACTACTCTCACCGTCTCCCATGACAACTAACAGGTGAAGCCGCTTTCCCGTGTCGAAGACCTCCAGCAGCCATGGTCTCCAAGCAGTCGAGCAATGCTCCGAAGGGCCCCAAGCGAACCAGGGCAAAATTTCCCAAAGTCCGTACCGGTTGCCTCACATGGTGGGTACTGTTCCACTCTGATATTCATCTCCGCAATGATAAAGTCTGACCCGCTCTTTATAACAGCAAGTAAGTACTGCTTGACGACCCTGTGCTGTCCTTATTCGTGTCTGCTCAACCAACACTTCCAAAGGATCCGGCATAAAAAATGTGACGAGGCAAAACCCACCTGCCAGCGCTGCCGGGACTACGGCTACAAGTGCGATGGCTACGACCAGGCTATCCAACCGCGATGTCCGAAACAAAAACCCCAGGACAAACCGAAGTCGCAAGCGATGGTTGTCTCGAAGCAAGGCACAGATTTGTTGCAGACGTTTAACACACTCGGAGAAGTGTACGGCAGCCACACAGAGAAGTCCTTGTTCTTCCACGTCAACCACTGCACCGTCAAGGACTTGATAGGATACTCTCCTTCATTGTCCAGTTTCTGGCACGACTATGTCTTGCCAATCGGCCATGCGATCAGCCCCGTCAGGCATGCCTTGATTTCCCTCGGTGCCTCACACAAGGCCTTCCTGTTGAGGAACAACCCCAACGTACTATCAACGGAGAAGCAGAGCTATGACAGCTTCGCCATTCAGCAATATAACAAGGCAATAGCTGGCCTTACCCCAATCATGGCCGACCCTTCTTCAATCGATGTTCAAGCCATCCTCATCTGCTGCTTGATCTTTGTCTGCATAGACAATCTGAATGGGCGTAACGCCGTAGCCCTCCGACACCTGCGAGCCGGATCCCATCTTCTGGGTTCATTACAAGACCCATCATCTGCTTCTATGGCTGATACTGAGGGAGGAGAAACAGAAGGAGGAGGGGAAGGAAGGGATTGCAGCCCGCCTGGGCAACTTACAAAGCAAAGCTGCGACTTCGATACCCTCTGTGGCCTCTCCGACATGTTCGAACGTCTCGGTCTCGACACATCCATCCTAATAGAGGACCGGCTTATCCACCACCACAAGTTCTCTTCTCCCACGGATGACCCCACCCAGGGGCCCTTCCTGTCCTCTTCCACAGCCCGTCACGAGCTACGCAGGATCGACGTGGATTTCCACAACTTTTGGTTTCCACCCGACGGTGACAGCTTGTGCGCGTCAACTGAAGACTGCGAATCTGCGGAGGCTGAAGCAGAGCGGTGGGCAGAGCGATGCGCCGAGCTAGAGAAGGACCCCAAGTACCAGGAGCTCTGCGACCGGTTCGATAGATGGGTGAGTCGATTCGACCAATACTTCGAGAGCCTCAACCACACCCCGGTTCCCGAAGCAGAGTTCAAAGAGGCCATGGTATTGTCACTCCAAAAGAAAGTATGGGTGGCAATGCTAAACGAAAGTCCGTGTTGCGATGCCGCCCTGGACCGTCCGTACTTCGAAGATATCCTCCTCCAGACTGACCTCGTCATGCCTATCGTCGGTGGCGCGACGCACCCGGTCTTTAGCTTTGAGGCCGATATAGTCCCCCCTGTTGCGTTCGTTGCTTCATGTTGCCAGGATAAGGACTTGAGGATAAGAGCAATTGCGATGCTGAGGTCGATAAATCGAATCGAGGGTGCATGGGACAGCCAAAGATTGGCTGACTTGTACGAGGTGGATCTCGTGACTGGGAAGTGCCATGGAGAGGCTAAGTTATTTGAAAATGTCGACGGTTGGGGTGTTCCTATGCTTGGAGAAGTCCTCTGTAAAAGACCGGGTGCACCAGGCCCAATGGAGTAATGTCACGCTCCATGTACTGTACACGTGCTCGTTGTTGGGGCGTTGGTAGATATATCGGTCACTCTGCTCAAAGGTTGTGGCAGGTCATAAAATATGCTCTTTCGAGATGATGTCTGACCATCTAGACTGGGTTTGGTCTTGATGCTCTTGAAGAATCCACAGGTCCAATTTATTCATAAAACTTTACCACAGAAACAGACCCTGGTGGAATAAACAGATTCATTGATAGATCAAAGACGGTAGAGACTAAAGGCACGCAGTGGGGACGAGCCACAATGAGATGCACAGTCCGTCTACATGCCTGGAACTTCTCAAGTTCCCAAGAAAAGAAATCCCATCCGTGCTCAAATATCTGGAACAAAAGAGCCTACATGATACCATCAAGCGAGGTTGACATGATCAACAAGGCCGCTAGAAGCTGCTGAGCCCTCCAAGACCAGACCGCAGTTCCACCTCGGCACGCCCAGGCATGCTGGGCTTACCCAATGCGGTTTGGCCGTGTCCCATCATACGGGAGTTTGTGGACTGCGAGTGTCCCATTCAAGATCTCAACCTTGGGGTTAAGCTGGCTCTGTGGTCGAGGTTCATATCTGTTAGCAAGCGTCTCCGCAAGTCGATCTCTAGAGAATGGGATTGACAGCATACCGAGTCTATAGAGCACGTCACGGGCTTGGCCCCGAAGCTCGTGACAGAGCCGTTGCCTCCCGAGTCACTGTTGATGCGAACTTGCTGCGTCGTGGCGCGCGACGGGTCTCCTGGCAGATAGTTGAATGGCTCGATGGTAATGGCCGAGTGGGCGGTCGAAAACACCGTATTGGGCAGGTCACCGGTATGCGGCATGTGATGCATGCCCAGGTTAAACCAGACAACTCTGTGAACATGGTAAGCTCATGCACGCAAATGGAAAAGAGCAGACGGCCGGGATGGAGTGGAGCAAAGATTCCTTACACATCTTGCTGGTCCAGAGATTCGCCGTTAAAATACTTGGCGAAGTTGACTACTGGATCTGCCGGATCAAGGAGGTTGTATGGATTTGCAGCGCGGGCTTCCGTGTCCTTTTGCTTGGTCACGTATAAATGGTGGTCAGCGTGGTTTACGGCATTCTGGGCAACAGATGAGTTTTGTATCGTCAGCGAAGCGACTCCGGCTGCTAATTTTGTCCAAAACAGTTTGTTAGCCCATCTTTCACAAAAAAGAACAGTTCGCACCAACATACCGGGCATGATTCTGTACCCCGGAGCTTCGCCATACTGGTTCTTGGCATCCTTGTTGACGATAGCGTACATCGCGTTACCATTAGGGGACCAGTTGATCTTGGAATCATCCTCATTGGCAATGAACGACTTCTTAGCCTTCATAGTATTGCGTGGCTTCCCATCGCTCCAGACATAACTGCATGTGATTTAGCCTTGTCCCTATATTCATGTGCTGTCACGTTGGATCAAAGCTTACGTCTCAGTGGTAGGCACAAATTCGACCTTTTGTACGGAATTCTTTTCGCCCATGATGTCAAAGTCAGCTTTAAAGGTAAGCACGTGGTCGTGCATTGACCCGGATAGATTGTCGTGGATATTGAATCCATATTCTCCGTTCTTTGCAGCGTACCCGCTCTGAATATAGCCTGAAGCTCTGACTGCAACGGTGATAGAGCCATCCATCCGAAATTCATATGTTGTCTGGTAGTCGTAGTTTCCGACCGTTGCCACCGATCGCAGCTTGAATGCAATGCTCTTGGTGATACTAGTGAAACCTGGGCCTGAGTGTCTTTGGATAGGCAAGTCCTCGTTCAGCTCAAACATACCTGCAGCAGATGTCAGCGACAAACATCAAATGTGGGAGACAAGAAAGCACTGACAGATCGCATTAGGCTGCGTGTTCCTTGAAGTTCCATCCATATATGTGGTGTTGATGTACGTGGAATAAGCCGGACAATCGTAGCCTGCTTTTGCATCAGCTTGCGTGGGGCTGGGTCATCGTGACATTGACGAGATTCTTTACCGTTCACCAGCGAGACAAAGCTGGTACCAAATCCGTACATGGTGTCGAAATAGCTAAAAAAGTGAGTCATTGAATATAGTCTTCCCATGACAACTGAAATCTTACCAAGTGCCAGATTGGATCGGATCAATTCCCCTGTCAGAAATGAGCGTGGTTCCGTGAATCAAGTGAAAATGGCCTCTTACGCATAATGGGCTATGGCTTCCTCCATGCCAAGCTGGAAAATGTGAGTTTTCACTGGGAAAGTGGAGACGATTATGAGTAGTAAATACCTCGTAGATGATTCGCTTGCCTTTGTATTTGATATCAAACAACCTAAGTCCCATGTCGCGGCTGACAGTCACATAAAAGCTGAAGTCCACTGCTGCGCGTTAGCCAAAGTGTTCTTCAACACAATCGGAAAGGAATTAGGACCTACTCCAGGAGACGAAGTTCTCTTTTGTATCTACAGAGAAGCGCTTTGGGCCCGGTTGGATGGACATTGGCGGAGGGAGTTCGTCGAATGGCAGAGAATCCCCAACTTTGTCGAGTTGCGCCCACGACCCATCAACGACCATTCCTAATTTCTCAAATCCAGGTTTTGTCAGGGCGGTTTTAAATTCTTCAATGCTGTTGTAGAACACATTGTTGTATAGCCAACCAGTAATCTTCCACTTTGAAGAGTCGCGACCAGTCCGATCGGTTCTCACATAAAGTCCTTGCGGTAGCAGAGTACCTGTATCAAATGAGCCAGTTGAGCTGCCCGTGAAACCTTGCCAAGCTATGACCAGGCCATTTTCCACTCGGCTAGGGGAAACTGTTGCGAGGCTGAAGTTGTTGACATCCTGATCACCGTAGTCAGCAGGAAGCAAATATTCATACAAGTATCATGAGCGTAGCATACCATGTTCCACAGAGCCTTGGTAATATCGGCAGCTTGCGACATAATGGCATCTGTCAAGTTGTCTCCTGGGCCACCGCTGTCCGAGTCATAGACTCGAAGCTTCTTGCCGGGCTGACGGGTAGAGAGGAATGTGAGTGGTTTAGCCTGGGTCTGATTTCCCTTCGCCATGGGCCCGACAATGTACTCCTGAATGTATGGCTCCGGTGAGCTGCCGAATGCCAAGGTTGCACGAGCATATCGCGGCGGAGCAATTCCTCCACCAGCCAAAAACGGGAGAACATCTGTCTTGTTGGGCTGCAGTAGATCAATTGCAAGGCTGCAACCGATGTAAGTATGCACTCGCAGGCGTTTTCCAGGAGGAGGGATCCATACATTGTGTTGTCCCAACTATCAAGGCATACGGGTCAGCTCAAATGTCCCTGGGTGTGAAAAAGATGTGCCGGGCACCTACCTGCCACCATCGATGGTCAAGTTCAACTCCTTGGACTTGTAAAGAAAGTCCAGAGCATCCGCCATCTCCTGGTTTGTCAAACCCGCCCAGATATTTCGGTGAGGTGCTCCCACGGTGGGTTGGGTGACCTGGCAAACCCCACCACCAGCTTGTCGTGGTAGGCTACCACGCACACCATGCCCGGAAACCGTGGAGGCGATGGCCAAAAACCCAAGAATCGGCGGAACAAATGAAGTATTACGTCGCATTTTCAACAACAGGAAGGATCGGGCAAGCGAAAGTGGGTATTTATTACAATATGAGATCAACTAAAAGACAGAAGATCAAAAGAACGAGGGTAGTGAGTTGAGATGATTTCGACATCGTAGGACTACGGACAGAAAGCAGTCATCTTAAATACTGCATGTGCCTAGGTATCCACCAAGGCCTATCAAGTAGGTATTCAAATATGCGTGAAGATATCGACATACAACGCTGTCCGCCAGGCTCACTTTACAGAGTGGGTTCGAAATCAATAACGCCGTTATTGGTCGTTGCGGATGTGTCAAGTCGCTGTCTTCAGTGCTGCCTTTCGTATCTGCAATTAATTGTGATTGACTACTACCTGGAAATGTACTGTGCAGCCTAATATGCAATGCATTTCATAAATACGACCGTAACAGACGCTAGTACTTGCACCAAGTTTTATCCGCCGCGGCCAATGAGATTGTCCTCTACTTCGGATGTCTCAGACTCAGGTTTTGCAAGCCCTCGCAGTCTCGACCTTAAGTTGGACAGAATGAACAGTTTCAACACCCCGCGTTCGATTGACTGACTTGTAGACCAATATGATGACATGCCCTGTGCCCTCCGACCTTTATATCACATCCAAGTCTTCGTTCTGCCAGTCGCTAAATTACTGCTGCAGGGTGTGTGATAGTATTGGGAGATTAGGTAATCGGGGCGAACCCTCCTTGTCATAGGGCTTTGAAAAGGCGCTGTTCTTTATGAACGACACACCACACACGATCAATAAAGCATATTCTTCTGGACTCCGCATTCATTACATACAATCATGGCCTCGGAGCTTTAATCAGAGCCCGAGTGGGTTTTTTTTTTGCCGCGCTGCTTTTCTTTCTCGCTGTTCTGTCTAGCTCGCGTCCGTGTGTTCCCTCGGCCTCTGGGAGGGCTGCAAGAATGAGTTTCAACTATTCCTGTTGTTGCCCGGTTCCAATACCTTATGTAAGGACTCAGTTCTAAGACGCTATTACAGCTATGTCAAGAGTGTTTAGCTAAAAGCGAGTCTTGTTTTGCTATGATGTCTCGAATTCGACCAATCACACAAGATGCTAAACCGGACTGGGACTGGCCAGGCGGCGAAACCTACTAGAACAATTTAGCGATGATGAAATGTAAACATGTGACATGAGCTAAATCTCCTTTGTTCATAGATTGGTAGAAAGGCGCAGGGTGACCTCTTCGTTCCCGAGTTACTGGTCATGGACGTCACAACTTTTCGATCTATCTACCTCGCAACTCTCGAGGCAATCTATTTCCTATGTTTTATTTTTTCCGTATCCCGTTGCCCACCTCTTGAGTTGTATTCACAGTCTTCAACGACAATCTTGCCATGATGGACCGCGGCAAATCCATGGTAATATCTATCTGGACACTGTTCGCCGTGTCGGGCATTTTCCTTGGATTCAGAGTCTACTGCAGGTGCCATGGAGGCGGCAGGCTATGGTGGGATGATTGGGTCATGATTGTTGCGTTTGTCTGTTCTCCCTGCAATTAAGTTCCGCACGAAACTGTATTCTCTATAATTGCTGACATCTGCATACTGCCAGATTTTCTCGTCCGTAGACCATGCTACTGCCACGGTCATGGCCAATCTTGGAGTTGGCAAGCACATCACCGAAATAAACCCAGCCAATCTTCCTAAATTGCACCTCCTCAACCGCGTGGGTGTCGTTTTCGCGATATCAGCCTGTGTTTGGACGAAGACGTCTTGGGCTCTTACGATGCTTAGAATCGTGAGGGCGACACAAGATTACATGAGACTGATAGTGTGGTGTCTATTGGTATCCGTCAACGTGCTTATGGACGTGGGAATCATCCTCAATTTTCTGGAATGTGATTCAACAGGTCTCACTGTGTCACCTAGCCAAATGTGGTGTTGGACCAACCTAATTGCGGCCAACTATAATGTGTTCTCAGCTGGTAAGTGCTGTGCAGCGAAGTTATATAACACGTCACATGATGCCGTAAATTGACTTGGATAATAGCCTGGTCTGGATTTGCGGACATTGTTCTCGCTTTGCTAGCTTGGGTCATCATCTTACCTATGCAAATGGGAAGTAATGAGAAATTAGGGGTCGCAATTGCGATGAGCCTGGGAATCGTGTAGGTTTGCCTTACGAAAAACTGGCTGGTGATAGCAGCTGATGTTTCTGACCAGATCCGGCGCCATGGGGTTGGCCAAAACAGCCAACATACTCCTCATGGCCAAAATGGATTTTACCTGTCAGTGCTCTCCGTATATATTGGCGTTCTGTCTATCTACCCTTTCCTAACAAGCACAGACGAGGTTACGAACCTCATTATATGGACCGCCGCAGAGATCAGCAGTCTCATTATGGCTGCCAGCGTGCCATTCATTCGCCTTTTTGTGAAGAGCAAGCTCTCCACATTGAAATCGTATAGCAGCGGAGCTCAAGGACTAAACGAGCAGCCACAAGATACAAGCTTTACACCCAGCATTCCCACTACGGTTGGATATAGCCGACCGGGCTGGCGAGCACATTCCAGAGACTCTGACTTACTGGCCGAGACTCCGCCGGAGATGGCGGGGGACAACGGCACTCTCGGTCCCTATCCGTAAACCCGGAATCTCCACGCTTCACAATTATTGTTATTACATCTGATAAGGCAATGCTGCTCGTTCTCATGTGTTGTACCATACAGATGACCAAATAAAAACGACCCACATGTGCCAACGCCCGGGAATTCGCTGCTGCAATAGAAATTCATCAGATTGGAATCGGCGGTTAGTTCCTCTGCTGTTGGATATGATTGCTACACAGGAAGATCAAGGACGAGGCTCAATGTCGTACAAGAACCGACCCAAAGGCCCATTAGACATTTTGTCCCTATCTTTCGGTCAGTCAATTACTTTGAAACCAAGTCTGAAAGCTGTATTGACACAGGTACCAGGACCTAGTCGAGGTTTTGAGAGGCCTAGCCGCCCTTGGTGCTCACGAGGCTCTGTATTTTGGAATTCTATTGATACTAGTCAAAGGAGGACGTTTCAATCAGACCACTGAAACTTGTCGTCCAGGGAAGCAGGATGAGCAGGAGGAGAGCAAGAAGGCTAGTTTCTGGAGACCAAAGGTCAATTTATTCTACTCCCTTCTGTTCCTCCACCGGACTCTGCGGTGCGCCCAGAAGAACTGAACCTCGGAATAAAGACCCGCTCATATAGATAACCTGTCGCGACGCCACAACTTGTGGGTTCCACAGCGTTCGGCGGTGTGACGAGATTTTTGCAGCCTACCTCGTATCTCAGATGAAGTCTGGGGCGATCCGGGGAAGTCTGGGGTACCCCGCAGTAACCCCTGTCGCTCAACCCACCTCTGTGGATTTGCCCTGGTGGATGTCTACACGACACAGTCACACAGAGAATGCCAACTTGACGCCAAGCTGGTGAGTCCCTTGCCGGGTGCAATTGCCGGTGGGTGCCTTGGATCCTCTGAGCGGTTCTTCTCCCTTCGGAAAAGTGGCAGAAACGGGAGGATCCCACGCAGATCGAGCACGGAAAACTGGGCGCTGGGTATTCCTGTGTATTTGCTTCGGAGATTATGCCAGAGAGACGCGATGTTTCCGGGTCGAGAGGAGCTCACTTTGGAATCTCTCGCACTAAAGGGTGGTGTTGATTTACCAGATATACGGCCGATGGGCGACGCCCAATACTTTTTCGGGCCCTCGGCCAAACTCCTGGATCTTTGTCTGAGTCTTCTCTTTGGGTCAGGCTCCTGGAACAAGATGGCTTCTTCTTCCCTCGCAAGCTTTTCGCCGGCCTCAGCGGGAGTCGTCAATGCGGGTGCCGTCGCTTGTGACGCATCGAGTTTTCATTCTCTGACCTTGGCCAACATCGAGGTGCTATCCCTGGATGTTATCGTAAACACCACAGCCGCATCGGATTCCTCGACCGGCGGTGAGTTCTGCCAGGTTACGGTGTATTACACACATCCTGGCCAGAATGACACTGTCAACACATTTATCGGCTTACCTCTGCTCGCGGCTGACTGGAATGAGCGCTTCCAGATGGTCGGCGGCGGCGGCTGGGGCACTGGCTACACAGTCAACATGTTCGCAGCAGTCGCGGACGGCTACTCCTCGGTAGCCACAAATGGCGGCCATGATAACAATGCGCCGGTGGCTGATTGGGGTCTAGTCAGCGAAGGCAACGTCAACTGGCCATTGCTTTGGAACTTCGCTGTGGACGCATTGAATGAAGGAGCATCCTTAGGCAGACTAGCCACCGAGATCTATTATGGCACGCCTCCAAAGTATTCGTATTGGAATGGCTGTTCAACAGGTGGTCGCCAGGGACATATCATGGCTCAGCAACACCCTGAACAATTTGACGGAATCCTGGCTGGCGCCCCCGCAATCAACTGGCAGCGTTTCATTGTACAAGAGTACTGGGGGCCCCTTATGGCAAATCTTCTTGGTAAGTGATTTCATTGCTCACAAATGGATGCAGAGGCTAATGGCTGCCGGCAGACACCAGACCTCCTGCGTGCGTACTGGAAGCCTTCACTGAAGCCGCAATCGGGGCATGCGATGAGTTAGATGGCGTTAAAGATGGAGTTATTGCTTTGCCAGATCAATGTGACTTTGATGCGGAGTCCTTAGTCAACTCCAATATCAGCTGCACTGAGCCAAGCGGATCCGTCGTGATCACAGCGAAGCATGCCGAATTAGTCAACGCTATATGGCAAGGACCGACCTCCCTGGAAGGCAAATTTGAGTGGTACGGAATGGCCAAAGATGCATCTTTGCTCAGCCTTCTAAATACAACGTGCGACACCGTGGAAAACTGCACAGTCGTCCCCTTCTCTATCGCCGAAGACTGGCTCAAAGTGTTCGTGGCCAAGAACACGTCGCTAGACACGAGTCACTTGAGCAGGAGCGACTATGACAAGCTGTACCGCGCATCTGTCGCTCAGTATGCCTCGGTTATTGGAACAGACAATCCCGACTTGACCGACTTGCAGAACGCGGGAACTAAACTGCTCACCTGGCACGGCATGGCAGACCAACTCATCACTTACCACGGAACGGTCGACTATTACGAGCGAGTGGCACAGCTCAATTCAAATGTTACGGACTACTACAGATTCTTCCTTGCACCCGGGGTCGAGCACTGTGGTCTTGGGCCAGGTCTCGACCCTCACCTTACCATCTTCGATGCCCTGCGCGCCTGGGTTGAGAATGGCACAGCTCCTGACACCATACCCGCTACAGGGCCGGCTGTCGGTGATAATAATGATACTCGAGAAGTCGGTTTATGTCTATATCCTGGGCAGCTTACCTTTGTAGGCTCGGATCCAAATGACGCGACTTCTTTCACGTGTCAGTGACAGAGCATCGTGGACACTGAGACCCCACTAGTTTGACAATATCTGAAGCTGGCAGGCTTGTAGCAGACTAATTATGAGGCGGTAGGTCTGTTAAGACAATGGAAATTTCTAGCAGGTGCACCCCTCATTCAGAACTATGGACAGATCAATTTTAATGCGCTGATGCATCATCCATGTGACCCTTATAAATGGTCTCTGCGTGTGACAGACTCGCTGACTACCCAAAGACTCGCTCGCAATTCTGGATCCCCCAATCTCAGAACATGCTTCCATGTCCAAGTGGAGTCTTGTGTCCCGTAATCGTAGATTAGTCCCAAATTCAACTTGGCCTTGCGAGCATAGAACATCCAGTACTTATATCAAAGTCACCGAATCAGCCTGACGCAAATGCCCTGCAGAGCTGCCTATGACGGGCAGCAATCCAGGATGGTGTCATTTCATTGCCAAAGTTTTTCAACTTCCGGGGCTCGTTCTTCGTTCTTCGTTCTATCATGTTCCTCACTCTAGGCCTCAATCTCAGCGACAACATGCTTCCCTGGTCCGACCCTACACCTAGGGATATGCTCCTCGGCCCGGCTGCTCCTGGAAGAACGACTTCGGCAATTCGAAGTTTGGATCCATTTCCCTAAGATAATTGAGAGAATCTCTAACAACATCGTATCCAAAGTTGTAATCAAAGAATTGCTCGGGGGATTCTGATATGAGTCAGCACGCGGTACGAATTCCCGTCACTAGAAATCAATTTGACGTACTTGGCACGCGTTCCAGCGGGATGAATTGGGAAGCTTCTTTTTGGATCAGTTCCGGCTCATCCTGGCCGGCGTTGCTGAATATTTGCATCAAGCTAGCTCGGCTTTTTCGAATCTTTTCGTACAATAACAGACGCCCAGTAACGTTCTCCCTGGTGGCATTACAGAGGACCATGCCGAGAACAACGCCATCCTCTATGCCCTGAGCGCCACCCTGTCCTTGGTCTACTGTTGGTCAGTCAAACAATTGACATGTCACGAAGGGGCACAAAGCTCACGGGGTAACATGGGATGAGCCGCGTCGCCCGCTAGTGTCATTTTGCCCTTGACCCATGTAGAAACAGGCGGTCGAAAGAGGAGTGCCCATTGCTTGACTTCTGTTGCCTTGCTGTTCGCGTGTCAGCGGTGAGAATGTATTAAAATCGACTTGAGATGTGCGTAAGGAGTTTTATTAAATATACTTCAGTACTGCCAGAAGTCGTGGATGAACGTCGTGATATCTCTCGAGCAATTTTGACTTGTCAATGGAGGCTTGCCAGTCTATAATGACACATGGGAAGAATTTTGTTAGCAACAGATTCTCTGGCAGGGGAAAACTGGGGACCCTTAAACCTGGCAAAAATTAGGGGATCTCAAACCTTCTTTTCGCATCTTTGAAATGTCATCCTCATGAAAAATTGCAACAAAATTGTGCACCTCGTTGCTTTAGACTTATCAGTAATTCGATAGAAGTACACCCTAGGTCTTAGGACAGGAGACTCACTTGCGGCAGGGATATGAGACAAGCCTCTTCATTTCTCCTACGAAGAATTTCATACGGCCGTCGTCTTCTTCGTTCCAGAATTTCGTTTCGGCGTCGTTTTCAATACAATCAGCTGGAATCAGGAACCGGTAGCAGAAATTATATGCGTCCCTTGATGGCTCAGGGGGGTTTGGCTTTCCGATGATGGCCTCGACGCCCAGAGTGTGGATGCCATCTGCTGCGATGACAACGTCGCCATACACCGTCTCGCCGTTAGCGAGGGTGATCGAAGGGGCATCTGCATTCTGTAGCAATATTTAGAGAATTGCAGGTCTCTGTGAAATAGATGCGCCGGCCTCACTGCGCTGATGTGAATCAAATATGACGACGGCTTGGAACTCACGTATTTGACTACCTCGGCCCTCAAATGCACCTCTACAGGCTTGCCATGCCCATCAGGTTCCGTAGCCAACCTCTTCAGCTCTTCGTGCAAGTCAACTCGGTGCGCAAAGAACCACGGCGAGCCATACTTGACCGGGACTTCACTCTCCGTGGTTCCAACGTGAAAACGCCCGAGCGTTTTTGCGTTGGCCCGAAAGCTTGATTTGACTGTCACAAACTTGGCGCCCTTGGGATCCAAGCCCCAGGCGAGCAGGGCCCGAGACGCGTTTGGCGGAACGTGGATGGCGGCGCCGATCTCGTTGTTGAAGGAGGACCGCTCGTATATGCGCACGGTGTGACCGGCTCGCCGGAGAGAAATGGCTGCTGAGAATCCTGCTATGCCTCCTCCGACGATAATGACTTTCAAAGCCATTGAGTGCAGAGCGAAGACGAAAAAAAATTCAGAACGATCGCAAGTTCTGTTCGATGCAGTTCCGACCTAATTGCCTTACAGAGCAGGCTGGGGCAAACTAGGTCTACGCAGTTGCTAGAATGTCATGTGCTTGGTACATGATGCTTCTGATGCATTCTGTGACCATAGAAAAACAAAAAGCTGCGCGGCAAAGTGCTGTGATATGGCATGCACGCAACGTGGATCTCCTGAGGAGCTGATGATCCAGAATGCAAGATGCCCTCGGCGGAGTTGTGATCATGCAGCGGCCCCACGTCTTACAATGCATACGCCTTTCGGATGTTGGATGGGTTCTTGCGCTGCAATACCAATATATTGATTCGGCTGACACGTTGGTATAGGTAGCAACGCCGAGGATGGGTCGACCTTAGAGGTCGAACAGTGGTAAGAAGGATCTTATATGCATGCGGGATGCTGGGGTCTTCTCGCTAGTATTGGCATGCAAGCTCCGCGATGCAACGCTGGCTACCGATCACGGCAATCGTCCGTGAGAGTAAGATTTTTGTGCGTCCGGGTAGATTACGGAAACGGGGCCTGATACGGAAACGAGTCCCCTGGAGATATTTATCCTCGACGAGCATCGGATGTCTGCTCGAATTATTGCTTTCTCTCTACAACTATCCCTAGGCAGATATTTCGGAACCGTTGACAGTACCTTGACTTAAGAATAAGGAGGAAGTGGAACTCCACGGTACCTGGTCACCACCTAGATAGGAACAGCCTATTCAAAGACAATCTCATCCCTCTGCAGACCGGCTGTGCATTTGAGTTGCCTCGTGCAGAACCTATACGTGCGTCTAGGGAGGCCTTTGATGCATAGCATTCTACTCAGTCCTTGCATTTGATTATGTATTTTCTTGCCTCTTTCTGCTATTTGCGACCCTAAATGCGCGACGCCTTATTTCTAAAGCGTCTCGGATGGATCAACGAGAAAGACGCCAGCAATCGCAGCAATCAGACTACAGGCTTACGCCCATCCAAAGGCGACGCCGTGTGTGTCCAATAGCGCAGCTGCGACAGTCTGGATTTACACCTTGTACTTGACATCTTTTTCTGATTGGGTATTGGCGATGAAATTCACTAGGAACGCTTCTAGTAGAATAAGAGGTAATATCACTGAAGCGATGTTTTCCAAAGCGATGAATAAGCTCGCTAGTGGAGATCGCAACTTCCAATTACGCGAAAATTTCAAAGCATGATTAGCCACTGTTCCATACCAAGTAATAGCAAATAAAAATGGCAAAGATATTTGGAACGGTTATGAATCACCGAGTCACCGCATCACCATCATCGGTCTACTCGTAATGGCAATGCACTTTTCTGGAGTACAGAGCTGAACCAAAGTGACCAAAGCAAAGAGACAGACTCCGCGGCGTATACCCAGAAGTACAGAACAAACCCAAACTTGGGTTGAAGTCGACGGCGTAGCATCAGCAATAAGCACAATGAAGGTGTTGCTATGGATTCGAAGGCTATCACGGCAGGCCAGGGGGACATTTCTAGTCGTAGATCAGTAAAGCCTGGCAACTCCAATAGGGACACTATAAACAACCACATTGACTCTGTCACGGGGCCCTGTTCTTGGAGGATCGGTTTTGTGTAGCACGCCCACCTCAAGCGTGAAGTAGGTGTTAGCTGTAAAGAAAAGCAAACCCGGTACGAAGATGCATCCAAACCCAACGGGGAAATTGCTGCCGTACACCAACAGAGACAGTTGCTGGGAGATACAGATGCTGCTATGCTCGGTGCTGTCTATCGTATCTCGTTAAGTGTAATTAGACTACCACCTAGGAATGCATAGACTAATATAGAACGAACCGTCGGTACAACCGTGACAGACGGTAACATTTGCAACGGATTTTATCCGCTTCAGCCAATGACACTATCTTCTCCCCCTGGTCTCGGCCGTTTCGGCGCCTTGGCATCGCTCAGCCTCGCCTCTGGGTCGGTCGATTCGCCAGCAATTATTATGACGGTCGGTCCATGACGGTCGGTCCATGAGTTGTCAGGTTGCTCTCATGCACGATAGGCCATGCATATGCATACCGCCAACATCGACCTTTCCGACAAGGTGTGGTCCCGCCCCTGAATGAAGAGCTGCCGTGGGTAGCCTAAGCAGATCATTCGGCCAGCTGAATGTTGCATAAGAGGAGGGCTCAGGCCGCAGCGGGATCACCTCGCGTCCTCTGGAGATGGTCGGCTGCAATGTACCCAGGTAAGTTCGTCACACATGCGTACCGGACCTCTACCGGCCTTGCAGATTCGTCAGCTACGAGACGCAGCTAAGCTCAGGCTGAGTATGATCGAGGGTGGCTCAACTTCTCATCTCCGGCTGTCCTGTGCCTTATTTCCATGCTGATCATGCGCGATATATAGTAGACTGTGGGCTGTGCCAAGCCCAACTAGTGTCATAGGTAGGCTCATAGGCCTAAGTGAAGCTCGACATAATAGAAGGCCGTGCAGATTTCCCAGTTGTGCTGGAATTTGGAACGTGCCAGGCAGCATGTTATGAGATAGGTGACATTCTAGCGGGGACCTGCGGCCCACTGCGTAATTTACACTTCGTATTGTGTACTTTGATGGGCATTCATCCTGTCGAGCTGTTACTGGATATGGAATGAACATGAGGTCAGAATTTGACTGTACTGAAGTGAGGAGGGGGTGGGTCTAAAGTGAGCTTCTTGAGTCTGAGTGGTCTCGTTTAGACTTGCTCTGCATGTAATCACACAACCTATAAATAATGTTCTGAATATAGATGAATAAAAATTGAAAAAGTCAACGAATATATCTATCTTAACATGGTGTTTGGCAAATTGATCCCCCTGGCGCATCATAGTGCGAGAGTGCTAACCACCGGGCTGTGCAGGGTGAGAAGAGTGATCCAGATGAGTCATCTATTCAAGCCACGTCCTTCGATGTCCTGCCTTTGCCCGCTCCTCCACTCCTCCACAATGCCCGGGATGACCATCCCCCTTGACCAGGAACGAGGCAGATGGGTGATCTTTCAGTCGACAAATTCGAATTCACAAATCTCATCACTGGTCAGTTCTTCACTCGTCTAAACGCCCACTTTTAATTTATACTGTCTCCTCCCATGACTTCCTTGGGACAAAGTATCCTTTAATTGGTTCGAGGTCAGTAAAACCAATGTCTTTCCTTGTTAATCTCCACCAAATTGGAATTCGAAATTTTACAAAGTTGTCTTGCGTTGAGAAGAAATGAGAAGAAATCGCTTTCGTGGAAATCGCTCCGCTACCAGCGTTGGGTCCTAGTGGCGTTATCTACGTAGCTTAAATGCGCAGGAGATAATAAGGTTGTACATGGAGATACTGAAAGGTGTAACAGCGATTTCAAGCATATCGACGCTGTTGTCTATTTCTGTACGCGAATTTTAAGAGACCTTGGCAAGTACACAGCGTTGCTGCAAAGGGGTCGGATCGACGCACTCGGGTGTTGTGAACTGTTTCTATGGATATCGAATGCGAACGGAAAGGGAATACGCGTTTCACTGGTGTTACAGACAATCTTGAAGGACGGGCAGCTCTTAATCCCCAAAGTCCGCGTTGGAATCTTGCAGCTGCCACGGCAATATTTCTATTAGAGTAGGCTTTGGAAGTTGGCCAAGGCGACCGAATGGAGCATGTGCTCGTCGCCTTCGTTACTTGACACTTTGGGCCGGTTTCAAGTCTCTTAAAAACACCAGACCAATCAACACGTATGCAACCCTCAGAATTGTCTCTGATCAGATATCAACGCCACAAGGATTTACCAGCTTCACGTGTGTCAAACCGGACGCTGTGTGGACATTGTATGTCCTCGGTCTAAGGTTAATGAGCAGGAGAATGATAAAGTATCGGAATTTGGACGTAGAACAGTCCATGAATGCTCAAGCCTGTGTCGGCCTCGTAAGCTTTGACGAAGATGCCACAGCTTATTAAGATCACCAACGTTACATCATATGTCGCCGTTTCTCATATTTGGTCAGACAGAACCAGAATTAAGCTTAAAGAGCCAGGTCAAGTTAACAAGTGCCTATTATATTTATTTTCGCGCCACGCGGTCAAAGTTGAATGTGATTTTATCTGGCAGGATACCATTTGTATTTCGACGGTTGGGTAACTACGACAAGATATCTTGAGAAGAATGCACCGGAACTCCTACGAAGAAAGGTACATTCTCATACACGATAGAGAGCTCATTAACTTCTCCTGGAACAATTATGGAAGTCCCTAAGGTGTTCTAGACATATCAACTTGGTTCACTCGATGCTGGACCGCACTTGAGTTGTATGCATCCAGATCTGTGAAGATCCCCTTTGTAGACGAGAATTACAATCACGCAGTCAAGGACCTAGACGATAAGGTTCTTGCCTACGTGTTCGATCCGTTTGCCCCTTCAGCTTGGATCGAGATTTTGGCCGCGATCAGATAGGTTTGCAATGAAAATTTCTGGATGGGGACGGGAAAGCCCATTTTACACATTTTAAATATTCTTCTGTTGGTCACAGGACCGAATCGGCAGCGCTACGGATCTCTCCTTGCTGGTTGAGTGGCTCATATGGGGATGAATTCGACATGAAACAGGAGAAGTGCGGACGTGGCTGCAATGGTACAGCGTAGCCAATCAAAGTTCTACCAGGTAAAGAACATGAAAATCACATTGAGGAGGTAGAGTTCATCACACTGTCTTCGCTCCTCAGGGGAAATTCACGATCTCCCGTGTTGGCCCATTGTCATGGTGTCCACATTCATTCTTCGATCTGAGCCTGCCGATGCCATCTGAGGTCATTATCGAGCTACGGTTGGAGTGAGAGTATGAAGGATGTCTGAGGGGAGCGAAGTATCCAACACCGCTACATCAGCACGACACCCCCCGGTCGGAGCCCGTTTACGACGATCTTTCTACGCTACTTGGGGTCCACGAGGCTTTGGCGGAGTTGGAGAGCCACTGGCTTTTAGCTGCTTGGGGTCCTTGCATACAGATATGGAGAAGTCGCTGCTTGATTGTTCGAGATATAGGTAGTCGCATTATTATAAAGAAAGATATATCACAAAGATACGCGTTGGGACTTTAGCAGTTGAGAAGGATATTGTTATTTTTCAAGAATGCAAAAACAAGATATACTTCCTTCGTATTGAATAGGCTATTCAAGATTTTATTAGAAAGTAGTAGCCCAAAGAGACATTCCTTGAAAAATCAAGTATTAGTGACAAATAATTTGAATCAGATAGGAAAGAAAAATGTAGAAATTATACCAATTTACATTTGGGGCAGAATATTATTTTGAACTGTTACTTCTACTCTTCTTCCTGTTACATTCATTTGGAAATGGGCTTGAGAGATTTAACCGCCTTATATCGGGCTAAATAGGCTGTGTTGATGGTCATGGATCAAAATCGTGCAAGTGTCATGAGCCTGACAAAAATAGAAGAAACAGCTGGTTCGGAAGCGGCTCAGAACAGACCGTCATATGACCCAACGACATGACAAGACCCCTCATTAGTCACATAATATAATTAAAAAAGGTAAGGGGATCACTCAAGATCAGTTGTATTGATCCAAGGTAGGCCACTCTATTGTTGATATAGTGTGAGCCAGGCTGCAGAGATGGATCATATAGAACACAATTGTTATAAGTAGATAACGCTAGTCCAAGACAGCTCTTCAACAATCAATCTAAGTATTTCCCTGGATAGCCATGACAGCTCTCGGTCATCTCTTATGAATATTGCTCAGAACGCCACCGCCTTCAACGCACCCTGAACATTAGTCCGTTGATAAACTATGAACCAGCCATGACCATTACAATACGAAGTTTGTGAAAATAATGACAGGAGAAGATGGTGGGTGAGTAGGCAGTCATGAACGCTTCTGTAGCTGCTCGACAATTATCTCGTGACCATGCTTTGCCGCCCACGACAGCAGCGTCCATCCGTTCTCATCTTCAACGTCTGTGTCGACTCGATCGTTATTGAGCAGCATTCGGAGAACAACTATTTGGGGCCGCGCCATCAGTGTCCGCTTTCTGTTTTGCTGCTCAAGAAGTATAAGTTGCATCTGGTAATCTTCAAGAGCTGTACTTTGAAAATGTGTTGGCATACGGGGCTTAATCAGCGGTGGTATCTGTAGAGCCTTCGCTGCTCGAAAACTCAATAATAGCGGCGTGTGCCCGTACTTATCTTCAGCGTTTGGGTCAACTCGATCAGTATCAAGCAGCACCTGGACAATCCTCTCATGCATGTTTTCTACAGCCCAACATAGTAATGTCTGGCCGTTACTGTCTCTCATATTGAAATCGACCCTGTTTGTGTCGGAAAGCAATTTTATAACACCCTCATGCCCATGCTTCGCAGCACACCAGAGTATTGTATCGCCGTTGTTGTCTTTCATATTGACATCAATTGCATCTTTAGCAAGAAGCAATTTTACAACGCCCTCATGCCCATGCTTTGCAGCACACCAGAGTATTGTATCGCCGTTGTTGTCTTTCATATTGATATCGATTGGGTCTCTGGCGAGAAGCAACTTTACAACACCCTCATGCCCACTTTTTACAGCACAAAAGAGTAATGTATCACCGCTTTCGTCTTTGATACTAACGTCAACTGCAGCTTCGGCGAGAAGTAGCTTCGCGACACCCTCATGGCCTTGTCTTACAGCCCACAAAAGCGGTGTCTGATTGCTGTTATTTTTTATGTTGACATCAACCTTGTTTGTGTCGAGTAGCAGCCTTGCAATATTTTCATGTCCGTTTTTCGCTGCCCATAAGAGTGTTGTATTACCGCTACGGTCTTTGGCATCGACGTTGACCGCGGTTGTGGCGAGAAGTAGCTTCACCATACCCTCACCTCCCTTGTGTGCAGCCCATGAGAGTAGGGCCTTGTCTTTCGGAACCACAAAATTTCGCCCATCCTCTATCTGCAGAGAAATATCAACATCTGTCGGGAAACTCGTGCCGTGCTGCAGTATTTCTTCAACCGCATTGCAATGTCCATTGGCAATGGCAGCGAAAAGTGGATATCGATACCGCTCTCCCTGTAAACCGATTCGAGGATCACGGTCCAATTGCGTTGACATTAGCCTTGTCCAGTTCTTCTCAGCAAACAAATACAGAAGAGTTGCACTTGGCGTATGACGGCGGATTTTGTGTTTTTCAAGTTGGTTATCAAGATTGATCCAAGCTTGAAGAGGAAACTTGTCCAGAAAAGTGCTTTGCTGTAACCCAGCCGCTGCTTCATTGGCATGATAGAAGACCTGGTGGACAGCGTATTCCAGGAAAGGAAACTTTGCCGAAACCGACTCTCGCATAGTTTTCGCTTCATTCGATGATGCTTTGGGAAGCGTCATGCTTGTAGGTGAGCTACTGCTTGGTAAGGACCCTGACGTGTCAACACTGATATAGGCAAGGCAGCACTGCTTCAGTCGATCGTGGCTTAAGCTTTCAACGTTTTCTCCGAGCTCATGCCATAGATCACGGAGGCCATTATCCTTGATCAAAAAGTCTCGCACCGATTCGTGGATGAACTGGACCGTTTTGCTTTTAGATCTTGTAACCTCTGCAAGTCCTTTGGAAGAGCTCAGCACAAAACGTCCCATGTCGTCTGTGCCGATGTATTCCGGATTCCATTCGGCCAAAGCCTCGGAAGATACGCCGGAGACCACTGCGAAGTAGAATTCTTCATGCTTCAAGGGCCGCTTTGCATAAAGTATCCACTGTATACACAGCAGCAGCTCGGCCATATTGTCGTTATCCCTCCTCAACATGTCTTTAAACAATTCGCTTAACTGGCTGGGAATTTCTTGCAGTCTGGATTTGACTGCAAAGATGCGTCCTCGTTCAAACTCTTTGTTGAGAATATCGACGACGAGAACTGTCCACATGAAAACGCCGGCCGCTTTCTCGAGTATCTTGTTCCTGATTTCTTCGACCAACGGTCCATTTCCTGTTCTCAATCGACCTTCAACATATCTCTTTAGATCTTCGCCATGGTCTGGTTGGTCTTCAAGGATCAATTGCTTCCCGTGCTGGATATCGATATATGGGTAATGACGGCTGGAGAAACAGATGTAGAGCCTGTTCTTAAGTTCACTGGCCTCATTTCCCAAAGCCTCGAAGAAATCCACCATAGCTCGTACTTCGCGCTCATTGCACTCGTCCAGAGCATCAATAAAGCAGGTGACGCGTCGTTTGTTGAGTCGTGAGACTGCAGAGGAGAAAAGCCGTTGAAGCACCTCCACTTCCCACATAGTGGAGCCAGTCTGATTCTGAGGCACACGTTTTATGCCATCGAGTACATCTTGGAGGTCCGGGAGCTTCTCAAGAACCTGGAGTAGAATGGAACGGAGCATTCCTGCGGTCGTCTTCTCAAGGGTATCTCCTCTAGCATTGAAGAAGAACGAGACAGTGGCCGCATTTATACCAGTGTTGCGTTGTGCATTAGTGAAAGCAAATTTCATCAAACTTGACTTTCCTGATCCAGGCTTTCCATTGATCCATAGGAAGCCGTGATGGCTATTGAACTTGTCCTGGTCCAGCCAATCTGTGTAGTCAGGATGCTGGAGCAGCCACTTGCAGGTTTTAGAATAAACCGCCTTTATGTTTGAGTGTCGAGAGTCGATCTGTTCAAACCTCAGAGAGTCTAATATAACTTTCCGATGCTCTCGCGATGATATCTGTTCTGCGGGGTTGTCAGAAAAGCATGTCCTTTGACCGGTTGTGTAATACTTGCCAACAGCAGTCACCGCCGAAGTCCTTCGCATATTGACGGCAGGTATAACATGAAGGAGTTCTTTGGCGTATGCTGCCGCTGCTGCGGCTGCATATCGTTGCCATCCCTTGTTTTTATGCGAGTCTGAATAGTCGCAGATTCCACGAACAACAAGACACGGAAAACTATCCGCCAACCCTGCCGCTTCCATTTCAAAACAAAGAACGCCAGGGCCGTGAGCGTTCTGGTCCCGAGACACCTTGTCCCGTGTCTTTCCATGCTTCATAACCTGATTTCCAGAAGCAATGAGTCCGTAGTGAATCTTTGGGCTGTTGTCCGGTCGACAGTCGCGCGCTACCAACTTCGATCGATCGCAATGCTTGCAATCCTCCGTCGATTGAGAGTGGTCATATCCACCGTCAAATAACAAATCCTCAAGCCTGCTCGGATAAGCATAAGCGGTCATTGCTGGTTTTCGTGAGAGCATATCGGCGAGGATGGTCGAAATTCGACTGCCGTCTTGCTCATGACTTGCGCGTAGCTTGGAGACGGCCGTCATAACATCCTGAGGCGGTCTATATGGAATGCTTGTGGGTATGAACTGGCCGCCGTCAACAGTTTTGCCGAAGTCGTACTGAATAACTTGATCGCTAACTACCACGTCTCCCAGACGCACGTCAGCCTTGCCAGGGACTCCGCCACCTATTCCAACCATAAGCCTCAGTCGTATAGAAGGGAAACTTCTGCGAATATTGTTCGCTACAGTTGCCGCGTTGTTAGTTCCATAGTGCCCTGATGGAAGGCATGCAATGATGACGTTGTGCATGCCAATACTCCCGAAGGTATATGTATTAGTATCATCGATATGTGTCGGTAGGCTCTCGTGAATGTTGCTCAACATAGCTTCAGCCGCAGCCATCTCGATGTGAAGTGCGCAGACCCAAGCGATAGTGTAGTCTTCGCATGACAGTACTGATTCTGTCCGGTCTTGCGGGAAAGCATTGTTACGATCGTTGTCAATACCCGGTCTCAACCGCTTCGAGTCAGGGAGGGTATAGTCGATCTCGTTGTATGTGTCATCCACGGATCTCTTGGTGGCTTTATCCATTGTTTGAGTTTCAATGGATATAGCTACAGTTATTGAGTGATTTGATGTAGCTTCTTTCTGTCACTTGAGATGTTCTCGGGGTAGAAGAAATACCTCTGTCAGCACAAGTCTGGATTTGAGAAAGGCACAAGGGAATAAAGGAATGGATACAAACGGATTGAGAGGGCTGTGAAGTAGTCAAGGAGAAACACTTGAGAATATCCTTGCCGGCTGTGATTGAAAAGCTGATGCGAGTGCGCCTAGCCAACGCAGCAACCACATCGGGGACTTGATCTTCGACCGTACTGTAGAGGGGAGGCACAGCGCCGAAGCCACGCTGCCTTCATTGGCTCAGCCACCAAACGCCAACTCACCGGTATGCAGTAGGTTGTCGACTTTTTCCTGAGCGGGTAGATAGCATGATTAACTCATCCTAGTCCACAGCCTGCATGTAAGTGCAGTTTCCTACTCCGCTAACCCGCACGTTGCGGCGGGATCGCCTGAGCATTGCAATGGAAGCTGTCTCGCGCAGAATGGGAGCCTATCAGCTCAACTGTGCGCAGCATCTCAGCCCCTGTGTTGGTGGCACAAGCAAGGCTCATAACCCCTGGCTGGTGACCACATCAAGTCATGAAATTCTCTGCTTGGCAAGAACTTTGAGGTTCAATGCTGGTAGCACAACATCAACAGTTTCGGGTCTCCTGACGTCTTTAATGCGCCTTGTCACTGCATGCTTCTTCTGTAGGGCTCTTCGTGGCGAGGTACATACACGTGGCTGCGGGCTAGGCTGATACAAGCAGCTACCCGCGCTAACAATGCTGGGCACTCTGCTACACAGCAGACCGGTAAGCAGTGTTAGTAATAGCAGTTGATGTACGGTACTTGTTGTGCCCAGAAGAGTTTGCTGTGAACATGCGCACTTTGTTTTCTTGCAACAGTAAAAGGCGACGGCCAGCAACATATCGAGCGGAAGAGGTATATTATCACAATATGCGATTTCCACTGTATGTATGAAACTCGTATTCCTTGCAACGAGAGCAACTTACTTAGGAAGAAAATGGCGCCGCCTTGCAAACTAAGTAGCACTGACCTAGCCTTGGGCGCATTGAAACGCACTGCCCCGCTATCACGGCGGGGCAAGCACCCGTCAAAAGAGGTGGAGAAAATGGCGGTAGCAGAAGGAGGGACAAAGGCGAGTACGATACAGAAATAAAGCAGTACTGATGGTTGTCTACATTCGAGACCCTTTTAGGCTTACGAACACACCCAATCGTCTTGCGGTTTCGCGCTTGGCCATGCCACCCTGTCAAGGATGCTCACATGTTGACGTATTGCAGTGGACTAAGGGTACTATAGATCGCTTTCACCCTTCTGCCTCAACATCGCTGATGATAGAAGCACAGGCAATGGCAACTGGCAGCGTCACAAATTTCCGGCCCAACAGCTTTGCACAAACTATCTAAGCAACGGGCTCCCAGACGCCTTGACCGAATCACCCATCTGCATTATGTCCGTCTACCTTATAAGAGAGACCAAGCAGCCGCTAACTTTCCCAAGATTCGCCAGTGCTAACGAAATCCGCACATGCCCGCGATGCCGGCCGATCTTTACAGAAACCCTTCACATCCCCGAGCTGTGGTGGTCTGACTGTTGCCGTCGATCAAACGGCTACTTTGGCTGTGAGATCGCTCGAAATAACGGAGATGTTCTTGATTATAGTAATTATATATGCACTTGCCGCAATATGACCTCGCTGATAAGGTATAGATACCTGGGCATATTTCGAAACAAAACATCTAGACGAAACTATGCAATATACTTGGGACAAGACAAACGTCTTTGCAAGATGGTCTCCTCAAAAGCTTCAGAGTACAATAGTTATATTCGATGCTTGCAAGTCTATCCTAGAGTGTGTTTCAGACAAGTTCTTAAGGTCAAACCCTAGCTGTGTTTGCGATCCGTTCTGGATATATGTCGTACTAGTGACAGAGCTGGTACACCGAGAGGAAGCCGCCGTCTGGGCTATACGCGACCAGGTCAGATCGAGGGAGATAGAAACGGTGCCTATGGGCTGGCCACGGCCGGACTACCGACGCCTGCACGATATCGCCAGGCATGCCATCCATGTATCCGAGACGCTCGATGTTGCCAACGATACTCTTACCAGGATTGTTACAGAGCATGAAATATTCATGGCAAGCGACCTAGCTGTCGATAAGAATTTGTCACAGGATATACATCATCGCTTGCGCTTCATCGAGAGTATGATGACCAGTTTGAGGCAACGATCTGCGTCGAATGAAAAACGACTGTTGAATGAGATTCAGCTCGCTTTTCATATTGTTGCCCAGCACGATGCCAACACTTCGGTGGAGATCGGGCGTGCCGCGCACTCGGATGGGGCCGCTATGAAGACTATCGCCTTTGTTACGCTTGCCTTTTTGCCCCCGACCTTTATATCGGCTATTTTTAGCATGTCATTTTTTTCATTCAGCCCGGATTCTGGCTGGACCGTTTCTGGAAAGATATGGGTATACTGGGCTTTTGCAGTGCCTCTCACCTTAGGATCGTTCCTGTTGTGGTATTACTACCTAGCACGCACTCCTGCCTTGTCTCGTTATTATAAGAGAAGTCCTCCGAGTATACCGTCCACTTTGCCAGAAACAGCTGTTGTGCTTCAGAACAGGCAACTTTCATTATAGATCACTATTTGTTATACATAGCAACCCCGCAAGCGATCGTTAAGAAGAGCGACATTCGCGAAAGGCATTATACTTTCAAATAGAATCAACACAAGGAAATATTAGCAAATGCCATTTCTTTAATTGTATTGGATCGAGTAAATAAGGTGACGGTGCGGCGGAGGTAAGTGTGTGATTAGAGGTGACTGCAGATAGACCACCTACAGCCCCTAGGCACTTTGCTCTTAAAGCGTGATGTCAGTTGGAGGCAACCTTCCCTCCTGCTCTCTTTCCTTAGCGATACAAGGTCTGTTAGCTGGGTTACGTATTCGAATATGATATGTGTTTAGGATTATTAATGTTTATTTATATAAAATAGAAATGCCGTATGTACAGTATAATGGACTGTACACAGACTGGAGAGAGAATAACAAATCTTGATCTTACCTACCTCCGCTCATGAACACCGTCCACTTTTTCCGATGTGACGCTATGCGGAGGATCATTAAGCTCTAACCATAAGTCGCCCCCCGCAAAAGCTGAGGAAAGAGAGCCTGAATGGAAAACTTACTTCCGATGCCGAGCCCCCCCCCCCTTTCACTGTATAATATTCTCTTCCACCGAATTTCAGCGCCTATGTTGTTCTGGGCAACATGTATGCCTCCTGTACCTGCCAAGTGGTAGATGCGGTGTCTGTCAGGTTATTAGTGCTCTATGTTTCACCTGCTCTCTGCCTTCCTCTGTCTCTATTAGCATTGTCGTCGGCGCCAGGCAGAATACTGGCTAGGGTGCCAAAGCATCATCAACCGCAGCTGATTTCTTCTGAAGTCCACGGCTCGATCGCCGAAGAACAACATTTGTCGACGTTGTCGACGGTGAGATTGCGAGCAGACATAACGATAGGGAGGTACCCGGACAAAGGTGTTTGCTGTGCCGATCGAGTTCTTTGGTGGTAGCCTTCAACATTTTGAGTCACTTGTTCCAGGTCATCACATGAGCCTGCTCAGCCCGAGGAGCCTGTTCGCCGGCCCTGATCGTTACGGACCATCTCATCACGGGAGGGATACAGAAAAGGCCATGCTCTCAAGTCTGGCTCGTGGTTGTGGGACTTTCAATATGACTTCGCCTTGATAAAGAAAAAGAGAAGAAAAAAAGGTTGCCTTCAACGCTTGTCCAGCCTTTAAGGCAAAGGGCCTAGGGGCTGCAGGTGGTCTTGTGGGTAGCTACCACCATTCACTTAAAACCGCCTTCTTCGCAGTCTCGCTTCTCGCTTTCTCAACAACCGCTAAATCATAATCAGACCCCACTGTATAATTGTTTCCAACCCGTAATAATGTACCACCCAATTTGTAACATACGCTAGCGGAGGTTGGTGGCAAAATCCAATGGTGTCGGAAGCATGATGCGGCTTAAGATGCGATCCTCGTACTACATACAGCCGAGTTAAAATATCTACAGCTACCGGTCATAGCGTCCACGTCCCCGAAATAATATTGCTTCCAAAGATCATGCTATTATCTTCTTCCCATATGGCCTCATCTGCTGCATTAAAGATGAAGTCTTGGAGGAGACAAAAAGTTAAAAGCTTTTCCGGTGACTGTTACTCCTCCGTGGAGGCTGATTTCCCTCATCCCGAGATATGAACTCTGCTGCTTTGCTTCAAGGATGCCTTAAGGATGCCTTCTTTGAGTGTTATTGATCACGTGCACTGTGGATCCTAGGTGACTAACATTCAAGAAGGGGTTAGTTCTTACGTAGGCAGCAACAACGGGGATTGTATCGCTTGGAAGCGCGAAACCTTTATTCTAAACTTCAGGAATCACTTTCTACGATACGTCTTCCCATCAACTCGCATTCCTGCCGCCGGAACCATCCTCACTTCGTTCAGCATGAGCGAATGCAGAAGATTTGCTACCTCCGGGCTCTCCGTTAGCCCGGTTCTCACTACCGTCGAACTGCTCGAACCCATTCTTCTGTGCCTTGAAATGCGCTGCCTCCTCACATCGGCCCTCAGGGTATGCCGACAATGGCGAGACGTGATCCAAGGGTCGGTCTTACTACAAAGGGCACTCTTCTTTGAGTGCGGAGAGGAGCCATCGGAGAGTCATGAGGTCACATTCAATCCTCTTTTGGTTGAGCTGTTTCCAATACTATTCGACTTTGCTGGCACGCCAAGCCCCCGCGGATTCAACGATCTCGCGATCGAGGCGCTCCCCATTGGACAACGCAGGGTGGCCTTTTATCGACGCGATGCGTCTTGGCGGCGAATGCACTTGCGTCAGCCTCCAGTGAACCATGTGGGTTTGTGGACGTTGGACAAGATCAGGTCGAGGAATGAGAAGATGAAGTTGATGAAATATGATGGAGGTCTGAGGATGGAAGGCTTCTACTTCTTGATCTTGAAGCACGTGTATTGGTGGGACCTCTTCGTGAAATGGGGAGAGACTCAAGGACAACAGTTGCGCCTTTTTCAATGGGTGCGAACGCATATGAGAGGACCGGCCGAGGAGATAGTGCGCACTGCAGATGTGACCATCGGAGGTCTCGCCGACGATTACTGCGTGGAGGAAGGGTACGCCAGGACATCTGTGGATGGCCGTGGACTTTTGAAGATGGAGATGGGACGTGCGTTGGCTGACAATGACCGCGTAGATGAAGAGAGTGTCAGGAAGTCTGTGGCCAGCAATGGACTGGTCAAGATGGGAATTTTTTGGTTTAAAGTTATGGAGCCAGATGACGGGGAAGTTATATGGCAAAAATGGGATGGTCCATGTCGCTGTCTAAGGCATTGATTCCGAAGGAGCTCTGAGAGATTGTATATAATTTTGATAGGTCCGAAGTCGAGTTGTCTTTTTGAATTTGGGCGTCATTGAGCGGCACTCCCCTGAGCTGCTTTGATAAAACTTTCTTTAAATTGATCTAAGATTTATATGAATAAGAAGTCTATGAAAAGAGTTGAAGTCGACATTGTACCATCAAAGTTTTATTTCTAATCTATTGAACTTTAATATAATCTATTTAAAAGAATGAAAAGTGATTCCACTACCTTCAAAGGAATTCAAAATATCCTTTAGTTCAAAGAGAATATATTGAAGTGGCTAGGAACCGCGTTTAACGTTCTCTCCAATAGCTTTCCTATTTAAAGGCTAGTATATACTTTTTTTAGAAACTTCTTACCATTAGCATAACATGCCCTAAAGGGATAACTAACATAAACAGCACCACTAGTAAAAGAAGAAATACAATAAAAACGTATACTTAAACTTTTCTCCCCCTGAAAGAAAACCGTCTAACATACTAAATAGTTTATCAACCTATAACAATAGCATAAAGACTACCGCAATATATCTATATATTGTTTATTTGATTATAAGAAGCAGCTAAAAACTGTATATTAACACGCAGGGCTCAAGCCATTGGAATGGCCCCAGGCATTGTCCATGTCAGGACACTCTCCAATACTACAACGGAGTCCACCAAGACAGCCTATCAGGTCCTACGGCCAACTCCAAAATCGGCATCCTTCTGTGAAGTGTAAGGCACTGCAAAGGTCGTCGTCCATGTTTGTTAGTGTGCCGCTGGATGTGCCTGAGGGCGTGGCGAGTCCGTCGGGTGCTGTGGCTACTTTTCAAAATCGTCCATCGAGATGAAAGTAAACATTACAGAAGACGGCGTAATTTGCAGTTGATGCAGAATCGGAGCTCACGGCGTCATTGTCTGTATGAAGGCTATTGTGATCTGCTTGAGTAGTATCACATACATTATTTCAGTAACACAGCTACATCCTCAAACAAACAAAATGCGAAAACGTCATGGCGGAACGCCTATGGCCTGACTGGCTACCTTGTGCCCGGATCTCACTCAACAGGGGCTTAATCTACAGCAGATTGTCCCACAGGAGGTTTACCTATAGGACGCGGAGGTTATTCCATAGGACCTACTTGTGTAGGAGGTTGATCCCAAGGAGGTGGGCTGTGGGCGATGGATAATGCTCAAATACCTACGTGACTCACTACAGAGCTTGAAATGCTGTGGCCGCATAGCAGACACCCAAGAAAAGCTGGTCAGAATCAACCTGGGTTGACTTTCCGGCTATCTACAGACCTGCATGACTGTGCCTCGATTCCGACACAAGACCTTGCCGACCATATTTTCACTTTTTAAAGAAAGTATTTGATTTGTGCATTACGGCACCAACTCGTCGTCCCTTAGCTGGCGCGCTGACAGCATTATTGTGTCGAGCGTGACGTGCCTCTGGTACCAAGCTCCCTCGAGCTTGTCGTTTGACGGCGCCAGGAAGCTCTCAGGTGCCACGCTGACAAAGTTGTCCGTGGGCAATCGGTACTGCTCCTGCAGTGCGGCGGACGAGGCAGGATAGAAGGGCTCTTCGTTCGGAACGTACTGGTACGTCATGCACTCTTTGAAAGCGATCCGGGGGAACCCCGCGAAGAAGGCGTCGTGGGCGGGATCCATAGCGTCGTTGAGGTTGTCGAATACGGTGGTGGTTTTTAAGGCCGCAGGAGGCCGCAAGATGGACCAGGGGTTTCGGCAGGTCTCCTCGGAGCAGCTCTTGGTCACCATCAGTAGGGCGTTCAGGCGGTTGATGAGCCGCCTCGTCTCCGTGTCGTCGACGCGCGTCACGGCCAGGTTCTCCAACTCATACGGGTCGTTCGACGTGTCGTAGAGCTCCTCGTCACCGCTGCACCATTTGGCGTACAGCCAGCTATTGTCGGCTTCATCAAAAATGCGTAGCGTCTTGTAGCTATTTTCCGGGTACGAGGTGAAGGGGGGTGCCTCGAAGTGGCAACCACCCCAGAACTCGACGTTCAGCAGTTCTTTGCCAATAGTGTCTTGCTCCGGCTTCCCCTGCCACTGTCTCAACAAGCTCCTGCCGTCAAAAAAGCGCGGCCAATTCTCCTGGCTCACCCCAGCGATGTCCAGGAATGTAGGCGCCAGATCCAGATGAGCCCCCGGAATCCGCGACTTGACATTGGCCGGAACGCCAGGGCCGCGCACGACGAAGGGCACGTTGGTGTCCTCGGCATAAGGTAGGGCCTTTCCGGCTACGGCGCGGTGCGTGCCAATGTGGTACCCGTTGCCAGAAGTGAAGATGATGAAGGTGTTGTCAAGTTGGCCGCGTGAATCGAGCAGCGCGATCACATCCTCGAGGATCTCGTCTACGCCCTGTAGGGAACGGATGCGTGCGCGGAACTGCTCGTCAGCGTAGGCGATCTGGGTTTCATTGAGGGCGGGTAAGCTGCCGACCCAGTTGCTGCGAAGGGACTGGGTGGGATCCGGGGGGTTGAAGTTTGGCACCCGGGGCGCGGTGGCGTTGGGAAAGTCGTTGAGATGCCGCGAGAGAGGGACAGGGTTGGCGATGCCGGCGTCGCCCTGCTGGGCAACGTGTGGGGCTGTAGGTGCGATTTCGAGGAAGAAGGGCTGGTGTTGGTCGGACGTCGAGTTGGAGGTGAGATAGTCGAGCCGTGCCAGGGCCTTTGCGCGGATTACGTCCGACTGATGGTAGCCAGAGTATAGAACCGGCCGCTCACCATTCTGTGACATGACGACGGTATTGTAGGCGTACGTGTACGGGTCGACCAGGCAGTCGGCATGGTCCCAGCCCTTGGGCGTCGTGTTGTAATTGAGAACGGTATAGCCATTAAAAAACTTGCCAAGATCTTGAAAGCAAGATGGCAGGCATCAGGTCAGTCGTATGTTCTGCTATCGGCATGAGTCTCACCTACATTCGGCACGATATCCGGCCGACTTCAGCCAGAACGGCAAATAGTCATTGTTCTCGCCCGACAAGACAAACTTGTCGTAGTTGCCACTGTTGCCACCAAGACTTAGCTGCCGGCCTCAGAGCGTGTCGCCATCCATCGTAACTTACCCGGGCGCTTGGACATGGGTGACGTTCGTGTTGTGTGCAGCCTGACCCCGGAAGAGCGAGGTTCGACTGGGACAACACTGGGCAACAGTTACATGATGGTTGATGAACTCAGTGCCCTTGGTAACCAATTCCCGCTGCAGTACCCCCTGAAAGTCGGTAGATCCGAGGCGTCTGTCTTGGTCATCAGACAGCAGCAGGACAATATTTGGCCTTGATGCCTGAGACGGAGTGTCGGCGGCCACATGCAGGCCAAAGTTTGCCAATAAGGCAAGCAAATTGTTCATGCTTCCCGTTTCCGTGCCGTCGACAACAGCTCAACTGGCAGACGTACCTAGGCCTGTACGAAAGACATATTGCAACCTCCTGCAGGTAAGAAGCGGGCGTTAAACCTTTTCTTTCTACACTTAACATGCGGAAAACCGCTAATCCCTAAACCGGCTCGACATGGTAAAGCGGTCACGAGTTAGTGCTGTGGCATAATTCTCAATTATCGGTAGCAGAAGAGGAGTGAACAAGCCAGCGGAGCATCACCGTGATATAACCGGGTGTGCCTCTGTCTGTGGCAAGCGACGCGCGGGGGGGGGGGGGGGGGGGGGGGGGGGGGGGGGGGGGGGGGGGGGGGGGGGGGGGGGGGGGGGGGGGGGGGGGGG